CAAAGACTATAGTATTTAGCATCAAAATATGTAAAAATGCAAAGACTATAGTCTTTAGCCTAAAAATGTGTGAAAATGCAAAGACTATAGTCTTTGGCATCAAAACGTGTGAAAATGGAAAGACTATAGTCTTTGGCATGAAAATGTGTTAAAATTCAAAGACTATAGTCTTTGGCATGAAAATGTGTTAAAATTCAAAGACTATAGTCTTTGACCTCAAAATGTGTGAAAATGCAAAGACTATAGTATTTAGCATCAAAATATGTAAAAATGCAAAGACTATAGTCTTTGGCATGAAAATGTGTGAAAGTGCAAAGACTATAGTCTTTGGCATGAAAATGTGTGAAAATGCGTGAAAATGCATGAACTATAGTCTTTGACATGAAAATGCATGAACTATTGTCTTTGGCATCAAAATATGCAAAAATGGAAAGACTATAGTCTTTGGCATCAAAATGTCTAAAAATGCAAAGACTATAGTCTTTGACCTAAAAATGTGTGAAAATGCAAAGACTATAGTCTTTGACGTGAAAATGTGAAAATGCAACGACTATAGTCTTTGGCATCAAAATGTGTAAAAACGTAAAGTCTATAGTCTTTATTCTAAAAATGTGTGAAAATGCAGACTATAGTCTTTGGCATCAAAATGTCTATAGTTCATGCATTTTCATGCCAAAGACTATAGTTCATGGATTATCACACATTTTCATGCCAAAGTCTATAGTTCATGCATTTTCACGTATTTTCATGCCAAAGACAATAGTTCATGCATTTTCATGTCAAAGACTATAGTTCATGCATTTTCACGCATTTTCATGCCAAAGACTATAGAGTTCAATATTACGTAAATAGGTAAAGGTAAAGTTATGGCTAATGTAATTGCATCTTCTCAGGGTCAAGACCACCTTGTGTATTGTATATTTGTACTTCAAAGTTAAGAAAAAGGGGGTAAATATGCAAGGAAACTATTAGTATTCGTTGTTGAGTATCTGGCTCGACAGGCTCTGTTTGACCTCCAATACACAAGACCCTAGGTTTGTCACGGTGTCGTCGTCAGCTCGGGTTGTAGATTGAGGATTGAATGCAAGGTTAAGGTTAGGAGGGGATATAAAAGGGCGTTCGGTTTGCCCTCTGTTTCCTGACTATTAAAAAATGACTTCTTTCGGGAAGAGATAGAAAAAATTTGATCAAAAGACTTAGTTCTTTTAGGGCAAAATCTTTGCAACAGATCTTCTCTTCTTTTTTTTCTTCTGAAGATATACAAAGTGTCGAATTCCATTCTCGAAAAACCAGCAAATAGAATTAGCATTTGTACACCTGGTGTACATTATACTCTGCCCTTAATTTTGCTCTTGATATTCACGGTACTCGTTCATTGCAAGTCTTATGCTCAACATACCAAGCCCAACAACAACCGACTGACCCCTCGAAGGATTCGAACCCCACATCACAACCTGAGAAACCTCACTCTACACACTCGACCAGTGAGTGCGTTGGAAACAAATAGAAAATTTAGTCTATTTACGATAGTAGATGCTTGAAGTATAAGCGTGACAATCAAGAAAACAAACCAGACATTTGCAGCATCGACTTTAAACCACTGACATTTTCACAACAACAAATAGCCTAATAAGTCAACAGATTATTCAAAAAGGCTTTTGTCGTTGGATATCATCATTAGTGTCAGTCTGATCACACGACAGAAATACATTAATACAGTTTCTAGCCATGGGATCTATTCTCTTGTGAGACGTCGAAGAAAGTATGTCTGCATAATTTTGTTCTCTGAACAATATTTCACCAAGGTCAGGTTATGTAATGTTATGTCATTATATAATTTTTGAATTTATAATAACTACTATTTAATATACGTACAAGAAAAGACAATTTTATAGTCCTTACTTAACAATTGTTTCTTCGTTTGCACAGATCCCAGCACAATGGAATAAATGTGGACATAATGTTGAGCTTTGAAATACCAAATATACTAACAACTCTCTAGAACATTTATAACGTTTTCAATAGCTTGACCGGTCGTTCCACTCTTTAAAAAGGAAAAATACGTCAGCGCACAACTTAAATTTGAAGTACATAAAACTTAATTAAATTTCAGTCAACATGCTTGAACTCATTTACACTATATTTGTGAGAGACCTGAAATCACATTTAGTGCTTTGCAAAACAAAATCATTCGTCCAGTTCATCTAGTGGTTTTGTTCAAGTAGTTTCCATAACAATAAGGATAAAGTTACACAATGTAATTTAACCCTTTACGTGGCAATCAAAATCAACAATCTCTCCGACAAATTTTCACAATTTCTCACAATCCTAAAGTACTTCAACCTCCGCTGAGGTTGTCCAAACGTCAGTCAAGTTCAACGCCAACAGTCCTTCTCAGAACTCAACTAACTTGGACGATCCACATCTACAAACATCTAAAGTACTTACAGTTAACTTCATAAACACCAGAAATGTCTTTAAAATATTTATCATCAAGTCAAATGTATTTCCCGGCATTAAATCACAGATGACTGACTGATTTGCCTAAGAAATAATGAAACAAATGAAAACAATTTTTCGTTGACCATACATGATATCAATAAACATGGTCATATTATATTTACTTTGTTGTCTTTTGCGATACAACCAAGCAATAACGCTATATACGATGCTACCATACTGTCTTCCATATGTTCACCAGCTTTCTTTAACACTAAATACAAAATTTACTAATGACAAAATGTCTTGATGAAAATTTAACGATTATGAAAACACAAGGTGAACATTTTATTGAAAAATTGATTTCATTTTTGTTCTCAGTGCCAACATGTTAGCTGGGGAAAGTGTTAAGTCTCTGGGTTAGGGATACCACTAAAATCGATCTTTGCACACACTATCTCTAACCTTCTCCTATTTCATCATCCAAAGACTTTGCAACCATCGTCTTCTCTTGTTGTTCAATATCCTCGCATCGTGAATTGTCTATATCATCACCACAGATCCATCCAGATCCATCTTTGGTTCGTTTCAACTCACCCTTGCGACCATCTATAATGTTGTAGAACCGTTGCACACTCCTTTAAAAAAGGCTCATTTAGTATTCAAGCAATGTTTTTGTCTGGTTATTAAAGTATCCAGCTCCATTTACAAACAGGATTGTAAAAATATCCTTTCATTTCATACTTAAATTAAAACTCCATACAAGATGTGATTGCTATTTTATTTAAAAGCCATCGTGAAAGAGAATCTGAACGTGAATTCTTGATTGCTCAGAATTCATGATGACACTTTTAATATGGAATATTAAAAATCCTTGTTTAAATGGTAAAAGATACCTTTGAATAAGTTATTTATCGTCTCGTTATTCCTGGCAGCTTTCTCGCGTATAAGAAACACTTTCACCAAAGCTTCTAAAGCTGATATTTGTTTCTTGCTGTCAAAATCTACTTCCACGTTAAGAACAATCAATCTGGCTACATTCTGTTTGCTGTGTTCCATCAAATTTATCAACAATCCTAAATCCTACAAAAACCCACATAAATAAGTCCGATTTCAAATAGAGTAGAACATCTAATGTCCTTCTCCAGTTTTCGCTACAAATATCCACAATGAAAAGTCTTAAGGAACGTATTTGAATGTCAAATTATTGAAAACACACCCCATTGAGGTAGAATTTTTTACGATATTGTCAGGATTCAAAAACTTCCATCGTCGTGAAGTAAAAACTGTAGCATACGTTCACATCAAATACATTATAAAAACTTACCAACACTAGCAAATCAAATTGATCCTCCGTTGACACTAAATGAGATATCTAGGCGCAATTTATCAAAGGTTTATAATTGTTTAATTTATATCTAATCTTAATTGTTCAACACTTACAAAAGCATTTCAAAAATATTACCTTAAAAACACACTGCATCAATGTTGATATTAGTCCATTTTGCTCTCCAATAATTGTGCATTCCTCTTCTAAAGATACAAAAAATCATTTAAAGTACTTCGTCTACGACGCATACGAGCAATTGAAGTTTTACTTAAAGTTGGATTTCATTGAAAAAGCTGTCCAGAGAAAACCACGTTAAGTAAAAAAAGAAAGAAAAACAACTCCCACCAAAGCAGTTACCATTATCATGAGTCACGATTAAATACAGACGAAGAATACTCTTTATACATTTCATAACGATTTTTAAAACACTGCTATCTGAGCCAATGCGTTCCTCAATAATACCATCAATACAAAGTGTTAATAATCTAAACATAGATAAATGACAGAAAACAAAGAATCAATAATCTACACATAGATAAATGATAAAAATATTGGTAAAATGAAGACAAATTTTCATGATGTACGTAAACATGATAGAAGCACCAGCTGAATACCTGGATAATGTCACAATTAAAGATGATTTTCTGTAGTTAACGACATGCTTTTGATTGATTTGATGTTGATACGTTACCTACATTGAGGACAAAATATTCAAATGCTTTTCTTTTTAACTTGACTATAACAACAGCAGCAAATAACAGATTGCAATTCTTACATTTTCTAAAAACTTTAAACATCTGATGACATTTTCAAACATTTTGTCGTAATGCGAAAAATTGACCTCATTTTTGTCTTTAAAAGCAACAACGTCCATCAAGACTGAAGACGAAGAAAAATTACAAGAGTTAATATTAATACAATTGTCATATAGAAATGTCAAAGCTAATATACATTTTCATAGGATGTATTTTTTATACAAACTATTTTGCAATAAATATATTTTTCCAAAGACGATTTTGGAATGTTTTTGGTGTTACGTAAATGTGACAAAATATTAAGCAAAGAATAATCATGCAACGAAAACATGAAATGTATAAAGTTTATAATATATATTGATAATAGAACATACAACAAAAAGCAGACAAAAGGTTCATTTACCACATTATACCAACCTAATTCGTTGATATAATCAATTCCACCCAACGTTCTTACTTCATCTTTAAACCAATCACCGGTTCTCTGAGTTGTCAGTGACAACAACGCCTCTTGTGCCAACAATTTGGACTGGAAAAAGAAAATTAGTTTGCTCTACTGTAATGCAACAAATAATTTTTGTAATGCAAGGCTCTTCCAACTATTTAATTTCATTCATGAACTTTTCATAAGTTTTTTTTTGACTTTTTTAATAGTCTTTAACTCGACGCAACTACAACAACATGTTAAAGAGAATTTCTTCTAAAAACATCTGCTTCCTGTGTTTTCAGGAAAACGTAGGAATTCACAGTAATGTGTGTTGACCATAGTATCTCTATAAAATTCCTGGTTTCAAGATAATGCTAGAAATACACATGCTCTTAAATATCATATAATTTTCCCCTTTTAACAGTTAATACTAACCGATATATCGTCCAAGTCAAGATTCATTGTATGAGAATGACTTAACCTGGTTAAAATTTGTCTGTAAATTACATAAGGAAAAACATTATAATATTGTATTGCATATCAAAATCTACATTAAGATCATTATCATAGGATATGAAGGGTGTAGATATGATTTCAAACTATAGACAGGATCTTTTAGGGTCATGATTGGATATGAAGGTAATAGATATGATTTCAAACTATAGACAGGATCTTTTAGGGCCATGATTGGATATGAAGGTAATAGACATGATTTCAAACTATAGACAGGATCTTTTAGGGTCATGATTGATATGTAGGGAATAGATATAATTAGACAGGATGATACAACATTCTAAATTTTTTACCCAAAATGCAATGTTACGTAAATTTGATGTTTTCCTACCTACGCATAAAATAAGTCAATCTTAGTAATTAGACTTTTACTCAAGAAAAACCCATCGTGCTAATACCTTGTTCTTCTCACAATATCTTCATAGCTCACTTTTTTCTCATCACCTCTACAACTTTCACCATGTCTATCACCCATGAGTAACTTCAATAATAACTCTGTTGCACAAAAGAATGTATGTAAAGACAGAGATTTGCCAAGCAGGAAGCTTGAATTCTCAAACAAGCACAAACCTAAAATAGACTGGTCAAAGTCCACACTCAGTTTATCTCTTGTCATTACATAAAACAAACATGACAGACACAGAGCAAGACTCTAAAACATAAAACAACATCACATTGAAAAATAAATACAACAGAATGTATTTTAATTATTGACGCTATTCCACAAAATCTTGCATAAAATACTAAAATCATGCCTAAGTATATAAAGTCACTGTCATACTAAATAATGACTATATAAGAAACTTCTGTACGTATGTGTCCATAAATATCAAACTCTTTTTACTTTATTGTTGTACGTAAGATATTCTGGGAAATTTTGTGCGATATATGTATAAGAGAAAGCCAATTCCCCTCTCCAAAGTATCCATGCGTGCTGGATAAGGATTTTTCATTGTACTCTTTCAACAATGTAAACCAGATTGGGACAGATGATCAATTATCAAACCATGTATAAATGGCATCACACCAATAAAAAATTGAATACATACACACCAAAGTTGCAACATGCTTACCTTTGTGGAAGGTGCATCATTTAAACATTCAAATATTTTCGACACCAAACCATGAGCACGTAAATTAGCCCGAAATGCTGGTGTTGAGCATAGCTTTGCTACATCAAGAGCACTTAAACATCGAGCTGACATTGATAGATCTTTTCTCAAACCATCCAAAGAAAACTGGATATCATCTAGAAACTAAAGCATCCAGTAAGAAGGTGTTTGTAAAATTTCAAAAAACAAGGGTGGGACTACACATTAATGACAAATTAATGTTTAAGGTTTAAAGATAAATGTCAAAAGACTTCACAAATCTTATATGTCCACATGCTCTTCAAAAACATAATTTATTGTACATACGTACCTGTTGTGTTTCACCATCATCCAAACATTCCTGCTTATGTTTCACATTTTGCACAACTGTAAACAACTAAATGAATTCATAAAACATTTTACACAGTACTCAATGCCCTAGAGCACAACTGTAAACAACTAAATGAATTCATAAAACATTTTACACAGTACTCAATGCCTTAGAGCACAACTGTAAACAACTAAATGAATTCATAAAACATTTTACACAGTACTCAATGCCTTAGAGCACAACTGTAAACAACTAAATGAATTCATAAAACATTTTACACAGTACTCAATGCCCTAGAGTAGAGCTTAAATATTGTTAGAAAGAAGAAAATTCATAAAAACTTAAATTTCCTTATGACAAGCCTGTTTCATGATTTCTCACTCTTCATGGGATAATATGAGTGAGAAATCACATATAATATACATATATGTATATGGAAAGGATCTCCTCAATAGAAACATCAGTTATTCACTTGCCATGCATGGTTTTCAATTAGATTATACTAGGTTGCATGTGTTAAAACACAATAGAAATATTATAAACCATAATGTATGAGATAAAAACTAGCCTGCTAAAAAATGCTTGAGAAAAACCATGTAGAAAATGAAAGAAAATAGAAAATGACAACACATACAGATGATATAAAATATTCATATCAACTTACCTCCTTCTCATCACGATTTACTCTAACTCTTGAAGTGGAACCATTATTTGGTGATGTTTCCAATAGCTTTGCATCTTTTCCACCATCATAGTTTATGTCAATGATTGTTTCTTCCATCATACTTGTTGGCTAAAAGTCAACAAAATATAAAGTTTTTGTATATCAGCATAATCATGTATGATGATTCACAAAAAAGGATACATATGAGGAAGGGCATTTGAAAAGGTGACAAATATACATAGATGTATTGCTTGGTGGTTTTTCTAACAATTACATATGTACACTACAAAATTATCAAAATTTACCATGAATACATGCCCCTCCCCCACCCCCGAAGAAAAAGATATTTGAATATGTAGCTTTGTATGTATTGCTAAATCTACATATATAACGTTTCATGCTAATGTAACACCTACCAAAGCAGAAAATCTTCTATCCAATCTACTCTTCTTTGGAGACAATGATGTGATATTATTCTTCAGAAAATGCTTGAATGGTGACTACAAAAAGTAATAATTACTTCTAAGCATAAGGCAGAACTACCAAACACATTTAAGTGAGTACTACCATTAATAAGAGGTACTTTATGTACAAGACACAATAGATGTAGGTAGCATCTAGCAAGTTTGGCAAATGTATCAAAATATTTTCAACAGTGAAAATATTCCATCACATTTGGGCTTGACATCTAAGTTTTAATTTGTTTGCATTTAGGCAAGTGTAGAAGTAATCTTCAGTTTATTATTGAAGCACAGCTCCTAAACTGGAGAAATTGTGTTATGGAGCCAGTGTACAGTTTACAAACTTCATAGTGGGGCACAAGTTTTGATCTTCTGTCACATTTATTTCTGCAACATAACAGATTTGAAAGTTTGTTGTGTGCTCTCAAGATTTTAAGCATGCACATTTCAAATCTTGGGTGCACAATTAACAAACTTTCCAGTCTGAATTCAGTACATAAATGCTCTCTTCTTAAATATAAACAAATATTTATTTACATAAAAAACCTCAAACACTATCAACTTATCATTGTTTACCTGCTTTTTGCTGCCACCATCATCATTAGTATCACTCCATTCCTCAGTTTCTTTGGTGTTTTCAAATTCCCTTACGTTAAATGAAACTTTCTTCTCAACCTCATTTTTCAATGCTGTCTTTTGTGGTGATTTTAAACTACTTTTTACTGGTGAATCTAAATTGATAGAGGAACATTTTCCTAGATCATGATGGCTATCTATTGATTTTTTTTTCTCAAAAATATCCAAGTTCTTTACAACAACTGATGCATCTCGTCTTGAAATTTTATTTTCATTATTTTTATGTAAATAATCGTGAGAATCATCTGCTCTGAACCCAAATAAATCATCATCCAGTAGATCATGTAATTTCCGTTTATTGTTCATCACTGTCGGTCTATTCTTTTTCTTTACGTTAGCTCCACTTGCTTTGTCAAAATGAGTCACATTCTTTGTATTTATACGTTTCTCTTCGTCATCTTTGGCTTTCAACGCCATGTCAAATTCAATTTGGGCATTTCCATTGGAAGTTTTCTTTCGACTTTGGTAAGTGACTATACCGTATTTTGACATTTTTATAACAAATTTACCCTGTTTTAAAATAAAACAGTTTCAACCGCTGTTTAAATGACAAAGTACTTCTTCACAATAGTTCTTTACGAACTTTACTTGTAGCTGGTTAGGCCTTTGTGCGCATGACAAAACTGATCGCATAGTACGTGTTGACTGGAGCGCTTTAAAATCACAATATTCAAAAAAACTCAAAGCAAAAGTTAAAAAATCAAAATTGATTAATCAGTTCATCTTCTATAAATTTCATAATGTTTAAAGGCTAACCAACAATCCCAATTTCATTGAAAAAGTCATTTAAATTTTTATGTATGATAAGAACATATGTTATCATCCCATTCATTTGTATAATGGAAGTCCTGCAACAACACTTCCTTCAATACCACATTCATCAAAGCCTCGAAGTATTTTGAAATATCCTGAAATAGAATATAAAGAATAAGTAATTATGCAGTCGTACTGGTTGATCTTAAGAATGCTAAACTATTCATGTGCATAATAATTTCTGTGAATTCATAATGAAATATGCGGTTCTGTTTTTTGTGACACTCTGTAAATCACCTTTATCTCCCCAATCACAATTCCACGAATTTGCCACAAGCCTAAACAAAAAATATTTCATTGTGTTGATTTTCCATGACTATACTTAAAGTAAGTTTTGTTATGTACCAATATGGTGTTCCATCATCAACACCCCATCCAAGGATCTTAATCGCATGACTACCAAGTATAACTCCAGCCACATGTTTATAAACACCTTATAATACAAAAATACATCGCTTGATTGACAAATGCATGCATGGTGACAGAAGTATGGTTAAATAACTTTTATATTTTGCCATTTAAATAAAAAAAAATATTATCATAACAAATGTACTTGATGAAAAAAATGCCCTTCTTTATATCATAGTTTTAAGTGTAAATCTACCTGACTTATAGCTTGGAAAGTCAGCATAAACAGTAAAAGCAGCTTCAACTGGACCATTTTTCATAATTTCAATTTGAATCTGCTTTGGGCGACTCATCACAGAGTAGGCACGTGTTCCATGGTATTTATCAGAGTCATATGATTTTTCATACCCTATATGAAATTGTGTTAAAGTCTTGCCAAAATTATAAAAGAAAATGATCATACAATAATAGCATGATTTCAAAAGTGACAAAAATATTTTTGTTGATAGTATAATTACCAGGCTGACAAGTATGTCGACATGGAGGTGTTGGTAAAATTTTTTCACATGGTTTTAATTTCCCTTTAACATGATGGTCACAACTTGGTATTTTATAAGGTTGACATCCCTTGCTACTATTATAGGCACCACCAGTTACAATACCAATATTCACCCAATACTCCCTTTAAATACAATAAAACATAGTCATTCCACTTTATAACTTGAGCATTAAAGCAATTTCAAATCTACTAACCATGCAGCCAATGGAAAACCACCATTACAACTAAAAAGGTTTTAAAATAAAATACAACATAACAATAAACTACTTACAATGTTCATATGAATAATATCAAATCAGTGAATAACTTTAAGAACTTTCACATTCTTTATAGTAAGTAAAAATTACCCCATTCCACAAGATTTACAGCAGCTTACTAAATCCTCTGCAGACAAATGAGGTTTAACTTTGCCTTGGGAGTGTATACATATACGGTCTGTCATTGCCTCAACTGCTCCAAATGCCTGTAAGCAAAATTTACTTTTATTATAGCCTATGATTAAGACATACACCTCATTATAAAATTCAAGTTAAACTAACCCAACAACTACCACATGATCCTTGGTCACGAATTTCATTCAAGGAAGGACAAATATTACCCCATTCTTCACGTGAGTCAAACTCGTCAGGAAGGGGAGCATTTTCATGGGTTTTGTGTACATATACTATACAAAAAAAAAATAAACTTAGCAACATGCGTTGTGACTGCGCAGTAAAATATCAATGACATAATTCATTAAGTCATACTGATTATTTCTACATTCTTTAATTTACAATTCACTTTGAACAAAAAGAATGATAGCACAACGCTATAACCAACAACTACAAAAGCGTTGTGATAGCGTTGTGCTATCATTCTTTTTGTTTAATAACATTGCAACTATTTAACCTTGTAATTCACTTTGAACGACGCAAACCTACAAATGCTTACCTTATAATTGTTTGATCATACATAAAAAATTTGCAATCACATCTTACCAGGTAAACTGGGCGCGCTTTCATCATACATGATTGTTCCAAGAAGACCTTTCAAATAAAGTGGAGTTGCACCTTCCAAATTGTAACCGGCTTTCCATGTTGTCTTCAAATTATTTACGTACTCAATGATATCATCAGAGAGAGGTTCAAAATGCACCGGTATATCATGAGGATGAGATACACAACAACCCAAAATGACGAAGTAAATGAGCTTGGACAACATTTTCCCTTACACAACTTTCTGCCTGTGAATGTTAAGTATGTACAAAAAACCTATCTATAAATAATATACTTGACAGTCAAGTGACCAAGAAGCGCGTGACCAGCGTGTGATTTGTGTGCCCGTGATGCACCACGGTTAGTGGTGGACTGGTGGTGGACATGAATGACAAAGCCATAAAAAGGGTTTAGCTTGCATAATTAAATTTCGTTTAATTAAATATAACATAAATTTCTTAACACGCTGAATAGAACGAGCATAAAAAATATAAGATGCATCTAGGGCTATATTGACTTTTAACTATCGTTTTTGTAGCTTAAGCATTCTGCTTTTTTTATAGCTACAGGCAAGGCTGTGTCACCAAAAATTAAAACACGTCCTACCCATACCATGTTTGATAGGGTAATACATTTATACAAAATCAAATATAGCGTACTTTATACTCTTTTTGACTTCAAAATTCCTTTTTGCTTAGAATCATATTATTTATGATTTCATCATAAAAAATGTTTTCCAAATTTCACAGTGGAAGGCAAAAACCAGCAGCAACAGAAATATTGAAACCATTAGGACAAAAATTATGGTTTTTTGTAAACAATTGTTCTGAAAAAAATGTTGTTACAATTAATAGACTTGAAACAGTTACAATAAATTTAGAAGAAAATAAAGAAGATAAAAAGTTAATCACAAAAACTTTACTTTTTATTGCTACACGGATTGAGATAATCGTAAGGATATTTTCGTAGTAGATTCTGATGCATAACACAAAAACAAAAACAAAAACAAAAATGACATATTTTGAGAGGTATTTGAACTTAGTATTCATACGAATAAAATACATATTGCTTGTGAAAAATTTCTACTTTCTTCATGATTTTCTTACAAGAAAAACTTACAATTCTCTAGAGCACAATACGATCGGATCATATTGAAACTTTGCGTTGAAGTCAGCCAATCCGTTTGTTCTACGATCCGTCATCAATTTCGCGTAAATCACGGATTGCATACATTTATCTTTTGTCGGAAGATGTCGTAACACATCGTGTTTATAAAGCCAGCGCTAGTGAAACAATAGAATATCCAGCTATGAAGAAGATAAAATGAATGACTTTACATTCTACACTAACGTCAGTTAACTATACCGTGTCTTGTGGAGGGTCTCCTTCGAGTAAAGAAGGATAGTTAGGAGTAAATCCATACTCGTCATATTGCGGTAGATTGACAGCTGCATGACCAGCGGTACACATGAAGATGATGCACGTCAAAGTTTTCACAAGATCATCAAATGACTCAAATTTCCCCTGACCGGGGATGCCCTGAAAATCGATTAAAAGCAGTACTTATCAATATAAACTTAGGTATGTGGCATTCTTTATTCATCCATAGATATACCATAATACAACATTCAAGAAAAGAATTTGAATGTGGTAATACTTGTGAACATCAGTATTGAATGCTATGTTTATCCATCAACATACCTTTATACCACAGCCAAGAAAAGGATCAGTGTCCACTAGATCATGTCCCCAAGCTTGAACTTCAAAATCTTTTTTTAAGTAACTTACATCGTTAACTTCAAGAAAAAAGAACAATTGAATTACAGAAATCAAGCTCTTTACTTTCTAACACAGCTGCCAGTCTTTTACCATTGTTTGGAGTAGATGTTGAAATTTAAATCTTTATTTCGTACAGTCTCATATTTTTATCAAAATAAATGTGATGTTATAACTTCAGTGCCTACATACTACAATAAAGAGTCTTCATCAAGTGCGATCGAATGTTGAAACGTCAGTCCTTATTTACTTCATTCTGTGTTATCATCAGGTGTGATATGATGTTGAAACTTTCAACATGAAAGTTTATTATACAAAGTTTTTCTTCAGTGATGTTAACATATGTATTCTATTCTAATGCTTTATGTAAAGTTCACGTGTTCAACAAATGTCTATACAAATACTTACAATAGTTTTGTTGCACAATTCGTCGAACATAATTTTCAATTGCATTATGAATCAGTAACCCATCATCTCTGTAAGGATAATCTGGTAGGATTTTAGGATCCAAAACCTAAAAAACAGGTTTTACCATTAATATAACAATTGAAAGGATTTTCACGCAAGCCAAATCCTGAAGAAAACATCCCTGATGATCCACGTAACACCCTATCTGCCAAATCCTGAAGAAAACATCCCTGATGATCCACGTAACACCCTATCTGCCAAATCCTGAAGAAAACATCCCTGATGATCCACGTAACACCCTATCTGCCAAATCCTGAAGAAAACATCCCTGATGATCCACCTAACACCCTATCTGCCAAATCCTGAAGAAAACATCCCTGATGATCCACCTACCCTCACTATCTGCCAAATCCTGAAGAAAACAACCCTTATGATCCACCTACCTCCCTATCTGACAAATCCTGAGGAAGACATCCCTGATGATCCACTGTAATCATTCCCTATCTGCCAAATCCTGAAGAAAACATCCCTGATGATCCACCTACCCTCTATCTATATCTAAGATCCTAGAATGAATGAACAACAGAGAATGAGATCTTTACACTACCTCTCTGAGTGAAATCCTGAGGAAGACATCCCTGATGATCCAACCGCCAAGAAGGCTAGAGTTCCTGTACAACACTGATCATTCCAGAGACGCCGAGATTTGTACCGTTGTCCAACCAGCCATCGTATGATATAAGTTGATTTGTTATAAACTAAGATAACTCAGTGTAAATGAATGAATGAGAACAGTATCTTAAATAGAACGTTCTGTAGGTAGTGATGAATGAAGACGTGAGAACAGTCTTTACACTACCAACGTATGTCAATGTAGTGATGAATGAACAACAGAGAATGAGAACAATCTTTACACTATCTAAAATATAAACTAAGATAACGTGTGTCAGTGTAGGTAATGATGAATGAACAACAGAGAATGAGAACAGTCTCTACACTATCTAAAATATAAACTAAGATAACGTATGTCAGTGTAGGTAGTGATGAAAGTCTGTATAGATCGTATCAAAAAATACAATACAGATTGTATTTTTTGCAATCTACCTGTTGATTGGAATAACATACTGTATGTATGAGGCCAAAAGACGATAGATTGGGTGAGATGGCGAAAGTTGACGATGCGTTGCTATAGCAATACTTTCCAACACCAGATGACTAAAACCAAGATGTGTACGTGCTCTATGATATCCTGCATCAGCATTGTTAAACCACATCTTGGCAATAGTCCATGTGTATGGGGGATCAATGGGAACAAACACCTGTGGATTAAAGAGAAAAGGTCCAACAATTTTGGATCACTTCATAGCAAATGCTAAAATTGAAATGAAATGTATAAAAATATCCTACTGGATTATTCTCTTTACGAGAAGCAAATAGCTGAATGGCGATGGGAACAAGATCGCTGTTTTTATTCAAGAAAAATAAACCAAATGGACTGATTACCTAACATGAAGATAGACGTTGATCAATATTTCAACACACCATCATATCTGATGAACTCTTACCGTTCGTTCACAATCCACATCTGCTTTCTCCAATATACTAAAATCCACAATAAATAATCTGAACTATTTTAACGCCGATTCTAAAGTCATTCCCTCCAAAAATGGACGAAGCAAGTCTGAAGTAACACGAAATCTGAAGAAATATTTAGAGATACTTGTAGTCAACATTAAATAAATCTTTCTTAAAACGGATGACGGAAATTCTTTTCTATAGGTTTATATAATAAAATTTTCATGGTTTTACATGTAAGTCACAATTATTGAAGTAATAAAAAGAAAACGACTTACTCCTTTGGTATGTTTAAACAAAGTTTTATTACTGAAGGATTACATCCAGCCAAACGTTGCCGACCAAAATACACATCATCCATCCAGAGATTTTTTGACTAAATGTAAAAGATGGCCGTCTCGGTACGGATTACAGAGACAACCATATATGTCAAAATACTCACGTAAGGCTCCCCTAGCATTCTGTAAACACGGTCAAATTCTGAGAAATCATTCCAAGGGACTTTATCAAACGTTGCCAAATTATATCTAGCTAACAACTTGTCTCGACGAAGGCCAATATCCCACTAAAGGCATGTATAAGTATAGTTAGTATGTTATAATATGCACTAAAGTATAATGAAGCTCAAATTTTGCCTTGTAATTGGTGCTGAACACTTCATCCTTTGGAAACTTTTTCAACTAAAAATCAAAAAAGAATACACTTTTTACTTTCCCTCACTTTGTCTAATCCTTATGTCAAATATCCTTTGTGTTGAGAAAACAATAAATTGAACTTACTCTTGGAGGCAATCCAGAAATTCCTTGACAATAACGATACTTTGAACGTTTAGAAAATAACTCTGCATTTCTTTGGTGAGAGTTGTTATCCAAATTCGGCAAAATCGAGTCATAAAGACTTAACACAATCACCTTGTCATTCCGTATCCATCGATGACAAGGAAAAACTAACTTTCCTTCAGGTCCTGCCATCTTGTGATAGCGAACCTCTATTATTTCCACGTACCATTCTACAATTTTTTGTTTCGTCTCTTTACGTAATAATTGTACTTTCTCCACAGTGCCAAAATTTTGTGGTAATTTCGTGATGTAAAATGAATCAGTTTGTCCTCTTTTGAAAACTGTCAGAGAACAACCTTGAAGAAGTAACTCCTCTTTTTACAGCCAAACTGATCAGTTAATTGTATGTAAGCCGTATCATGAAGGCCACTATTAGTTGTATCTCCTGTTTTTATAGACACAATAATACAAGGTGGTAAAATGCATTCCATACAACGAGTTAATGACTTTATACTATTACCCATATTGTTGATGTTGTAGTCAAGGATGTTTTAAAGTTTCCCTAACAAACCGTTTCCACTATCTCTGAAAACTTATCGGAAAACGAAGTTGCTATCTTCTTGATGTCTACTCTATAAAATAACTATCACATGTAATGATTACAAAACTACAGCGTTCTGGAACATTTTTTACAAGTATGACGAACAAAATTATGACGTATATATATCAAGCCTTAAGCATTTGATGAATATAAGAGCTTTATCCAATGCTACCATGGCCAGAAGTCAAAACATGAAATGATTAAAAAATGCCACTTTTCGCTAAGTATATTCACAGCATTTCGCTTACCACAAATAATAATGTTGTTTTGTCCTATGCACAACAGGTGGCAAAAAAACCATATTAAGTATAATAAAAAATTGTCCATGTATAATTGACCTTCAAAATGACGTGTTCAACAGGTTTTCAATATATTTCTCATATTCAACTAGAAATACAGCCAATTTACTTACTTTGAAATTTAAGCAACAACTACTTTGAGTTCATACATGCATGCACAAAAATTGTCATGAAAGGAAGAGTCCGCGATTTGGAGTCCATTTTGACTTGAAAACCACGATGTGGATTTACGAGCTTGAAATTGGTACAGTGATTCTCAAAGTAGGATTTGGACTTCATAATTTAGATAACATTATCCTCAAACTGGATCTGGATCTCGTGAGGTAAATCTCGAATGACGTCGAACTCGTAACGTCATTGGGTGTGAAAAATAATCAACTAGCATTTACATAACTAGACTATACAATCATTCTTAATTATAAAACTCTATATTACAAAACCATGATCTGTCACTTAAAAAATGCTTTTCAATATTGTATTAATGATTTGCAGGTGTATTAAGATTTGTACTTTGTCGAAAATGACGTCACCGAGACGTCATTCAAGTTTTTCCTTGTTCATGGTTAATAAGACATTTCTCTACTTGAACTAGACAGTGATGACTTTATGGTTTTACTAATACTGTAATGGTTGAGAATTTCAACCATGCACACAGCACCATGAAAATGAAAGAAAACTGCCACTGGATAGACAATGTGGGAAAGATAAAACCAAACTTTCTCAGTATAGAATTCTTCTGCAATTTGTAAAACTTTATGAGACTTTTTCACTTCAAAAGTATACAATCCCCAGAAACAAATGTTTAATACAAATAGAAATGAGACAACCTCCCGAATTCGTGCTGCAGACTTTGTTACATCTTGATTGCTTCTTTCACAAACAAAATAGTGCTGTAAGGCTTTGCGAACAAACACAGTAAAAGCTATGGATGCAAAAACCTCCATAGCATTGGTAACAATCAGAAAAATTGCCATTTTTGTGTTCTCACTTGCTTCGCAAATGCTGGCCAGAATAATTAAAAAGTCAAGAAAAAATACACCAACTAAAGAGATAGCCAGAAGTATGAAATCAACATTTGTGTGGGTCTCTCCAGCTTGCTGTTGATTATTAACTTCATAAATGCCAATAAAAGATGCAACAAAAACAGACAGAAAGAAAAAAAACTGCATTCCCACATAAATCAGACCATCACATACTTCATCATCTGAATACAAAAGATTAACAACTACACCTGTAAATACAGGTATATAAACTAACCCAAGAATAAATCCAAAACGCCACAGAGTACCCTGTTCAGTCATAATCTCTGGTATTTCAATCTCATCCCAAGTTTCTTCGCTACCAATTTCTTCTTCTATGTTAGATTTTGACTTTCCTCTCAGGTGACCATCTTTTCTTTGTCTTTCACCACTGATACTTCTATAACCTGTATCATCCCAGCTTAAACTAGAATGAGAATCAGAAGTCTCCCTTCTCTCTCTATTCTTGTGCTCATCATGACCATTGTCATTTCCCTTAAGAGATAACCATGCATTCAATAACAAACCAGCAGATATCAGACAATATTCCATTGTAAAAGTATATAAATAAGGTTGCATTTTTTTTGCCGTGTTTTCCAAAGCCTCTACATTCTTCAAACAGCTTGTTAAATTTGTATGATTCATAGCGACATCCCAATGGTCTGACATAAATTGAATGGTAGAGTTTTTGATAGGAGACAAGTGAGCTTTCTTATTTGCACTTAGTTCTTCGGCACTGTCATAAATAAATGTGACGATCCATGTACCCAAGTTCACAGCAATTAAATGCATCATTAGCAAATGGCCAAATATCAACACTTTCTCGGAATGACTTGACAGTTTATAGAGAAAATACAACTGAGTATAGATGAATATGGTACGTACAACATAATATAATAACATACTTAAATCCTTTTTTGGACAGTCGTATTTTGCGATATTCTCAAGCAACTCGACCATGGATATGAAGGAGCTGCCAAGGCCAAAGAACATCACACCAATGAGTAATCGTGTTGGTACAAGTTGTACATGAGATTCAACATGAGTATCTAACCATTTCCATTGATGCTTTCGTTGAAAATATTTTGAGCTAAATATAATAAATGAAGCCATCCAAACAATAGAAATAAACAAAATCACGACAAGATATCGGTAAACGGGTCCATGTCCGACCCGTAGCCCGTCTTCATCTGTTTTAACTTCGGCAGCGACTACGAAAATAACAGCAGATACAAAAAGACAAGCGACATATGTTACACTAATATATCTTCTTGTTGTATAACTACAGCAGCCACGTTGACGATTTCTTTTATCTTTTACCAAGTATTCTAAGGATGTTGACAATAGTGTTTTGTCACCACTAGCCTGTTCATTTTCTTCAAAAGCGGAAGAGCGTTCGTGTTGCGTTTCTTCAATAACAGACATGTTTGATATTTGTTCACGACAAGGATTTGATCAACTTAAAAACGACAAACGCCAATATAAATAAGTTCTCACCTACGTTTGCATCAAACTGAAATACGGCCTTTTTCCAACAATCATTTTAACCAAAACATGCTTTCATTTTCCAAGAAATAGATTAATTAGTGTTTTCGAAAGTCGGTACTTCCCCGTATCAGTTTCCACGGAAATTGATAAGCTTGTCCACTTCCGTTACAAAGTTCTGATATTTGTCGTGAAAACTACTTCCAGACATACAGTACTGTAAATTCATACCTGTGCTTTCAGATATTTTTATTTTCGTTCATAAAGCTTGAACGGAATTTAATTAAAAAAAGATTAATTATTTCTGTTTTAAAAACTATTTCGGTGACCGGTTAAATTTATCAGGAAAAATCTCAGAGAAAATTTACATTACCCATCAATATTCATTGTATATTTTTTAATGATTAGCAATTGAGGTTACGAATGAAATTATTCGGAAATTTTATGAAAAAGAATGAAATTTAAATTGGAAATTAAATCCATAAGGTCCTATCATTAATTAGCTAAACCTCGATTAATTTACCATAAAAATACGTTAGTAACTAGTAACTAGTTCATTTGAAATTAAATTTACTACCTACACTTGGAGTAAGCAACTTACATTTACGATAGTTCTCCAATAGGTGCGCTGTCTAGCCAAAGATTGTGCATAAATACATACAAACTATCCGTTATAGAAACCTTAAAGAACAAATATATAAAGATTAGGAGCTTTAAGGTGAGGAAGTGAAACCAAATCATAAATCATTTTATTTACCTTGTATGGTGTTGGATTTAGCGATCTTAAATGATCTGTTCGAAAATTTTTTAAAGAATGCACAACATGTGATTTACAATCCTCTATAGATGCAACAGATTCTTGTAGCTGATCAAAAAAACGTTTTTTGAAAAAAACATTGCACAGAGATTTAAAATGGATTGTTTATTTATCCTTTGTAAAGGAAAGTTGGAGATGAAAATCAGAATAAATTTGTTCATTCTGTATGACTTGGTAGATCTATCTATCAGTCGTGCACGTTTTTATAAGTATGGATAATCTCTTACAAATGTAGACTAATAAAGATCATGCGTTGAAAATTGCCTATTGATGTAGTACAAGAGGGTTTGGTACAGCATTCATCCTTATAAAAATTCATTACAGATTTATATCCTAACCTTTCCATCTTTCCAGTAAATTTTATACAATTTCTCAATTCTTGAAGGTGACACCCAAGCTCGCTTGTTCTCAAAAACAGGATGACGACATAAAATTCGAGAGCCAACCTTCGGCGCATCTTCTGTGCTTCTTGTCATTAAATCTACGAGAGCTTTACCTAAAAAAACAAAATAAATGTTTGAGTACTTTTTCTAAAAAGATATAATTCATTGCATTGCTCTTATTTCTAGAAAATACGTATTTATTAAGATAAGATTTTACATCACCAAAATTGTGTGGCTGTCTCTTACCGTCATGTCCATACAAGCGATAAAGATTTTTTTCCCCGGGAATTGACACCTTCGCCACATCTTCACTTAACTTCATTCGAGGACTACCAGAAATTTCAATCAACTGAAAATTTTGATTTGATAATCAAATCCTACTTAGACTGTGATAAAACTTTTAAACGGATCAAAATTATGAAGAAAGAAAATGGTGGAAAGACGCACAACATTTCATTATGAAATCAAGTCTTACTTTAAAAACACAACCAAGGGCAGGTTGTTTCTGACATGTTACTAGATGTGTTCCTATACCAAAAGCATCAATGCTATGTCCCTGAAAATAATTCAAATAAATTATTTTCAGGATGCGTGAAGTAAGATGGTACAACAGTTAACAAAAATTCTTCCATACGGTTGTGATAACACAACTTGTCGTCAAGATTTGTGTTTGTGTTAACACCATTAAAACTGAATGTTAAGGAGGAAGCTTGCAGGAGTTCTTGAGCCATAAACAGTTAAATTAGCTACAAGTTTTGAAAGTCAAGCTAAATTTCACTTTCGTTAACTCTCTTTTAAAAAGTGCCTATCGAGTAAACAGCAATATCCAAGCTTTGTCCACCACTACCCAATATCACAATGTTGACACAGGAAGAAACGGAAAACTCTGTCGTGTTTATACTGATCAGAGTAAAATATTTTACTTTAATGATACAAACCTGTTGATTCAATGAAAGAAGAGTGTCTTCTTTGATGTCGTTACTGGCGACTATGGTCGCACTGGCAAACCATTTCACGTTAAATCTAACGAATAATTTACACCTTTAAACAACATCAATAATACAAGCACACAAGATGTCAAAATCATGTATGATGGTGGTGGTGTTGAAACTTGAATCATTATATATTCCAGTCAAGTGTCTTCATCAGGAGTGATCTGATGTTGAAACTTGAGTTCTTATAAACTTCAGTCTAGTGCCTTCATCAGGAGTGATCTGATGTTGAAACTTGAGTTCTTAAATACTCCAGTCAAGTGTCTTCATCAGGAGTGATCTGATGTTGAAACTTGAATTCTTACATACTCCTGTTTATTGCCTTCATTAGAAGTGGACTGTTGGACAAATGAAAAAAACTTACCTATCAGCTACAAGTTTAAATATCTTGCGCACTTCGCGTGATAGATATGCTAGATCTCCTGAATCTAAACGAATTCCTATCGCTTTATATCCAAACTCATTGAGAGCTAATGCAACAGCACAAAAATTTGGCAATCCACTCCTAAAAAATAAATGAGCATAAATTTCCAGAAGACATTTCAATCAGACAACATTTGATGAAACTAATTTGTTGTTTATTCACTTTATTTAATACTTCTCGTGCACACTTTTACAACAAATGAGAAGACAATTATATATCATTTCTACATCATGTACAAACCTCAACACATTGTATGTATCAACTAAAGCAAGAAATTTCTTTGGAAATGCAACAGCATAAGCACTAAAACCAACAAGTTCCCCAACATTTGTTTCTGATTCAACAACTTTCAAAAGAGGTGCTAATTCTTTTAGCCATTTAACAACTTCTGGATAAAAATCCTGTGGTGGTTTTGTTTCATCAGAAGGTTGTAGTTGCCCTATAACGCTCTCTTCACTGGCATTAAACGAGGAAACAAAAGAATGTGCATGGGTGCCTTTTATTGGTACACCATACAGCATTCCCGCCATAACATTGCTTGTACCATCAAAACCTATAGTAAAATTTAAAATAGAGACAAAAAAGGAAGTGTTGATCCTAAACGCTGAGGTTTCTTGTATGAGCAAATTAATTCTCAAAAAATTCCCATGCTATCTATTAGTGGTGGGTCTGTGACAATCGATTATGTTTTTTCATTCTCAATCAATTCCCACCACTACAGTATCTATTTTAAACTTCTTTACAAATATGTCAAAAAAGTTTGGAATCATTCCAAACATTTTTTTAGTTTATCCTTTTTTATGTAAATGTTTTACGTTTTTCCAATAGTACCTCCAACATAGGCATATTTTGATGCAGACAATCCACCATTAGGCCCTTGTGCCCTACGAAGCCCAAACTCAAGTAATGTCTTGTCTTGGCCTGCTGCCAATCGAAATCTTGCTGCATTTGTTGCAACTAAACTGAGAAAAAACAAATGGAATAAAAAATCATTTGCTTCTACAGATAATAAGTCTTTGACTATCCTACATAAAGCTGTGGTACAACATCTTTTCTCGAAAACTATAAATTCATTGATTTATTTGTGACTTAAATAAACCTGTTCTTAATGAAATGTTTATTTATTGAAATACATACACACAAACCTGGCATAGTTTACCAAATTCAGCAAAGTAGTTTCCATAAGTTGGGTAACTAGCAAATAGAGAAATAATGGATTAAACTTTCTTTTTTAATTGTGCAACCCCCAGTTAAAGTATACCTGCTAGAGGTCCAGAGACAACAATCATTGGCTCTCTAGGAAAAACTACAGAGCCTTCCTTAATTGATGAAATGGTGACATTTGATGTGTTTAGCTGTTTGAAGAATGTGTAAAACTCTTCCTCTGTTGTTTTAGGAAAGACATTCCTCAGATAAGCAATGTCTAAACAAAAGACACAAGATAAACTCATCTTGTCATTCTAAGGTGTTGCTACTAGCACCACAACAAACCATGGTAGACTGTATGGCAGACCATGTAAACATTTATGGTAGACTGCGGCCAGGCATGAAAGCATTATAAGTCAAGTTACTTTTTTATTTCACATAACATATTGATTAATTCTCATTTATGACAAAGAAAGTGTAACTAATTTATATATCTCGTTTAAATGGTATTCAGCATACTGTCACTTCTGCAAAACGTAAGTACCTTCATAAATTAAACACAATAACGTCAAAAGCTTGGTTCACCTTCATCAGTTATCTCGAAGTTCTCGACATATTTCAAGCATTCGTGAAGTCCAGCAAATATTGTAAATTCACCATCAAACGGATTCTTTCTGAAGAACAGATCAAAAGTAGCTTTATCGTTTTGTTTCCCGCTTTTCCAATAACCGTATACCATAGTGATTTGATATAAATCAGTAAGCATTGGACTACATGGTCCATATGAGCAAAAATTTTTCGCACTCTTCGACATTGTCCCTTAATTCACTTCATTCAACTTTCACTATCGTTTTCCGCATGACAGTTCGTTGGAAACACTAGGAATTTTGAAAGTAAAAAAGGAAAAGCTTTCTAAATGTGAAATCACCCGCTTTTTGCTTGCTTAACATAATCATTCCCCCCGACAGGTAAACATCCATTAATTTACAACTATCATACATGTGTATTAAACACTTGTAAAGGTTGTGGACGTTGCAGCAACGAGAAATCATTGGAAACGAGTAACAAATTGTAAGTGGTAAAGATACAGTCCTTTTTAACAAAATCACTTTCAAACTAGTTTATGTATCAATATTACACTTAACGAAATACAAAAAACTTTAAAAGTATGAACTTAATAATTCTTAAATTCAATAATTCTAAATTTTATGACATGGAATATTTTCATTAAAACTTAATTCAGGCTAGCAGTCATAAAAGACCTTATTGTCTAAGCTTGTCTTGTTTATCATGATTCCATAGAGGTCCAAACTGACTGACTGATGACACAACATTTGCATAGCATATGGCAATATGGAAATAGAAAAACAAGCAAAGTGGAAGACAGACATGAGAAAGCCCAAACCATGAATACCGACCAAAGTATTTCTCTCCAATTGTTAATGATGCTGATGTGTTTCGAAGCTCATATGTATGTGCAGCCCAATAAGCAATATTTAAAACAGCAGCAAAGGAAGCAAACTGTCTGATTCTCTGAGAAGCTATTCCAACTGTTTTATGACCCACTTCTGGGAGTTTATACTGGTATGCCTTCTTAATAAAGCAAAATTGCGAGAAAAAAGAAAGCAACTCGCACATTTTACAAATGGCATACCACAGCACTTGAACAGTATCAAAGTTTTCAATCTCACAAAAGGCAGCAAAAATAGATGCCAAATCGAAAGCAGGAAAACCAAGAAAGCCAGAAATCCCTAGCAAAATTACTTCTAACTTCATTCCCCTTTTCTTCTTTACAAAACCTTGCTTTTCATCTATCAAAGTTATGGAATAAAAGCAACAGGACAACAATAAAATAAAAAATACCCCCTTCAAGACAGACAGCAAAACCTTTGTTGCAGTAGGTTTGGAGTTAAATTCTTCATTCATGAAATATGCAAGAAAGACAATGGGAATTGCCATTAACCCAGCAATAAAACCCAGTCTCCACAATGTCCATGTTTGTTTATTAGGTTTAGGGACTTTAGGAACACGCCTTCTAGTAAGCATCCAAATATGCAAAAGTAAACCAGATGCCAGCAAAGCATATTCCATTGAAAATGTGCTTATATATGGTGAAAGGCCTTTAACCAGTGAATGAAGCTTGTAAGCATGATAACTTGTTAAACTTCTATTGCTACAAGGATCATCATTTTTAATACCAAAATAATAATGATTCAACCAAGGAACATCCTTTAACTTTGGGTTGTTTGAGACATCACCAAAAAATGCAGAAGTCCAGATACATAAATTTGTAGCCAATGTAACCATTACAAAAAAAACTCCACCAGAAAGAAAAGAATTACGAATCCCATCACGAGAGAACTTGTAAAAAAAGTAAATTTGGAAGTATATAAAAGCAATTTTAAAACATGGATAAATACCATATACATAGCTCAGTCCCTTCACATGTTGACTGCACTTTATGTAGTCAAGCAACATCAACACCTGTGTTGTTGCACTTACAGTTCCAAATATACCAACACCTGTTAAAAGATGTCTGGGAATCAATGTACCATCATGTCGTCCTGGATTGCGGAGTTTATGAGGGATAACTGCAAATATCATCCAAATAATGAATATTGATATCAATAACATTATGTATATCAAAACATGTTTTGGTTTCACTTCATCTCCACTTGGATTAGTTCTCAAATTTGCAGCAAAAACCATCACTATGCCAATAATGACTAGAATTAGACATGAGAAGATACTGGCCATTGGTTGAGATAGAATTTTCAGCAAGCTTTGAAAATTTACACAACGTCTTTCAACCACGGAGAGTTGGGAACTCTGAGGTGGAACAGATCCATAGTTGACCCTCATTCTTGGAAAGAATTGTGCGGCTTCACTAGCTGTATCGTCACTTGGTTCATCGTTAGAATTTGGTGGTCGAATCAAAGGACTTCGTTCATTTCCTGAGATTCCCGAAGTCATTTGACTTTTGCTTCTTGCTGTGCTATTAGATGAAATCTTCCCGCGATCGTTCGCAACGCAAACCAATTTTCTTCCACTCTTATCGTCACAGGAGAAAATCCCATCTATTTTATTCATTCTTCAACTGACAATTGTTTCTAAAACAAAGGAATGTACCTTTACACGATAGCTGTACTTAAGAGGAAGTCATATGAACTATGTGGCATTAAAAATCAGTGGGAAATGATGTTGAAACAATTGTACATATTTTAAACGTAATTTACATTACAGTAACTTGTCAAACCTCTTTTTTTAAGGAACAATATTTTGTTATTTTAAACTTGGAATAATATTTTGTTTTCTCGCTCAGCAATGGAAAGACATATATAAGCGCCAGTATTCTGAAGCTGACCGAATGCTCAACACATCACTTCATTGACAGCAAAACAAACTTACCGAGAATCGAAAACGAAAGCGGAAATCGCATTTCGCCGACAACAAAAAACATGGGAAATAATGGCTAAAGATGAACCCAGAAAAAATGTACAAATCATGCAGTGACATTGACAAGTGATAATTCATTTATGACAACTAACAATAAATCTTTTTTACGAAATTAAAGGAAATAGCAATTTTTCATTGAAAAGAAAGAAAACCATGCATGCATAGTAAAACAATTAAAACTTTCAACATTCCAGTTATAAATGCTACAACTCAACATGGTGATCTCTTATACAATCTGCTGTGAACTCTTTGCACAAAAATTGGTGCAAATCGCCTCTTATTCGAAATTCATGGTAAACGTCATCCTCTCCAACATCTCCAACCATTGTCAAACACTTTTCTCGTAATCTTGAACAAAAAATTCAAATTTAGCAACAATACTATTTGGGTGGGAAATCAATGGGGAATTTTATGGAATGTGCAAAAGAATCAAAAGTAATTTTGGTTAATATTTTATTTCTTACAACACAACAAACACTTCCCAATACGTCATTTCCTATCTAAGAAACATTACTGTGTGGGATGATTCAATTGCATGAAGGAAGTCCACAGCTAAGGAGGAAGACGGCTGCTGTAGTGCTAAAGTCCTTCCTTTTCACGATTGCTTTATTTTACAAAACAAGTGATAGTACCTGTTTGGCCATTTACCACCACCTTGCATCATACCAACAGCCTCCTTTGCTTCTAAGCCCTCTCCACTCAGTCGATTGATTCCATTCACTGTCTTGATACCATAACTTAAGAAAAAATATAGAATATTTTTTTCCTCAAGAAACTCAACACTGCAATTTCAGTCTTACTTTTCCCAGGCATTTTCACAAACATCTTCAATGACATCCAGATACTCTGACTCTACTAAACCTTTTTTCTTCGAAGATGGTTTTTTTTCTTCAGCCTGTCTAAGATGACTTGTCAACTGTTGAACACAAGAAGATGTTACCATACAGCTATGTAAATTGTAATGAATGTGTTCAGTTAACTAAAATCATTGGATTTAACAATGAAGCAGAATTATCTGAAATGAAATATACACTTAACATCTCTAATATCTCTATTGTATTCTTTTTCAGTATGTATGCAGAAAATAAAATGAAAGTTTATGAGACATCTCTCTAACCTGATAAGACACGGCTGTACAAGCGTCGCATCGCATTTCAAAAGAACTTGGTATATGCATTGAATGCTGCTCTTCTTCATTCATTTTTGGAACTTCAAAACGCATCGGCTCTCCTTGCTGAGCGACAATGACACTTATGCTCAACAAGCAGGTCATAAATGAAAACAGCAATGACATAATGATAGTATGCTTTACACACAACTAAAAGTTTATCGCGATTCAGTGGTAACGAGGAAAATGCCTCTGCTACTTGCAAAGCACCTATTTAAGCATTTAAATTTGCATTTTGAAATATTATCTTGAATAAAAAATGAAAATAAAACACGATGTAAAACGCAATGTGAATTTTCAATTAACAAGGTTGTCAAGTGAATAACTGAACTCATATATAATACCTGGACTAATCTGAGTTGAACTGATATTGGGTTAAAAAGAATAGCTACAACTGTATTAAAATTCGTTTTGCATGCATAAAATCTGAAAGTTTCTTCTACTCTTTCAGATAATTCAATAGTGCGTACTTTGCTCCTTATTGATCATTAAGATCTTCGGGATCTTTTGGAAAATTTATGTGACAACTTCACAAATCATCAAATCACTGACGGACGACTTCTAGATATATAAATAAACACTTTGCAGCGTTTACTTTTCCGGAGAAATGTTTAAATAATAGGTTCTTTTTTACGCCCAAGTTCCCTCTCTTCAGACAGGTGATAGAGACTTTGAAATGACAGACTGGCGCACCATGGTTTCATCATGTGTTAGTTAAGGTCGTAAGTTGATTTAAAAATCTTTGGAAACAGAGATATCTTAAAAATACATTAAACACAGTAAACATAATCGACTTTCGCTAAACGGCATTTAAATCCATGTATGATAACATCAAAGAAAGACATCAAAGGAAGACTGTTGTAATGAGAAGCACAAGTATCTTCGTTTTATCGTTTCAACAACTGAACATAAATTAAGATGTCACTACCTTTGTGGAAGATAACAGCTGTCTTTCGTTGGTCTTTTAGGTGGCCAAACGTTTTCTAAATAGCCAATTAAGTTGGAAAGAGATTCAGCGTTGCATTAACATTTTCAAAAGTATTTTCTGGTTTTGAGCACCGTTTATAAAGTGTGTTATCTGTTTTAATGGCAATGTCGATTGTTTTACTCACATACTAACCATTTTTATGTTTTTATTCGTTTTCCATCTTTGATACACAACAAGAAATGAAAAAAATACAAAACAGAAACAAGAAAATACAAAACAGAAACAAAATGCAACAGGGAATTATTACCATGATGATTTTTCTATCAGGATTGTATAAAAGAGCTGAAGAAAACAAAAAATCACTAATGACAACTCTTTCACTACGCGTAGCAATAAAATATTTTGATTGAAATGTAGAACTTAAGATTGTGTTAATATTGAAAGAAAAAAAGCAAAGTTTGATATCTTCACATAAATTCATTCAGCCTAGTTCATTCAAGCTACAACAAAATAGTCTGCATTTTACAACACCAGAAAAAATCATTTTTCATCTATTATAGTTACAGGCTGTGGATGATAATCAATACTTTTACATTTTGTACAATTCAAAGTCGTTTTGTTGAAATAAGAATCTGCATTACACTCAAAAATGAAAAATGATTTCATTGATACAGTCAAGATGGTTGACTGTCCCATTTTCGGCTGTAACAGTACCATTGCGACAGGCAATGCAACCAATTTGACCATAGTGTGGTTGGTAAAAATTAACTGGACAGTATTCACATTGGTGGGTTTGAAATGAGTAGAATGAACCAGCAGAACAATCTGGAAAAAATACTAAAATTTTATTTTTTATTTACAATTACTTTGTGCGTGTTTTTTTGAGAGAGATTCTCTTACTTTGTATACAATCTTCGCTGTTTTTACTTGAAGTATTCAAGGTAATTCTTCCATTAGGACATTCAATACATTCAGTTTTTGCCATCTCAGGCTGATATGTATGAAGAGGACATTGTTTGCAAACTCCACTTCTTTTTTCAAAAAAAGATCCCATCGGGCAAGCTGTTTATTTAAAAATAAATTATTCAGTTACTTTCGTTTTCGTTCAGTTGAGAAGTCATAACAATGGAAGATACAACTGGACTGTCTTTATCCATAAGTTGTTGTACTTCTTGCACAAGGTATACTCAGAATATCAAAAATTACCTTTTACACATTCTTGTTCGCTAACTGCACCAACATTGATGGTGGTTTTACCATCATTACAGGTAAGACAACGAGTTTGTTTTGTGTGTGGTTGATATGTAGAGGTAGGACATTTTTCACATTTCTTACTTAGAAATGAAAAGAATGAACCAGTGGAACAATCTATAAAAAAGATTATTAAAAATGAAACGTTGATTGACAGTTGAAAGTTTACAACTGATTGTATTCAATATCTTCTTTCTTATATTTAAGTTAACGATGAACAAAATAAAAACTTTGAATTTAGAGACACAAAAAAGCCCTAGCAAGGAAAAGGAACACTTACTATAAGTATCATTAACAATGGCCAAGTTCGGTATTGTGTCACAGCTTCCAGGAGTAAAAGCAAGATTATCTAGAGCCATAAAATTGCCAAATTCTCTGACACTTTCAATGATTAACTATTTAAGTAAAAATGAATAAATTAGGTTTCACAAATTAACAATAGTTAAATAATTCGTACAGTGAATATGTCTAATTTACCAACCCTAGATAGACCCATGGTAAAATTAACTGTGATTTGACCTTTTTTCCACTTGTTTCCTTTATCACCACTTAATGACCACAGTAACAAGTATTTCTTGTACAAAAATTCTTGGTAAACATTCAATGCAATCCCAGAATGTCTGCCACGCATATAATACGAAAATGAAAAGCACGTGACAGAATCGTTGCGATAATTTCCTACCAACCAGGCTTTTTCTCCTACTAGACTGCCTCGTCTTTTTGAAAAGAGATATCGTCCTATAACACAGACAGAAACGTAAGATATACGTAAAGCTTACGTCATAAAAGATACAAAATGCAAAGTTTTCGATAAATCATTTCTCTAGGTTTCCCTGGTCGCCCGTTCAAATTTGCCATTTGTCTTTAAAATTGGCTAAACACAAAACAGAAATCTACGGTTTAAAATATTGTGAACATGACCCATTAAATATTTCTATAATGCTGCCCATTGGACATTAAATAGCCTTTAAATAGACGGAAAAATCAATTTATATATAGATCATTATAGAATAATTGCAGTAGCATCTTCTCACTTTAACGATGAAGATTTTGACAAGGATACTTGGATTATTGAACTTTTGAGTTTAGAATTTCTAAATTTCCTCGGATATGACCCTCTACTATATACTGCCTTCTTTAATAAATAATACTTTGTAAAAAATCGTGTGACTAGCATTGCAGCAAATGAATTCTTCACACGGTAAAGTCTTTTAAATTCTGTCCTATTTTCATATGTCAAGCTTTGCAAGTGAACTCAACTGTCAGATTGCAAAACAGACGCCTCCCTCTTTTATGTCCAACCTTTTAATACACAGCCCCACAAATTTCCTCAAAATCTAATAAACGTGAATTTGAGGTAATAATACCACGTGCTAGTTCTATATGCAATGCCTCTTTCCCATAAATTACTGTCAACTTACCACTGCTGGAGCCTGTAGCATCATAACGTGGTGCCCCAGATGGTAAGGATAATGAGCTTAGTTTCCAGTCAAAGTCATCATCACCTTGTACGTTGCTCCATGGACATACAGTCGTCCCCAATCCCTTTTGAAAATCACATCTTTCAACTAAACGAAAAAGAAATCAAAATTTCAAAAGCGTGTTAGGTAAAAAGATTTAAAACCACGGAGCCATCGTTTTTGATCTTACTCTTCATTAGTTTCAATGTAACATTATATTAAACACTCACAATGAATAATCGAAACCATTACCTTATTATTATTCAATTGCTTGTTGCGCTCAAATCTGCATGCAAACAAACATCAACATGAACTGGTTGGCTTATTACATCTATAAAATTTTATTCATTAGCAATAAAGTATAACTCACAATATCGAAAATTACCTTTTATACATTCTTGTTCACTAACTGCACCAACATTGATGGTGGTTTTACCATCATTACAGGTAAGACAACGATATGTAGAGGTAGGACATTTTTCACATTTCTTACTTAGAAATGAAAAGAATGAACCAATAGAACAATCTATAGAGAAGATTATTGAAACGTTTACTTTGACTGACAATTGAAATTTTCCTTTCCATATTATCTAAGTCAAATGTGAATAAAATAAAAAGTTTTAAACTTTCTAGACACATAAAGAAGCACTAACATAGAAAAATTACCGTAAGCATTAGTAGGAGTGGCGATCTTCGGTATTGTGTCACAGCTTCCAGGAGTAAAAGCAAGATTATCTAGAGCCATAAAATTGCCAAATTCTCTGACACTTTCAATGATTAACTATTTAAGTAAAAATGAATAAATTAGGTTTCATAAATTAACAATAGTTAAATAATTCGTACAGTGAAAATGTATAATTTACCAACCCTAGATAGACCCATGGTAAAATTAACTGTGATTTGACCTTTTTCCACTTATTTCCTTTATCACCATTTAATGACCACAGTAACTCAATGTATCCATTATAAAAATGTTCTAGATATATATTCAATGTCCCAAAATATCTGACATGTATGTAATACGAAAATAAAAAACACGTGACAGAGTCGTTGCGATAGTTTTCCATCAACCAGACTTTGCCTGGTAAAGGGTATTTTCCTTTAGAATAGAGATATCGTCCTATACATGAAAAAATATAAAATATTAGTAAAGAATGCTCATAATAAATAAAGAATGTGTATATTTGATAAACCGTTTGCTTGATGGTCCATACAAACAAGCCTCCTTGCACTTTTGAAACGTAAAACTTTTGCATAAACGTAAAATTCATCCCACTAAGTTTTCTTGCAAAGGTTTATGAGTATGAATCAAATGAAGTTTATTTAATTCAATAATTATATCTTGAATATAACGTGTTCTATAGTGATTTATTATAAAGTGTTACATTCAAACGTCTCTTTCTCATAAATTACTGTCAACTTACCACTACTGGAGCCTGTAGCATCATAACGTGGTGCCCCAGATGGTAAGGATAATGAGCTTAGTTTCCAGTCAAAGTCATCATCACCTTGTACGTTGCTCCATGGACATAAAGTCGTTCCCAATCCCTTTGAAAATCACAGCTTTCGACTAAACGAAAGTTAAAGTCTAATTTTGAGCAGCCATATTACGTGGAAATAGTATTTTTAATGGAACCATAGGGCCATAAAAAGAGGAGCATATTTTATCACCATGCCTTGCCTAAGGGCTCTTTGATTTTTTTTACACTAAATATCTATACATAATTGAACGTTCCATAGTCAGAAGATTGAAATCTGAAAGCATACGCATGCTCAAACACAAATTTTTAGATGAATCGAAATTGTTAGGCACCAGACCCCGAAAAGGTTAATTTAATCTGACATTTATCCTTCTCATACACAAATCGCTCATATTACCTTTGCAACTGCGTTCATTTGTTGCACCAACATTGATGGTAGTTTTACCATTATGACAAATAAGGCAACGAGTTTGATTGGAGTGTGGTTGATATGTAGAGATGGGACATTTTTCACATTTCTTACTTTGAAAATTAAAGAATGAACCAATGGAACAATCTATGAAGAAAATCATTGAAAATAAAACGTTGATTCATAACGAGTCCAGTTTTATAACGCTGTTTTCTACTTAAATATCGACGTCTTTATTTGAAATTTTAAATATACTGAATCTTTGCGTTCTTACATGATGTAAATTATAAACCACATTTGAAGTTTGAAAATCCTTCAGGAACATAAAAATTAGATATTCAATAAGCAAGAAAAGATTGGTAATAACATAATTTTGTTGAAGAACCGTAAACAAGCAAAACACTTAACCATAATGAAAACATAAACAAATACTTACTTGACGTATTAGTAGGAATGGCTATTTTGGCATTGTATCACAGATTCCTGGATGAAAAGTAAGATTGTCGAGAGCCGTGAAACTGTCATCCGAAGATCCCATAAGACCTTCTATGTACAACTTCAAATAAAAAATTAGTAAACTGTGACAGGTTGACAAAGTCATTTCAGTCCTATAAATTTGTCTAATTTACTAACCCTAGATAAACCCATGGTAAAATTAACTGTGATTTGACCTTTTTTCCACTCGTTTCCTTGATCACCATTTAATGACCACAGTAACTCGTTGTATTCATCATAAAAATATTCTTGGTAAATATTCAACATCGAATATTTAAGATTTGTGACATGTATGTAGTACGAAAATAAAAAACACATGACAGAGTCGTTGCGATAGTTTCCTACTAACCAGGATTTGCCTGGTAAACGATGTTTTCCCTCAGAATACAGGTATCGTCCTACAACATACAAAGAAATGAATGATATATGAAGAGCTTCCTTTCAATAAAGATTTGAAAGCGTATTTTGATAAATCATATTTTCGTGGTTTGCCCGACAAGACAATATGAATCAGCCTTGTTGCAGTTTTAAACGTCTTTATGCTACAGAACTTAGTGTTAAATTTCTGCATAAATCTACAATAAATCTTAAATGCCTGATTAAACTTATACAAATTCAGTCTTCCATTTTCGGTATAAAATTTAAGCCCATACGTTTTCACAACAAAGTAACAAGCACGATAACCATGTATTTCAGATAAGCAGTTTGCCTTCGGAAATTTCTATGTTTGAACACGAAGATCTAGAAGTCTATTTAAAATTTTTGAGTGAAAGCACTCAATGTATACGTTGCTTGATATGAAGTTAAGGAGTTGAAATGCTACCAACTTACCACTAATAGAGCCGGTGACGTCATAACGTGGTAAATATTTATATAAGTATTTTAGGTATCTTAAGTATGATGAACTGAGTTTCCAGTCAAAATCATCATTGCCTTGAACGTTTCGCCATGGACAAACTGTCGTTCCCAATCCTTTTTGAAAATCACATCTTTCGACTAAACGGTAATAAGAGTTGAAAAGTCATGTTACAAAGAAAAGTCTTTTAATCAAGGTCATGGAGCCGTTTCATGATCGCTTTAAGAAACGTCTAAACGTCAACACAAGTTCCATGAATAGAAATGTACCAAAATTTTCGCTACGACAGAAAAAAACTAAACAGACCAAGAACCCGAAAGAATTTTTTCATATCCAAACGCTAAAACGAGGGAAACATTTCATTACATCATTTTGTCTCAATTTCGTCGAAAAAAATATTCTCTAATCATTGCGTTTGACAAAAAAAAGATGCTATCTAATTGTGTCGATGCAAGATTCACGATGGGATATTAACCTCGTTTTGACGTTTGCATTTCAAATGTTGTTTTTTCACAGTAACTTCATTTCGTGTATTTCAATGCATGTGAAGAAAAAAGGATTTTTACACTGTCAAATATAAGATATGAACACAATATCAAATCTAGCAATGCAAACAAGGTGTACATTCTTTTCGTTCAACATGAACTGGTGCAAAGATTCAAGGAAAAAGCTGAAAATATTACAACTATAAAATTTCATTCCTTTTTAAAGTACAACTCACGAAATCAAGAATTACCTTTTATACATTCTTGTTCACTAACTGCACCAACATTGATGGTGGTTTTACCATCATTACAGGTAAGACAACGAGTTTGTTTTGTATGTGGTTGATATGTAGAGGTAGGACATTTTTCACATTTCTTACTTAGAAATGAAAAGAATGAACCAATAGAACAATCTACAGAGAAGATTATTGAAACGTTTACTTTGACTGACAATTAAAAGTTTCCTTTCCATATTATCTAAGTCAAATGTAAATAAAAAGTTTTAAACTTTCTAGACACATAAAGAAGCACTAACATAGAAAAAACTACCGTAAGCATTAGTAGGAGTGGCGATCTTCGGTATTGTGTCACAGCTTCCAGGAGTAAAAGCAAGATTCTCTAGAGCCATAAAATTGCCAAATTCGCTTACGCTTTCAATGATCAACTGTTAAATTAAAAACAAAAAGTAAAACTTGGCTTCACAACTTGACAAAAATTTAGTAAGTAGTTGACAAAGTCTTGACAGGTTGACAAAGTCATTTCAGTCGTATAAATTTCTCTAATTTACTAACCCTAGATAGACCCATGGTAAAATTAACAGTGACTTGACCTTTCTTCCACAGTCTTCTCTGGTATCTACCGAATGACCACAGTAACAGATTGTGTCCATTGTAAAAATATTCCTGATATATATTCAATATTAAATAGACAGAATGTCTGCCACGCATATAATAGGAAAATGAAAAGCACTTGACAGAATCGTTGCGATAATTTCCTACCAACCAGGCCTTTTCTCCAACTAGACTGCCTCGTCCTTTAGAAAAGAGATATCGTCCTATAACACATGAACAAATTTAAGATTTTTGTGGATAAAGCGTACCCTATAGCTAAGTAGTGTTTCTATCATCCATTCTATTGTAATTAAGATAGTTTTCCTTTTAGCGTCTCTTTCCCATAAATTACTGTCAACTTACCACTACTGGAGCCTGTAGCATCATAACGTGGTGCCCCAGATGGTAAGGATAATGAACTAAGTTTCCAGTCAAAGTCATCATCACCTTGTACGTTGCTCCATGGACATAAAGTCGTTCCCAATCCCTTTTGAAAATCACAGCTTTCGACTAAATAAGAAAATTTGTTTTTAAACAGCCATAATACGTTGAAAAAGTAATTTTAATGGTGGCCATGAAAGAGAAAATATGCCCTTTCTCAAAATTCTTATGATTTTATTTTTTAAAACAAATTTGAGTACATTTCAGTTTTCACTGTCTCAACTCCTACAAATTAACTCACGTTGTCATTAGAATTTATTATATATAGGTAAATATAAATACGCAGTACAATAAAAAATATGTCGAAAGTTTGTTACCTTGTGACAACATAGCCATTACTAACAGGAAAAATATCATTGAAAGTGAATTGCTAAAATAGAAAAAGAAGTAACATCATGTTAGACTAAAGTGAATGGCTTGAACCAGTGACGGACACTAGGACAAGGGTGTGGGGGCAGGGGAGGTAGTCTCGACTTTTTAGACTTGAAAGATTAAAAATCTTTCGCCAAATCCCACAAATCACCTACCTAATATAACTGTGACGTTTAATAATTACTATTTGATAGACTTCTGTACTGTACACACACCAGCGGATGCGTTAAACCTAGTGTGTAGGATTATTTGTAATTAGAAATCCTTAAATTAATTTACTAGAGATCAAATTTTAAAAGTATACCTACAGGCATGCTGTGAAATCACCCTTGATATCTCAAGCCATGAGGAAGGACCCCCGTAGGAAGACTGCGTCACTGATTATTCGGGTTGTGTTGTTCAAATCAAACTTTAAATTACTATAACTTTGTCTTAACTTTTATGGTGTGTTAACATGCATTTTATGACACTGGAGATAAGAAAACAGCATTGTTACATTGAGATCTTAATGACTGCATTTAACATATAAAGCATAATAAAATAATGAAGTCATTTAAACCATCTGTGATTTCAATTAATATCTTAATTATAGTAACGAGGGGAAATTTTGCTATAAAAATCAAACATGAAATGTCTAATACAATATTTTGTCGCTATCTACGCTTAGGTCCGTTTCAAACGTCGCATTTTACATGAGCGGATTGCATTAAAGACAAAAAAATGACATAAAACTCCTCATTATCTTTTGTATGAAATGCATTCGGCTCATGTAAAATGCATCGTTGGAAACGGAACTTAAACTAACAAAGTTTCCATTCGTCTTTCAACATCCACTTTTTCAAACTGTGTTTGAAGGCATCAATAAAACGCCTGTGGTTCAAAATAACAATAATGTAAGTTAATTTATATGTATGCACAATTTTTGTAATTTAGACTCGAATCAGTAAAAATACGAGGGAACCAAAACCGTGAAACTTGCAAAATCTTCTCACCCCAGTAGCACAACAATGGATTACATGTCGAAGTGGATTGACTTTTTTAATCCAGAAAAGTTAAATTAAACTTCAAACGGTCGGTAATACTGTGAACTTATGCAGTGTCTGGTATGAAACTTGGCCTCAGCAGAGACAAATATTTCATTCATGTAAACTACATTCTTCTTTAAAACATCGTCGACACCAACGTACAGGAAAAACACACAACCACCACATTATATAAACACAATATTGATGAGCAAAAACGTCAACTCTGACATAGAGCACACTAACCTGGTGATTGTCGTATCTTTCCATTTGTAGCTTCTCATCATAATCAGGCTCCTTTATTCTTCTTCACTTCTCTCTGTCAGCAACTTTACTTAGTTTAATAGGCTCAAAATTCTTCCACTAAATTTTTAAGGTATTCAACCAACACGAAGCATTGCATAATTTAACAGCAATAAATACCAATTCCCACCAACTGTTTCGAAAATTCTTTTGAAACATTGATCGAAGATCAAGGCACCGAAAATGCTAATTTTAGAAGGAAGAATATCGTTGAATGAGGGGGAGGGGGTGGGCTGGGATGGAGGTTGAAACATGGAATGACCCTGAACGGCCATACGTAGAATCTGTAAAACGAAGGACGTAAAGAACAACTAAAAAATGAAAACTTTAATATTTGGTTTTTTAGTTGAAATACAAACTACTATACAAGCACATTTTACAGATAGACAACGTTAACCGTGAAACATATAGTTATTACAGTAACAGGACAGCCAGTACTGACAACGATATTCAATCAAAAACCAGTCAATCGTTCTCAACCAAACTACATAAATTTACTCCATGTTCAGGTTACCTATTCAAACCAAGTCTAAGAAAACGATGTGGGGCCTACCACTTTGTACCTATTGTAAAAATCAAGTCAAAAAAAAATCAAATCAATGTGTATGAAATAAACGATGGTTAACAAAAAGATTTTGCCAGCCATCTTTCGGTTCGGCGTAATAAAACCAGGGTTGGCTCACTTAATTTTATATTTGTCTACATGATTTACGTATGTTTTTTTCCAACAAGTCAATATATTTAAGTTGTCATTTCGCGTGATTGTATTTTTCAATTATAATGAATAAAATCGCCACGGAAACGCCAACAGGAAACAACGGAAATGAACAACAACAAAAAAGTAAGAGTATGGATGCAGGAGAGAAACATTTACGTACGCTGTTTTAGCATATCGTAAAACTCAGCTTTTATACCATTGACTTTTGGGTAAAAATGAGCTGGTAAAAAAACAACATGAAAAATTTTAAATTAAACGGACTCAGACATGAATGAAAGCCATTTCCTTTGAAACACATACTATGTAAGTTTAATTCTTTATGTGTTTTGAGCATATATATAAAATATCGCTGCAGCAACGCCATTTATGAAACATTTGAGTAACGTAGCTCCTCATATTCAAAATAAAATCTAGACAGGACAAATAAGTCACTGTAAGAAATGCATGCATAAAGAGAGACCACAGAAACAGTTTTTTTACATCACAAGACTCGACAGTTTTAATACGATTACATCCGCACGTACTTTGCTTGTAAATAAGAAAAATACCAATGAAGTCAAGGTTAAAGAGGTAACCCCTCAAAAAAACCTCTACTCAATAAATACAGTATTTCAAATTCAAAACATCCCAGAAATTTTCACACAAAATGTCAACAATTTTTTTCGTAAACTAAATTTCTCGAATGATTAATTGTGCAACGAAGAATTTTTTCATCTATAACATGGATCTCTTAAATCCTTTAGGGCAAATACGCTCAGTCAAAACACTTAAAAATGTTGATTTTTCAAATAACTACCGGCTTAAAGGAAAACCTTCATTCCCAAAATATTTACGAATACAAAAAAAATATTACATTCCTCAAAAAAAATTAACATGAATCTATCATACATGAACATTTAGCAGAGAAAATATTAACATAGGGCACGGTTTTCCTCGCAACCTCTTCGACATTTTAATCTCACCAAATCAAAATATAGCATCTTTATAATATCTCAAACTATTCGTACATCATCCAATATTTGACACGTGATTGTAACTTAGCAACATCAAATGTCTTTATCCATTTTCATTTCTATGTAAACAGTCATTTGTATATAGTTGGTCATAATTTACACTTGTCAAAGTCTCAAACAAATGCTCGTTTTCATTCACTGCAAAATTCGCGCAAGTAAACTGGGAAGCTTTAAGAACGCTAACATGGACGTTTCAACAAAATGGATCACGTTAGAGAAAGCACTGGTTAGTTTGAATTATATTAGAAATCTTATGAAACATCATACATTTAAAAAGAACGTATTTTATATAATTTATCACCCTCGCCTACAATACATATAGAAGCGATGTGTATGTTCATGTACTTCACATTATAAATATGAAATCCAACAAAGAATAAAAAAATATTAAAAACTCCATAAACCATAAGAGCATCGTGCTATTTTCTACATGTTGAGCTTGTGATCAAATCTATCCACTCTAAGGATGATATCAGTAATTTAATTTTTTTTCTTTTCAAACGTTAAATACTTCATTTTAGGAGAGAATAAGTTGTTTCACTTGTTTGTACCATGCATACTCATGAGGAAGTCTAAAGGCTGCTGTCGTTCTCCGTTGTTCATTCATCACTAAATTCACTGACACACTTTTTTATATTTTAGCTAGTGTAAAAGCTATTTTCATTCTCAGTTATTCTTTTATCACTAGCTACACTGACTTACTTTCTGTTTATATGTTACATAGTTTTAGTTGGTTCATTAAATCGAAGTCGAAGACTACTTTTTTGTGTATCTTTGTACAACGTCAAAGTTACAATTCTACACTTAAACATAAAAACTACTTTACATTTTGCTACAGGAAGGTATACAAAAGAAGGACAAAGCTTTATATACACAGCTTTTATCTCTACAAAAAAGCGTACGAGAATTAAAGTCAGAGTTGAAAAAAGAGAGAACAGAATGCGAAGAAGCATATAAAGACCTGGAAAGAATGTCTGCCAATGACTTTGAAGATGATGTTTTTCTTGACAACAAATGTGTTGAAAACGAAAACAAATATTACCAAGAAAAATGGAAACACGATCGACAGGATTCGGGTATCTCCGTTAAAACACCTGAAAGCGATGTAAGCGTAACAACACCACCATCAACGCATAACTTCCAGCTATCTCTCTCCCAAACTAAAGACACTGTATCTTATCCACAATTCATTGATGAGACAGACAAAATCTCACACAACAAACAAATTTCTGACGTATCATCACAGCACAATAAGGAGGACTCAGGTGTAGTTCTCAATGAAGATGCATTAAAAGATTCCAAACTATTGTTGAATCTCGTCCGAAGCCCTGAAATGACAGAAAAACTACAAAACAGCACATTCAATGGTGTCAATCAAATAAAATGGATGAAAACACGAGATGGTGTCTTTAATCATCACAACACAACATTTTCAAAATTAAATGCAATTTACAGCGATCGTCACAACACAATGACTCAAGGACAACAGTCTGCGCGACAAGCATTGCATCGTCATAGCAACACATGGTGTCACAGTGACTTTACAAAAGAGGAAAAATTGCCAGGAAAAATTCAAAGTAGTAAAATTCAATTCTTAGAGATGCGATCACGATCTGGAAATGATTTTCTTATCAAAAGGCAACCGTTTCAAGTTTTAAAACCATACGAAGACGATGAAAACCAAAAAACAATTCATAGACATAGCAATTCTTGGTCACCAAAAGAATCTATTCACCATTCTACCAAAAATGAAGAACTCCCAAAAATTTCTTTTTTGCATTCCCACTTGCATTCGTGCCCCTACAATATCAATTGGGAACTTTTGCCGAAATTAAAAGAGAAAAATCGTGACAAAGACTTGATAACTTCATCAGTAAAGCAAGAAAAAAATGTCAACGTTAAAAGCAAACATTCCTACAATCCTGTTTTACATGTCCGCACAAACTCTTGTCCACAGACTGCTGTGACAAAATACGAAATGAAACCATTATCTCATATCCATGAACAAAGAAAACTTAAACAAATGCAAACTGATAAAAGTTTTGCTACAATTAGCAAGAACAAGAATCCAGTAAATCACATAAAACATTTCCACACAAGATCGTGGCCTCAGAAAGAAGATGAACGATTAACAAGTGCAAGATCGTGTCCTCAGAAAGAAAACGAAACATTAACACGTGCAAGATCGTGTCCTCAGAAAGAAAACGAAACATTAACACGTGCAAGATCGTGTCCTCAGAAAGAAAACGAAACATTAACACGTGCAAGATCGTGTCCTCAGAAAGAAAACGAAACATTAACATATTTTTTGCCTCAACATCGTGAAGATGATTCGTATATGAAGATGAAGAAGACAAACATCAATAATGGTCTTGAAAGCCCAAATGAAGATAATGATAGAAAACGATTCACAAGTATCAACAAACAGAAAGACTTCCAAACACAAAATCGTCATCAATTATCGAAAAATGAACCAACAGATTATAAAAATTTATACAAATTATTCCTTCTAAAGTAGCACACATAAACAGTTCCATACTTCAACAAGAAGCTAAAACGACCGTATCCAAGGAGTTTAATGGTGTATATAAAAGGATCTTAGCATCTGCTTCAGAAATGAACATACTCAATGAAAATTCTAAGCAAATGATAAAAAGGACAATCAGCTTAAACGAGGGACGTAACTACGAAGGAAATGATAAAATAAAATATCAAATTACAAATAGTGAGCGAAAGAAAGAGAAATCTCCCACAAGCACGAATGAAAAATCGATAATTTTCTCATCACCAAGAAACCACATACGTCACAATACCACACCTAGATACGACTACAAACGAGAGCGTCGTCACTCGATGTACTCCCTTCACGCACCGTCAAAGTCCTGGGATGGATGTTATCAAATGATTACAAAACATACCATTGACAAGTCAACTAGTCAAATATCCTTAGTTTAGACTATGGGATAAAGCTTACACATAAATACAACTTGCAAACAATAGTAAACGAGAAGTTTTCTAAGAATTATATATATATATATAGATATAGTTTTAAATTGTTATAATATTTAAAAGAAATCTTGTAAGATGGCTTTCTCATTTAACTACAGCATGAGAAAACTCTATTTCTTATTTGCCAATTTTATGTTGTATAGTTAACGGAGAAATGTTGATAAAAGCCAAATATATTATTGTTTCGGATGATATAATTTTTTATCACTTAGTTCCCATTCTTACATCAGTAAACAATCATTAATCTAATATATTTCAACGACGTAAATTTTTCAATAGATTTGATTGAAAAGACATTTTCTATTCAATAAACTCATCTTAGGATTAGATTTACTAGGAGTGACGTAACCACGGCCTTATATAGTGATCAAATTATTTCAAAAGCTTAAAAAACATCACAATTTATTGAGGTATTTAGGCTCTAAAATATTTCATTCCAGCAACAAATGTGCAGTTAAAGAATTGCTTTACAGAGTTTAAAGTGGAAAATGAGTTAAAACATCTTCGCTCAATTGCCTATTGCCTAGATCAATCAATAAAATAGTGCATAAGGTGTATAAGGAGCTCTTGAAATACTTAGAAATTAAAGTCTTTCTTAATGGTACAAGTGTATTTTGAGCTAATATATTTATCTACGTAGACTCTCATATAAATTACACTAAAAACAAAATTCCTCGCGGTGAAATATTGCATGCGACAGTCTCAATAATAAAAGAGCAGATTATAAATGTTTTGTCATCGCGAAGCCCCCAGTCTCTATATACGATACATTAGTTTAAAATACATACCATCTTTACTATAAAATGGAAAGATGGTACCTCAAGTTTCTGTAACTTTTGAATCATTGTTCTTCGACACCATGTATTCTTGTCTCATTCTGTCTAACTCAGCAAGCTCTTTCTATAAACATAACTAACTTCAGTCTTTGCATAAATTCAAGTTGTTCCAAACAAAGGTACACATGTAGATATTTCTATACAGAATCTTTATCCACAGAACAATACTTCTCATGTCCAACCTTATATACTTAACGGCCAAAAATATTAGAACTGCATGTGCAAATATATTTTAACTAGCATACAGTATGGTGTCATTCTGACGATCTCCATTGGCATCACGTTTTATATTTATTTAAAAAACCTACGCGTGAGCTAAAATTGATCAATGTCGACTAAACTCAACAAGAAACAGTTCGTACCTTTACAATGACATAATGATGTTGACGTAACAATGAAATCTTTTGCATGGGAAATGGATTAACAGCTTGAAATGCCACTTGAGAAAGCTTGTCGGCATCGACAAGTTGTGAAGGCATGTTTCGTAGAAATTCAAACATCTTCATGTTATCAGTAATTTTTAGAATCTCGGCTTCATTTACCCAGAATATTGACACAGCAAAACGAAACAAAATCTACACAATGAGATTGGAAATATTTTATTCAAACAAGTCATCAACCTGTTTCCACTTAAGTGACTTAATCAATGCAGTCTAGTGACTTCATCAGGAGTGATCTAATGTTGAATCTGGCGTTGAAACTTGAGTTCTTATACAAAAACTACACAAAACTAAACACGATACGGACTGTTAAATTGACAGTCCACATGACTATACAAACTTTGGATCCTTCATACAGCAACGCATCCCAAACACGGAGAACGATCTGGTGATAAAAATTTGAAACTTTTCATTAACAATTCTCATAAACATGTATAAAGATATGTCAAACATTAACACTCACCTCTATAGGAACACTGTCAACAAACGCCGTAAGAAACCAATTAAATGTAACCAAAGATGTATCAATCCTGTAACAAAATGAAGAAAAAGGTGATACAAAATTATGTAAGAAAATTGACTGTACACGTTGTCATAACAACGTGCATAGATTCCATACTTTAGTTTGTCCAAATGTTCCGAAATCTTTGGGGTTTTTTCAACCAACAAATCCTTCAGTACTCTCTAAATCAGAAAAATTAAAATACAATACATCAAAACACAACTTTGACGAAATAATTAACTAGACTTGTCTTTATCTCCCAAATGTCACAAACATAATTCCTTTAAACCTGGTCGACTTGTGAAGCTATTAAAGTTTTGGAGTAATAATTCTTTGGCATGATATGTTCCACCAAAGTAACGAGTGCCCTATATAGAATCAAAACTTATGTAGGTAAGCATTGATCATTACAAAAACGATAATGACATGTAGAGTAGAATTTGTGAAAAGGTTTGGAAAATCGACTAAAATGCTTCATGAAAAACCAAGACTTAAACATCTACAGCATCTATATAAAACCTAAAAACTTTTAACACACAAAACAACGAAGCAAATTGTAAACTGGTCAATTCCACAGGACAAAGTGAAGTTTTACCTCTTTTCTAACCGATATATAAATATGGACACCAAACTAAATAATGAAAGCCATTGTAACAGTAAAGAAAAACCAAATGTATATGCTTACCAAAATGATTCTTCTTCGCTGAGATATAACAAAGCAATGGCAGCAAGACGATTGAGACCCTAAGAAACAAGGAAACACAAAATGTGAAAATTTCAAGAATTTTCTTGTCTATGTAATTACATTGTGTATGAACATTGCAACTAACCTGACAATAACCGATTTCTTTGTTGTGAAGACTAAACGCTAATAAAACACGTCGCAATTGTTCGATCTATGAAAATTATAAAATTAATAATGAAAATAAGTAAATCAAATCAATTAACAACATAAATAGTATTATGAGTTGTTTTGACAAACTCTATAGTTAACATTGAAATTCTATATTTAAAAAAACTTGAAAAAAACACTTTATAAAACTATTAACAAGGGGTGTTCTACAACCAATGACCGAGAACGCAATCTACTAGATATCTGACTCCACCAAAATTCTATAGTTACGATTGATGCAAGCCATCATATTGAAAGGTTGCAAAAGTGACGATATTTACGACTAAGATCTGTTCTTTTGAGTTGATATAAAGTTACAGAGTGGATACTCTAGGTTTGATTTTTAAAATGTTTAATATGATTTAGTTTTTAAACTTTCTTTTAGCTTATTTTTCGTTTTGAGTTTAGCTCTTTGCCACCTTTCAAGATGGCGTCCTTGCCTCACCTTACACGGTACATAAACATCTAGACGATTGGGTTCTAAATAAATGTCTACCACACTTACATGATGTAAGTGTGTATATGATGGATGGTTGCAGACAACTGGAGAAGCCTTAGCCTTACCCCTTCAGCGTTGTGTTTGTCATAATATCTATTATTGGGTAACGTCCTTAAAAGATCTAGACCAATTTGCTTTTCGGCAGGACAAAAGTTGTCTTTCTTAGAATCAAGTAGTCGTTTGTAGTACCCAGACCCCGACATGCGTTTCGTGCTTTTCACGTGATCGTTGATACACTTCATCCAAACCTTTGCCCGCAAGTCATGAGGTATGCCCGCACGTATGAGGGTTTTCAATTCCGACTGCAAGGTAAAATCAATACATCAGAGTTGAATATTAAATAAGTTGCTAATTGCAGTAGATTTACGTATAAATGTGTATTTTGCCTGGTGATGATATTAAATTAATATTGACAGCAAAAACATACCGTTTTTTGAAAATCTTTGTTTCTGTTTGCTATCATGAAATTTTCCCATTTCACTGCCAAAGATTTTTTACGTAAATCGTCTTCCACGGCACACGCCTAAAAATGTATAAAACATCATTTTTCATTTCATCCCCCAAAAAATCATAAATCCATTCTAGTTGAAACAATTCTAAGTCCATTGTATTTTGAAAAATCCTAAATCGACTTTTCAATCATATTCAAGTAGGAAATAGTAAATATACCTGTCTATTTAATTTGTCTGCAACAGAAATCAATCCATCATTGTCCCCTTGACTTAAAGTAGTGTAGAAACCATATCGATCATAACCTGCACTATTTCAAAAACACCAAGTTCGATTGCAAATTGATCATACACATGCGCCGGGCTCAATGTTCATCAACAAAGATAACTTTAATGCATTGTTGTACAGAAATAACCATTTTTTTGTGAGTAAGTAAACCAAGTACAAGTATGTAGTAACTAACCTTCCCTCGTCGTTTTTCTTTCCTTCTGTTTCAAATTGTATAGCTTCTTCAAGTAGCTGTGACATCACCTCTTCAGATATTGCAGTTGTTTTACCGTCTGAGTAATAAAAAAAAACACGAACTTTAAGAAAAACTCTTGACACAGGACAGGCTTTTTTTCATATTTTTTATACCTTTCACAGGAGTGTTAACTTGTTCAACTAAGAAATAAAATTTGCTCTTGATTCGACAAAGATTTGCTTCTTGCGTTTGATTTTTGCTGTAAAACAAATATGAAAATTTTATGATTGCATCAAAACAGAAAGTGTTGCATGCACGTAAAACATGAAACTCACGCGATGTAACTTCTAATTCTTTCCGTATCATTTTTCCTCAGTTTAGTTAACTCAACAACTTCCGAGTTTAAGAAATTATTCTGAGCTATATAAGCACGTAGTGCTACCTATATGAAAAAAATGTGGCCTTGAAGTATGCCTTTTGAACTTTAAGCTGTCCTCTTGTCACCCACAATATCCCCTCTCTATCACACTATGATACACGACAATCCCTATCTAACCTTCAGTTTTTCTATTTTGTCTTCATTTGTATCAAGCTCTTCGATATGATGTAAGAAAAGACGGAATGCATCATCACTGCTGTAATAAGATGAAATAACGAATTAAATTAATCGTCATTCAGCGATAAAACAAACGTCATAAGAAACTGATTCAAACAATTGAGTTGGATGTCTCTATTCAACCGTTGCTTAACGCATCTGGTTTTTCGACTGTAAACATTTAAGAATTTTATAATTGTGATACGTAGATATGAATTGCTCTTGAATGAAAAAACAGAAGCCAAAAAAAGGTCGTAATGTTCCCCATATCTACACGACCAGGGCATCAATACTCTCATTTCACCATTCTTTAACTACAGTAAGAAGAGTCTTACCTTCCAAAGCTTGTAAAAGCTCCTTTTCTCTCTTCGTAAGGCGAAGTGTTCTCTTGCTCCAATGATGTTCTCGTCTTTTGATTCCAATCAACGTTTCCAAAATCCTTTTTCTTATGGATTTCTGCATTAGACACGTTTGCAAGCTACAACAAAAAAATATGATTTTAACAATCATTAAAACTTCAAATGATTTCTTATATAGTACCATCCTCGCTATCACAAAAGTATAAAGAGATCAAGTACATTGATTTCTTATGTACCATCCTCACTATGACATAAGTATAAAGAGATCAAGTACATTGATTTCTTATGTACCATCCTCACTATGACATAAGTATAAAGAGATCAAGTACATTGATTTCTTATGTACCATCCTCACTATGACATAAGTATAAAGAGATCAAGTACATTGATTTCTTATGTACCATCCTCACTATGACATAAGTATAAAGAGATCAAGTACATTGATTTCTTATGTACCATCCTCACTATGACATAAGTATAAAGAGATCAAGTACATTGATTTCTTATGTACCATCCTCACTATGACATAAGTATAAAGAGATCAAGTACATTGATTTCTTATGTACCATCCTCACTATGACATAAGTATAAAGAGATCAAGTACATTGATTTCTTATGTACCATCCTCACTATGACATAAGTATAAAGAGATCAAGTACATTGATTTCTTATGTACCATCCTCACTATGACATAAGTATAAAGAGATCAAGTACATTGATTTCTTATGTACCATATGATAAAGAGATCAAGTACATTGATTTCTTATGTACCATCCTCACTATGACATAAGTATAAAGAGATCAAGTACATTGATTTCTTATGTACCATCCTCACTATGACATAAGTATAAAGAGATCAAGTACATTGATTTCTTATGTACCATCCTCACTATGACATAAGTATAAGGAGATCAAGTACATTGATTTCTTATGTACCATCCTCACTATGACATAAGTATAAGGAGATCAAGTACATTGATTTCTTATGTACCATCCTCACTATGACATAAGTATAAAGAGATCAAGTACATTGATTTCTTATGTACCATCCTCACTATGACATAAGTATAAAGAGATCAAGTACATTGATTTCTTATGTACCATCCTCACTATGACATAAGTATAAAGAGATCAAGTACATTGATTTCTTATGTACCATCCTCACTATGACATAAGTATAAAGAGATCAAGTACATTGATTTCTTATGTACCATCCTCACTATGACATAAGTATAAAGAGATCAAGTACATTGATTTCATATGTACCATCCTCACTATGACATAAGTATAAGAGATCAAGTACATTGATTTCTTATGTACCATCCTCACTATGACATAAGTATAAAGAGATCAAGTACATTGATTTCTTATGTACCATCCTCACTATGACATAAGTATAAAGAGATCAAGTACATTGATTTCTTATGTACCATCCTCACTATGACATAAGTATAAGGAGATCAAGTACATTGATTTCTTATGTACCATCTTCACTATGACATAAGTATAAAGAGATCAAGTACATTGATTTCTTATGTACCATCCTCACTATGACATAAGTATAAAGAGATCAAGTACATTGATTTCTTATGTACCATCCTCACTATGACATAAGTATAAAGAGATCAAGTACATTGATTACTCAGGACGTAACACATATTTATACCTGTACCCAGCTTTGTTAATTATACAATATTGTCACAAACCTGGTTTGCAGTCTTTATCACGATTTCATCTTTGCTCTTAATGACTTCGCGTAACATTGCAATTTCTTTTTCATAATTTGACAGCTGGTCGTTTTGCTCTCTAAATTAACAAAATATTTTCTTTAAACAGTAGCAAAACTCGATTCAAGATTTATGTTTACATCAATAAGGGGCATGTTTATTCTCACATTGACCACAGTGATGGTATGCAAATGATGGTCAATGAGTTGTGATCTTTGAAGTCGGTGACAAATGTGGTGTACTAGACCGTCAACAATCGATAAAAATGGTTCTTTCTTATAATCATCAGTTAAAGTCAACAATCGAAGATCAAAAATAAGAATATTGGAGTATAAAACTTTTACGCGGGAAATCAAAAAAACAAAAACCATTAAAACCAATTGACTTTAAATGTTCTTACTTCAATCTTTTCTCCAGCTAAATAAAAATGTTAGTAGAACATTTATATATATAGCAAATAACTTTATAGTAAAAAATATTGGTGAAAAATAACTTTTGGAAGTCCACGCATACCTTCTTAATGTACAAGATATTTTCTCCCTGATCACGTGATTCCGTCGTGTTTTCCGAACCTTGACTGGAGTATACGAGAATTTTTACACCAATTTTTTACAAAAAGTATGCTTTCTTTCCTTCTCCCGGCACACTTAACTATTACTTAAAAAATAATGCAGTCTGCTCACCTTGCATCTTTATCTAAGACTGTCTTCCTGGAAATGACAAAATTTCATCAATATTTGACAAGTATAGTCAAACTTGTATTTTGCAGACACACTAGTGTCCGCTTAATGAAGGGGTTTGCTTAACACAGGTTTGACTGTATTTGAAAAGATATGTCATTTAATTTCATATGAAAATGACAAACCTTAAAAATTCATTCAATGATCCCAAAGCTTCCTGCCTCACTTGAGCATAGCTACAGTGATAAATTTTCACATCAAAATAACAACATAAAGCAGAAGTCTCAATACTCATTATGTTGTATTTTAAAATGCAAACAGTTAGCAAATATTTCAACCTACTCTTTTGTATCCTCTAATTCTTCTTCACATTGCTTCAGCTGTTCTTTGAGCTGAGAAATGATTAAGAAATATTTACACCGAGTCTAATGTTACTTAAGGTTAGAAAAAAATCATAATTAGTCGATACTGTTAATGATAGCATGGGTTTATCAAAAACTAACATGAAGAAACTTGTATTTACTAAGTGACAAACCTTACGACATTTCAAACATTCTGTTGTTGTTTTATCATCTGGCACACTGCTTCCACGCACAGAAAATCTCCTAGAATTGAAGACAACTCATACATAATTTTATGACACTCTTTTCAACAAGATTGCTTTTCAAAAAAGTTATTCACTAACTTTAACGTAACATTTTTTGCTTTAGCTCCTGGACTATCATAACTCATTGATACGCTGAAATATACAGCAAAAATAGTCAATAAACAACCATTCTGGGAAATTAGTTAGTACACCAAAAGAAACTGAAGAAGACATAAATTTTTCTTGAAGCAAAAATAACAAGTATCTATCAATGCTCCTAAGCGACACCATGGAAACAATAAACAATAAAATCCTTGTTTTGCAATGGTCAGAAATATTGTTTCGTTGACGTTACAGATTTTTAAAAACCATAACACAGATTGAAAAGGAAATTCCTGCGTCTAAAGCCTGTTTCAAGCGTCGAACTTCACACGTACCGAACGCATTGAAGACAAAAGAAAATGAGATAAACTTCGTCATTATCTTTTGTTTTAAATGCGTTTGGTTCATGTAAAGTTCGACGTTTGAATTACGCAGGTGAGCTAAATTTTTCTTCATGCATACAGTACATCTACAAACTGATGGTAATTTGTATTATAATTCTCTATGTCACCATATGATCTTATGATCAGAATACTTAATAAACATTTTAGATAAACGACAAAATTTTTCAATTTTATATTTTTAATTACAAAACATGTAACATGTAACAGTCGAAACATGTTTGTAATTAAAAAAACAAAATTGAAAAATTTTGTCGTTCATCTAAAATGTTTATTAATTCTCTATGTATTAAGAATCACGTATTGCTTACAGCCACGAGAAAATAAAGTAATAAGTACGACGTAAAACATTATGTATATTTGTATAATGTAAACCTTTATTGTAAACATGCTTCGTCTCTTTATTCCACGAACATCAGAGTTCAATGGTAAAGTTTTTAAAAACTTTACGTTAGGCTAGAGACAAACCTTCTTCGTACAGAAGTTTGTACATGATGAGTATCGCTTGATTCCTCATGAACTGTGTATCGCTTGCTGGTGATAAAAAACAAACGAAAAATGTATTCTTTAGAAAGAAAAAAGCATGATTCACAAACTCAACAACATTTTACCTGGCACGATGTTTAAACATTGCAGAAAAGATGCCTTCCGGTGATCTTTTTGCAGCATCTTCACCAACAGTTTGTGGAGCAGGTATAGACTGAAAATCTTCATCTTAAATTTCATAAATTAAAGTTACAAATAATCAACAATTATTTCCTTTCAAACAACTAATGTACCATCTTCTTTAATGTTTTCAGACAAAACGTTTGCAATGAGACCAGGACTTTCACATGGCTCAGGAACCGTCTGAAAAAAACAACAATATTTACAAAACGTCATTTTATTTCTGAATGAAATTTTTCATCTAGGTCATTGAAAAAATACTCGTATTTTAGTGGAAAGTTTAAAATACACTGCATGAATTTTGAATCACTCCATTTCTCCAATTTGATTTTGATTCATGTATCATGATGTGAACATCCATTGGTGTCATGGAAAATACAAACATTTCAAGGATAACTACCGCAAGCTAATAACCACTTGCTGTCTTGTGAACCATGGTTAACGCGTTCTATTTTTTATCCACGGTGTAAACGCATTTTATGTTAATTTAATCAAGACATACACATCTTGCTGATGTACACAATATAGAGAGAATATCCATTAGAAACATTAAAAGAGCGCTAATCAAATTGCTTAAAAAACCAGGTAGTTTTGTAGAGAAAGTAGTTTGCTTTTCACACTTAGTTCATGTTTGTTTTTTAGGGAATCAATAACAGCAACAACTCAACTTCCTCCTCAAACTGAAACGAAAGTAGACTTTCAACAACCAAGTTCAAAAATTTACATACATCAAAACATAATGTTAATCTCACCATTTGTAAAAGTAAACAGACTTCCTCAACAATAACATGAAATGACACATGACATGCTTCAAATAGACTTATTACGTAATTTACTTATGCATAAAAAGTAAAATTTGTATTGATTTGTTGAAAATATTGGGCACTGACCCCATTCCAAAAAAAGTTAATATGGTGTGATATATCCTCATATTTATTGCTAATCTACACATAACAATACTGTAAAGCTGTCAGGCAAGTTTTACACTAAAAATCACTAACATCAACTCCTGTGTGACACATGGCTGTTAGTGTCCTACTGTACTTAAGTCTCCTCGCCTGAAAAAAAAAAAGAAACAAAAATAAGCCCAGCCTTTTACTGGCTACACGAGATCTCAACTATTATTCACAGCCAATTTCATGAAGGAATATTATATAACTGTGTGTAAAATGATCAAGTTCTATTATGGTATTTTATCCGAAACAATGTTAAACATTGGAGGATTAAATAAAGACATACTAATCTACAACTTTGTGATGTACAAAATATCAATCTTTTATACCTAACATATTTCCACAACCAACCTGTAATTGTTGAAGCCAGTATCGGGCAGTTTGAGAATCCTCGGCTTGCAAATGAAACACTCTGTTTGCAGTGCTAATTTTAAATAAAATGAGAAAGACTTAAAACGAGTTATATTGAATTTGTATTAGTAAGTAGCTACCATATGTCAAATTGATCCATTCGTCCAGCTGAAATATCCATTGAAAATGTAGCATCACTGATATTAATATGTCTGAAATAGAAAATTATTTATCACAAATAATGAAATGAACCTCAATTAAGAAATAAAAGATGTTTACTGTATTTGCACTGACATATGCAAACCGAGGAGAACTTTGGAAGAACTCAAGACTTGATCAATGCAAGCCCAAGACGAAAGGTCGAGAAACAAAACAAGGAATCCTAAAGCTTACCCTAATGCATAGGAATCATCAGGATTTTTGAAATAATATAAAAAACATTTTCTTGGCTCAAACACAAACCTTTAAATAAAAAATAACATACTGTAATATAAAAAAACATTGTAAATTGACGTTGAGATGAACACGTTTGTCTATCATACCATCTTCGTTTGTAAGTCCTCAGCAGTCCTTTCTCTACCAGAGATAATAAACATACATAAAAAAGATTAAATTATTTTAGTTACTGTCAAGACAATCAATGACAAATTTATGGTCTTTTTGACATTGTAAATGAATCACTTTATTAGGAGAAAGGTATAATTCTGGTATGTATCTAAAGGCTTTTTTTTGAGTAAATGTTATTCTTACATAAGGCTAAATTATATTGTGTTATTTCTCTCAAGCAAGATAAGTAACATGCAAAAGAAGCAGTAACATGCAAACACATTACAAAACAATGTTTAACCATGTCTTTGTCTAGACTAAAAATCTCTGTGATAAACAAAAAATATTAGTGTTGTCAACCTTGATAACAATTTAATAGCATCAATTTGAATGTATGTTTACTTAGAGTCTTTATCCTTCTTGATCCTTCAACAATAATTGAAGAATTCCAGGATACACTTGAATGTCAATACAACTGTTTAAGTATATATTATTATGATTTGAAATTTAAAAAATGTAAATGCAAAGAGCTAATACCTCCAAGTTTTTCAAGAAAGCCACAAAGTGTTGCTTTTGAAGGTAAATTATTCTAAAATAAAACGACAAAAGTGTATTTTAATATTCACAATACTATGCAATGATCATCATGTATATTGACGTATCTTCACCATACTAAACAATTCACTCTGAGTACATGTTGGCATGGAGAGTTTTAATACAAAAGCATACATGGTTTGTCTTCAAGACATAAGCAAATTTAAAATTACTATGTAAATAGAAAAGCAAATAATCTGAAATTGTCGATTTGTGCAACAAAGCACAAATCAAAATTCAATTAAAGTTTCTTCAAACGCACATCACGACTATAACATGCATTTCTGAAAAAGTCAACAAGCGACTTTTATTTCGTCAGAACATATCGTAAGTACTGAACTAAATGACGTTTATCTTAATGTTTTGCTCAAGAATGGAAAAATACAATTGAAACTACCTCTGTTTTTTTACTTGCTATCTCATTGTTATCCCTATTAATAGATTCTTCTTGTAGGTTTCCTTCATTTTGAGGTGTTCCAAGCTCTATTTCTGGAGGAATTGTCAACTCCTCCCAGGTTTCGTCTCTAGAATCAGATTTGTCTGCCATTAGTCGTCTTCCTTCTTTACGAGTACGTTTCTTCCGGGTATGAATTGCCGGTCACAAAACGAATGGATATTTTAGGTATTGCGAATCTGCTATTTTTTATCGGTTCATCGATGATTTAAATATAAAATCTCATTAAAGAATATAGTGGATCGATTAATCCATATTGTTTTCAAATTTGTAGGTTGTTAAATTTTTTTTCATTAAAATAATTTTTAAAATTTCTCAATCACAATTTTCAAGATACTCATTTCCGCTCATTATCTGCAAAAAAATACAAAACTTTCAAAAGAGACACTATTAACTGATCACCAACATATAGCCTAACCTGTTTAACGTCACTTTCTTGTCATAAATGATATAATTGACTTAGGACAGCCACCCACCCAATTTTCACACGGAACTAAACAAAATGATGGGTTCCACAACATCTGGTTTTGTTTACCTACGAACCAAGATAAGCACTCGTCAATATTTTAACATAATTACACATTTTAGCTTGGGAAGTTTATACAATGAAGCATTATTATGCTATAGCCTCAGGTCGAAAACTGATACTCCACTGGCCTGTGGCCACCATAATTATGAATGTTAAAATTTACAATTGGCTTTATCTCAAATTTCTTCATATCATGACGCAGTTTATGTTAATTAAACTTCAAACGCAAAAAACATACTACAATCATGATGAAGATATTTTGACAAAAAAAATGTCGTAAAAAATTTTGCAATCTTTCCATCTTGACAAAAAATCTCTTATCGTACAAAAACGAGAAAGAGTCCTGTTAACAGTTAATCATTGCAAACTTCATCGTTGTTTGCGAGTCGTGTCAAATGTCAGACACATTGCTTCATTAACAAATAACACTGTTTACCTCTGGCGATTGTGCAGTAATGCATTGTACAATCTTAATTTGTCATTAGTGAAAAGTTTCTATCCACAACAATTACTGGAATCATCACGTCCCAAGCAAAGGTTAGTTGTTGCATGTGAATTAAAAATAGTGATATGTTGTCATTGTCTTTCAACCTGCACGCGTCTTTTATACCATGCTCAGGTAATATACGTGTTGCAACAGAACAGATTTTGTCAAATTAAAACAAACAACCGTTTAGGTTAATGTAAAATACCTTAGCATCAAAAATAGTCACCGGAGATCATACACTCATACAGTTCCAGTCAACCTCCTGAAAAGGAAACTACAAACTTGTGGTTACAGTGTATTTCAAAATGAATAATTGCTGCATGGAGCAAATTACTTTGTTTATGTAGGGAAACACGAAAGTTTAAATGGCAAAAGAATTCAACAATAAGTCGCTAATAAAGCGGTGACAAAAGAGGTGTACCCTGTTTTACAGCTATTTCCTTTGAAACAGAAAACACTTGTCATTTAGCTTACATCCTTTTTTAAATAGGCCTACTTGGCAACTTCTCATTTTGTGATCAACTATCCGAGAAATTTATGCATCCAAGGCGAGCATTTTGTCATGTGAACGAGGAAATATCTGTTGGAAACTTTCGTGTCTTTATTACAAACAAAATTCGAAATTTCTCATTAGGCATTTGAAAATTTTTGCTTTTTATAGAGCGCACTATTGTGCGAAAAGTTTGGAAATAATGGACATTGGTAAACTACTTGTTGTCTTTTACGTTCTGGTATTAATAAATCATGAACAATATATTTTGGGTAAGTTGTATCACGGCGTAAAATATTAAAACTTTTTTTGCGCACGTTTTGCAAAATTAACGGGATTGTATAGTATTTCATAGTGGTCAAAAGTCAATTCTTCGAGTTTAAGATGTACATTTACTGGACAAACGCGACAACGGTCATCATCATTTCCGAGCATTTCGATTTTGGCATGCCGGAAGCAACATACACGTTCATTTAAAAGAAAAACTTAGATTTGAAGACTTTGAAATGCTATTAAGATTGTTAGTCTGTATCATGATCAAAAATTATTTCCATATGCTCCTCACATTCATGGTTTTTTTATGCATATTTCCAATAATGACCTCTAGGTGAGTATTGTACATTCATGAAAGAAGACGACGTTACATCCTGTGGTGACACAGCAATAACGAAGAATTCATGTTTATCTCTGGGATGCTGTTGGAATACAACAATATCAAATGGCAACTACAGTTGTTACAGGTTCGATGATCTTCTTTCTTCCCAATTTTAAAAATCACATAAGACAATCGATCATTAATATTCCAGTTCCAGAAAACAGCACTCTACAGCTTTTGTAGAATGAAGCGTTTGTAGTCCTTGTATTAAACTCTTAAACAAAGCTTTTAGCAAAAAATTGAAATTCAACACAACATTTGTGAGAATAATTTGTATATATTTGCTATACATACATATTTGCTGTTGGACCATAGGACCCGTTCTGTTTTTCTCCGTCCAAGTTGGCTTTCTTTATTCACAATATTTTTTCACAGATCCAAACATCTAAATGGAACATGCGTGAAATATCCAGAGGATGGAATATGTTTCAAATACCTAAATAGCTCAGTACCACAGTATCGTGAGCATCTACGATTTATTGATGATAATATGGGGCTAAACAAAACAAACAAAATTTTGGAAGAATTTCAAAAGTTAATAAATGTAGTTGCATTGAATGAACTTAATAAAACCTGTTTCCATACAGTACGACACCTACTATGTCATTATATTCTTCCCCCTTGTGATGATGGATCTTTCATACAAATTTGTCGTCAAGACTGTGAAATGTACGAGAAAGTTTGCCCAGGAAGAATACAAAAGTTGGTCGGAGCAGCGATCATTAGTTTGCATCGCTCAAAAAATGACTTTGCTCATCTCACTTTACCTGAGTGTTATAAACTTGATAAACAAAAGGATTTAAGCAAAGTTGGCAGGAAATGCTATTTGACTGGTTTCTTTGGTAAGCACGCGAGCAAAATGTTTCCATTTCATATAAATAGTCAAGGTCAGTGACCGCACGTTATCTTTTTTTCAGATCAGCCTCCTGTAAATATGTCTGATGCTCCTGCAAATACTCCAAAAGAGAGAGAAAAATCTAAAGATAAGATAATAATAATCACCTCAGTGGTTGTCGTCTCAGTGCTGTTGGTTACGCTTGTCTTGTTTTTACTCGTATGTCGTCTACGAATGAAAAGAAAAGTACGAGAACACCATGACATGAAAACATGTGAAGTGAAGAAAGCAAAAGGGAGAAAATTTCCATTCGAGTCTGTAAAAGATCACATTAACATGCTGAAAGAGAATGAGTTTTTGAAACCCAACTTACCTATCAACGACGTTAAAATGATACGTCAATTTCCAGTAGATAATGTTGCTTACGAAAAAGAGCTTGGAGAGGGACAGTTTGGGCAAGTATTTCAAGGTGAATTGATTATTTCAATATAGACTCTTATATTTCATTGATTGTTTCAATAATCAGTAAATATTTTCTTCGGAAAGGTCGTGCCATTGGTCTTAACGACGAAGATCCTGACATGGAAGTAATAGTTGCAGTAAAAACCTTAAAAAAAGGCTTCTCAGAAGAGACTAAAAGAGATTTTGACCAAGAGGCTTGCTTAATGAACTATCTTCATCATCCAAACATAGTTCGTCTTCTTGCTGTGTCGGCTATTGAGCAGCCATATTGTATGATTTTCGAGTTCATGAGATACGGAGATCTCAGTGAATACCTAAGAAAATCAAAACCTTTAAAAGAAGAGAATAAAAACATAGAAGAAACTGACAAAAGTACGAAAGCATGATGTACAGTATGAATTGATCACAGTGTCATGCAAAAATTGATTTGTCGTTAGGAACTTTTCTCTGCATTTTTTTCCTCTTCATACGTTGATACAGATCCAGCAAATGTTTGATAATTCACTTTTCTATCTTAGTAGATTACATTTCACCACATCACTTCAATCTTTACAAATACTTCCTGCGGAGAAAAGCACACGTATTTGTGTTAAACGTACCTTTACGAAATATTGACATGTTATCGAAAACTCTTTCCTTCAAAACAGATTATCTTTCACGAGAAGAACTCATTCGTATGTGTGTTGATGTTGCCAAGGGAATGGAACATCTTGCAAGCCATCATCTTATCCATCGGGATGTGGCGACAAGGAACTGTCTTGTAGCTGATGATCTTACGATAAAGATCGCCGACTTTGGAATGTCTCGAGATATTTATTCAAATAACTACTACAAAGTAAGAAAATAGTGCCAAGTTTCTGTAGCAAGATGTCATAGCGTGTAGTCTTAACATGAAAACAATATAAAATAGAGCTCTAAAACTAGATATGTAATTGCAAGAAATATTACCTTGAAATGTTGCCATCATTTATTTAATCTTTTGTTCAGATTGAGAAAGACACCGTTTTACCAATACGTTGGTTATCACCAGAGTCAATTCTTTATGGCAAATTTACGATTGAATCAGACATTTACTCCTATGGCGTCCTCATGTGGGAAATCTTCACGTTCAGCATGCGGCCTTATTATGGCTATACGAATAAACAAGTGCTTAACTTCATTGTGAAGGTGAAATGAAGTGACTTATTCATATATCTTATAATCAAGTCAAACGGCCAAACATTGATTGATCATATAAATTCCAGTTTAAGTCTAACTTAATTCCTAAAATCCTGTTAAACTTGATAAATGGAAAACAGCTGACCTAGACCGTCCATTGAAAAGAGTTTAAAGCTCAGAAAGCTTTCTCAATCTCTCGAACAGCTACATTATAGCACATTACACAAAACATAGCAATGTCAACTTATCCATGAATTATGTTATTCTCGTAGGGAGTTCGTCTTGGAAAACCAGATTTCTGTCCCCATTTTGTCTTTTCAATCATGAAGAAATGCTGGAGAAAGGATCCCAAGCGAAGACCATTTTACAATGAAGTTATGTCAGCATTGAATGGAGAGACAACGCGGGAGAATGAGCCAAGAAACGTGGTACAAGCTACAATCAAAAATTTCAAACAAAAAGAAACGACGGAGCATAATTATCAAAACTTCATTGCATTTTCTAAGAATGGTAAGAAAAGGTTCTTCTCTCTATTGGAAATAAATCATGAACAGTTAAAAAATTAACACAATGTTACAATACATTTTAGCTCACGAACCTGCGACAGTCGTCAACGATCATGGATCTCAAAAAACCCAAACAGATCCCCTTCTAGAAAATGATTCGGTAAAGGAGAAAGAAAATAAGAGTAGACGAGAGAATGGTAGTTCATATAAAAACTCTACTTCAAGCGAAAATGGAAGTGTAAACACTGCCCACGATGACGGCCTTGATGATGAAATTAATTCAAACGTCATGAACAGACAAAATGACAACGAAACTAACAATGTTTCACGAAAAACGAAGAAAACATATTTGTTTTCTGAAAAAGTTAACAGCTACAATTGTTAGCAAACCCTCATTTATTACGTTAACATACTAAGTTGTATTTTGACAACAATTTAAAACATTCACTGTCAATTTAATCACATACAAATCGAAGATTTTTGACTAGAACATTTCTTTATCATTTTTCATATTAACTAAGTTATCAAGGGTATTCAAGTAAGCAGTTTCTACCTAAAAGTCACAAGTGGGAAAAGCTCTCAGTGGATTGTTCATTGTGGATTGTTTCATTGTGTACATTTATGTATATAACAGGAACATGTAAGTATATTATTGTGTACATATGGCACAAAATTCCATAAATCATAGCTACACACCATTAAACACCTGTAATCACTTTGTAAGAGCAATTATAAGATATTTCAATGTAATAATGAATATGAATGAATTATATGACTGGATATCAGTGTATGCTATTATTGAGCAGAGCAGAGCACTGGGGAGGAAAAAAGCATTTGCCACAGGTAAAGCTTGTATTAATTATATTTTCAGTGTGGAATTTTGTGGCCAATAAAGATTTTAATGTTGACAACAACTATTTCTGATAGTTTTATTTTTTGTTATGCATAAAATCATCCATATAAAATCCGTTCTAGGACATTGGTGAATAAGCCAGAGGGAATACCGAGTACTACAATTACTAATTTACTATCACAATATCAATCGTAAACGTTGCCATGGTTCCATTTAAATAGTATGTGGCAACCTTTGTTCTTATGTTGTCGATATGTTTGTTTATGTACAAGAAATTTTCATTTCAGTTTTGATCTGGTTCTGATTTGTTAGATTTGGATGATTCTGTGCTATGGCTGCTGTTAGAGTTCAAAACTACTTGAAAAAACATAAAATAGGACCATTGTTAGAGGTACAATTCATTCGACACCGCGACACACGACAATCAATCAATCTAAAGAAGCCTTTTCAAAATATTTAAAACGAAATATTTTTATTTTTAAATATGTGAAAATATAGTCGTTAATGGCAAGAGTTATTCAAGATATGCCTGACGATCCAATTGGATATTTTCTCAAAGTATTGCAAAACATTCATGAAAAACAATCGACGCATTTTAATGATGCAGTAAGTACAAGAAATTAAGGAGCCTGATAACTCTGATTAGCACAAACAATCTTCTAAAACCTTTATTTTGATATCGAATTTATTTCAGAGAGAAAGCAACTCACCAAGACCTTCATCTCGTCCATCCACTGGCTCTCTAGGTGAAGATTGTATACTATGCATGGAAAATAACATAAAAAGGATACTTTATTTCAATAACAAATTTTTTTTTGCCAAGACAAAAAACAACATTAAAAGACATACTTTACGTTTATTTATTTTTGTGCATAATAGACAACACTGGAAATTCAGATAACTTGGCAAAATCATGGAGTGTTGGTCCTGTTGTAGGATTACATGAGAAAACTAAGAAACAGAATCAGTTGCAAAAATGGATGAGAAATGATTCCCAGTCCTTGACAAACAATACGTCTAAGTCCTTGAATCTCGGTCGTTCGCCCAAAAATATATCACAAAAATTACCTCCTTGGAATAATGACACAAGAGTTGCTACTCATGATTTTGATGAACTGTTTCAAATGCAAAGTCGGATCTATAACATAAATGACAAAACCTTGGAAAAAAGTGATACAGAAAAATATAAAGGTGATAATATGACACATGAAATAAAATAAACAAGCCTTAACATAGTTAATGTTGCTTTGTTTATGTCTCACATATTTTGATCTTGTCTTCATTGTCTTACATTTATGTCAAAATAATGAATGCCCTGAAATAAATGTACAAATCCTTTTAGTTCACAACTGGAAATTGAACAAGAAATCATCGTCGGAAGAGAATATTTCATTTCAACCCAGTGAGCATAACACATGGTTAGAAAATGAACTCAGTTTAGGCCCAAAGCAATTGTCTTCAGTCAATGATGCCCAGGTTGATCAAATAACTCTAAGGTGAAATAGATGATACATATTTTGTTTAACTTTGTGTTTGTTAGAGATTTATAGTTTTCATTGTTTGAACTATGGTGTGTGAACTATGTTCTGTTTTGAGTAGAACTTGTTGCTATTGATCACATTGGTAAATTTAAGAATAAATTTGTTGGATTTTAGGAACTTGTATAATATGAAATATAATTTTGTATATTGAACTTGGTACAATATTTGAATAACCATGTTCAAATAAAATCAGTCACTTACACACATGTAACTTAAAGAATGCCTTAGTTTGTGTCTTGCTCATTTATATGTATCTTCTTTCATAGAAATTCTAAAAGAGGAAACAGCAAACACAATCATCAAAAACACAAACAAGACCTTCAGGTAGTTACACATGTATACATAAATGTCTTTTACAAAAAGATTTTTTGTTATCAGAAATACATTTTATGATGGTCTCCATAGGCCTTGCTGTTAGATGTGAATGAGTCTCGGCAACAACAGAAGGGAAGCATAGATGTATCATCACTTCCGGAATATGGAACTGAAATCCTAGAAAGAATAGAAGATTTACAACAAGAAGGTTTTGATTGTGGCAAAGCAAATACTGAAGGGGAACAAAATTGGGTAAAATGTTTAATAACAGATTTCACCTGCCAGTTGACTTTTTTGGAAATAACAGTATAGTAATTTCCATAAGCTATTTGAATATACTTAGCGTAAACATGATCGCGAGAAAGCAATTCCTCAGAAGACTTACGCAAGACGTGTGAGGAAGAATATAAGAGAGATAGACAACGAAACAGACAATCAGTCGAAAGGTTTAAGACAAACATCATAAATTTTACCTTACTTTGGAATGTATTCAATGTAAAATAATTCTTGTTTTTAGTAACAAATGATGATTTCAGCGCGATGCTTTTTGACAGTTTAACAAACAAGAAGAAAGGTGAACGTGCAGTTGATTCAATTGACGCATATGGTATAGGTCTAACGTTATTTGTCCTCTTCAGATAACAACTTTGACGACAATTCATCAGAAACAAGCGAGAAAATCTTCAATACACACATTGTAATAAATTTAGTCTACAGCGAAATTATTCAACTTCTTCAACTTTCATTAACTACTCCTGTTATATAAAGGCTTAACTCAGATTATTTGTATTACCGTAGAATTTGAGAGGGCAGAAATACTGGCCTCTGACTGACAGTGAAAGTAAGTTTTCTTTCAAGAGTTTCTTACAGCTTAATAATAAAATTTTGTGGTTGATTCTATAGATGAGTCCACGTCACAAAATAATGTAGAGTTTGAGAGAAACCTAAGACGATTTACTCCAAATGGAGACAGAAAGGCTTCTAGATTCAGGTATGATCAAATGGAAGAATAATCTTTAAGCTTTAAAGATAAATAAAATGCTTGTGTGACAAATATTTTGTTCCCATTTGTACAAATCAGTAATGCTAACTTTTCAACTAATTGTCAAGTAAAATTTAGATATTATGTAAGAGAGTTTATTTACAATAAATAAAAAGAGTGCTGATGAACAATGGTGTTTATGTCTTCATTCAGTGCAGATAAAGAAGATGAAGAAACAGCAGCTACACCTAACTCAGTACGTAGCAACTCCAGCCTTTTCGATTTCCCTAATTCTTTGCGAAATCAAGGATGGAAAGTTAACGAAATCTCAGACAATGAGGTACTAAATGATTAATGAAAAACTTACCTATGCACAACTTATAAGACTTGTTATTTTAACATTAATTATTTTCCCGCAATTGGTGGTTACTCGTTCATATAAATATACATATACACTTTTAGAGCAACCTAATGATGGATCCAAGCTCAAAATTAAACACTAGATCCCAGAGCAGTATGAAAGGTCGGATATGGCCAAGCAGAGGTTTGGAGATAAATAGTGACGAAGATACATTATGAATCGTCTAAGAGATTTCGTTGATTAACTAGTGGCGTAAAAAGTCGTATGTAAAAAACGTACGAGATATAAAAAGTGAATAACCATGCCACTAATTGTAACTTCCATAATGTAAACAGTAACAAACTTTGAGGAAAGTCCATATACAAACTTACCAATTCTGTGTGGACGAGGTTTTACAGCAGCTTAAAACATATCTTATTTCAAAGATTTCGCCATTTTTTTGACCGTAATTTGCAAACGTTACGCTTGCTTTAACTCATGCAATTAGATTTTTAATGTTTAGCTACGGAAAATACATAAATACTGTACAACAGTACAAGAACTAATAAACACGACCAAAAATTCAAAGAACTCCATGCTTATTTCCTTGAACCTAAGATCGTGTATCCTGGTGATCAAAGAACGCCATTCAGCAAGATCTTACGCTAACCGACATCAGACATATATAGCACTTTTCTTGTTTTATCTTGCTCGGTGATAATCTTACATTGTATGATTGTCAAATAAACGCTTTCGGCAATATAAGATGTATTATCATTTGAAGGCAAACTTTGTGACCGCAAAAAGCATTAAGCACTGTATCATGCACAAAATTTGAAAAAAAGCAGCAACAGGAATCAAAAGAACACAACTTACTTTATTATTTAAATCAACAAATGTTCAATCATCTTCCTGTTAGTGCTATTCACCAGGATTTTAACTAAAATACCACAAACCTGAAACGTCGTCTTTGGCCATCTTTCGTAGAGTAACGTAATCCTCAATTGATTAATCCAAGGTTAATTTGACATCCACAACCACGATGATGTTGATCCTTGACGATGATATAAATCCATGACGACCATGAAGTAAATTCTCGACAACCGTGATTTTCTATACGATGACTATGATTGTGATAAACGATTAGATAAGTAAATCCACGAAAAACATCATGTAGTATGTAGGATTCATTATGCGCCACCATTGTACTGTTTTTTCACTACAAAACAAAACGAAAGGTTCAATATAGCTGAGACGAAATTCAGTAAAATTTAGGGAAAATACTGTTATGCACAAAAAACGTGAAACAACAGTTTTCAATGATAGGCAGAGAGCTTATGACCAAATTCCAAAATAATATGAATTTTACTGTAAAAACTTAAATTCTGTGTAACTTCGTACCATACAATGTAAACAAGTTCTTTCAAGTCCAAACGATATCAAGAAATTACATTCCAATCTCCACTCTATTTTAACGTGAAGTTATTTGTTGGGTAACTATGGTAATAAATATTAGTTGCTTTTCGCGGAGCAAAGTCCAATTTATACGGCTTTATCTTCTCGTAATGTAGTCAAAAAGCAACTGTAAAGATTGCTCAATACAAATAGATTCCATAAATTACCTATAGATTGGTCCTCATCAGCAACCAACTGCTTCTTCAAAACCTCCAGCAGTGATGAATAAATTTTTTGATTATAGAATGAAACATATTCTGATTATGTTTAGTTTATTTATATCTTCACCAACATCATGAACAGTTCCCACTACTATATACCACGTGAGCCAACGAGCTTCCAAACTGTATATGTGATTCATCGATATTTCATTTGAACATATCTTCCGTAGACTACGTCATATTAATGGATAGTTTTTGCATTGGAGCCTCGTCCTCGCTAGAGCTTTTATCGTCGTCAACATGCTTGGAATCATTCATGTTTTAATTGGTCAACGAGTCCTCATCCAAAACTCTCGAGCGTACGCTGGGTGCTTGAACTACGTTCAATTTCATCAAGCTATCTTCAACCTGGACGTCGTTGTTTCTCTTCTGTCACGCTTGATTTTGTTTCACTGTTGGAAGTTTCATTTTCAAGTATTTCTTCTACCTTAATCCACGAATTACAATATCTGTCATAAATATTAAAACATTGTTTATGCATAAAATATGCAGTTACAAAGTTATAAAATCTCTATATATAAATATAAATTAGAGAAAATAAAAAACATCTCTAATATTGTCACAGATATTAAGAGTGGCGTAACAAAATGTTGATGAGTTTGACATGCATTTGTCAAAATAAGCTTAAGAAGACAAAGAGCGTGCAAAAAATATATGGTTGAAAATTTGCTAAGCGCACATACAAGCATCAATTTCAGAGCTTGCTCTGTCACATATTAATTGACATATATTCTTAGCCCGCGTAATCAACTGCACCTACTCTGTAAGTTCATTATCGTGACAACGACCAACAGTATGTACTAGTACCAATTATGGAGTAAAAAACTCGCTCATTCACAAATTTTCAGATAAATCATCTGCGCATGCGCAGTCTGCTTGAGCATACACAGTCGACTTGACCAGCTGCACAAGTTCATGGTCATGGCATCGACCAATTGCATCTACTAGCGACAATTTTTAAGTAAATATCATGCTTAGTAACAATTTAATGGGGAAATCATCTGCGCATGCTCAAGCGCATGCGCAGTCCACTCGACTAATTGTTCATAGTCATGGCAACGACTAACTATATGTACTTGCACTACTTTCGTGGCAATTAGCTCAATTAGTCGCAAATTATCAAAGAAAACCTCGGAGCATGCGCAGTAGTTACTGTAATAATACCATAACTTTCGTAAGCCTTTGAATTTGTGTATATATATATAAAGCTAAAACTTCATGTAGTAGATGTCAACTAGCAGTGGAAGCTGGGTGCGATATGTATGCAGTGGCTTAGGGGTCCAGACGTTTCGGGTCGCGACCGCACTCTCCCTGCGTATCCCGAGCAAAGCCTATCGCAGGTGATCTCGGGGTTTGATGGGCGGAAGCTTGCTATTGCATCTCCCAAGTAGGATAGCGTGGAGGGGCCGAACTCTCCTACCGAAACGTTAACATGCGGCGTTCTAGTGCCTTAAGATTAACAAGGTATCGGGAAGCATGGCCCGAAAACGGGGTTTTTTGTTTTCGAAATTTATCTATTTGTTTTATCTTATCTCTTCTCAAAGAGAAAATAAACCAAGCAATGTTTCAAATAACTTCTTCTGACACTATGCCTTTTCTTAACACATATAATTTTAGACAAGATGTTTTATACAACTTTTATTGGTTTGTATCTTTCTGATTTAACTCTCTCATTTACTGTTTCTCAAGTATCACGATTAAACCATCCAAGTGCTTCATGGCAAACAAGGATTATCTGGTTCCTATAAATAACATGCGTTGCTCTAGTGCTCAACTATCTATTTTAAATTTTTAAAAAAGTAAGTCATATAGACTTCTTTATTTGATCCTGATTGCAACAACATTTGATTCATTGTTATAAGGCCTTACCCTAAACTGAGTCTTCGGTTCATCTAACTCTGTGGAAGGTGATTGACGTGAGTTTCATAAATCATTTCGTGGCCTTCTTTCATTGGCTGATTTCAATGAGCATTGTTATTGGTTACATTTCATCGAGTTCAGCTCTGTTATCCCAGCATATTGACATGGTGCAATGTGCTTTTTTTCTACTTCCTACTTTGGAATAAAGATAGTTAAAAAGAAAAGCAAAGTTTTTTGTTCTCACCACTAGCAAATAAATTATTCACAGATTATATATTGACAATTGCTTTTATTGGGATAGTAGGAATTCCCCAATATTTTTTTGAAAATAATAATGAGCAGAGTAGCTCCATGTACATCAGTAAAAGTGATGTAAATGGTATATCTCACACGATTGGATCTTCTGACGATAACGAATAATGGAGTATCTATTCACTACACTCTTATTTTTATGTATTCACTTATTGAAAAATAACAGATTTCTAGAAAAATGAATAATGTATCGAAACAACCTAGCAGAACTAAAACTTGTTGGCTCGCCAGTTTAATGATATCAGAGTAGTTCCTAAAATAGTCAGTACGTAGCAACTGCAGCCTTTTCGATTTCCCTAATTTTTAGCGAAATCAAGGATGGAAAGTTAACGAAATTTCAGACAATGAGGTACTAAATGATTAATGAAAAACTTACCTATGCACAACTTATAAGACTTGTTATTTTAACATTAATTATTTGCGCGCAATTGGAGATTACTCGTTCATATAAATATACACCTTTAGAGTAACCTAATGATGGATCCAAACTCAAAAATAAACACTAGATCCCACAGCAGTATATGGCTAAGAAGAGGTTTGAAGAAACAACAGTGACGAAGTTACCTTGTCTTAAAGCAGCTTAAAACATATCTTACGTCAAAGAATCTTTGCTTCATATCATATAATGTATATGATAACATTTAAATTATGTTTTTTAAAGAGATTTATCAAGTTTACATGTAGGAACAGAATGATAAATTTACATCCTTCAATTTGTATTATTCTCCTTTGCTATGATCAATAATGAAGTTATTTTTTAAGAATAATTATCATTGATTATACTGGTGTTTTTGAAAAGTGTGAAGGGAAACTACTGAAAACACCAAATTTCAACTCCGCAACACAAGAACTCCTCTTTCACTGTAAGAGGTTCGTTATTAAACGTCTTACAACGATGGCTACTGCCATTGTATAAATCTTCATCCAGCCAAAGGCCAAAATTTCCTCTGTTAAACAAACGAAGAATTTTTATAGAATATCACAAGAAATGTACAACGTAGCTTAAACTATATCCATGTATATTGAGTCATAATAAAATGAGCAAACACAAATATAGATATTCACCAACTCAGACAATTCCAGGAAGTGTACAGTGAAAAGCAGGTCATTGTAAAGCGAGTTAAAGTAAAATGAAAATGTATTTTCAATAGTTTATTAAGCTATTTAGTCACCCTTTCTATTTATGCAAAAACGTCCAAACATCTCAATAGACAATGGTAAAACAAACTAAAAAATTCATAAAAATTCAAACTTACTTTCCTCCACCAAGAGCTAAAGAATCAAGATCACCTTTTATAAAGAAAGTGTTTTCACCACTCCAACGAAATGCCTTAAAGAAAGACAGTTCATACAACAATAATTAGATTTCAAACATTAAACTGTTCTATCTATACACACGTAGGATTCCAACGAAGATGCCTTCAACTTACTTTGAAATGAGGGTGAAATGTATATAGAAAGCATTCTCCAGTCCCATAAAAATGATCACTGACCGCAAACGGACTGGATGCAAACGCTCCAAAAACCTGTATAACACAAGATGTGAGCAGGAACTAACACATGAGAAACATATCTTTATTTGGAAGAAAAGGAAATAAAGACTTTTTGACAGGTCGATTTATACTTAATCTTGTTAATGCCTGGGTAATAAGTGAAATCAATCTCAACATAAAAACTATACTCAAACTCGAATTCGAGTGCATAACTCGAACCTTGAGTTTACAAGATGATGTTTTTTTTGGAGTGTGTTTTCTCATGTAAAGGTTGTAATATAACTTGAGCATAAGCTTATAAGCAAATTTAATGCTTACTTGGTGAGAATCGTCGAGTATAACAAGTAATGCTGGTGAATCATAATCAGCTAAAGTTCTGTATAATGTCTTCAAACTGATGCCATGAAGATAAGTACTGTAAAACAAACGCCAACTGTGACCAATCGTACGTGATGGTAAACATTGAGATAGCTATAATAAAAATAAACATGAAAATATGGAAGAAATGAAATAAACGAGGAATGTTCTTTGGAAGGCAGCTGAAGTTCTCTATAATATAAACATACTACCTGCAGAATTTGATGATTAGTGAGAATTTCGGACTTGCCAATAATCTCTGGCATTACAGGTTCATCTGTAGAGCATGTGCTCCATGAACTTAAATTAAAAAAATAAAACTATAGCTTAGGCAAGAAACACACGCGCGCGCACGATCATTATACACGGTATACTGACGCAAAGCTACAAAAAAAATATGACAAAAGAAGTATAACTATGCTAGTCAAAGGAATTTCTTCTTCAAGTCAGATATTAACCTTGATCTTCGCGATGTGACTGATGTTTCAGAAATTTTCTTTTTTCGTTTTTCATGGCTGTGAGCTCTTTTTCTGTTTTCGCGATCACTTTGTTTGTGCTATAGAGAGAACAATTTCTTAACATCAAATTATTTCTCTCATAGAAGATGAGTAAAGGAATATGAAAGAATGAAGGACTTGAAAGAATGAAGGAAAAAATGATAAAAAATATATTGTACTAAATTACTTCAGTAATGTTTCCCATACCTCATTTTTAGGACTGTTTGAGTAAAAATTTTCGATAACATCAAATGTCTAAAGTATAGAGAAGAGAAATAAATTCACATGGTGTTATTTCTTCAACCAAACCCATTTCCACTTCATTCAGAAACTGTATGAAATTTACAATTACGTCATTTTGGCCAGTTTGCAAAATTGTAATTTTACAACATTGTGTGTGTATGTAAAATAAAACATTAACCACATAAAATATTGAAAATGATTTTTAAAAATAGTTGATTACATCATACCTCATCATCGTCATTCCTGGGCATAGTAATCACGCTGTAATCACTATCAATTGAACGTTCAAAATTTCGTTCTTCTTCCTCTTCATCGTCCGTATCACCATCGTGAATTGCCGGACACCATTCGAGAAAGAAACTATACACCTCAAGTAATCTAAATATAAAAATAAGAGAGAAATCAATCCATTTGACAGAACATATTAACCGTCAGCAAAAATTTCAAAGATATATCCATATTTTCACATCGTTTAAAAATGACTTGCATAAGAAGTGTCTTTTGAAGGTTTCATTTCTCATAAAAAAAAGATAAAGGAGTTTCTTCGTCACAGCACTTTTTGTGAGAGAAAATAATTGACAAGCATATATGAGTGACGTTTTACATCCAAAAATTCTTCAACAAATCCTGGGACAGGGGGTTATGTTGTTACCTTTCACTTGGTATAGAGAACCAGAACTCGCGTCTAACATCAGTAACTCGTTGTATGTCCTCATGAGCGTAAAGGCAACACCTAGGACGAATCTCCCGCCAACAAGATTTCTTTATTCGTATACAAAGATACTTTGGCATATTCTCATAGTGACGTGACGCTCGCGGCTTGATTGACACTGTAGGTAACGTAGGTATGTAAACAGAAAAGGAATGGTTATTTTAATTTGACACTGTAGGTAACGTAGGTATGTAAACAGAAAAGGAATGGTTATTTATATTGACACTGTAGGTAACGTAGGTATGTAAACAGAAAAGGAATGGTTATTTATGACACTGTAGGTAACGTAGGTATGTAAACAGAAAAGGAATGGTTATTTTTGACACTGTAGGTAACGTAGGTATGTAAACAGAAAAGGAATGGTTATTTATATTGATACTTACAACATCGTGAAAAGTTTCATCCTATGTACTTGTTATCGTAGTAAACGTATGTCATAGTGAGGATGGTATATCTAAAATCGATGTACTTGATCTCCTTATACTTATGTCATAGTGAGGATGGTACATAAGAAATCAATGTACTTGATCTCTTTATACTTATGTCATAGTGAGGATGGTACATAAGAAATCAATGTACTTGATCTCCTTATACTTATGTCATAGTGAGGATGGTACATATGAAATCAATGTACTTGATCTCCTTATACTTATGTCATAGTGAGGATGGTACATAAGAAATCAATGTACTTGATCTCTTTATACTTATGTCATAGTGAGGATGGTACATAAGAAATCAATGTACTTGATCTCTTTATACTTATGTCATAGTGAGGATGGTACATAAGAAATCAATGTACTTGATCTCCTTATACTTATGTCATAATGAGGATGGTACATAAGAAATCAATGTACTTGATCTCTTTATACTTATGTCATAGTGAGGATGGTACATAAGAAATCAATGTACTTGATCTCCTTACACTTATGTCATAGTGAGGATGATAAGATATTACTTGTTCACCTCGAATAACCACAATTTTGTATGCTGAAACACTGAAAAGTCAAACTCACCATGGGATTTACTTGAACATCTTTGATCATTAGTATCCTCCTCTTCGACATCTTCTTTACTTTCATGTATACCACTATCCAAACTAATACCTTCTCTAAATCCCTCTTTACCTATATCTACCCCGCGATCTCCTGCTAAATCCTTAAACAAGGGCATCTTTGGTGTGCTGTTAATTTGATGTAGTTTTGTTGCTGATTCATAATCTTTGCTTGTTTCTATGTCATCTTGATGTAGTTTTGTTGGTGATTCATAATCTTTGCTTGTTTCTATGTCATCTTGATGTATTTTTGTTGCTGATTCATAATCTTTGCTTGTTTCTATGTCATCTTGATGTATTTTTGTTGCTGATTCATAATCTTTGCTTGTTTCTATGTCATCTTGATGTAGTTTTGTTGCTGATTCATAATCTTTGCTTGTTTCTATGTCATCTTTGGGTTTTGAAAGTCCAGATTGTTCGCTTGATGACAAAACGACATCATCAACGGAAATTATTGTTGTGGAATCCATTGAAGTTTCCAAAGACAACTGTTTATCTGTACGATTGACAATATTCGTTTGTAATTCTTCCATAATTATACCCATCTCAGAGTCAACCTTATTAGCACCTGTGCATTTACTTTCCTCGAAAAATTGCTGTAAATCCTCTTTCAAATTATCTTCCAGATTACAACAATCTTTATCCGCGTTATCTTCACTAACGCAGCCATCATTTTCAATCAAGATTTTCTGAGAACAATCCCCTTGATCTGAAACATCCTTAGTAGTGTTTTCGTTCTCTTGATGTAAAATATTTTCTGTAATTTCACTTATTGACTCCAAAGATTTTTCCTGTAAAGCATCACAAGGTGCCTTTACAGTAATACAACTTTCCTTCTCATCCACTTTCTTAGGGGGTTGAATATCTTCATTGCCTAGCCATAACATGAGAGGTTTATCCAAGAAAAAACTAAGGAAGAAATACCAAGATATATTGACTAAATACTTCAACAATTTCCCATCAGAAACTCTTCTATGTCTATGTTCCGCATTCATGAATACCTACACTGACACACGTTATCTTATCTTATATTTTAGATAGTGTAAAGACTGTTCTTGTTCTTTGATGTTCATTCATCACTACCTACACTGACACACGTTATCTTACTTTATATTTTAGGTAGTGTAAAGACTGTTCTTTTTCTCTGTTGTTCATTCATCACTATCTACACTGACACACGTTATCTTAGTTTATATTTTAGGTAGTGTAAAGACTGTTCTTTTTCTCTGTTGTTCATTCATCACTATCTACACTGACACACGTTATCTTAGTTTATATTTTAGGTAGTGTAAAGACTGTTCTCATTCTCTGTTGTTCATTCATCACTACCTACACTGACACACGTTATCTTAGCTTATATTTTAGACAATGTTAAAACTGTTCTCATTCTATTGTTCATTCATCACTATCTACACTGACACACGTTATCTTAGTTTATATTTTAGGTAGTGTAAAGACTGTTCTCATTCTGTTGTTCATTCATCACTACCTACACTGACACACGTTATCTTAGTTTATATTTTAGACAATGTTAAAACTGTTCTCATTCTATTGTTCATTCATCACTACCTACACTGACACACGTTATCTTAATTTATATTTTAGGTTGTGTAAAGACTGTTCTTTTTCTCTGTTGTTCATTCATCACTATCTACACTGACACACGTTATCTTAGTTTATATTTTAGATAGTGAAAAGACTTTTCTCATTCTTTGTTGTTCATTCATCACTACCTATATTGACACACGTTATCTTAGTTTATATTTTAGACAATGTTAAAACTGTTCTCATTCTATTGTTCATTCATCACTACCTACACTGACACACGTTATCTTAATTTATATTTTAGGTAATGTAAAGACTGTTCTTTTTCTCTGTTGTTCATTCATCACTACCTACACTGACATACGTTATCTTAGTTTATATTTTAGATAGTGTAAAGACTGTTCTCATTCTCTGCTGTTCATTCATCACTACCTACACTGACACACGTTATCTTAGTTTATATTTTAGGTAGTGTAAAAAACGTTGTTATTCTCTGTTGCAAGTTATTATAATCAAACTTACTGTCCAGGTTGAAGCTCATCATGAACGACCATGGATGCAATATCATCAAATAAACCAGCAGAACAAACTGATTGCATTGTAAAATGTACGTTATAATACTCTATGCCTCTATCTACAACAAGTATTTCAGAGACATCAGGAAGAAACATCACGGCATGAGGAGTGATCAATAAAAACCCTTTTACAACACCCTAGAAAGACACATAGTTTATGGGAAAAAAAGTTCTACAAAACCTGAGTCTACAGCTTTTTAACTACCTGTCCATCTGTGATATATTTTGATTTAATCTTAATGAATGTTTCTAAAACATCCTCATCAATATCTTCAAAAGAAACTCGTTTTGCAACCGGTATTTTACACATTACATCATTTGTTGGCTGCATCGTCATTATCTGCAATTAAGATATCAATTATTATCACGACATTGAACTATGTGAAACAATGCACATAGAAAGTTCATTATGAAAATCTAGATATCCTATTAAACATCCTATGAAAACCTAAAAACCTAAACATTGAAAGCTAAGAATCAGACCTTCAAACATCTCCCACAAATCTCTGACACCTCATCTTAATATCTACACAAAAATCTGGTCCTTATTTACAAGTAGAAACGTACAAATTTCACATATTTTCACTATTAATACTTAAAGCTATCCCAGCAAAATTGACCAGATCATTTTTACCTGTGAAGCATCTGTTTTTTCATTCATCGGACATTCAAAACTAGCTTTGGCAGGTTTTGGTGAAGGAACTCGAAGGATCTGATGAACATTAAAACAATAATTTGTAGATCAACACTAACATCACAAAACCATTGTACCTAAGCCATACATCCAATAGGACAATCACAATGGCCAAAATAAATTCTTTGGTATGCAAATAAGTTTAATAAAATTTGCATTTTGTAAAAATGTTAAATTTGCATGTCAAAGGACAATGCCATGTTTTTGACTAAAATGAGTAAAAAAACATTCATTACATTTAGACATTTATCCAAGGAAAGGCATGAATAAATATAACCCAATCCATACAACTGTTTCAATGATTTTTCTTCAGCCATGATGACTAAATATTTTTAACATAATGAAATGCAATGTTTTAAAGAAGTACATAAACATGCTATTTCAACCAGAGCATATGCTTAACACAAAACTCTGTCAGAATACTTTACAATAAAGTTATTTAACTGCAACCAAGACTTTCATAACAGACTTTAAATATCAATTATTCATTAGATAGAGCAGGTTGTAAGTTTTATTGCTGGTAGTGACATTTAAAAGTTGAATCACTGATCAAATGACTATACATAGATGGACTTGTTGTGTTGCACAATATAACTTCAATTTAAGATATTGAGTTCTTACAAAAATTTATTCATTTTTCTTGTCATTTATGGCATACTGGTAAGGCATCCTGCTGACTTGTTATAAATTGTTATGAACTGATCATTTTAGTAGTATTGTGCTTTTACTAACTTATATCAGGTCTTACCTGTCCGGGGTAAAGTGTTCTTATTGTCAGCCTGTTGAGTCGACTTAATTCTGAAGGAGTTACATCAAACTTTAAAGCAATTTTTGGTAAACTGTCATAAGCAGTCACCTAGTAAAACATAAAATATTAAAGTAAGGGACAGATCAGAGAATAAAGTAAAAATGAACATCTATAGGATCACATGATTGTCACTCACAGTATACTCAATAGTGTTCTCCATTTTTCTTAAAAGATCTTTGTGGAGCAATTTTGTTTGTTTCTTGATCAGATCAGAGTCAACTGAAACATTGTTTCCAAATTGTCAGACTTAGTTGTCAATATTTAATTAAGGAAACTTAGACATGCAGCAAAATATAGTGACGTTCAATGTTGCACAAATTTTATACAAAAATATTCTGCAATAACAACACAAATAGTTTACCAAGAGTTTCGTTTAGTTTTTTGTCCGGAGTTAAATCAATGGTGTGCAAATCATTTCTCCACCACCGTCCAAAGAAATACGATATGCTTTCCCATGAAATGGATCCAGTCGATTGCAAATCAACACTTGATCGTATAAGTATCTCACGTTTTTTGCCGTTATTACAATTCACACTACGACAAAGTTAAAAATTTACGAACAATATTGCAGAAACGTGTAACTATCGGAAATGTACAAGTAAACGCACATCATTTAAAAATTTAACTTCCGTTTGAAACAAAGATTATAATTAAAGTAATAAGGAAAAAACAAAATGGGTACTACCGCATGGTTATCCCATGCATGTGAATTGTGTAATTTCAACCTGTTCTTCAAATAATATAATTTGTATAATTTATCAAAAATCATACCGTTCTGCACGGCGAGCTTGTAAATATCCATACATTGGAAAAGTTCCTCATCCAAAAGTTCATTTTATGGAATACATTGGTACTACATTTTACAAGAGGTAAAGACAAGTCTAGAAAACCATTTCAGAACAATTACAACAATACAACTCGCTGTTGGATTAATTTTTGTTCTTCCAACACTTGAATTGTTTGTGACGTATTTAATAAACTCGTACCCAGTCCTTCTCAAGTTATCACGGATTGTTGATGTTGAATCAACCAACGCCCCTAACAGCCCTGCAGAAATAGTTTACGAGTCCTCCATATAGATTTATGTACATAGTGATTCGTTTCCAGTTATTTCGCTATAGCTTTACATATATTTACCATCTTTTTACATTTTTTGATGAATGATCATGAGGCACAATGGAGATAAAAATAACCTTTTATTTTTTTATTTCAATTTTAAAACTACCGATTTGGTCAACTTTACAACAACCAGTGAATCAATCTGATCACTATCATTATGTTCCACGATTCTCCAAATCCTTAACTTTATAAATTCGAACCAACCAATGCTCAGTCGTATAAGCCTCTTCCAAAACTTCCAATTCAAATTCCTAAATGATTATTTCACAGGAATAAGTTGGCCAGAAAACGAAACAAACAGTCAACAGGTTAAAATTATATAGAGAAAACTACGATAAACAATGTTATACAACCTGATTAAATTTATAAAGCAATCTATAATAACTTATCATATACAAATAATTCTTCCTCGATTGATTTCAAACAACTGGTATCATAAAGTAACTTTATATACTTTGAACAAATGTTAAATAAAACGTCAAATTCACCAACCTTGTTACCGATTTCGGTGTTTCTCACTCTATCATAACCAGTTGGCTTGCCTTAAATGAAAAAAATCGTCTTACAGGGGAAGAAATTTCAAATATTTCCAGGAAATAATCAAAAATTGTTTTCTTAATTGCTTCACTGGTCTAACCATTCAGAGACATGTTTAGTTAAATGGTCGGATCACGTAAGATAAAATTCATCAAACCTTGCTCAGTGTAAACAGAACCAAAGCGATAATAACACATCTTATACATTAAACAATTGAGTAAAGTAGGAGAGCCTTCTTTGTCAACACGAAATTCTCCAGTAGGTGTATAATAATCATTTTCCTTTATGTGCGATCCACGATCTGTGCTTCCTCCGATACGAACCATCCAAAGAAATTTATTGATGTCTAACAATAGAATAAATAAGAATGTTAATAACATCAGACCATTAAGCAATAGTCCTTTTTGAAGCAATACTAGTGATCCAAAGATAGTGTAATGTTCCAGACAATCACTAAGTTTAATATGGTATGACTAAATTGAATTTTCGTCTCTGATCACTTAAAACAAAACCCTAAACAGAAAAAAATAACCATCAGACGCATATCCAGTAAGACCACCAAAGATCACCAAAACATAGTCAACATCAAGTTCTCTCATTATTTCATAAGCCTTATCTTCCGTTGACGACATCGCCTGAAGTTGAAGAAAACATAGAAGTTTAGTACAAGAGCAAGAAAAAAGGTGATGCCATCAAACAATATAAGTGACTGAAGAAATTTTAGTTGTTGTAGTGGTTTTTATCAATAACATAAAATTCATAAATCATTGGTCAAAACAAACTAAAACTTACCTGACCAACACGGGAAATATGTGTATTGTTCCAAGTGTTATTATCAACTAAAATAGTTCGGTTCGCCATTGCTGTTATCTGATACCCATAATCCCACCATGACATTATCTTTGCATCCTAATGTGAAAAAAAATAAATAAATGAGTAACTATGTATTTATGATGATACGTATATTGCTATACACCTTGATTTATCTTCATGAATTATGAAAGTCGGGTACATTAACTATACCAAAAGCTGTTTTGAAATTTTAATTAAATAGAGGGATTGGAAAGAATACCTTATGACATTAAAGTTATGCACAAAAAACAAACAAACAAAGATCTAGACATTATTACAAAACTTATTATTACCAACCTCAGGAGTGTTTTGACTTAACCAATAATAAGCTTCACGAAAGTCGTCAAATATGACCCGAGAGCCATCATGTTGCCTAGCTGACAGCACAATAGATGGGCTGGAATACGCTTCAGATGTGACCCAAGTACAATGGAAAGTATAAGACAGAAGAAACAATGTCATTAAAAGAACCATTCCTGTCGCCATTTCATTCTTCATTGGATAGGATGAATCAGTCGATGTTTTCTTCGAAGGTTTTTTCTCACGACGAGCAATATCTAAATTCTTGAGATAGTTTAAGCGAAATAATTGATCAGTGATTGAGAAGAAGGAGAGAAGGGGGAGGCGAGCGAGCATTTTTGGAGCTCTTACCTTCATATAACGAGAAAGCAATGAAGAAATTCCGATTCCAGCCAAAATACACATAACAGGTGCTAACACCAACATAAGACGAACCATAACACCCTGTTTAAGATAAAGTTTTGTGCATTCTCTTAGTTCATATCTTAGGTAATGTAAAAATTTCGTTCTCTGTTGTTCATTCATCACGACCTACACTGACACATGTTATCTCAGTTTGTATTTCAGATAGTGTAAAGACTGTTCTCATTCTCTGTTGTTCATTCATCACTACCTACACTGACACACGTTAACTTAGTTTATATTTTAGATAGTGTAAAGACTGTTCTCATTCTCTGTTGTTCATTCATCACTACCTACACTGACACACGTTATCTTAGTTTATATTTTAGGTAGTGTAAAGACTGTTCTCATTCTCTGTTGTTCATTCATCACTACCTACACTGACACACGTTATCTTAGTTTATATTTTAGGTAGTGTAAAGACTGTTCTCATTCTCTGTTGTTCATTCATCACTACCTACACTGACACACGTTATCTTAGTTTATATTTTGTAGTGTAAAGACTGTTCTCATTCTCTGTTGTTCATTCATCACTACCTACACTGACACACGTTATCTTAGTTTATATTTTAGATAGTGTAAAGACTGTTCTCATTCTCTGTTGTTCATTCATCACTACCTACACTGACACACGTTATCTTAGTTTATATTTTAGATAGTGTAAAGACTGTTCTCATTCTCTGTTGTTCATTCATCACTACCTACACTGACACACGTTATCTTAGTTTATATTTTAGGTAGTGTAAAGACTGTTCTCATTCTCTGTTGTTCATTCATCACTACCTACACTGACACACGTTATCTTAGTTTATATTTTAGAAGTGTAAAGACTGTTCTCATTCTCTGTTGTTCATTCATCACTACCTACACTGACACACGTTATCTTAGTTTATATTTTAGGTAGTGTAAAGACTGTTCTCATTCTCTGTTGTTCATTCATCACTACCTACACTGACACACGTTATCTTAGTTTATATTTTAGATAGTGTAAAGACTGTTCTCATTCTCTGTTGTTCATTCATCACTACCTACACTGACACACGTTATCTCAGTTTATATTTTAGATAGTGTAAAGACTGTTCTTGTTATCTGTTGAACATTCATCACTACCTACACTGACACACGTTATCTTAGTTTATATTGTAGGAAGTGTAAAGACTGTTCTCATTCTCAGTTGTTCATTCGTCACTACCTACACTGACACACGTTATCTTAGTTTATATTTTAGGTTGTGAAAATACTGCTCTCACCCTCACCCCACTCACGAAAAAACAAAAAATACATACCGCAAAGTAAATACTAGTGACGCCATACATAATTATAAAGATGTTAGCATCAGAAAGACTAGAAAAACAGTAATACAGTCCAACAGGAAACATGAACACTAAAATCTGTAAATCAAAGTAGAAAGACGACCAGGTCGTGGGTTGATGTTCCGACACAGACGCGATAATTGGAATATTATTTTTAGCGTAAGAAGGATCTAGTAAAGAGTAGAAACGACCAGTCCATGGAGAAATTTTCCCAGTTGCTGTTAAAACACCAAAGACAAGCAAGGCTCCACCACCAAGCAGTAATACAGCACTCTTGAACAACACAGCAAACTGCGCTGGAGTCAATTTAGCTCGAACATAATCAATGAATGCATGGATCTGACACAAACCAAAAACACCAAACGCCTAGACATCATGTAAAGTGATAAATAAAACAATTGTTTCTAACAATATCTAGTAATAATATGTACTGACATACTGTATGTATGAACAAATGAGAAAAATACTCACAGCCATGTGTTCACTTGATTGTACAGGTTGAAATCCAACAAAAGATATTTGCATTGAAAGAATTGTGCCAAGACAGTATACCTACGTATAACAGCAAATGTTCAAATGAATAGAGGCAAAGATGGTTGATATAACATACACAGATTATTTCATTTCATAACTGTGTTTTCAGGCAAACTTTTACATCCTTACCGTACAATATGCAACATAGATACGATGAGAAAATCTGCCTGTCACCATTAATGCCAGAACATGAAGGGGAATTAAATTGATGAGGAAGACATAGCCACCCCAAGATGATACCTTAATATGAATAAAAAATGACACTTTATTATTTTGTTTTATCACTTGGAGAAATCAATTTAGTACAAAGCATTTGTAATAATAATGATAATGCTGTTTTGAAACATAAAAAATTTTTGTGCAAATTGTAAATTAGATGAAAAGACAAAAATTCAAAGCAAAAAGAAAGTACTTTGACTTATTATCTCACCATGTAAAAGTAAGCAAGAGCACAAAATGTTGACCAGAACACAGATCCAGTTTTGACAGATTTTATCCATAAAGTGTATGTAAGCAACATACAAAAAATAGCAATGCCTTCATTATCATATGATCCAGCAACAGACCGGGATATATAGCCTGTAGAAAATAGATTATGAGAAAAAATTTAAAAAACTATAATTCAATGCATTTTATAAATATTAAAACTAAGTGAGGCATGGCTACCTGGAACTACAGAAATCATTGCAGCTGCTACCAGTCCTGCACCTTCATCCTGGGTGATAATAATTTGTAAAAATTTAAATTTCAAATGAAAAATTCAATTATAACAAGATAACTTTAAATTAAAACAAATCTTAAACCAATCTTTTCAATGTGTGGTAAAAATATATGTTTGTGCTTCAAAAAAACCCATGCCAAAGTATAGAAAATTGGTTTCTTTCAATTGTTTGGTATGCAAGTACTTATGAATCATTTATTAAAGATTTGATACCTTTAATTCTTTGGCCATATGATATGTCACAATAGTTGTAAACGATGAGAAAAGGGCAAGAAAAACACAAACATTTCGGATGTCAATAGTGATGTTGAAGAAATGCATTACATTATATAAAACTGCAGATGTTACCATGAGACCTTGATATAGAAAAAAAGTTAACATGTAAGAACACAAATAAATATTAAAATCAAACTTAACTGATAAAAACATAGTATCGTAGGTAATAACTTTAACTAAATCGATAAAAATGGTTCCATACCAGGATAAATGGTGCCACCAATAATACGACCAAGAGGATACCACGCTCGATCATCAAACCAATTGTGAAAATTATAAAATCCTTCTTGTGTTAAAAACTTTGTAGTGCGAAAGTTAAAATATCTAAAGTATTAAATAGATGCATGAAAAACACTTTAAAATGTCAAGTAACTGAACAATTTTAAAGTTTGTCTTGCCACATTTTAAGTGTACAAAATACTTTGTTAATTTAGGAAATACAAAAATGCTGATATGTTGTATAAGCTCAGCATTTTTTGCTGCTTATATAATAAAAAGAAATGATTTGCCTAGACATTCACCTCTGCAATAAAAGTGCCAAGGCAAATTTCAAAAGCTGCTGAATAAATTCCCTATCTAAATGGCAAGTTCTATATATTTCAAAACTAGTGTATGTTAATTCATCACTAGAGCAAACTTACGGATCAAATTCATGGATGACACTTTCGTATCGTAAAACAGAAAAAAGTCTGGTCGCAAATGCTAAAAACAAAAATAAAGAAAATTTGTGCAAACCGACGTGGAATAACTTTAACCAGTCATCAAATATTTTAAACTGACACGAAAATTCTACTGAAACAAAAAATTGTAAAAAAATGTGTATACAGTAATTATACTGAGTTTTGCTATAGTTCAAGTTTATAAAACAAAAAGAAATCCATACGTGATGTAAAAAATAAATAATAAGTAATCAAAATTTGTGACTCACACAAAATAGCTGCAATGGAAAGGATGCATAACTTTAGCAAAGTATCTTGCTTCTCGTAGGAAAGTCGCGGTAAAAACGACGGTAATGTGAAGCCAGATTCTTGACCTTTCATCTTGGAAAATCTCAGAGTCCAAGCGAGTGGAATTGAAGAAAATTCCTCAAAACTGTACAAGATATTACGGCAAATAAATTGCTCCTTTGTCTTGGCAGCCGAAGAGAACTTCTATCACGTGTACAAATGAGAAAATGGACGACGGTGAAGCTACAACCTGGGCAGCGGGACACGTACGTAACAAGAATTGGTAAGAAGTATTCGTAACATCGTTACACATACTGTAAACGGGGCAATGGTGGTGCCAGTTTTAAAGAAACCAGAAATACACTATCAACAAAATGATAATTTTTCGATTTTTAAAAAATCTCAAGCAAAGAATTACCATTAAATCAGATTAAAACAATGAACTAAAAATCAAGAGAAAACACTGTTCACATGTTTAAGAAATAATTTTTCTACTTCAGGTTTCGGGCAACTAGCCTCTACGGAATGACAAAGGATTCAACGGATTGTTCTATTTTAGCAGAGCGGACGAGAAAGTCATGACTTTAATATTCATATATACCTCTACGAATTCATCAAATTCAATTCATGTTCCCACGTCACGAAATCAGAAATATGTAAGAGTTCGATTTTCGTTGAGCGACCGGGCTAGGACTCTTTTACACTATCTTACAGACGAGAAAGACTTGTATAGCATCTTTGTGATGTGAGATGTATTCATTATTTTGTTGCTATGTTTATTTACAAGTCAAGAACAGCTAGAAATTTATTCAGTATTTATATAATGTACACATTAAGAAAGAATAAGACCATTTGCTCTACAATTTCAAATAGTCTTCTCCTCCGAGTAATGTACTTAACTTCCTTGTTTTGTTATTAAAACGGCTTGAAGAAATAAATGAGGAGTGCAATTGCTCATTGACATACCATCAACGTCGGACGTTGAACCACTTCGAGGATCACTGCTGATACTCGAGGATGTACTGGGACTAGTAGATAAAGAAGAAGATGCAACCTCAGCAGAGGTCAAGCAGTCTTCAGCAAGACAATCTTCAAGAAAGTCATCCATTGAATTTTTGCTAGGTGTACCATCATTTGACAGTTCTTGTATGAGCTAAGCACAATTTTAAAATCCATCAGTTATACTCAATTAACATCTTCTAACCATTGTCACTTTGTCAAGAAATTTGACAATGCAAAGTAGTTAAAATGATTTTATTTACGTGACAATTTCATCATCATATACACATTTGATGATTTATCATTTGTTTAATTCAACAAATACATAGGACACACCTCAATGACTTCGTTATCGGACATAATTTGGTCTACATAAAATAACAATCATACATAAGTCATATGCAGTAAAGGAATATGTGTTTTCACAGCATACCCACAGAATAGTTCATTGCAATCTAGACAAGTCAGTTTTTTGTACACAATTCATATTGAAAGTGGAAGAGGCGAGACTTTTTTGTTATTTTTCATCATATAAGTAACCAATTCTCACACTTTTTGAATGAGAATGAAAAATTCTTTTGATAATTTTGATCAAATGAATAAATCCAATGGAATCTGTGTCGAGTGCATCGCTTTTTAAGAAAAATGTTATTTTATCTTGAACATCGCAAGAGTAAATTTTTCGTCGATAATGTACTAGAGAGTCCTTTGCTTAGAACGTGAAGAAGCCGTGAGCTTTACATAACATTTCATGCTGTAAGTATTTGTCGTTTTTATTTGACAAGTATGGTCAAAATATATGTAAGCTAACCACAAAATGTCAAGCGAAACCCGTCGAGAACACTCAAAGGCGTGGTCCCGGAAGAAAGAAATGTTTTTGCAAGGTAAATCATATTTTAAATAACTAACAACAAAGCGTTCTTTAGGTTCAAACCTTCTTTGACGATGGATTGCTTCATATTCTTAGTATCCAAAGAGTTTTCCTGGAAGAAGATAAACAGTGAAAGTTTGTATCACGTGACTAAATTGTTGCACCAATAATCTTGCCATGCACCTGTCACATGATAATAGCACAAACATTTGGAAAAATAACCTCATATAGTAAAAGCTCTTCGTCAACTATTGTGTTGCTCGGTGATAGAGGCTCCGTTTTAACATTTGCATTGCATGTCATATCAAAATCTTGAAAAGAATTAAAATATCTGTTTTGCTTTAATTTTAAATATTCTTAAGACTAAGCTATGAGTTACGCCTTGAAAATGGAAAAAAATAAAGTAACCACAAAGTATGACGATGATACAAAAAAAACGCATTTCTCACAAACCTAATTTCTCATTTTCATCGTATGAATCATGAAATATGTCAAGTGTTTTTGCAGCTTCGTAATCGTGATCCATCAAATGAGCGACATTATCTTTATTTTCACTATCACTTAACTGAAACAAAGGAGGGATAAAGAAACACTTTTGTTAAGTTAATGCACTTATTATTTTGAACAAAACAACTTTGCACCAGCACAAGTTCGAACAAAAAATCACAAAAAACGACGACAGTTATTTCAAAACTAAACGCCAAAGTTGTTTTTTTAATATCATGTTAATAAATCACATTTCCACAAAAATAGAGTTTGTAAAATGGTTGCTGAATGCCTGTTTAATGATTGGGTCACACCCCAAATTCCTTGCCAGCAAAAGTATTATATTGCAGAAATTCTTGGTAACTGACTTCCAGGAATATTCAAATTCCGCCCACGCACAAAACACGCGCCAAAATAAACATTTTCTCATGTCTTACTTTTTATACCTTAATGGTTCTCGATAAAAAATTGTTGACCTAAAAAGCGACTTAAGAAATCTCACAAGTCAAAATTTCATAAAGGAAACATCGAAACTAAGACAATGTTGAAATCCATGGTACCTGCAATTTTCCATTAAGATTTTGGTCACAATCCTTGTTCTTTGCATGCTTCGTTGTTCGAACACACTTTCTTTTACGTTGTACTCTTCCTAGGAGACAAACATTATTCAAAAACCTTTCTCGCAGATAATAGATGGAGAAAATGTGCTTATAACAACATTCGGATAGTACACAAGTTTTTTTAAACAATATTTTTCTACAATAAATTTACTTAAAACAACGTTTGCTAAATTGTAACCATATTAATTAAAGAAAAAACAGCGAATACTGTGGGTAGCTAATTCTGGTTAGTGTATGCGCGAATAGGATTCATGTAGTTAGGCGAGACTTGTGGTGGGCAAAGTTTATGAAGTACATTAAGTTTTTTTTCAACACAAGGCGAAATTTTAAATAAATAAGTTTTATGCAAGTGTCGCGAGTGAGTCGATCATCGGCGGGTCAATGGTTTTATTGGCGTTTTTGTGTTTGTAGAAATAATACTAGAAAGAATCACTCCTAAACATGAAACTTGATTTTAGTAAAAAGTACATGTGGTACAACGACTAGAAAAAATTGGGTATGTATACAGTTTGACCAAGCTAAGGGCTGTGAGGATTTATTTGCTGTAGATGTTACGAAGAAATTTAACTAATATTCCAAAGTTCAAGTGAGCTAGTTTTGTTTTGTAGGAAACAACTGTAGAAAGGTAAATACAGGTAAAAGTGAGCAGCGTAGAACAACTTATTTTTTAGTAATTATGGAAATCTGTTTGCAGTAATAAATTCACTAAACGTGTAGCAATGTCGAGATGAAGTCAAAACAATGTTTTATTTCAATAATATTCTGGTCAGTTTCCTTTGAAAATACCGCAAATAAATGAATTTGCTCGCAGCAGTTTTGCGCAAGGCTTTAATTTTCAATATAATAAAGTTCGAGAATTTTTTGGTGTTTTTGCGTTATGAAGAGAATTTCAACTATAGCCATTACAAAGTGACTAAGGTCAGTCAATGGGGAGGAGTTGAAAGAAGAATATATTCCATATATTTGGCCAAATCCTTACCTGATTTGCACCATTTAAGTTATCCCTAAGCACGATAATCCAAAGGGATAGAGGATAGTGAACTACACACTTGTTTACCTTTGAACTTTTTTTGATATCCTTTTCTAGTTGTTGTTTCTGTAATAATTCTATACATTTTAAAAGCATTATTTCCTTTGGTTGTACGTTGCTCAGTAAGTTCTTCCATGTCTGGAAGGGAGTTTAAGGCACACCTAAAGTTTGCCTTCCATGTTTTAGGGTTTGGTATGTCGTCACGCTTAAATTTTCCAGTATGCTCTGCCCAAGCACGAAATAAGCAAGCGTCTGTTTGCATCTTCCAGCCATTTCGTGATGCGTGTTTCCAAGGGAGACGAAAGATTTTTTCTTCTTTATTCACCCACTGAACGCCAGGGAATTTACCTTCGTTCAAAGCACTTTCTAGCCATGGTCGCATTCGTAATCTTTCTATGGGCATTTCGTTTTAAAGTATGTCTGTAGATATTTGTTTATCAATAATTGCTTCGTACGAAAGTTGTCCGTCAAGTTTTTATTCCGGAAGCGACAGCGATGATATGGTTTACTCCACGGCTTGTATATACACGTATTTACAGGAGATATTTCGAATTTTAATGCAAACACTAGGACGTCTGTGAAACAAGTCCAAAGAAGCGTTAAAAATATCTATGCATTTATCATAGTAACATATATATACATATAATTGAAATGATAAGCAGTATCGACGTCTGCTTACACAAACAAACGATTTCGAAAATGCAGATATACCTTGAAACAGTATTTCGTTTTTCAATTTCAGTTGTTCATTCGTGAAGAACGTCGAATCGCTGAGGTGACTGCAAAATTAATAGTTATTAATGCAGCAATGTAACTTTGAAGGGATTTCCCTGAGTGCATTTCACGGAAATCCAATTCCGGGAACAACATTTGCTTGCATGACATCATGTAAACAAATAATAAAATGAAAAGTTAATATTTTACTTATTATTCATTCAGTATACAGTATGAAAGTCTTAAAAGTGTACATAAAATTCAGCTTTAATTTTAGCGATGATTTCCACAAAATGTGCCACAATAAAAACCTTGAATATTGTTGATAATTCATGATAATTCCGTGATAATTAAATTTTTGATGAAACTTTAGATAACCATTTCTCTTTCATGCAATCGAAAGCATTTGCAATAGGCGATGAATAAACGTTTTGCTAAGCAAAGACAAAATCTTGTAATTATGTAACTGTTTCAATTACCAAATTAGTTAAACGAGAGACTTGTAGTCAGTATTCTGCTTTTTTAAAACTATAGAAATAACTTTGGTTTGTTAAAACTTGAACCGTTTTTTGTTTTTTTTTTGTCTTTTTCGTTTTAGTAATGTGTAATTTACAAACAGGAACGTTGTAGGGTATCAATCATCTTTCCAGCTAAATTCTAAAACAAGTAAATGTGTACATAAACGCTCGAAATTAGCTACCCGGTTGTTATGTTCAAATGTGCAGCTTTAGACTTTTCCTCTGGGTTAAAATTGTCAACGTTAACTGAAGTAATTCGAATATGCGAGGTCGTATTAAATATTGTTCGAAAAATAAAATGTTTGAATGTCAAGTATGTATGTTAAATGTCAATTACTATGGAACTGCGATAAAAAATGATTTGTTCCAAGGTGAGAGCGTAAAGAATATGATAATTTTATACGCTGCCTAGCAAACAACAAAAGCAAATGGAATGAAATTACGATCAATGCGATATCTTATATTTCAGCGCTATTTTTCACCTCATTGGATACTTAAAGACTCAAATATTAACATTTATATAGTTAGCAGCAAAGCCAGCTTGTCTTTTACTCCAGTACAATGCATATATTTTCATAATTTATTCGCTAAAATTAAATTAATTTTCTAAAGAAATGAATAAGAATTTTGAAGCCCGGATAATAGACAAGCTCCCATGCAAACAGTTACACATCCATCCGTAAGAAACGATTTGTTTTCATTAAAAAGTGAAGGTACCTGTCTATTGTCAACATCTTTGCAGGTCGTTCTTCAATGCAGCTATCTAAAAGCTCCACGTTGACCTACAGTATTTCAACAAAATTAAACAAAATAAAATAGTAAACAACAGTTAGAATTTCACTGACAAAATGGACTTACACTACAAGTTCGCATTAATTGTTACCTTGAGTCTTCTGAATTGTATTAATACAAGCTTACTCCAGACAACTTTGGCTGGTAAAGGGAATGGAATATCAGAAAAGGACGAAGAAACAAACGTAGAAGTGGTTAGCGAAGAAAAAAAGTACAAAGAAAACGGACAAGACTTGAAAGAAACGGACGAGAACAAAGAAGCCGCTCACGACAAAACAGATAATGAAATTATTCTTGAAACTATTTATAAACCCAAAATATGTAAAAACAAGACAGCCGTGGGGAAGGTAGCTGTATTGCATTATACTGGGTCTATTCATGATGAAATATTTGACAGCACAATAGATCCTTTAAAAAAATACACGCCTTTCGAGTTTATAATAGGAACTGGGGCAGTAATTAAGGGATTTGAAAAAGGAATAAAGTCAATGTGTAAAGGTGAACAGAGAAAGATAATAATCCCACCAGAATTAGGCTACGGTGAAAAGGGAACTGGACTTATTCCAGGTAAGTTAACATAAAAGATATTTAAAGTTTGCAAATTCACATGTTTTAATAAGACGTGAGTAAAACACGTTGAATACATAGAAAAGAAACAGTTTTCCAAATTATTGAAATTGATTGATCAAGTATTATTTTTAATGTTAAACTCATCGTTTTGAAATCACTTTAAGTTGACATTTACTTGTTACGAAAAAAACAAAACAATTTTTTGCACCATTTTTTTCAAAATAAAATGTATCAAAGACAATACAAGCAATGGTACCTTACAACTGACAGCCTCATGGATCTTTTCATAATATATATATATATAATCCTGCCGTTTTAATCTCCCATATAGGAAATGCAACCATCACCTACGAGGTGCAACTTCTCGATGTACGAGATCCACCTCCGCAAGCTGACGTATTTACGGCCATGGACGAAGATGGAGATAAAAAGTTGTCACGTCACGAGGTAGGAGAGTACATGAAATTACAGGCCCAAATGCATTATGGAGCTCCGATGGATGATTATTATTGGAACAGTTATCATAATCAAATGGTCGATAATATCTTCGCACAAGATGATGATAATGAAGATGATCACATTTCACACGATGAATTCAGCGGGCCGAAACTGCATCACGAGGAACTATGACACCATAAAGCTAATTACCAAAAATTTAACATTCACACATTTATACATTTCTAGAAAAAGTTAACTTAAACAGAATAAATCTTGAAATTGAAAAAAATAAAGATATTGTTTAGAGTCCAAATATTTCTTCATGTATTTTTATGAAAACTATGATCTTCATCCGAGAGTATTATTTGAGTATTTATTGCACCAAAAAAGTGTTTGTTGATGATTGGTGCGTTTAAAGTAAACAGGCACATCATAGTTAATAGATAGATTTACTCTGTTTTGTCTGTCGATAAGATCATATTACATACATACATACTGTCGAGACAAAATGGCTAAACACTAAATTCTTGCAATTGGGTCTGCTGAGAGCATACATCTACTATTTGATCTGAGCTTTTAGTCTCAGCCTGAAATTTTCAACGCTCAAAGACAGTAATTAAAAGACCAAAATGAAATATGAAGAAATCCGAAAGGAAAGAACACAGTAGTAAAATACAGCGCGCGCAATGAAGGGACTCCTTATTTTAGGCAAGTCGTTTCAGGAAATGGTATTATGTCGTCATTGTATTTTTGTGTTTGTAAGTTTGCAATCTAAAGAGAAACCATGCAAAACATAACATTTTAATACGTTAAAAGAACAAATATTGATAGATTGACTAAAAAGAGCACATATCACAATTTGTACCCATAACAATCTGCATTTGTACATTTAACTGTACATCGAACAGTTTGAAACGGCCACCGACAATTAAAAAAGTGACATGTGCAATTAGCAATAGAACATGAACACCAGGATGTCAACTCATATCAAATATTACGCACCGACCAACTAAAAACGATTCAGTTATTTTGATTTTTAATACCACAAACACAACGAATATTTTACTCAAATGGCTGGTGACGTACGCACTATTTTTTAAGCCAAATTTCATTCAGTAATTCGTAACCGAAGAAAAGTAAGATTACATGACATAAAGCAAATAATAAGTTTCATAAAACAGACACAGTACATTTCGTGCATTTCTTTACGGAATAAAAGATAATTTACATAATTCGCGTGGGCGCTAAAGGTCAAAGCAAGTTAAGAATGTGTTTAAACTTCAATCTACTTTGTGTTTGATGCTGAGCTACATTATTTTTTATTTAAAAAATGTAGGTTTTTTGATCGTACTAGAAGCAGTCGTAAATAAATCAATTAAAGCGTTGACAAATGAAGATATTACAGCGAATTTGACAACAACCTCGATGAGAAAATTCACCCAAGACGCTTTCAAACCAACTACTTCGTCATATAAGATCACAAAAACAATTTTTGACAAGAAAAACCACATAAATAAAGGAAATGAACGTCACCATCGCATATCAAACTGGTTTGCCTGCATTGCACTAACGTCAAATATTGATAAAAGAACAAAAACCACAATTGTACACACATCACAAACCAAGTACGGAAACAATGAAAATGTTTTCCTACAAGTACATGATTTACTTCATCTATCGACATCTGCAAACAAGAATATCTCTAAACTATACTCAACATCCATAAGTAGGAAAACAAGAATTCAAGAATATTATGGAATTGCAAGTTCGATGGGCACTGAAACTTCAAAAGAAACACCTGCTACTAATGCATCATTCCGTGGTTCAACGTTACTGAAAAAATACGCTTATCATTTATCTACAATCCAAATTGCTTCCACCAGCACAAAAACTGAATTTTCCAGAGATGCAAATGGGTTCGAATCATATTCTGTCAAAGCCTACAAACATTCACCAACTAGTATATTTGATATAAGTGATATTTTTTCAAGAAATATTCTTCATACAAGTAAAACAATTTTAAAGACTACAAATTTAGCATCAGCATCAGTCTCTCCTTGCAGTTACTACATTATGAGAAATAATACCAACAGCACGAACATCAAAGAGAAAAGATCAATTTGGTTACAACATTTAAGTCCTACAAGCGTCTATCTATCTCCATCAAGCACATTAGGAATATTGGCAACTTCTAGCGTTAATTTTACAAGCGTCGGAGTGAGCGCATACCTAAAGCAATTTGATGGATATTCCTCCAATACAAAAGGAAACATAGCCAATTTTTCAGAGACTTTACTCAACACAAAGCAGCGTTCTGATAATTCAAGCAAGATGAAAGACGTCAGCATAAAAGCCTTCATACCCGAACTGAGATCATCCATGCCAACAATGGAGAGTTCCAGAAATGAACAAAGTATCAAAAAGATTACTTATAACACGGTAAATGTTTCTCAGAAAATTGTTTGAAATAGTTGGTGCACAAAACAATGACTTATTCAAACTTATCAAAATTGTGCATGTACGTTTTAAAGGTTTTAGTTCTGTGTAATCGGTGCCTAATTTAACGCATACGACATAATGAAGCAAAGCATAGGATAAAGCTTTTAGCATTGGTGCAGGCGATATTTTTCTTTTTTGGGGAAGGGAAACCCCAACTTCACTAGAACAGTACATTTTTCTGACTTTATTATATAAATATCTTAAAGTTATAAATGTACGTTTATATAAAGACATGATCTGTCTGAAAAATTTTGTAAATTTAACAGGTAACATATTCAACAAATGAATTCACGTTTCAAGCAGCAAGAACCTCAAAGCTCTTTTACACATCAACATTTCATACAACCCAAAGTATCCACAACTATCAAGATAAACCAAAGATACCCATGTATGTCCTCGCTATCTGCTTGCCTCTAGCTGCGTTGCTTGGTTTTGCCCTCGCGTTTATTTTCTTTAAAAGGAACAACGAAAACCATAAAGTGCGTTATTCTGTCACAGTGGAAATTTCCGAAAAGCCTGAAGGTTATGAAATGTACAGAATGTATAGCATCATTGATGTGAGTGCAGGAATTAATAAAGATTTTTTGAATGGATTAGAAAGCAGAAAGGGAAGTGTTGATATGGTTGAGAAACCTGATCAAAGCTTTCTTAAACAACGGGATAATCGTGTATGACTTATGTACACAGCACAAATAAACAGTAGATAGCATTGAGAGAGAAGATGGGCAAGAAGTCACGATCATTTCATCAATATTCATTTACGAAAATTTTAGAAAACTTTCCCGTGCCATTGTAAATTATATATCCAGTGAGACATAACACAAGAAACAAAACGATACAAAGTTTTATATAATTAACCATCTACAAGAACCAGATAGATTAATACTTTCAAAGCCTTAATTACATTACATATTTTTGAAAAAGTTATATATTTATGGGACGCAGTACTCAATCATACTTGTGGGATTCCGTACCGCCACGTCCAAATCCACCGGGTCCAAACAATGCAGCATAACAAGGTTTGTGACAATATGGTTTTCCTTCATGCTGGAATGGTAGTTGAAAATATTAAGTAGGTTCCTTTAAATACTGATCGTTCAGGCAGTGATAGCACCCACCCACCCACCCCTAACTCAAGTACTGAACTGGAGTAAATTTAATGGAGCTAGATTTTGCTGAAACATTACCTCAGCATGCCCACCAGAAGTGAGGGTTTTTTTACACTTTTCACATCTTAAGCAAGGCCTGTGCCAATCTTTCCCTAAAGATTGCACTTTCTCAGCTGAAATGAAAAGAACATTCTGCTGATTATACGTCACTAAATATATTACTATTGCCAACCATTCTTGGTCAATTAAGCATTTATAACAACCAAGCAATTGCTACCAAGTTAATAAACAAACATGACAGTTAATGGACAGGAACATCTTTTCATGTCATACTGATATAGCCATTAAAGAGATCGTAACAGGCAAAACTAAAAAAAGGTTTTGACCACAGTTTGTGGCTTCTTATGTACCAAAGTTAATCCTCGTTCTTAAAGTGTGTCTAGAACAATCGATGCAAATTAGTCAAAACTATCAAGAACATTGTTAAAATTCCAAATGACATGGATGTATAACTGCATAGAAATAAAACTTCACAAAAAGATTTGTTGATACAACATCCATAAATTTTCAAGCAAAGTATTATATTGCAAATTAATGTTTAAACTTGATCAAAAACACAAAACGTTAAACATACAATACAACAGACCAGAAAATATAAATCTCATGTTTCTAATATTTCAACATTTACTACAGTTTTGTATGAATATAATGTACTCACCAAAATAAACTTCTTTACCGCATCTAGGACACTTGGGCATATCGGAAATTTTCGTGATAAAGATAGGTAGTACCTCAAAACAAAGAACAGAACGCAATCTTCTGCTATGATTACAAAACCGTTTAATCAACGTTGACTCCCGTTTTGACTTTTTATTGTGGAAAAACGCTAAGTGCGGAGTCGGAGAGCGGAGTATTAAGTTTTGAATAAGCGCGCTTTTGTTGCGGCTTCATTAAAATTTTCAAAGGAAGTACTGTTGAACATTTCAATAATGTGAAAATGCCTCTGCGTTACATAAACAACAAAATACATTGTTTTAGACAGTACCTCAGGCTTGTTGTTTACAGCACCATAGGAATTTGTTACATTAAAGCTAAAATTTTTTTTTGAAAAATTACACTTATTTGGTAATATGTTATAGGTCAGTTTAAAGAGGGACTTCATATTTCCCCCTTTATACCCACAGTGTACCGAGTCATAATATTTGTGAACATTGCTTACACAGAAATAAATTTTTAGCTAATGTCAATTTTTTTCTAACATTCATTGTTCAAATTCCATAAGTCCCAATAGCATTTCATATGGAATAATATTATGTTAGTGAAATCCATATTTTAAAATCATCATTTTCCTTTCTTACATTGCAGTGAATAAACATCACTGATGAACTTTGAAAATAGAAGTAAAAAAGTAGGTACATGCAGCGAACAGGAATGCACAACATTTGTTATAATGCCAAAGATTTAACGTTAAAAAAGAAATGTTTAGAAAATCATTAACGTTGAAAATAAATACACCTTTCTTTATACAGGAATTGCACGACGCAAAGCACCATCATGCAGTTTAATATTTGAATTTATTGTATTAACGCCTTGTTTAACATGTAAAAGTTTTTAGAATTGATTTGTCACCGAGTTATTTTAAAGTGAACACCGTTTAAATGTACGCGTTGTGATATTCATTTCGCAAAGCTTCACAAAGGACGATCTCAGCCGAGTTTGGTGACGTTTTGCTAGCCGAAATAATTATAAATAATTAGAGTAAACATTTAAAATGTTCGAGATGTTTCATTGGGAAGTCTGCATACATAGTAAGCATAAAAATCATGCCACTTATTTCAACACAGCTAATTACATTGGCGAGAAATTTAATTTTACAAGTACATTATTATTTAGTTATCTTTTTGAGGTGTTTGGTTTTCCATAAAAATGTAATCAAAGGCATAATCCTCGGGTTGCTTTTTCATTTTCCTCGTTTCTGATAAAAACCGTTCACATTTCACAACCTAAAAAATAACTCAATTTAAGCTTCCAACACCAACAATAACGGCATCAATAACGATGACTTTGCATGTTATTTTACCTTAGATAAAAATTCCTTTACAATCAACAGGTATGTTGAGTTTGGAAACGTCATTAAAAAGGTTTTCCGCCGACAATACTTCAACACCAAATTTCTCAAAAAATGACGTAACATTTCTGCAATCCCGATATAAGAACTCTAAAGCGTGTGGATGCCTAGGTTCCACTGATTGACTCACATCAATGAAGTATAAATTATTCTCATGCCATAACATATTATATTCACTGAGATCTGCATGGATGAGATTGCATTTCTCGTACATTGTACACATCATCTAAAATAACAATATAAAATTCTTAATCCTAAAACCTATAGCACAACAATATGAAGGAAAAACAAAAAATCTTCACATAATGCATATGAAACTCTACCTCTTTACATTGCTCATATGCTTGTGTAGCCTGGCTGCTGGTCAATACAACATCTTTGAGTTTTGGTGCAGGCAATTGATTACTTCCAATAAAACTCATCACCAAAACTTGTTTTTTGAGTAGCACTACCTGAGGACAGCGTATACCAGCATGACACATTCTGAAACATGTATGGTAAACACTTACAAATGAATTGGTCACACAAGATAATTTTCTAGTAAAGTAAGATAATTTTCTAGTAAAGTAAAATAATTTTCTAGTAAAGTAAGATAATTTTTCAACCTGGAGAGGTTACACATTTCTTTCTCAGCCCAGAGCTTAATGGTTTTCCTTGGATTTTGTTTGCCTAAACGATCTTTGAATCTATGATCATCTTTAATGTAGCGATCTCTTGTCTTAAACTCATTTAAAGTAGTCTTGAAGACCTTGATCGCACACTCATGAGGAACTGTGGTATTCTCCATTCTACAAATCATTTACACACATATATTTAAAATATTACATCAGCAACTGCTCATAAAAACATTTTGTAAAAGTATATAAAAAAAACATACTTTCCGCCAAAAGCATGAAAGACACAAGCTTCCTTTCCTGTACTAATGCAACCATTAATTTCATCCAAAATCTCAGCATTGACCAACTTATACAGGAGCAACCTAGTTTTTGGATCTAAAGCTTGCTCCTTTAATGAAATAAAAAGCCATACGTAAGTCAAGTCCCTCCAAGGTAAAAATGTTACAAACTCTAAACTTGGCAAAGAAATGAAACAATGTCTAACATACATGAGTTGAATGTTCCTTCTTTTCATGTAAACGATAACTTAGTTTTTCTTCTTTTATTGAATGCTGCTTTAGACTGTTGTACACATTATTTGATATCTTTAGATCAAGTTCCTTAGAACCAACATCCCCAGCAGCAAAACTTGGTGGAAACTGTATATCACAAATAAATTATAAGAAAATAATTGCAGTAATATTTATACTGATGTTCTATGGATTATCTAATGTTATCTCTGAAAAAAGAAAAAAATATAGCCGTACGTAAGGTTGTCATTCAATGAAAACATAAAATCTTGGAGATATACAGTACCGACCTCGAGTAACATAACTTGACTCGCGAGTATCGAGTGGCGAGTGACTCGCGATGCAGTTGCGTGTGAGAGGTTTGCGAGTGGATAAAATATTTCGCTGTTTGCGAGTAAATCGAAATAAACCGGAAAAATTTCTTTCTCCGCAACTGCATCGCGAGTCACTCGCCCACTCGATACTCGCGAGTCAAGTTATGTTACTCGAGGTCGGTACTGTAGATGTCAAACATTAAGAAAAATTAGACCAAGTATGAAATAGCTTAGTTTTCTTTATATGTAAGGAGGCAAATACATCATTCAACACATAAAGAATTTGCTTATTGCATAGTAATCAAACTAATTATTTTAGCTAACCTTTTCTATATTCTTTGCATTTTTTCGACCACACACTTCAGCATCATGTTTTGTTGTAATATTTTTACCAGAACCACTACTTTGATACCTCTTTCGTCTACCTCCACCAGAAGATGATTTACCACCTGAAGCAATTATACAAAATCATTGTACAAAATCAACGATTAGCAAGATAACTAAACATCATCATGGAGAAATCAAACAAAAAGTCTACCATACATATACAAACACAATGTACAAGCAATGCTGTTATTTATTTATGTAGCCAGGTAACCTTGCACTCACAAGGAGCAATCAAACAAAAAGTCTACCATACATATACAAACACAATGTACAAGCAATGCTGTTATTTATTTATGTAGCCAGGTAACCTTGCACTCACAAGGAGCAATCAAACAAAAAGTCTACCATACATATACAAACACAATGTACAAGCAATGCTGTTATTTATTTATGTAGCCAGGTAACATTGCACTCACAAGGAGCAATCAAACAAAAAGTCTACCATACATATACAAACACAATGTACAAGCAATGCTGTTATTTATTTATGTAGCCAGGTAACCTTGCAGTCACAATACACATCTATGGTAGCTTTTATGGTAGGATATAGTAATATTCCATGATAAAAAAACAACTACCTCTACCAGAAAATTGTTTTTTCTTCTCATTTTTATCTTCATCATCATATTCCATGTCCTCATTTGATGATGATGATGAGTCACTTTCCAAGATGCCAGGATGAATTTTACGATAGTTGTCAAAACTTATTGACACTAAAATAAAAAAATCAACATTTAGCAACTAAATCACCATGCAAAACATGAAGTTTACTATTTTTAATGAATATGTAAAGTAAACATTACATCTTACCCTTGCTTGTTCCATTCATCCTATTTTCTTCTGCTTGCAAACATTTTTCATACTCTTCATCAAATTGTAATTGCAACATTTGTGCAAGCATCAGATCATTAGCAGTGTCTGAGTCATGCATGTCATTTACACAAACTATAACAAAGAACATAATTACAACCTACCAGCATAAAATCATTCATTAATATCCATTTAAAAATTTCCAAGGGAACATTAATAAAATGATATTGGTACAACAAAAAGCAACAAAACCTAATTTTCAATTTCTAATTTGATAAGAATTCACAATACTTACTTTCAACTGGCTTTTCAACTGTTTTATCATCCCACATTTGTATCTCAGTTTTGTCCATTTCTCTGGCTAATTCTTCATCCATAACTGTCATCAATGATGGAGCAGTTTCTCTGTTTGGGCAACCCCAAGGATTTTTAGGACTTCCACATTTTATAGAGCTTGTTAATACTGGACTTTCCATGTTGATAAATTATAATTGTTCTTTGATAATATACACGTATTTACACAAATAAATATTTAAAACTTTTCAACAAATGGTCTGACGATGTACAACGCAACACAAATTTGAATAGAAATGATTTTTCACGTTTTAAGATACTCTCACGACGCAGACCAACACGTAAAAGCAAACAGCTTTACAAAATAATGACATAAAATGACAAAAATAAATGAAGAGGAAATGGACGTTTGATGGTGCAATCGTGGTGCAATTTCCTGCTGACGATCGGTGTTTCCACATTGAATAATTAAAATTTCATTAGCAACATTTTGCATAAATAATAAATAATCATTAAGTTCAATGTAAATAATCTGTTACATTGGAAATAGTACTGTAAATTTTCCTTTTATTTACTGTCAGACAAAAATTAATGCATGTATTCTTAAACAAATACATTTAGATGTATTACAAATACATCTTTTTCATATCAAGTTTTTCTAACTCTTACGTGGAAAAAGGCGAACCGCTGTGCTCATAACCAATAACTTTGCATGCTTTCAAAATTTTAAACGTGATTAAATGATGAAAGAGACGATCGCAATTTGCAAAGCTATCAAAAAAATGATTGCCATTTGAAGTCAAATTCATTAAAAACTATAATAGTCTTGCATGGTGTGCTTTTAACTGCTTTCTAGCAAGAACACAAAAATGGCGCAAAAAAATTCCGGCTCGCCATGTCACAATGCAACAGAAATGAAAGATACTCGAAATTCATTTTCAAGTACAAGTAAATTCTTTTAGTTCAAATGAAATAACTCTTAAAAATGCCTTACTTGATATACCCTTCTTGTTTTCTTGTCACGTAGTTCGTTTTCATAATTGAGTGAATTCAGGGCAGCCAGATGAAGAATGTTGTTGAGTTTTACTTGCCTTGACAGGCTAAAAACACAGAAAATTCATTCAAACCGTTATCAAAACATTCTAAGCATGTTCTACAATGAAAACATTAAAAATATCTTGCACTAGAGACTAGAGCAACCGAAAGACCAACAAGCGTGAAGCGAGTTTACAAGAAAAATACAAAAATGAAACAAACACGCATGTAAACAATACCTCAGGTCAAACGGCTTCTCTAACAGCAAAATATCCTTTCTTTGACCTATTTTCAATTGACAAATATGCCTATATTATATAGTGGAAGAGAGAAAATTTTATTCCGCTACGAATTTTCGCACCTGTGTTGTCTTTTAAGACATTTATCCCTGAAACTATTTGAGGGGGTAACCCACTGTAATTTGATTGATGGATAAATAAAATCGGACGTCTAATGATCCTCCAGCATAAAGACTTTATTCCACAGGTCCATCGTCGAAGTGTCTAGCTTGAACGAGAATTTTAGCCATGACAACCTTACACAGTTCGAAGACCACATCAAACTATTTCACACGACAAAAAAACATAGAGAAAACTCGAATTTTCAATATAGAATTTTTATTACTATATTACGGCTTCTACCATGTTGTACAATAAATTATACCCGCTTGGTAATACATTTTATAAGGACTATCATGGAAACTGCCATAGTTTATACCAAGTTGGTTACATAGCATCATGGTATACAGCAATGGAATATAGTTAAGTTGGTTACATAGTACAACTACGATGAAAACAAGTAGAAATAGTACAAGGTTGGTTACAAAGCAGGACTACCATGCTATACAACCATAGAATGAACGACGTTGTTTTTTAGCATACGAGGTAGCGCAACCATACACACAACATCACAAGGTGTCCCAAATACACGTATAAAATGAATTGTTGTAGAGAGCGACAGGAAGACTATGGATTAAGTCGGCTGGAAATGTAAACAAGAAAATTTTGAGTTTTCACGTGAGTGTTAGTTTTGGATACCATGTATATCTTTGCACATGTCTAGTCAGGATGGTTATATGAAAGGAAAATACGACAGCCATATCAACTTGTATGAAACCAAGGAATATCCAAAACAATATCTTCATACAAAATTACCATCAGTTGTTCTGACCAACACTATATAATATATAAAATAAACGTCACGAGAAATACTCGAGACTTTTTTTCACAGGAAAACAGGATTGTTGTACGATGAAAAATGTCCATGCATACTCGACGTTTAACCAGTTACATCTTTCTGAAAGGTCAGTTTACTGAAATGTTCACCCTATGCAAAATAGTTTGATATCGTGATAAGAAAGTGACGATGACTAAAAACTACATGACTTTAAAATGAAGATTTTTGTAAATGTATGATATAAAAAATTATCTGAAAAAAGGATATAACCTTTAAATGGCTTTTTCTTTTGACATGAATTTCTTCCCATTAAATGTAAAGAATTGTCTAGTCTCTTCATTCGCAATACATTTTCTGCATTGGTATCTCTTTCATCACCACGAGTTACACAAACACTGAAAACACAGTAATCTTTTTTTTATACAAGATATATTTTTTACTGAAATAGGCTGAAAAAAAAATGAGGATAAATTTCTTCGATATGAAAAATACAAAGTAACACGAAAACAGCTGAACAAACAAAGAAAAAGTATAAATCAACTTATACCTGTAACGAGCGACAACTTTATCGTTCAGGAGTGATGAACAAAGAGAATTTTCTTTTTTCTCAGACCTTTTTTCGGACTTTCTCGGATTTGCATATAAACCTCTAACAAAGACGTCATTGGCATTTGGATCTGTAGTCCATCCCTTAATTATGTGTTTGTAAATATGTTCACCACGTTTGTTCATTGTAGGGGAATGTTCTTCATTTTTCAAAACTCCTGTGGACAAAGGCGGTGTTGGGAAAGAATCAACACGTGAACAAACACGTGTTGTAGAGTATTTCATTTTCACGTGTTTATGTACGTTGTCGCTGTTTATCTGCTCGACTTTTGATCGTAAATTTTTGGGTATTCTCTGAAAGCATTAAAGCGTTTGCAATTCACAACGTTCGAATGAATGAAAAGCAAGAATATTTTCTTAAGTGGAGTTTGATAATATACCTGATCATAGTTTTGAATAAACTTCTTGTATCGTAGATAGTCTTTCATCTCTTTCATTTTCTCACGTTCAGTAATTCCCATTAGTTTCATTCTCTTTTTGAACTCGTAATCAAGTAAAGCTTGATACTGCTGTTGAACCTGAGGAGAAATACAAAGAAATACAAAAAATATTTGATACACTCAGCCAAATGGTCAATAAATAAAGAAAACTTATTTCTTTTGCTAGAGAAAGAGCCCTACTTGTTTCCAAACATAATTTAAAAAGCACTTTACTATATGATACTAGACTTGATTAAATTTTCCCCTTGCAACCAAAAATACAATTTTGCAAATATTCAACCTCAATCAAACGCTCATCAACCTTTCTATTTACCTGTGATTTCAAACGAGACAACGAGTATATACGTGCAATGCCCCACAAATATTGTTTCTGCCCCATAGATAACTGGCTCGAAAGAAGATGTGGATTTTTCTCAACAAATGCTGGCAGATAAACGGGTTTTCCATTGCGTAATGGACAAAGGGAACTTTCCAACGATAAGCTTTTTGAACGTTTTGATGATCTTGAAGACTTGTCGTGTCCAGCGGCATTATCTACATAGTCGCCCATGTAGATATGCGAGGGAGTGCAAACGAGATTAGGAGAAATGTCTGCCTTTGGCGGAAATCTTAAACGTTTTTAAATATAGACTGAATAAACAATGTTAATGTTATGGTGTGAAGAACATGCTTCGGTTGTTAGGGTCTTGTGACAAACAATGTCAAACTGCATGATTTAGCTGTAGTCAAAGTTATAATTTTACAAGAATCTAGAAAAAATCTGCACAATGTTTTTAGACGAAGAAACTAGCGCTCACATCGTATACCTTGTTTATCGTACAAAAGTATAGGAGAGAAACAAACTGTTACAAGCACAGGAAACCTGGACCTCAAGAAAACGAAAAAATAATACAATGACTATTTCATGTTTATGTTGCTTAAATTTAAAGAAAACAGTGAACTACAGGTAGCAACCTAAATATTTCATCACTCTATCACCCAGTCTGCATGAAAGTTACTTATTTTGGCAATCATAACCATCATATTTATCAAATCAAAGCATATCTTGTTTCTGATTTTGTAAAACGTGCAACAGATAATGAAGTTGGTCTCTTGTTCACCTTGTTGTACTAAGGGGATAAGAGGACGATCTCGACTGACAACGATACTGTAAAGAATTTATTGTCAATGTCAAATGAGGAGTATAGATGAGTCAAGAAGGATATGTAAGTATGTCATAAATACAAAGCAATTTAACCTACTAGGAACCTTCTCAGAGATCCTACTGTAATTCATCTAGGATCATTTCAATAATCCCCTGGAAACAACAGTAGTTTTCTGTTTATTAAAAGTCATTGTCAAAATGCTTTTAAAGAGCGCTAACTCATATCTTTAAAAATTAATTCATCGATTAGGAAGGCGTATTACAACTAGTGCCACCATTTACAACACGCAACATAACACAAAGCTATTTCTTTAAGGTTCCTTATTTTACCTTTGCCAGTGAAGAATTATCAACACGAGGTAAAAGATTTCACAATTTCTTCAATCCGTGGTCACCTAAATTTGCAATACTCTCATCACTGACGCTCCGGGAAGATAGACTGCAAATTAAATTATCATTACATAAAATTAATTCTGTCCATTTTTCCTTATCAAGTATTCGTCACCAGAAATGCTGATTTCAAAACAGCGATTTTTTACAAGACGTAATATTGTTCAAAACGAGTGCAACGCTATGCATAGAAAAGCTATAAACGTAAAGAAAAAGAGAATAACAAAACATACTATGAAATAGACTGGCGTCGCCGCGAGCTTAACCCAAAACAACTTCACCATCAACTGTATCATCAAATCACAACTGCAGTTCAATCACCTACAGTAAAACCATTTAATCTTCTTACCTTGCCGGAGTTATCTTTCATTGCCAACACTTTATCTACAATCACAGCTTTTGAGAATTTGGCAGCTACTTTTAAGTGTGAAATTCTATATCACTTATTATAATCAGCCCTAAACAAAGGCGTTACCATGGGCACAAGTAATGAGGTTGGATACCTCCATGGCGAATAAAACTGAGGAAAGACAGTACAAACAGGTACACACACTTACCTGTGGCTATTCTGCAACGAAAAGTTCAGAAACAATATCTAACGTGACAAAAATTCTAAAAAATTTCCCACGAAATTTATCAAAAATGTTGTTTGAAAGACAGTCTTACACACTAAGTTAAGGGCAATATGAGTAGCTTGTCAAAATTCTATTTCTTGATTTCACTTTTAAAGTCGCTTTTACAATTTATTATGAATCAATGAGACAAACTTAGTGAAAAAGAGCAATTTGTTTCTACCTAAGTAACGGAAAATCAAACAGCAAAATTAAACATTGTCAAGAAGCGTGTATTCTATATTTGAAACTTCACAGAAACAATCTATTTTTAGGTAAAAACTACATATTTTTCTCGAAAGGCAACTATCTGAAAAAAGTATTTGAATCGAATCGAATTTTCGTTGATCTGACCAGTTCACATGCAATCTTACCGTTGGTGATGGGAAAGATCTTTTTTGCGAGTAAAGTTGATTATCTTAGCAAAGAGGCGTGAATAATCACTGTCAATAAAATCAAATCCAACTAAAGCCTATTCTTGGACACAGCAACTCAAGCCTACGACTTACGCACATTGTTCAAACATCAATCATCAAGTTTAAGTAAAATCAGGTAAACATTGCATCAATTTCACATAGATTTAAAAGAACTCTCGATTTTTGGGTTAGCAATAAGTCTCTAACGATCGACGTTGCATATTCCAGGAACAGAATTTCAATGTTGATCGTTTCCAATGTAAACAAAGAAACGGTAAATTCTAAAAAAGTGTATGTTCTACTATAAATGTACAAGAGCGTTAATATATGACCGACTGGTTACAGACAAAAAAAGATAGGGAAAAAAAACTGAGGAAAAATTCATTTCACACGAAAATGGGTTAGAGTGAAACAATAAATTAATGAACGCGAGCTAACAAACAAAAGCTGCATTTATCATTGGAACAGTACATACTTCTTCTCGAGTGAAATAAAAGTTTTAGCATCCTGCATTCATTTTTTATGTGACTCACAAAGCATGGGTAGCATTTGCTAAGCACGTGTCGTACGGCAAGTGTTTTACCATAAAAATTGTCCAAATGTTACGCACGTGACTTTCATCGAGCGTACGGATGGTAACGAGCACTTGAAGCAGCTCCCATCCCGGCACCGTATCCTCGTCCAGCTACTTCTAGGAATAAACAGAAAAAAACAATCAAAATCATAAAGATTAAAAATGCATACCAAAACAGAAGCGAGGTTAACATCTCACCATAAGTATGGAATTAATTATTTCACGTAAAGACGAGATGAAAGAAATGTGGTGTGAAATTTAACACTTTCCTAAAATCTCATAAAATAACATTGGTTGCATCCATGGTAATATCAAGTGTCAGGTCAATAGAATGATATGATGAATGAAAGAATACACTTTTTTTTTACTTTATTGAACTGGAATATGAGGGAGAAAATTCTCGAAATAAAAACTTTCTTGGAAATTCCGCCGTGGTAGCAATTTCTAAACCGTTATAACACACTTCCGCCAAATAATGTTCACGGTCTTACCTCGCTACACGGTAACCAAAGTTTAGGGCCCAGTACCTCCCTATCATGACGTCACCAGTGCACACGTGGCCACTCCCTGTTGCCAAGCAACCACACGCCACGTGACCAATATATTGTAATGTCGTGTGTCGTACCGTATTCGTACGACCGTGATTTAAATAAAGTATTTATTACGGAGGCTCCATTTCTCAGACATCGAAAATTCAAGAAAAACTCTACGAATATTCAATATTGTGTGCGTAAAATACAATGAGTATTTGTACAATTGCATTGAATACGTTTCATTAAACGAAACCAATTTAATTATTTCACAAATTTCTGGAATTAGAAATAATTGCTGAGTGCATTTCTACGAAATAACGTGTATAACAAAATATAAATACATTTATATACAAGTCGATTCAAGTTGTTTTTGAATTAAAAATTATTTTTACCACCTTTTAGGCAAAGTAAAGTTAAATTGTATGGTATATGTACAATTTTCGACATGATTTTTTCTCCGTATCGAAAACGGAATATATAAATAATTCAATTATAAATAAGAAGAAAAGTTAAGTAATATTTACGGCTATCTATTATACGGCAAGTAAGGGTCGTACGAAACGGTTTGGATGAAACGTCCTTTTTCGAAAAGAAACAAATCAATCAATGAACTTCTCAAAGTAACAAAATAGAGCTCGCTTTAAGTGTTCTAATTAACAAAGTAGAGCTCGCTTTAAGTGTTCTAATTAACAAAATAGAACTCGCTTTAAGTGTTCTATAATTAACAAAATAGAGCTCGCTTTAACTGTTCTAATTAACAAAATAAAGCCGTTAATAGAGGGAAACAAATGCATTCTCAACAACTACCGAAAGTTATGCCTTAACTAATTAAACTCATTTTACAGATGAAATAGATAATTATTGTATAAAATAATGGTCTAGGCCAGGTAAAAATGTATTTTCAACTTAAATAATCAAGAAAATTAATGAAAAACAACTCCGGATTTCTGTATTCAAAACCATGAAAATTTTTAATTTAAAGTTTTAAACACAACCAAACTTAATTATGAACCTTTGATTACGGAACCGTAGCACAGCTCTCCTAGATATGTTTAGTGAAACACTGAAAAACATTTCATACAACTGGCTAAGACAGGCCATCTTGTTGGGCACAAACAAACATTTTACCTGCCCGAAAAACTTATCCTTTAAACAATGAATTAAATAGAAAAAGTTAAAAACGGTCATAATTAAGAAAAAATTGCAAAATAACTCACCCGGATATCTGACAGTGGCATAGGTTTGGGCTGGTTGTACTTCATAACCTGTTACACCTGCATAATGAGAGGCTGTAACAGCTCCAGGTTGAGAGTAACTTGCAGGATAACTAAGGGCATATGCTGATGCTGTTGCATCTTGATGTTGGTACAAAACTGTTGGTGTTTGATAATGACCATAGCTTGCAGCTGGAACACCATAACCAAAGGAAGCACCAACCATTCCTCTACCCACACCACGAAAACCACCCATTTCTTGTGCTTTCTTTGCTGCTTGTTGTTCTTTAGAAAGAGCAGGTTTGACCTCGACCTTACCAAGAAAGAAACCCTTTTAGTACTTTCATTCATAATAAATATGACATGCCCTAACATTGTGGGGAGTGTACTTACTACTACACTACACCGACTATTGTTTAAATAATAAATAGTGTATATGGAGGCTACATAGTGTAGCTACATACAGTAAGGTTTACCTTGATACCATCAGCTAGATCATGATATTGTTTCTGCAAAACTCTATCAACTGTGTCTTCACTATCAAACTCCACAAAACAAAACCCACGTCGACGATTTGTTTCCTTTCTTTGACTAAGTCAATATCAATGACCTGGAGGAGAAAAAATAAATGACTCTTTGAGCTCAACTTAAAAACAAAAACAAAACATATGCAAACAAATGAGGAATTAAAACTGTTGATGACACTTACCGTGCCATATTGAGAAAAATAATTTCTTACAATTTCATCAGGAGTATCAGGCTTCAAACCACCAACAAATATTTTTTTTGTTTTCATGTTGCCAATGGCCTGTAAAGCATGAGATGATTACTGGTGTTGTTGTACACTGTCAACACAGTTTTGATGAAGTTTGTTACAAACAAAATATTGTCCATTTGTCGGGAACACAGCAATATGTAACTGACAAAAAGTATAAAATCACATATACACACTTTTTTGTTATTTGGTATGATCTTATATAAATGCCAAGCAAAAAATAGTTTTACATTGGTTTCACAAAAAAGGAGATTGTTCTTATTCATAATAAAGAATTAAGTATTGATACCTTTCCTCCTTGTGGCGCAGCTTTTTGGATCAACCTTTAAAATAAAAATATACAATGATGCATTTTTACTTAAAATGCAAACTAATGCTACAAAAATGGGAAGATGAGAGAACATTAACTTTTACTTTGTGGTTGAGATGTGCTCTGTACAAAATTTAACATTCATTGCACATATGTTAGCTTCACACTAAATACCTTCTTTCCATCGATAACATGAGGACCTTCATCTAATACCTAACAAATAATTTACAAATAAACACTATATACCAAGTAATCAAAACAAAACAAAAAGTAAAAACACAAACCTTCTGTGCACTACTAGGATCTTTAAATTGCACAAACCCAAATCCTCTATAAAATTATAAAAAAATGTAAAATATAGAGAAATAATGTAGAGACATACTTTTGTGTAAAGAATGTGCAGTGTAAATCAACGATAATGAAGTAATAGAGCACTCAATATCAATAAAGACACAGCAAGATAATAATGCAAAAGTGTAATATCAAGACACTTTTGCTACAGCTTTATGATTGTCACACAGTGTCATGTATCTATGTCGCTACACTTTGTTATGATCAGTTAAACACTGCTGAACAAATATATGTTTACATTACATTATCACAATGTTACATATTAGTCATGGGATTTTGCAATTATCATTATACATTCTGAGATTTTGGAATGTTGGCTACAGTGAAATATTGCCAGTAGTTATTGATATATGGTATTAGCAATTTGCTTTGGGTTTCAATTACAGTCATAACAAATAAGTTTTAACAAAAAGTATACAGCAATCTTTATTCAAATCACAAAAATATGCTCCACCAACAAAATCAAATAACAAAAGATATATTGGTTCTGGACTAAGCACATATCAAAGGATTAAAGGAAACTGTTGGATTTAAATTAAGCATAAAAAACATGTTTCCAATTTAGATTAGAGAAGCATAAATTACAAAATAGTTGATAAAAATTGATGATTAACAAATGTTTGTAATTTATCTTAATTTTAACAAATGATTGAAGATTTTTGTATAATCTGATTCACCAAGACCTTGAAATTCTTTTTTATATTGTCAGACATTCATTAAATACTTTAATGAATATTTCCTACTGTCTAAAACATTTCAGATAAGAATAAACAATAAAAAAATTGCTTAGATATCCAATCATGCATATTTAAAGCTAAAGATGAATGTAGATAATTTACAACATAGCTAGTTAAAAATAATTGACTAATATTAAGAATCACATCTCTTATGCAGACATGTCTAAACAATGTAAACTCTGTTGTCAAAAGATTAACAAGAGAGATTTGAAACAAATGGATACATTCATTTCTCTAACACAAAACTATAAATATTAGGTCTTATGAACATTCCAAAATCATCAGAAACAGGAATCCTACTGTTACAGGAATGATTGTGCAAATGTGAAAACAGGTAAAAAATGTTCAAGAAAGAAGGAAACAACGATTTCTAGTTCCTATTAAGTTAGAATAATCTAGACTTCAGCCATGAGAAATCAAATGTGTACAAAAATGTTAAAATTGACGAATTTTAGACCGGATGTTATCAATTCAAAAGCAAATCGAAAGTAATGGACGATTTATTGCAAGTCACGTGTTCATAAACTGTCAACATTTTCATAGAAAGAAAAGAAATTATAACTGTACAACTTGCTCAAATAAATAACAAAATTTTCATTGAACAGCTTACCTTGGTCTTTTCGTTATTTGGTCAATTTTTACGTTACAATCCACCACCTCGCCATAAATTGAGAAGTAAGCCCTGAGACTTTCTAGTCGAAAATCACAATAACATACTTACGTAAGAATTTCTATTCGTAATGAAAGTGATGCCAATAATATTATAAGTTAAACAGTTAAAAGGCCTTTTAAATACAATAAAAAAAAGGAAGGAATGTAGCGATTGACTAAAAATTACAGATAAAAAGCAAAGTAGAAGAAGTTAAATTTTAACTTTTACTTACCGACTGTTGTTTCCCGGCTCAGAGCGCCCACAAATAACTTCCTGCAAAATAAAAGATTAAAAGGACAGTAAAATCATCCACCAAGACGTTTTACTAATCTACACATGTTAAAGACTGATGGAGGTTTCAGAAATTACTCAGTGTACATCAGATTATAGTTCCTAGGATTGTCTTTGAAACTATTCGAATTTTATATAGCGATGTGAAAATGATCAACGTCAAAATATCAAAGTAAAAGTGGCTTAAATTGTCCTTTTTAATGCATAAATAACATATTACACCAACAAAAATATAAAAAAACATATTCCTTACCCTTCGTCAGCCATTCTTGAGCTTGCTCTTGGTGTATTATCGCCGTTTATAGTAGAAATAACTGATGCCATCACACAAAATCCCGATAGAATTTTGTGAGTTTCAACGAAATGCAACTTCCGTTGCGCGCGCACCGCAGTCGGGCGAGATGGAGAAAATAACGAACGCTTATTGGTTTATAATGTAGAATCTGAGGAACAAGAATAAACAAGCTGAGCTTTGCTGCCTGTTTGCAGGCTATTATTACATAGGCCATAGTGGGCAGGTCACAGGTGATAGATACGATTGCGACCAATTACGACATATAACGATACGATAGGATAAAAAAAGTCTAGGAATGATGGATAAAGAAATAGGAAACAGCAATAACAATGATTGAGGTCGATTTTATCCGAAAAACATGTTTATCCATTGAACTGTGAACAAAAATTCACAAACGCCCTTTCCATGCGAAATTTTTTGATAGAGGGGGAAATACAGGAATGCATGACCCTGTGACAATAGACAGCCTTTATCTAAAATTATTTTAATAGCACACGAACGAAGAAACAGCTAGCTTTTGGGATGACTTTCACTTCATAATTGGTAGGGTATTTGCCAGCCTTGTTAAGGAAAAAATTTACAGCGACATGATCCATTATTTGGTGTAAGTTCAAGAGGATCAATTCCATTTTATAACGTTTCATTTGGCTTTTTCAGTGGTATTTTTCATAAACAAAAACCAAAAACCATAACAAAAAAAGAAAATTGAAAAAGCAGGTGAAAGAACTATGACGTAGCAGCTTGGATAATTTACATGTCAATATTATGATTATGTAAGAATAACTAAATCTTTTAACGAACTTACTGGTGGCTGCCTGGGACCTCTTTTCGTTTTTATAAGTGTAGTTTAAACTTCAAAGAAGGAAAAAATGTCTTATTTTGATGAACATAACTGTAGTGAAGACGAAAGAGAAAATTATAATCATGATTATAATACAGATCTTCTTACGCTGGCCAGGTAAAATTTCAAAAATTTGAATTATGCTACCTTAAAATCATAACCATTTATATGAAAGCTTTATATACGTTCTATATGGTTTTACATTTATGGTTACTTTATTTTATAATGACAAAAACATGATGATATCGAAATAAAACAACCTTATATATTTCTTATCCTGTTGATTGAACATATTTTGTCTCCTTTTGTTTCCTCAAATATTGAATATAAAATCATTAAATGAACATTTTATTTGCAATATTTGCCACTTTTACATTATGTCAAATCATTGGTACTATATTTTTTCTACTTATTAACTTTATTATGTTTTATGCATAAAAAATTTCAGAGTGTTTATGCAAGGTGAAGGACTCATTGATAATGATATAGACAGGTAAAAATAAATTGGCAAGATAAATATCATGATTACTGTTTATGTTTAAAAAGGATCTATGTTCTGTCTTTAAATTTTGTTCCTCTATGCAAATAGAAGCACAGATCAGTAACCATACTCTTGTGTGAAAAAAATAACACAAGGCAACATGAAATACTGCTTATAAGAACTTATTTTTATAACTGTAAATGTTTAAAGAAAAGAGCCTTCAATCCAAGTTCATGACTTTATGTTGCTAGTATGAATAAGCTTGAAACAATGATTATAATGATTATTTATGTTTTATCTCAAGCTTTACTGAAGATCTTAAAGGTCCACCAGCATCAAAGAGAGTGGTCAAACAATTACCTAAGAAACAATCAAGAAACACAGCCATAGGTATTGAAGATCACAGCAATCATAAAGCAAACTCACTAACATTAATTTGTATTAAATGTAAGGCAAAATGAAAATTGCCTAATATTTTTTTAATTTTTAGGAAAGTTGCCTTGCCCTATTTGCTTGGAAAAGTATGAGGTGTCAACATAATCATAGCTAAATTTTATTAATTTAACTCCAGGAACTTTTAGTATCTACTTACATTTTTCATTCACAGAAAGAAGAAATGTACGTTCAATTGCCATGTGATCACAAGTTTCATGAAACTTGTATTATGCGTTGGCTGGAACAGGTTATGATGTGTGAAAACATTACAAACTCATTATGAAAGATTGAATAAGTTTTGATTAAAAATATTTTATATTTTATTTTCCACAGACTAACTCTTGTCCAGTTTGCCGTTATGAATTGCCCACTGATGAACCCGAGTATGAAACTGTACGTTTGGAAAAAGTATGATGAATTTTAAACTTTTGAGTGCTTTGATAAAAAACTTATGGTTAATTTGATGATATATTTTGTATGTTTAGGAAAGAGCAAGGCAACATGTTTTACGTGTCAAATCATTACATGCTGGAATGTATTGCTGAATTATTATAACAAAACTCCTTATAGTAACTTTAAAATGAAACCGTGATGTGATTGCATTTAATCACTCTAGTTACCAGTCTACCACACCATTTACTGACATGGATGGATTTGTAAATATTTGCTTGTGACAACTTTGATTAAAAACAATCAGCTTAAAGAATTAGCCTGAAAAAAACATTTACTTTTTCAAAAAGTTCTCAAACAAAAATAAGTTTGAGCAAGGTATAAGAATAATAGAATATTTTCCTTATAAAAAGTTAATGGTAGGATAATGTGCCAAAGTAGGAAAGTTTTTTATTGGATTTAAACAATAATTTTGGGAAGAATAAATATAACTGATTTGTACAATATGATTTAACATTTATTATTAATAAATGGGTAGATTATGAACAAAGACAAACAGATTTCCATAAATTGATAAGTGGATTATGTTGATCTCATATACAAGTGTGACATAGAGCTTTTCGATAACTTTGTCTTGATATCCCTGTGAATAGTTTTAAATATGTCTAGTGTTTGTTAAAGTAAGTGAAAAATGATGAAAAGCAATGGTTAATTTAATCCATGGGTTTCTGATTTATAACTTGATAAACCAGAAACACAATATATTGAATTAAGACTTGCTTGGATTAAGATCAGTATTAAGATTGCTGAGTCTGAAAAACAATATGGCGACTAATTTGTGTGTAGTTCATAGTTAGTACATTTAACTGCAAGCCTTAAGAATGGCAGAAGCCGGTGAAACTGTTTCAGTAGAACAAACGAGCTCTAGCAATTCAACTAGAGATAATAATTTAGTCGAAATGGTGACTGCTTTAAGTGAAAATGCTGGAGTTTCAACATCTAAACAAGAGGTAGATTCCTCAGAAGACTTGAATAAATCATGTCAAGATATGTTCAAAACGATAACTGAATATTTACAAGGCGAATTAAATGGTTTGTTCATCTTAATGATAAAGTTTAGATACATAGACGACAACAAGTTATCAATAACAATAACTACAATGTTGAATTTGATTTTAAAAGTATTCGTTTCTGGTAATTGATAAATTAGTCATATTAACATGTTTAGCTTCCTTGGACGATTATGATTTATTACAAAAGCTGAATCGTTTGACGACACAGAAATATATGGAAATGGATAATGTCACTAAAGGTTTGATAACAAAATGGAACAAATTAATGTTAAATGTAAGTGTCTTGATATAAGAATTAAGACATAATAAGACTGTATGTTTTGACTATTCGCTAAAATACAACCTTACATTTAGACGAAAATCTGAAACCATATATGGAAATGATTGATAAAGTAGATGCAAGTGTTGCAAATTTAGAAGAAGCAGCTATCAAACTAGACATGTACACAAAAGAGTTAGGTATGCATTGTCACTTGTGAAAAACATGGCCCTTTAGTAATGTTTGATAACGAAGAGTTTTAATTTCAAAGTTAGCTGGACAGATTTTTTGTTGTTGACTTCTGAACTTGTCTATAGTTTTGGCCAAAAAGCAATATTCCTTGTCAGGGAAACCTTCACCTTCAGAAGTGACAAAATGTGGTCACACACAATAAGGCTATTACAAGTTAGAACAAAACATTGACTTTTGTGGATGTATTTCCTGCATTTTGAGACACTGATAAGACTTCTGGGACCAATTGTGTAACTAGAGAAAAAACATTAAACTCAGTTCCAGTCCTCCACCAACTTGGATTGTACATTTTCCATGTGTAAGTTTTACTTGTTTAATTCTGCTGATCTTCACTCATTGCAGAAGCAAGGTTCAAGAAATTAGAAAAAGCTTCATCATAGGTATGTCAATCAATGGAACTTGTGACGAAGTATTTAACTAAATTTAATTTATATTGAAAATGTTAATGTCTTATTGTCATAAATGTAAGCAGTAAAAGGCAAAGAAAGAAAATTTTATTGATTTCAAAGACATTCAACAAATTGCAACTCAACCTTCACATACTTATTTGTACGAAAGAGAGAAAATCTTTGCATGCAATAAGAAAAATGTAACTTATATAAAAGTTTTGTGCAGGAAAAAAATGTTCAACTTAATAAAATGTACAATTTTGTATGCTGTAGTGGTGTCATAAGCACATTTTGATTGTTATGTGCGTCATGTGTTCCTTGAAAATTATAAACTTGTTTTTGCATTACAAAACTGACGTCATTTGAATCCGGTGGGATTCTGGGAAGTATGTCGTATTTTAAGTTTAGTCTGAAAGTTAGTACTTTATGGTAGCATTTCATTTGAGTCCGGTGGGATTATGGGAAGTATGTCGTATTTTAAGTTTAGTCTGAAAGTTAGTACTTTTGGTAGCATTTCATTTGAGTCCGGTGGGGTTATGGGAAGTATGTCGTATTTTAAGTTTAGTCTGAAAGTTAGTACTTTATGGTAGCATTTCATTTGAATTGCAATTTTTGCCCGGGCAATTGGTTTTCCCAAAAATGGGGCTATCGTACTTTCTTTTGCAAGTTTTAGATAAATTTTTTGAATAGTTTCATAGATTTGTGGAAAACCCCGGATAAAACTTTTCCGGGACTTAGCAGATGTTTTCTTCTTTCTAAAAATTTGGTATTGTTCATGAAAGTTGTTCACGGTATTGTTCTCTTAAAAAAATCAGCGATGTTTTTCAGTGATTCCCATAATGAATAGAAATTTCTTTGATGAAAAACAACGCCTGTCGACTGAACTTTCCGATACAGTGGAAAAGAAATTGTAAATCATTTGTTTCTCCGATACAAATTTAATTAACGAGCTACGGAAGATCCCTGTATTGTCTCACAAATAATACTGAGGACTGTCTTCCAAAAATTGACAGTTCTAATTTCTAAATTCCTTCAAAACCGTTTGACGAATTTTATCGCGTACGAAAATTTATATTTGATCATCCATAAGCTTGAAATGATTGAACACTAAAGGAACTCTTTGGCAAAATGTAGAACGATTGTGTGTAATGGAAAACAGCCTTCGGCTTGCTTGCTTTCGAAACCATCACTGGGTTGGAAATTAAACAGCGCTCGAGCGGTGTGCTTTTCCTCGGCAGGACAACGTCTAACTGACAATCATTGTACGTAAGATAACGCTATTAATTTACGATTCCTGTGAATGATCAAAGAAGCCGAGAACGCCGCGATTCAGCATTGTTTACATAGAATGTCGTATCTTATGAGATATGATCAAGCCAAATCATACACGCTTTAAACTAAACAATTAATTCTGCCATACCGCAGTGTAAACATAATGTGGGTAGCCACTCAAACCTGTCAACACTTTAATTACTTGTTAAGTGACATACTTCAATGTTTGACGTGGGACGTGGAAGGAGAGACTTTTGAGCTTTTGCTAAATACAAAACATGCATATATTATAATACAGTAATAACATACATTATACAGATATCCATAGAATATTTGTCCACTGGAATTAACGAGATGTCTAGTAATATTTGTACTCTACGAAAAGAACCGAAAGAAAGGCTGTTGTAAACAATCAGTCTGTACGATCACAATAACTCTTACTAATCACTGTAATCAACGACCTTTTTGTTCCAGATAACAATATTGATCACTGTTTTAAGTGAAAAAAAGAGCATTGTTACGTCTTTGAAGAATTCCATGTTAAAGCAAAGAAATTGCGACTGAAATTGTGAAAAGCACGATAAATATAGAATGCGTCAGAACGAGTTGCTTACCCAATTTTTTACTGGTAAAAAGTTGCTTACATTGCCATAGTCATCATTGCCATCGTGATCGGCGTACCACGCTTACAAGCCTTCAACATGAATTTTCCACGAATCACGACTCGCCCGACAGTTTACTGTAGTTGGACATGACACGATTAATCAGGTAAGTCAGGCGGACGCTGGTTGGCTGCATTTTAACCGCTGTCAATCACACGACGGGCGTTATTAAAAACAAACACTGCGTATTGTGTTTAATTGTTGCGGCCTTTCATCGCTTATCTATAATTGTTTTCAACAAGCTGTCAACCTTTAATGCTATATGCATGAAGAATATACGACACACAGTGATTAGCCGCTTAAACAGCAAAATATGATAATCCTAGTATGAAATTGCCAAACAATAAAACACATCTCTTCAGTTCTTTGTTGTAAAAAATAAAGACCAAATGATAGGTATACTGTCTTCTTTCTCATTTTTTTTTTAATAAAACTAAACTTAACTGCTGGTTATTCCTTTTCATAGTTTAGTCTAAACAAAACTTCTACAAGTTTGAAAGAGACATTTTTACGAAAAAATTTGAAAATGAAAGTCAAACAATGACAGTTGAAATTGATGTATTCATTAGAGGTTTGGGTGGATTTAAGCTGGGGAAAAAGTTTAGTTTAATAAATTTTTTGCTTTAATTTTATGCTAGCGCACTTATCTAAAGTAGAATACCACATGTGCTCCATTATCTAATCTTCCCAACTGTCAAGCATGCAGACAATTGTCGCCAAAATTCACTCAATTTCCTTTAATGAAACCCAAATATCCTTTTCTTGGCTTTTTCTTGAAATAGTTTATAAGACAGAACAAAGCGGCAAGCTTACAACTTCTTCTAGAAAAATACACTTATTTTTTTGCGACATAACATTTATACAGCTGCCAGACGAAATTCAAACATTAGAACACCTTGAAAAATGTATACAAACTTTAGGAAGTTCTCTTTCACCTTTTAATGTCGAAAAATTCAAAAAGAAAGCGAAAAGTTGGTTCATGTTTCAGCAAATGCATTTCCGAAATACAATAAACTACATAAACAAATTTGATCTTTCTGTTTTGTTTTTAGTTTGAACGTGTTATATTTCATTTTGTGACATAAGTTCTCTATGCGCACGCAGTTTTTCAGACGCTTTTAAAATACGTCCTTGTTTTAAAATTGGCAATAAGAAATTCCCGAGGATTTCTTGGCTGCTTTAAGAAAGGAGTTAAGGCGCCGTGACGATGATTATCGTTTGTGATAGGCATGTTATTAAATCGCAAACTAATTAAGCTTTCACGTTAAATCCGCTTCAGCATTCTCATCGTCAAAATACACGCATTAAGGAGGAAAAATTAAGAAAACAGAATCGTTTGCTAATGTTAGCACATAACTGCTGATTGCGTCCGCGCTCCAATCCAACATAAACTTACGTACGGTCGCAATATGCTGGGTAGACTTTTAATTTCATATTTTTTAGTCATTTTATCATATTTGACACAAATGTTTTTGCTGTCATCGCTAAAGCTTATCTTATTCATTTAACGCAGTATGCGCTCAACTTGATTGATAGTTGGATGAGATAGCTTTGATGGCTGTCAACTGATCAAAGGTGCCGCAAATTCAGAATCGCAATAAACCGAGAGAACACTTGAGACGACTTGCGTGGGGCCCGATGTCTGAAAACGAACCAGAGGCAACTCAGCAGTACTGGGTGTAGAAACAATCGGCTTGCTCTTTGTGTACCGACGCGCATACAAAGGTTTTTGACTCCTTCTTAATAAAGTGTTGGGGTTTAAATGCTCTTGTAGTCACCTCAAACGCAAACAAAGAGTGACAAAATAGCGTTGAATATGATTGACGTTTTGATTGATTCATAAGGCCATTATGACACAGCGAACGAATGCACACTTAATTACCTTGGCCGCGTTGATTGGTTGTTGAAATAACTATCAATCAAATTTCGCTATCTGCAATTACATCTTAGCCCACCCCGCCGCGTTGATTATCCAATAAAGAGGCGAAATATAGACAAAGATGCGACGTGATTGGAAGGCGGCATTTGCTTGTAATCTCTTGTGAGTAAAGTGTGGGTCACATTGTCTCGTGGCGGCAGCACTATAGACAAGCTGTATTTAATATTTCACTCCAGCCCTACCGCATTCACAAACGTAGTTTGGAAGCCAGAGAGAAGTGCGCGTCGCGCTGCTATAATGATCGATATTACACCGTCTAGGGAGTTTAAACCAAAAACGTCAGCCATTCACCATTCCTCCGGCGTACGTGTGCCACTTCATGAGTTGCAAATGCTGACGCAAAGCGTCGCGACTCGAGACTATGTTCACGCATTTGGTACTATCTCGGTAAGTATCGCAGCTATCAATAATGATTTCAAACATGCTGCTATCTGCATTTCACAGGCCGCATTCGGGGCGCGTCCCTGTTTTTATGCGTTTGTATGTGCTTAGATTGTTAAAGTTGATAGCATAGTCTGCTAGACATCGGACTATCGGCGAGCATTAATCGTCATACACAAGTCAAGCACTACGTGAGAGGAGTTGTATCATGCTAAATGAGTTCATCTTTCCAACAGGATTCGTCGAGTGAACAACAGAAAAAATCTCCGTTAGCACTACTCGCTGCAACGTGCAGCAGCATAGGAAAGACGGAGGAAAAAAAAGAGACTAGGGAAGCCGTCACAAATAACACTGTGTCGGTAAGACATTCACCCAAGATCACAAGCAACGATCGAAATGTCGTCATTAAACACACAACTGCAGACGAAAAGTCGTCTTTCAAACCGTACAAGCACTTAGAGGGGAAAGACGTTAGTAACTCTGCTGTGGAAAAGGTCGGGTTTCGGGCACCCAATAAGGATTCGCCAACGAACGATAATTCAACTCAAAACAAGAGCCCACACTTTCGAAGTAAAATATTACCCCATGTAGGAACAAGTTTTCATGGATTTCAGTATCCATACCTGAGTGACACTAGCGGACATTGCTATTATCAAGGATCATCCTCAAACCGTTTTTGTGGTGGTGTGTATTACGACTTACCGAATTCCTCCAACACACATCATCATCCGACTTGCTTCAAGATTGACTGTACTGGTAATTGTACTCCAACGATGATACCTACACCTACGTCGTTAGCCCCCACCACATTAAGTACGCGGCCTATGTTCCCGACACCGCCTGTGTCTGTTCAATCTCCGATCAAGTCACTTGGAATGAGTTCAACAAGACCTAATTCGCTCTATTCCAGATGTAATTGTGGATATTGCAACCAAACAGGAGATATGAAAGCAGGATTTCATCAACCTGTCCCTCATTATCATAGAGAGTATTTAACTACCGTCTGTCAAGACCCATTTTGTACAAACTGCAAGGTACCTAAATCATCTTCAACCGCTTCTTCCCATGGTTGCAGGACACCATGTTTTGGACATCATCACTATGATGGATTGACTACATCTTTACCCATACCTGAAACACTACCTACAGTCCCGCCAAGCATGTCACATCTTTATCCATATACTGGATTTATGCTAAGAGCACAAAACGATCAAAATGGGCCATTTGTTTGTAACTGGGTACAGGATTCGAAAAACTGCGGTATAAATTTCAAAACTTCAGAAGAGCTTCTTCAACACTTAAGAATACATACTAGTTCTGCTAATTCATCATCATCAACTTCCGCACATACGCCATGTAACATTCCCGGTTGTCCTTGCGGTTTGAAATCACCACTTGGCGGAGGCACAAGACTCCATTCAACAGCAAGATATCATCCATATCTTCTGCCTAATCCAGCCTTTCATTCCCCGCCATATCATTCAGCCATGTCACATTATGCAAGCACGCATAGCCTGCCGTATGCATCGTCCATCAAGCCTTATTAAGATTATGGTTTAGAAGTGTAAAAATACGCAAATAAAATCCTAAAATAGCCTGTCCGAATTAATATTGCACACTGATATCGGCTTAAATTTACTCATTAGGGAAATATTACTCATAGTTTTGAGTGATTTGTTATCAAGCAGTTTTGCGGTTATTTCTGGCTTACGACGCTTCTCGATATCTCTTTCTATCTCTTTCTGCGTTGAGAATAATCCCGTTTTAGAATTGTGGAAAATTCGATCCAAAACTATATTTTTAAAAGTTAGATAAAAGATATCAAAGCTTTTTGTCATTTGTCGTTGACATTAAAAAAAATCTTTCTGCTTTTTCCGTCTCATAGCAGCAACAAATGATGCAGATAAAAATTGTTGATAGGATTGTAAATTTTTTTGGCGAATTTCTTAACTAAATCTGGCAGCTAACATTCAATGTATCTTTATGTAGGAATTTGTATTAACATATGTAAATTATTTCTTCCAAGATGTACCGAAAAGACAAATATTAAAATGATTTCTAATTTAAATGCTTTGTTTGCTTTTCATAAATATATTATTTATTTCATCCACACGCCAATGCATTAGGCAAAACAAAGAACAATGAAAACGATACCATGAAGAAAAACCTGATGTTTAAAATGAAAACACAGGACAACTTCTTTTCTTTGTGTCAGTAGCAGTTTTAGAAATGTTATTGGCATGTTCTTACTATAGATACGTAGGCCAAATGTTAGCTATACAACTAGAACGCATATGCTTAAACCGTGCGACCTGATATGACCCAAAGTGACGGGAAACGACAAACAACACTATATTTTCTCTTTAATTATATTCGAAAAATAAACTTCTTTTTTTGTCCCGTCTACGTTGTAAGTTTGGCGCAGCATTTTGAGTAAAACACAATAACATATATTTAAAAATATTTTATCAAATTTCTGAGCAGACCTTGGCATATCGCTTGATCTACGAGAGCATTATGTCGCTCGCATTAACTGACAACAATCTTTGTGATAAGTTTATAAAACTGATAAAAAATTTCAACATGGGTTTGTTTGAAAGCGCGGCACGACGCAAACAGACATTCCTCATTCAACACTCATTTTGAGTGAAAACTTGTTAAAAACTCCATCATTCATCACTCTTTGACATTTGTCCTCTAATCATGCCGACATTCGCGTCACTGCACTACACAGTCATTTTGTTATTCAATAAACGGCCTATTTCTTTCGATTACTATCGCAATTTATCAAAACTGATAGCATGCCTTTGATTAAATATATATAAACCAATGCATGGCCGCACGAAATATGGCAGGCCCAAAATAGCATCTTTTCAGTAAACATTCATTTAAACTCACTTTTCAAATATGATGACATTCCAGATTTTCGTTGAATCCAGTTCATGATCATCAAACTATCGCTATCAAAAGAAGAAAAGAACCATTTCAGCTGCATGTATTTAATCAAGTTACGGTCATTTGTCAATCTTGAAGGTGGGGATTATAAAATCAGCACATTAATATCAGGAGAGAAATATGATAATTATACTGAAGGTGTAAAGGTGCGCGTACAAAAATAAAGAGAGCATATTTTACGAACACTTGTTTTTTTAATATATAAAATTTGAATACAAATTTTCCAATTATGGATAAGAGTAACCGCATTGCAAGATTACGCTACATATCGTTTTATCAAACAATGATTAAATCTTCAGGCACAAGTCTGAAGACATAGCAATGAACTGTTAACTTAATAGAATTTTGCTAAGATATATATCAACCATGACCTAGAGAGTTTGGATATAAATTGAATAAGCTGTAAAGCCTCGACATTGTACTCGACATCGTCTATAGAAGTGAAACTGTAGTAATAACAGTCGCTCGACGTGAGGGAGACAGGGCTTGTTGTGTAGCAAAATAGAGTTTGACGTGATTGACGTCAAAATCGCAGCCGAAACTGAGAACCATGCTGAGAACACTATAGTAAACATAGTAGTGTTCAATATGATCCAATAAATGACACATTGCTCGGTAGAGCTTGGAATCCCCAATAAATTCTGTCATTCATTTAATTGCAGTTTTACATAGGCCAACATTACCAATATTCTTTTACATTTATTTTTCAACTTTATCAATGAAAATTAAAAATTAAAATTTTTTTCGTCTGAGATAGTAAAGCACTTATTAACAAAAGCAATATTTCTTACAATTTAACAGTAATGAATTACTTACGCCAAAAATATTCTAGTATTGAAGTAATTAATGGAGGATTTTAGCGTGCAAAGATAACAATTATCACATATAGGTGTTGCGCATTCATATTGGGGACATTATTCTTGTATGAAATTTATACCGTGTTTCTCATAGTCGTGCCTTTGTTTTATACAGATCAATTTGCCTTTGTATCTATCCTAGAGGTACATCATGTAATAACAATGTCTGCTCGAATCACCAGAGTTCAATGGAGCAGAATCCTACCCTTGGATAAACATGTATAATTTATTTTAATATTTTTCGTTGTTATCTATGTCATGCGGTTTTCAATCTAATCATTCGTTTGATGATTGCTTCTCACAGGAAATGAAATGCTTTAAAAATAGATAGAAAAGTTTTTCACTCGCTATCTTTAATTGGTAAGCCAACAAATATTTGGAGCATATCTGGTTTAGGTAATTTTCAACAAGTCAGTTGACACAGAGTCGAGCTTGTGTTCTTCGATGTCTTTCACTGAAAAATGAGATGAATATCTAACATAAGGAAACTGAATACATCAATAAACAATAACTAGAATATTATTCAATGCTTTATTGTAAAATTTGTTTGGAAAACTATAAATAACAATTTTATTGATTATCAGTGATATTTTTACAATTTCAGTCATTGGGATCATCAGAATGAGTATCGCTGACTTCTTCTGGTATTTGAGCCAATGGAGTTTCTTGAGAAAAAAAATCAAAAATCATTGGTGTAAGAAATTTGTAGTCTAGATTTTTCAAACAATTAATTGATTATAACTAAGGTATGACGTACTTATTAAACATCAAATTTGAAAATCATAATTTAAAACTAGGGATCCAAAAATAGTGCAAAGTTTAATAAACACAGTGTAGATGTCTGTTGCTTGATGTTCCTACTTAGCTTAAAGCACACTGGGTGTACACCATGCATGTTACAAGTTTTAAATTTAAAATGCATTTGTTGAAGCAAGCTGAAGACAGACAACATGGCAATAAAATGTGTCTGAAAACTTGCCCAACCAACTAATTGAATTCATTACAATCAACTGGATTTTTTTGCACTGGTTTGGGGGGTAACTAGCGTGCTTGGTCACAATTAATTTTAGCATGTGCAAAAAATCATCTTAGCATGTGCAGTCGTCTTAACAAACTGTCTAAGTTTATGGTCATGGAAATGACCAAGTGGATTTAATAGCACTGATATTGTAGTAAATAGCTCACTTAGTCACAATTTATTAGAACTATCTGCACATGTACAATCTGCAAATCAATTGTTTGAGTTGGTAGTCATGGCAATGACCAACTGGTTTAAAATGTGCTACTTTCGGAGTAACTGGCTCACTTGGTAACATTTTATTAGAGATAACATGTTTGTAAAAATTCACATGTAGTAAAAGTCTTTTTGGAGATGAACTTTATCATTCCAATGGCTATATGTACATTCAAGGAGTTTTGTTCTCACTACATTACCTCCAAATGTTTCAGTATTTTGAGGTTTCTCCACAGTGATATTTTGTCCCTCTACTTCTGTGACAGTCTCAAGAGATTGTTTGACTTCAGTTGGGTTGATACGAGAAGCATTGTCAATAACAACATGTTCAGCTGTCTCTCTTGTACTTTCTTCTGTATGGGCAAGTATCTTTGCTTCCTCTCTCATTTTTGCTTGATTAGATGCTTCCTTTTCAGCAATTTCTTGTTCTTTTATCAATAGCATGGACTCTTCTCTTTGCTATGTATAATGAAAAAATAATACTGAGCTTAAGCTACTTCATTTTCTCTTTCTACTTAAGCAAACAACATTTAATTTTTTATGTAATAATAAGTAAAACTAGAATTGAATTTTTCCCAAGTGCAAATTATCATACAAATGCTCTACCTTAAAATCATACACTCCATTCTCAACATATTTCCTCAGCCACAACGCCAAATATTCAATAGGATCAGTTGGTTTCTTTAAGCAAATTTCTGCAAGACCTTCAGATAATGCTTTTCCGACATGCCTCTTCAGATATTCTGAATCCATTTCAATTGAAATGATGCGATATTTTCAGTTAACTTTTCGGGGTATATTCTCCTGTTGATTTCAAAAAATATAATTTTGCAATTTGCGTTATTTCTTTGGTGATTGATGTTACTATGGATACATCGGCAAAGTCCGTGAACAACCGGCAAACATACTATCTTATAATAATTTCTCAAAATTATAAATGTAAAATTTTTAGCATTAAAATGGAAATCTAAACATCAATTTCACGAAACGAAATGCTGCTAACAAAGCCTAAACCGAACGACAAGTCGCAGTAATATTAAATAATTCGTATTTTCCGACAGTTTTTTTCTACGACGGTTTGCGTGACTTAACGTCCTGGCGCGAGAACTATCCGAAGATTTCTACTTGAAGCAACAAATCATTACTTGTGCAAAAGATTCTTCGAAAATTTTTTTACTGACGATTCTCATGAATCATGGAAAATGAGGAAGTTTATGTCGTTTACGGGACGCAGGTATGTTTACTAAACGCTAAGGTGTAGTTGTCCTTGATTTTTCATAAATACAAAGAAACTTCCTAAATAATGAATGAATAAATAAAAATCCTAATGGAAAATCAACGTTTGCCATTTATTTGTATGCCAAAAACAAACAATAATTTGGCTCGGTCAAAAAAAATGTTATAATACACAAAATATTGCATTTTATGAATTATGATTAGCAATGATTTAAGAGAAAATTCGCTGTATAATTTACAATATAATATAAAAACACAGTCACGGTAATCATATGTTTATCATGATTGTACTTTCCCATACACGTGAATGAAAACTTGTTTAAACAAGTGTTAGTACTTCTTTCTTTTGTACACTTATGGCTATCAAATAGAATGATATGTCATATGGCAATAACATAGCCAATGTTTGTTTTCAATTATGCTGATGATTTCTTTGTTTGAAATAAACACCTTTGTCATCATTTTTTTCCAGCTATCCATGGTGGGAAGAGATATATTAAGCATACCACCAGATTTAGGAATAACATATGGCCCAAATATTCACAGATTAGATTTAAGTTTTAATCGCCTCAGGTAACAACAAAATATAGCATAATCCACTTGAATAATTAACAAACTTCATGTTTCAAAAGGTATTATAAAAGTTACGCACATTTCTTAATTGTACAAATTTTAGAAATTTGGAAGGCATCCAAGGATTTACTGAACTACGAGAACTTATTCTTGATGGAAATGAGATTGACGACAATGTTATTTTTCCAGTATTAAATCACTTACACACATTAACTATGAACAAAAATAAAGTATCCTTAGACATTTTTGCATTACAATTCTTAAAACTTGAATTAGTGTCAATAATGTCATGATGCTAGGTTGTATTAAAGTTGAAATGTTGTAGAATATATCTAAATGAAATGATTCTTCATGTTAAAAATAGCCAGACAAATAGTCAGACCTTGACCTGAAAATATAGATAACAGATTTGGAATCTCTTCTTGAAAAAATCAAGCTACATCTACCATCATTGAGATATTTAAGCTTGCTTGGAAATACAGCCTGTCCAAATGAATTGTCTGACTTAGAAAAAGACGAGGAAGACTATCAGCGATACAGGTATTTGTTGTTTCATTTTATCATCACTATTTTAGGGTGTGTTTTACCTTAGGACCATTATAATACACATCCCTTTAAATACTAAATGTTAAAATGCAAACCATGTGTGTTACAATTAATCCTAATTATGATATCTTGCCATTAATTAGTATTTCAACATGATTTCCTGCAGATACTTTGTGCTCCATAAACTTCAAGATCTCCAGTTCTTGGATTCCAAAAAAGTATCAAAGCGAGAACAACAGGAGGGAATTCGACGAGGTGGATTTTTGAAAGTTGTTGCCCCAGGACAGGAAAATGTAAGCATAAATTTTTACTATCTGTGCTTTTAGCTATCCTTTACTTAATTTATCTGTGCCCATGTATTTTTTCATATATTCTATTTTTCACACAAATTTCATTTTGTATGTCTGTTGACTTTTCCTGTACGTTCATCTTAATGTCTCTTTTATTATATATTTGCTATTTATTTTCCTGACGGATGTAATATGCTGTGTATGTAGCAATTTTGTTAGGTTTTTTCTTCGTACTATTTAGTTTTTTCATGACTTTTCTTCAGATAAATGGGAATAAAAGAGGAAAGGCTGAGAAAGACAGCATCTACTCACCATTGCCACCAGTTCTTACAAATGCTGGTGATCACCATGGTACGTATGGTCGTATGCGCTATGTTTACATTGGTAAACATTCAGAAGGTAATAGATTTATAAGGAATAATGATTTGTGAAGACAAATTTGCGTTACACATTCTGCAATTTAAAGATAGACTTGACTAATGCATAAAAACTCACTCAACTTCTAATTTGTTGGATACTGAGTAATGAATCTGTTCTTGATTATTGGTAACCCAAAATGAAAAAGAAAAACTTGTTTTGTAATATATTATAGAGCCAACTCTTCTGTCTCATTCAACTCAACTGTCTTCAGTTGAGTGTAAACAAACTTTTACAATGCAAAAGTAGTTAGTACAAAAGTTATCTTACCTTGAAACTTAGATATAAAGTATTGTTGTATAAATGAATGATATTAGTAATAAGGCACACATATGCAGTGGATAACTTTTAAATATAAGAAATTGTTTAATGGTTTATTCTGACTATTTCTTGATCATTGAATTTACCTGCAGTAATTTAAGTAGATCATGATTATTTTATTGGATGAAATAATCTTAAGTTGGTGGCCTTTTTGAGTATGCATTACAGGTTTACGGAGTCAGTGGTGTCGAGTCAAAGGCTGATGCCTAGGTAGTTACTTTATCTAACCCTTCCTGAAGTGTATCAATATGTTGTTATAAAGATACACACGTAATACCTTCCTACGCAATTTTTAGGCAGCGTTTTAATTTGACGCTCTTTACATCTCTTTGGCGAACGATACAAGCGAACCTTAATTCTCTTGGGCTTTCTACATTTTTAATTTTGCAAATTTTTTTTCAAACATTCGCAACGTTTTTAACGACAGTCGTCGGTTTCAAAAAATGCCTTACGTTCACTAAACTTTTCAATCTTTCTTTCCTCAGACGTAAGCAGTGGCGGACACTGTGGGAGGGAAATGGGTCCATTACCTCCGACGTAAGCAGTGGCAGACACTGTGGGGAGGGGGGAGGGTCCAAGCCCCATCTATAATTTTTTAAAGACTAAAAATCTTGCACGAAATACCACAAATCCCAACCATTGACCTACAAAAATTTTGTGCCTAGGGAACAATCCCAATTCTTTTTCTGACGATCTTTTTGTTGTGTTGGTCTCAAACTTTGGTATGAAGTTACTCATGAAAATATAATTAACAAAATATAAGAATTTGGAAGTCGCAAATTGCATACTTTGATTAACTTCGACAGCAAAACTTAATGATGGCTTTTCTACCGACCCTTAACTGGCTGAAGGACTGCTCTTGTGAAAAGTTGAAACTTGGTAACCAAAAGATTTTGCTTGAAAGCACGAAGTGGGACAATTTTGTTTCAGAAACTAGTGTTAACTAAAGTTCTCTTTAGCATGAGCAAAATTGCTCAATATGTGTCTACATTAAAGATTTCTCGGTGTGTAGTATGGACGGTCGGAAACGTACCGCAAACGATAGTATGAACGAGGATCAAATGATGCGTTTTCGATAAAACGAATACGTAAACTTGTTAACACGTATTAGAAGAACGTTCAAAACAAGACAAATCATAGAAAAGTATGAAAATAAAAATGAAAGATCTTAGTGTACCGTTTCTTGGAATTGCCACATGTTATTGATAAATCAAGTAACTATTACCTTTGTATTACTGTTCCATCTTGAGTCCTCCAAGTAACTATTACCTTTGTATTACTGTTCCATCTTGAGTCCTCCAAAATTATTTATGATAAATGACGTTTTTATTTCATCAAACAAATCCTTCTCACCATTCGCAGGGCAATTACAACAACAACAAAAGTAAGTTGACGTCTTGAAGTTCTCCTTTTTTCAATGTTTTCTTCACGTAAATACAAACCAATTATTGTGTTTTGGTATGTATTACACTCGGCAAAAACCTATAAAACAATGAAATTTACTGTGTCTTTAAATATGTTAAACAACAGAGTAAAATGTCAAAACAGTAGCTATATAAAACAACTTAATTCATTTTTCTCCAAAAAATCACTATTATTTTATCGCAGATTTTTATCCTCACTTTACAAACACAGTTTTTACATACACAATTGTATAGTCTGTAGCACAATACAATTCAAAGAAACTTGATACAGCATATCATGAACTGCACATATAAATATAAATATACATGACTCCCAATTATCGACATTACTATACATCAATGACTAACAGCCCTGGTTTCACCTTCAAGGTTACATAACACACGTTTAATATAAATATTGCATGTAAATTGATGCAATTTCTTGATTGAAATCATTCACAAAACATATTGACGAGAAATTTTTTCAAGAACCACGGAGTATTTTAATAAAATACATAAAAACGGTAACAACAAATAACGTGAGCATTTGATTACGATGACTAAATAAAGTCAAAACGTTGAATCAAAATACTTACGTTGTTTGAAGTTACCGTTATATACTTTAGTTTTTAAAAGCACGTGACTATGTATGTTTAAAAGTAACATACAAATACTGAAAAAATCCTCTTAGATCGTGGCTAACATTTAAGTAATCCAAGATTGAAAAAACGATGTACTATTTAAATCAGACAAGCATACACTTTATTTTGCTAAGCCAGATAATTTGAACTGTGCTTTTATAAGATCGCGCGAGTATATAATTTGCAATGGAAAATTTTAGTTCCAACTTCCAAAGAAAACAAGACTTCTGCTATCAATGGACACTTTACAGAATAGTTCAACTACAAAACTATTGACTTTAAACTGCACAAATACATGAATAAGAACATGTCGAAACTCATATTATTAAAAATACATCATTCCTTGAAAAGAAGATACTTTGATACACTTTTTAACAAAAGAAAAATCTTGTTCATGTATTCTTCTTGTACTTTAGTTTGTAATTGTTGTTCATCCAAAATCTAATACGAAGGAAATAGAAGAATAACATTTATATAATGAATGCCTGGTTCGTACACCTAAAGTAGTCACTGTAAACTCGTAATCCTTGTGATGTTTGAAAAAAACAACACCTTCAGTTAAATCTTCTTTACTTGATGATAAATCGCCATTAAGTAAAAAGACAGAAAGAGACATTAGTTGTTTGCGCTACCACCGGAAATGCGAATAAAATCAGGGAAATCTCTTCGTTTCCTTGAAATGATAGATTTTTCAAGAATTTGTGTTAGAATGCAATTAGGAACACTAATATTTGTTATAAATTACATAATGCATTCTATAATACATTGTGCTTCAAGAAAAAGCCAACAAACTAAACACGGTACTTATAAAATAAGGCAACAGTAATTACTTCATCGTACGCAGGTCTTTAATTCTCCATGACGATTTAAATATCATCCCAGGAGATTTTTCAAAAATTTCCGGCTTCGAATATTTAGAACATATAATGGTTTTAACGGATGACTCGAAATTGATACATGGATTAGACGTGAGCAAAAATGAACTGACAAACACGTGAGCTATTTCAAAAACTCGATCATCGATCATATTTTTGAGTAAATAGCTAAAATGATTATGGTCAACAAAGTCATTCTTATTTTCTACGAATAAAAAGAAAAAAAGTTGAAAAAGCATTTTGCCAAGTACAGTTATGGAAATATTAAACGATGATCAAATAGTTATTGTTATATAAAAAGAATTTGTCATGTACGTGATGTACTTTACACGACGCATCACTGTGGGAACAACGTGTGATTCTCATGCCCTATATCTGTAAATTTTGAGCAAAGAACTATGTTTTCCACCAATTTTCGCAATGTACACAACCATACACGTGCACATGGCTTTATTTTCATGTAGAAACACCATAACACAACTACAGGGAAAAAATTCCTTCAAAGGTTATAGGTGCGATTCCAATTTTCTCACTTTTTTAAATTAATTTAAATTCTATACGTCAATACCAGTCATTAGGAACGGTAACGACTACTTTGTAATTCTAGATCATCAAATGTATTTTTGTTATAAAGAAGGAAATCTTGAGTCAATACACGCCATAAACGTTAATATGAGATGATACCATAGATGGCAATGATAATAACTTCAGAAAGCTATAAGACAATAACTTTATTATATATTGATTCAATTCTCATATGTATATGTAAACAAAAGATGACATTTTTCATGTTTCTACCATAGCTAATTTCTGCATTATCAAGAACTAAATCATTCAAACTCATCATTTCAAAAAAAAAACATTTATCATTTGGTCATTAAGATATATGTGATCTAGGACACTCATAAACAACACTGATATTATTCACACCATTATTTTAGGCGACATTTTCAACATCATTATGTTAGTAAAGTATACAACTGAATCTCAATAATTGAGTGAATGTCTATTTAAAAACAAGCAACTTTATCGGGGTATATAGTCTATTCACGCAGAGTAACGATGCTATACGGTAACATAAACTATCAACGAGACAGGACCATAAAACGCATGGAATGCATTATTGTCGGATCGAATTAAGCCAAGTCAAAGAAAAACGCTGTGTTTTAATGACTTTTATAATGAATGTTACTTTTCTTCACTCGAAAAGCGAATAAAGCTGACCTCAATGTTTAATTCTTTATCGGTGGGGCACTAATACTCAGCTATTGAAAACTTCTACCGCTAAATTTGAATTTGAAAAGATTGTTGTTAGCAATTAGCTAAAATTTAATTAATTAATAAATCTTTGCCATTTGTTAATGCTATTGCCATGAAAACCAGCCGACAGATGGGTAAATAACCATCACATTTGAAGAGGGGCTTTTCGAGCGTTGGCTTAGTAAGCATTTGCAACATTCAGCAACATTAATATGATAAATTGAAGTAGGTATCTTACATCATAACAGCGTATATTAAAACTGTGTGGACTGATTGTGAAATGTTAACGACAAAGACATATTAACATTGAAATTTTTATTTGTTCATTGTGTTGAGTGTAATTGTGTTCTTGTCAAAATCAACTGCGATGAAGAGCCTTTCAATTCCGTGTATGCTTTGTTCTAGAACACTTATTACCAGTGATAAAAAGATATAAATTATACTGTTCATCTTTGCGCAATAGAGAGGACCATATAAGCTTGTCGTGAACTAAATTAAAGAAAACGTGTTCAAAGGATTGCGGTAGGTAAGTTTTTTTTTTGTAATTCATTTACTTCTTTGTATGAAGAGCCACGATGACGCTACTTTTAGTTCAAGCTGACCATGCTTTTGTTTAAACATAAGGATTGTACGAATTCATATATAGTAAGTGATACTGACAGGTTTCAGACAGACGACATAAAATTGAATAAATAAAATTTAAGACGAACACCATCGATCACAACGTAGGCAAAAAGTATAAACGAATGACTAATTTATTTGCAAGAGTTTAATTAGAAAATACCAAATTATAATGGCGATTTACGATACAGGATACAAGAATGGACAATTCATTTAGATATTTTTGATAAAGTTGAGACACAGGCCAGCTGTGCAGCACGCAGATACATTGCACCCATCTTGGACATATTAAGTAATTTTAATATTCAGACACAAACAACAATTTCTTGTAAGACTTCACAATAGATGATCACGTCCAAGATTCACTTTTCAGATAATTCATACAAATAACAAATGTGCAAATGAACGACGTTTAGAGGAAGGTGGAATGTTTTAAAAGTTTGTTTTAAACCACATATGGATAAGCAATTAGTAGAAATAAATTCAGATGAATTGGACCCCTACCTAAGAGTTTATAATGAATAGATATTTTGTTTGCTTGTTTTTGTTTAAAAACTTACACCCTGATGTTTTATCCGAAAACTTTCACTCGTTGAAATGTGTCAAGGCTATAAGATATACTATATGTTGAGAAACTGTTGAAGTGTTCTAAAAAATCATTTCAGCTACTTATCGTAAAATCATTTCTGAAAAATCACTTCAGCTACTTATCGTCTCGGTCTCGTACAGATAACATTATAGGTAGATCTAATATAAAACTTAAAAGTTTCTTGGACGTGATTTTTCCTGGCAAAAACTTCTTATAATAATAAAGCAATTCTAGAATGATCTTTTAAGGTATCTTCTACAAGATATACAAGCGGTATAAGCAAAAAAGATACAATGATATAAATAGAGCAGAGAAGACGACATGGGTTATGAGAAATAACGTAAACTACACTCTAACTTTAATAACATTGCACACATTAAGCAATGTTCTCAACAGACTCTTCGTGAAACATGTATAGTCACAATTAATGAGTAGCTTAATTATCAATACACGAAAGTGACATAAAATGTGGATTGATATAAAGTTAGAAGTGAACATTATGATCATACACACAAGTCAACTTAGGCAAATAAAACTGCATTTATGCGACGTTAATTAATTCCTTATGTAACGTTATGGTGTATCTGGTGTAATGGTATATCTGTTATGGTGTTATGGTGTATATAACGTTATGGTGTATCTGGTGAAATGGTATATCTGTTATGGTGTTATGGTGTATGTAACGTTATGGTGTATCTGGTGAAATGGTATATCTGTTATGGTGTATGTAACGTTATGGTGTATCTGGTGAAATGGTATATCTGTTTATTCAATACGCACTTCGAAGACAAAGAAAAATTCAATATTTTTTAGCTCATATCTCTTCCATTTATTATTTATACTTATTACAGTTTTATTTTCTATTTGGCTTCCTTAAATAATCATTTTATTGATTAACCCTGAACACATTGATCTTGTTCATAGTTCTTGTATGTAGACGATTATAATTTTAAATTGAAAATAAACATTTTTATAACCTAAAATTAATCAACACATGTGTTGCAGATTTAGATACAAGTTGATTTGTTCATCATAAAAATACCGAACTTATTTTCCATGCAATTCTTACACATTTCACATTAAATACTTGTAAAAAATTAAAGTTCTAGGTGCAATCGTGACCAACACGAACATTCTATAAAAGGTTATCATTGTTCCTATTCAATCATGGATTAACACGATCATAAATATTCCAAAGATATGTTGTAGTTCGGACAACTATAAAGCAAATATCGTGCGACGATTATCTATATTAATTGCTTTAGCACTTCAATTAAACATTTCCTTGAAAACGACACACGAGCACATGAAACATCCTGAAAGAGCACGTTATAGTAAAATAATTACTATTCATCAAAGAGGGTAATATAAATACTCGTGGTATATTTACATAAAAGTTCGCTGTACGAATCATGCAGCGAGAGGTTTCACCGTCAAACAGCATCATGCAGCATTTATTTTTCTAAGACTTTATAAATGCTAAAAAATGAGATGTCTTAGCGAGTCGTGTGCGTCATTTGTAAATTTATATTTTGATGAAACAAGTCAGATAAAGTACATCCGCTATTTGATGAAGAATTGCAGTTTGGACGTATAGTCGTAATCACAAAACAGTTAGTTGAATAAAAGAGAGGAGATATACATAAATCAGGTTAATAGTTTTAGATCCCTTTTCAAATATAATGTACAATAAAAATTTGATCTTATCTGTATTTATAAAATACTTACAGTTCAGACAATAATACATATAAAGTAAAATGAAGTCAATTCTAATGATAAAGCAAAGTGAGTGCCCTTAAATGTAGATTCCAATTAGATTAAAACCTCTTATCGTCTCATATTAATACCTTACATTCTTACAGAGAGGAAGCATATCCGACCTGGCGTATAGCAGCTGAAAACGCGTAGTTTATAGATCAAATCTAAGAGGTAAGTTATTGTGAAGAAATTCATGTAATAAATTGTAATGTCTTTTTGTCAATTATCGTAAACTACAGTGATTCATTCAATGGACGTAAAGAAGACTTTGATGGCCTAATGACTTATAACAAAAATTCACAAGATATACCTATAGCCAAGAGGCAAATCGTACGTGCAATTATTGTACTGACTATTTAAGAATAATTGAATTTCAATTCAAAAATAGTGGAACAAGATAGAAGAAATGACCGATATATAAGTGTAATGTTTACATCGCAAGCATGGATTGATGTTACAATAAATTTAAATGATAAATATATTTTATAGCTTATATTATACCAAAGCAATTTTCAAAGTTATGTCAAGAGCTATATACAAAAACTTCCATCATGTAAGACATTATAAGATAGATCATTATAACCATGTTATTCATTGTGATCGTGTCCTTAAATCAAGAGAATTGCTATATATGCTGCAGATATATTGAGTTACAAAAGGCCAAAACAACGGGTTAAATTCTTCAAGCTATGAGATTTTGCGAATAAAAAAATTGAGAAGTACAATTTAAGCATTTATTCCATGGTATATTTCACATAAACAAGTCATAAATATGATTATTTCGAAAAATGTTTCAACTATATCACGTTATTTTAGTTTTGACATTAACGACACGTTTAAATATCGCTGTTCTAATCATAACAATATCTCACGAAAACCTTTAAGTTTAATAACAAAATACTTGAATTTCCTAGAGAGGTAAGGTTTTAGTTGCTAAGTGAACAACATCAGAAGTTAACTCAACACACAGCTCTAACATCAGCTACATGTATAGCTACTTATCTATATAAAAAAATGGCTAGTTTAAATGTTTTAAAATTCTTTATATAGTAGTAATACTAGAAAACTAAACAAGCACATGCAAGATAAAATGTATATAGAGAGAGACTAGCCGGATTTTTACGCAATCATTATATTATTACCCATCCAGCCCACCACATGCGTTAACTTTATCTGTGATTTTTTGACAGGAAAAAAAACAAGATGAGATTTGCAATAAGCTGTTTTGTTATCTATTTAACATTCTTTACAACAAGAGTCGTTGCAAGGTTTGTGTCAAAGTAAAATAACGTTTCCAATACTAAAAGCTAGCACAATATGCTAAAGCCGTACTTCTGCATAAATTCTAAAGTTTTTCATGCGTTATAAAAAATATAAAATAGAAATTCACTTGCTGTCTTATCAACATGTTTAGTAAAGAAAACATAAACTTGACCTTTCCTCTTCAATAAAAGAGAAGACTCCTGCCATAAAATAACTTTTATCCAAAAAAATTTCAACTATTCCTTGGCTACTGCTCTGAGTAACAACAGGGGTCTTAAATGAATAAAACATATTGCTTTGAAATCAACGTAGTTAGTTTCCATCAAATGAACTTAATCTTAACGCCATTTTCTGTTACATTTCCAGGGAAACACTGCAGTTACAGAGCAAGGTAACTGAATAAAAACAATAAATTTTTATGTCTACTTGCAATGAAATAGCCTTGAACAAAATTCAGAATTGAATGTTCGGATTAAAAAAGATAATTTATGAAGCTAAGACTTATTCACATAGGTGTGTATACTATGAGATTGATGTGTGTGTCTTTGCCATTAATCTTTGTCACCATTAACTAACTGATTGATAAAAGCAAGATTCCTCTCAAATATGAAGTCTACTCAAGGTTAAAACGCAGTTTTGCATCGGTAATTTTGCTAAATTTAAATTAAAACACGCTACAACAATGAGCAGGTAATGTTTTTTTTTAGAAAAGGAAAACACACAATATAGCCACAGCGTGCCTTTCAAAGAACAATAGGAATTTTAGCTAGAGTTGGCATAGATTCTTGGCTCATTATACATGCACAATTATTTTCTCCTCTGTACTCAACAAATTCTTACGCAAACTATTGAAGGGTCTTTCGACACATTGCAAAATTGCGTCATTGACGATGATTAGTGTTGATGTTCGGGCGGGCAAAAACTGTACAATTTCATATCTATTTATGAAAATAAATGTGTTTAAAACCGTACATATGTTGAGTTATGTCGATTTGACGAAAAACAATTTGAAGTTTTAGGGTGATTTTTTACGTCCACTATTTTAGAGTAATTTAGCGGTTGATCACTTTAAAACATTTCCATAAGAATTTTCTCATAATATCAAACGAAAAATGCTTCAAAAATTTTCATACTGTTCTTGTGGTAAACATCACTATTCGTGGTGGTCTCTCGTTATCTTTAATCTAAATAAAACTTAAATATAGACCAAGCAGCAATGGCTTGACCTTATGACTTAAAGGGCGGAAGAGGAATTATTACCTATGGTTTTAAGAACAAATACGTGATGGCAGTCTGTTGTTTTCATGATATTTTACGCAATTTATACCCACGATGTAAAACAACTCAATTCTGTTTGATGGCAGGCAATATGTCCGCTCTAAGAGTATCTATTTTTCAAAACAACTATTTTACATTACTCGAGAAACTTTATTGAAGTGCAAGCAGGGAAATTTGCTGGCATCGTTTACAGTAGTGTTTTGGATAGTAGGTTAACATGTATAAAATAGGTAGACAATAGACATCTCCATATAAATCCACTTTTTAGCTTTCACAAACCATTTCATATACTATGTAGATCATTCATATTCAACACGCGTCCTTTCTTTGCAACCAAAACAAAATATATTGAATTGTTGTCAAATGACGATCGAATACGTCAAAAATGATAAAGCTACGTCAATCATAACATACAATATACAGGTAGTATGTATTTGAACATAGTTGTCTATAGACATAGGTATATATTACTGAGGAAAAACTGGGAAAAAAGGATTACCATTTATCTCAGGTGTAAAAATATTCAGATTTTTACTTGAATAAGACAAAAACGCCAGCTCAAGCATTGACTGATAAAATCAGTCTGCATCTCGATCTATAACACTATAACACTGTACGGTCGAGTTTTGCGCATAGAGTGTTCAACGATCTGAAAAGGCTTTCATAAAAAGCATAAGGAATGGCATCAAACCAACTTGAACAATCAACAAGTGTCACATGACAAGACATTCTTTTTTCTTTAGGACTACATGAAGTATTCCAGAAGCGTAATGGACGGTGCGAAAATGGGCCTTAAGCAATGTCACGAAGAGTTCAAACATGAGCCATGGAATTGCATCGTTCCGAAGGAATTTAAAATCATGCCAATAGTCACTAAAGCACGATTCTCCGAAGGTATGCTCTCATAGACTCATCTTGACAATAAAAGTCTGGAAACGGTTGAGCGAAGCATGAATAGCGTTATGAATTGGATAGCAAATTTTCTTAAACGGTTAAAAAACAAAAAATTTCTTTGTCGTAACGAAAATATAAACGCCTTTTTACAAGTTTCAAAAATTTACTATCCAATGGATAATGCCATCCAAGCTTCGCTTTAATAAATTTTTTTTTTACCTTTTAATTTTTTTGCACTCTGTATGAGAGCTCATACGCGCAGTGCTCATACAGCCAATCAAACGAGAGAAAAGCACGAAAGATAATTATCATTTAAATAAACATACTTCATGAGGATGCTTAAAAACGTGCAATTTTAACTCACTATTTATCTATTTTGTTTGATAACAACCAAACATTATGTTGTACTGACAATACTGTACATGTGTTTAGAAACAATTGTTGTACAACAATGTACTAAATATATAGCAATACAAGTCAATAAAAAACAAGACAACACATACCACTTGAACAATTAAAAATAATTCATCCTCACTTTTAATGCCCTAATGAAAGCTTGCTTATGGTGAACCTGCGATTAAAGAGAAATCATATGAATAAAAAGATTAACTTTATAATACTACATTAATTTCAGCCAATAAAGAAGCAGCTTTCGTTCACGCAATAACATCAGCTGGAGTGATGTATTCAGTGATAGTGAACTGCAGTTTAGGTCACCTCGAGAATTGTCGATGTCAGCCAAAAAATCGTGTAAAAATCCGTTCAAAAACTGAAGAAACACAAAACTGGCGTTGGGGTGGCTGTAGCGATAACTTTGCGTTTGGAGACCTGGTTGCGCGACATTTTATTGACGCCCTTGAAGGCAAACATGGAAATGAAAACGAAGATCGTCGTGTTATGAATTTACATAACAATAAAGTTGGAAGAAAAGTACGTAGAAAAATGAGCCGTAATTGACGTGATTTTTGAAATATTATTTACGTAAAGATCTTGCTTCAACATTTGTAGAAAAAGAATGGGGAAGGCTCACACTTGTTCCAATTTAGGGGCATTTTTTCTCGCATTTTAGACGAAGATATTCTTTTTTTTATTGTGGAGTAGAAAACTCTGCTGTCCAAAACAGTGGAGGTTTTATATCGTCGTGAACATAAGCTGTTGCTAACTGAAAAAAAGGTTTAGCTTTTTAAAAAAGAGGTGTCATTTCCTGCGTCTTTCACCTCATTTCAACGTACTTATACTGGGCTCTTTGTTATTTTTAAATATTTTTTATTGCCTGTCTGTCTATTTTAAAGTTCTTTGACAGTTTTCCTCAACGGTCACTTCACTTATTTTACAAGTACGGGAATCAAACGACTCTTTCAATTTCAGTTTCATAGTGGGCGATGTGTAATGGCACAACAGCACATAAGACAGTCGGAGATAACAGCCATACTTGTACATTTTACTGTTCTTCCTCCCCCAAATGTTGCAAATTGGCTTTGCGTGCGGGTGATAGATGATGAAATCTTAGAAATTCGTTTCAACTTTCATTATAAACAACATAAACCACTATTTCATAAAAATGAGCCTATCTTTCTTAGATTGTCAAGGCAACAACAAAGAAAGTTTGCAAGTGTCACGGTTCTTCCTCTTCCTGCACCTTCAAAACATGTATGAAAAAGTTGGAAAAATTTGAGAAAGTTGGTGATGTTTTAGTGTCAAAATATCATAATGCAATCAAAGTTAGTTACAAAAATGGCACTCTACGAGACAAGGACAACACAGTTATGAAGAAAAAGACAACTCTTGTTTACTACAAGCCTTCACCTGACTACTGCAAAAGAAATGAAGCATTAGGTCTTGTAGGTGTCAAAGATAGAGTATGTGAATCAAATAATCAGGTTGACTTTAAAAAATGTAAAGAGCTTTGCAATGGATGTGGTTTCAAAATGAAACTGAAAATCATCACCCGTATTGAGAAATGTAACTGCAAATTCCAATGGTGCTGTTTTGTCAAATGTGAGGAATGCAAGAAACAGGTTGTTGTGGCAACATGCGAAGGTTAAAGTAGAAATAGTTATATGGTAAAATGGTTTTGTAAAAATACAATGATAAAGATAAATGGAGTATATGTATTACTTAACAAGAGTCTCTTGTTGAAATCCTTTATTAATGTTTACTAGGTTTAGCAAAATGAAAAATAAATTCAAAAATCATATATGATCCTTAAGTTCTTTACACTTTAGATAAAAGCTAGAGTTATTGCCATTTTTCAACAGAGCCATTGGTTTTTACAGCTTCTGACAGGTCAATGTGGATGTAAAAATAGTTCACATGAATGAGTTAGCTTTATACAAACCAGTAAAACCTAGGCCTTTAACTTTCATTTTACTGTCATTATCTTCACAAAAAGATACTGAACAAGAACAAATATGATGAAGAGACTTTTCTCTAAACTTTGTACAACATAAAGAACCTAACATATTGGCTTTACAGGCACACAAAGCGTTTATAATAATCAGGGGGGCATATCAATGGATTTCAAAAGAAACTAATACAGCATGTCATACATTGCTCCCCCCGGGCCATCTGGCCGCAGGCCTGTGCCTCTACTGCAAAGAAAATTTGATGAAATTATCTATAACTCTCATGATATTTCAGCTGTTAAAAGCTTTCTACATCCTATGATGATGTGTACAATAAAATACGTTAGCCTTTGCTTTTGATATAACGACGAGTTCGTACTTACTTGACACATCCAAAGCAAAGAACTTGCCAAATCTATTAAATTTTCTCTTCTTTCGTCATTCAAACCGACCATTTAACTCTTTATAATGTTTAACAAAGTTGTTTCAAAACAACAACGGAATATTTACATGAAAAATTGAACAAAGATATAGATTTGTTTGACCACAAGTCTCACGTCCAACGTGGGGATGGTTCAATATTCCCGCCTCATGTAGCTACTCGTGTTACGGTACATTCCGATAATCTCCGACGGTTTAAAGTAAAATTATTAAACTTTTAATTCCCTTTCAAATTTGAATAATACAAAACTCAACCTAACATTACATTCAGTGGCGCAAACATTCAGCAAGTTTTACTTCTACTATGTTTGCCTTATTATGCTTATAACAATTATTTCTTTAAACATCAATTGCTGTACGTTTAACAAAAAAATACGTGGCAGGATTGGACATGCGGGCTGGCCACACCGACGTAAATACCTGCGCATAAATTGAAAAAATCTACAATGATAAAATTAACCTAACTAAAATACAACATTCAACAAATATTTCTTAAAGAATAAATAAAAGTTTTACTTTAACAAACCATGTGTTGAAGTGGGAATGTGCTAGTATTGTTTCAAAAAGTGTTCAGAGGTAGCATTGAGCCATTGACTTTAACTGACAACAAATGACATATTATTAGTCAGCCCTCGTTCAAACATAAAATAATTGCATGCTTATTAACCATCAGCAAAGGTAATCATCTAAACCAAAACAAAAACGAGGTATGGTACCATATTGGTTTACTTAGCACTGATAGTGACCACAACCCATAACAGTAGCTGCATATGGCACCACATTTACAAGAGAATCAGTGCCTAGCGTTGTTGTACCAGTAAATATTGTTTTCGTGGGATATAGACCACGGGAGTTGAACGTTGTATGCATCATGGATAGCTGGGGATATAGAGGTAAACCAAGCACGCGATTGTGAATATCCTTTTGTTTCTTTAAGATTGTGCTCAAATTTAATTGATTGTCAAATCGACCTTCTTTAGCAGGGCGATTGTCACTGTTATCTTGAACATGTGACCGTTTTTTACCCAATAAAGCTTCTACAGTGAAACCATTAGAAAATTTTGATGATTTAGAGTCGATATTTGAACTTGAGCCACGAATATTTTCAATTTCAGAGATAGGATTTCCCAAGTTGTCGTTTTTCAACTGACATAACTCATGATCGTTTACCGATATCTTGGTTGTTCTCGTTCGATCAAAGTCTGAAGTTTGAGCAAGTCCATCAAGGTGCTGAGAATTCAGAACGTTGAACGTACTGCGACCAGCTGGGGAAAAGGGGTTGTATGTAGGAATGGGATGATGTTGTGATGGAAGAAACATAGGGGACATAAACTGAGTTGAAGGTAATTCACTGAGATATGGAAAAGTAGGATAAGGATGAACGTATGGTACACTCTCACGAAGTTTCAGTGATCTTAAATAATTAGAGAGAGGATATTGCGTGAATTGTAGACCAGATGATATCGCTTGCTCTTTGGATAAAACGTTAGGCCTTTCCATTGATGTTGGATTAAGGTGACTGAGTATACTCGTTGTGTTTATCTGTCGTTGCGAATTTGAACTAGTTGATGAACTTGAAGTCAAGCTACCATTGACCGGCATTGCAAGATGGCTTCCCAATGAATGATCTGTGACTGCATTTCTTGCAGAATTTGGATAGTTGATCGCAGTCTCGGCCAACATGCGCAAATCAAAGGGTTCATTGGGTGCATCATGATAATCGCCGTCTGTATTCAACGCTGCTTTTAGCGCGGCCTTCTCCTCCATTAGTTTACGGTAATCGTCATAACCATGATTCTTGAAATTCATGAGACGATGCTGGTAGAATACAACACTTATTCTTGTCGGTGATATTCGATTCGGTTCTTTAACACGTGTGGTAGCGTGTACTTCCTGTTTTGCACATTCAAACAAAAGAGAACCATGAGACAATGAAAGTCCAACTCCACCCATAGAATCATCAATCCATTTCAAATCTATTTCAGGTGAAGAAGTCAAGCAGTTATTTGCATTAATTGAGTCCTTCAGTGTACCTCGTTCTTCCTGAGTGTTAGATTCATTGGCATTACTTGAGTCCTTCAGTGTACTTTGTTCTTCCTGAGTGTTACATTCATTGGCATTACTTGAGTCCTTCAGTGTACCTCGTTCTTCCTGAATGTTACATTCATTGGCATTATTTGAGTCCTTCAGTGTACCTCGTTCTTCCTGAGTGTTAGATTCATTGGCATTACTTGAGTCCTTCAGTGTACCTTGTTCTTCCTGAGTGTTACATTCATTGGCATTACTTGAGTCCTTCAGTGTACCTCGTTCTTCCTGAATGTTACATTCATTGGCATTACTTGAGTCCTTCAGTGTACCTCGTTCTTCCTGAGTGTTAGATTCATTGGCATTACTTGAGTCCTTCAGTGTACCTTGTTCTTGCAAAGTGTTACATTCATTGGCATCACTTGAGTCCTTCAATGTACCTTGTTCTTCTCGAGTGTTACATTCATTGGCATTATTTGAGTCCTTCAGTGTACCTCGTTCTTCCTGAGTGTTAGATTCATTGGCATTACTTGAGTCCTTCAGTGTACCTTGTTCTTGCAAAGTGTTACATTCATTGGCATCACTTGAGTCCTTCGATGTACCTTGTTCTTCCAAAGTGTTACATTCATTGGCATCTCTTGAGTCCTTCAATGTACCTTGTTCTTCCAAAGTGTTACACCATGCTACATTGCTAACAGGTTTAAGTGGTGAGGTCACAAGATGGTTAGGTAAGATATAATTTGGAGGAACGATGTTGTCATTATCATCAAGAAGATGATAACAAGGTAACGTGTGCAGTTGTTCATCAACTTCCGTATTCACGTTGTCTCTCGTTTCCTCATTTAGTAACGTCAGCACCTACGGTTACACAATTTCAGCATGATCATGGATTTTAACATCAATACTCAACTCTTCTGTACTAAATCATTGGGGAGGCTGGGAGGAGGCTGGGGAGAGGCTGGGAGGAGACTGAGTGGGGAGGCTGGGGGGGGGGAAGAGCAGTTACATTTCAAGCACTAGTAGAGACAAAATTAAATATTTTCGCTCTGTTCTATTAACTTCTTTATATTGCTTTTATCGACCATGATTGATCTTGAGCAACCAACTCATATCATATCGCAATAATTGTAACTATAAATTAAAAACAACAAAACGCGTGCGTTGATTGGTCTATAGCTGTGTTTGCATTAGCCTGTGCAAACCATTGAACTAATTACATGAAACGCTACCTGTAATAGAAAAGCCTAATAATTTTTTGAAGCCAAATCTTACACCCAGACAAGCAAGATTACATCCAGACACGCAAGATTACATCCAGACACGCGTGTGAAGTTCAATCAATTTTCACCCGCAAGAGAATCTCGAAACTGTACACATGCGTGTCTGGGTGTAACCTCGCGTGTCTGGGTTTAAGATTTGGCTTCAATTATTTACTTCAGGTGGCGTTCCATGTATTTTAGTTCAATGGTACAAACCGATCTGAGTTCAACCAATCAAATAAATCAATCAATCAATCAAATCAATCAATCAATCAATCAATCAATCAATCAAAGAGAATTTGCAAATCAATCATGAACACATTTTAAAGAACATGTTGGAATTAATTAACGTTCTTGTCAGTAATAGATTAAAACTCACCACTGTGGCACCATCCTCAACATTATGATCGTCTTTGTGATTGTGCGCACAAAAATCTACACAGCATGTTATTCCAGAAAATGGTCGCAGGCTGTTTTTGTTATTGTTTCCTAGACGGCATTCAACTCCTTCAACATCGTTACGACTCTATAAGTATTGGGAAAATGTGATAAAATTATTCATCTCTTTGTCATACGTTTCATATCCTACACTGAAATCCATACACTAACTTACTTGATTTTCAAATGCCAGGGGGGCAGCAGTTTTATATGTTTCAGAAACTTGTGAAGCCAAATTTTGGAGAAGAATATCAATGGAATCTTCCTATGATCAAGAAAAAAAAATGTTAAACAAGGCAACCAAATCTGTTCTGCTGTCATTCACTTTAAAATATAATCGAGAATATAATGGATTATGAAGCTGCTTGCCTTTTCTTGTGTTTTAAGTTTAAATTTGCGTGGACTTTTGCTTTTTGCAAATTTACAACGATTCAAAAAACGACTCCAAGAACAACCAAACGAAAAGGATGCTCCTGATATCGTTGGATCACTTCCTTGACAATCACAAGTCTTTCTAAGAAGAAAGAACACAGAAATTACACGTCAAAATTAAGTATATTTTTAGATTAATATACATACGGTAGTCAGCAATAAGAGTAACTCTCTAACAAAACTAATACCAAAGTCAGTTTTTCTCTTGTATAGTAAAACTGAATCAATAAGAGATAATATTGATCATAGACCTCTCAAAAGAACTATTTTCATTTGGCCTTAAACAAATAAACGATCGACACTTGCCCTTTATTTGTCCCACATTTTCTATTGGTAGGCTCGCCATGTTCGTTCAAAGTTTTCTTCAGTTCAACGTACAACGAATCCGCTTGATTACGTGCAACACCATCCCACAATACGATAGCGATTACAATAAATGTAAAATCACAAGAATGTCCTTTGCGTTGACGTACAATACTAAGCACTTTCTCTTCAGAACTGGACCGTCTTAAAACCTTGGAAAAACGTAGTAAAATATGAGCATATTTCTTGTATAGATGCATTATAACCATGACCAGTCAGGAGAAGATATTTTAACAATACAAACGAGGATCTTCGTCTCCACTTCCATTATGGAGTAAACACCACACCTAGTACGGTTTTTTTTGTGCAAACAACTAACCCATCTTGCTATTGGACATCCATAACGATTTTTGCCTTCTTTTGCGCTTTCACCCACCTAGAAAAATAAAAAGAAAAAATAGGAGAAATGTAGTTAAAAACTAAATGTAACAACAGTGGCAGAATTATTACTTACTTTCTCAACACGTACTGATTCCGGGGGAAAATTAAATCTATAGATTAAATATAGATTTATAATATACTAGCAATAATACTCATCCATAGATTTTAAAATTCAAGCCAATACATACCTTTTTGCCAGGAGGATACGAACATTAGACACGCTAGAGGCAGTTCCCAAATGCTTATAAACGGCACTACCTTCATCGCTCACTAAAAAACAAAACACATTTTAAGAATGTAAAAAGATTTTTTAAAGTAAACATATTTGGCTAACCATCAACATTGACATCTTCAGTGCGAATGACATACGTTGAAAAATAAGTACATTAATACAACCAAATCATTACCAGTGAAAATTCAAAGATATATCAAATAATACAGCAAAAATAGGTCCATGTATCACACTAAATCCTAAGTTAAAAAAAACTTTGGTGATGTAGTATTTTAACTTTCAGTTTGCCCGTAAAATATGGAGCACGTGAGTTGATGCAAGAAGATAGAATAACAACGTATTAGTATTTTGGTATCGTGGACGACTTTTCAAGTAACTTTGAAAATGATTGGTATCTGAAATATTTTTTAAGATGGGGAATATATCAATGGAAATCCTTATGCCAGATCGAGCAAGGTTGGACAAGCGAGTTTTTTTGCAATCAATGCAATTTTAATTCCATTTAAAATGTGTGAAGTTCGTACGTTCAATAAAACAAGAACAATTAACCTCTACTCACCATTACAAGAGCACCAAAGATCCGGATTTTTGGACGATAAAGAAATTGTTTGTGTTCTAGTTGCATTTATACTTTTCTCAACACCTGCAATATAAATGGTCAACGTTAAAAAATTACGAGTTCCGTTTAGGGGAGAACTTTTTATCTATAAGATTTTTGAAGAAAGACCATTGTCTTTTATGGAAATCAAAAGATCCCCAACATTGCATCTCGTTTCATCGACACAATTACCTGCAATTCCCTTCCATTCAACAGCTGATTGTTCGTATTTTGGAGTTTCATAATTTTTCTTCTTTCCCCCGGGCAAAGTTTCGACTCCATATTCGTTTGCCGCTTTGCCAGACGAATGAAGAATTTTGACCTTGACGTCTCTTGAGAGTACGTCATTCTTTGTAGAAGATCTTTTTGTCTTTATTCGTTTCAAGTTGTTCGAAGTATAAGCCTTTTTACGAGCGTCAGGTTTGCTCTAAAGACAAAATGTAAGTGGAAAAACACATCATTTGTATACAATGCAATGGAAACGCTGTCAACAAAGAGGTAATGAGTGAACGCAATGATCCGTCTCACTAAGACCTTTGTTTTTCACTTTGATGAAAAATATAACCACGTATCATTGACATTTCAAGTAACCGCAGAGAACCGCTGTTATGTGAGCACACCGATACGATGTTTGTCATACGGCCTTTTTACCCAAGAATAAATATAATATAAATCATATTTTGAAAATATTAGTATACTACATGTACAATGATTGCACATTTTTTGCATGATCACATTCCATTAAGCTTCGTATGAGTAATGCATTTAAGCATGATAACTAACCAACATGGTAATTGACACCTAACCGTGCGCTGTCCGTGTCACCTACATACAAACGCTGTACTAAATTTTCTGCTCCACTACAAATAGATTTTCTTCAACAAACTTATATCGTAAGCTATGAACCAAAGATTAGATCTAACAAGTCGATAATTCAAGCAGAGATTCAATTTCGTTACATCGATTTTAAATGGTGAAAGAAAGTGTCGCTTTTTTTAAGCAATTATCGTTGAACCATAAGATAATAAAAACCTCACGCGGGGGGGGAGATAGGCACAACAATCACTTTATAAGCTTGCTCGTGTGTATTCGTTCAACAAAGAAATATCTATGGTCCAAAAATAATGAAAGTCGTGTACATCATTTGTCGTGCACGCGTTCACGACATTTTTTCGCTCTGGGCAAAATAATTTCACGCCAAGTGCTATAATGCGATTTGCATTATACTGTTTTGTTCAGAAGAAATTTCCTAACATACCAGGAGACGGGCGTTTTTGAGCCAACGTTTTTTTACTCGTGTTCCGCAAACTATAAATATCAACAATAATTTAAGATTTTCCATATTTTAATGGGTATCGACTGCGAACGACAAATCGTTTAAAATCATTCAAATAAGCTACGACTTTTGATAATGCAGGCATAAATAGCTGTTCATACCGCAATCATGGGAATTTTTCAAAGCAGCCATCATTCATACAAATGAATGCATTTGTTTTGTTACATTCTCAATAAATACGTCAAGACACGCAAGACGAGAAACAGTCAAGGCTGTTATCAATTCACGCTGCCGTATATACGTATGTGCGGGGGTCGAAATTAATTGAACTTTGTATGAATTAGCGTTCCGCCGCAACCATAGCACATGTCTAACACAAAAATATGCGGCGATTAAAAAGCCACGTGTGAGAAAACAGCATATTAGTGAACGAAATACATACCTTTTTCTTCAGTTCTATACACTTGCGTAGTTTACAAATTTGATGGCCAGTTTGCCGGTTTAGGCAGTTACTGCATGTCTCGCAATTTATCTTAGTTAAGCACGGCTTGCAAACACCACATCTTCGGCGTTTTTTCTTATTATTCATTGTCGTTTCGCTCACTGTTTCTCCGCTTCGGGAATTATGAGTCCGTAAGGGCCGTTTCATAATGGCAAACTCACTCGCAACACGGTGTTGATGGAGCAAATGAACGTCCGTGTACTTGAACAAAGTCGTCGGAACCGATGCGTAGCGGAGTCAATGCAAGGATTTTAATTATTCTCATATCCGGTGATTGCTATACAGATTTCAAACAGTTTGTAATCCCTTCCAAAGATTAGGTTTCATAATTTTCCAAAAACAAAGTTGGAATTGACGTCCAAACACAATCTATGACTGCATGAAATTATTATTTAACAAAATTTATAATTTTAACGTTGTTTGAGATCAGTATTATGTTCGTGTTGTCATTGGGATGAAACATACGTTAACTATCATCATTGTTATTGAAGATGTCGCCCTGCCTAATACATTATCCCACGCAATATTGTTTATCAAGCACATAAATCCAGACAATATAGAATAAATAGCTCATGACGTTGACTCATTTGACTCTGAAGATGACTACCGCTAAGGTTGTCGAAACGTCAGTCGACAACAACAAAAACAGTCCTTAAATGAAGATATGATCTTCGCACTTTGCTGGACAATTTAAGCAATTGTCTCATGAACCTGAAAAATTCAGGTGACTCAACGGGAAGATCATATCTTCATTTAATTTCAAACACCGCACTGCATAAAACATTCTTACAAAAAACAGTCCTTCTCAAGACTATACCAACCTGGACGATCTACATTTACAAACATGTGACGTTGAACTATTGCACAATTCTCAATCCACATGAATTCTGACGATTACCGTAAAAATCCATCTTTCTTTCTTTTGGGCCATACTTTGGTATTTTCTCATAAATTTGCAGGCAAAAACACAAGTAAAATCACATTTAAGAATCAACAAAATAGAGTTTAGGATATTCTTGGTATCCAAAAAACTAAATGAATCTTGCAAACGACCATAAGAGAATTCATACACAATTTATTCAATTTTCTTTCATATCTTAAAATTCTCGTTTATCTTTTAAAAGTTGTTATTATTTAACTTTTACTCTTGCCTTATTCATCAGAGAGTATCGTAGAAAATCTCGTAAAGTTCAAAGATAAGATCTCCAACTAGCTTTTTTGTCCACGCTTTTGGTTATTCGCCTGGGATAAATATTTCACGTAGTTGTAGTTTAAATATATGATCCCTCGTCATGTTTGTCTTGACTTCGTAGTTTTACTAGGAGACTGCAAAAAACTCCTCGTAAAACGACTTGAAACAAATTCATTTAAATTGTTCCTAGTTCCATGAGTCCATAAATCTATTCTACGTACATTTATTCTGGTATAGAAAAAATAGAGAAATACTTCTTTGGTAGCATGCAAATGAATTGTGTAAACATCAGAAAATATCCGGACAATTGCTAAAGTCTCGTTCCCAGTACTTCTCTGTAAACAGCCAATCCATTTGATTATTGTTAGGATTAGGAGCTTCTTTGAACCACCTTAATGATAAGATTGAAAACTGTTATTCATCACTACCTACATTAAAATACGTCATGTTCCTTTATATTTCAGTTGGTGTAAAAACTATTCTTTTTATCTGTTGTTCATTCATCATTACCTACACCTAAACACGTCATCTTAGTTTATATTTTAGACAATGTAAAATCTGTTCTCATTCTCTGTTGTTCATTCATCACTACCTACACTGACACACGTTATCTTAGTTTATATTTTAGACAATGTAAAAACTGTTCTCATTCTCTGTTGTTCATTCATCACTACCTACACCTACACACGTCATTCTAGTTTATATTTTAGATAGTTTAAAGACTGTTCTCATTCTCTGTTGTTCATTCATCACTACCTACACCTACACACGTCATCTTAGTTTATATTTTAGACAGTGTAAAGACTGTTCTCATTCTCTGTTGTTCATTCATCACTACCTACACTGACACACGTTATCTTAGTTTATATTTTAGATAGTGTAAAGACTGTTCTCGTTCTCTGTTGTTCATTCATCACTACCTACACTGACACACGTTATCTTAGTTTATATTTTAGGTAGTGTAAAGACTGTTCTCATTCTCTGTTGTTCATTCATCCCTACCTACACTGACACACGTCATCTTAGTTTATATTTTAGACAATGTAAAAACTGTTCTCATTCTATGTTGTTCATTCATCACTACCTACACTGACACACGTCATCTTAGTTTATATTTTAGACAATGTAAAACTGTTCTCATTCTATGTTGTTCATTCATCACTACCTACACCTACACACGTCATCTTAGTTTATGTTTTAGACAGTGTAAAGACTGTTCTCATTCTCTGTTGTTCATTCTTCACTACCTACACCTACACACGTCATCTTAGTTTATATTTTAGATAGTGTAAAGACTGTTCTCATTCTCTGTTGTTCATTCATCCCTACCTACATTGACACATGTTATCATAGTTTATATTTTAGATAGTGTAAAGACTGTTCTCATTCTCTGCTGTTCATTCATCACTACCTACACTGACACACGTTATCTTAGTTTATATTTTAGACAATGTAAAAACTGTTCTCCTTCTCTGTTGTTCATTCATCACTACCTACACCTACACACGTCATTCTAGTTTATATTTTAGATAGTTTAAAGACTGTTCTCATTCTCTGTTGTTCATTCATCACTACCTACACCTACACACGTCATCTTAGTTTATATTTTAGACAGTGTAAAGACTGTTCTCATTCTCTGTTGTTCATTCATCACTACCTACACTGACACACGTTATCTTAGTTTATATTTTAGATAGTGTAAAGACTGTTCTCATTCTCTGTTGTTCATTCATCCCTACCTACACTGACACACGTCATCTTAGTTTATATTTTAGACAATGTAAAAACTGTTCTCATTCTATGTTGTTCAGTCATCACTACCTACACTGACACACGTCATCTTAGTTTATATTTTAGACAATGTAAAAACTGTTCTCATTCTATGTTGTTCATTCATCACTACCTACATTGACACACGTTATCTTAGTTTATATTTTAGATAGTGTAAAGACTGTTCTCATTCTCTGCTGTTCATTCATCACTACCTACACTGACACACGTTATCTTAGTTTATATTTTAGATAGTGTAAAGACTGTTCTCATTCTCTGCTGTTCATTCATCACTACCTACACTGACACACGTTATCATAGTTTATATTTTAGATAGTGTAAAGACTGTTCTCATTCTCTGTTGTCCATTCATCACTACCTACACTGACACACGTTATCTTAGTTTATATTTTAGGTAGCGTAAAGACTGTTCTCATTCTCTGTTGTTCATTCATCACTACCTACACTGACATACGTTATCTTAGTTTATATTTTAGATAGTGTAAAGACTGTTCTCATTTTCTGTTGTTCATTCATCACTACCTACACTGACACACGTTATCTTAGTTTATATTTTAGATAGTGTAAAGACTGTTCTCATTCTCTGTTGTCCATTCATCACTACCTACACTGACACACGTTATCTTAGTTTATATTTTAGTTAGTGTAAAGACTGTTCTCATTCTCTGTTGTTCATTCATCATTATCTACACTGACTCACGTTATCTTAGTTTACATTTTAGATAGTGCAAAGACTGTTCCCATTCTCTGTTGTTCATTCATCACTACCTACACTGACACACGTTATCTTAGTTTATATTTTAGGTAGTGTAAAGACTGTTCTCATTCTCTGTTGTTCATTCATCACTACCTACACTGACACACGTTATTTTAGTTAATATTTCTAAAAAAGCAGTCCATTTAGATAAGTTTACATTGGGAAATATTCTTCCTTTCTTTTAGATCGTTCTTTCCCGGCTGCTCGTTGCTTATCTTCCAACCTACGCTTTTCATCAGCTGCATAATCTGTAAAACCGTACAAAGTGTAATCAATGATTTAAATTTCTCTAAGCTAAGTCCGATTTGAAATTTATGAAATAAACATGCCATGTCTAATCTATGAGCACCTACGGCATTGATTATGTACTGGAGGTTGCACGCACGCACGGGGAAATATTCAATAAAAACAAACTTTTAAGGGGATAAAGGTTATTTGATACGATGAACATGACTTTAAAGGAGATTTAATTATAAATCTTTAGCCTATGAAGCCACTTTATATTCATTGGACGAACGAAATGGGATGGTGAGGAAGAGTGGGACAGTACTCAACATCAGTCCCTCTGGGTCTCTTAACTCATATTCACAACAGATGAATAGCATTCATGTATTTAAGCTTTACTTACCTATATCTGCCGTTTCTAAAGCGCGGACATCAGGCCTGAGACGAGAATCAGTCGGGGGAAGCTGAGGTACATTGAATGAAAGATTTAAAACAATGTAACAGGAAGACTAAGATTTAAGGACAAAAATAGTAAAGTGACCAAAAGCTTTACAAGCAATCGAGAGTACCAAATGAAAATAGAAATTTTGAAATTTTGTTCCTTTGAACTATAAAACAAGAATGTGAAAAATTACCTTGTCAACTTGATTTTTCTGAAGCTCGTTTAACTGCATCGCAAAGGACGTAAAATGATACATCTAAAACACAAATTTGTGTTTAAGGTGAAAACACTAAATAAAAACTTCATCAAAAAAATATGAAAAAGATCAAACACTGTACTGTCTTGTATAACCAGTCAGAACGTAATGGTGAACATCACAGTTATTATGGTTAGCAGCTGGTAATATTTTTCATTAAATCATAGCATGAAATGACGTATTCATGTACTGAGTGAAAGTATGTTGCTGGATGTTCTATAAACTATTAACAAATTCTAAGAAAAATACGTAATTTTATGCTGTCTCCCCTGAAGGTCGTAGATAGTGTCAAGTATTTACCTCTTCCGAGTTTGGTGGACGGGGGTTGACTTTCCATAGCAGTACTCCATAATCATCACTATCTTCATTTAAACTATCAGTACTTGTACTGGCGACGCTTGGGGGAATTAAAGCACTTCCGGTCATTGAACCGAACGATGCGTCGTTGGGTATTGTTTTAGATTTCATTTTAGCAGGATAGCAATAAAGCTGATCCGTCCAATCGCCTTTCATTATATACTCTTTCTTGCCTCTAGATTATCAAACAGAAAATAAGCTCGAAGAAATTGAGCAATGATCATGTGTAGTACTATATAACTTGTATGAATCCTAAACAATCAAAAGCTAATGATCTACTTCTGTTAAATCAAATCAGACAAACAGATTATTTCAACTTTGATTTGAAGGAACATGAAACTGATAAAGTCCTCTACTAAAATACAAGTTAAAAAATTTTCTCCAAATCAACACTAGATTAGATAGAATCCTTACAGGATTTTCATAATAATCCAAGTGCTGATTATAAATAATGAAATAATATTCCAATGAGATTTTGAATGGTTGGATTCGGTACCTTAACTACGAATATGAAAAACTGTGACAATGCAAGTATTGAAATGACTAAAAATAAGTTTATGTGACCCAACCTCGTATTTAGTATCGTTCCTTCAACTTTATTCGCATCTCGACCAAACCAACCACAAGGTTTGAAGTTCAAAACACATTTCACACCGTGCGTATGGTTGACAACCTCAATTTGACCATACTAAATATTGACAATAATTATATAAGTAACATAAACAATGTACAGTAAATATAAGAATTTTCCTATGATGATTCAACTTTTTATTAAGATAAAATAAATTGCCAGAAAACTGATACAAATTTCCAGTTAATTTATCCATTACTCACCTGTTCCACCCATATTTGCCCTATGATAACATTATGAACACATAAGTTGATGTTACACCAAGTATACGATTCTTTCAAGCTAGATGAAACAAGTTGTTTTCATTTCAAATAGTTGTATTGAAATAGGTTTCAAATAATGTTTTTAGCATCAAATATGTAAAATGTTATCCAAAAACTTACTCAGTAAACTCTAAAGTGACAATTCCTTTTGGAACAACCTCGACACCTTTACCCCAGAATTTCAACTTCGGTTGTACGGAGCAATGAAATATGAATCCTTTGCCTTCGCAATGCAACGCACTGATTGGTGGATGATGGCTCACCTAAACCAGATGCTTTAGTCAATAAATGCACCTTGAAACTCAATAACTTCAGTCTCACTGAGAAATCAATTAAAATTTACAAAACTTGATCTATAGGACGTAATTATGCATTCAATCTGCGTCATGTTGGTGATATGAAGTTTGTTACGAAATTTGAACACAATATATAGACAAGGCTATACTTAAGATACAAATGCTGTACCTGTTCTGTAATTATCCTGTAGCCAAGATCTTCCCTAGGACGAAAAAGAAGTGCACAACTCTACAATTTTGAAACGACAACATATTTCTTCAGCATTATAAAACAAACATTTCCATGTAAGTTTAACACACCTTATAAGTTCATAAGTTTCTCCAAGCAACGGATTAAATGGCTTGCCAACACGATTTAGTGTAGATGCAGTAGACGAAACAGCAAAAGCGGCAACATACTAAACTTGCAAAAGAAATTGGATTAAAGACAGTTGAAGACTTTGAAAACGCCGTTCACTTTCTCACATCTCCAGTAAACGACAGGTCAAACATTATATACAGTAATGAACAAAAAATTCAAATGAGACCTGCATCCTTTCAACAGGATCTTTCTTTGTTTGTGCAATCTGTAAAATGTGTCCATACTCCATGTACTCACAAATACGTTGAAGAAATGTAACTGGTTCATTGAATATCACTAAATAATTCCAAGAACTGATAAATATAGGACTGAATGTTAAATAGAGTTAATCGCACGTCATCATACCTGGCATGGCTATTCTGGAAAGATCCTAGAGACGTAAAAAAGACAATCAAAATTGCAAATATATACAATAATACATAGCTTCTTCAACGGAGGTCTTCCACATTACTACAGTTTTTATTACCTTGCCAATGCAATGTTTCAAAACAGCCCAAAAACTGTAGTCGCGCACCGATAACATGGGTGCAGGAAGACTGGTACTAGAGAAAAAGATAAATAAGTTACAAAAAGCCTGCTACTGGGGAAAGTCTCGCAGTTTAATTTTTACTTTTGTGTTTCTTATGTTGATCACTTTTATGTTTATCAAAATATTCCGTCATTTTAGTGTAATCCACTTGAGATCACAAGCTGGAGTAAAAATGCAACGATATTGCTAGGATAACCTACCGATGCTTGCCATCAGATATTTGATTCAAGTCTTCCACGTTAAAACTGCCATTTTCAATTGAGAGAGAATGGTTAAATTTCTTTCTCTCTACTACGTCATCAGCCTGGTGACGTACACCATTTACAATAGGTTTCTGTACATCATATCTATCATTTTCTTCTTGATCACTCGATGAAAGAAAGTCGAGTTCTTCTTGAGGAGAGTAATACTCTTCAGCTTCACTAGTTTCCCAATTAGACATTTTACCTGATGACTGAACAGAAATTGTTCTCTGAGTAGCTTTGTGGAGCTATATGGAGGAGTTTTAAAGTGGATAAACTTAGTCATCAGTTTTAAAATATAACTAATGAAATATTAATTCAGGGACAATTTTCAAGGGTCCAATGGGCTTGTTAATATATTAACTGTTATCAACAACGAAAACAGCCGACAACAATATAAAATGATATACCTCAGGTACATGAGCTAATGACGACGATAATCCATGATGTTCAGCGGTTAACACGTGAAGCGCATCCTCCAACACACGACGTCGCTCTGCTTCGTCACCAAGCTGCAATCTCCTAGCCTTGATACAAAAACAACAAGAACTAATTCAAGAGAAGTCACCAGATATGAATTACAAATGTAATTAACCTCTTCTTGTTGAGTAACGAGACTCAGACAATGATTCAATGAGCTATACATCTCTTTAGCTGATGTTAACACTTGCGTTAGTTTGCCTTTAATGCTCAAAAATGTAGCTGAAAGTACAGAAGATAAAATTGACAAACTTCATCAAGTAGAAAAAATGACTCGTTCAACTAACTTTTTGATCGTTTCAAATCTTCACTAAGACCATTCAGTAATTCTTCCACCATTGATACTTGTTTCTTCAAAATATTTTGATGTGCCTGTGCACCCTAAGGTGAAAACACAAAAATATAAGTACCAAGATCAATAATCTTACATTTATATGCAACATCACCAACGTATTACTTGAAACAAACTCTCAAACATACTGGTGAGAGTTAAACAAGTAGTAGAGAGATGCAAGAACAGTATCTAAACCATTGACATTATCTACACTGTCTTTTCAATCGTAAATTGAATCAGGAGTAACTAGCTTGGTCAGGAGTAACTACCTTGGTCAGGAGTAACTAGCTTGGTCAGGAGAAACTAGCTTGGTCAGGAGTAACTAGCTTGGTCAGGAGTAACTAGCTTGGTCAGGAGTAACTAGCTTGGTCAGGAGTAACTAGCTTGGTCAGGAGTAACTAGCTTGGTCAGGAGTAACTAGCTTGGTCAGGAGTAACTAGCTTGGTCAGGAGTAACTAGCTTGGTCAGGAGTAACTACCTTGGTCAGGAGTAACTACTTTGGTCAGTGGCAAATTGATGTAGATGCCTCAAATCCTGCGATTGTGTAGCTGTGATTCTTTCATTTTCATTCGAGAGTATATTATTTAAGTTCATTAGTTTAAGCAGTTTTTTCGAAGCATTTACTCAATGATTTTGTCAAAAATTGTATTTTCTAATTAACTAACCTTTGTTTAATAACCTTCAAAGAAAATGTGCAGTGTTTTTTTTGGAAACGCGTTTCATGTTGATTTAAGAGAGACGACATCATCTAAACACAGTTTCTTGATGATGTCGTTATTATGATTTAAATTTCGAAATTCGGGGAAAGTTTTCTAGATCTTGATTTTGTACCCGGAAGTTTTGACAAGGGATGTTTTTACCGGTGAGTATTCTTAGCCGGGGTCACAGACTTTAACGTTTAAGCATCGAAAATATCGTACACGACCCCAAAAACCTAATTTAGTCATGTAGTCAGACATGTATTCTCACAGTAATCGCTGTACAAATAAAAATATTGCAGTTAACATTGGCTAAACATACGAACAAATAACTCACGAAATATAAACAAACACTCGAATATCGGAAAAGGCATCAGTTACCTTTAAAGCATTCTCCATCGTTTCAACAGGTAAAATATTGTCATTTGAGCCATCGCTAAGCTGGACTGAATGATGGTTTGTAAAATATGTGCTATAGCTCTGATGTTCATGAAGGGCATTAAGCCAAGACTGAAATTAAGAAAAATAAAAAATTGAGAAAACTCACACATGACAAGAAAAGGATATCATCTCAGCTGTACATTTTTTATTCATTTTAATTTGATCTCTACAACTATATCTTTAAAATCAAACTATGATGTTATCAGCAATCAAACGCGTCATTTTTTGTCTAAAATAACAAAAAAAATAGCACTATAATAAAGCTAAGGAAAATTTGTACCTGTCTAGAAATAATATTTCTATTAATCTTCACGCTCCAAATTAAAATTGAGTTGTCAGAAAATTGCATTTTAATTTTGTATTCATCGTTCTTTGAAACCTAAAGATGGTTGAAATATGCACATTCAAAGAAAAACATTCAGCTATACAATGCATCATATAGTATACATTTAATAATTGATTTATAGAACTGAACTTACTGCAAAGACAGAATTCTCAAGATTCCTCAAGCCTTGACGATTTACACCACTTACAGAATCTGCCCTGCATCAAGAGTAAAAATATTATCATTGTATGATACGACCCAAATACAATGTTAGAAAATTATGCGCTGAAAAAGCTCCCACTGATTCACTTTAGTAATGTAACATGAAAGATTCACCATACCATAATGGTCAAATAATCAACTATGGTAATACGTACTCCTAAAGCACCTACTGCTGAAATGTAATACTACTGACTCCTTAATCTGTCCGTCTCTACATTGCATATGATTTCGTGGACAACGTTTAAAAACAAAACACACCTTTTGGCAAACCATGAGATTTTACCATGATCAAGAACAACCCAGAATTTTTTCCAGCCAAAAAAACGTGATTTCTTTAAAAGATAGCCTTCAAATTTTGGAGCAAATCTATGCCAAGCCTTAATATAATCAAGCAATAAATTTTATGCAAAATGTCTTCTATGATTTCAGTCATAAAGTACAATTCACACATAACATTTACAAGGGAATCAAGTGATGTTTACTTTTTGATTATTATGATTTGAAGACACTAACCTTCATAGATTTTGCTGCTTTACGAATGGAGCTATTCAGACAGATCTATGATAGAGTTGATTCAGTGTAAATAATGATGACAAGTATCAAGACAAATCATAAATATTATCACCTGGGAAGGTTGTACATCTAATAGTTTCTTCATTTTAAGATCATCTGCAACATGAAATGCTGTCTGACCTACACGAAGTAAAGATTGCATGAAATCTACATTACTTAACATGTATGGAACATACTCAATGTGGCTACCATACGATTTACCGCTTTGGACAGAATAAAGAAACAGGAAGTGAAATTTGAAAGGATGTTGTTGTTTTGGTTAGAGTTAAAAACAAATTGTAATTAGTTGAATGTTGTACGTGGAACCAATCGGTTCTTATTGTAAATTGAGCATAATTTGGTATGTTTGATTAAATAAAGTTTAATTTTAAGTTGTATAGCAACTTGATAGTCATACTCAACATTGTAACATTTATGGAAGGGAAATCATTGCTAGTTCCAATTCCTGTGAGGACACCATGCACAATCAAGCTATTATAATGTCATTGATTTCTCTAGTCCCCAAAGATCCACCATTGTTTGCTTTACCACACCATATGCCCAAAGATTAATCATTGTTTTCTATACAACTCTAGATCCCCAAAATATCGCCCATGTTTCTATGTAGTGCCACATTATTAAGACAACACTTGGAAGCTAAAAATTCAACATAAAAACATTTCAAGGTATATTACCACTGTGATTTTTCATAGACGGGTTGGCACCATTTTGTAACAACAATACAGTAACTTCTTTATGTCCTCTGAAAATGATAAATAATATATATTAGTAAATAACTCAGTGTGTGTGGGGTGGGGTGGGGTTGTTGTGGGGTGGGGGTTGTTGTGGGGTGGGGGTTGTTGTGGGGTGGGGGTGGTGTTAACATATATATTCAGTTGTGCCTAAGTCCTTTTCAGTTGAGCAAATTTGAAGGTATGAAAAAATGGTCACCCAATTAAATTCCAAGTCACATCACGATAAAGATTTCCTACCCATATGCAGCCAAATGTAAAGCAGTGTTTCCTTGGTCATCCACGCAGTTGATGTCAAGAATGACATCTCCAGACACCTGTTTTAATTCAACCAGTGAAAAATAGTCGGAATAAACAGACAAAATAAACAATGGAATATACAAACAAATAATTCGTATTGCATAGTAATTTGACAGACTAAAAAAATCCCTGAATCTTCATGCAAATATTTAGATTGTGACTTAAGTGGTGTAATTCCAGCCTACCATATGTGCATATAGGGTTAGACTTGGATCATATTTGGTTGGTTTGTTGGTTGATTGATTCCTATGGTGATTAAAAAATTCAATAATATACAATGCTTGTTTACAAACCAAATTCTTGAGTTCCTTGACATTTCCTTCTCGTGCTGCAGAAAACAGGAGGTTTTTTATCATGGATTCTTTTTCATTTTCACCTTCTAGCAATAGTGATAGAACTTCCTCATCTTTAGTCACACTTGATGCTGTATTTTCTTCATTATTCAAAAGCAATGGATTTGCTCCAGTTTGAAGAAGAATCTTAACAATGTCCTACAATTTTATAAAAAGAAAACTGAGGTATTCTGTTCAATTTCTGGAAATATGTGCGACAATGTATGTATGAATCACCAACTTCCTCCTTGCCCTATGTGATGAATCAGCAACTTTCTCCTAGCCCTACATGATGAATCAGCAACTTTCTCCTAGCCCTATGTGATGAATCAGCAACTTTCTTCTAGCCCTATGTGTACCATGCTACATTTACCTTGTTTCCAAGCAATGCTGCAATATGCAAAGCTGTCTCCCCATCATCTGTTTTCAGATCAACATCTGAGCCAGCATCAATTAATACTTTGACAATTTCCAAGTATTCATGATGAACAGCTACATGTAACGCTGTCCACCCAAAAAAAGTTTTTGTCTTTCCTGAAAAAAATAAAATGTTCATTTTTAATGAAAATTCTTATAAAAGCACAAGACAAGTGAATGTAACATCATTATAGACGTACGACTGATGAGAATAAGTAGGAACCACAGGCTATGTGAATGGCTCAAAGAACAAAAATTGCCCTTTCCATCTCAACATTGATGTTATGTACAAAGACGCATAAGTAGAAATTATATGTTCATTTACAATGTCCAGATATCTATAGCTTTTTAAAATGCAAGCAAACTAACATACCATTATTGCATAGAAAATTTTTTCTATAGCAATATGCATTTTTAGTAAAAATGTTGGCCACAGAAGCATATTTACCTTTGTAGTTACAAATTTGTCTGCTAGCTGGTGCATCTTCGTTTCTGATTACACCCTAGTATGATAAATAAAATGTACTTTGTTTGACAAACTACAACATAGTTTTTGCTGTAATAAGAATATATCTACAAATCAATAATATATCTCAAAATCACTGCTTCAAACTGCAAGCCAACATATTATAAATAACGAATACATAGCCATTTCCTTTAATAAATAACGAATGTTGACGAAGCTTATGTTCAGTTCAAAAAGTCAGTAAAGATGTTTTAGCGTTGCTTAAATCTTTCTCAACATTCAAATATTAATAATGCTTGGAAAACGACGTAAACTATTTGACTTTTTCACTGTAATCATTAAAATACATGTTCTCCATGTAGGAAACACTAGAAAATAATAGTCTTTACATAACAATATAATTGAAGTCTTATAACCGTTAAACGCTTCACAAGCATTAACGCACTATTATGATATTAAAATCTTTACCGTTTTTGAAAAACCAGTGGCAGACGTATCTCAGCGGTTGAAATAAATATTTATTTTCTAAATTGTTGTTGTCTTACTTTTTTATTCAAAGATTCAACAATTACGAAAATAGCGATGACAAATTGTTCATTTTAACAAAGATTCTTCGTACATTAATTAATACAAAAGAAAGGTAAATTTACAAATTATAAAAATTTGTACGCATTCTGCGCCTAAACATCTCATATTTCTTGTACGAAAACAAAATCAAAGCCACCTACCAAGATTGCTTCAAGGTCACCCTTTCGCGCCGATGTAATGAGCTTCTCACCACTTTCGTCCCGTTTCTCTGCCATCTTTGATTATCAAAAATTCATCTGGATTAATATTATTCATTTAATAATCTCAAACACCGTTCTTTTAAGTGTTCATAACATATATTAAAACTCGACAAATTCCATGCAAAGATGTACTTATCAAATTCAAGACTCGGTCCATTGAAGACCCGTATTCGGCAATGCACATAAGTACATGCTCTCCCCCCCGGGGTTTGATGCTAAACAAGGTTACAATTTTATGAATTTCATATATATTAAGGGGGACATCAATTTCACAACTTGCTGTTATTTTTTAATATTATATTTCTAAAATGGCGTACGTTGCTTCTAGAAGAACGTATTTTCTTAAGAATTCTTTGGACTTTCTTCGTCCACTGCGAAAGATGATGAGCAGTGAGTACGGCAGTGGTGAAGGAAAGGTTAGGTTGGACGAACAAACTCTATGCTTACCAAAACTTCATTATAATATCAAATTGATTTGCTTGAGAGTTCTTTCCTAGTTAAAGTCATTGCAAATGCGTAAATGCGTGCTTATTACGTTCTTTCGATGGAAAAACTTATTTGACTATCAAAACTAACAATTTTGTGTAAAATATATTGGTTAAATATGTAATAAATACATACAAAAGTACGTGATTACCTTTCAATTGACAGTAATTTCTTTTCTTGAAACGAAATTGTTTTAAATTTTCATTAAACCTCAAGCATGTAGCTTAAACCTGCTGCACAATAACAGCACTTTGCTAATTTTTCTTTAGGGAGGTGGCGGAGGTGGTTCTGTCAGGTTGGTTTTAAAACTTTATTGGTTTTTTTTAACTATGATAACCAAATACTTATGTTAATTATCTCATATGTACATTGTAAATTTAGGACAGCTGGAGGTGCCTTTGGTAAAATGGAAGCTGCTCGTGAAGAAGAATACTTTCGTAAACTGGTTTGTGTATCTTATTTGAATATATACATATGTATGAACAAATATTTAGTTATTAATTAAAGCTTGATCCTTATCATGTTGGAAAAATTTTCAAAAGCTGTCCATTAAATGTATTGATGTTTGTATTCAATAGTATCAAAAGACGACTTGTTCATTGTTTAAATAAACGATCACATGTTCAATCCTAGCAACAAGAACAGTTAGAGGCATTACGCAAACAGCACCAAGAGTCTGTTGAACATCATGATGAAGAAATTGCGATGCACAAAGAAAGCATTAGAAAACATGAAGAAGCCATTCAGAGAGCTGAAAAGATGAAAAGTAGAATCATTCAAACCATTGAAGAAGGCAAGAAACAAGAATGAAAAAAAGATTTTTCTATAAGTATTGAAACTATTATTGGATAATTTGACAGTTTTTGATGTATTTTGGTTTCTGCCTGTTCACCATACCTGGTGTGTGATGATTAAATTAAAAATATTACAACTATTTTTCATTTGTTGACTAAAGTTTGAGTTTATCATTTATTTTTCCATAATGATTTAGTTTACTCATTGTATACAACAACATATTTCATATTTTTTATGTATTCACACAATCATGGAGCAAATTAACTGATTTTTCAATTGGAAAAAGGGCTATTTACCATTGAAGAAAGTTATTGTTCTAGTAAAATTTTTATGCAGTTTACATATGTAAAGGTGAGTCAAGTTTCTGAAACAACAAACATCACATTTTTGAATTGAGAGCTATTGCAACTTTTGATGACGGAACTTTTTTAAGAATTGAAGATATGTAATTGCTTGCTTCTAGTAGCTTATTTAAATTGACTCCCTGTAAAAGACAAAGTACCAAATGATTTTTTACAGAATAAAGATAGCTTAGGTGAGACAAATAAATACTGCAGATTTGTCAAAAACTTAAAGCAATTGGCTTAAGTTATAAAAAAATTTTAACAATATTTTTATCAAAGATGACTCAATGGCCGTACAAATAAAAAGGGCAAGTTCAACTTTGAGGTCCTTTCACAGACAAAATTAATCTTATTTTTTTTTACCGTCTTAATTCCCATGCCATGCAACATGTAGACAACATCTTCTGTTGCAACATTTCCAGAAGCACCCTTTGCATATGGACAACCTCCAAGGCCACTTGTTGAAGAGTCTATGGTTGCTATACCAAACTATGCGTAAAAATTAATATGAACTTGGATTCTTATGTTAAAAATTCCATTAACTACACGAGCTTTGACAAGTAAAAAAGCTGCAAGAAAAACATGTGCATACTTCTTACGTGGTCATAATTAAATATCATCATACAATGGATGACATTATATATCCTCCTTTCTGTAAAGATTTATTAATTAATAATATATGTTTTATGCCCAGATTCAAAGGTTTCCACAAAAGTTTATCTCCTTTACCTAATAGAACGTTAATTATCAGTCGTTGGTAGCAAAATAGCTAAATATAATCAAATATACATACAAATACTAACAATACTATTATCACTAAGTATATTTATTACCTCAAGCCCAGTACGAATGTTGGACAATGCCTGACCATAGGTATCATGACAATGTAATGCCAATCGACTTGCTGGGACTGTTTTAGTCACTTCCCTTAACATATTTTCAAATGAACCTAAGCAATTAAAAATTAAATGCAGCAACATCAGAATTGATCCCACCTTTAAAACACTGACATCAAATACACACCATAATGATCGAGTATCCCATACTTACCAGGAGTACCAACCCCAATAGTATCTGCAAGAGATACCTCATAGCAGCCCATATCCAAAAGTGACTTGGTTATCTATAAGTAGAAACTTAAATGAATTAAAATGTTTGTCTCAACTTTTAAATAGCTAGAGCCAAATTGTGGTGTTAGTTTGCATTGTTATTACCTTTGCAACCATTTCTGGTTTGATATCTCCTTCATAAGGGCAGCCAACAACACACGACAAATACCTGTTCACCAATGGAGAGCATGAAAAAACAAACAATGAATGCAAATATTTTTTCATAAGCATCTTACCCTCTTACTCTGACCATGTTTTTTGAGGCAGCCTCACATACCACTTCAAAACGTTTCAAGCTTTCACTAATAGAGCAATTGATGTTTTTTCTAAAAACCCATAAGATACAATTGTATTTTGTTTCTGCTGCTTAATTTATCGGTACTAAAAGCAGATGTTTTCCTGTACCGACAAAATGTTTCTGAGGCAGCACCAAAAATTGCTACAACCTCTGCACCAGCTTTTAACTACAAAATACAGCTTAGTAGAATAAATATCTGTGCAAAGAGTTTTGAAACTCAGTCAAAAAACATGAGTTGGTGTTATAGTGGCAGGTAATAAGATACCATTCTCACAGATAATGTAACTACTAAAGTGATAACATCACTATGGTTATAGCATGCTGACCAAAGAACAAGGTAATGGAGATTATTTTTAAGAAAACCAAGTACAATTGCACAAGTCCTAGCTCATATAATTTCAGGAATTGAAACTTTAAACTAAAACTCTAACACTAACTACAATATATTTAATTTAGATTAATTCATATTAATTTGGCTGTATGTTAAACTAACTGCGGCATGAAAGCCTTGAATATTTGGTACAAGAACAGGATAGGATATCTGTGGATCCTTTTGTATCCCTAGAAAAACTTCATTTTGATCCTTCATCTAAAAATTAAAGTGAAAACATACTGAACTACACTGATCTCCTGGCAACATAAAAAAAAACAACAAAAATAAACCTGAGGAATCCATTTGGGAGAAACAAAGCTTGTCACTTCAATAACTGGAAGTCCAGTTTTTGAAAGCATGTTGATGAATTGGATTTTTGCTTCAGTGGGAACAAACATCTACGATTTTGACATACTTATGATGAATGAAGACAATGATGTATATCAGTATATGCATGTGAAAACAAATTTCATTGTACCTGCTCATTTTGAAGTCCATCTCTTGCACCAACCTCTACTATATTTACATACCGTGGGTATAAATCCAAAGTAGATAAAGATCTTCTTGACCAACTTGTGTTTACTTTTGATAAAATCATCTACGAAAATGATATCCTTCAGTCCACCAAAAAAGACAAATGCATAAATATAATTTCAACTAATTCAAGATAGATACCTTGAAATTTTTAACTCCGTGTTGTCGCAAAAAAGACGTACATAACGTTCTAAATCCATTCACATTAAAACTACTCGCCATTTCTACAACATAATTTAGTATTCCACAAGTTGATCATTTTGGAATAAAACAATTGCAACATTTGTACTAATTGGATTAAGCGATTTAGTGAGATTAGATAAATTAAAAGACTTATTACAATGGTTTGGATTGCCTTAATCGTTCTGAACGCAGTGCAGTGTGGTGCAATGTAAATCTTGTGATAGTTTGACGAAGTGAACCGGAAAAATTACATCCAGGCTAAGAGAGGGTCGTCTGCGATTATTTTTTGACATTAGTTGATTTTTTAAAGCAAGAACACCTAAAAAATGTAACAAAAGAAAACCAACAATTTAGAAACGAGTTTACTTGAATCATACCCTATTGGCAAAAATTAGAGAAAAATAGCAACTAATAAGTTTTATTTATATTTATTGAGCTAAACGAAAATTGTTCACATTTTTTCATGTTTATTTACACATACACAAAGTTAGCACATAAAGTTAGCTTTAAAAGAACGAGAACCAAGCCTTCTACAATCTCACGGAGAAGGGGCCACATTCTCCGTTGGTCCTTGCACTATCCCTCGTCAATGACATTCCTAAGAGTACTCCTCTCACAATACTTCACATGTATATACAAAGTTTGCAGAGTACACTTTGAATCTTCTTGCAAATATCTTGTGGTAATTGCTTTCTCTATACTTTCGAATCACATTCCTGATCCTATAAAGGAAAGACGCTGGTAGTTATTTTTTTTATATCTTCAGCAACATCATAACAGGATTTTCTTTGAAAGGGTAGGAGGCAAGCTACTTGCTTCCTTGCATTGGATTACAACTACAAATTAGAACCCTAACTTAAGGCATGTGAATATAATTGGTCAAATATATTAGGGAAATAAGTTTGAAGTTTTTACATTAAGCAGAGACGAGACATATCTTAAGTATCAAGTTTGATGAAAAAGCAATTAAAGTAATGCTACAGTATTTCAGTGAAATTTGCTTGCATGAAGACTGGTTGGCATTCTTAACTTCTTAATTTTACTCAACAGGAGAGCTTTAATTGTGGTGTAATCATTTGCCTTGCAAGTGAGCAGTCCCATTCCCCACAGACATTCTACAATTCTTTCTATTAATTTATACATTGCTCAATTCTTGCAGCTATAGCACTACATTTCTACACATTGCAAATCATGCCCACAAATCGTAATGCATATAAATATATATAAATATGTAGTGTTGGTAATCTATGAACATTAATTTGTGTGAAAATTAATGTGAAAATTCAAGCTTAAACAAAAAATTTAAAATGTAATTATAGAGAAAGAAATTAATATCACTCATATTTGGCTCTTGCTATGATGACATTCATGAGTATGTTTTAACTAGTCTTTAAAGCTTTATGTAGTGCACGAGAAACTTAAATTCATTTTAAATATATTTCTTTGTTTTGCTGTAGAAGAAATACTGGTGTGTGCAAAATATGCAAAGATGATGATGGTGAAGATGGGCTTGGATGCATTCCAGCTTTTAAAATATAGACTTTTCTTCTGTCCTCTCCAACTAATTTGATTGTCCATGCTTAAACCCTAAGCATGGCATCACACAAATGTCTACATTTACCATCTCAACATTAAATAAATTCGCAAGGAAACAGGCAAACAGTCATAAGTGTTTCAATGATTGTGTTGGATTTAGAAGAAGTAAATTTGAATGAGTAGCACTTAAAGCTTAGCACAACTTTGTCATAACGTCCTATCCATTTCCTTTATTCTGCTTGCTATACACTCTCAAGGCATGGTTGTAGTTTCTTAATTCAGATGCTTAACTAAAAAGTCAAAAACTGATTACAGTCAAAATACAAAAAAAGTTAAAATAATAAAAACAGATAAGAAAAGAAGGAGACTACCTACCTGCTTTTGACGAGTGCAGAAAACAGTTTCGGTACTTTCGGATTCACACTACACTGACCATGATGCATCGCAGACGCACCCTCTCTCTCTCTCTCTCCGCCCGGGATATTTCCAATGATATTTCTCGCAATGGACTATTTACGCGAATCAAACCTTGGAAAACCTTTCTTTCTTGTATATGCGGACTACAAAACTGTGTTTCTGGACTTTTGTCGGTTTATTTATAAAAAGCCGCTCAAAGCGTTGCGGAATGTCTCAGCCTTTGGAGTTGCGGTTGCCATTTTTTATTCTAACCCATCTGCTGATTCTTACACTTCACAGCTTATGGATAATGCAAATACTTTAGCTTTATTGAGCGAGAAAGTTAGAAATGCAGAGAGTGACATGGTCATTCGACGCTTAACGAAGTTAAACTGCCAACATCGGCTTGCGGTTTATAATTGTGGATTTTTTTCCCTTGTCTGCAAACAAGAACATAACGATTGGACCAGTTTATATGAAGCCAGGTGTTATTATTTGAAAGACAGATGGTTGTATATTTACAGAAACATTGTTGATATCGGTTTTCTATGTAAATGGTATTATTTGGATAAAGCTATGATTGATTACGATGTTAATGAGTCGGAACTTTGAAGCCATCAAGTTATGAAGAAATTTGTAGGACATTGTTGTTAAGAGGCAAATTACACAGAATCACACAAATGTTTAACCATTAGTAAATGAACATGTATGCACTTGGTTGTAAAACATGCTACAAAGGTCGCTTTCTTTTAAAGAAAAGCAAAACTATTAATCAGATATGTTATCTGTTACATGTGAAGTGGGCAAATCTTATTGTTTCATCTTTAAATGAAAGATAGCCTTTGAAAAAAGTGATATGTGAGTGTATTTGTTTACAATTTTCAAGGTGTTGTTACATACTAAGCTGCTATGCAGCTTTTCTTCACATGCTCTTCTGATTCACTCTCAATCATGTACTTGCACATGTTCAAATGATTGGAGTATTTACTGAGCTTTTTCATTAAGTATTCTCCAGATTAAAGGTGCATTGATTTTGAGTTGTATAGAAGATGGAATTGGTAACTTTCGGATCCCTCCCTTGATTTTTTAAAGTGTTTTTATTTAACAACAGACCATGGACAGTGTAGTTAGAGATGGTGTAAGCAAATGGTGAATAAAAACCAGTCTTTCAGTGAATAAAAACCACCCTTTTCTTTCAGTTTGGAGATAATGTTTAGCAAAAGATGTGCTTCCCACCGGCATATCACCAGAGGAAAGCCCTCTGAGATCAAACAAGATACAATAGTCAGTGGATGCACATTACTTTGGGATCACCCTATATATTCTTACAAGTTACTTTAAAAAAAAGGATGTTTACCTTTTTTTAGGCCTTAATTATGTTTTATAATTTCCTTTATATGGAAAAATTCATCCCGCCTAGCGGGGTAACTCGCTTACACAAACCGAGTTCCCGGCAAGGCGAGTTACTCGGATGTGTCATATAAACGATTCACCAGGAAATGCATTCATTTTATACAAGGGCCGAGTTACCCAGCTTGGCGAGTAACTCGCTCAGCCAGGTAACTCAGCTCCATATAAACAGGCCTTTAGTTAACCCTGTTGATCAATGGCATAAAATAACCGATTTGAACATCTACCTAAGAAATATTATGTAAAAAAACTGATTAAAACGACCTTTGGACGATGAGGCACCTGCAAAGCAATGTTAGTACCCGAGCCAAAAAGGAACCTAACGTATAGGGAACCGCCTCTCTGGGCCCTTATACTAGCTTTACCAAACGGTGTGCCAACCAATCCTTCTTGTGTCCAGCACTCGATCACCTAGGTACCATCATGGCACCGTTTGAAATTTTTCCTACTTGGAACTACACTTAATGTATCAAATTAGTTCGTCCCCGTTATCAAATCATCTTCCATGAATAAAATAGATGAATAAGAGACGACCCAACCCAATACATCAGCAATAATTAAGCTATCTTCCTGCTCTGACTTATTTTATTACAAGTTAAATAACAGCGAGTTATTTAACTTGTACATGCCACTGTCATAACATTGATTTTGACAACTATTTAGCAAAAGCAATGCCGGCTTTCATGCCCCTAATCTGTTTCGCTGTTCATTAGACCAATAGACAGATTTTTGGTTACATATTCTTCTTGATGATGCAAATCACTCATTTTTTTCAAAAAAATTTTTTAAGCATGTTAACTTGTTTTTCTTCGTTGTACAGTGTTTGATGAACATTTCAAGTTTTGTATGGTTCAAAATTCAAACAATTCGAGAAAAACAGAAAACCTGTTAATTGAGCATTATCAAGCAAGAACATTTTCAGGCGTTTATGATTTTAGATAAATTTAACTGTGCTATGCAGCTTGCATGCCGGATTGCGCGATGTTTCAGATCGAAATTTCCTTGCTTTTTAACGTGCAATCTGTAATTCGGATTTCGCCATTTTTTGGACCGTAATTTGCAAACGTTGCGCTTGCTTTAATTCATGCATTTATAGATTTTCAATGTTTAGCTACGGAAAATATATAAATACTCTACAATGCTTATTTCCTTGAACTTGGGATCGCGTGTCCTGGTGATCAAAAGAACAAAAAACTTATGATAACAGACTATCAGACATTTGCAAAATCGAACATGTATACCATCATACAGAAAATTAAAAACACTAACAGGAATCAAAAGAACACAACTAACTTTGTTATATAACTCAGCCAATGTTCAATCATCTTCCTGTTAGTGCTGATCACCAGGATTTTAAGTACAACACCACAAACCTGAAACATCGTCTTTGGTCTTCATTCGTAGGCTAACGTAATCTTCCACTGATTAGCCCAAGATTAGTTTGACAAAATCCACAAAAACGATGATGTAAATCCACGATAGACGAACGACTGACGTGAGTTAATCCACGATGATTATGATTGTGATCAACAACAACTATGTTTTAATCCAAGACAAACATAGTGTAATATATTAATCATAGGTCGCCTCTATTGTATTCCTTCTTCACTACAAAACAAATGAAAGGTTCAAGGTTACACGGAATTCATCAAAATTACGAAAAGTGTCGTTATTCAACAAAACGTAACACAAAAACTGCGATAAATGACAGACAATTTATAATCATATAAATTAGTGAAAACTTATAAAGTTTTCTTTATCTGATATCATTCAGTTCAAACAAGTTCTTGCAAGACAAGTATTTCCAACAGATAAAAGAAACTGTGAAGATTATAGTCTATAAGAACATAGATACTCGTAAATTACCAATAGTTTGGTCTTGATAAGCAACCAACGGCTTCTTCAAAACTTCCACCAGAGTTGCGTAAGGTGGGTTGCTCATAGGACAAAACACATTCCAACAATCAAAGATATCTTGTAAACAAAAGATATGAATTAAAATGTTTGTTTGTAAAGCAAAATTTCTGAAATTCAAGATATTCAATTATAATTTCCTTTTTTTTTCATTAGAACAAAATTTCAGCAAATTTGTTTGCAAAGCGAAAGGATTTTACATATCAAATATCACTCACATATGTTTAATTTTCCTCGTAATGTAGGGATCTACTGTAATAGGTTGTCTTTAAGCTGCCATCATATAGCTTTACACAAATCTTGATTCATAATTGGACAAACCATAATAATTTATAACTATAAGCTTCTGTTTGTTAACATTCATGTGTCCATGACAGAATGTCAAACTGAAGTCAAAAATGCAGCAAGGTTTGAAGCCAATGTTTAATATTTTTCCAGTCATTGCTGAATGGCCAAACACAATGAAATCAGACCGTTACTTCTCAAATATCGTCGTCTCTCTTAATTCGTATACGTATTCCTCAACACAAGGATTAATTTGTAAAGATCCAAGGTAGAAAGCATATGCAATGTACAATAACCATTGTAATTGAACGGTAAAATACGTCACAATTCCAATATTCCTTCACCACAATACAAAGAAAAAGTTCAACACGAAGATCGTTCAAATTGACAAAAGGCCATCACTTAGCTTGATAATGACTTTGAAATAAAGTCGAAATATTGCTTTGAATCTTGTCTTATGCTTGTATAACTCGAATCTTGAGTTTACAAGATGATGTTTTTTGGAGTGTGTTTTTTCCTTTTTTTCGAAATTGTCGGCTGGAAAAGGATATTTTCAGTTTTTTACCTAACTTCTCTTTAGTTCTATTCCAATCTTTCCACAACTTTCCTTTTTATCTTTGTTTCAAATTTCACCTTTAGGATACGACTTCGGTGGCATTCTTCATGATATCTCACCTGTCAAATTTCAAAATTAGCATCTTTTCCTAGAGAATTTAAGCATGTTCATTGGCGAAATACTCTAAAAATGGTCAATAACTTCAATGATAACTTTTCAATTGTTCTTAAGTAGTGTAGCTAACATTACTATCTTTCATTGGGATCAATCAGCCGTCAACATTTTTCAAGGCTTACACGTTTGAATTTATTTATTCGCGACAGGAGAAACTCTGCCTGAACCCCACTCCACTCAAAGATTTTTTCGGTGTTTTCGGTTAGTTTTTAAAATTTGTGCCCAGTTCTATTTATTTTCACGCGGAACAAAAAAGGCGCCAATTTAACTGAAAGTCCAACGTCCAACATGAACCAACATTTTCATATTTTTCATATATCTTCAAAATTTCTGCTCAAAAGAACGCTTTTTACCAAAAAAAAATAAACTAAGGTATAAAAAATACCCTGCTTTTTCTCATTTTGCCATATTGTTGCTTTTCACATAGAATTTGTTCAGATTTTTGCGTTGAAACAAGAAAGATGTCGGACAAGAAAGTTTGTCGCTAAAAATATATCCATTCAAGACATGTTAAAAGTACAAATATTTAACAAAGTTTCGCTTCGAAACAACCCAAATGCTAACAGTAGGCAACACACTAAAGTAAAATTGTAAGAAAGACATTCAAACATGAAAACTTGTCGCTTTTATACAGACAAGGTATTCCAGAAGCAAACACACCGACGAAGACGCGGAGTGAAACGCCGAATTTCACAAAGAAAACTGACGAAAAGATTTACATGTAACACAGTTCGTAACAATACATCAAACAAGGCTATTGTTATCGAATTCATCGACATTCGAAGTACTTTTTCAAATATTTAATAAAAAATTCCCTAACGTAACTTACCTTTTACTTTCGAGTCTTTGGGGTATCTAGTGGTGTGAAAAGTGATTGACGTTTATTAGAATTCATTTGGTGGTCTGATTTCATTGGATAATCTTGACAAACATTGTTATTGGCGAGCTCAGTTCTGATTGGCTAAAGTATAAAATATGCTATCCCAGTTGAGTGAGATGGTAGTCTGTGTTTTCTCAATATCTTTTTTGGAAAAAACTATCTTACACATAGTGAAATACTATCTTGCACAATTTTTTCTTTAGTTGCAACTTGCAAAAGCAATGCAAACACCCCCCAAATAACTAGGGAAAAAACATTTGTTTGTGGTTTCACCTGAATTTTTACTTTCTGTTAAGGACGCCTATAATAGTTCAAGGTCAAAACCAAAAAAATCGATTCAGGACAGCACCCTGTCATTCACGTTGAAAGTACCAACGAACAGCAATTACATAAACCATCATGCTTAACTAGTAGTTTCACAACTGCTAAAAGAAGATACTTGGTTGTAATGTGACTATCGTGTATTTTTATTCCTACAGTGAAGGTCGTATGTACCCACTGTATGTACCATAGATGTGACTAACCAATTGACAAAACCTAGTTACCAGTCTTTTGGTAAAGGATGCTCAAAATCTCAAATCCGATGTCGATTAACTGCGATTAACTCGATTTGTAAAGCCACACCATATGTGTAAAACGTAAAACTGGGGTAGTAAACTTGTAAACCATCATAATATTTGCCAGAAAACGAAGCATATACTTACGTCGTGTCCCCAGCGATTGTTTCAGTTTAGTTTTCCTAGAAGGCGAAGATAATGGTATGTTTTTTGAAATCATTTCATTTGCTGTTGAGGCATTTCTTTTGTCAATATTTCTTATTCAATTGTAAACGAATGGCTTGATTTATTGATCGTGAAATTCTTCCTTAGCCTAAAGCAGCTAAACTGAAGGTCAGTGAAAAAGTCATCCATCCAAAGTCTAGGAAAGCGGCGCAAATGATTCGTAATGCTCAACGAAAGGATAAATTAGAAAGGTATTTAAGTGTTGTTACAGGTGATGTGTTTACACAGTGATATTTATAATGTGTCTAAAGACTTAAAATACTTGCCTTGAAAGTTAAAATATGTGAAACCACAGCCTGTCTGTTTTCAATAAGTTGATTTTACAATTTATGTTGTTTAACCGTGGGATGAAGTTATTTATTTATTATTGCAGGAAAAAGTCTGAAAAGAAAGCTGCACAGCAGAACTTGGCTGATAAAATAAAGTGGTTTAATGAACATATGAATAAGAATGCCAAAAGTTGTTCCATTAATGATGTTCACAATTTAATTTTCTTGTATGTTTTGTATTGAGACATCAAGTACATCGATTTCTTATATACCATCCTTACTATGACATAAGTATAAGGAGATCAAGTACATTGATTTCTTATGTACCATCCTCACTATGACATAAGTATAAAGAGATCAAGTACATTGATTTCTTATGTACCATCCTCACTATGACATAAGTATAAGGAGATCAAATACATTGATTTCTTATGAACCATTACGGATTTGGACATATGTTCAAATACCTACCAAATATCTCAGTATGACTGTGATAATGCTGACATATAGTGAGGAGTGTTTGAGAAGGACATAATAAAATAAATAAAATATTACAGGATATTAAAATTTTTTTGCATTAGCTGAATAAAACAATCTAACATGCATAGTGTTTTATGTGAAGGTATTTCAAGAGATTTGATGAGGAACTGGAACAACTGAGGATTGGCAAAGATTTTAAAAACAGACAAGTCATTACTGGCAGTAAATTTTCACGGGAAAATCACATCAAGCTTGTGTTGGAAAAAGAGCAACAAATATATACATCAAGTGGACTTGGTTAGCCATTCAAATTTTGATTTGATAACTTTAGTCAAATTTTACTCTTAAGAATTTGCATTGTCTTTAATTTAAGTCATAATTTTCTATTTTTAAGAAATCCCTGACCTGACATCCTGTGCAAATGTTGAAATATTAAGGTAATAACTTTGTTGAGAGAGACACATTGTGTATTGATGGCATAGTTGAGTCTGTTAAGTTAACTATGTGGAAAAAACTCTTAAAATATTCCCTTCTGCTACATGCAGTGCACACACAAATGAATTTTCCCCCTTTTGTATTGTTTTTCAGAGCTTGGAATGGAAGTTTGGATTATATACCAAAGATTAAATTTAAGCGATTTCAGAGGTTGGAATGAAATCCATTCATTTGATCGTGGTAAAGCCTTCATCCAGTGAACTGTTGATTTGAGTTGAGATTTATGGCGAGAGTAGATATTTTAGAACTATTAGAGACTCTACTCACTGAAATCTTATGCATTTTTGTCAACTTTTATTAACAAGAATGAATGAACTGCAAATAAATATTGAAACAGGTATATTTTGCTTTACCTAAAATATAACATGCGTTGGTGTAAATAGTGATGAATGAAAAACAGAGAATGAGAACAGTCTTTACACTATCTAAAATATAAACTAAGATAACGTGCGTCAGTGTAGGTAGTGATGAATGAAAAACAGAGAATGAGAACAGCCTTTACACTATCTAAAATATAAACTAAGATAACGTGTGTCAGTATAGGTAGTGATGAATGAACAACAGAGAAAGAGAACAGTTTTTACACTAAAATATAAACTAAGATAACGTGTATCAATGTAGGCAGCATGACAAACGAACAACTTAGTTAATTGTATTTCATTCCGCGGGTCCTTGGAACAATCAACGAAGTGTGTAAAGTCACCTGCAGAAATTGATCACTGGTCACAGTTTGAATTTTTTTTCTTTAAAATGACTGAATTAAATGACTGATTAAAGAAAGTTTGTATAACATCGCCTGGCACAATTAAAAGAAAGTACGTATGTAAACTCAATACTTTTGTAGGTGGAAAATTTTGTTTTTGTTCCCTCACAATTTTTTCCTGCTTGTTTGATTTTTCTTAAAATGTAAGCAAATTCGTTAACAAAAACAATTGAGCCAAACCATATGTTACAGAGATCGTCTGTCTTTGTGATTTTTGAGTAAAGTAATTAATTGGAAGCGAAAACTGCTCTTGGTTATTGGTTACATCAGAATTTTCGATTTTTGTAGTCCTGACACTCAACATGAATGTGATATGTTTTTCGCTTATTACTTTCACGTGTTTCTATGCTACAACCCAAGGTATGATAAAATTTTGTTATAAATTGGTTATGTGCGAACTGTTCTACTCCGATCTGACACGAGATTGATCACTTGTTTTGATTATTGTTTCAAAGCAATGGACTCTATCTCTAGCATAGATAAAAGCAATGCAGTTATTAATGGCATGATTGCATATTCCAGCTGAAATATTTCGTGTGCGTCAAGATAACATTGAAACTAGGAGTAAAAAAGGTGAGTCAATATATTGGAAGACTGGAATCCCTCTTGTGTTTGAAAAAAAGAAGAATGGTTTTGTAAGAACTGAAATCCCGGAACAACGTGATCACGTGGACAAAGAAGAAAATGATTCCCACATCGACAAGTCAAAGAAGAGTTATAAATTGGAAAAAGATAAGAAACGAAAAAAGAATCCTGAAGAGTTGGGACAAGGCTATGAAAAAATAAGTAATTAAATTTCCGCGTTAACATGTAAAAAAGATTATAACACTCTACTTGGTTATGATTTAGAGGAAACAAAATATTAATTTCAAATTCTCATTAGAAGACATGGGATCAAACAACATAGATGACGACAATAAGAATGATGAAGTTCTTAACAAAGGATCGAAGAAGATAAAAAAAAAATATGACAGTAAGACGACAAAAAAAGGCAAGAATTCGCTTAGCTTGAATGGAGAGTTTCCTCCAAATGCAGATGAAGTGAAAAATTTGCCTAAAGATGAAGAATTGACTCCTCTGCAAGCGGACAAAAAGTTGGAAGAAAAAAGTAAGACGAGTAGTTAGCATTACGCAAAGTACGTAAGAATAATATCAGTTATGTACATCTGATAAAGTGCAATTTTTATCGTTAAGGGAAAGGTTACGTACATTTCACAATTATGCAAAAATTCAAGCCGGAGTTAAAATACAAAGAGTCAGCAGCCTATAAAATCTTAGCAGGGAATGTGATGAAAGATGTGAGTGAAAGATGTGATGAAATTGTGCTGATACTATTCATGAATTTTTACATGTTTTATAGGTGAATCGAGCATTGAGAACTGCAAACGTGGTTCAAGATGTTTTATTCAGGTATCAACTTATTGATTTTGATACATGATTGATTTTGATACATGATTGATTAATAATATTGTATAATCATGTTTAACGATTCTATAGTGAAGCAAAGAATGTTGGTGCTCCTCCTTATCGATCCAAGGTTGAAGTTTACCTAAAACTCAACCACATTAACTACAAAAAATTAAAAAAAATGGTTGATTATGGATTGATCAATGGAATGATAACAATTCCTGGGTCATTTACTTCTTAAAGATGGAGAACAGCAATGCTTATAAAAAGTTTTAAATGAAGAGAATTTGAAAGCAAATTAAATGATGATGTTGAAGCAGAAAACATGATCAACATACTGTTAATAAATTTTTTGGCATTTCTATTTGGATGTATTTTACAACTGTTGATGTGAAATATATCGAAGAAATTATCATTACTCTGCCTGTTAAACCTTGTATATATTACTGCATATTGCAAGATGTAATGGAAAAAACATTACATGTGTGCTAAACCATATAAATTTGATAATGAAAGACAATGATTCAGGAAATAAATGATAAAGATTAAACATCTTTGATAAATGAAAATAGCTCACGCCAGTGACATTCTTTATTTTATTTCTTTTTGAGAAACCATACTTATTTATCATCAGATTTAAGAAGTTCTTTTTGTTTCTCTGCAACCCTTTCCATTCTTCGTTCTCTCGCTGCCTTTGATTTCTGTCGACGTGCTTCAGCTTGATCACTAAAAACACAGAACCATGGGGATGTGAGAATACAATTCAAGAGATGTTATGTTACTGAAGCCCAGGACCAAATAGTCACTTGATATGAACATTTGGCCTTAGACAACTTCAGTTGTTAATATATGCCTACATTGCACACCAATCTGACACAGACAGTCACTATTGGCCGGCTTAATAGTAGGCAATATAAAAATCACAAAAATACTTCAAAAAATCTTATGTTACACACCTAAGTAATTTTGCTCTCGCCTTCTCAGCTTTCTTTTTATGAATATACTCCATGAGCACCCTTTTGTTTTTAAATCCATTTCCTTTTGCCTTTAAGTACAAAACATGGTACATATGAAGGTCAATCTTTTTTGACTCCCTGTATTTACGAAGAAGACGACGTAGAACTCTCATACGCCTCATCCAAATCACTTTTTCAGGCATCCTAGCATTCGCTGTACCCTTCCTTTTGCCATGTCCCATATGACGTCCTTTTCGGCGAGCCTCATCAGCTTTTTTGACACGAGAACGACTGTGTACAATTTGAGGCTTTTTAATGATCAAGCCATCTTTAATCAGTTTTCTAATATTTTGCCCTTAATGCGAAAATGTCAAGAAGACATCAAAAAAGTTACATTTCCTGCAATCTAATCACATACTCAAACAAATAAATTTGCCTCATAATAGATAAGGTTCATCATAAGTTATCAGTATGTGAACAGCAATGTTTTAATCATTGGCTTGTTAGGTTTAACAAAATGAAACCTCACTTGAATTTGCATTTGCTATTTCACTAGCCTCATTTGGATCCAACCAAACCTTTCTTTTGCCACATTTCATGACACTGCTGGCCAGCCTTTTCTGGAGTTTTAAAGAACTAAAAAAGAAGTAATTCAATAAATGTTTCGGGTATAAATAGCTTTTCATTTATAGCAGTGTTTGCTGAAGATATTAGCTGTTAATTTTGCAATAAACCTGATCATAAATGGTGCTCGTAGTTTCTAGACAGCTTTAATTCAAGGACTGGTGAATTTTACAAATTACATTTGTCGTGCGCTGGTAAAACACACCTCAAGCTTCAAAATATTGCATAGCTTGTAAAATTGGATAGCAGCACACTGGTAAAGTTGACGATAATAAAACAGAAAATTTTTCGGTAAATAAGACATTTTGCCACACATTATGGTGATATTTTCTTAGCAAAAACAGGAATTGTACTAGGAAGAAAAATAATCACACTATTTCCTCACAAAAATGAGAAAATATAAGCGCTCTTCTTTCTTTACCTCATGATTATTGAATTTTCGTTGAAAGAGAACGTGTAGGGAACGCACCGTCCCATAGGTCCATGCGTGCTCGGATTTCTCGAGTAATAAACGGCATACCACGATGGCGAGTTCACGAAACATATACGTTTGACGGATGTTAAAAATATGTATAAAACGTGGTCGAAAATTCTATGTGGTAAAGAATGTTAAACTTATAGTAATTATTTCAGTGAATATGCCAAAATCCAAAAGAAATAAGCTAGGTATGTTGCTTATTACTTGATGTAGTTTGAAATATTCCTCATTCATGTGGTGATTTAAAGTTATTCTTTAAGTTCAGATTTGACTTTGACTACTGACAGAGTCGTGACCCCCCACCCCCCCTGTTGCATCTCCATCCTTTCTGTTTCACTGTAGAAGAAAACTTGGATTAATGGAATTAATCAGTAGTTTTTGAATTGTGGTCATGTACTCGTTGACTGTTGAATGATGATTTGTAACTTTTGATGCACTGTCATTTTGAACACTCATTTCTTCTTGAATGGTTATGTTCATCAGACATTTGTTCTCAAGGGGGTCATCAGTTACCTTGAATGTGAGCCTGTGGAAGTGTTTAATGGTTTATAAATGTTGTTCATGGTTCTTGAAGTAGGATCATTTGGTGAACTTGGAATGTTGTATACATGTTATGTAACTTGTGAAAATGAATACAGTGTGATCTTACCAACAAAATACTTACATGATTTCAAAAGGGAATGGAACTGCAAGACACACAAATGTTGTAAAATATAATTCTATGCAAGCAGCAATCAATCCTACCAAACCGGCCATATGAATTACATTTTACAATAAAAATATTTTTTAGTGTCCCTCACACAAACCAAGAAAAAAGGGTTGGAATTAAAATCATCTTTAATTAAAGAGGTAATCCTATTCAAACAAACTGAAAGCATTCCTCCTTTCTCACTGGAATAAAAACTTGGCTTGTAGCAATGAATGTTGGATTCCATTTTATAATGGCAGACTTTGATGTCTTGTACTGTGAATGAAGTTAATTAATCACATTTTTAGTAATTTTATAGATCATTATGATGAAGCATTTAGTACCACATTAATTTTAATTTGTTGTTGTATTTTTAGGTTCAGGAATGTGTTGACAAATATGCACGCATATTTGTTTTTTCAGTTGAAAATATGAGAAACTCAAAACTGAAAGATGTACGAAATGAGTGGAAGCACAGTAGGTATTGAAAAAGAATTAAATACTTTATTTGGCCAACTGGTTTTAGGTGTTCTTATAGGAGTTATCCAGTACATAAGAAACAAAACATGTATCTTTTAATATAAACTGGTTTTTCTTGAGGTTTTTCTTTGGTAAGAATAAAGTAATGATTGTAGCACTTGGAAAGGATAAACAAGATGAATACAAAGACAATATATCTCAAGTGAGCAAGGTATGAATGAATTATCACTGATTGTAGATTCATTTTATTCAAGCAATTGCTTGAAAATATGGATTTGACATTATGAGATTAAGAATTGTACTTGTTTACAGAAATGTATTAATTTCTATTTGCAATATACTGTGTAGTGTTTGAAAGGTCAGCGTGGTCTTTTATTTACAAACAAAACAAAAGATGAAGTATTGAAGTAAGTGTATGGATAGTACTTGCACAGGAATCAATATTATTTCAGTGTTTTTTATAATTTTGTTAATGAAATGCCTTATTGTGTAGATGGTTTTCTGAGTTTAAAGAGCTTGATTATGCAAGATCAGGGAATATTGCTACACATGCTTTGAAATTGAATGCAGGTAAATGCTTAAGCATGCTTTAAAGTTGTAAGTTTTCGATGATTCAGGTGACTGGAATATACATGAAATCATTTTAAATTTTGTTTTGTGAATTTTTGTTGTATTGAAATTAATGAATGATTTTAGATCATTCATATTGATAAGATTCAGTGTGCGAATTAGTTCAGGAAAAACGATGTGCAATTTTTTTTGACAAAAGTGTTTCTTTAGAGGCATAATCAAATCGATATTACGTTAATTATTATACAGTGCTAATTGCTAAATTAATATTTTTAAACGTGAACAAATTTATATGATTTACAACAGTGTTTTTCGTTACAACCGCTAATCCAGTTATAAATGTATGAGAGAAATTTTTTTCGCATGTTATTCTCTCGTCTTTTTTTGTGCAAACTTTACAGCACAATAAATTCACAACTTGGACATCATCCTAGTAATCAAACGAGTCAGCATTTGATGTTTCCATCCATTTTTTTACTGTATTAACTTTGCTGGTAGCTACAACCTTTCGACGAAAATGGCAAGAAAGACAAAAGTGATAAGAGAATAACCGAATATACTTTTGCTTTCTGATTATTAACAGTAACATCCTCGATGTTTCCTTACGATAGAAAACATCATATTTATGCTTATAAGCACAATGTATGTAGACTGTTGACAGACTTCCCAGTCTCAGTGACAACGTCTTTGAATTTGATGACATTGTGTCAATATGGATTTTAATGTCGTGCAGCGCACTCGTTTATAAAGATCAGTAAAGATTAAGCTTGAAAACTTTCTTCAATTTATGTGGTAGTAATCAATAAAGAAGTTTTTGCATATCGTTTGAAAAATTGATGTGCAATTGTTTTCATTTTAGCTAAAACGATGTGCAAATTGCACATTGCACACCGTTAATTCGCACACTGATAACATTTAGACCATATCGATAGGATATATTCATTAATACATGCATATGTGGTTATTGAATTAATAACTGGGATAAACCTTCACTATTTGTTCTCATTTAAATTGGAATCAGTTGAATTAACTTTCTCATATTTGCAGGACATCTAGATCAATTCACTCACTCAATGGAACCAAATTTACGACAGCTGGGTCTTCCAACATCGCTGCAAAAGGGTAATTGTCATTTTTACAAATTTTAATGTTGTTGAAGCCTTTGCTCATGTAATTTTATTGGCGTAGGTAAAGTCGTTCTTCTTCAAGATCACGAAGTTTGCAGAGAAGAAATACCTTGACGCCCGAACAAGCTAGAATACTTGTAAGCCTTTTCCTGCGCTATATTGAATAAAAAAAATATGATTTGAAAGGCTTATTTTTAAAGTAGACTTTGTTCATGCATTGACAAAAAACACAGCCTTGATATTATTTCATAACGTTTATTAAAGAGCTTTCGTGTGTTTTTTTCAAAACCTGGAATTTTTAATTTCTCGTTTCTCGAAGTCTTTCACACCGGACAATTGACTCATAGGAATGATCGCTGTCGACACGACTTTTAAAAATTGTTTTATTCCTGTTTCAGAAACTAATGGGAAATCCAATGGCGGAGTTTTATGTCAGTTTGGTTTGTGTTTGGTCAAACGATGGTACATTTGAAAAACTTCTGTAGCGTTATTGCTGTACCATGGTACTGGCATTTCTTACTTAAATGTGGACGATTGTGTTACCTGAAGGATCTGTTCACTTTTTTTCTTTGCTGCAATAATACATCATCCTTTATATATGGCATACTGACGCAAACCTTGGAAAGAAATTGACAAGAAAGTTCATTAGCAGTTGCAAATCTTCAACAGATTTCTTTTGACACAAGAACATTCACACATTAGTTCAATGTAACTTGTTGAATTTCAATTCTGATAAACACATTTATTTCCACAGTGACCTTGTGCTGCATTAAACAAAACTATAAATCGATAATAATTGTTTTTTGAAACTCAATCATAAAATTTCTTTAACAATTTTAACATTTCAAAACGTTCAAAAGTTCATATTTACAAACATAACAATATTTAAAGTACATATTTCTCGTATAATACTTTGATTATTAACGTTATGTACACACAGATGATCCAAAACACTATAATGCCTAAATTGCATTCCATATATAGCGTATGCTGAACAGTTTTGGTTTTGTAGTATATTGTATAATACGTATCGCTTTTTCGTCATCGTACAGTATATATAGAATGCATTGAGGTATCGTGTTTATGAAAACAAAACTTTATTTTAACAGTTATCTCATCTTGACTTGACCCTTAACTCTTTACATGGTTTAAGAATAAGTTCCGTGAAATAACTATCTTCTTGCATTTACGCATCATGCACTGACCAAATTGCCTTTTTTTGAAACATTTTCTATTTTCTCATGAATAGCTGACTTAATTTACAGCCGAGCCTAAATGAAACTAGTTACTATGTATGTTTGGCTAAACTACAACTAAAATATTTCATTCACAATTTTTCTCGCCACATAAAATATTCACGTGAGATAACATTGATCTACCTTCTGGTAATATATCAGCAGCGTAGCCAACAATTAATTTTTCATTTATCTTTAAAAGTCTATTGTTTTCGCTTTGAGTTTGCACAGAACATTTTGAATGGCTCGAATATAGAACAAAATAGACAGGCAACACCACTGAATTTCTTTATAATAGCCCAAACGCAGAGTGAGTGGGACTCGAACCCACGACCAAGTCGCTCTGACCACTGAGCTATCACTCCAAATTTGTGGTAACTTGTTCAATGAAACAAAAAAAAGTTATAGGAAAGCTAGCAGCTAGCCGTTGCAAGTCATGTCACTTGTGTCAAAATTCGCGTGAATATTGTATATGGCGAATTCTGTTTTGAGCTATTTAAGTTGTTTTACATATTAAAAAAAAAGGTAAATAAAAACCAAATAAACATATAAATCATGCAGTGTTATAATTCATTAAAGAGAAATAATCAACTCTGTCTCATAAACCCTCTCTTAGGCACGTAGCCAGAACTAGTCATATATTCAATTTGTAATCCATAAAAACAATGGATTAGAAAAGAAACACATTCGGCAAGTCATGCATATATGAATATGCCTCTACCCAAATTATCGTTCTGGCTACAGGCTTGCCCTCTCTCCGCGATTTGTTTTTGAGACATTGAGAAATATTTCATTATACGGACTGCTATGTAATAAATTATATTACGTAGAAGTCCGTGGTATCTTCTCGTGTATTGGAAGCTTGTTACGAATGAAGAAAATAAAATTGTCTATCTTAAAACATTATACGTAGTATAATTTGGCTAGTATTTTGGGTTGATGGAAAGATATTTTTATTTCATGGGTGACACTGTTTGTTAAACGAGCTTAGCTGAAACCAGGCTAAGAGAAATTTTTCTTCGATATAGCGAATCAAACATCAATTAAAAATATCACGATTCATTTACTCAAATACTTTAAGCGACGTACTCAAAAGAATCGATCATGATGATGATGATTTTACCAATATCTTCGTCCAAGTTTTACCAACATGAAGCAGTTAAGTTTGCTGTCATTTCTTCTTTCATGCCATGAATATGAAGAACATTTAAATCGATCCTTTCAATTTTTGCTTCTTACGTCAAAGTGGACTAACTGAATTTGAAGCCTACATTTTCATTAAGTAAGACATATTTAAATAAATTCGCGATAAAATGTTCATTTTTAATTCAATATTTGAGATAAAGAAGACAATTTTACAATAATATTCATTAAGAATTTGACATGAATTCAAAATATCACTGTTGTAAAATTGTATCCCTTTTCTAAAAATATTAAATTCAAGATGAACCTTATCTCCGAAGTAAATTTTCTTTCAGATGAAAAGTACGGATTTTGCACAAAATTCAATGAAGCCTCTCTATTAGATCATGGGCTTGGATTCGAAAGTTAATATGCAGCATTATTTTCATGACAGATGCAAGGTCCACACACACCAGACGAGGTTTACTAACGTCATGCGAGCTTCAAAAATTTGCAATTATGAATTCGCATCGCGTTGGTAAATCACATCTGGTGTGTGTGGACCTTCGACCACAAGTGAGCTATCGGCTCTCAAATCTCACAAGACATTTCAAAGGCCAATTCTCCATTTTTTAAAGCACAAAGCCAAGCAGTTCTCACTTGAATACAAAACGATGACATGAAATGACAAAAAAGTTTTTTAACTGGCAGTAGAGCCCACGATGTGATAAAACATTAAACGCTTTTTCCCTTTTTCATTCAGATCATTAAGTAAACTTTACGTTTTACCAAAAGCTTACATTTCTCCAATAATCTGTCGTTGCCCGGGCAAATGGTCGAACTGACAGCCCTGAGAACCTGGTTTTATTAGCTTCTCTGCATTGTTCCTGTGGTTTCACGAAAAACAGACCAGAATATTTCATGAAATTCCGCATTTCCTCAACAAAACGCTCGTGATTTCCACGATTTTTACAAAACTGAGCTCGTCAAAGGACTTGAATGCCTCCTTCACACAACGTCACGCCAATATAGTTGCCAATACGTGTACACATGTTTTAAGATAAGCCGGGGTTAATCGTTTGAATATAATGAATCTTCCATACAGTCTTGTACGTGACTTTCAATAAGATGATATGGATAATGTCGAGAACAATATGGACATTCAATAAGTGTAGAAGAAGAATCTGCTGTCGTCGAATTGCCATCATGTCGTAAGTTGTTAGATTCATTTCTAGCGCTATCTGCAACAACGATCCCTGGTGATGTGAGATTCTAAGTATAAGAAATAACGTAGCATATTGAAGGAAGCAGTATTACATCAAGCAACAATGCATGTGATGGCTGTGTTTGATTGAAACAATAGAAAACTTCACATGCCTTACATAAATATAGTGAAATCATGCTTACCTGAAATGAATTCATGCCAGCTCCTAACGGTAATCCGAAGGCAGTTGGGAAGCTAGCTGTAGCCTGAAGTAAAGAAATAAAAATTTCAAAATTGATTTATTTCATATGCTTGTTTATAGGTTTCGAAATGTCAATTGACATTTTTAAATTGTTGGCTCAAATTGTTAAAATCACCTTAGGTCTCATGCGTTCTTCTTGCAAAAGGCTGTTCACTTTTTCGGTCTGAAATGAAATAACAATTTAGAGCTTTAAACAAATTCTTATATAAAGCAAAAATAGTACTAATATTGCAAATGTTAGTTCATGCAGCAAGGAGTATGGGGAAATTTATTTATTTGTGTGTGTATGTATATACGGATTTTTTGTCCCTTTTAAGCATCTTATGATTTGGCCATAACATGTTCTCTTAACACATCACTTGAAATTTTCAGTAATAATTAAGTTCGAAAGGCATGACAAATTCTTATTTCTTACTTCTCTTTCAAAGCGACGAGCAGTGTTCATATGAGATTGATTTTCTCTCTTCAAAATTTCATTCTCTTTCTGCAGCGTCTCATTCTTTTTCCTCAATTGTATTTTTTCCTCGTTTTCACGACGGAAATCATGCTCGTGGTTCTTAATCTGTAAAAAAGGTGGAATAACGGCATGTTATTAGTCCTGTTCATGTGTAAGAAAGCAATTTTTTGCAAGTCGATATAAACAAAAACAGTTTGTTTTATACTTGTTTACACAATAAATAAATATTAGCTTACTGAATCTCGCATCATGATCAACATTGCTTCATTATCCTGCTCTTGAACACGCTGACTTTCGATCTTTCGTTTTAATGATGATATCTCTTCCTCTGATTCTTGCTGTTTAGAATTTAAGCTGACGACTTGATTAAAGAAACCAGTGCATTTTTTCTGTAAATCAGTACATCGCTTAGATACATTATTCAGTTCTTCTTCACTTTTCTCCTTTCTTTCATTTGCTTTTTTCAATTCTTCTTCAAGATGCTCACTTTTTTTTAACGAATCTTGTAATTTCGTTTCAATTTCCACAATTTTATCGTCACGACTTCGAATGAGCTCATCTTTTTCGCGAATTTCTCTTGTCATTTTTTCCACTCTTGCATTGAGAACATCTTCGTCAACCTACATATGCGATAATTTAATAAAGACATGAATAGAATGCCATCAAAACACAATCAACATTTTTTCAAAACGTTTAATTTGTATTTTGCCGCTATTCAAACATTTGTTCGGTTCTGTTTTTTTAACACCATAAATTAAAATATTTTCCACAACCAAAAGGGTACGTTGATTTCTAAGAACCAAAGGTACGGTGCTTTTTTAGAACAAAGGATATAGTGATTTTTCATAACCAATGGTATAGTGATTTCTTAGAACCAAAGGTATGGTGAATTTTCAGAACCAATGGTATAGTGATTTCTTAGAACCAAAGGTATGGTGAATTTTCAGAACCAATGGTAAAGTGGTTTCTTAGAACCAAAGGTATGGTGATTTTTTAGAACCAATGGTATAGTGGTTTCTTTGAACCAAAGGTATGGTGAATTTTCAGAACCAAGGGCATGGTGATTTCTCAGAACCAATGGCATGGTGATTTCTCAGAACCAAGGGCATGGTGATTTCTCAGAACCAAGGGCATGGTGATTTCTCAGAACCAAGGGCATGGTGATTTCTCAGAACCAAGGGCATGGTGATTTCTCAGCACCAAGGGCATGGTGATTTCTCAGAACCAATGGCATGGTGATTTCTCAGAACCAAGGCTATGGTGATGAACATGAAATGGTAACTAATTTCATGTTGAAGAAAAAAACAGAAGCAAAACAAAGATATGGTGTTTTAAAAGATACGTGCATGTAGTCCACATACTGCGTTGTACATGAAGTTTATGATGTTGAAAAAACGGAAAATGGACACATTTTTTTACTTGCAAAGTCCACAATCAAAATGAAATTGGAAAAAGCAAAGACATAACTCACCCTTTTTTCTTCTTCATGAGTCACATTCCTAACATTTTCTTTCCCATCAATAACATCATCATCATCATCAAGTTCGCGTGAGGCAATTTTCTTACCTAAACCTTTGAGACGTTCATTTTCTTTTAATAGTTTTTCGGCAAAATACTGCTTGGCATTCATTGACCTTTCTATTCGAATCTTTTCCATTAGGAGATCATGAACTTTTATCATTAGTTCATTGTCCTTGCCATTCAGTATTGACTGTAATTCATCTATTTGGTAGTTCAGCTGACTTATTTCGTCTTGAAGTCGAATCACCATTTCATATAATTCTTTGTTTTTCTGTTAGCATGAATGAAGATACAAACTAAAATCTAGTTAACCATATAAACCAAATGCTGCAACAATGACCAACCTTGCAAACATTTTGGTGCTCCATGATTGCTATAGTAAGTCTTAACCATAAAATATTTATTCTTAACATAGACCTTACAAATGCATTGTAAGCCCTTTCAAGGTGCCATAGGTGCCCATTTTTTCGGCCATGTACAGGGGCAAAGCTAAAACGCTAATTGGGGTTGGGATGAATAAACATATATACAGCTCTCAATTAGCATTCTTATCCAACCATATATTGCATATTTCCAAGGTTTAATATTGCTGCATAAGGAACGAGATTTTCTAAACTCAAGAGTGTGCAGGGTAACAAGACGTGGGCAGAAAAGTTGTGTCCCCCCCCCTCCTTGTAATGGTGCAAGTAGGAAGGGTGTGAAAAAGCTAAGGAGTTGGTTGCATTTCCTTAACAACACAATAGAACAATGCTTGCTAATATGCTGACCTACAGGAATTATTGTTATAACAAGAATACACCCTAATGAGGAAATGTACAATATTGGAACCGGTAAAACAGGAAAAAAAGGGAAATAACCTCTGAATCTTTGATAGTGAAAGTAAACAAAATGCATCATGGGAACGGGGAATCCCAACATATTTTAAATTTTAACGATATTTTCAACCAAGGAAAGCTGTTCTTTATAGTTAAATTTCTCGGTATCATACGATGTATTCTCTGGAACATTCACAGCATTCTTAGAAATAAGCGAACTATAGCTAGATTAAAGCAATTTTTTAAAATTCCAAATCAATAGTCAGTATTTGAAGACATAACTAACTTACTAAAGCAATTTTATCGCCACCCAGACCTGTGGCGACAATGTGATCCAGTGCTTCCCTTAATTTCATGTTCTCCTGAGTAATTCTGTTGAAATCCTTCTTCGATATCCCAGGGTTTACGACATCGATTTTAAACGCCGATTGTGGTCCAATGCCTAGTTTTTTTTGCAAATACGCAATCCTTGCCTCTGCCTTGCTGAGACCCGTCTCCAAGTTCTCTGCTTTTGTTTGCCAGTGAGCGCGTTTCTCTTCCAATTCACTGCAAATGCGAGTCAAATCTTGTACACCTTTCAAACGTTCATTCTTAACCATAAGTTCACGATGTTGCATAGTTATCACACGCTTCAAATCGTCTACGTTTAAATCTTTTACAATCGACATACTTTACACTGTTAAGATGATATCACAAGGTTTCTGTTAAAATGTCTGCAATTTTATACTCTGCAAATATAAATTTACCCTCATTAATCAATCACCTCTACAAAAATTCCCAACGGCTTACGCTTGTAGCACAGAGAAATGTATCTTTCAATGTGAAACAAAGCCCTTAAAGCAAAGGGAACTTGTGAGTTACGTGCGGTTATACACAGACTGTAGAAAATTATAATTAGACGATGCCTTCACTTTTATTACTCATCAGGGATTGACCTTGAACGGTAGTCAAACCAATCAAAACTTTCAAATAACTATTGTGTCAGGGGAAAACCCAAACCTCCAAAGCTGGATGATCAAGCAGGACTTGTATGGTACGTTTCATTAAATATTTTCAAAGATATTTCTCACCTCCAATAACTATCACATGCATCTTTTGAGTTAGTTGACCAGATCTTTTTGTGCGATTGATTTTGATATTTTTGTGGTAATTACCGATTTTTTACCACAAATCATTTTTGCTGAGTAAGATCAACTCTCCAGAAATTTCAAAGCTGAGGCGTAAGTAATGTAAAATGTTGTAATAGTTATTTAGGATGCGAAAAAGTATATTTTGTTTCGTTTTCTATCTTCATTGTCTTCCTGTATCAGTGTTTCTAAATCTTTCGAAATATATATTTCTAATTATATAAATTTTTAAATTCTTTTTTCCTCGTATCATTTATACAGAAGTACAAATTTCGTCCCTGATTTTTTTAAGACATGCAGAATTTTGACAATTATTTTTTAATGAGTTTCAGTTTTCGGATATGATGCTAGATGTCTCCTAGAAACGGGTTTGCTTGTACTGTTGAGTATGTCGACAAATTTACTGTCGAGGTAACATGATATATTGATATTAAAATGGCCAACAAAATTCACATTAGAATATTTGTGTGTATTTTTGAGTAAAAGATTATGTCTTCTCAACGTACACCGTCAGTATTTTACCGTGTTCCCGAGCAAACGACTCGTCATTATCATGGCAAATGCACTTTGTCCAACCCAGCCTTCATTGGGCCAAGAATGGCAACAATAAACAGTTCGGTAGTTGTAACTTATGAACAATCTCAAAAAGAGAGCACTGTCGTTAAAGACGAAGTCTGGAGAAGCTCATGTTGTAAAGAGAGATGTCAACAAATAAAATGGTATGTCTTCATTGTTACTACACATGATTTAGTTAGGATTATATGGATAAAGTTGATGGATATACGGATGAAGTTTTAAAAATGATAAAAAAGTCTAATTATTTTACAGTTTTCTGAAGTTTTCAGCAACTTGTTGAAAATGAAAATATGATAACGAAAGTTGGCCACCTACGTAGTCCACCTAATGGATGAATGATATGCATTATATTCCTTTAAAACCTGTTGTTTTATGCTGACTATATTTATAACATCCACTTATAAATATGCGGGGCCCCCCCTTTCCACCCCCAATTATCACGTTTTCTAGGTCCATGTCTTCAACTAAACCATCCATAAACAAAATTTACTAAATACAGGATTATAAACATGATCTACAACATAAACTCTAAATAAATCCACTACATTTGACTGTTTATGCAAGACATTGACACGTTTCTTATTTTTTACAAGTCATGTTTCTTTGTGAAATGAATGTAAATGTATGAATCAATTTCATTAAATATTAAATTTTGTTCGTTCTTGCGTCTTTAGGGAGAAAAATTGGGGATTCCTTGCAAAATTCGACCAAACGGTAAGAAATAAACTAAGTATATAAGTTTAAATGAAAGTACCTGTATACGGTTTACGTATTTTCATTGTCATAGCTATTTTTGGTTTACAGTTATACAATAATATACATTGACAGCAGTAAACAGCTGTCGAGGGCAAAACCCTGGGAGTAAATTACTACTCCAAGAAAAAAGATCTAATTTTTAATATTTAATATATCCAAAAGAATAGATTACACTTTCTAAAATGCTTAAATCATCACAATTTTTTTCAGTTATTACAAGTATTTGTCCAGCTTGTAAGATTATCTTCTGCCAATAATGAACAGGACAATGTTTTTTCTTGCTGCATCACGTTTATACGATTTACGTTTTTCCTTTTCCTTCCTCTTTCCTGTCCAAAATAGTTAAGCCGTCATTAACCCTTTCAGTGATGTGAATAAAGTTCACACATTGTTTTAACGTTGTCACCATTGGTTGTAATATGATAAAGAGTGCAAAGGTTGCATGTGGTCAATGATCACATGATGGAATCGTGTTTAAATTGTGTTGGTTCTTGTGGCATGCGTGACTGCATCTTTCTGCCACGTAGCACAAAATATTGCATAACTTAAAATAGCATTTGATCGTCGTGTTATTGAAATATTTAAGTATTTACCTAGTTCTTTACCAAAGTTGATATGTTATGTGCGTTTCTAAAATTTTATGTACCCCCAGCGCGAGTGTTGTTGAATTCTCATGGTTTCTGCAAACTCACAGTGATGAAAATACCATATGAAGAGACCGGAAATGTTTTTGTAAAATTTAAAAACATCCTCGCAGCCTGGTTTTTGTCCGTATGTACTAAAAATTATAAGGTGTCAGTCAATGTCGAGTTTTTACTAGTCGGTATGTACTTTATGAATATTGTGTGGGTGGGTTAACAGGAAAAATGTGTTTGGTTGGGGTCATAAGTCTTGAGATATGTTGTCAAACGTGTTTGAAAAGAAAGACCATTTTGTCAAACCTTTCTTTATATTATTGTTGGTCAAATTAAAAATACCTGCACAGCAGGATTACATGCATCACAGATTTAGTTATTTCGCTAAAGCAGATATAGTTGGATTGCGATATGATTCATTTCTGCAGTGCTGTCTGAGCAATGATCTTTACCACAACCTTCCTCTGAAGGATCTTTTGAAGAATGTTATGATAGAAATACTTTCATTTAAGCGAAAATGCGTACCATGGTGGTTTAGACCTATGTGGTATGTAAACTTGATTTGCAGCTCATTAAAAATAAATTCATCTTATTGTCATTTTACAGGGTAACCATAGAGAGCCGAAGGAATTAAGTAGCAACGCAAGATCAACATACTCCAAGACAGTTCCAAATACATCAAACGCTCGCTATGGCCTGAGAACTAGATATACAAACTATATTAACAAACTGGAGAGCTCTTGTCGCCAAAATCTCAAGAAGGACAATGACCTTTTGCTGTACGATTGATAATGACAAAACACAGACGATTTCGATGAAGTTTTTTTGTACTATATCTTTGCGGTCCAAATGAGGTTTTAAACAACAAGATTACACTAAATATCTCACAAATCGACGTACGATTTAGCCAAAATTATCATATCTATATAGCTAGATTGTCTGTTTTTATGCAATATAACTCACCTCACATAATAAATAGAAATACACAAAGTATCTTTAAATACTAGTTATCATTAAGCATGTATCCTTATATGTATCACTTGCTCATGCATACCTGCAAATCTGAAACTTGACAATATAAATCAAATTCTTATACTTTTTCTTCTTAGTTTACACATATCACGATGATTTAAAATAAATTGAACAAGATCTTTACGATGTATTTCCTCCAATGCAAACGTCAATTGTGAAACTTGATTTCCTGAAATCTCCTCAGCTGATGTTCTCCATTCGCTTAGCGCGCGAAATGCTTTTTCATCTTTTCCTATTTTTAGTTTATCAATTTCCTGTATTTCACAATCAGAAATAGAAAGAAGCTTAGCTAGACGAAACCATTGGTCTTTCTTCAGTTTGTTCGCCAAACGACGTAAGTCTCTATCGGTGATGTACTCTAAATGACGAATTGATTCACATAACAAAGATTCAACACTGCAGAAATTTGATTTGTATTTTACCTTGATCCGTCGTTTCTGGTGTACGATAGATGTTGTTATTTTCAATGATTATATCCGAAGATCTATCAAAGTTTGCTGTCACAGATTCCTCATTTGGTAATTTTTCATGTTCATTACTTGTTTTCCAAATCTTTATTTCATTTTCCAGTTGTTTCCGTTCAATTTCTATCTCTTCTATTTGTATCTGTAATTCTTCTATCTATAACATACAACCGTTGCAGGTCTACTTACATAAAAATTGTAGATTTCCCATGGTTAATATACGCACTACACGTGAGGCGACTTGTCCAACGTTAATAAACAAACCTTAGTAACATCTGAATCATGCAAACCTGGTTACGACTTGCACATCATTTGATATATAATAAATAGCTCTGTATAAAATATTCATTTAACTTACAAGACTGTGAAGTTCAGATTCTTTTTCATGCCATTCTTCTTTCTGCTTCCGAAATTCCTCTGACATTTCACTTTGAATAGTATCACATTCCTGTCTGCAGATAAACATGGAAATGGTTATTTTTACATTTCCCCACAACAGTGTTATACTTTTACGCTATTAGTATCTCAAAAAAAGTAGCTATATATACTGACGATAAGGTATAAAAATAAGAAAGAAAGTTACCTTAATCTTTGAGTCCACTTGTTTTCTGTGTTTTCCAGCTCTTTCCTTAGATTGTTGGAGTAACTTTCATGAAAACGATCAATTTCGTCCTGAAAAATACAACATAAGAATGATTTCTTCCAAGTGTTTTGGGGACTATCTTCATTTCATCAGTGTTGGAAAAACACCTCACCTGAAGTAAACGTATTCTTTTTTCTGCCTTATTTAACTTTTCTTTTACAGCACAACTTTCGTCATCTTTTTCCATGTTCGTTGATTCTGGTTTACGTTCAATGTTCCTGTCCTTAACAGAAGTGTTGCTCGACTCATTAAAACAACTGAAATCTTTTTCTTTTGTCGTGGATACGCGTGTTTTTTGCAATTCTGTTAGTAACTCTTCTTTTTCGATGATTTCTTGTTCTTTATTCTTATTTTTAACTACTTCGTTTTGCAACTTACGCCACAAATCTTTGCAATCATTCTCTAATTGAAAAACACGTTTTTTCAAATATTTCTTTGAGTTCTCTTTTAATTTAGACGGACTCTTCTCGCTATAAAACTCTTCTAACTTCATCTTAGATTCGCTATCCGGTAAATTGCCATTTGTCAACATGTCTAGTTTGAGTTTCTCGTCTTCGATTTGCTCGACGAGTTTTTCATTTTTACTTACCAACAGAACATTATCTTCCTCTAACTTTCTTAAAGCAGCTAGTTCTCTTTCAAGCTCTTTTGCTCTTAACAAAAACAGTCCACAATTTCTACATCTTTCTTCCTGTGGAATGTCTTTGTCTTGTTCTTCTTCTTGTTCTTGGTTTAATAGCATTTTGAAATTTTCATTGTGTATGTCCTCATGTTTCTTTTCTCCATGTCCAGTTGCTCTTCCAAATATTTGCATTTTTCTACAAGATCAGGATAATTTACTATTTGTTCTTCAAGACTTGTAATGATTTCGTTCAGCTCAGAAGAGTTTTCTTTAAGTTTCTTAATCTCTGCGTTCTTTTCCTTCACAATTGCTAACTTTTCTTGTTCGTTTAAGTTAGAGAGCGAGTGCAGTTGTTGAGATAATGTCATTGCCAAGTTTCGTTCCACTTCTTGCAGCTCATGTTCGTGTAAACGTCTCAGTTTATCAAGTTCTTTTGAACCAGCTTCGTAATTTTTTTTATGTTGATCATTCGTTAACGACATTAGTGTATTGATTTGAGATTTTAAGTTTTGATTTTGTCTTTCAGCAGAGAGAAGCCTATCCTCATAGTACAACCTGAGTTTCTGTTGTTCACCCAAGAAATAACTTTCCAATTCTTCAAGCTCTTTTTCATACTTAATCATTATTACTGTTTTGTCATTTTTCATCATGTTGACCTCCTGACAACGAGTAAATTAAAAGTCAAAACATCTCCCTGGTGTTTTTTCTTGAAATTCTCAAGTAAAGGGACTATGAAGTGCTTACATGTTATAAGAATATTTATATATATAACGATCCTTCTCATCCGGATCAATTTAATCATGGAATAGATTATACGAACACAACAAGCAAGCATAATTTGAAACACAATCTAACCGATGCAAGTTAGGTGAAATGCAAAAGTCCTAGAGCTATTGCTTCTTATTGATTTGAAATTAATTATACTGTTTGTCTATTTCCTATTACGCTTGAGCGCTTTTTAACTTATTTGCTAGATGTTTCCAACATTCCCTGGAACAGATGAATATCTAGAAATAATAAACCAAATTACTCATCTTTGTCTAGATCATGATATAAGTACTTACACGTTCAAGTTGAAGTACGTCGCTTTCACATTGACCAAGTTCAGGAATAATAAGTTCTTTATCTTCGTGAACAATGGTGCTTTTCTCTAGATCTTTATTAACTTTTATCTTTAGTAATTCTTCAAGATCTTCTTCATCAACAATGTTGTCGTTAGAACTCATTTGTGCTTTCATCTTCTGCTTAAGTTCACGTAGTTCTCTTGTGTATTCTTTCCGAAGTTGCTTATTCTGTTCGTCGAGATGTTTACGATCTTTGTATAATCTTTCGTTCACCATTATCAATGTTTTATTAGCTTTCATAAGTTTTCTACTAAGTTGTCGCAGCTGTCTGATATCCATATTTCGAAGTATATAGTTGTCAAAATAATTGTATTCGAATGATCTTTACTGAAATCTTTTTCCTATCGCGTTGCTGTTATTTTCTTCTGATATTATAAACATAGAAACATCATTTCATGTTATATAATATTATTACACTGTAGTCGATGGAATGTTGCTATTGTGCTATTTGAATGTTGTGTTTTAGTGCACACCAAATTTGCATTCATTACATAAATGCAAATATCTTTAAAATCATTTAAAGTTTAATGAAGCATTAAAAATTAAATACAATACGAGCTCTTCTTACACCTTCAAAGTATAAAAGGGGGCTCTCTTGAAATTTCAATTTCATATTCGTTTATTTACGTAATTAAAATGAAATAAATATTCATCTCTCAAGAATTTTACCAATCAAAAAATTGTCTCTTTGATCAAAAATGCATAAGTGACAAATGAATACAAAACTTTTCGTGGGTTTTTAAACGTGACAAAGTCAAGAGCGTCACGAAACCCTTTTTTGAGGATGAAGTGAAACACGAAATGTTTTTAACGTTGTACTTGGTATCTGATATTATTGGAACTGCATCTCATGAAAATAAAATGTTGATACATGAGTAGTGTATTAAAGTATTTTGACCACGAAATTTGTTTGTGTTGGAGTTTCGTTCAGAGCAGATAGACATGCAGGGTCCTTAGATGTGTACTCGAGTTGGCGTGCCGAAGTTGTTTGTTGTTATAGTTTCTTTGACTGGAATGCTAATTCCTTAGCGCGTGTTTTCTCATTGATTTTGCATTTCCTCATCAAAATAATGATGTGTTAATTATGACTATAATGAATAGACAGTTTGACTGTGACAACATAAATAATACATACTTAACAACATGTATTTATTTTACATTGACGTAGTTCGTCCAGATTATTGAATGCCTAAGAACCGTTGGTGTTGGTGTTGATTGACGTTTTGACATCCTTAGCTGTAGCCATCTTCAGAGTCAAGATCTCCACCAACATGTAACGATCGATACTCTCATTTTCAAACTACTCATTTTATTACTTTTATTCATTTGTGAAATTATAGAAAACATGACCATTTCGCTGATCTTTTACAAGAATAACTTTATATTCTTTAGTGTGTTGTTTGTCAAGATTTATATTTAAATAGTTCAATAATATGTCATGCTTCCTAAGAACAGACCAGAGGGGACAAGTTAAAGAACATGGCCAGGGTTGAACATTGATATAAGGTAAGAATATAGCGTTAGTCAATCAATCAAAGAACATATCATTAAATGAAAAAGTGATTTGGACTTGAATACTAAGTATTTACAAACATGGCATAACTTTGCATGCATTAAAAATCTCTTCTTGAAAAAAATAATACGGAAATCATTAAAAAGTTGTTCACTTTGTCATATTTAAATCTACAGTAAAAAGCACCGAGTATTTATTAATAAATTCAATTTAACGAAACATTTCTATGGTCAATCTAATACAAAATTTTGTACTAGCTATGACCCTATGATCATAATCAAGAATGGAATATCAACAAAGCTGTTATTCACGTGTAAATATTACTAAAACTGAATTTTTTTAATTGTTTAATTACGTTATGTTGGCCCGTTGCGACAACATGGAACAAATCCTTATCTCTGGGAATAGTATAAATATTTCTATTTCTATTTGTAGGTAAATTTATTTCATAGATTGGTATAAAAAGAATTATCGCTAATCCTCCATTATTTTTCGTCTCCTTTCGCCCTATTCCAGAGTTCTTGAATCTCTCTCTCTATTCGGTGATATTTGGCTGAGAATTCTGTATCCTCTTTCGAAAGATTTAGATCGTCCAGATCTTCTTCTGATATTTTCTGATCGTTGATTGTCGCTGGAGATTCTGGGACATCATACATGATATGCAGAGAGTTATTTGAACTGTCTTCTGTATCCTGTGGAGATCTTAGTTCACAGTTCATCTCATTGTCATGTTTTATTTTGTCGATATTGGAACCTTTTCCATTATCTGTTTCGTCATGATGTCCATCATTAACCATATTCATCCCGAGACCTCTCGTAGTCCTCAAGTTTCTCTTTCAAAGCTTTATTCTCTTCCATTACTGTTCGCAGCTTTTTATGCGATATCTCGAGTTTCTCCTGTAAATGAAAAAACATTATTACTATTTTAATGAATTAAAGATCACTTCAATTTGCGTTTATTTTGAGATTTCAGCTCAAACCGTAAAAACACAAAACTTCAGAAAACGTTGCTTCTATGTCTCGTAAATATTATTGTAAAAGTAGTTTGAAAAACCTGTAAATCTGCAATGTCTTCTTCCATCTCGTCAATGTCGTTTTCTCTTTCAATTCCATCGTGTTCTAGTTCGACCAATTGTTCCTCCAAAGCCTTGCATCTTCTTTCCAATGTCTTTTTATGTTGCCCAATGCGTTCCATTTCCTCAAGATCTTCAAGTTGTGACATCACGGTCGTGTTCAGTCGCTGAATCTCGCTTCTATAAATCTCCAATTCTTTCGACGATACTTCTACCTTTTCCTGAAGATCTTTTACATACTTTTGATCATCATTGCTTTGTATTTGCATGATCTTGTCATTTTGCTTCCCTAGTTCTTCTTCCATTTCCTCCAATAGCATAGACCTTCTTTTCATCACCAAATTCTCTGATTTTAATACTTCATTAACTTCGCGTAGTTGAGTTAGCTGTTTCTCTACTTTTTTGCATTGTGAGTCACTCATTTGTCGTTCTTTTTCAAGATGTAAAACTTTTTCTTCCAAAAAGTCATAAGATGCAGCTTTCTCACGAGCGTTTTCATATTCTTTGTTGAGCTCTTTGAGCTTTTTGTCTTTTTGTCGATACTTATCTTCGATATATTGTTTTTCACTCTCAAGTCTAGCCAATCGCTGTGTTGCTTCTTGATTGGCAATATTTCGATCTTCCAATATTTTATTCCTTTTCTCCAGTCTTTTTAAGTTTTCATCTTTTTCTTTGTTTTCTATTTTCAACAAACTTAGTTCTTGCTCAAGTCTTTTACATTTTTGTGAAATTTCTTTCAAACGCGTATTTAAATCATCCTTTTCGCCGCTGAGCTTCAAGATGACTTCGCTCGCCTTTTTCTGTTCGTTCTGCATCGTTTTAATTTTATTTGTTTCATGTTCACTTCTTGTTTCTAAATAATAACAGTTTTTTTTTTCATCAAAAGTTTTCAACTTCCATGTCATATGAATCGTTGTAACCGTACCTTGAGGATACTTTACATGTGTTTCAAATTTCATTTGTTCAGAAGTAATTATACTTGAGCTGATGAGTCCCTAAAAAAATTTCAAATGCTGTTACTATCGAGATCAGACTAAACGAATACATGATTCAAGAGAACGAACAAAACCTTTTGATGTGCGTGATATTTTTTCAATCTCTCCGTGGAGATTTTTAGTTCTTTTGATCTTTCGTCGTTTTTTGCTGCCTGTGAAAAATAATAAAAAAATCATCAAGTTCAATAACCGTACAGGATGAAAATTTAGAAATTCTGAATATACCAATGATAAAAACTGTTAAACTAAAAGCATTAAATGTATTTTTGATGCAAAGCAAATATCATTTATAAAATATTATTGTTTACCTCAATCCACGGATGTTGAAATGCTTCTTTAATTTTCATCCTTTTGCTAAAATTTACAAAGTTCATGTTTATTGATGCAAGTTGTAAATAAAAATGTTTAAAGTCTGTGATCACTTACCTGGGATCTTTGAAATTAATTTGCAAAGAAAATCCTTTGCTTCATAACTGACGTCTCTGAAAAAAATTTCTGGCATTTTCCATAATCCTTGATTGACGTTCGATATTGTAATATCATGGTTTTCGTTCCAAAATGGCGACATGCCAGTCAAACTGAAAATATGAATTTTTAAAATGTTTGAGACGAAAATTTTCTAAAAAATATTTCTTTGATTAAACGTGGTTTCCTTGATAATACGTACATTAAGTAAGCTATTACTCCGATGCTCCTGAAAACAAGTAGAAATATAGTCATGTCAGTTTTTGGTTCATTCAGCTGTTTTATCAATCTAATTTGTTTCCATTCTTACGTACCACATATCTGTTGCAGGCGAAATTAATTCATAATTCACAACTTCAGGTGCTAGAAAAATTACACAGACTATATGTTTCCTTCACTGATAAAACAGTTTCCATTGATAAAATACTATTGATTATGTTGTTTATACACGTTACCTGCAAACTCGGGCGTTCCAAACAAAATCTTGAGATCTTTGTCAGCGTTAAGCCTTCTTGCTAATCCAAAGTCAACAAGTTTGATGGTAGTGCTCTCTTTTGTCGTGAACATGATGTTTTGGGGCTGAAATAAAACAGTAAAAATAGTTCAATGAAGTAATAAGTTTCGGTGCAGACAATTTTTCTTATTCAATAAATGTCTTCATGGCGGGGTTAGGGTTATATTCATTCAAATTGTGTACCTTCAAATCAAGATTGACAATATTGGCATCATGCATATCTTTGACCGCTTCTAATATCTGCCAAACGTATCGAGTGATTTCGTATTCCGAGAGAAATGGTTTTTCACACAGCCTTTCCAGAAGGTGACCACCACGCATACTTAATTAATCAAAGATAAAGTCAAATTTTATGCACAATAGTTTCTAAATATATGTCAATGTATGAATTACAATAAGACTGAAAGCAAATGATTTGATCAATTTCTTTACTTACAGCTCTAAAACAAGCATCAACTTTCTAGGTTCCTCAAAAGCGTCATGAAGACAAATAAAGAATTTTCGATGACGCAAACGATTCATGATGTCAATCTCATGTTGAAACTGATCTCGTTGACTTTTTCTCACTTTGATATATTTAAGAGCGTATTTAAATCCAGTTTCTTGTGGATGGCGAGATTTACGACAGCAAAACGCCCTCTATATATAGTCAATATTTAGAAAAAACAGTCTACACCGTAAATAAGTGGTTAAATAATGTTCATATTAACACTTTGTCAATTGGAAATAATCATTATAAAATCTACATGAATAACAAATGGTGAAGTAGTTATATTTGCAGATGGAAAATTCAGTTAATTCAGTTCTCTTACTTTCCAATTTCTTCCTTGATATCGTAGTACATTTTTACGCTATCTTGACGTAGTGACACGTGATCGTCTTCGTAGTGACTAATGACACGTGATCATCCTCGTACTGATTTTCTTCCACTTGAGTCTTCGAATTTATCTCAAGTGTATTATTTTTCTGTCTTTCTTCATAAACTATTTAAAAAAGAAAAGAAACAACAATGGTTTTTCTTCTTGTACGTTCCTTATCCATCTTTGGATCTCTTACCTTTGATATGGAGACAAGCAGTGCATGAAATACTTTGAGGGAATTCCTTATGACACATTTATACACTCCTCTTTTGTCAACATTTACAGATCTTATCAGCAGAGAGAACACATTGTTTGTTTCATCTTTGCAAAATTTTATCGAGCTATTTTCCTGTAACAAGTTTTCTTCGTGATACCATTGTACAACTGGCAGTGGTCGTCCACTGATCTCTACATCAAACTGGACACATTTGCCTTCTTCCACCGTGATGTCATGTATTTCCCTGATGAAACTTGGTGAAACTAAACAGAAATTGTAAATATCTTGCTTGAGTAAACTGATATCAATGGATACAGGCTTCAATAGAGATTCAATTAGTGATCCATTGTGAAAATAAGAATTTATTTTTTTACCTTGAACTTCAAGTTTTGAACTAGAAGTCGTCTTTCCATGCTCATTATGTATCACACAGGAATAATCACCCTCGTCGTGAACTTTGCATTGAATGATAGAAAGAGTGTGTTCATTTCCTTCATTATATATTTTGATGTTTTCGTCATCATTCGTCAACTTTTTGTCACGTTTGTACCACGTGACGGTTGGTAATGGATTACCATTAATTTTGCAAGTCATAAGGGCAGATGTTCCTTTAGGAACTTTATAGAGTGGGGATAAAGCTTGAAGAAACTCGGCTTTTGCTGAAACAGAAAGATATATATTATAAATCACACATTTTATCATGGATACATCATACTGCGTTTATTTGCACTGTGAATATTAACTTTGATGATAATTGATAAGAAATAAGAACCTGGAATATCCGGACCTTCTGAAGGTCTCTGTTCACTGTTGTTGGTCAAACCTGGACTTAAAAACTCCAAGATGTCCTTATTTCCCTTGAATAGTCCTTCTAAAACCTCCTTATCATCAACATCGTTCTCATTTACTGTTTCAGTAGATCCCATTTCACTGAAACAAACAAAAAACTTCTGATTCTATTCGTTCCAAATATTATTGAATATTGCTAAGACGCTTTTTGAGTCGGTCTCTTTCTTTTCATTTCTTTTCAACGTGTATATTATGAAAATTATAAAAATTCAACCATTGATACCTTTCTTCGTTATCACTCTCTAAAATCATCATGGCGTTTATTAAACTGCCCTTCGTCAATGGAAAAAACTGACGGCACTGATCTGCTCAAATCTCGATTTCTATCAGATAGTGGTCTTGGTTTAGCACTGAATGTGGCTTCCACATTAAGTTTAAGAACTGATTGACTCTTTGTTTTTGCACCAATGTTACTGAGGGAGTTTATCGATGAAAACTTATGAACAGCACGAACAGCGTTCACTGATTTCTGGCAAAAGACAAAAGACTGAATATTTATAATAATGTTCGTTGATTCAAAAATGCTTTTTGATCTGTTGAAGATGATCAAGTTTCTATGTCATTTTGTTTGATTATCATAAGCATTAAGAAACAAATGAAAACAGCACATTGACCAAAAGAAGTAGTAGTAAAATAGTAAAGAACATTATGCAAACCTGCCATTTTTTTTGGACAATGAACTTTCTAAGATTTTCCGTTGGTATCCGACCTTTTCCTTTATTTTTCTGTAAAAATATGGCCATAGACCCCATAGTTAGTTGATAAGATTCATGAAAATAATTCCTATCCATTATAAGATACCTTGATCCACTCATGTTTTAAACATTCTTCGGCTGTCTTTCGTTTTCTTCCATACAGAAAAAGAAAGGAAATTGAGCGATATTTTTATTGCCAAACAATTATTATTAAGTTCACGTTCATTATTGTTCTTACCGTGGCGATTTCTGTAGTAATTTTTCAATGAAATCTTTCACTTCGTGACCAACGTTCATAAATGCTTCGTCTTCAAAATCGTACGTTCCCGCAGTTACGTTGGTTAAAGTATCGTTATCATCATCACCAAGGAAAGGTGAGAGACCGCTGACACTAGTTAACATGTATACAATGTCCATAGTTATGACAGAAAATGAGGGAATATTTCAGATAGTAAATCGACTAACTTACAGAATGTATGCTATTACACCCACACTCCTAAAGGAAATATTAAAAGCTATATTTTCATACTTTGAAATTTTATTTTTGCAAGACATCTACAAAATTACGTAATACCAACCACATGTCACTGGCCAAATGGATTGGGTCATAATTGATGATTTCTGGAGCTTAAATGAAATAAAATGATAAATTTAGTTGATCACCTAAGTAACTGATATTGCAAGTCAAAATTTATGTCAAAATACTGAAATATAGTCATTTTACAAAAAGACAAGTTCTAAATGATGTTAATATACTATACAGACCTACAAATTCTGGTGTTCCCTGCATGGTTTTAACAATTGTTCCTGGTTTTAACTCTTTTGCCAAACCAAAATCGATTAATTTAATATTCCAAGAGTATTTGCTGACACACACTATATTTTCAGGCTGAAATGAAAAATCAACTTTATCAAGTAAAAAATACATAAACTTGTAACTTTTTCTCAACTGTAATCTGAAAACTGATAACTGAAATATCCCGTCCCTAAAAGCTTTAGGTGTTATTATCTGGCCTGCAGGTTTAAGATCCAGGTGCGCAATGCTTTATGGGGGTGTGAAGGTGCGCGCGCACATTAAAAAATAAACTAATTTGAAAAATTTTGTTGGACTATGCTGTAGTTTTTCTTTTGTATGAATAATAAGTAAAAATACATGCGAAAATAAAAACGTCTAAATGCAGGGAGTGTGGATAACCTATTGACGGGACACGTAAGTTTTTAAAGAATAATACCTTTAAATCTAGATGAACGATATTCATTCTGTGTATGTATTGAAGGCCTTCCAACAATTGTCTCATATAATGTACACATTCCTTCTCAGTTACCGTTTCTTCACTGGCAATTCGTTCAAATAACTCACCACCGGTAACGCTAAATTGCATAAATAGTTAAATTACTAAATACTTGTATTGTGTTTATTAAATAATCGATATTCAACAACGTTTCGACTCACAATTAAATATTAAATAATGAAAATACAAAAAAAATTTTTCGACTCACAATTCCATCACAAGAATATAACTTTTTGATGTTTCATAAACATTGTGTAACTTTATGACACGTTTACTATCCAGTTTTTCCATGATTTTGATCTCTTCCAAAACATTGTTTTTTGTTTTTTCATTAATTTTTATCCATTTTGCAGCAAACTGCTCATTTGTTGATATTCTTTTAATTCTCTTGACGAATCCAAATTTTCCTCTGGAATTGTGATCATAAAAGTTGTTTGCAGGAAACATATTCAGTTAAAATAATGACATTAATCTTACTGACCGTCCAAGTTCTTCACATATTGTGTAGTCATCTTCCAAATTTGACTGCCTTATTACAATTGGTGGTCGAGTTGTGGGACCTTTTACATTAAAGATGAAAGTCAATAGACATTTGATGCTGTTCAATTTCTTATAAACTTACATATGTCTACATCTTCAAATATTTTTTTCTTTATAATATTTGCCATTTTATGAAACATACAACATGTTTTGATGTAAGAGAGTTTATGCTAAACACTTTGAATTTTTGATGGAAATGAGAGAAACAAAACAGACAAAGTTTTGCTTTGGCCAGAAGTTTCTTTCTTGTGTGATGAGTTAATTTATTGTTGAGACATAAGGAAAGATGACCATTACACAAATTGTTTGTGCAAATGAAAATATAAGAATGTGCTTTTTTAGCGTTCCGTAATACAACTGAAATTTTTACATTTGCATTGATTATTGAAAGAACTAATGTCATTTTACAAACGTGGTCTTTCGGTTTTTGTTCATTAATATCTTAAATGAAAATCATATAAAGAAAGAAATCTTTCATTATATACATTCAATCAGAGTGCATAACAATCAAAATAACGATGTATCATAGCTATCGTTTTATCGATTTCTGTCGTGAAATTTGACTTAGATTTTCACGAGGATCGACATTTTTATGATTTACGAAAATGATAAGTATATCAAACCTGTAGCATTAAAATGATCCTCCTAGGAAGTAAGAAATATTGCCGTTTGTATTTGTAAACACATGAGATAAAACTCTATGTTTCTACTTGTTCCGCTCAATTGACTTCAAATTTTTTTTCAAAATTAGCTAGTATGTTACGTACGTTAATGTTATTGTAAAACTTGTTAAATATTCTTTACCTTAGTTTCAAATGTTGTTTATATGTTAGAAATAAGTGAAAGTTTATTTGCTTCTTTAGGTTTTCATACTTGAAATGTTTATCTTTTAAGGTTTTAATTCTAGAATGTTCTTCTTGCCATGCTTTACATTCGCAATATTTAAGTGATAATCGATAAAAATGTTGGTAATTTCATTAATGGTGCATTTAACATGATAAATACCATTTATGCATTTTTATTTAACTTATATAGCTTTCTCGAACATTGGCGAATATTTCATGTGTAGCTTTTGATATTGCGTTATTTAATATTACTCTGTTCATCTCAACTGTTTAGCAAGTTTTATCAAAACTCGCATAAGGCAGTTCTCATTGTACAAAAGATTATCGAGAACCATGAGTTTTAATCAAATACTATTCAATGTTTAAGTGTATTTGAACAAATCATTATACTCAGAACTTAAATTTCTTTTAGATATACAGAATATATGATACTTCCAACATCACAATGATCTTTGAAATTGAGCTCTTATATAAAAATTGATGATGAATTATAGATATTTTGGTATATGCTTAATCAAACTCTTTTATCTTGTATACGTCGATTGTTTATAACGATACAAATGTCTATTATTTCATCCGTAACATTCAACTAAACTCTCAACTTACCGAACTAAATTTCTTTCTTATATATTTTGCTACCCGTCTCATACTCCCGGTTTTTTTGGACCTTTCGAAGCTATTTGAAGTCAACATCATTATATGTTCGTATTGAGTTGCTTAAAATAAAGAACTTCTTTTTTCTAAATTCTTTCTCATGGTTTGGTGTCTTTCACAATATTGCTCTTCGGCGATAAAATTCTTGTCGTTTAGCAAAATCAGTAATGCATATAAATTTTTTGTTCTCATGCAGATATCACATAATAGCTACGGTATAAAATTTAAATTCCTCAAAATTTTAATAAAGTATTTGGTATTATTTAAATGTCTATTTTCGCCTCGTGTGCACATTTTGGTTGGAATTTTTGTTTATTTCTGGTTTTTTTTGCATGTATTCATTATTTATAACTATAGTGATACAGAATTCGACAATTGAATCGTCTTTTTTACAACGATTTTTGATAAACTAAACGTTGGTGTGTTTAAGTTCCTGTCTTTTATAAAATTGTATTTTAACTATGATATTGTCAGTAGAATATTTTTTTTGTAAAATTTACCTTTTCATTATTCATCATTATTTTTTGATCTATATTTCATAATCTTCCTCTGTTAAAGTGAATGCTTTTCTTTCTTTTGTTAAAATCTCGTTCTTTAATAGTTTCTCTCTATGTAACGAAAGTTTTGCATGTTTACGTTACATGTGATCCACTCAAATCTTTTGTAAAAAAGTTCCATCGTTAAATCTGCATTTCTCCTATGCCTATCTCGCTCCGCGCGGTACATCATCTAACCTACAAGATTTTTGACGATGTATGTTAAATTGTTAAGGGGGAAATGGCAAAACACTTTTGCTTTTTAATATCATCACGCCAAATATTAATTTTACTTTCATGTAATATTGATAAGTTTTATTTTTCAATTTCGATGTACGTCTTTGCTCAGAAGCAGGATTGTATTTGTATTTTCATTAAACCTGTTTATAAGAGCATCAAATAAAACTCAAAGAAGGCAGTTATATATTTGTATTTTGATAAGGCCTATGGTTAAACAAGCTACCATTGTTAAATGACTACACACGCTATCAATGACTTGGATCTTCCTGCAAACAACTTTATGATATTTCAGAATAATCCTTGTATTCCTACTTCAGAATTTAGAAATAGTATAGTATGACACAGTTGGATACCAGGCTAAGTCTTAAACTCTGTTTTTTTAAACTTTTTCACAAGTTTTATAAGACCTTAATTCTTTCTCGTAATTACATCTTTTACCTACCTAAACGGATTAAGTTCTTACGTCTGTCTTGTTATAATATCTAAAACGAAGCTTAAAATTGAAACTTTTCATCTGTTTATTAACTCTCAAGGTTTAGGTTCTTAAAACTTGCGAAATAGTATACTTAGCCAATTAAGTTTTGCCCTTTTGCACATTTAGGTATAAAATTTGTTAATGGGTTATAGATACTTGTTCTTTGGCTGATTAATTTTTTTATTACATATAGTTGAATAAAATAAGCAGGTCTTTTTATTCACACTGTTTTTTTTCAAATAAATGACTTTGAAAGACACGTCTTCATGTCAAATTATCCAAACTGCTAAAGAACCAAGCATGAACACTTTAGCTGTTACGATTTTATTTTCTTCTATAAGGATTAAGATGTTAACATTTGTGTATCTGTTTTCAAACTATTCTTTGCTACATAGAGGGGATTTTACATTGAAAGTTTAAAATATTTTAAATACCTTTAATAATTTCGCTTTATTGATGGTACAATGCCTGCATGCTTTGGTATTCGTTTGGATGATTTGATCTTCCGGTGTTTAAAATTTTTTTGCCAGAACGCTTGTTTGATGATGAAAATCCTTAACGTCAAAGATTCATAATTTGACAAGGAAAGAACGACAGTTCAAGCGAGCTGTTTTATACGTGTATCAAAGTGATGTAACGTCACGCATTTGTTGATTTATATATTCGTGTAAATTTTCTTAACATCTCGCTACCGATGAATTAAATTTTTAAATCTTTGGAAACTTAATCCAATCTTGAATTAATCTTGGTTATATTGGTTGTACAAATACATTTATTTCATCGACAAGTTTTTCTGTACTATAGGGCAGCTTGAGAAAGGTTCTTGTCAAAGTATTCCTCGTTTTATTGCCGTGGATAGTTTGAAAACTCATTCTCAAAGCCATAGGAAAATCAGAAACGAGTATAGTCAAAAACAAATTAGCTCAAGTTGAAAAGTCAGTAACTTTGTTTACACTTCCTTGTTTGTCTTTCATGGATTTTAGAAATCAATACTTCATGCGTGTGGGAGGACACGTGTTTTCCACACTTACGTGTTTTTCTATGCAACGTTTCTTGACAGCAATGTTATGTTTCTTTTAGTTATGGTTACGTGTGAATAATTCTTGTCTCTGTACCCATATCAATGTAATATATTTTTTTCATCTGATTTATTTGTCCTTGGTCTTGAATGTAATCGTTGCATGCGAGATCTTGCTTGTCTGACTATATTACAAAATAACATCACGTAGCGTTTGTATGTTAAAATCTACGAATGACGAAATCAACGTCATGTTGCAAGGGAAACGTAAATATGTAAGCTGATAATAAGTTGATTACTATAGCACTTTAATCTTATGTTTTTCTTCTCGTATATGATCATGCCTTTTTAAGATAAAATTTTTTTTACCAGTTCCCTTACGAAGTATTTAATTATTTATTTTAGTACATTTTCTTGGCATTAATGATTGTAAATTACCGTCTTTAGAACGTGTAATTTATGTTTCCTGTACAGTATGTACCCACATTAAATGAATAAATAAAGCGTCCTACGCTGAAAAAAGTTTGATCCCGTTAACTGCTAGAGTTTAAAAATCCTCCAATTTAAAAAATTATCGAGTAGATCTACGAAGTATAAACTAAGGTAATGTGTAGTTAAGGCTACTTCAAGTATAAATTATTGTTTAGGGTGGGGGAAGGTTTAGGTATTATGAAAGAATTTCAATAAAATGTTCATTTTTACCACTGTTTTTTCACTAGCAATAAATTGTTTGTATTGTCAACGAAAATACAGTCGTCATTATTTTTTATTCTAGATAAGTATCTACATACTTAAAGTAGAAACACTTGCGTAACATTGTATGGGGATACGTAGACGAACAGGAGTCATAAAGAAAAACAGTGAGAACAAAGCCTTTATGAAGAACAGAGAATATCGTTATAAGGTGAACAAACAACTTTGAAATGCGGATGTATTATACTCAGTACGTAAGAAAGATAATTATAAATATATACATCGTGTTATAACGACATGTGATAATTGTCCCCGTTCATACATATTATTTATCGGTTTAACAATATCGTAAGTGTTTATTCGCATGCACGTCATTTCCAGAAACATTTAACAATTTTACATGTTAATTAAAGTTTAGTTAAACATATATAAATCATCGGTTCGTGCTAGAATAGTAATAGTTATATGTAACATCGCTGTCTACACGTTCCTTTTCGCATTCGTATCAAATATAGTGAGAAGTTCACACGAGATCAAGTATCTACGAAGAGTGTTGAATCTGTTGCAAAGATTGTCTTTTTTGAAAGGTAAACATACAAAGGAAAACATCATTTGAGAAATATTATATCGTTTAAATTATCGTGTATAGAATTATCCATATTGGTGATCTTCACAATTGTCTTCCTCATATATTTAGTACACTGTTAATATGTATACTTGAGAGTAACCATTTTAGTATATCACACAAACTTTACTTTTTTTCTTATAAAAGATACCGCTACTTTATTCTTGTTGATATATTCCTCCTCCGTTTAAAGATTTTCAGTAACTACGTGGTAGACAGCGGTAACAACATAGTGATTAATCGTTTTCCTGACAACGACAGCTAATACGACAACAAAGATAATTTTACTTGTTTTATTATATTTCATGGCGAACTCTTGTTGGTAAAACCTAGTGTAAATCTTGTGAGGTACGGCTCTATGCGATTGTCTTTTCCTTGACAAGAGTTTCTGGTAAGGAATGTTTATTTTTGTTGTCGTATTCGCAGAACTCTACACATACGATGTATTGTAAATTAAACGATGTTATAAAATCATGTCTGTTATTAATATTTTTTATGATTCGGTCTTAAAAATTTTTTGTAGTCGAGATCTGCTTATGTTTCGTCAACTATGCGTCATATGTTTTGAGGAAATTTGTATTTTATATACACATATGAAGATGGTTTTATTTTTAGAGAAGTTACATCAAAAAAAGTATCGGGAAAGTTTGAAAAATATTTTTTCATTCGTAACATGCATAAAACTATAGATTTATGATTGTTCCAATTTTCTTTTTTAACGAATGTTTGTTCTTCCAACTTCTTGCGATTTAATTTCACTAATCAATATGTGGTTTAAGAGAATTTCTTAAGATGTATAGTTAAAGGAAAGAAGTAAATAAGTAATAAGATGCGGTAAAGACTTTATTGCTGTTTGGGATAATTGAATACCACCTGTGAAATAGGGATAATTAAATACCGCTGCGTAATGTTAAGGAAAGCTCTTCTCTGTCTATAATTTGAAGAATGATAAGGAGCTGGCTATTTTTGATTTGGCTACGAGTTCTTGCTGAGTCTTTTCACCTCTTGCGATAGAACATTGTAAAACATACGAAATATCATCTCTCACAATGTTTTTTTACCGACTAGTAGTTGAAATATTACAACCCTGGTGTCCGTGTAGCATATGTTTTTCTTTACTATTTACATTCGTATTTTTTCACATTTACGTATTTTTATATAAAATTCAGAAATAACTTGTTTGGCAACCCACAAGCCGACCGATAGATTGCTTAAGGGTTTTCTCTTTTGAACAAGAACCGATTAAAAAATAACACAGCATTATGAGATCAGCGAAAACAATACACCACTTGAACTCTGTTTATATACATATGCATGAAGTTATGAATAGATTGCACTTTACTTAATGTCGACTTTCTATTTGCTCCTTGCTTATTATTGACCATTAGTCATTCAAGATGGTCAACAGGTGTTCTTCTGAGATGTTATGTATATATCCAGTGTTGTCATAATTTTCTGTCTTTATTTAACGCGACTGAAGCCGTAGCCCACTTACAAAAGTGTAAAGAATTTTTCATCTTTATTACAGATATATAAGTAAAAATTTGCCGAACGGTGAATTAAAATTGCTGGCGCGAACACATCATAACTGTATGACGAAGAAGTTACAAAGGAAGGTAAAAAAATCGACTTTTTGTAAACATGCATGCTCGATAGCCAAGAAACATAATGCTAAATGTTTCACACAATTTATACAGAGGTGTGTTCATTCTTTTCGATCTTTTACAATGTTTATAACGTGTATTCCTATTCAATTGTCAAACAAAGCATTACATTGAGGAAGTTGAGTTTTTCAGAAAAAAAATATGCGTTCAAACCTTCAGAATTTGCTGATACATCCAAGAATTGTGATGATTGAATTATAGCTAAGTTAGTCAATTGCTTCGAAAGAAAGTAAATGTAAATGACTTGTTTAACTTCTTCAAATGTATCTTGAAAATATCAGGGTATATTTTTAATGGAAAAGTTGTGTTCAAATACACTTATAGCCTTATTAACTCGCAACATCATGGGCCATAACCTTAGCACACAAGGGAGAAAATTACCTTATCTGTTTTGCGAAACGCAAAACCTATCCTCTTATAAATAAAGACAGTAAGGCGTCGCACCCTCAGCATACAACGGAACTGCAAATCTTTGGAGGTGAAGCACCCGAGCACCAGGCCCACGCAAACGCGCCTTCTCGCCGGGCCCACCCGAAAGGATCGTCAAATAAAACGAATGAAGAGCAAGAGCAGATGTGTATTATTATTATGACGTCACATACATCTAATTATTTATAATCGAGGGATGATATCGCAAATTTATACTTATAGTATATATAGTAGGGAATAATGGCTGTGTCCGGCTATGACTGGCCAAATATCATACTACATAGCAGCGAGTTTAAATATTTACAACTGATGATAATTTGCCTTTTCTCAAGTTAGATGTTACCATCTTTGGGCAGCTTTATAATGGGATGTATTGGCTCAAGACATGAAGACAGAGCAAACACAACAACATCACATGAGGAGGCAACAACAACACCGGCAAGAACGGCGAACAGCAACGTTGTATCGTTTAAAGAAGAAACTGCCAATGAAGCGGGTGTGAATTTACAACCTAAAGTTAGTATGATGGCAGATCATACACTCAAACTTCTTCGAGAGATTGGCGAACTAAAGACGTTCACCGAAATTGATCCGACGGACGTGAATCTCAATAAATTTTCTGATTTCATTATGGCGTTAGAGAACCCACAAGCTGCTGTAAACAACGCTAAAAACCATGCTAATAAGTGAATTTGGACACAGTATGGCGTGTCGATTGGATAATTTTATATTTCCTTTCATGTATGGTTCATTTGGTGCGTAGAAAGGTAGAATTTAGTTGCAACTTGTTGGTTTATCTACGATGTATACAGCACGACGCTAAAGACGTTACTAAGGAGAGAAACTACAAGGATTTTCTTAAAACTAGTTTTTCATGAGACACGAAATTGTTCTAGAAAGATCTATGAGTGGCCCTGGCATTGTATGGTTTGTCGTAATGTCTTTGCTCTATGTACACAGAGAGAGAAAAACAGCATTGTGAATGAGTTCAACGAAAAACGTTTGAACATTTTTTGTGGTTAGGGAAAGATTCATTGTCGCCTTGAAAATAATGCAACTTATAGGAATATAGGAGGTTCAATATTTTGACGCACCAGAAACTGAGAGAAACCATGCGTATAGTCGTCAAATTACATAACAATTGACGAAACAAAGACTTAGTTTAACTTCATCGTCGTCAGTAGTTCCCGTCTTTGGCTTAGTTCAAAAGTGTTCTCGCATAATCTTTCGTCAGAATTAGAAAACTTTCAACAATGCAATGAATAGATTGATTATTAAAGTAGTCATGTGTAGAAAAGTCAGTCTTCAGTTGGCCTTGGAGTCAACACGCCAGTGACGCCACGTTAAGCTAAAAAATTTTAATTATATACACACGCCGGTTCGTTCAATGCTCTTGCGGGCAAGAAATAGGTAGAGTTTCATTATTTATATCGAAAATATTCTGAAAGATTGCATCGGTTAAAAGAGAGTATTGATGCAAAGGGGGATTTGATTCAGTCCTCGATTTTTGTAAATATTATAACATATGGAGAGTACGCATACAACTTTGGACTCGCCTTCAGCAATAAGGAGCTCAATATTTGTGTAGATTTCGTTGAACGAATTTTGTGAAGTTAAATTATGTGTTAAAACACTCTGCGAGCAGAGTGAAATCATTCAATTAAATAAATTTATGCTGTTAGTATCTTCAGTGTATTGTCATGGAATGAAATTAAAGAGTAATTTAAAAAAACGGAAGTGTGACGAAGCGTGTTTTTAGTGTTTGTAAAATTCATATTCCATTGTGTAGGACATATTCGCATAATGTTGTAGAATATAATTACGCCTATCAAACTTTATGAGTCATATATATTGTTAAGATGATTGGCGTCGTGTTAAAACATAGTAATGCACATTTTGAAAAGAAGCACTTTCTAAATACAAATTTGCGGTAATTCAACTAGGACCCGCACATTTTGAAAAGAACCACGCTCTAAATAGTAATTTGCATTAATTTAGGTAGGACCCAGGAACACATTAAGTATTCAGGTAGTTTGAAAAAAGACAAATCCAACCTCTGAAGTTTTTTGTGTGTTGAGAAGCAATATTGGAGCGGTTAAAAATTATTTCTTAAAACCACTTTTTTTGAAAGCTTCCGTAAAGAATATTCACACGCATTTCTAAATTATATATAAACGGAACAGAAGAAACATTTCAGTGTAATATACCTGTTGGTTATGTAAGTGCTGTTCATATATATCCTAAAAAATAGAAAATTTAACTTGTTTCATTTTTGTAGAACCACAAAACACTGACATTCAATAAAGTCGACAACACTCGCTGTGTTTCATTTCAGTTATCATAAACGTGAGAACCGCCTTCTTTATTGCCACTCCAAAATGATTATCTTTTCTTGATTTTTAGCGACATACACAGGACCTCTTTCACATTTTTCGTTGCAATTACTCAACCACTCAAGATCGCCTGCACAATCAGAGAAGCGGTTTCCTATTCTCGGTTTCGACCATTCTATTGGAATATCGACAACACACGTCTCGTTGCTGTTATTAACAACGTGAAAATTGTCCAGTTTCCAACAAAGAGAGAAGAGTTCCCCAGTGGCAACCAATATAAAGTTATAATCCCTTAATTTCCTAACGAAATAAACGAAACATTTTTTTCGATCAATTTTGTAGAAAAGATAGAAGACTCATATAATAAAGCAGGCCATGCTAAGTTTCTTTAAAGACGAAGGAGATGAAGGAGAAACAATAAAAGACGATCCTAAAGAACTTAATACTCACAATAATGGTTGTAGAGTCATCAAGTCCCACAAAAGAACACCGTAGTTTGACGAGCAAATCACATGACGACCGTTACAAAACAATTTGGGATGAAATAACGTGTCTTCTTTACCATTGAAAGTGTTCGATAAGGTCGCGATGCAAGAAAATCCCTTGCTTTTGCTTGTCGACCACAACTAATGTAAAGAATCAAATATGTAAACCTGATCTTTGAAATTGTTTAAGATAGCAAACGCACCTTGATGCAATCCTTACTTAAACTGATTGCAATAATTTTTTCTTCAAATGCGGCAAGAGAGTTTTCTGACAGCGCGGAAAACAGCACCTAGGTATAGATAGTTTTGTACTGACATTGCTTCAAGTAGAAATGATAAGACAACACCACAACATAAAGTCTTTCCAAATTAATACGAAGAAACAAACCCAGCATATAAAATGTAGCAACACAGCTTGAATAAATGAAAGGCGGAGTAATGATTAAAGTGAAAGTACTACCTCAGTCAACCAACTTTGATGTCCAGTTTTCGTCGCTAAACATGTTCCTGTAGACAGTTGCCAAAATTTCACGACACAGTCTGACGAACCGCTCATGAGCAAATCATAATTTGTGTTGTAGTCCAGACAAAAAACTACAAGGAAAACGACATTTATCGTTAACGATCATACTTGTAGATCGCTTTCAGTTCAGATGCTGTTTCCATTACTATTATTTTCTATTATGAAACTATTACAACTCCACACGAGGTAGCTACAAGTGTGAATAGAATGATCAGACTTGAGAAAAAAAGTACTTCATTACATTTCAACAAAATTCATAACTTCACGTAAAGTTTATGTAAAAGAATGTTTTACATCGTTCGTGTTTACTACATAAAATTTTCAATTTAAAGTTTACGCGTAAATATATATTTAATACACCACAAACGACACTTAAAAACAAACATTTACAAAATGATTAATATGATATTTCTGAGGTATATTTATGACTTCAAAGTGAACGATCATAACCAAGTCAAATGCATCATAAAACCATTCTTTCAAAACACATCTTTTCACATACTTGCCTGCCCCAACATGACCAATATAACGTGTTACGCAACGACCAGTTGACCAACTCCACTTTGCAAGTGTTTGATCACAAGATGCAGTATAAATATGATCTTTATCAAACTTCACTTGAGTGGTTGTGTGACATGTAATATTATATTTGCATTCATGACTATAAATATCCCATAATCTTACTGTTCGATCCTCAGCACCTGCAATCATACCAAATAAGAGAAACTCGCTAAAATTTATTTATCTACTCTATCACACTTTCATGAGCTCTCTCTAAAGAGCACAGTGGGTCAATTTATGCTACTAAACCTACCTTGTTTTTTATGAAAACAGTAAACAAAAAATTCAGTTATCATTTTAGCATGATTTTTTGTTTTGAGAAAATATTTTTGATGAAAGACGATAGCAGGATACAATTAAAGTTTAGTTATAATACTCAAAGTTTGTCACTTACCACTTGCCAAAAATCCTTTGTTATAATGTAATGCAGTGATCCTTTGCGAGTGCCCTGTTAGAACTTTCGTTTTAAATGCTCGTTCGTATGATTTGAGTTTCTCTAGTCGTTTTATACCTTTCCTCAGTTCACATTTCAAGTTTGTTGTACTTTTATAAAGCAACGAGCGCTTTACAACACCTAATGATTCACACGCACGAATCCATGCCTTATTATGAGACGATAATAATTCATTCCATGTTTTGGAAACCAAAAAACATCGACTAATTGTTTTGTAATCTAAATATTTTAATATATGAAACAACACCTCACTGGGCAAGTACCGAATAAAATCACGTCTCACTATATTTGGCAATTGTTCAGACAGAAAAAGAAGTTGTTCCGGTTCACAAAAACACAATATTTTTTGGATGGCTAAGGTTTTTTCTTCGTTATTAAATGATTTAAAAGTGTCGACAAGTTTGTGGATTTTCGTTTCTTTTGTAGTCGTGTTGTTCGCCATATTGGTTTTACAGTCTCCACTAGTTTCCATCACTGAGGAGTTCATGAAACGAAGGTTCTACTGGGTTTAAAATATTACTGCTTTCTTTATTTGTTATTTATTTTCCACTTGGCGATGTTTAGTGCTGTAAATAAACTTTTGGATATCGACGAACATCATTTCCCACAGGTATAAGCTGAACTTTGATGATATCTTGTGGAAACATGTTTTTACAAAACCCCAGTGGTTCTGTGCAAAACCAACGATCACTTTCGACTTTTCTAGGAGATGTTTTATTTGATTTCGGAGTCTCACAACGACGGTAGCTTTTTCTTACACCATTTTTTGACCTATTATCTTAAAGGTAATTTTCAGATTCATGAAGAGCTTTTGAATAAAATAGGCAAATCTTGTACGACTTGCATCATTTTGCTTTCTAGCCGGTTATAATGTGGTATTTGTTGCCCTTGTCCAATCTTTTGCCCATTACAGCTGTGTAGCTCAAAAACTGGTTAGTACTTTATTTTTGAATAGTTCATGATGAAGTTTGATAAATTTTCTACATATCATGTCTTTCTAGGGAGTTAATCTAAATGCATTTACTCAAAATGGCAAGCTAGTGTTTGTAGAAGGTCTAAAGCTGGCTCTTGAAAATTTGAAAACGGTTGATGTAACTGAAAATAATCCATTGTCTTATTTAACGTCAAAGTAAAGATGTTAAATATCTTCTCTGTCATGAATCATTTAATTTTTTTTGCCATAATACTCTTTTTTCATTTGATTTTTGTACTTAATGAACTTTTATATTTAGAGACCCTAAGTTTTCTTTGAAAATGTTGTACAAGATGATTGAAAGCAAAATATGCTCATTGAATGAAGGTCATCCATATCTCATGATGATAGACGATGTTTCTGTATTCCTTAGTCTTGGTGTTTCAACTGTCGATATACAGGATTTTCTTCATTATTGTCAGATTGCTGTGTTTTCACCAGGAAGGGTATCAAATGTTCACAGTACATCTCTTAGTCAAGATGCAAAACTATTTTTTCATTTGTTTTTTAGGCTGGGTGTATGGTGATTTTAGTCCATGCAGATGCAAATGATGAAGACAGCGATGAAGAACTTCTTCAAAAAATGTTGATGTATAAATGTGATGTTCAGCTTCATGTTACAGGACTCAAATCAGGATATTGTAGAGATGTCCATGGTCAGGTTAGTTTATCTGCCCATTGATGTAACCATAAACTTAAAATTAATCATGAAATCATAATCCTATAGTTTTACATCATAATAATTTAGTGTGTCTTGCAAAATTTGAGAGAGCAACCATGGCAAAACAAAATTAAAATAATTAATTTAATAAATTTCTATCCTGCAATGGTTGCTCTTATCATTATTTAACAGTAGTTTTCCTACGAAACTTTTTATGCTTTAAAATGTGATATATGTGTTTAGTTACGTATGTAGTGTAAAAATTTGATATATACTGTTTTATCACTTGATAATTTCAGATTGAAGTAATCAATCACAGAGTTGCATTAACCAGAGGTTGTCCATCAGAGAAGATTGTTCAATATAAAATTACCAATAAAGATGTATTGATTTTTGCCCCTGGCAATTCAACTGCTGTACTTTGAGGAGTGTGTAAGTATAAGCATCATTTTCAAAAATGTAGTTTCTTTTGATATTTGATAAAATAAAAATCCATTTTGTACTTTATATGTATATCATTCAACATTAAATATAACATAAATATTAAATACAAATGTTTATGATGCAAAAAGAAGGACCTCAATTGCAACTTTCTGTATTATTTTGCACATTTCCTAACAAGTATCTTAGTTTTTAAAATGCCTAATGTTTATTGTCATCTAAATTATAACCTAATGTGTTGTCACAACTTGAATTCAACCCATTGTCTTGTTTTCTTTCAGCATTAGATGAATATAAACACCAAGATGTGAGCTGTTTTATTTTCTGATTGTCCAAAGATCCGTCATTGCCTTCAATGAAATGTCTCAACTGTGGATCCATGTGAAAAGCATCCAATTTACAGACCACCATATCATTAAAATTGCGTGAATCCAAATTGCCAAGTCGAACATTTGTGTAGAGAAGTAAACGGTTATCAAAGGTAACATATAAGAAACATGGAGTATGTTCTTCTTTTACACCAATGGAATAGTAACCTAAATTTGAGGAACATTTAAATTTCACAATCCAAAGAAAAAACAATTTTGTTTTCAAATTGAAAAAAATTGACAGATTATACCTGCACAAAATGCTGAAATATCTTTTCCTAACTTGAAATTAATGATGTTGTTATATTTGTCAATGATAAAAGTTTCTCCATCACAGGAACAGAAAATCAGCTCATCATTTTCATCATCTAAACAAAAATTTATTTGCACATCGTATCCATCAATACTTGCACATAAGAAACAAGACTGAAAAACAAGAAACTCCGATCTCTTAATCTCTTTTCTATAGGCATGGTTAATTGATAAAAACAATGAATGCATATCATACCAGTTACGTTTAATTTTTGAATGGTAAATATATTCTCCATCAAATTTGTTGCAAAATGTATTTTTTCATCTTGCACAACAGACATCAAACCATTCAATGTACATATTGCTATATAATTTGTTGGTGATTTATTCTTTTGATGTTCGCTAAACCAGTAGATTGCATACGTAGGTATTCCTGAGGTCTCAGTCCGTCGACGTCTTGGATAATGTACTCTAGTACTCTCACCACTTGAATGGCAATCAGTAAATGATATGACCGAGCTCTATCATAAATATGAAGACTTACTTTAACAAAATTCACACATGATACAGTTTTAATTATTAATATTGTCATTTATCACAAAGGACGTCTGTCCATGAAAAACTTGTAAAATTCTCATACCTTTTCTGACAACTTTTTTGCTTGTTTCTGAAGATTTTCCTTAATGGATTGCTCTTTGCAATATAGATGTATATATGCCTCTCCTGGTTGTGATATAAGAATTGCTGGGGTTGTTGTACCACATGCTTTGATTAAGGACAACGAATCTATTTGTCCTGTCAATTTCCACCTTTTCACGCACACAAACTTTCCATTAAAGGAAATTGTTGAATAGCTTGATGAATCCTAAATATCATACATACTATGTTGGTGAAAGTTGTCTATAAATGAAGATTACTTTGTAAATATGTAAGTATATCCCATACATAATCCACTCTACTATTCTCATAAGTAGATGTTTTAGAACTTTGCCTCATAAAGAGTGGTTTTTCTTCTGCTTTTGAATCTAAAACAACATATGCATAATGTTAACATAAGTTTATTCAAACCTATTGGTTCCACAACTTCAACAACGCTTCACCTGGTTCATCAACCCATTTAAATACTCTCACAACACGATCAGTAGAAACAACAACTAATTCAACTACACCATCACCATCTACGTCTCCTACTTGAGCCATTTTACCATTTGTTGGGAAAAGTTGATGATATGTGGATATGTAATCTTCATAATTTCCTGACTGACATCTTCATCCTATAAAGTATGACAGAATGACTTTAATCTTAATAACTAAAATCCTGTACATCTTTGAATCCAAGCTTACATTGTTTTTATTGAAACACATTAGGTGACACCATCCTTCCGATGTCAGAATGAACACCACATTTTTACCAATGTTGCATAAGTCTCCAATCACAATACATGACACCATTCCTAAACCCTGATACTTTCGCCAAGCTTCTGAGTTACAACCCTTAAAGATTGCAAGGTCGCCAGAAATGTTGCCAACCACCAACTGCGACCGGCCTTCATTTGTTACATTTCCAAGAACCACGGCATGTTGAAGAACTTTGCCAGTGAACACGAGTTCTAAATGCTCAACAAATGACACAGATCGCATCAAGTTCTTGTATTCTGTCAAGGTTTAAACATCTGGTTTATTGTTGACAGAATAAATTGTCCATTCTTTACATTGATTAGCAATTGTTCCTTATAGTGAAAATATAATCACAAAATGTATTTATTCTATTGCCTCTATCGGACATTAAATATTCAACGCAGGTGAAGACAAAAATTTTGATGAATAACACACCCAAGATTTGCCCCAATTATACCTTACGGATAATAAAGGAAGTAAATTCACAACACTCAAATTATAAACTCAAGACAACAGCATCGCAAGATATTGCGATTCATCCTATCGATTTTCTTCATATTTTTGAGTGTAATCTCTTGAAAAACAGCCACAACAACGACTAAAGCTTCTGAGTTCTGAATCTTTGTTCATAATTTTTGCTGACGTCATTTTTTCAGGGAGGACGGAAATGTTCTTAAAATTTTTATGGGTTTATCCTGTTTAGAGTCTTTTCGGTTACGAAAACAAATGTCATGAATCGTTTTAGATTTAATTTGTCATCATATAAAATGACATTGTATTTCAAATTTCTGTTGATACAATATCAATTTGTATTCATGTATAAACAGTCTTCAATAAACAGATTTGGCATCCATTGAAATCAATAGCAAATTAGTTTTAGATGCAATCAGAAAGTGATGACAGAAACTTTTTGTAAAATAAGAAACATTCTAATCAAATATCAGATTACATTCACATTTTTTGACAAGTGAAGTGGACTTAATTTTATGTCATTGCGTTTTGCTTTATATGAAATGTTCTCCTTACCCCCCTCCCCCCGGAATATTCAACGTGTCAGACATAGTCTTGCGCCGCGCTTTTGTTGGTCGAAGTAATTCATTAATAATATTTTCTATTACATTCGTGAAATGGCTTGTATTTAGGGCTTCTGAATATTATTTGTCGTTTCTCTAAGACAAGAGGTATCTTAGATGTATATTTAAAATTTGTATGCTGTTTCATCATGATTAAAAGTGAAGAAATCTCTCAAGTAAGTCGAGTTGTAATTTTTTGTTTACATCAATTTATTGAATTCAATGACTGCTTCAAAATGGGGTCTAATGTTTTTAGTCGTGTTTATGTGCATCTTGCCGTCCTGTTTACAACTCAATCTTAGCTTTACTTTCTGCAAAGTAGATAGATATATATGGAATTGCCATGCCCTGAATCGTTAATGCGTTTGGATATAAATTTTTAAATGCCGATTTGACATCAGAAAAATTTGGAGTTTATTTTACCCGCTTTGCATAATTTTGTTGGTAGTTTTTAGTTTATAAAATCATCTGATCCTTGATATATGAGTTTGCCTTTCACTTATGCTAAAAATTCCCTTAAATTTGTTTTGCATTGTAAACTCTGCTTTGTTAAATTGAATTTATGTGTAAATGCCTGATTTATAATAGAAATTTGGAGAAAATCTTCATTCGAATTTGTGTATTGTGAAGAAAAGCGTCCTTGCATAAAGTTGATCCTATATTGAGAGATGTCTTACTTGTCGTGAATTCAGTTCTAACTAGAAATTTTAAAGTAATTAATCTGCAGATCTTCTTTTAGTTAAGAAGACGATACTTGGTAATTTGGTTTTTGATTTAAGCAGATTCCGTTTCTAAGGCAATATTATAACATGAGCAATATAATAGAAATTTAAATAGAAAGCCAAAACAGCGACGGTTAAAGAAGTTTCAAGTGTTTGATGGCGAATTTATTGATGTTTGAAGTACTCATCCATTATTTAAACATATCTAAGAGCAGGGCGTGTTTCTATGTGAAAAAATACATAACAATGTGCAAAAGTATAATAATGGCATACTATTGAACTCAAGTATTTAATTGACGAATTATGAAATTTCCCAGAATGTACTGTACATTGTATGAATATTTTGAAAAAATGCTGTTTGTTTTCTAGAAGTTGACTTTTTACATCTGAAGTGTTTGCTCTGCCATCTGTGTTAGTTAATTTTTTCTTGGGCTATAATAATTTTGTTTTTGAAAGGACTTAAACACTCTTTAGTCTCAGGTATTTTTGTAACTTCCTATATGACTGTCTTATGACCAATGGATCAAGCTTATAAACTACAGGGGGCTATTGTTGTTTATAAAATAACAACAATACAATGATGGGTTTGCCTTGGAGACATTCAAGAAACTTGCTAGCAGGTGCAAACTTTGTACTTTGTACTGATATGCTATCAAGTTTACCCAAACATCTCTTTGGTTTGCACAAGCTACTGCTAACACAGTAAACATTTTTAATTTTTTAAATCATATACGACTTTTTACTGTCTTAAATATTCATACAATGTACACATTTAACCAAATATTGTTAAGACATTTTTGACAAAATAATAAACTATAATAGTATATTACTTACAAGGTATTTCATAAGTTTATTGCTTCGTGTCATTTAGATCGTTTTGTTCAAATTATGCTTCTCCAAAACCATGTAATTGACCAGAAATTGGTTTTATTATTTATGACCTTAGTACGAAGGGTAGGGTGGGGTGCGGTGGTGTTAAAAATAGAAAATCTTTAATGTACTTTCTAATTTTGCTTTTTTAGGAATATAAAAAATGACCCATCTCTCATATTATTGCTTTTTCTAAGGGCTTGTCAAAAGCACTTTGTTGATTTTGCTGGATTTTTAAAGCAAAGTACTTTCTACAATGTGTTTGAACTGTTTTCTATCAAAGATCATATTTAAATTGCATCTTGATATGCTTCTTTTAAATTGTCAAGAATTTTCCATTTATATGCCATTTTTTGCCTAAACTAGACAAAATTTGTTAATTATTTATGAAAACATTACAGAAGACATTGCATTGCAAATTTCATTAATTTAGTGTTCTTTTGTGTTATAATTTGAAAGAATGTGCAAATGAAAGTTACACTACTAAATATGTCTTTATAGCGTTGTTTAAAAAATCTCCTAGATATTCTGGCTGTTCGACAATTGTGTTACAAATTATTTTGTGCTTTCATGTTTGAGGCAATTTTTGTGGTAGTTGTTTTGGGAGAACTGATCATAAATTTGTGTGCTAAAATATTTATAAGTCTTTGGAGAAACTTAAACTCGTGCATTTCAGTATTTGCTCATCCACGTCCATGAAATGTATCAAAGATATTAATTTGTATTAAAATGTCTTATGAAGACACAGCATGTCAGTGGACTAAGGTTTGCCTATGTATGTTGGAAATTAATGAAGTTGAGCATTATTACTAGTAATAGATGCACACGTGAAAAATTAAACATACTTGTGATATCTTTGTGGGCTTTTTACCATAATCCTATGGTTAGTAAATAATTTTTTCATTTGATTGAGAATATTTCAAAATGTCATTTCTCAATTTTCAAGGTTCAGATCATTTCTGTTGTTGCATCTTACGTACTTTGCGCGGTTTAGATAATCTAATGATTTTAGAAGACAAAATGAGAACTACATTTCACACAAATTATATGTCTTTCATATTTTACTGATAGGAAGAGATTGGTTTATTACGAGCTTCTAAAGCTGGAAACTTAGAAAAAGTGAAGAATTACCTGGATGAAAATGTTGACATTAACGTAACTAACTATGTAAGTTGAAGATTTCTTTCATACTGTTTTTCAGTTTAATTTAATAAAATAGATATATATGTATCATTTTAGACTGGTTTAAACTCCCTCCATTTGGCTTCTAAAGAAGGTTTTACCGATGTCGTTCAAGAACTGATTAATCACGGAGCTGACGTTAATTCTAAGACAAAGGTTCAAAATACTTAGCTGTGTTTGGATTTGTTTTATTAATGAATTTTTTCTATTTCACTTTTAAAAGGAAAAGTTTATTTGAAGTTGTTGAATACTTCAGTTTTATAAGTTCTAGTTTAGTGTTTTGAAGAATCTCTTTAGTAGCATACGTATAAAACATATTAGACGATAATTTTTTGTCATTGCGTGTTGATTGACTTAAAATTGAATGTTGTTTGACATTTCCTGTTTTTTAGAAAGGCAATGCTCCTTTACATATTGCTTGTTTGGCCGGTCAGACGAAAGTCGTTGAGCTTTTAATAACAAACGGAGCGGATGTCAACATTAAAGCACAGGTACATTTTATGAAGTGTATTTTCTCCAGATTTTCTTTTTTACTGAAGTATTTTCCATCCTCTAAATTTATTTGCTCTCCCACCAAATCGTCTCCACTTAACCAGCTTTCGTTTTTCGTTTAGAATGGTTTCACCCCTTTATACATGGCATCTCAAGAGTGCCACGTTGACGCTGTTAAATTTCTTTCTCATGGCGCAAACTTGCATGCTTCGACTGAGGTGAAGTACCTATCTTAACATCATTCATATAGGTACCTACCATACCATCACTGACGTAAGTATCTACCATACCATCACTGAATTAAGTACCTACCATACCATCACTGACGTAAGTATCTACTATACCATCACTGACGTAAGTACCTACCATACCATCACTGACTTAAGTACCTACCATACCATCACTGACCTAAGTATCTACCATACCATCACTGACTTAAGTACCTACCATACCATCACTGACTTAAGTACCTACCATACCATCACTGACCTAAGTATCTACCATACCATCACTGACTTAAGTACCTACCATACAATCGCTGACGTAAGTACCTACCATACCATCACTGACTTAAGTACCTACCATACCATCACTGACTTAAGTACCTACCATACCATCACTGACGTAAGTATCTACCATACCATCACTGACGTAAGTATCTACCATACCATCACTGACGTAAGTACCTACCATACCATCACTGACCGATCATGTTCTTGTCATTCATGTAACAGCCTCAGGTAGTGTTTTACTCTGTCCCACTTCTAACCTCCATTTTATTACTCTTTATCAAATTGAAAGTTGGAAACGTTAAGTGGATAACTACAACATTGTTACTTTATTTTTACCATGTTCAATTAAGGATGGTTTCACGGCGTTGGATGTGGCTGTGCAACAAGATCACGAGGCTGTCGTAATTGCTTTATTAACAAGTGAAAAAAGAGTACGTTTAATATAAATTAATGACGATTGTGATTATATATTTTATGGAGAATAACTTTATTCCTCAACAGAAAGGTTTCCATGCCTTACATGGTGCAGCAAAAAAGGATTTGACAAAGCCAATCAAATTTCTTATACAAAAAGGCCATTCCGTTGATGTAACAGCTCCGGTAAGAAAATGATATCGGAAATGTTAACACTATCGTATCAGTTTCACAGAATTTCTTGAGACTAGAATTTTGCTTTGTTCCGTTTAGTTTCGTGTTGTTTTTTTTATTGCTTTTCAACGTTTAAATCAATGTTAAATTTTTTGTAGAACGGGTTTACGCCTCTACACATTGCTGCCAAGTATAACAGTGCTAATGCCGCGGTTCTCTTGATAAATAATGGTGCAAACATCGATGCTCTAACTAAGGTATACAATGGAACATTTGTGTACTTTTTTATAACCTTGCCGCGGTTCTCTTGATAAATAGTGGTGCAAACATTGATGCTCTAACTAAGGTATGCAATGGAACATTTATGTACTTTTTTATAACCTTTCTACGCCTCAACTTCTTGTGGAAAAATCGTACTATTTAAGTAAGAGAATTCACTTGTGGAAAACTTATCTTTTTCAAACATGTATCTTACATATCACAACTTTCTTTATTTGAAAGACAAATATTTTCATTCAAGACGTTCCTGGCCACTTCATGTTTGTTTATTCAACATAATTCGATGTCTGAATGGCTGATTTTTTATTTAATTTGAATGTATTTTCTTTAGACGTATGCCATAACACCATTGCATGCTGCAGCAAAGTTTGGTCATACAAATATAGCAACAGTTTTACTTCAATGGGGTGCAAAACCAGATAAACCAAACAGAGTATGATATTTACACGAGAAGATAAACAATATCATTTTTTTATCAAGACAAATAATTATTTGAAATTTAACTATGTATTATTCAGGATGGATTAACATCATTGCATTGTGCATCACGTGAAGGACACACAACTATTGTTGAGAGTTTAATTGCTGACAATGCGACTATTTCTGCACGAACTAAGGTTTGATTCTATTATCATGCTCATATATATATAATGGATTCTAATGCAACTAATGGTCAGGCATCGGGAATAATTAATGTATTATTTATGTTTAGAATGGTCTAACACCTCTTCATATGGCTGTCCAGGGCAATCATTCAAAAACCATCACATCCTTATTGATCATGGTGCTCCTTTAAATGCTATAGCTGTTGTGAGTTGTATATGTTACATCTATGTTGTAGAAATGTTCTCTCTGCTGTTGTGAGTTGTAAATGTTACATCTATGTAGTAGAAATGTTCTCACTGCTGTTGTGAGTTGTAAATGTTACATCTATGTAGTAGAAATGTTCTCTACATAAAAATTGTTCAACTTTTTGTTATTATCCATTTTTATTCCCTTTTTAAGGACAGTTTATGTCCAATTCACATCGCTGCACATTACGGTCATGTTGAGGCGATGGAGGCTCTACTTAGTAAAGGAGTACACACGGATTCCAGAGCTAGGGTACAACGTTAAGATGTTTTATTGTGTTATTCACCAATCAACTCGTTTCTTTTGGCATCATGTTTGTACTCATCCTCTCTTTTATGTATTTCTTGACAAATTTTCTTTTTTATCATAGAACGGATTTACAGCGCTCCATATTGCTTGTAAAAAGAATCATGAACCTGTTATTCATCTTTTGCTTAAGTACGGAGCTAATATCAATGCTGTGAACGAGGTAAAATAGAAATTTTTAACAAAACTATTTACATATATATTGATTTATGAGTTTTTCTTTCTCATAGGGTGGTCAAACACCAATGCATGTCGCTGCGTATTATGGGAACGTTTCAGTGGTTGTGATGTTGCTTCAAAACGGCGGTTCACCCGACGTCACCAACATGGTATAGTAATGCCAGTTCACGTGTGTGCATATTGCAGAGATTTATCAATCAGATTCTTTACTATCTCACATTTTGCTCTTTTGTTTATGCTATTCATGACTACCCGCATATGTCTCTAATTACCTTACCTTCATGTCAGTTTAGTGTTAAGTAAATTTGTTTTTGTTATATAGAGAGGCGAGACAGTATTGCACATTGCTTGTAGAATACGCAATATAAACATTGTTCGTCTTTTACTTCGCAATGGGGCTGCTGTTGACTCAAAAACTCAGGTATATTTAGGTTAAAGTGTTATTTGTAACCGCTCTGTTTATTTTTTCTTGTAAAAAAACTAGTCTTTTTACAACTTAATGCACCAGTAATTTTTCTCAGTCAAGAGAAACTGCCTTGCATATTGCTGTAAAGTCAGACAACGTTGAAATGGTGAGATTGCTTTTGGATCACGGGGCATCAGTTGAATATCTTGACAGAGTAAGTATAGTTGATGTTTATGTTTAAGCTACAGGCAAAATTTGTAAAATATTTTGTATGAAGAATGTTATATGCAGTGCGGTGTTTGAAATTAAATGAAGATATGATCTTCGCACTTTGCTGGACAATTTAAGCAATTGTCTCATGAACCTGAAAAATTCAGGTGACAATTGCTTAAATTGTCCAGCAAAGTGCGAAGATCATATCTTCATTTAATTTAAAATATTTTGTATTATAAATTTACCAATTGTCAACTTCTGACACTCAATATTAAATAACGCAATAGAAATTTATGGTTTATCTTCTTACTTTTGACTGTCGTTTCATAATGAATGAAATCTTTCTTAGACAAAGTGTACGCCTCTTCATCTTGCTGCAAGAAACGGTTACAACAAAATACTTGAGGCTTTATTTGAGCATAAACCTCCTTTGTTCGAACTGAATCAAGTAAGAATTGTCTTGTTCAGAAAAAGATAAACAAATTCAATGATGCTTTCGTAGTTTACTTTAAGTCATACCCAAAAACCCTTCTTCTTCACATTCGGAAAGGATAGTTTACAGCCAAGAGATTACAGCCATTCATCTGTTTGTTTGTTTTTTATGTAGAAAGGCTTTACTCCATTGCATGAAGCTGCGAGACATGGTCACGTAAAAACTGTAGAACTGCTTCTCCCTCATTATCCATCTCCTGATCCTCCTGGAAAGGTAAGATTAGGTTCATTTCATGAGGATGCAAATCTTATTAAAAGTTGTTTGATTTTGTTCTAGCATGGTATGACTCCTTTACATGTTGCTTGTCATTATGATCATGTTAAAGTCGCTGTTCTTCTCCTCAATAAAAATGCATCAAAATATGCCATAACGAAGGTATACAACCTAATTCACCACAGTCTTGCTGTTATTTACAATCCATTGGAAATATTTTTATATTTCTCAGAATGGATACACACCCCTTCATATTGCTTCTTTACGAAATCAAAACGATGTTGCCGCGACGCTTTTGGATTACGGAGTAGAACCTGACACAAAGACTAAGGTGAGTTGTTCGTTAAGAAGATAGTTAGGAGACGTGTGACAGTAAACAAGACCACACGATATTTTGCAATAACATACGCGATAACGTGTTTGAATTATCCCACAATTATTGTACATGCGTAAATTATACTGAATATATACGAACAAAAATGTATGTTGAGAAAATGTCAACTAGCAGTGGACACTGGGTCCTTGCAGTGAAAAAAAGTATTTGTCACAGTGGCTTTGGGGTTCTCTCAATGCACGGCACCCTCCCTGCCACTCTCCCAGCGTATCGGGAGACATGGATCAAACGACATTTTGATTCTTAATTTTTTTCCCACACAAGTTCTTCTCACAAAATAAATTTTGAATGACTCAAAGCTAATAAAAATACTTTTACTTGCCCTATTACCTATATTTTAACATGCACAGCACAGAAAATTGACCTATTTTGTGTGTTTGTGTGATGACTTTGCTTAGTATGTCTTCTTGTTAATAATGGAATTTTAAATCTAGTATATAAAATGTGATCTTCTTGTATGCAGCTTTTGAGAATTTTCACAAACATTTATAAGACATTCATAATAATTGAAAGATATTCGGTCTGTATGTCTTGCTTAACGTAACGTTGATGCATGTATTTTTCATCAGCTCATAATGTTCATTGGCTAGCACCAAATAACTCAAAAATAATTTATTATAAAATCTTTGCTGTTGATTTGATATTCCTTAAAAATCATTCCATTAAAAAATAAAATTTCATTGGCTGTTGTCCTTTGATGTTTTTCATAGTCTCCCTTGTCCATATGTTTTTTTTCGCAATTACCCAATATTGCCAGCTAAAAACATCTGCTTATACACGCTTTTAAGTTGTCTTTCAATTGACATAAAAATTGCTTTGTGAGTGGTAAAAACTGACAAAATGGGTTCATTATCGCTTAAGGTGTGTGTTAAGCAACAAGAATGTGTGGGAGTTTGGTTGAACTTTACCAATATGTAGATATAAAAACGATTTGATGGCTACTCGTATAGTATTGGTTTATTGTTGAAATATTTCGTTCATTTGTCCATATGATGACTAGCATTTGTTATGACTGCAAGTCTTCTTGTGATCAAATAGATTCATATTTCTAATATTTTTTGTAGTCGGGTGTCAGCCCGTTGCATTTGGCTGCTAAGGAAGGACACGTAACTGCGGTGTCCTTGTTACTGGAGCATGGGGCGAGTCCTGATGTTAAAACAAAAGTAAGTATGTATAATAGTATAATATGTTGAAATGAACATGTTTTCTTTTTATAGTTACATGATATAGAGGAGAGATAATCTTTCATGTACATAATGTTAACAAATTATGTTTAGCTATTAAAAATGACATAATGTGTTTCTCAGAATGGTTTAACACCCTTACATGTCTGTGCAAGATACAACAAAGTTGACGTGGCAAAACTTGTCCTGAAATACGACGCAGAAATCAATGTTCAAACTAAGGTAAAATTGCCATAAGATATCAGCAGATATCACACAAATTACTGAGAACATATAGTTAACATTGTTGTGGCAGTCGATGAAGTCTCCAGTGTTAATTCTTTATGTTAATGGAAAAAGTTTTTCAGTTTTTCAAGTATGATAAAAATACCATCAACCTTTACGTTATTTATTTACGCAATAAAAAATGGAATTTAGATTTTGTTCATGCAACGTCAATGATCACCAATGCCAATAATGCATGCATTACCAATGTCTTTTATAACTAGGACCAACGTCTGAATTTCATTTTGGTTCGTAATGCGTCATTGTAAACATTGACACTAACACATCAAATATTTTATTCGAAATATTTTATTCTCTGAATATAAAACAAATTATACCATAACATATTCATTTCTAGAGTGGTTTTACCCCTTTACATATTGCATGTTATTGTGGACATTATGAGATTGCTCATTTGTTATTGGAACATAACGCAAATGTTGCTGTCATCACCACTCAAGGATACATGCCTCTTCATTTTGCTGCTCAGCAAGGACACATAAAAATTATAGAACTGTTGCTACGTTACGATGCTCCTCCTGATGCTGTAACCAAGGTAACTGTTGACATGATCGTGACATACATGGTCTTGTAAATATACAGTAGAATTTCATATTAAATTATATAGGATGGATTCACTGCATTGTACATCGCTCAGTATCTTAGTAAGATTATCACCACGGTAGAATGGACACATATTATTGAAACATTGATCAAAGTGACCACAACACGTGTATCTACGACTGTTTTACCGACAGTTGAGGTAGGATTAGATTATCCAACACATTTCAATGTTGAGTTATCATTTTATATGTATCAAATTATTTTTGCATGCTAACGATAACGTTTAAGTTTATTTTCGTTTTGAATGTCTTCTTGTTTATTACGAATTTTGTGTTGTAGACTGGTCATCAAATCACTTCATCACAGTTACCTGAGGAGCTATATGACGATGGCTCAAGTGAGGGAACTGGAACTTTAGAAGAAGATGATTATGAATATGGTATATTTAAACTTCCTGACGATGGATGTAATATGAAATGATAACTGACAAATGTTTTGTTTATAGAGAATCGTTCTCAGTTCAACGATGAAGATTATCTGCGATCCTTTATGCCAGATGTTGGGGGAATGCGAGAAAGCATAACAGAAACTCACAGTAAAGACCATTCAGCTCGCAGTACACCAGATTCCTCGTATCACGAAAACGTCCGTGGCATCTCTTCCCCATTGAGTCCCTTTAAATCGGTCGACGATCGTTTACAATCCCAACTCTTTGAAGATGATGTGGTTGTTTCAACTCAGTCTGCACCAAGTTTCAGTTTTGAAGCTTCAGAATTGGATAAACTTCCTGCTGATAATATCATTCGTGATCCACCTGTATCAGGGGGGTGAGTATTATTTTGAGCCACCTGTATCAGGGGGAGGGGAAATATTTTGATCTACCTGTATCAGGTGGTGAGTATTTATGTTACATTAAAATGTTTGTAAGGATTACAAAGATCAAATTGTTGTTGTTGATTTTTATAATGTAGAAAATTGAATAAGGATGCATTTGCGTGATTTAGATTCCTCGTAAGTTTCATGGTTGATGCCCGAGGTTGCGTGATGAGAAGCCAAGAAACTGGAATAAAGATGACGTTTCCTCCGCAAAGTTGCCGAATGCCCACGCGAATTACATGCCGTCTTTTAAAGTAAGTTTTGTATAAGATAAAACAACGATAAAATGAAGATCTTCTCTACTTGACTTGATTTTAGATCTGTGAAACCTACATCAATGCCGACAATTGATGAGAGTGAAGGTATGGCATGCCGTATGATTAGCTTAGGACCCTGTGAGGTAAAGTTTATGAAACCTGTGTCCATCGAGATACCTCATTTTGCGAGTCTACGGAACGGTGAACGAGAGCTACTTGTCATAATTTCTTTTGACGGTGGGCAGACCTGGAAAGATTTAGCAGTAAAAAACCAATCAGGTATTTGTGTTTTGTTTCATGCTCTTATTAGTTTACAAAGCCTTGCCAAAGTTATTAATTTGTCTTTTGATCTGTATTATGTATCCGTTTTATTCACTTATTTTAATAATTGTAAAATAGAATGGAAGTTAGGATGTTGGAAGGTTTTTAATAGGACCTCCTGTTTGTCCACTAATATGTTTGTTTGTGTGTTTGAATGTTTAATATCAAGATGTCAGTTATGAGACGCAACATGTGAAGATATCTCTTACTCAATTTCCCGGAAGGATGGCAGTCATATCTCGTCTAAAGAAAGAGACTTTCGTGACAGGAAGTAAAAGTGAAGTGATCAAATCCCATGTTGTACAACACTGTAGTGTTAGTATCCCTGAAGGAGCCATCAGACCTGGAACAGTAATTAATATGCAGGTTAGTATCCTAGTAATCCACGTTTCTGACGGTAGACACATGTGTCAAAAATACGAGAACAAATTACAAAATTTGGACAATCAAATGGTCGGACATAGTAATGTGTATGTAGTGGTAATAAAATGGTTAGGAGATGCTTTCAAGTTTAGGGCATTTGTGAATCTGATTCTAGTTATTCAGAACGATTATCTATAAAGTCAGAAGGCATAACAGAACGATAAGAACCAGTAAAAATTGTACAAAACATGTTTAAGGTTGTCTTAAATTATAAGTGTCAGGAAAAGGCACAGTGTCAAAAGAAGATAATTGAATAAACCATTAAATAAGCCATTTTATGAGAAGAACTATTGTAAACAAAAAGATAAAATATGAAAGCAAAAAACCCCGATTTCGGGCCATGCTTCCCGATACCTTGTTAATCTTAAGGCACTAGAACGCCGCATGTTAACGTTTCGGTAGGAGATTTCGGCCCCTCCACGCTATCCTACTTGGGAGATGCAATAGCAAGGTTCCGCCCATCAGACCCCGAGATCACCTGCGATAGGCTTTGCTCGGGGTACGCAGGGAGAGTGCGGTCGCGACCCGAAACGTCTTGACCCCTAAGCCACTGCATACATATCGCACCCAGCTTCCACTGCTAGTTGACATCTACTATATGTAGTTTTAGCTTTATATATATATACACAAATTCAAAGGCTTGTGAAAGTTGTGGTATAATTAAAGTCACTACTGCGCGTGCCCAGATGATTTCTTTGATAATTTGCGACTAAGTGAGCTAATTGCCACGAAAGTAGTGCAAGTACATATAGTTAGTCGTTGCCATGACTATGAACAATCGAGTGGAGTGGACTGCGCATGCTCAAGCGCATGCGCAGATGATTTCTCCATTAATTGTTACTAAACATGATATTTACTTCAAAATTGGCGCTAGTAGATGCAATTGGTCGATGACGTGACTATGAACTTGTGCAGCTGGTCAAGTCGACTGTGCATGCTCAAGCAGACTGCGCGTGCGCAGATGATTAATTTAAAAATTTGTGACTGAGCGAGCTAATTACTCCATAATTGGTACTAGTACATACAGTTGGTCGCTGCCATGACCACGAACTTGGAGAGTTGGTGCAGTTGACTACGCATGCTAAGATTAATTCTCCATTAATACGTGACAGAGCAAGCTCTGAAATTGATGCTTGTATGTGCGCTTAGCAAATTTTCAATCATATATATTTTTTGCACCCTCTTTGTCTTCTTAAGCTTATTTTGACAAATGCATATCAAACTCATCAATACTATGCCTGACCTTTCGATTTTTCGAATTTCGTAATTTGATCTCGTATTTTTGAGACGTGTGTTTACCGTCGGAAAGTAAGTTGAACAGTGGTATATTATTTTAATAAATTATTAATTTAATGTTTACTCAATGTTTATTTCAGCTTACTTTCATAACGAGTTTCCAAAAGAAACTTACAATTTTCTTTTTTTTATTAAAATTATATTAAAATGGCATAAATTATTTTAGTGCAAAGATGCATTGTAATTTTGTGAACTTGTGAACTTAGCGAATTCAATGCTAGTCGATATTGAAAGTCAGCTTGTTTTAACAATTGTATTTTTAACTTGTTAACCTGACTGGCGTACTTCACCATGCGTAAAAGCAAAGTAGAAGGCAATACACAACCAGAAACATTACACCGTTAAAAATATCGTTTACTTGTAAACCGACGACTACAAGACTACTAACGGTTGTTTGTTCATAGTAGGTTAATTCTTGAATTTTTTTTCTTTTCCCATGGATGATCTCCTCATGATCATCATTCAAAATGAAATGGGGTTCAATGTAATAAATGTATAAAGTTGTTGATTCAAACTACGAGTGAAATTCGGTGCTATACACTATCCCTGGACTTCTGGTTAAAAATGTATTTTAATTGAAAGAATGTAAAAATGGACAATATATTTTTGTATATTTAGGTTAAGCCGGTGGATGAGAACTTTAACGATCAACAAGAAGGTGCGGCGATCAGCCCCATCTTAAAGTTGAGTCCTAGTGACGTTGTAATTTCACGTCCTCTTACGATCTCATTTCCGACACCTACCTACACGTTACGACGTGAATACGAAGAAGCACCCGAACAGCATTTGTTAATGCAGCCAGCTGGAAAGCCTGGATACGAGTGGCAAGATGTGACGTTATCGACTCCTTTGAAAATTATGAACGGCTACGCAACATTCACCACGGAGGAAATGGGGAAGTAAGAGATGACCAGTTAAAATGTTCATAATGTAGGTTTTTATAATGTCAACATGGATGAACAAAAAATCCTTTACAAAGTGAAGTTTATAGTTATCCACTATTAATTAAGATCAGTTCAACTGAGGTTTTCTCTTTTATAAACATCTTAGAAAGTACTTTTTATTGTTGGTATAACTAGCTATTTAGCGGTTGATAAATTGAAGTTGATCTTCACTGGCCGTAAAAGAGTTATTTAGTTCAAATTTTGATAGTTTCTTGTTGATCATTGTTTTAATATCAGCAAATTAAAAAGGATAATCCTTACTGGATCTCCACCGTAAGACCTAACTTAATCACAATGTTTCTTTCCATTTGTGTAGATACTGTCTCATTGACTCATACAATGAAGCAAATGTGGTAAATGATACGCGTTTGATGTGTAAGAAACTGAACAGGGTTCCTTATATGGCAAAGTTCGTCGTATTTGCAAAGATTTCGTCCAACACAACTATGGCAAAATTTCGTGTTTTTTGTATGACGGACGACAAAGTCGACAAGACTTTAGAAACCCAAACAGGTTTGCTTTCGCTTTATATTGTAGTAAATCATATCTAATTGTTTGAAATCAGAATGTATCCATAAACGATTTGCAAGGCGACTTGTTCAAAGTTTAAAGTATTTATTATTGTATCTGTTTTGGAAAGGTACTTTTTTTCATAAGCAGTTATGTGTGAAAAAGTAATACTTTATAAAATTGTCAGCTGATGTTAAAACTATCCATATTCTTTCGAAGCATATACGTATATATAGCTTTACTTGACTGGGATATATGAGCTACATAGTTACATGGTTTCTTAAAAATTGAAAAGAAGATGAAAATATTCTAGCCATTAGCGTCGATATTCAGCATTGACATTCTTTGTTATATTTCAAGGTTTCACGGAGGTTGCATGTAGTCGCAATATTGAAATCAACAACGGTCAGACAATTTTCTTCAACTGCCAGGGAAACGTGGAGGTTGATGCTGATTGTAACTTACAGATGAACTTCTTTGCTTTTCGCGAAAACCGTTTACCTTTCATCGCTCGCGTTATTGACTCGAATCAACAAATGAAAATGAAACTCCTGGTTATTTTGAATCCAATACGAGACCAACAAGGAAAAATCCATGTTGCAAGTGCATTAGATATTGATTTATCTACCGATGTAAGTTTATATATTCGTCGCTCTTATGTGCGTATTTATTTTATGCCTGGAGATTTTCTTTAGACAATTGGACGTGACACGGAGTTGCAGAAAATCTCCGACAACTTGCTCCAATTGATCGCCAAGCAACTAAATGAAGATTGGAATTCTTTTGGAGAAAAAATTGGACTTAATGGTGGCAAACTCCAGGATATCTTAGATTTAAAGTTAGTTAGACATTGCTGTAGAACATTTCTATGTTATTTTTGTTTAATTTTAACGTTTTATATAGTGGTCATAATTACGAGGCTTCGGCTTTCGAAGTTGTTCAAATATGGAGAGATGAGCAGGGACCTGATGCTAGTTTGGAAAAACTAGAATCTGTGTTACAGGCTATTGGTCGTGAAGATATATTGAAGAACTTTAAGCATTTAACCAACTCAAGTTATGGAACTCACGATAGGCTCTTGGTGACGGAAATTCATCGAAATGGTGATACAAAACACACGAACGGACATGTTGAAGGCAACAACGATATTTTAATTGATTCGTCGTGTGAAAAATCTGTTGAGGTAAGTTCTTCTTTTGATGTTTTATACTGTCATTTTTCAATTCTTTTTTCTCAATTACAATAACCTGTAGGAAAAAAGATACTCGAGCTTTCTAAAAGACTCCACAAGCAATGCTGACCGTGAAGGAAACGATGATGAAAAGAGCAAAAATATCATCGAAGGAATGTTCTCGAATGACGAGGAAATAATGAGATTTTTCCAAGACAATGTTACAAACAACACTGAGACGGAAATAGATTAAAGTTTTTGTGTGGGTTTGAACTTTTTTGTCTATCCACTGTCTTGTAAGTTTTCAAGATGCACTGGGCTTAGAAAGTACAACATGTTGACGTAAGTTATATAGAACAATTCTTTCAATACTTAATCAACAAGTATCGAAAATGATGAAACAAGTAGTTTGTTCTACAAGTTATATGAAATTTCCCTTGATTCACAATGTAGTCGATAAAATCGGGTTGAACAGGAATCTTGTAAACGAGAAAGTTATTTAAATAATTATTACGTATGTAGTTTTTAATTTATTGAATATGGAATATAATTAGTGAAAATAACTAGATTTAATTTTATCATTTTAAACATTGGCGTGCCCTAAACGTATTTCCGTAGGATATTACCTTTGATCTTTTGTACAGTTGTAATTAACTGTCAAACAAGGAGTCTCCTGTGGGCGAGAAATATAATACCTTCAGGCACTGATGGGGTGATCGTGTTCCATGCTTTAAAACGTAAAATTGTTCAGTTAGCTATTACATTCATAATATTGTTATCTGTTTCTTTGTAAAAATTCGAAGAAATCTATGAAATTTGCGCAAACAACATTTGCTGTTTTGCATTCTTCATCTTACACGTACAATCAAGACATTTTATTTTGCTTCTGGTGTTTATGTCTCCCACATGGATCACTGTTTATTATTCTCTTGTCTTTCAATTGGCATTAAGCTACTTTAATCATAACCTGATTCGTGTATGTATTGAAATCAATTTTACAGATGTCCATATTTCGTTCAGAGTCCAATTTATGTTAATAATGTTGACGTCTTGAAGATCTTATCAAATGGTCTCGACAAAGGTAGGAGCAATTGAATAAACTCACTATATGTAAAGTTGCATCGTAAGCCATTAATGAAGATGGTTTTGTGGTAAGCTTCGTTGTGTTATGATTATAGCTTGCAAAGTATGAAAGTCCTGAAATATATAAAAAGTCACTGTGGGTGTTAGATACTGTGAAAATTTATAGCTTCAAAATTTATCGTTTTATCCCAAAAATCCATTCCAATTTGAGAGTTTAGTAGTTAGAAAAACGGTCTCTATTCTATTGGCTAAATATGTACTTTTATATAATTCATAAAATTACACAGAAAGTTATTTGCATATCCTCCGTTCCAAACCAACCTGCGAACGGGTGAGCTTAGAAACGAAAATTACTATGAAATAATAATACAAAATCTTTTACGTGTCAAGAAATTCAACTTTAAAATAGCAGTAACGAGAATTATGTTCAATAATATTGTATAGCATTTTGTTAAAAGAAAACTAATGATGGAAGAAGAATATAAAAGGATTTTAGATTGTCATCGTGATAAATTTCGTCAAGCAGTAAACATCGAAAGATTAAGTTCGTCGCTTCTTATAAGTCATATTTTGAACGAGTCAGATTGGAAAATTATTGATGATAAAAATGGGAGCGAAAGAATTGATATTTTAATAGATATATTGAAGACGAAAGGATTTGATAAATTTAAACGATTTTGCGTTATTTTGGAGACGACTTACCCCTATATGTTAAATTGTATGTTTCTTGGAATGGAACCACCAAAGAATATATACACACCAGGTATCAAGGCGATCTTTGTGACGGGATTAAACTGGGTTTTTTCGCCATCTCGTGAGAATAATTTCAATTCGAAATTAGATTGTTTATATTATCGAGAGATCTCTTTACTCATTGAAACGTTGTACACTTTCACTTCTTCATTATTATCAATTTTATTTACGATTCAGTATCGATAATGAAAAAAAACATTACCAAAATATATTACATGATCATTGAATGTGTTTTAATAGATACACAATGGAAAGTATTATGACATGGCTTTAATCTATATGTAGGTCCATGCCACATGTCCCAAAACAAGTTAAAGCTTGAACAAGACAAAGACATTAATTCAAGTGAAGGTAAATGGCAAAAAAATTGTAAGTTTTTATTTGTGAATATGCATTAAATAACATACACACTCATTCATTAAGAGGTTTATTTCACATGCAATAAATATTTGCAAAATATGTACAGGTAATGTGCCTTTATTTTTCACCATAGAAGCTTTGTGGTGATTCTTAAAATTGGGTAAAGGACATACGATTGATTTATGATTGTACTTTAGTGATATGGATGTGTGAAGTTTCATATAAAACTAAAGTATTTTTTAGTGTTTTTTATAACTATCTCCCCTTTCAATAGGATAGAATTTTGACAGTTTTAATTGTGTTATAGTTTGTGGAAAAAGTGTAGTACATCGCAGTGTTAGCATGAGTGAACATGAGTCGTGTAAAGAAACAAAATCTGTGAAATCAGAACTTAGAATTGTTCAAAGAAAGTATGATTCGGTCCTAAAGAAGTTGAAGAAAATGGAACAAGAAAGAACAGAGAAGAAAATCAGTTTAGATGAAAGAGAAGATTGTGATTATAATGATTCAATTGTACAAGAGAAAGAAAGAGAGTGTGAACTTATAAAGCAGAAATATGAAGATGCAGTGAAAGAGGTTATATATCATCTCAATAATTGTTGTGTTAAAAATGTTTTACTTGATAATAGTTATTCCTTGCATTTTGTAGTTTGTTAGTTTAGAAAAAACTATTCAATTTCTTGAGTTTTACAAACGTACTAAAATAGGTGAAAAATTGCAGGTTGAAATACTTCGAAAAAAAGTTGAAGAAGTTTGTGCTGAATGTACAAATCATTTGATGGAATCAGAACATTTTCGTAACTTGCATTTAGTTGGCCTAAATAAATGTGATCAGCTTGTTCGTGAAGCTCAAATGTTAAATCAAAAACTTAATTCAAGTGAAATGGAACGAGAAAAATTGAAACAAGATTATGAAGAGATAATTCTTCTACGTGAACAAGAAAAAAAGGAAATAAGCGAGCTTCGTGATGATAATCGACCTCCTGTTTGGAGCGAAAGTATAAATCAGGAAAACATGGAAAATTCGCATTTTAAATTTCAAATTGATGTTAAAGAATACGAAGAACTCGATAAAAGTTTTACAGATTTGAGAAAGCGTTTTTCTGGCGTCACTGTCCAGTTAGAAAATTCGGAAAAGGAGCGAACATATTGGAAACAGCAATGTGCAGTTACTAAACGTAGTTTGGAGAAAGCTGTTCAAGAGAACGAAGTGATGATTGGTCGCGTACACCAGGCTGAACTACATCGTGATGCTGCTGTCAAAGAAACAGACGAAGCACTTGCTTTACAAATGAAGGCCACACGGGAGCTGACAAAACTAAAGGTAAATCGTACATAGTCAACACACATAACTATTGAATAGGAGAAATTTCATTTTATAATTTGACTGTCATTCATGCATTCCAGTTTAGAATCTCTCGCTCGAGATGAAGTATTTTCAGGTTGAAACTTAAGACCTTATATACTCCAGTTTAGTGTCTTCATCGAGAGTGAGCTGATTTTGAAAATTGAGTTCTTATATACTCCAGTCTAATGCCTGCACAAGGAGTGATCAGATTTTGAAACTGAACTGGTTATATACTCTAGTCTAGTTTCTTAATGAGAATTAACGTTGAAGCTGCAATCCTTTAATAATCATTGTTGTGTTTTGTTGTTATGATCCTAGGATGAACGAAATAATGCGTTAAGCGAATACAGACTTGTCATGAGTGAACGCGATAGTGTTCATAAAGAGATAGATCGCCTCCAGGAAGATGCAAACAAAGCTCAAGAAGATGTTGAGAAACGCAGAAAAGAAGTGGAAAGATTAACATTTGAAAATGAAAGCGCGTTTCATGATTTAAATAATGTACAAAGCGAACGAGACAAGGTATTTATTTTTTATGTAATTCAAAATCACATCGTTTTTCATATACTTTAGTACAAACTTTCATGAACAGGCAATGAAAGAATTATACTTGGTGAAGCAACGAATGAAGCAGTTAATGTCAGACGTCGATGAACTATCGAGAGATCGCGAGAAAGCTCGCGAGGATGCTGATATGTTTCGTGAAGAACGCGACGCAGCTCGTCGAGAACGTCATGAGGCGATTATACACCGTGATAAAATACTTCGTGAATGTTTTGAAGCAAAGCAACGTCATGAGACATTCAAAGGTGACAGTAAAGAGAGTGAAATCTTAAGAAAACAGTTTGATGCTTTGTCTAAAGAACTTGCAAACGCTCTGAGTGAAGCTGAAATATCCAAGAAACGAAGAGATTGGTCCTTCAATGAAAGAGATAAAATGGCAAAGGTTTGTTTGTGTTGTTATAACATGTAAGCAACATGGTAATGCAGTAAAATTGAATTTCTTTTGGATTGTGGTCAACGATTTTTTGACATTTCTTTTCTATTTTTGAGCAATGTCTCAGCTATTTAGAACTGAAATTTACCTAGTTAGATCGTAATGTTTGTATAATTTTTGATTTTCTTTTGATACAACAAGACTTAACAAACGAAGGATTTTATCATCTTACCACGATAGGAAAGAGACGCTGCCAAAACGGCTTGTGATGTTCTACGAAAGGAACGTGACAGAGCTGTTAGTGATTTAGCAGCATTACTAAAAGACACAGATCAGATCAGACGCGAGCAGAGTAAATCAATGGAGGAGTTGAAATCTCTTCGTGAAAGAATATCTTTTAGACTTGAAACAGATACACATGGTGAAATGGTGACCAGCATGGATTCTGCTATTGATACTGACTCTTGTTTTGTAAGAATTTTTTTTTATTATTCAAATGTGATAACTGTAGTTTGTGTGTTTATGTGTGTGGTGTATTTTTTTTTTGTAGGATTGGGTGACAGAACTTGTTGTGTTAAAAAAGGTACTTTATGGGTGGGAAATACGTTATCTTCCTATTCAAGACAATTAAAGTTTTACTATTTGATCTTTTTGAACTAAGTTCTAAACTTATTCAATTTAACTAAAACGATCGTTTGCATGTATTGTGTTTTGTAGAAAAGTCCAAAAGATAAGTTAGGTTTTGATGTAGCGGCCAACAATTCAAGCATAATTATAACAAACGTTTTTGAAGACAGTCTTGCTTATGGAAAATTAAGGTAAAATTGAAGATAATGATGTGATCAACTGTATGAAAATCCTGGAGTATGATGAAACACTTACATTTTTGTAATTTTTTGTCGTCGTTTAGAGTTAATGATTGTGTACTTCGTGTCAACAATGTTGACGTTTCAGAGATGAAATATGAAAAAGCTATTGAAGCACTTAATGGAAGCAGCAATTTAAATATAGTTCGTTGAAAATATTTTATGATTATTTTTGATTGTACTAAATTATAATTTTTCTTGTTACATGTGAAAAGACTATAAATGTTTGTTTGATGTTGTAGACTGTACGTCGAAAAAAAGTAATCAATGCAAATAAGCATTTTTCCATACATCTTAAAGTGCCTCTCGGTAAAGGTAAATGTTTATTGATTTTTTATATCGCAATAAATTCCCAAAGTAATGTTTAAACAATATAAGTATATTTATGTCTGTATTTTGTGTTTTACTTGAATGTAAATGTACACTTTTTGACAGTTATGAAATTTACATGTTTGTAACTGTAGATCGTCTAGGTTGGTATAGTCCTGAGAAGGACTGTTTTAGAAGGACGATCTTCATTTACAAACATGTAACGATACTCCCGGGTTCAAACCAGTTATGAAATTTATCGTGTGTTAGAGTTGGGAATATTAATTGATGAGAATAAGACGATAAACTGGATTAAACCTGGAAGTGTGGCTGACCTGGAAAAGAGGCTTTGTCTTGGAGATGAGATTCTTACTGTAAGTTTAGAACATTGACTGTAAATTATGAAAGAAATATTTAATGGTAAATTTGCTGAAAAGTAGAGTTTTTGTTACTCTATGTTACAGAATGATCATTTCACTATAGGTCAATGGAACTCCTGTAGATGATTTATCACAAGCTGAAACTGAGGATCTTCTCAGTTCTAGTATATTGACGCTAGAAGTACAAAAGAGTCCACAAGTGTATCCCATTGAACCCCTTACATCCCTTCTTGTTGAAGTTGACGAGAAGATTAAAAAGGATTCAAGTATTCGTGAAAGAGCCGAGTTCAAAGAAGCCATGCTAGCTGACAGCTTGTCTGCACTTCAAGGGTCAGAAAAAGTTGAAAATAGTGAGATATCGAGTGCATTGCTTAATGAACTTGATGAGATGGCTTGGTTAAACGATAATTCGTCTATTTTCTCACCAAGTACGACATTAAATATGTCGCCATCTCTCACACCGCTTTATGAAGATAGAGAACCAACCGACTGATACTGGTGAGGAGTACACGACTCTGCCTACTGGACACACAATGAAGAGGAATACAAGAGGGAGAGGTGAGAATGAGAGGTGATGAATGAGAGGAAAGGATGACACACAAGGTGAGTGAGAGGGAGGTGAGTACATACATAAGAGATGAGGACACAGGACACAAGGTGAGGTGAGGAGTGAGAGAGGACACAATGATGAGGACACAAGGTGAGAATGATGAGAACACAAGGTGAGGAGAGTGAGAGTACACACAAGTGATGAGAATGAGATGAGGACACAAGGTGAGAATGAGAGGACACAAGGTGAGAGTGAGAGTACACAAGGTGAGAGACACAAGGTGAGAATGAGAGGACACAAGGTGAGAGTGTGGAACATGACGTTATATCGTTAATAAATGATAATATTTGAAAAAATATATATTTAGGTTAACAACGTTAAAACATATTCTTTACACAAGAAATCACTCCTTCACGCAATCTTCTTTTTGTATTAAGAAGTTTCAGAAGTTGTTGATCGTCGTTTTACAACAAGCTCAACAGAAAAGTCGAACGTTCCATCTACTACTCAGAGTCATACAGAGACAGTCGATTTGTCGTCGTCATACACTAGTAGACGTCACATGACATCAGGACTAGTTACCAGTTCTGTCGATGGAAACAACAAACAGGGCTCCTTAGATCTTGAAGTAAAATTTCCTACAAGGAGGAAAAATCGACCGAGATCTGCGCCTGTCGTTAGACCTGATACTTTAATGATGGAAAGCAATCGTATCATTTCTACAGGCAATACAACATTACCTCGCAGAACTCATATCCATCCTCCTATATCCCCATCTGATCCTCTATCTTTGTCTCCACGTCCAAATCATTTATCTGGCAGACTACCTTCCACCAATCCGCCTGCCTTTAGCACTCTGTATAGGTCCCAAAATAAACATTTGCCATTACAGGCAAAGTCTGCCCTATCGTTTTCTGCGTTAAGTGAACACAGTGATCCGTCTCCATCCACGGTAAATGTTGCATCACACTCGTCCCTTCCCGAAGAGCCAGAAATAGAGGAATCCGTTCCTGATGTTCGGTCGAGAACATGGACTCAGCCAAGAAGTTTTTTAGATCAAGAGGTGATAACATCTCTTTGTTCCTTTTAACAACTATCAACTCTGTTTTGTCAATCTTGTCTTCAGAAAATTATGTTTTGTAGTTGTAATTTGGGCTTTACTCTACTTTGTGAACAATATCTCATCCAAGGATGTACCTAGAACAATTATTTACTTACATGTCAATATTTAATGTTTAATTTATAGTTTCCAAAACGTTATAAACGTTGCACATCACCACAAACACTTCCCAAGTCGTCAAAAGATTCGGGTCGGTCAAGTCTTCCACGTCAACGACGAGTAAAATCCACTTCTTCTTATACCCAATCTTTCAACACTATCGAAACTCAATCGATTATCTCGGATCATTCAAGTTGTCGATTAAGCTCAATTGAATCAACATCCGCTCAGAATACAACTCATATTCAATCTACTTCTGCCTATCTACGTGATATCACTCCAGTTATTCATATCAATCAACATGAATCCGACAATGGAGATAAGTATGTTACTATTTTAAAGTGTTGGAATTTTTATGCCGCCATTTTGAAGGACCAGTTTCTTATTAAATACAAAAAAGCTTCCAACTATGAAATGCTGAAGTTTTAAAACAACCTCATTTTTTTCTGACTTACATCGTTGGAAATGGCTAAAAATAAAAACTATATTTATAGAAATACTGAAAAAATCCGTGAGCTGCATATCGAGAAGAACTCCTATCCACTCGGTATTCAAATTTCTGAGGGATTTTCTGGTGGAATTTTTGTAACAACTGTAACTGAAGGAAGTATTGCGCAGAAAGCTGGATTACGTTATGGCGATCAAATTTTGGAGGTATAAAAAATATGTTACTACTGTTCATCCATTTTTACCATTTTTATTTGGCGTAACGAAAAAATGACATTTTATCTCATCTTGTTGTGTGTATTCCAATGCTGATAGATTTTCTCGACTAGATGTTTTTGTTGAAATACGGTCTTTTTGCTTATCCTTTTCCCAGTTTAATGGCATCAACTTTCGCTCAGCTACCTACGGTCAGGCTGCATTGATATTGGGTCAGGCTGGAGGCAGCGTTCGTCTTATGGTCCAACATAACCCACAAAGTAAGAAAAATACACTGGTACGAGAAATTTTCTATCGGATTTTCAATTCTTTTAATTCACGCATTTGTGTTTTTAGAACTCAAAGAAAATACGATTGACAATTCAAATAGGTAATTGTAATTTAAGCATACACTTGTATCAGCATGGTGAGAGAAGAACAGAGAACGAGAATAGTCTTTACACTATCTAAAATATAAACTAAGATAACGTGTGTCAGTGTAGGTAGTCATGAATGAACAACAGAGAATGAGAACAGTCTTTACACTATCTAAAATATAAACTAAGATAACGTGTGTCAATGTATGTAGTGATGAATGAACAACAGAGAATGAGAACAGTCTTTACACTACCTAAAATATAAACTAAGATAACGTGTGTCAATGTAGGTAGTGATGAATGTAGAACAGAGAATGAGAACGATCTGTGATCATGATTTTTTCCCCATATAGTCATGATCTTTCTCAAGACAATGCTCCTGTAGGGGACAGTGATCTAACACCACCTGTACCAAGACGATTGTGAGTTATTTCTGCACTGTTTTTTTTCTCTTTGTCTTGTACGTACGTATTAAAGTCCTTTCCTTTTAGCGTTCCGACTAATGATGTAGAAGCGCCGAGTGAGTCACGATACATCACGACAGATCAAACTGTCCATACATTAGGGCTGAATATACTTGGTGGAAATGCGACTGGTATTTTTGTCTGTGATGTAAAATCTCCTGGTTATGTTTTGGGAATTAGGACTGGGGACCAAATTCTCCAGGTACATAAATCGTCGTATTTTTATTATTCAAAATTAGTTACGAATATTTTAAAATTACTCAAATGTATGGTGATTCTTTTCAAAATCAGTTTCTAACGATGTTGAATTTTCAAGTGAATTATGACTTTATTATTGCTATGCTAATGACATCATTATTTCTGTGACAATGAATAAAAATATTTTGATTATTAAATCGATTTGTTAACATTTCGTTCAAACTATTGCTCTTTTAGTTCAATGGTTTTGATTTTACTGCTATAACACTGGAACAAGCCACATTGGAGTTATTTAAACCTTGTGAAAAGATTAATATGCGACTACAGTACAATTCTGCAAGTGAGTTCAATGATTTCTGTACATATGAATACAATCTATATAAATTTATTACTGAATAACATTCTTTCCATATATGAATTTATTTTTGCACACATCATGTTTCTTTGAGTTCATTTTCTTACGATAGAATACAACGTGATAAAAGACCATCCAGGTGATTCACTTTACGTAAGGTAAAATGTTTTCAGGAAACTCTGATAACTTTTTCATTATAAGGTTATCTATTTAACGAATAATCAACCGAATTTTGTATTCAAAACTTTTTGTTTTTTTGTCAAGAGATCAAAGACAATTGTCTTTCAGAATTTACAGTCAGTTCCTATGAATAGCCTTAGCTAAACTAGTACTTATTATAGGTTTACTTGTCTTTCGTCTACCTAGACATTTATATTCTAAGCTTTCTATTCTATTTCATTTTTTGTTCGTGTAGGGCTATGTTTGACCATTGTGCATCTACCAAAGATCAGTTATCATTCAAGAAAGATGACATCCTCTACATCACAGATACATTATACAATGGTCACGTGGGTAGTTGGAAAGCTTGGATCGTCAACAAGGAAGACGCACAACAACGAGAAAGTGGAATGATACCAAGTCGAATGAAGTATGCAACATTTATTTTTATTATCTACAACAAATTGTTAATATTAAATCTTTTTTATGACAGAGCTGATCAAATACTTCTGCTACGACTTAGTGTTGGTCAAAGTGATGTTGATAATAAACTCGCTGGAAGAAGAAGTTTTTTCCGTCGCAGCAAGAAAGGCAGTTACAGTTTTAACGTTGGCCATTCGCAAGAGAGTAGTGATACAACACTTTCTACATGCACGGGTACGATTTTTATATTTTATTGTAACTATGTATATCGGAGGCTACATGGAATAAATTTTAAATTTTTTCTTTAGAACTACCTGTTTCTTATCAAAACGTTGAAAGACTTGACAGCAAGTGTCATCGATTTTCTTACAAACGTGTTTTCATAACGAGATTTCTTAGTCATCTATATTGTTATTTTAGGTCATTATCCGAGACCTGTAATAATTTTGGGTCCTCTTGCTGATGTCGTTAGTAAAAAATTAGCCACAGGAGCTCCATACAAATTCACTACTTGTTACAATCGTGAGTTATTTAGAATTTTAATTCTTAACTATTATGTCCATAAGAAACTATTGTTAATCCATGCTATGTGGAGAACGACTGCAACATAAAAAGCTCCGCTACTATTTGACATCTATATCTATATCTTAACACAAAGGAAACTACATCGTACACAAAATAAAAAATTTCTCAACAAGTAGTTATGTAGACTATAGCATGTGATAGGTTTTAATAAAAATGTGTTTATTTGCCACAAAGTCAATGAATGTTCGCTTCATGATATATAAATCAAAATTCCATGGGAGTCAATAGATAAATGAAATAAATGTATTAATCATTGATTCAAATTTCAGGCATCGTTTTTAAAACATTGCACTCTCTTTGAATCCTAACTTTCTTTTCTTTTCCCTTCTTTTTCTCTGATCATTTGATAATTTATTTAGAACTTACGTCTGCTTCAGAAGCCGAAATCAAAAAAGCAATTTCCGAAGGCTTGTATTTGGATTATGTTGTGAAGGATGGTCTCTTCTACGTCACTTTAATGTCTACCATCAAGGATAACATGGATAAAGTTTGTTGATAAGATATGACAAATAGATACAAAAGACGAATAGCTTTGATGAGAGCATTGCGTTTTTATTCTCAGGTAAAGCATAGTATCCTTGAGGTTTCACCTCTTTCCATTGAAAAATTACGTCATCAACGTGTGCATCCCATTGTCATCTTCGTGAAGTTTAAATCACCTAAACATATAAAGTAAGTTTTTGTAGAAGCATTGCATCTTTGATGTTTGTCATATTTAGCCTTTTTTTATAACTTTATCAGAGCTCTTTTCTTTTTTTCCACGTATTTTTACAACTTATTTTGAGTCCAAAACATTTTTATTATATTTTACCCAGAGAGCAGAGTGACACCAAAAATCTCCACTTGAAAGTCTCGACAAAAGAAGCGAGAGCAATGTATGAATATTCAAGTAGAATGGAACAAGAATTTAGATCAGAATTTACTGGTATAATCACTCAAATTAGTACAAAACAGTTATGTGTACTGTTGTGGAGTTGCTTTTTTTTATCATTTAGCCGTGATTCCTGGATCAAATATCAACACATTATTTTCCCAAATACAAGACATTGTTGATGAGCAGCAGAAGAAAACATTGTGGATTCCAGTTCCATCAAATTTGTGTTAATTTTTCATTGTATATAAATAGATAGTAACTTTTTGCTTTTTTTATTAGTGTATTGTTAGTGTGACATAAATGAAGTAATGATAGGTAGAACAACAGTTATGGCAGGCTCATAAACATGTGTATATTTTTTATTAGGGAAAATTGTACAAAATATATTTTTTTATGATTTTAACATTTTTTTCTTCAAATGGGGAGACTTAGTCGACATAGAAAAATAAAATCATGCGACCCTTTTTATAAAGGACGGAAAATTTTCGATACAAGGTATTTGGTCATTGATGTTTCTGTCAACTTGTCAACATTTTTTTCAAAGATGTTCATCTTGATAAAGTATCTATAACGTTTCTATGTAAAGCTCTAATAATCCTGTTAATGTCTCTCAACTGGATCATCAACCGGTTCCAAGGAAAGCTAAGACTTTGTTAAATGTAAGGATTTCAGTGAAACAAAAAGGCAAGTTAATTATCTGTTACTACGTTCTTGTACTGAAACAACAGTTTCATTAGGTATTTTACTGTTATGTTTTTTTTGTTGAACACAGAAAAGAAAAAGGTTGTCAATAATGGTGTGAGGAAGCAACTTGATATTGATAAAAAACCAGGAGAGACTCGGAGAGAATTTTATCAAAGATTAGATAAAGAAGCTGCAGAAGAAATAAATAAAATTCTTTTGAAACAGAAACATGTCAGTCAAAAGAGAAAAGAGTAAGCACTAATAAATTATGATGTTTGTAAATAATTATAAAAATTTATGTAGTATTTTGTAAATTAAGATTCTTAAAGATACGGAAGCAAAAACGCAAAGGAAGGAAACTACAAGACCTAGAAAAAGACTTCACTACAGGTTTGTGATATTACACATGATGGTTTAGTTAAATAATAAATCAATATTCTTGTATTTGTTAGAAAAAATTAAATTTGGGGATATTGTTGAAGAACCACCAAGTTTCACAGCTACACCTAAGCAAAAGACTGAGGCAAGTAAAAATGATCGAGTTAAATCATTGCTATTAAATGATAAATTCAAAAGTAACGCAGACATAAATCATGAGCAAGAAGCTACTATACCACTAAAGACAAAAAAACGTAAACACATGAATGCATTTGAAAAGCAGATCAGTGATAAAGTAAGACTTGATGCAATCAATGCTTATAGAAATATAAAAAAGAAACGTTCAGGAAAAACATGATTGATAAATATGTTATGGGTTATGTAACAAATGTAACATTTAATTTGAAACAATATTTTGTTGCATTTTTAACGAATAAAATCTCGCGGTCGTCCATAGGGGTCTGGGGACTACTAATATGGCGGATTTTCTTCCTTTTGAATAACATTTACGGCAAGTGCAAATGTACGATATTTATGAGGAGTAAATTCAGGGAAAAGCAATTTTAATGTTAAGACAATCGCTAAAATTTGGTAAATATATTCAAATGGACCATTGATTGCATTTGAAATCAGCTGTCTACATAATTCATTATTCTTTTTGAATATTCTTATTGAGCATGAGTGGTGATGCTGTAGAGATGACGAGGCCAGGCGGTAATCTGCCAGATTCTGTGACAGGTTTTAAGACAATAGAAACTATAGGTAGGCTTGTTTTGTTGGTCATCCAACGGTTTTGGCGGTTATGCAGTGCAGCAACGTTAACATTGTTATTGCTTTATTGGCTCTACGGTGGCATTATAACATTTCTTCTCCTGACAGCTGCAGTGTTTGGTCTTCTTTACTTTTACCAAGATGCTTTGCTTTTTTTTCCTGATCAACCTGAATCTTCACGGGTGTTTGTACAGACTCCACACAAATTTGGTTTACCATTTGAGAATTTTTATCTCAAGACCAAAGATGGCATACGAATCAATGTCATGCTTATTAAGCAGCAGGGATCTCGTTTATCCATAGCACCAACTGTTGTATTTTTTCATGGTAATGCTGGTAACATTGGCCATCGTTTAATAAACAGTCATGCATTGTACAAGAACTGTGGATGTAATGTGTTTCTTGTTGAATATAGAGGATATGGACGTAGTGATGGCTCACCAAGTGAGAGAGGTGATGATTTTTTCATTTTATGAAAACTTTTATAGTTGATGTCAATTTCCCAAGGATGTTTAAAATTCTTTCTTTTAGGTATTTTGCTTGATGCTCAAGCTGCAATAGAATACATCAGAGGTCGAAAAGACGTAGACAATACAAAAATTATTGTATATGGTCGTTCTTTGGGGGGAGCTGTTGCAATCAATTTGCTCTGTCAGTCATATTTCACAGATAAAGTCTTTGCAATGGTTGTTGAGAATACATTCACTAGTATACCACAAATGGCAGATCAACTTATTGGTCATGGTCTCAATCGCTTGCCAATGTTTTGTTTCAGAAATCAGGTTTGTAGAGAAAGATGATCATTGAATTCTCTTAAATAGTCATTTATTATTAAATTTCTTTTTAATATGTTTTTATAGTTCAATTCTTTGAAGAGTATATGCAAAGTAAAGATTCCTTCTTTGTTCTTGTCTGGGTCAAATGATCAACTTGTTCCTCCTGCAATGATGTACAAACTATACGAGGTCTGTTTGCAAAAGTGATTGGAATGAATTATTTCTGACTGTTTTAGCATTGATTGTTTATTTTAGAACTCTGGTGCTGTGATGAAAAAACTAGAAACATTTGATTGTGGTTCCCATAATGACACATGGCAGTGTAAGGGTTATTTTGAAGCCTTCAGTAGATTTTTGATTGAGGTTTGTTAGAAAAATTTGGAGAACTAATACATTTGTCAAACTTTTTGATATGGATGCTTATATTTTCTAGGTTTATGAAGCAAGACAAAATGGATTAATAATAACATCAGATTCAAAGACTAATGTGGAAGCAGAATTTGACAATGTTCACAAACCAACGAGACATTTATGAAAAACAAATACACGGTGATTATTTAAAAAATATCACTGTTTGCTACAAGTAGCCATTGAATGTTAAGAGTAAAAAAGTGAAAAATCAAATGCAACAAAATGTTCAAAAATTGTTAAGATCAGGAGTCAAGTTTCTCTCGATGATGGGGTGCCATGAAGTTGAGATCTGGTCCAATAGACACAATACCATGGGGATTGATCATTCGATGACTTTGCTGCATAGAATATGAAAAGAAATGATAACACAAAAGTCCTACAATTGAATAACTAGACAAACTAACATTAGAAGAAGTACAAGAAATATACCATATAATGCTTTTTGATATGCTCAAAATTCACAGTTTCAGCAATCTTGGGAAGCTGATACACATCCCGTGTGTAACACCAAATATTGGGATAGTCTTTCAACATCTTCTTGTTGCACTAAGATTGGTAATGAAATCATGGAAATTATTATCAAAATGAAATGACAATAATAGTTGAATAACATTTGATACACACACTCATCAAGACATACATACCTTGAAATGGCCATGATAAACACAATCAAACCTCACCAGAGTTGTGAATAACCTTACATCAGCTTCAGTAAATTTACTTCCAGTAACATACCTTTTTGTTGACAATATGTTTTCTAACTAATATCAAATACAAATTAATATACTCAAATGCCATGAAGGTGTTATATCTTATCAAGATAATCTTGTCAAACTTCATAACCTCAACATACTTTGTCAAGAGCTTCAAATAGTGTTGCAACTGCATTGTCATATGCTTCTTGTGTTGTTGCAAATCCACACCTGTACACTCCATTATTTATGGTCCTATAGGTCATTGAAAAAAACTCATAAATTATGAATATTGGAATAGAAATTATGAAGGTAATTTATGAAATGTCACATACGGATAGACCCATTCGTTTATTTCATCAATCTCTTTCTGCAATTCCTTGGGATACAAGTCAATCTCTTTTTGTTCCACTGTCTCACAGAAAGCATTAAATTCAGAATTCAACATACGAATGATTTCACTGGATTCGTTGTTCACTATCTTTTTTTGAAATTTATCAAATAACACAGGGACTGTCCAACGCCCATCATAACCAGGTTGAGCGAGAGCATAGATCTCACTTAGATAAGAAAAGCCATTTAGGGAATCTTTAGTTGCTCCAGGTTTACCTGTGTTGTATTATAAAAAATGTTGATATCAAAAACATGAAACAGTATGGGGTAAATATAAGCATTATCAACTCATTAAATGCTATGTAAACAAACTTAAATTATACCTACCTTCTGTATCAAATTTCCAACCTTTATCTTCCATTAACCAGTCGACAACATCTACACTAATTACTTTTTCAAGTCCTTTAAGTTTGCGAACAATCAGAGTTCGATGGGCCCACGGACAAGCCAAGCTGACGTACAAATGATAGCGATTTGGTTCTGCCTTAAATTCGCTTGAACCATCTGCTGTAACTCTCTCTCGAAAGTTTGACTTTTTTCGCACAAATTCTCCTTTTTCGTTTGTACTAGGTTTGTATGAATTGTTGCTCTTTGTCTCAGCACTCATCTTTAAAAAGTTTAACTGTCCTTTACCGAAGAAAGAATTTAAAAAGGATAAATCGAAAAACCTCTTAATGACAGAAGATTTGTTTATTCTTAATAACCTCAATGTCATCTGGGTGCGGTTTTAGTTGTTATATAACATATTCATTACTAAAGGATTTCGTCTATTTTTTCAATATATTAAATAATTTTTCAAAATTTAGGAAGAGAAGCAGTTGCTTGATGAAAAACCAATGTAATTTCTAAAGATTGGCTAGAAAAAAACTCAAAATTTGTAAAATTCATGAGGATTAAAAACATTCTTAATTTACATTAGAATGCTTACACTTGAGTTACATGAAGTAATGAAAATAACAATAAACCTTCACAAACAATTCAATAGTATGGACAAAATTATATCCCAAAACGAAGGATTTTATCATAGTTTCAATGAAATTCTTCTCGCAACAACAGTGGGAGTAATAAGCTTTCCTCTATCTCTTGGATCCTTGCAAAAGTTGCTTTTCAAACCTTTAAGAATAACGAGCAAACTGCCAAATTCATTTGTGTCAATTTGTGGTGTTGTTTCAGTGTTTATTTCTGGCGTCACTGCATCAGGCGCTTTTATTGTCACATTTAAAGCTTCTAATAGTTATTTCTGTAGAGATGAAATGTCTCGACAAGAATCATATTTCGAGTTTAACACGCACCAAAAAGATATTTTCCTGTGGGGTTTTGCAAGCCTGGCAATATTTAAAGTTTTTGGTGGTAAAGGACGGTACGTTATACCGAGTCATCTTTTTTGGCCTGGAGCTTTTGCAAAGAGATCTATACCAGCTGCAGGAAGAAACTATGCCAGACCTTCTGTCAAGAAAAAGCTATATTTACTTGGTTAGTTCGTTGTCGTCGTCAATGGTGTCGTAAATCATTTAACAATATGTAACAATAGTATTTTGTTTTCTTCATCAAAGTGTAGGTAGACGTTATGGATGTCATTCCTGTGGGAAAAAAAGACAAAAGGATTTTATTGCTGACCACATACCACCAAACAAGCTAGTGAATTCATATCAATCACAAAACTTTTATCCCCAATGCAAAACATGCTCGCAGAAACAAGGTTATTTTACAAAATCGTTTTCTCCTTCAAACATTTCAAAAGATATAAGTATAGTTCTTTTTTAGTTTATTATTAAAATATATTTAAGGTTAGTTTTACTTTATGTTATTTTTAGGTGGAGCATTGTCATCTCTGAATTCTTTCAATGCAATAAAGACCCATGGAATGACACTAAGATTATATCATTTTTGGCTACCTGTGCCTCTTGGAGTTGCTCTTTTACAAAACAATTTTGCAGAAGTTTGTTTTGTTTAGTATTATCATCCTCCGTGCAATGAAATAATTATTATTTTTAATATGGAAACTTACGTATTGAGTTTATCAATAAAATCTTTAAACGTTCATTTCTTATTTTGTTGTTCTGTTCTACGTTAATTTTATTCAAAAATTATTTCACTCAACTTTGTCAATAACCATAGCTACGACTTTCATCTGTTCATACAGGTAAATGATGAAAAATTTTAAAATCTTTCAATTTGTCAAAGCAATGTTGTTTAGTAGCCATAACTTTACTTCCTTGTCAGGCGTGTTCTGGGATTCTAAAGATCTTTCTTATTTGATAAAAGAAGCGTGGGTTTCTTACCATGTCATCAAAGAAATAGAAAAATTATTTCTAAGAGTGCTAAAGATATTGTTTTATCTTTTAATCTGAAGGGGGAATTTTTGTTTCACAATGTTCGAGTTGCATGGTTTCAGATTAAGATTTAACTATATTTAAAAATTGAAAAAAATGTTGCTTACTTCATATGCTCTTGAGCAGGAATTTGTTTCAAAGATGTTTTATGAGTTTCAAAGAACGATATTGGCCCATTTTATGTGAAGAAATGGTATAAAAATGTGAGTTAAGCTTCCAAAATTTATACCATATCGGCATTGAAAAGAGACAGTATAGCAAGAGTGGAAGACAGGAATTTTGAGTTCGACGCTGAAAAGATGAATTTTAAAATCGTCGCAGTTTTTTGCCTCCTTTTTGCTTTAAACTTGGTCACAGCATGTAAGTATATATTTCTTTAATTCTGAATAATTTTATTGTTTTATCAATGAAATGATAGCAAATGGTATTTTGGTTTTACAAATTATCAAAGCTTTCGATTTGTTCAACTATATATTTTCTTCAATTTTGGATTATATCAACACTTGTAATGTATCTAAATACTTTTCTAGATGACTATAATGGTCAGTTAGATGACAATGTCAAAGAAGAAAATGATGAATTAAATGAAAATGACGAAGTCAGTCAAACTGATATAAAACCAGCTGAAAGTGATGTCGCTGATGAGAAGAGCATTCAAAGTGACATTACAGATCTTGCTCAACGTGATGCAGAAGCTTTACATAAGAAAAAAGGATGTAAGATAATTGAAGTATTTTAATGACATTTTACATCATAAAAACCAGCTGAGTTTATAATACTTTCTTTCTTTTATTACAGTTTGTCATTGGGGAATTAAAGCTTGGTACAAACCTGGAGTTCAGATTCGTTGTAAATGTATGAAATGGTATGTATAGCTATATCAATGTCATACATCGTTATTTACTGTGAAATTGTTGGACTATCTTTAATGTTTTCTTTGTAATCTTTATTTCATCTTTTTTCTTTAAATTTCTCAGTACATGTCGACCAAAAGGAATTTGGGACTGTAAATATAATTTTGCTTACTGTCCTTACTATTGTAAGTATATCTTTACTTTTAAGCACGTAGTTATGTTTCAAAATTTTGTTGTGAAGACGATGTGCAATGTAGTTTGCAAATCGAAAGCTTTGATTCATTTATTTATAGAAATAAACATAGACTTCAAAAAAAGAATAAGAATTTTCAAAAGAGTTTAAAAAAAATGTTTTAAAAAAATGCCTCTTAGTGATTTATGTCTCTATTTTCTCTCTCCTCTCCTTAGATTGTGGTAACGAAATCTTCAATCCAGATAAACAGATATGTTGTTGTGGCAAAGTTTACAACAAGAGAAGATCCTACCAATGCTGTGGTTACTTTTACTACAATACTCGTTATTCTAAATGTTGTAAACACGACACTGTTAAACCAAAGAAAATTGCTTGTCCACGTCACAAAATTTAAGAAGCTGGTCCTTCCAATTTCATCTTATCTTTTTCAGTAATGCAGTTAGATACAAATATCTGACATTTTGTTAATGAGTAGTTTTTAGAAATGATTTATACTGAATGTATTTTGTGCAAATTTTGAAAACTTTTAAATAAAGTGTTTTGACGGATATTTTGTTTGTTTTTCTGTTTGTTTGTCATTTTCGTAAAAAGATCGAATTTTGTCGTTATGAACAATCGAAATATTGCTTTGAAAATTTCAATTGCCAGATTGAATTGGCAAAAAAATAACCCGAGAGCTCTAAACAAAACTGTTTTAGAACCCTTGGGTTATTTGGGTTATTATAAACCATTTTCGTTATTGACTTGACTTATGATGAACAAAAAACAAAACTGAAGAAATTGTTGTTCATATTTTATACATTTCTCAGCCAGTAAAATACATGCCAAACAGACATGACCAAAAAGCATACATTCTTGATTCGATCGTTTTAGACAGGCAACTGCATATTTTTTATGGAAACACAAAGAAAAGTTATTTTTCAAGTTATTTTCTTCTGTAATTTGTAACTATAAACGCCTGATATTGTTTGGAGAAGCTAAAGGCTATGTTGCATGCTCTCAGTCATTATTTTGGTCTTGAAGAATATTGTAAAGACATCAATCTCAGCTGTAGCAAATGGTGGATTTTAAACACTCCCTTAACGTATTCGTAATTGAATATATATCAACATTGTTTTTCAAACTCTTTATCAATGCGTAGGCAAAAGTTCTGGTTGTCAACTTGTCATTCTTGTAAGAAAGACAAAAGAACTTTATTGCCAAACACATATATCACCAAACAATTAAATCCTTAATGAACTCTTTAAATAAAGACACATGAAACAGGACTTAGACTATTGCTATATTCAGTCTGTCTAGCCACTTGCCCTAGTAGACATTGCACTTATCAAGAAACAATTTTTGCATACATTAATTCTGTTCAAAACATTACTCCAACTTTAACGAGATAAAATTATTGATTCAATGAAATGAGAAAATGCATGTTGTGAAATGAAGATGTGAACGAATTATTTTATGAAATTTTTGCCTTGAATAAAACGAGTAACGAACAACTAAATCTAAAAGAGTCGTAATTTTGGTTTGTTTTCTTCTTGCTCTTAATGTTGACATTTCCTTCTTCTATAGTCTGCAACCCGTGGCCTGACACCATCGGACTCACATACAATGTAGACAAATTGGTGATATTAATAATTGCTATGTGTGTAGACTAGATATACAAATCTATGATTAACATTCTTGCCAAATATAAAGTTAATTGCTTTTCGTTACCTATAAATGCCACATCAGAAATAAACGACTATACCCATGTTCTCTTTGAATCAAATATATTCGATAATACGTGAACTTACTTAAAATATTTACCACATAAAATTGTTAAACTCAAGATTTCAAATATGTGGACTCACTTTTTGCAAGACTCTTTTTTAGTTATAGCACATGTTTGGCATGTGTGAATTAAGTGTCTCTTTGAATAACTAAATTGTTTTATTTTCTCTACAACCATGGCTACTGTTATTTACCAATGAAACATGATTCATTTTTTCTATCTATACTGAACGTCTTAAATCAATTAAGCTTTTAACTCGTCAAAACAATGTTGTTTAGTTGCTAAGATTTTTCTTCAATGTTCGATGTGTAAAGGGATTCTAGACTTATTTGTTGAAAGACGCGTGGTTTTCTTTCCATGTCATCAAAGAAATAGAAAATTATTTCTAAGAGAACAAAAGATAAAGTTTTCATCTTATAATTTAAATAAAAGCTGATTTTAAACTAGCATTTTTGCTATAAAGTCGTTTTATGAGTTTCAAAGACGTTTTTTATGAGTTTCAAAGATGTTTTATGAGTTTCAAAGAACGATATTGGTCCATTTTATGTGAAGAAATGGTATAAAAATGTGAGTTAAGCTTCCAAAATTTAAACCAACTCGGCATTGAAAAGAGACAGTATAGCAAGAGCGAAACACAGGAATTGTGAGTTCAACGCTTGGAAAAGATGAATTTTAAAATCGTCGCAGTTTTTTGCCTCCTTTTTGCTTTAAACTTGGTCACAGCATGTAAGTATATATTTCTTTAATTCTGAATAATTTTATTGTTTTATCAATGAAATGATATCAAATGGTATTTTGGTTTTACAAATTATCAAAGCTTTCGATTTGTTCAATTATATATTTTCTTCAATTTTGGATTATATCAACACTTATAATGTATCTAAATACTTTTCTAGATGACTATAATGATAAAGTGCATTATCAGTTAGATGACAATGTTGCAGATGAAAATGATCAGTTAGATGACAATGTTGCAGATGAAAATGATGAGCTTGATGACAATGTCAAAGAAGAAAATGATAAATTAAATGAAAATGACGAAGTCAGTCAAACTGATATAAAACCAGCTGAAAGTGATGTCGCTGATGAGAAGAGCATTCAAAGTGACATTACAGATCTTGCTCAACGTGATGCAGAAGCTTTACATAAGAAAAAAGGATGTAAGATAATTGAAATATTTTAACAACATTTTACATCATAAAAACCAGCTGAGTTTTATAATACTTTCTTTCTTTTATTACAGTTTGTCATTGGGGAATTAAAGCTTGGTACAAACCTGGATTTAATATCCGTTGTAAATGTATGAAATGGTATGTATAGCTATATTAATGTCATTCATCGTTTATTTACTGTGAAATTATAACTATACTAACCTGGACGATCTATATCTACAAACATGTAAATAAAGATTGTAAAGAAAACATTTAAGATAGTCTCAACAATTTGACTCTGTCACTTGACTCTGAAGATGACTACCGCTAAGGTTGTCGAAACGTCAGTCGACAACAACAAAAATAGTCCTTCTCAGGACTATACCAACCTGGACGATCTACATTTACAAACATGTAACGATACTCCCGGGCTCAAACCGTTTACTTTAATCTTTATTTAATCTTTTTTTTTATTGAATTTCTCAGCACATGTCGACCAAAAGGAATTTGGGACTGTAAATATCATTTTGCTTACTGTCCTTACTATTGTAAGTATATCTTTACTTTTAAGCACGTAGTTATGTTTCAAAATTTTGTTGTGAAGACGATGTGCAATGTAGTTTGCAAATCGAAAGCTTTGACTCATTTATTTGAAGTAAACATATACTTTAAGAAACTGGACAAAACATTAAAAATTAAAAAAAATGTTTCAAAAAATGTTCTCTCAACATCAAAATTTTTTGTGATTGATCAGTATTTTTAAAAACTTGTTCATTTTATCCTCACTCCATATTCCCTTTAATTGTCTAAATTTTTATTTTTAAATTGGCGAATCTCTATTTTCTTGTTCATGTCTTAGATTGTGGTAACGAAATCTTCAATCCAGATAAACAGATATGTTGTTGTGGCAAAGTTTACAACAAGAGAAGATCCTACCAATGCTGTGGTTACTTTTACTATAATACTCGTTATTCTAAATGTTGTAAACACGACACTGTTAAACCAAAGAAAATTGCTTGTCCACGTCACAAAATTTAAGAAGCTGATCCTTCCCATTTCATCTTATCTTTTTCAGTAATGCAAGTTAGATACAAATATCTGACATTTTGTTAATGAGTAGTTTTTAGAAATGATTTATACTGAATGTATTGTACTATTTAAATAAATTGTTTTAATGCAAATTTTAATGGTTTTTCTGCTTCTTCGTCATTTATTTTTGTAATTTTCTTTTTTCACTGAATGAAAAGATATTTTGACCTGAAGGATGAACGAAAAGTTAAACCTTGAAAACTGAGAAATGTTGAGTTTACATTTTTGTACATTTCACGAGCATTAATGGCCAAAAAGCTTGCATGCAACGATGCAAGATTTCAAATGGTTTCCTGTTTTTTATATATGTTTAGCTTTCAAACATTTTACTCAACTTTTTACAAGAAATATTTTGATTAGGAATCATGTTGTGTTTAGAGGCAAAGAATACTATATATTGCCCTTAGTCATTTTTTTTCTGGGAACATTGCAAAAACACAAGTCTTATGCAGCTGTAGAAACTAGTGAATTCTCCCTTAATATCCTTGTCGCGATCGTCAGTCATTAAATATAGCGAAATTGTTTTATGGAATTCTTTATCAAAGCGTAGGCAGAAGTTATGGTTGTCAATCAAGTGAGAAGATGAGACAAAAGAACTTTTTTGCGAAACACTTATATCACCAAAGAATTAAATTCTCATTTATGTACGAACTCATTCTATAAAGACACACGAAATAATGCTTTGAATGTTACGATGTGAATTTCTGTGGCCATTTGCCCTTATAGAAATTCCACTTATCAAGAAACAATTTTTGCACACAATTCTGTAATTTCTATTTAAAATCAATGCTCCACAGAACAACATAATGATTCTATTAAATGAAAAAATGCATTGTGAAATGTATCAGTTGACGAGTTATTTTATGAATATTTTTTTCTAGAATAAGACATGAAACAAAATAATTACTCAACTAAATCTTAAAAGATTCGTAATTTTGGTTTGTTTTCCTGTTGCTGTTAATTTTTGACCATTCCTTCTTCTAGTCGACTTCCAGTGGTCTGACATTTTAACAATCCCGTTTTTTTTCTTGTCTACTGTCAGTGGTCTGACTCACACTTTAGATCAATTGGAAAAATTGCTACAATTGTTATAAGCATACTACATTTATATATGATTTAGCTTGCCTAATCAGGTTTTAATATAAGTCAGAATACTTGATCAAAAGTAAACAACTGTAGCCACCAATGTCCTCTGGACTTTGATAAAATCATCTTTCATATTTTATCGTCAAAATATCCATCGTAAGATGTGTCAACAAGATTATTAAAATAATTTTAAATGTGTGGTCGCATATAACTCTTTTTTTTCTGCTTGAGTAATTTACAAATGTAAAGAGTCGCTTTAAGTAAACAAATTGTTTTATTTCCTCTACAACCATAACTACTGTTTTCTCCCAATGAAACATGATTCATTTCTCGTATCTGTTCTGAAGGTCTTTAATAAATATTTAAGTAAATCTTTCAACTCGTCAAGGCAATGTTGTTTAGTTGCTAAGATTTTTCTTCAATGTCTGCTATATGTATTTGTTGAAAGACGCGTGGGTTTCGTTACATGTCATCAAAGAAATAGGAAAATTATTTCTAAGAGAACAAAAGATAAAGTTTTTGTATTCTTTAATCTGAATGAAAGCTGCTTTAAAACTAACATTTTTGTTTCACAATGTTCGAGTTGCATGGTTTCAGATTAAGATTTAACTATATTTAAAAATTGAAAAAACTGTTTCTTACTTCATATCCTCTTGAGCAAGAATTTGTTTCAAAGATGTTTTACGAGTTTCAAAGAACGATATTGGCCCATTTTATGTGAAGAAATGGTATAAAAATGTGAGTTAAGCTTCCAAAATTTATACCAAATCTGCATTGGAAAAGACAGTATAGCAAGAGTGGAAGACAGGAATTGTGAGTTCGACGCTGAAAAGATGAATTTTAAAATCGTCGCAGTTTTTTGCCTCCTTTTTGCTTTAAATTTGGTCACAGCATGTAAGTATATATTTCTTTAATTCTGAATAATTTTGTTGTTTTATCATCGACATGATAGCAAATGGTATTTTGGTTTTACAAATTATCAAAGCTTTCGATTTGTTCAACTATACATTTTCTTCAATTTTGGATTATATCAACACTTGTAATGTATCTAAATACTTTTCTAGATGACTCTAATGATAAAGTGCATTATCAGTTAGATGACAATGTTGCAGATGAAAATGATCAGTTAGATGACAATGTTGCAGATGAAAATGATGAGCTTGATGACAATGTCAAAGAAGAAAATGAGGAATTAAATGAAAATGACGAAGTCAGTCAAACTGATATAAAACCAGCTGAAAGTGATGTCGCTGATGAGAAGAGCATTCAAAGTGACATTACAGATCTTGCTCAACGTGATGCAGAAGCTTTACATAAGAAAAAAGGATGTAAGATAATTGAAGTATTTTAACAACATTTTACATCATAAAAACCAGCTGAGTTTTATAATACTTTCTTTCTTTTATTACAGTTTGTCATTGGGGAATTAAAGCTTGGTACAAACCTGGAGTTCAGATTCGTTGTAAATGTATGAAATGGTATGTATAGCTATATCAATGTCATACATCGTTATTTACTGTGAAATTGTTGGGACTATCTTAAATGTTTTCTTTATAATCTTTATTTCATCTTTTTTTCTTTAAATTTCTCAGTACATGTCGACCAAAAGGAATTTGGGACTGTAAATATAATTTTGCTTACTGTCCTTACTATTGTAAGTATATCTTTACTTTTAAGCACGTAGTTATGTTTCAAAATTTTGTTGTGAAGACGATGTGCAATGTAGTTTGCAAATCGAAAGCTTTGACTCATTTATTTGAAGTAAACATATACTTTAAGAAACTGGACAAAACATTAAAAATTAAAAAAAATGTTTCAAAAAATGTTCTCTCAACATCAAAATTTTTTGTGATTGATCAGTTTTTTTAAAAACTTGTTCATTTTATCCTCACTCCATATTCCCTTTAATTGTCTAAATTTTTATTTTTAAATTGGCGAATCTCTATTTTCTTGTTCATGTCTTAGATTGTGGTAACGAAATCTTCAATCCAGATAAACAGATATGTTGTTGTGGCAAAGTTTACAACAAGAGAAGATCCTACCAATGCTGTGGTTACTTTTACTATAATACTCGTTATTCTAAATGTTGTAAACACGACACTGTTAAACCAAAGAAAATTGCTTGTCCACGTCACAAAATTTAAGAAGCTGATCCTTCCCATTTCATCTTATCTTTTTCAGTAATGCAAGTTAGATACAAATATCTGACATTTTGTTAATGAGTAGTTTTTAGAAATGATTTATACTGAATGTATTTTGTGCAAATTTTGAAAACATTTAATTAAATAAAGTGTTAAAACACAAACTCGAAATATGTTTTATGCTGATTCCTTTCAACTTCAGCAATTTCCGTTATTGTCTTTCTTATTCAGTGGATTCAGTTATTTTTTAAGCAATTAACTTGATAAAAAAGAACTTTAAGATACTTTATCTGAAGTCTGAACTACAAGGCAATTATACCTGAAATTTTGGACTCAAAACAAATTTAATTATGAAAATGAAAAAAAAACCCAAAACACAATTGGTACAGATGATCATGTAAAAAGTCAAAATTGAATCCTGAACGACTGAGCCTTTTTTCAACTTGATAAAAATGACAATTGGTCATTTCCTAATTACGGGGGACAGTTTGGTAATTTGAGTATTCCAATCGAGGGTAAAATTTATTATATGTTTCTATAACAACCTGTATGGTTTGTTGATATTTGTGACATTTTTAATCTATAATAACGCGTATAGAATATTATTACAAATGGTTTTACCGTTTGTAAAACAGCCAATATTACATAAGCGGTATGAATTTTACAGTCCAACATCGAAAGTTTGCGAATATGACGCTGAAGATTATGTCGGGTTTTTGATGGGGTATGTAACACACGTTGCATGACTTAGTGAACTTGCCAGATTTCATAGCTTCTGGTATGTTTTATTAAATGTTTATCTATATCGAGTTCATTTATAATTAGCGTTGATCAAAAGCCTCAAGGGATAAAAAACCTCAATGAAAACACACAAGAGTAAGTACTTGAGCGATAGTTTGAATTGAGCACAGAATGGATAGTGTCGGATAAATTCATTGTTATACGTTTTGTGTACATGTATGTATGTACATGTACATATACATGGTATCATGCATTTTTTTTACATTTTTAGAAAAATTTCAAAAATGGAAACCAGTTTTGGAGGTGTAAGCAGCTCCAAGAGGTTTAAAATTCCACCATTGGCAAAAGGAAATGGTGTTCATGTTATCATGGACATGGCAATATCCAATGAGAAAGAGTTCAACAAACAAATGAAAATAATTCAGGTAATGTATAAAGCAAGACCAAGTAAGAATATGTGCTTTGGTAAATTTCACAAAAAATTTTAATAAAAAGTTTAAAATTTGGTTTAGGATAATATGCTTCAACACAAACAACAAGAAAGAAAATTAAAGCGCATTGAAGGAGATATTGTGAAGAAACAGAGATTCTTGCGCCAAGTAATGCTTGATAATAATGATGGTAAAGTTTGCTTGCTTGAATTCTTGCAAAGCTCATTTTTTTAAGCATCAAACATTTCTGTGTCATTGTTTTAGATGTTTTTAGAAAGAAAAAAGTAGAAGAGATGAAATTTCAACAACATATTCAGGAGATCGAACAAACAAAATACCAGCATCTTGTTGAGGAACTTTTGGTATAATGTCTTAATAAATTATTTTTTTATTGTTTGCTATTGTAGTTGCCTGAATATTAAAGAGTTTAAGATTATATTATTTTCAAATATTAATTTTTTGCCATTGCTAGAAATTGAAGAGTAATAGTAAGAAAGGTCAGTCTGAAGCAATGGATCACAAACAACTGGCAAGAAAAGATTTATTAATGAAGTAATGTTTGATATAATTAAGTTAATATTGCTTATGTCATGTGATATTGAGTATTTCTTTATTCTTGAATCTTGCCTACATATTGTTGCTCATGGACCGGTGAACCCCCCTGGTGGGGATTGATACTGGCCGGTATACAAATGTTGTTTGTTTGTTGTTTTGTTGTTGCCTACATATTGTTGTCATTGTTTTCATTTGTATTGTGTAAAAAATATTTCTTTGTGTAAAAATTTTTTCTTTTTCCAAGAAATGATTTGCAGTACCAGTATGAAAAGACTTCCAAAGATTTAGATTTGAAACGCAATGAGGTTATGAACTTGACCAAAGAATATGAACAGAAAATTAGATTGAAAGAGGTGATTGAAAATTATTTTTCTTAGCTGATTTGATATATGTTTCCTGAATGCCTTAAAATCTGCAAAACTGATATTTTTCATATAGTTGGAAGAATACACTCTTACAAAAAGACTGGCAGAATTAGCTCTTGCCACAGCAATGCAAGAGCATAAAGCGAAAACAATGACAAAAGATTTTGAAAGGTAGTGCATTCTATAACTTGCAGTACAAGTTTCAAGAAAGCCATCTTCCTTTTTGATATAGGTATACAATGAATGATTTGCATTTGCCATGTCTGATGATATGTTTTTATTTTTTTCTTCATTACAGACATCAAAATGATTTAGCTGTTGTTGAAACTCAGGTAATTAAGATTTAGCATCAGTTCACCTAAAACAATGTTACGGAGTGCGATGCAATATTTTCATTAAGGAATCGTTAACACGACACAAATCGTTGGAAAATAAGTTAAAGTAAGTTGTAGTCAACCTTAAGTAAATTTAAGTAGAAAAATTGCTCATTAATTTTTATTTTGTTCATCCTTATAAATTGCTTTCATGACATAGTTTGGGTCGCTTAGAGGAGAGAAAGTTGGTAGAAAAGAAGCGAAGGCTGAGTCAAGATCAAAATAAGACAAATGATCATTTCACTATGAGCATAAGAGAGGGTACACAGCTAAGTTATTGTAAACATAAAATGTACAGGGTCTTGTTAATGCTTATTCTTGTCTTCATAGAGGGACGAAAGATGACGGACATCAGCCGATCCCTGGAGAATAATTCTTTTTACCAAAGGAATACGCAGATCGATGGAGAATACCTAGAGCGTCAAGAACAAGAGAAAAATATTGAAATGAAACTGAAGGTAGCAATGATTAAATAGGATTAATGTAGTTTCAAAAAGCTTTTCATCTTTATCTTCTTTAATTCCTTATTTTGTTTAATATTGTATCTTCATCAGATGGCTCATGCCAAAAGAACAATGTTCTTGGAGGAAATTTCCAATGCACGAAAATCACGAAATCTAATGCGTATGTCTTGCGCTAATGACCATGGTTTTAACGTTAAAACTGAGGCTAAAAGGCTTTTATATAATGATGCTGTGCGACATTTACAGGTTTGTGTTTTGTAAAATGTCAAAATTGAAAGTTACTCTTTTAAGTCGTTGACTGTAATTTTTTAATATAGAATAGTGTATCGAAACAAGAAGAAAAACATCAAACCCTTTACGGTGAAGTAAGATCAGCTGAGGCACATTATAAGAAACATGAACAGGAATGTCAACGTCTTCAAGAAAGTCTCACTTGCCTTCAAAGAGATAACGCAAAAAGATTAAAGGTTTTTTTATGAGAAAATTATAAAATATTTTGAATTGATCCGGTGAACTCTTTCTTGGTTGATTACATATTCCAGGAATTTGAAAAGGATTGTAAAACAAAGAGGAAAATCTAAAACAGAATCTTTGTCGTGAAGAGGCAAAGTTAAGCAAGGTTATTTATCATATAGTTTAAGATTGTTACTCAAATAAGTTGAAAAAATTTTTTAACAAGATTTGTTTTTAGGTGCGTGCCTTGCGCGACGAAAAAACACAAAGACTGATAAAACTTAGAGATTTACTGCGCGAGGACAAGCATCGTTTGAATAAAGATGAAAAGGTAATTTCAAATGGATTAGTGCGTTTTAAAATATTGAATTATTCGATCATTCTCGTCGTTTTAAATCTAACTTTAATTTTTCAATCATTTATTTCGAATCATGCGATGAATTGATGAGCATAGAATGTAACATTCAGTAAACTTTCTATTTGAATTGAAATGTTTTTTTGATATGTCGTTATTTCTTTATTTCTTCATCTTATTTATTTCTCAAGTTTTTCTCTTTACCTCGAAGGAATGTGATCGTTTAACAAAACTCGAAGATTCATTGAAATTGCAGGATATTTGATGAAGACAGTTGTGGTACTGTTGAAAAGATTAGTTTTTCACTTTACTTGACAAACGTTTCTTTTTTAACTCTTCTGTTGAGGTGGTTGTCTTACTTAAATGGAATGAAATCACTTGTTTGTGTGTTTTTATTCACCAGACAAACACATACGTCATATTTTTCAATTATGTTACTTTTCCTGTGTCAACTTTTGTAGAACAACTCGATATATTACAAACTAGCTTTTGGTTGGGGAAATAGTGTAATCATCTCCCACATTATATTCTTTTTTAACTATATATATATATGTATTAATATTAATTAGCTTTGTCTATACGCGATGTTTTAAGTGTTTTAGTTTATTCACTATCTCTTAATGAAAATTATCAAAAAATCTAAACGTTTTGTTCTCAGTTTCAGAGTTTTGATATCGATACGAATTTTCCTGTTAATGTCGTAAAGTACTTGCATTAGCAATTCAAATTGTGTATTTTGTTATTCTAGTAGGTTTAACTCGTTCGCATATTCTACTTGATTAACATTTTAAATGTGCTCTACAATATTTTACATGTTTGTTTGTAAAAGGCTACTGTGAGAATATGAACGTTAAAGACAGTAATTTTTACGATTTCTTCAATTTGATGTCGTTTATGTAGATAGGTTTTCGTTATTATTCTGTGAAAAACCGCGATATTCCTCCAATACACACGTGTATTGAAGATAGTGGTGATTTTGAAGTTAAGCAAGCAAGAGATATTGAGTAAATGTTTAGTGAAGCTTGCTTAGCAAAGCAACATATCATTGTTCTTGCAATATGTTTAACATATGTTGATATATTGGATCATGTAATGTGTGACTCTATCTCGTCTTTTGTGGCTTTGTCTTCTTAAAGCTGGTTATATTTATACGGCAATTTGATTTGAAGCTGTGGACAGAAGACTCTTCTAGAAATGAACCGTTCAGGTATATATGTCTGAAAATTCATCCCATTTACTTGAATTTTTATCGTGATGTATTAATCTAGACAAAAATTCCTTGAAAATGTACAGTCATGGATCTTCTCCTTAGAGACAAACCGTAGTTAAATGTAATCAATAATATCTTGGTTGCTTTCACGCAAGTTTAAGCATTAACTAGTTGTGGAAACTTTATTTAATCTTGTTTTCCATTTCATTCTGAAGTGAGATGATGTTTCAAACTGCGCAAATGTCAGCAAATATAAAATTATGAGAAAAACTGAGCATCACCCCCATCACGGCTGAAAGTAGAACTCTAGTTGAAGGGGGGGGAGGGAAGGAAAGGTTGGGAGTATTCATATATCATATATTCAACTCCGCTCGACTAAATTCTTTTGAAATTGCCGTTTTGATTACGGCCCTCCCAGTGATTGAAATCATCCCTTTTTTTGTTCTTTATTCAAGTTTCTGGGCAATGAACTCTTCTGGAAAAGAATGTTGCAAACAATAAGATGCAGCTGTTCATCTGTGGATGAAGAGTGCTATTTTAAATTTTACTTTAACTTCTGTTCGCAGATGTTCGATTTCCTACCCAAGGGAAGAATGAAAAAGTCAAAAATCTTGACACGCGACCGGAACGCACCAAGCAAAAGAATAAACATGATCGCATTGGGATCATTATGTATCTTAATGAACCAGAAGATCCAGCCAACTTGGGGATATTCAGGGTGTTTTTTGGTAACTACATTGTTTCATTTGGGAGAAACCCAGTGTATATATCTTAGTTTTGACATTAAATACCCCGTCCTTAACAATAACCCTCAGGATCTTTTTCAATTTCTATAGGTATTTTAATGATGATAGACATTCCACAAGAACGGGGTATGTCCTCAATTTATCGGCATTGGGGTGATCGCACACTCTGTTTCTTCCCGTTATTTGATTGCTTGAAACCTCTTCCTGTTGAATGGATGTATGTGGTTTATCTTGTGATGTTCTTGGGGGCTTTGGGCATCGCGTTAGGTTCGTAAATATACACTCTGCGTGTTTCAAATATTTTAACAATCTTCACCAAAGATTTAGTTCTTGTACATATCAGATTCAATATGTTGTAAATTATTGCCTCTGTGTGTGTGTGTGTGTTTCAATAGACTTCTTTGTAAATCCTAAAGTCCACTAATGACGTATTTGTCGTATTGTTTTAGGTTTTTGTTATCGTTCAAGTTGCGTATTATTCATTACAACTTATTGGTATATATTTTTCTTGGATAAAACTGTGTGGAACAACCATTCATACCTTTATGGTCTCATTTCTATAATGTTATTACTTACAGATGGCAATAGATACTGGTAAGCTGTCAATTAAATCTTGTTTTACTATGCCATATTATCACTTCTTGAACACACTTATTGTTTTAGGTAGTGTAAAGACAGTTCTCATTCTCTGTTGTTCATTCATCACTATCTACACTGACACACGTTATCTTAGTTTATATTTTAGACAGTGTAAAGACTGTTCTCATTCTCTGTTGTTCATTCATCACTACCTACACTGACACACGTTATCTTAGTTTATATTTTAGATAGTGTAAAGACTGTTCTCATTCTCTGTTGTTCATTCATCACTACCTACACTGACACACGTTATCTTAGTTTATATTTTAGATAGTGTAAAGACTGTTCTCATTCTCTGTTGTTCATTCATCACTACCTACACTGACACACGTTATCTTAGTTTATATTTTAGACAGTGTAAAGACTGTTCTCATTCTCTATTGTTCATTTATAACTTCCATCGGTCATTAGGTCAATTGACGGTTACTTCAACGACTCCATTCGTAACACATATGTACCAAGATGGAACTACTGGCTAATTAAATTTCAGGTGAATTCGTTAGCATTTTCAAAAATAAGAATGCATTGTTTCCAACCTTTGATATTTTGATGATCATTTAGATTTTTCTGGTGTATTTTTTTGCTGGATTAAAGAAGATTGATATGGATTGGATGTCTGGATACTCAATGTCTGGGTTGGCAAAGCAATGGGTGTTTGATCCTTTTCGCCTTTTTGTTTCTGACGAGTTCATCGAACTTTACATGGTTCATATAATTGGATTGTTGTTTGATCTTTTTGAAGGTTTTCTACTACTGTTTGACAAAACTCGACCTGTAGCTTTGTTTTTTGGCTGTATGTTTCATCTTATGAATTCTCAAATGTTTCATATTGGTATGTTTCCATGGACAATGCTTGCGACCATGCCGTTTTTCTTACGATCTGATTGGCCAAGACGCTTGTCACGTGCGATGCCTACTTGTCTCTCTTTGTTCTTACCGCAACGTGATGACCCTAAAGTGAATACAAAATTCACCAACGAGAAGAATCCTAGAAGGAAACAAGATTGTAAGGATATTTATGTATCTCTCAGGAAATACTTTCTTATTGGTGTAGCTAGCATTTATGTCATCATTCAATTATTTCTTCCTTGGTCACATTTTATAACCCAGGTTAGTATGTCAATCATGACGTTAACACGCTTTTTAAATAGAAACTCTTCTTTGTTCTTCAACAGTCATGTTTCTTCAAAATCTTTTTTTCCATGCATCAGGAGTGATTGTAAATCTTTGTCAAACTCAACATAAATGATTTCATCATCAGTTATCTCATTTTGAAACTTCATCTTCTATTGACTAGGGATTTAACTCGTGGACTAACGGTCTTTACGGGTACTCATGGGACATGATGGTACACTCTTGGAGCACGCAACACATTCGCATTGAACTTGTTGACAAAGCAACAAATGCTTCGCATTATCTTATACCTGGGGTGAGAAAAGGAATATATTGCTTTCAATATTCAATATTTGTTTCCTTGGGCTTGAAAGTGGTAACTGTTACATCTTATATTATTTTCTTGGTCGTTAGATATGGATTCATGGACGCTCAAATAAAAGGGGAAGATGGTCGTCACAACCAGATATGGTAAAGCAGTATGCAAATTGTCTTGCAAAGAAACTTTCTCAACACGAAGAATTGAACATTACTGAGCCTGCGATTTACTTTGATGTTTGGCGTTCGATGAACGGTCGATTTCAACAGCGTCTTTTAGACCCCAGGGTGGATATGGTGAAAGCAGAATGGTCACCATTCAAAATGTCCGAATGGATTCTACCATTGATGGTTGAACTCTCACCTTGGCGAACGAAACTGGATGAAATTGAAAAGGAAACCGTTAAATCCAGTAATTTTACTGATGTCGTTTTTGTTGCGGATTTCCCTGGTTTAAATTTGGTAAATTTTGTAAAGAAAGATATAAACGCAACGATCACCGTTTTGGACGGCTTGGTTATTGTAGAGCAAGAAGGACACAACGTTACTTTAGAGAAAAATGAGATTCTTTCTTTGAACAGCAATCAAACTCATATTGTTCATACAATATCTAAAGAGCCATCTTGTTGGATGTATATTTACACAAATAAAACATTGGCTGAAAATATCACGTTACAAGAGATAGAAGAAAAAGAAATAAGTGAGAGATTTAAAATATTTAAAATAATAATATCAAATGTAATTTTCGATTTTCTGTCAATTTCTAGGCGCCATAAAAGAGAATGAAACACTACTCACAACTATCGAAGATTTTATAATGGAAAAAATGCACATATTTGGTATGAGTTTTTATCATTCATTCGTAGCCATTTCAAACATTGTTTTTGGTACGACGTCAATACAAGATTACTTAGACGATAACGATCTTACTTAAATAATCTGGAAATTTAAATTATTTGTAGAGTTAGTGTGTAGGTAGGAGGAAAAATTTAGAAGTATAAAAACAACATGGAGAGATTCATAATGGAGTATATAATGGGCAATATCCCTTTCGCATGATCTTGTTCGTAAAAACGTATCAAATAAATTTTACATTTATTCAATTAAAAGAGCTTTTAAACATCTGGGATCATCTTTTGTTCCCAACATTTATTCGTCAAAATTTTCCATCTTAAAGTTTTAACTTGAAGTTGGAATTAATGAAGTTTGTTTGTTTGCAAATGTTTAAAGGTTTTTGAGCATTGATTTCAACAACAAATTGTATGAACATGATACATTTAACAAAAACCATAGCAAAGAATATGAACAGTGTTCTTGTTTGGTGAAATCTTTGTCTTTTCCGCGGTGAAATTGTCTAATTCGATGATATGAAATAATTAGAGTGATGTGTTTTACCTTGTTAAAACGACAAAATATTACCTAACAAAATGTCATATTTTATTGATTGACAGCTGAGAAGATACATCCCATAATTCATAGTAAACACTGTTACATGTGTTTACATTGTGTTGCGAGCTAACGGTGACATAGGTAAATTGTTTAAACATATACGTTATAATCAATTGTTTTGGGTCTGTCGATTCCTCATACTTGACAAAAATGAATCTACTGAATTTGAGATCGTTTATTTTGTCTTTGGTCATAGGAATTAAAGTCGAAGGTAATTATACGCAATAACAAGTTAGATTGAAAATTTGATTGTATAGAGGCGTAGAAAACGTATGGTGTCTCTTCTCTTTTCAATGCTTAGAAATTAGTTACACTATTACTTGCAATTTTTTGTTTATGTGTGATTAATTAAAACATGATTTGTGATTAATTAAGACTTGGTGAGTGTTAATTGAGACATGAAATTCTTAGCAAACTGTCGGTGTGTTGATTATCTCCGAGATTGGTATATCGTTGTGGGGTCACAAGTTGCAGGAATCATTCAGGGTATTTTAATCATTTTCTTTATGAAATGTTTGTGCAAATATTGGTTGAGACGGCAGCCACAAGCGACTAATGTGACAAGAACATCTCAAGAAGAGATGGGTCGTATTTATGAAGAAATTGGTCCTGTTACAACAAACTTGGATTCCTTAGAAAGCCTGGATATTACGTAAGTTAACAACATCATAAGACAAAAACATCAAATTGAACAAAACTAACTCAAAGTGCACACTTATTTTATTAAAAGTATATTTAAATATGTAAAGAAATCAGTTCATTTTTTATTTTACTGTCCATGTTAGGCCTAGAGATTCTGACAATTTGTCAAATTTTCAAGCAAGATCCCCATTCATCATTGAATTGACAAAAAGCAAATGCGACTCAATTGATAACCAGGATGAGTTTGGTGAAGCAGGGACAAGCCATGGTAAAATGTTGAAGAAGAATGATAACCCTGTTTGCTATCAGGAATCTAGCACAGAAGTTTCACAGCAAAGTGACTTTCTAAACAAGCAAAAGTTGATGTATTATCAAGTAAAAATTCCCACCAAATTCAGGGGGGAGAATACAAAGATCCACGAGAAAAGAATGACTACGGTAATCTCAACTTATTGCAAATCAGGTCGGCAAATTCACCTTCAAATGTTCCGTCGAATACGTCATACGATGTAGCTACAAATAGCGCAACTGAACACCAACATGAAATAAAGAAATTCCCTGACATGGATGAAGAATCATTCTCAACAGAACAACCAACAAATATAACCGAAAGGTTTTGTAAAGATTTGTCGTTGAAAAATAGACAATTGTCTTCATCTCGTCAGATCCCTTTGAAACCTCCAAGAGCACGTAGTTATGACAACTTTCATCGTTGTAAGTCACAGCGCCAAGAAAAACACAATAAAACATCCTTTCTGAATCCGCTCGATAAAACTGGATCACAAACTCTCGCAATTGAAAATGGTTCACATTTGAATGCATCATCATTAAGCCCAAGGAAGGAAGAAAAAGATTTTAAACTGCCAATAGTTGATGCAAAGTTTTTTGTAGAAAGCAAGACGACGACAAGAAATCCTCCCAAGTCATATCACGTTCAGCATCGTTACCATTTACTGGACAAGTAAAATATTTCTATACTTCACGTTCATCTAATGTTAAAGATAGTTCTAATGTTAATGTGTTCGACCGCAATCCTTACAAGGAAGAGGATACACCTCCCGCTCTACCTCCAAGATTAAGATCATTCCGTCAAATGTCATCTTTGCCACAACAACATCGCAGGGATACTGATGATTTAAGTTATCAATACGAACACATGAATCCAAGATAAACAAACGGAACGTGTATCGAACAAAATCCTTGGTTATATTTATATTTCTTTAAATTTGTGCAATCATATAAAAGGTTGCATGTTTGAAAAAAGGGACCAAGTGAGTCTCGTTATAAGCATTACTTTGATGATTTAGTTTTGTTAAAATATTCATCGGTTGAAAGGATATTAATGCAGCAGTTGATGGTGTTGAATTGACGTTCATGGCACAATAATTTTGTGAACTATTTTTTTCTTAAATACATAAAAAATTTTTAATTAGTTGCCGGCTAAAGTTGCTTTTTCTTGGTTCTCAAAACGCTGCTACAGTAACAACCAGAAAATTCTCAAACCTTTAGCTTCCTATCTTCACACTAGGCGTGAAAATTGTGTAAATGTTTCACTCGGGTTGTATGAAGATTTATAGAAAATGAAAGAAAAGAGACATCGAAGCTGAAGTGGGTTCATCTTCATCAAAGATTGCACGCGAAGGTATATCTATTGTAAGTGAAACTTGACACAATGAGTTGTCAAATCGAGGGTTTGGAATTGGCGGAAAGAGAAATTTGAAATTAACACTCGAAAGTTGTCGAATGATAGTTCTATCAAATCCGAATAAAGATGGCTGTATTTTTATGACGCAATGAATGTTCGTCAAATAGTTGTCTTTCAACTGCAACAACACCATGCAATAAGTAGTAAACACGTATCATACACTTTAACTATTTTCTACTGAGAAATACACATGAAATAAACTGCATAAATACATTTCAGTCATTTCTTAAATGATAAAATTATTGAGAAGTCTAACAAAATTTATAATTCATTGTGATTTTAGCTATGAACAAACGTGACCAAATATGAGACTATAGTCTACTTGTTTCTGAAGCAGAATCAAGCGAACATTACTTAAGTGATTTCCGTGGCGTATATTCTATAAGAAATTTCGCTGCCAATGTCGTTTAAGTTATGTTTTGCCATGATATAAAAGGTATGAACTCAGCTTTTTACGTATTCAGATAAAAAATCCATCTTTAGCCATATCAACAAAAACTGCATTATCAATATTCATTTCTTTGGATGTCGTAACCAATTTTCCACTTGCCGTATCGAATACAAGTTGCTCTTGTTGCGATTTTTCCTCCATTTTACCGTTTTTGTATTCAATATACACACAATATTGCCATCTTTATCATAGATTGGCATACATTCTCTCACGCCTTGTTCCTGCGTTTGACGTTGTGACATCACTAACAATACTACAAAGATAAATCTTGCTTCGAATGATTTTGTGAAGGCCTATTTTTGCTTTGTTTTGTGTGTTATAGCAGGTACCCAAACTGAAATGTGAAAACAAACCTAGTTCTTGGTAATCTCTTGGTAGAGACGTGGAAATTCATGAAAACGAAAGAGATAGTCACTTCGTTCGGGGTGAATGATTTTCCTACCAAAACAAATTGATTTCTTGGAAGAGTTTTGACGATGATAACAACTGAACACTTTCTCAATTAACACTTTACAATTTGATAATAAGACATCGCTCGACAATTAAACATGCCGTGGACAGCTCAGCAAAGAAGTCGTTTGGTAACAGAGAAGGCAATTCTCGACAAGTTCTTTCCTGGTCATGTTAAATGGATTGATCCAACTGAAGATACGAAAGTAGAAGTGTCTCTTAACACAAACAATGGTAACAAGTATTGTTTGAGAGTGTATCTTAAGGAAGATGGTGAATCAAGCTCTGACTTTCCTAATTCTGTTCCAGATATGGTGAGCAATACTAAAACAAAGTGACTGGAAATTATTACATTAATTGATATAATGAAGAGAACTTCCATTTCTGTGATCTTGTGATAGCGATTCCGGTGTAGCACAACATGATCTTAAATGCCTCTACCGTTTTAAGGTTGTGTCTTCTTCACCAAATCCGATGCCGAAATGGGGCACTGGTGATAAAACGCACACATTGGGATATCGCGACGGATATTTAAAGATCTGTCACTACCGGTCGAGCAGATGGACAGATAAATCCACACTGTATGAAGTGATCATAAAAGGAAGGATTTGGCTGGAAGCTTATGAAGCACATTTGACGTCGGAGAATAAAGAAAAAAATATTTGTGATTTTCTTGGGGAAATGAAAGCATAACTATGTTTGAAAGAACGAAAGCAAAATCGTATGTATTTGAATTATTCTTCGCTGTATGACATAACTGGTAAATTTTCTTAAAGAAGGAAATGTTGTAGCAACATTTCATAACTATTGTAACAAATAGGCACAATCCCTCATGATATAATCTATGTTGTATGAAGCCAACATTAAAATTTTGTAATCACATTTTAATAAAAATGACAACAAACACTGCGCGCAAACATTTCTGTATCGACTCATTAAAAACTTTTCTTACATATTGACAAGTCATTACTCAATAGTAAGTCGTAAAACATCTTTACCAGTTATATGTATCATGTTTTTACCAGAACAGCTTGGCGAAAATTCGTTGCATTTATCCTCCTTCGAAATGAAAAAAATAAATATTTAACAACTACACGATCTTTCATTAATCAAATGTCCAAAACAGATAATCTTACCTTTCAACATTTTGTTTGATTATGGAGCCAAACGGTGTGGATTTTGGTCCTTGTGTGGGTCGGAAAATATTCTTTCCTTGGGGAGGATCTGACGAAGATTTCTTTGGTTGATATGGATTGTGTGAATGAGAAGGATACGTTTCAAAACATCCTGCTTTACATCCACCAATCTATGAACGAAACAGAGATAAATTGTTTCAGTGTATGTATGTGGTAATGAATCTACTATACAGTAAGATTGCTTCTAAGAGAAAATACAAATATTTAATACCTCTTTCCCAGGAGAGCTTTGTTTAAAAGGTTTTACAATATGTGGTTTTGGTTTGTTTTCTTTTAACGGTGGTAATGCTATATAAACGAAAACGTATATTAGTAAATTTATTAGATGAATGTACCAATTTCATTTAACAATCACTGCTTTAAACACCAATTCACAAATTTCTTACGCTTGTTTGTCTTGTACGGATTGCCATCAAAAAAAGCATTGGGATGTAAATTTAAGCGGAACGCTCCCCCTTTTCTCACTTTAATGCTTGTCTGTTGATCTTTCTAAAAAGAAACGTTTTTTATTAATGGTCCATAAAAAGGAAAAAACTGAGTTAGTTACAACAATAAAACTAGTGACAAACACTACACAAATAGTGACGTTGGTGCAACATGACTGTTAACACTGACGTTAGAATCTGGGAATGATATACGAGATAAAATCAATCAGCTTGTACGTCCAGATTTTATATATCTATAGATAATGTTAACTCCGGCAAAATGAATGTACAATGTAGAAGTAATGTTATATTTATAGTGCCCGTGTATTCAGGTGAGCTGCTTTCCAATAGAATTAAACAATAAATGATAAAAGATTTACAAATAATGCTGTACATTTCTAATTTCTTTGGCACGATCATAAGGGTCAGCAGTATACTTTGGAGTCTGACCAATGGTGACATTAATATAGCCAAAACCAGTTCCCTTTTTTGGTGGGTTGGTGATAAAATTTTTACCAGGTGATTGATATGATTTCTTATCTTTTTGTGCTGCACTGAATGCCTCTACGGGACCGCTAAAAGTTCCATAATGGTTACCAGCGCCAGATCTAGATATCAGAGAAAAATAATAAAATATTGTAAGGAAGAGGAGTGAAAAAAACGCAAGAATATTACGGTAATTTATCTCCACTGCTTGGGACAAAAGCATTAGCAAGATTAAGTTTGGATTGCTTAACACGTTCTTGTTGTCGTCTTTTTACAGGATCATTATAAGATTCTGCTTCCATAATCCTTGAGAATTCTTTTTCAAAGTAACCATCTTGGCGTGCCGATCTTGTTTTACTGCCACCAGGAAGCATTTGTTTACCTTTATGTGATAACTCATTGAAAACTAGATGGATAATTTAAAAGTTAGAACTCTTGTACGATTATATAAAAGAAGATGCTTAAACTAATTCTGTCGCATAAGAATCATTAAGAAATGACCAAGATTATGAACTTTACAAAGAAGTGAAAATTTCTCTACAATCTTTTGCTCGTAATATGTAGACTGTACATTTTAGGAAGAAAATGTTGTCTAGAAAGTGAACATGTGAGTCAGAAAAGTCATTAAAGTAAATTTAAGATTTTTATTAAAAATATGAAATTTGGCAAGAACATGAGGAATGTCTGAATGTCGCATAAGAACAAGGGTATCATCAACATAACGTCGGTAAAACTTAAGGACACCTGAGTTGATCAAATCAGTGACAATGATGTTTTCAAACTCAGTGAGAATTATATTAGCTAAAACGGGACCGAGAGAAGACCCCGTGGAAACCCCATCAAGTCGTTCATAAAGAATACCGTTGCAAGAAAATATAGTTTTAGTGCATGAATCAATAATAAGTTTTTTCAGTGTCGATTTTCGGATTGTGGTGTATAATATTTTGTTTGTAAATGCGATCTAGAACAATGTTGATGGTTTTACGCAAAGGCACGTTGGTGAAAAGATTTGTTTTGTTTTTACATATGCATTTTGTTTTACTTAAATTGTCTGCTTGTCCTGGTTACATAATGTAAATGAAAACTTAGCTGGGAGCCTTACCATTTTGTTTTCTTTTGTAAGGATCTCCAATGGATATGTAACCCATTTCACTGAACCAACCGACACGATTAAGATCATTTTTACCTTCTATCCCCATTTTGTGCCAAGATCAAACTCGTAATTTTCACAAAACGCTGAAACTTTGATTCTATGAAATGAAATGAAGAGTTGATAAAACTGTCTATTTCTGTTTATAAATGTGTTGTCATGGTTACTGTTTTATTCTCCTCAAATGCATTTTGTGAATTGTGATGAAAGTACAAACATAATTAACCTTTAAAATAAAGAAAGAGTTAAAAAATAATTTAAAACATGTAGAACCCTTACTATATACCACCTAATATGAGTAATTACATTAAATATTATTTTTTAAGTGTTTTGCATAATTTTATCCGTCGGGTGAATTTATATGAATGTCGTCGATGGAAATTAGTAATAAGGCGTAAATGACTAATATTGAATAAGAACTACAGGAAAGGAAGTTTAATAACATTTAAAGATTTAACGATGTTTGGTGGCGCTGGGCAGAATGTAGAGGAAAATAACGAGAGAAGAGATGTTAAAAAAGAGAAAGATAAAGGATATGTCGCTTTCCATTCTGACGATGATGATATAGGCGCTCAAGGAGATGGCGATAACTTAGCTGCCTCAAGTATAAGGTTTGTTTAAGTGTTCTTTCTAATAGTTTGTCTTTGTTTTCATTGAAATTTAGCTTGTGAAGACAAAATTTAGGTTAACTGATTTTAAATTCAGGCCGAAAAACAAGAAAAGCAAGAAGGACAAAAGCAGGAAAGAATCAAAAAGTCGGACAAAACATACAAGAAAACAGGAAAAATCGAGCAAGGTGGACAAGGAAAAAGTTAAAGAAAAGGATAAAAAAAAAGAAAAGAAGAGTGAAGCCTTTCATAAACACCAGCAAAGTCAGTTTAATATTTTCATTTAAATTAGTAGGTGATACAATGTTTGTACCTTAATAATAAATGTTTTCTTTTATCATTACTTAGCATTACCAGTGTTTGGTGTTAGTTTACATGAAGCTGTGAAGCGTAGTATGTTACCTGATGGTGTTCAAATACCTCGTATCATACGAGAATGTATCATGGAAATCGAAGATAAGGGTCAGTGTTTTTACTTTAATGTTGTTGCAATATATGTTATGTAAACATTTTTGTTTCAAAGGCAGGTTTGTCTCAAGAAGGAATATATCGTTTATCTGGTGTAAAATCAAAGATCGAGATGCTTAAAGACATTTATAATCAAGGTAATATGTAGAATTTGTATTATGTAACGTGAGATGGATGAGTTTTGACATTTTATCATAAAAACTTGTTAACAAGTTGAATTTTATTTTAAATTGAAAGAAACAACATTGTCAACTCTCTTTTAAAGGAAAAACTGTCGATCTTGATGATTTTGAGCCAAACATTTTGGCTGGACTAATAAAGCTTTTCATACGAGAGTTAACTGATACTCTTTTACCTGATGAAGTTGCTCAAAAGTTTGAAGATGCTGCAGGTGTGAGTTTGTGCAGTTGAATTTGTCTTGCTACATATGACATGACTACGATTTCTTGTTTTCTTGTGTTGCAGCAATGCCTAGTCGTTCAGAGAAAATAAATCAGTTCAAGGAGTTAATTTTAGAATTGCCAGCACCAAATAGGACACTTTTATCTTGGTTAATGGTTCATATGCTTCATGTCTTACAAAAGGTGTAATAATGTCTGCTTTTTTCTATTTATTTTATTTAATGACTTTATAGACTGGTTACAGTGTCAACATATGATACATGTCAAACATGTGTAATGTTTGGTGAAATGAAATTTTCTTAATTTGGATTTCATGAATATTATAAAACATAATAAAGTAAATGGTTTGAACCCGGGGGTATCGTTACATGTTTGTAGATGTAGATCGTCCAGGTTGGTATAGTCCTGAGAAGGACTATTTTTGTTGTTGTTGACTGACATTTCAACAACCTTAGCGGTAGTCATCTTCAGAGTCAAATGAGGAGTAAATGTGAGGTTAGCCGTATTTGTTAGGGTTACCGTAAGAACCAGATAACAAATACGGCTAACCTGACATTGACTCCTTATTTGACTCTGAAGATGACTACCGCTAAGGTTGTCGAAACGTCAGTCAACAACAACAAAAACAGTCCTTCTCAAGACTATACCAACCTGGACGATCTACATTTACAAACATATTACAAAACATAATGTGTGGCAGAATTGAAAATTAAAATCTCATTTTCTACTTTTAGGGAGCTGAGAATAAGATGTCTGTTCAAAATATTGGTATAGTTTTACATCCAACAACAGGAATTTCGCAGCCAGTTTTAAATGTTTTTTTAAATAACATAGCTGCATTGTTTGGTGACACAGAATTGACAAGGTGAAGTTGTAAAATGTACTCATGTTGTCAAGCTCATTTGTTTATAATGTATCTTTGTGTTATATTTCTGTTGTGATTTGTTTTGTATTTGTTTTAGATACAAACAAATGGTTAAGGCAGAAGTTGATTTTTCTACATTATCAAGCCCAGAGTACGGACCTATTGTCAAGAATATTTATGTGATGGATATGTTTGAAGATAATTTTTTTATACATTGTTCGTGGTATTTATACATAAAATTTTCATTTAGAGAAATATTGGCAGAGTTGACTCATCAAGAGGTCATTCTCTCTAAACTCCATGAAGATATGGAGAAGGGAGCACCTGATGAGGTACATAATTATGATAAAATTGTAAATCAATTTGAATTGATTTATCAGTGTAAATAACAGTAACAATACATGCATGATGCTGTTGTCAAAATAAGTTTTTACGTAAGTTTCATTATCTTTGTGTATGATCTTTGTGTGTCTTTGTTAGACTGAAGATAAAGATGAGGAATTGTGGGAAGTACAAAGACTAGTGACAATGTTAAAAAGAAAGGTTATTTATGTGCCTATCCTATTTGAAATTTGTTGATGGAGGACGTCGAAGATGATGTATTGTCTGTCTTTAGCTACGTGACGCACGACGCAAACAAAAGGAAAAAGTTGTTGAAGAGCAGAAGAAACAGGAAGAAAATAAACCACCCGCTCAAGAAACTATCGACGAAGGTTTTTGTAAAGAATTTATCGTTGTTTTCAACTAGAATTCAGCATTCTGCCGCTGAATGAACAAGTGCAACCAATTTTTATATATCTTGCTCTCTGTCTTGTAGAAATTCTCAAACGGTTACAACTTGAAGAAATGGAACTACGTTTTCAAGAAGAGGTTTACATTATCAGTTTGCAGACATGAAACAGTCTTCTTTTTGATTACGATTCTTCTTGTTGTCTTTCTTGTTTTAATAATTTGTGCTTTTTATAGGAATTGTTAGAGCAACGCGAACAACTAGAAAAACGAATCCAAAATGAGAAAAACGAAATAAAACGACTCGAGGTTTTGTTTTTCACGACAAAAAGTTGTTCTTTTCAATTGTTCACTTTATTTTCTTATTTAAAAAAATAGGAAGAAATAGCAGAGTTGACCGAAACGCGAGGAAATAATTCACCCGAATTAACTTCAGATCACAACTCATCATCAGGATCTGAAGGTAGTGAAAGTGTATCCTTTATCATGAATATTGTTAGCTTTAACTAGTGCGCTGGGAAATGTTGCTTGTTTACGTAAAGTATTTGAGGATTTTTTGTCCCAGTTTTCACATCTTTTTCAAATGAAAACAACCCAGTAATGTTGTGATTAGCCTTAATTTTATAAGGAGGATGAAAGCGAATTGGAGGAAATAATGAATGATCTTGTTCAAAGCAACAAAGAACTTGAGGTACTTTGAACTTCCCTTATGATCCTTTCATAGTCCCTCTGGTTTTCATAGTTATCCGTTTGCTTATTTTTAAAGGAAAAAAATGAGGAATTATTTAAACAGATCCATGATGAACAAGATGCTTGTTTGAAACTCAAAGTTCAAATTAAAATGATGACGGCTACGTCGAAATTAGACTCCTAAAGAAGTGGGGATCACAGTTTCCACTTGGTTCGATATGTGGAAGTTTGATTTATTCTATTCTTATTAAAACAACGAAAGTCGAGATAGTTAGGTGTATATAGTGATTAAACACTGTACTTTGAATAAGTCACGTACGTAATGTTAATAAGTGTGAAGATATTCGTCTATTATTTATGAAGAATTTTAACTTCTTTATCCTCCTCTATGTTATTGATTCCAGTTTTCTCTAATTGTACGATGTCTATAAATGATGTCAGTTTTCTACAATGAAATGATGTCAGTTTTCTACAATGAAATGATGTCAGTTTTCTACAATGAAATGATGTCAGTTTTCTACAATGAAATGATGTCAGTTTTCTACAATGAAATGATGTCAGTTTTCTACAATGAAATGATGTCAGTTTTCTACAATAAAATGATGTCAGTTTTCTCCTGTGAAATGATGTCAGTTTTCACCTGTGAAATGATGTCAGTTTTCTACAATGAAATGATGTCAGTTTTCTCAATAAAATGATGTCAGTTTTCTCAATTGATGTCAGTTTTCTCCTGTGAAATGATGTCAGTTTTCCCCTGTGAAATGATGTCAGTTTTCTCGTTTTCCCTGTGAAATGATGTCAGTTTTCTCGTTTTCCCCTGTGAAATGATGTCAGTTTTCTCGTTTTCCCCTGTGAAATGATGTCAGTTTTCTCGTTTTCTCTTGTGAAATGATGTCAGTTTTCTCGTTTTCTCCTGTGAAAGTACTGAAACGAATTGATTCATTAATCTCCATGACATAGTGAGCTGTGCCATGGCTATGACGTCATCATTCTAGCAACATGGCGGCCAAGGTAAGTAAAGTTAGATCTTGAATTTTAATGGTCTAACGCTTTTCTGCAAATGCAGTTCTTTATTTCTATCTTATCTTCTTCCTTTCATGCTTATTAGACGTATACTGTACTTATATTGGATACTGGACCTGCTATGTGTCATGCAAGACCTGGTGCAGATGAAACCCCCTTGGAAACCTCTTTAAAAGCCATCAAATTGATCCTTGCAAGAAAGGTAATGCCTCCTTGCAAGAAAGGTAATGCTAGGTAGTGTTTAGTAGAAAAACTTTTCTTAAGAATACATTAGAATTTGTTCAATTTTTTATTGAAATCTAGCAATATTTTTCAACATATAAATCTTTTTTCACACTTCTTAGATGTTCACGTCACCAAAAGATGAAGTGGCCATAGTGCTATTTGGCACTGAGGGTAATTTTGATTAAAAAATATAATTACTCAGCTATCATAAGCTTTTCAATAGATTATAAATACAACACATTCTTATTTATGGTAGAAACTGATAATGAGTTAGCAGATGATACAGGTGGCTATAAACATGTGAAAGTTATGAAGACATTTGCCTGCCCAGATTTAGAGCTACTACACAAAGTTCATAACAGCATTGCTCCAGGTATTGAAAATTTCATAAATTATTATAATTTTTCATAAATTTCCAAACATCACATTGAATCTAATAAATCGTCCATCATCACTTTACCTTTCCATAAATCTTAACTTTTAGGAAATCAAGATGCTGACTGTATCCTTAGTAGCCAATTTTCTTTCTCTGTTTTTATCAATTGTAGCTTTGATAGCTCCTTTAAAGCTCTTTTAGTTATTCTACATAGTTATTCTACATAGTATTTATGAAAATTCATAGTTTTCTCTTAGCCAAATACATCAGTTGTGGATGCTATTGTTATTGGTGCTCATCTTCTCAACGAAGCAACTCTGTAAGAAATTTGATGGTTTTTTTACTTTCACTTATATATAATGTATCAATATATATCATTGTTTTCTTCCATAGGGGCAAAAAAGTTACAGAAAGAAATATTGTTATGTTTTCAAACCTTGGCTCACCATTTGGTAATGATGGTATAGAAACTATTTTAGAGGGAATGAAAAACCTTGAAGTAAACTTTACTATTGTGTGAGTTTTAAGTATGTCAATGAAGATCTGTACCATTTATTTTTTTATAATTTCCAATTCAAATGGTTATAGTTGGTTTAATGAAACATTTCTTTAGTGGACCTGACCTTCACAGTGAAGACAATGATGACAAGCCAACAGACACCATGCTGTCATGTGATGCCAAGACATCTCAACAGGTTATTATACTGTACCAAGATATGACTGTGGCAATGCAGTTAGACTTCATTATCTCACAAGAGAAATTGTTGAAAACAGATTATAAAGAAGTTCTCCTTGTTTGTAAAACTTATCTAAAATGTAAACAATTGTTTCAAAGAACTTTTTTCACTTCAGGATGGTTACTGATTACTGCCATAAATACGTATTTGCTAAAGAATTAATCCATTATCATATAATACTCAACCAGCAGGAGTAAATGGTTGAACCATTTTTCTCATCTCAACTATTTGATGTTACAAATCCCTAGTTTAAGTCAGCATTAACACAAGGCACTAGCTACATTGACAAATGGTTACTGTAACATTGGATTATTCCTAGAAACTAGCCACATGAACCAATGGTAACTGTAACATTTCATTATTTCTAGAAACTAGGTGAAGAATTTATGAAGCGTATTTTATTTGAGGTTGAAGGACAATCATTTACCTTTAGGTAAATCATTTCATTTATTTGCCAGATATTTAACCTTTGCATTATTTTTTTGACTAATTTTGCTCAATCGTCCTTTCAGTGATATTTTACAAATGTTAACTTTTGTTGAGCAAAAAGCCATTCGACAAACTACCGTTTTTCGTGGTCCCTTACAAATTGGTTCCAATATTAAAATCAATGTTTATGGCTACATCAGGGTAATTTAATTTATAATAACTTATGAGTTGTGGTTGTATTAAGACCTATGAATCAAGTTTCTATGAAAACATGCATTTTGTTATAAGTATGGTTACATTTGGTTAATGAGTTTTTGATTAAGTCATTTTACTACAATAAATTCTTGAATATTTGGTGCAATAAAATGATAACTGTGTTTTCTTTGTGTAATAAGGTAAAAGAACTAAAGCCAGATGCTTGGAAAAAATTATCTGCACCAGCCGAAGCATCACCTGAGCCTGGATCAATGGGTGTTGTAACTCAGCGGTCGTATCATCGAAACGACGATGACGACGATGATACAGAGGTGGTTAAGGACGATCTGGCAAAAGGTTCTTCTTCCTTTATCATATTTATAGCATTTTAGAATATTTATAGAAACTGTTTGAAGATTTCTTCTCACTTCAAATATCTGAGATTGTAATGATCGGTATTTTAACATTTATCGAGTGAAGGTTTCTTTATCTTAAGCACATCCTTTATTTCATTGACATGGTGTAATTATGTTAATAATTGCATCTATAGTATCACGAGTTTCATTTTAATTTTATAGCCTACCGTTACGGAAGAACGCTTGTACCGTTTTTAAAAATCGATGAAAAAAGTATGAAGCTTGAGGCGGATAAATGTCTTGAAGTTCTTTGTTTCACTCCTTCGTCTTGTGTAAGTTAAAACCGTCACAGTTGGTCGTAAAGCAAAATTAAAAAGGAAAAGTTAAATTTTTTAATGCTGTAGCAGCAGAATTCATAAATATTTTTGCTGCAGGTAAAACGATATCAATATATGGGTGATAGTGTTGTCGCTTTTGTACCTCAACCTGAGGATAATGTAAGTTTCAAATTTTTAAAATTTTACAATTTAATTTAACCTCACTAGCACTGATATTTTAAAGTTTACTCTAGGCTGCTGCTGTCGCGCTGTCAGCCATCATACGGGCTTTGTATGAGTCAGATAAGGTTGCGATTGTTAGATATGTGTTCAGAAACAAGGCTGTACCAAAGGTTGGCTTTCTTCGTCCGCATATCAAGAGAAACTACGAGGTATTACCGTAGCTATATGTCAATTTAAAGTTATCAGTGTTTCATGTAGCTCAAAAATAACAGTTTATAATTTTCCTCGCAAAAGTTGAAAGTTTATTGCTTTCAATGATACGACGTAAAACTCGTTATTTATCCATTATTCACGAGAAATGAGTTGCGTTTTGTGTTATCAGAAAGTTCTGTAGGTTAGATTATACATTCCAACGCTAATGTTTATGATATAATATATGATTATAGTATGTTATATGAGGAAATTTTTATTTTTCAGTGTTTGTTGTACACAACTTTGCCGTTCGCTGAAGATATTAGACACTTCAAATTTACTTCTTTACCTTCAAGCTTTAAACATGAACCGAAGGGTATTGTTGAAGAAAATTCTAACACAATTCTTGTTACCTTTAAATGTGACAAAAAAATAAGAGCTTACTGTTTCTTTTAGAAAAACAAATGGAAGCCGTTGATGATTTTATAGAAAATTTAATTTTAAGTAAAGCCAACAGGTATTGTATCTCTTACGTCGAATTTTTATGAAGCTATGTGGAATTTGCTACTGTTTTTAAATTTCAAAGTGATGAAAATGATGGTGAAGACGAGGAATTGCTCAAACCAAAAACTCTATAATCCTTATCGACAACGACTACTGCAGGTATGAAATTGGTTGGGAATGTTCTTATGACGTTTCAACCAGTAATTTATTATTTTTCGGATATGAAAAAGTAAGTTTGTGGCAACCTTGGGATAAATCATGTTTCATTTTATAAAGTGTATCATTCATCGCTCGTTATATCCTGATGAGTCACTTCCTGAGTTTGACGAGGCCATTGAAAGGTACGACGATAATAAGATGATAATTCTTCATGATTGGTAGGTTTCTGACTGTGACTTATTTCTGTCTTGTCCCGTTTTATACAAACCTTACAGTTTGCTTAAACAACCTGATGATATTGTTGCATCAGCAGCTCCCTGTCTTCAAAAGTTAAAGGTGTGTACAATATGAACATATACGTCCTCTTTGGAAGAAAATGTCAATACGTATACGAATTTCTGGTTTATTGAATACACCAGGCTTTGTTGCTTGGATGAAAACAATTTCTTTATATTTTAAAGACTGTCTTTCCACTTCGTGTTGTTGTAAATGACAAGAACAAAATGACGACGGATAATGTTTTTAAATCAAAGTATGATCTTTAAACGCATTAACGAATGATGTGTGTAAAATGATTACTTTCTCAACGTTGTTTTTCCAGTATTGATCTTGGCTTGGATGATGAAGAACATGAAATAAAACGCCAAAAACTTTCTTCTGACGAAAAGGCAGCAGCATCAATGAATGACCTAAACCCTCTGAAAGTAACGAAGGTTGACTTATAGAGATTTCTCCTACGACGTCATGTAAGGAAATTATATTCTTATATTTGCCTCTCTTGTACTACTGCATTAAAGGTGGGAACTGTGGATCCTGTTGGGGATTTTATGCATCTGGTTGGTCTTAAAGAGGCTAATACTTTCGATGAAGGTAAGTACAAATTAATATTTCTCATTGATTTCGTTGTTATTGAGAGCAAAATTGTGCATCACTGATGAAATTTTTCTCTTTATCAGCATCACAACAGTTGAAAGATCGTATTCAGGAGTTTATATTGGATTCTTTTAAAGATGAACTTTATCCCAAAGCCATATCATGTATCCATGCTTTAAGAAAGGAATCCATTAAGGTAGACACAGTATCTTCATTCTCTCGTTTAATTCACAAGCTCCTACTTAAATAAAATTTACGAATCTCCAATTTCCTGTTGCAAGGCGATGGAAGCTGAGAAGTTTAATGCATTTTTGTATGATTTGAAAACCAAACTGTCTGAGAAAACGTCGTTTTGGCTACGCTTAAAAGAAGGTTAACTGTGATTTGTCGCTCATATTTATGAATGACACGAATTTAATACTTATATTCTTACTTAAATGACAGAAAATATCTCTCTTATCAATTCTGGCGAATGCTCCACAGTAAATGTTAGCATAAAAACAGCAAACTTGGTAGGATAAATTGATTTAGTCGAATCGTTTTATTTATTTAAAGAATTTATAAAAACTTAAACTTCTTGTGTTTTTTCTAAAGTTCATTCACGATAATCATGGAAAGAACGATCTTGTAGACGAGGAAATGGAAGATGTTGATGATTTGGTAAGAAATAATGACATTCAAAAGTGCCTTGCATTTGGAAATGCGATTGAATTATTAGTAGAAGTTTTACGGAAACAATGAACAATTTCAATTAATAACAGAAGACAGCAGCTTCTTTGTATTTCTCTCCTATTATTTATTTTCCAAGAATATTTTTTAATCGTTTCTTCTCTCACTAATTTGTAATATTTAACAGTTGGAAACAATCGGGCGATGAAGTCAGTTAAGGAGCACAGAAAATGAAGAAAGGTCATCTTGTCGTTCAGCATCCAAATAGAAAATGGATAGCGATATTTTTCGTTTCGATATTCCCATGTAAGTCGTGTTCATCACCATGGTCACCATTTCTTGGACCGTGAAGACTGGGGCTAGCATGTGGTATCCGGAACATGTTTAGTAAAAGGAAATTTCTGAGTTACATTGCATGTTCATATTTATTTTCACGTTGCATGTTCGTTAAAGTAATCAGTAAGTTGAAATTTAGAATTAGGACATTTAAAAGAGGGAGACACCACGAAAAGGACTTGTCTACATATATAGGTATTTATGTTGCATATATGTGTATGTATGTATGTGGATATATGTGAATAATATAATAGCACGTCATCATATTGTTTCGAATACTATAAAATAGCGTCTTTATTTACATGAATGATGAAGTTTATTGTCAGCAAAGACTCCCACGTCAAATTAACATACTAAAAGACAATCAAGAAATGTTTGTGCACAGTCGAAGGACACGTCACCTAGGCGGTAGAGGAGTTGCTTTTACGGAATACATGTACGCATTACTGCAAAATTGATCGCTTTTCAAATAGAAAAGTTGTCGAATAAGTTCATTATGTTTCGACATTTGTTCATCTTGATTCTAATTCAGTGTTTTTCGATTTTGTTTGCGGAATTTCCTCCAAAGTTTGAAAATGACGCTTCTAGCGAACCAGTAAATAACTTGAAACCATTTGGTCATCACCGTCCCCCAGATGGTCCTGTTGTTGAAGAACACGGTTTCTTACATCCAAGAACATTCTGGGAAAAATATGTCAAGATTCATAAACCAATGGTATTCAGAGGTGCTGTTTATAAAAGTCCTGCTATTTACTTGTGGAATGATCAATATCTTGTTGATAAATTTGGAGATCTAGATGTGATCTTAGAAGTTAAACGTGAGAACCGTAATAAAGTGCCAAAGAGGATGAACATTAGTTCGTTTATTGAGAAGTATAAAACTAATGATATATATGCTGTATCACTTTTACCAGATCCCATGAGGGATGATGTACAGGTTAGTGTTGTGTGTTTTAAATCCTAAAATATGATAGAAAGAACTCTGAAACAGGATATTCCATTACAAGCATGTGGACGACTTCCTGTTGTAAAAAATCTGTTTTATATTAAACCTTCCAGGTGCCAACATGTGTGATGTGTGGGTCATTTCGAGATTTTATGCACGAGACAAACTTTTGGATGAGTTCTGGGGGAACAAGATCAGTTATTCACTATGATGCTGATGAAAATCTTCACTGTATTATTAATGGAAGCAAAGACTTCATTATGGCTGAAAAAAAATACAAAAAGTATATTCCATTTTTTTCAAAGGTATTGGTTTGATATGTCACCATAATAAAACCAATCAAGAAATTGAACAAGAATTTTTCTTTTCTTCAGAAAGCACATAGTGGTTCTGGTTTTTCAAATCTTGATCCTGATGCCATAGACTTGGTGAAGTATCCAGACATGGCCAAAATCCGGTGGACATATACTACACTGTATCCTGGAGATTGTCTTTACATTCCTTCAAGTAATCATATTTCAGTTTTAAATGTTGCATTCTTGCATTACTCGTCATCCAATATGTACCTGCAAAATGATCCATCACATAATTATAAATTTCTGCAAAAAAAAACTTTTTCTTAATAGCTTTTTTGCGTCATTTAGATTACTTGCATCAAGTGCGTGCCCACAACCGAACAATTTCTGCTACATTGCTATTTACTGCTGATATTGACCATAAATTTAAAGACACAGACTGCAAGGACACGACTTTCATCTATACACCCCTGAGTGCCATTGATGTACATTGGACGTACAATAAGGGTGACCGCACCGTTGACATGGGTTACATGAATGTTGAAGTCTTACGTACTAGTGTATTGGAAGGTATTGATGAAATGAAAAAAGATACTGTCAGTTTTGAAGACTTTACTGATGGTTATTCAATGCTGGATAGTGAAAGAGAGGAAACGGAAGAGGTAATATAGTTTATGTTTATCTTTGCATAATGATAAAAGAAATTACAGAATGCGTCATTTTTTTTATCATTTTGATTTTCAAATTCAACCAACATTTTCTATGGTCTTATTTTTTATAGTATAAGGAAAAAGTCAAGATGATATTTACCAAATTGTTTGATGTTGGTATTGATAAAAAAGTGACAAGACAACAAATCAAGAATTTGCCCAGGGAAAAATGGAAATTTCTTGCTCGAATGATTGATTCTCCTCATGGACCTGTTAAAGATGAGGAAGAAGTTGTTAAAGAAGAGGAAAAAGTTGTTAAAGAAGAGGAAAATGTTGTTAAAGATGAGGAAAAAGTTGTTAAAGAAGAGGAAAAAGTTGTTAAAGACGAAGAAAAAGTTGTTAAAGAAGAGGAAAAAGTTGTTAAAGATGAGGAAGAAGTTGTTAAAGATGAGGAAAAAGTTGTTAAAGACGAGGAAAAAGTTGTTAAAAATGAATTGTAAAGACTAACAAAACTTTTTCAAGTCATGCAGTCTTTTGAGGGCAATTAATGAGTGTTTTTGTGAATTGTAATTGATAGTCAATTGGAATTCATGGAATTGTAGCATAGTTGATTTTTCTTTCAATAGATTAACAATTTCATAATAAAATATCATAACAAAAGTGAAAACCTTACCCTTTGAGGTAAATTGGTTGATCATTGTACAACTAACCATGTCAGTGATGATCTATAATTACTATACATGATGGTGGTCACATTACAACCTAATATTCCCTTAGTAGCTGTTGAAAGTAGCTCGTTAAAGCACATGCAGATGTAAAAAGGGTGTGATTTTCAAAGACCCAGAATTAAGGCTTGTTTAATTATTCATAAAATCTGTAATGGTTTATGTTGTTGTCGTTCGTTGGTATCTTCACACGTGAATGAGTGACTACCGTCCATGCATTGACATTTTTGGTTTTGTTCTTGAAGGAAGGCGTCCTTGGCAGAAAGTAAAATGTCATGTGAAACTAGAAACGAATGTTTTGTCCATAGAACTTGAGACAAATCCTGTTTTAAATGTGTCTTTTATATTTTGCGAAAATTATTATGTCGTTATACAACAATTGAACAGCATTTAAAATGATTTTGTGAACCACTCTGTTATAATTAAAATGGCGAGTCTACAAATTTTAGTTCTGCTACGTTATTTCGATAATTATCATTATTCGTTTCTTTAGATATCTATGGTTTTTTAATTAGTGAATGCGTAAATAGAAGAGTGCAGAATACTCCATTATTCATTATCGTCAGAAGATCCATTTGTGTGAGATATACCATTTACATCACTTTTAGTGATGTACATGGAGCTACTCTGCTCATTATTATGTTTAAAAAAATTTTGGGGAATTCATACTATCCCAATAAAAACAATTGTCTGTATATAACCAGTAACTATATTGTTTGCTTGTGATGAAAACAGAAAACTCTTCTTTTTAGTTATCTCTGTTGCCAAAAAGATGTAAAAAAAGCACAAAGGCACTGGCACGGACCATTTTAATTTACTTGCATGAAGTAGTTCAAAATTTTTCAAAATGGCGAACACAAAAGACTTAATAAAACCTCAAAGAAAACGGGGTAGATTTACAAGACTTGAATATCCTTTTCCTGTGCCCGAGCAACGAGTTGATGATGAAACTAAATGGTTTTATTACGAAGGATTTTTAAGAGGAAACTCGATAATTGTGGAGAATATTGGTGAACTAAATTTTTTGTACAGAATGGCAAGTTGTATTCTATATAGTGTATCGATCATTTGACGAGAATTTTCTATTATGTGAATGAATTTTCATGAATATGTGATTATACTGTTTATTTTTGTTTAGGGATTCTTTGGCAAAGGTATTTTATCAAGAAGCAAACCGGAGCATGAAAAGTTTTCGGATATTTCACAACTAGCTTTTTCAAACTCGGAGAGGTTGAGGAGATTGCCACCTCACGAACGCAGGATTCGACAATCTAAGTTTCGAAAATTTAGAAAAGAAAGGTAAAGGAATAGTTAGGTTTACGAATTGTCATGCTCATGTATCTGCTGCTGCCTTGTGTTTTGTAATTAATGGATTTTAGCATGTCTAACGTTTTCATTACAGCAAAACTTTTGTTGTATTTTTCGCGTAAGTAAAAACTTCACATTTTCCAAGTCGTTTGATTAATTTAGTGCATAATCTCTTAGATACAAACAGCATTGGAAATGGAGTAGTTTGATGAAGAATGATGTACTAAATGTACAGAATGAAGATGCATTCTTGTATCATGAAGAAGATCCAGAAACAGATGAGGATCATGAGGACATTGAGAGGATAGAGAAGTGTAATGATGATGATGCTGATGATGTAAGGATAGATGATGTACTTCGAGAAATAATTAATAAGAGAAGTGATGATACACAGGTAAATACAAAGGATAAAGACAGGACATCAAAAGTTTTATTAAAGGGACATATATATTGCCATTCTCTCAATAAAATCCACCTTTTCGACGGTAAAGACACGATGTCAAAAATACGACGTCAAATTGCAAAATTCGAACAATCAAATGTCGGATATAGTATTGTTTATGTAGAAAAATTGCAATGGTTAGGTGACGCTTTTGACTATGGGGCATTTGGGGATCTGATTTTAACTATTCAGAACAATTATTATAAAGGCATAACAGTTCATTATTAACTATTTTCCGTTTGAAAAAAGCGTAACAATTGAAGGAAAGCTTGAATACTGGCATGCTGTCGCGCTGATGACTTTTTAGTAAGGATTGTTACGGGCCTTTACGGCGTGACTTAAGAATATCCAGTACGGATTCCAGCTGCATAAAGCGCTAAAATGCAAGCCATGCAAATTTTTGAACTGTTATTTTTATTGCATGTAGATTTCGCTGTCTTATAATCACTAATCACTATTATTATTATTGATGGATGAAATCTCCCTAAAACTGGCTTTTCAGATTCATTTACAAGCTACTTGTACGTAAAAATGGAATTTTAAACTGTAGCTATAAATTTAAACATATGAAGATGACTACCGCTAAGGTTGTCGAGTCGTCAGTCAACATCAACAACAACAGTCCTTCTCTTATGAACATTTGTTTATTGTGATCAAAGGCAGTGATGAATCTCATCTGGAATCTCATGATACATCGAATCATAAATATCATAAAAATAATAGTTAAAAAAATTTATATCCTTTTCTTTGCTCAATGCAACTAAAATCAGGTCTTGATATTTTTTTGAAAGGGTGGTTTCTTACAACGAAATGCATATTACATGCATTTACGTAATAAATTGGACGGCTGTCTCTATGCGATCAAAAGAAGTCCTTTAATCCAAAAAGTGTTTTGTTTAATCGCAAAATTACTCGAGAAGTGAAGTTGCTTTCTGGACTGAATCATGAAAATATTGTTAAATAGAAAGAAATTTACTGTCCAAAATGAATCAAAATTTTATAACGTAAGTGTTGCAAGCGAGGTTCAATTTAAAAGATACAAATGGCTTGGCTTATTAAATGTTATCTTTGTAAAAACTATTGATAAAAAAGTAGATTTTACCTGTTTCCCATGAAGCCCGTGAGGGCTTTTGTTCATTATGAGAGAGTTATGAGAAATTTACATTGTAAAAGATAACCAGTAAAAAGCGTATAAACATGCTTAGGGTTGGTTTAAATTATAAATCAAAAATGCAGAAGTTGTTTGCACCTTTGCAATATCCTTGGTTGTTCTTTTATGAGAAGAAGTCTTGTAAAAGATAAAATTCGAAAACAAAAAACCCCGTTTTCGGGCCATGCTTCCCGATACCTTGTTAATCTTAAGGAACTAGAACGCCGCATGTTAACGTTTCGGTAGGAGATTTCGGCCCCTCCACGCTATCCTACTTGGGAGATGCCAAAGCAAGCTTCCGCCCATCAGACCCCGAGATCACCTGCGATAGGCTTTGCTCGGGGTACGCAGGGAGAGTGCGGTCGCCACCGAAGTGTGGGCCCTAAGCCACTGCATACATATCGCACCCAGCTTCCACTGCTAGTTGGCATCTACTATATGAAGTTTTAGCTTTATATATATATACACAAATTCAAGGGCTTACGAAAGTTGTGGTATAATTAAAGTCACTACTGCGCATGCTCAGATGATTTCTTTGATAATTTGCGACTAAGTGAGCTAATTGCCACGAAAGTAGTGCAAGTACATATAGTTAGTCGTTGCCATGACTATGAATAATTAGTTGAGTGGACTGCGCATGCTCAAGCGCATTCGCAGATGATTTATCCATTAAATTGTTACTAAACATGATATTTACTTCAAAATTGGCGCTAGTAGATGCAATTGGTTGATGCCGTGACCATGAACGTGTGCAGCTGGTCAAGTCGACTGTGCATGCTCAAGCAGACTACGCATGCGCAGATAATTTATCTGAAAATTCGTGACTGAGCGGAGCCAATTACTCCATGATTGATACTAGTACATCCAGTTGGTCGTTGCCATGACTATGAACTTAGAGAGTTGGTGGAGTTGACTACGCATGCTTATATCAATTCTTAATTAATTTGTGACAGAGCAAGCTCTGAAATTGGTGCTTGTAAATGTGCTGAGCAAGTTTTCAATCATACATGTTTGTCTTCTTAAGCTTGTTTTGACAAATGCATATCAAACTCATCAACATTTTGTTACGCCGCTCGTAGTATCCGTGACAATGTTAGAGATGTTTTAATTTTTCTCCATAACTTTTTATCTGCATATTGCCTGTCATATCCAAGCCTTTCTTTGATTTGACGGACAAATTGTTTTCATTCACTCTTACACCTTTTGCCTTTAAAATTAGTCGTTCTTTATTTATAAAATAAGATTTACAAATGTCCCAAGAGCATCTTCTTTTTATTTTATTGCCACTATTCTACATATACAATACTATGTCTAATTTTTGTAATTTGATTTCGTATTTTCGAGAGGTGTGTTTACCCTCGGAAAGTGGGTTCTTTTGATCATGACTCTAAAATTTTAGGATGTTAAGCTGGGAAAACATGATCCATATAAGATTTTTGAGTTTCTTCAGTTGACTCTTGAGGAAGCATTTTTCCTCAGCTATGGACTTGGCTGTCTCACTGTCTTTTTAAGTGAACAAGTAAGTTGTTTCTTTGTGCTTTTGGGGCGTGTAAACTTTCAAACTTGTTAACATCGGTTGCTTTTTCTGTAAATCTGGATTTTTTATGCCAAGAATGAAACACATGAAAGAGACAGTGTTTGCTTGCCTCTGATACGTCTCAATCTTTTTCACCTCATCCTTCATGTCTTTCGTTGATTACTGGTTTATGATAAATTTTAGAAACTGTCTCTCTCTGCAATGTGGTCGGAATTCTGTCAACGTAGTGCAAACTTTCTTAGGAATTATGTAGCCTATCATTATTATCGCAGTAAAGGTTGGGTACCTCATACAGGTCTTAAGTATGGTGCTGATCTGGGTATGTAACTGAATGTTTAACATTGATATGCATTGAAGTCATGCATCCAAGTTAAGTTTTATCGTTTTGCATTTAGTTCTCTATAAGAAAGGTATGCCATTTTTTCACTCAAGGTAATGCTCTTTTTTTGTAATCAGATTTGAACTTTAGGAATTTCACTACATTTTCGTTTTTCAATATTTTTAATATGAAGCTTTGCTGTATCAACGAGGCTAGTCGACGAGAAAGGGGACCCATTTAAAACGGATGAAAACATTTCCTGTGGTGAAGAATGGACATGGAAACATTTGATTTCTTTGAATCGTTTGAATGAACATGTTGGCAAGGTGAGTTGAACATTTTATTTTCAATATTGAAAATGTTGAAAAATTCTTTTTCCTTTAAATATTTTATTTCTTTTTGAAGGAGTTGCTTCTCTGTTCGATTACTCTGCCATCAGGTATGGATTTGTGTAAACTAGGAGTTCACGTTAATGTGAAAGAATTTGTTGTTTTTGCAGTTAGGAGTATGTTTGTATAGTTATGAGTATGTTTGTATAGTTAGGAGTATGTTTGTATAGTTAGGAGTATGTTTGTATAGTTAGGAGCATGTTTGAATGGTTAGGAGCATGTTTGTATTGTTAGGAGTATGTTTGTATAGTTAGGAGTATGTTTGTATAGTTAGGAGTATGTTTGTATAGTTAGGAGCATGTTTGTATTGTTAACGATGATTTTTCAATCCTTCGAATCATGTCAACTGTCAATCATCTTCTTTCAAATAATTCCATTTGCTTGTTTCCAGGTATTTCATCAGCAGAAATGAATGGACCAAATCTTTTAAGATCATGCAAAGTTCAGGTAAACATCAATAAAGGACTGCAGTCTCGTATGTGTTTGATTTTCATGCAATATTTTTTTCGTTTAAGGAAATGATCTTACGACGTTGGATACCAAAGAAAAATCGTGAACGATAAATAAACATTGATACTTTCTCATGGATTACATTTGTCCATATATTGACGAAGCTCAGGGAACCGCAATAGTTTGATGAACGGGGGAGGGGATATAGAAATATTCTTATATTCATATGTTGTTATCCGTAATCACAGCTAATTTTGGTACAATATTCACATATGAATATTAGTCTTCTCCACCAAATTATCGATCTTTTTCGGTCCCTGTGTGTGAGAAAACGCTAAAAGGATAAAACTGTTTTGATATAATTGTTTTGCTCTGTTTTGATCTTGCTGTAACTTGTCTCAATTGATGTCATGATATACGCCTGCCTGGAATATGTTCAAACAGCTTCAACCTTGAATATTTGATGTGTTTTTCACTCGTAATCACGTGTTCCATCATATACGATGCAACCAAAATTAGAGCGAGATCAGTGCACTCGAATCAACTACACTATTTACGAATTTCCAAGTACGTAGAAAGATTGATGGTTGGAGAGGCTCATTCTTATATACGCATATTATAATAAGCTAAAAAATGGATTTTAAAGGAATTTAAATACGTCATATCAACGATCTATGAATTTTATATTGCCCCCCTCGTTTATGGATCTTCTTTAAGACTGTGACTGGTTATGCTTCGGGTAAAGAAGCCAATTATTAAAAGTCAACTTGACTGACTTGACCGTTATTGACAGTATCAAAATAATATTATGTTACATGTATATTCAAGAACATTGACAAATGCAAAATATAATTGGATCATAAGACACGTTTGTATTCTTTCAAAGAATACTGTAAGAATTACATTTTATACGCTATTATTTCTTTGGATTTTGTCTTTCTTTTAGCTGCCGAACCCTAACTGCAAATAGGACCATGATCTCAATTATTACACAATCTTTTGCAAATTTTATGTAACTCACATGAGGTGCTTGCGGTATTTTATTCCTGCCAGTCGTCCAAAGCTAGCCAACTTGTAAAGCTGTCATTTTGTGAGCGTACGATATCTTAAGAAAATGCCGTTCTTTCCTTGGAGAAAAGCATTCTTCAATTCTTTATTATTCATGGTCTTGGTGGGATATTGTGCTCACGGAGTTTCCATTAGTAATGTGTTAAATGACAATGGTAAATGCTTTTACATCTATTAAGGCAAGGACATAGAGTCCTTGTTTCTTATGGTCAGTTTTATTCCAAATACCATGAAATACGATGTTTATCTTTTTTAGTATGCTCAGACTGGGACGATAGATGTTTCAGTTGGGCAACAAGATGGGAATGCCAAAGAAATCCAAACTACATGCATGTATTTTGCAAAGAGTCCTGTGGCTTGTGTGGAGGTGAAGGAACAAATCGTCATTTCAAATAAACGTTTTAACAACTAATATTTTCTAATAATAAACTTAGAATGTACAAATGTTGCAAAGGATGACAAGTGCTTTGATTGGGCGATTGCTGGCGAATGTAACAAAAATCCAAATTACATGATGGTGAAATGCAAAAAGGCTTGTACAGCTTGTTGTTAAGGTCGGTGTGTAATTTCTGCTTTATTCATAAAGCTCTAGACGAATAAAATACATATTATTCTCTGTTTATTTAGTTCCAGACTCGGGTTTAGAAGAATGCCAACTGCTAAAAGAAAAGTTCATAGAACAAAGTCGCATTTTACTTATTTCTTGATTAACATCAGTGTGGAAATATCTTTAGAAATTTCTTTCTAAGCTCTTCGTATTTGTAATGAATTGTTTTAATCATTAAAAACGTATTGAAACTGGGTGAAACAGCTTTAACCTTCGTATTTGACTTGTTAATCACTCGTATTATTCATGTTCAAACATGTAACCAAAACTGTGAATGAAATTACTGAAAACAAAACCAAATAACTCTAACTTTGCATTTTTAAAATTATGTTTTTATATAAAATTTGTGGCCTGTATGAACAAAAAGGTAAGATAATTAAAATGACCGTTTTTAGCCCTCTTCGTTATGTGAATTTTCAAAATTTTCTTTTGAGTTTGCCCAGCGCATGAAGAGTCTGGAAGACTGACCAATGACATGTCGTCTTTTCGTAAGGCGGACACCAATGAAATGGAGGCATTTTAAAATGACGACTCCTATGAAGTGACAAATTTATGAAATGATGAATCTCAAGAAATGATGGATGATGACTTGGTAAGGAAAATGAACTATATGTACGTTTCTTGCTGTCTATAGGTAGTACATTTTCAACAACTTTCTATGATTTTGACGTTTAGCTCTCTCCGTCTTACAAAATTAAAAAAAAATTGGTATTTTGTTAGAGGAAGAAAAAACTGCTCACAAAAAAGTTTTAGTAAGTATCATTATCTTTTTACATAATGTCAGTGAATATTAAACTAAATTGTTTTTTTTCTTAGTTTTATTATATTTTTATAATCACTAATCTTAGTTCAAAAGTAATGAGTAATAACTGACCATAATACAGCAGGCTCATAACGCGCGTAAATTTTGAACTACACTGTGATGTTTACTTAGAACCGTCTTGTTTTTTATTTATTTTTACCTGTTTTAAACATTTCGTGATCTTCATTTAAGAAATTATTTATGAGGAAAACTTCATTGATCTCGTGAGCTCTTATGTCATGAAATGAATACTGTCGATGTGTTGAAACTTGAAGAATATATTTGGTTTATATATGAATGACATCAAAGAAGAAATTACTAATGATTTTGTTGGATCTCTGAAGGTAAGAGTCTGTGATTTTCAATGATAGGAAAATATGTATTCTTGCATACAAACGTGTTATCTTAAGATGAAACTGTTTGCAAAGAATTGTTAATGCTGGTATTGACTGATCTCTTGATGACCAGATTACCACCACTAATGTTGTTGAGACGTCAGTCAACTACAACATCAACAGTGTTTGTCAATACTCCACTTACTCGGACAATCAACACCTACGAACATGTAGCCATACTTCTGGGTTTAAACCATCAACTGCAAAGACATTTGTATGAAGTGTATAGAACAATAGTTTCTTATGGTGTGTTCTTTAAAAGCTTACTATAGTTGCTGACAGTTTAGATGATACAAGGAAAAGACATTTAGGGATAGATACTTTGACAAGTTGTCTATCTTTACCTTTGTCTTTCTTTGTTTCAGACAATGAACATTGACATTCAGCTACAATGTATCGTTGTGAAGATATACATAAAGTATACACTTTACAAAAGTACTAGTTTTTTAAATTCTATCTGTAATGATTATATAGGTTGTAACCCCAGGCAAATATACCGGAAGTGATTTGTCAACCATTCATAACCATTGCGTGCATCTTGAAGCGATTTTAGCAATGAAATTCTCATCCTTCGAAAAGGAGAACTACAAACGTAAGTATACAGCAGATAAAACGTTTTTATTTACACGACATTAGTGCTCCGCAAGAAAGAATCTTACTGCAGTTTGTCTTTTTTGAAAAACCTTACCATAATTATATATTTTTTACTTCGGCTATTAAACTTCACTTCAATAAAAATCTATCGTTATTTTTCTTTCGTTAAATCACAATTGTGTTAAATTCTCTAGTTTCTGGCAATGAAAGTAAGGTATTTAACGATAACGTGCGATGTTTCCTAAGGGTAATATCATTAGACAAAGGCTTGCGTGGGATGCAAAGCGGTTGTTTAAAACACACTTCATAGATATGCAAATACGATTCGTGTGGCGATGTGTAAAACGAGTCAAAACAGCCTAGTCATTAGTGTATTTGAAATAACATTGAAAAGAAATTGCGTTTTAGCGATAGAGATTCTTATTTATTAATTCATGGACGAAATTTTCAAAGTTTTGTGACGCAAAAAAGGAATTTATTCGTTTACAATATATCTAGTTCCTCTTATTAGTAGCTGCTACGTCTTTACAAAATAAAGGTATGACTCTCTGATGTTTTTGTAATTGTATTCACCATTTTATTTTATTCATAAGAATATTCCGTGCTTTAACTGTGTAAGATAGCCATACGTACAGTTACATGGTTTTACTATAAAATGTTCTACATTATTCTATTGATTTTTAATGCGAAACGATTAATTTTAATAAATGATCAATTGAGGAGAACCAGGAATTAGCATCCTGCAAATTTTGATACGTGTAATTTTTCTACTTCGCTTAAGTTGTCGACATTTAAATGGATAAATTCTCTGTTATATATTCAAATTCATTCGCACAGATTTCTTTTTCTCTATTGATTCATTTGCTTGTACTTTTTATCCACGAGTACGAGTTTCATTGATTTTAATACTCTTGAGGTGTTTTAGATTAAAGTTATTAAAAATATGTGAACTGCAATCTTCAGTTTTTAGACGTATATTGTTATTTGTGTTTCTTACTTGTCAGCGGTATCACCTGATACCTTACAAAGACTGTTAGAAGAACAAATTGAATCACACAAAGCTATCGAAGTAAGTGTGCTGATGTCATGTATATTTTTTGGTACAGTAATGTAACTTAAATACAGTAGCAGGGAATTGTAAAAAATTGTTCTCTTTCAGGCCTTGCAGCAACAAATCCAAGCAAATACGCCCATATCTTTAGCGTCTGACGCTAGTAAGGTTACGTATCTACCGACTTCTAATGATAAGTTTTCATTTTTTGACGATCTTATATTTCTTTAAAGTTATATTTATATTTTTATTAGGAATTTGAGCAAAGTGTTCTAAAACAAAGAGACATTTTAAATGAAATAATTGGTATCTCTCTATCTTCATCACCACTAAACCTGTCACACAGTGAAGAGATTATGTCAGATACGTTTTTACCTTTGGCCAAAACACTTTTCCCGGAAAGCACGGTCGAACACAGTCCCCTACACAATGATACACAATGGACAAACAAATTGGGTGCGAAAAAAGATGGCAGTGTTGATTCCGCGACGGAATTTCGGTTGAAAAATAAACCAACGAAGCCTGAAAGCGTTGTGCCTTTTACTTCTTGCGGTTTACAGTTCAAGAATGATCAGAATCCGATTTCCCATTTTTTTTCTGAGCGAGAAGAGAATGATGATGAGCTTTTATTGTTTTTAGATATCATAGAGCAAAAAGCTCTGTCTATTAAAAGTTTGATTGAACGTGAAAAGTTGGATACTGTTGTGAAACTTCGTCATCAGATCGAGGCAGAATTTAACGGACTGAGGCTGGAGGAGATTCCCTTTACTTTTCACGAGAAAATTGACAGCGCAATACAAAAATACTTGGAACTGGAACTGAATAAAATTGGTGAGAGGTACGGGGAAAAGTGTGTCGGTAACAACTCAAGAAATGGCATCGAGGAAAATGATCTATACTGTCTACCTGATGTCGAAATGCTGGAGGAATTAAAACGTGAGAACTGTGATCTTCGTGATAAAGTTGAGAGTCTTGAAACCAGTGTTAGACGTGTAGACATGTTGTATTCGATGCAGAAAAAAGAGAACGAATATTTAACAGAGAAGGTGGTTACGTTAGAACGGCAATTGACAAATGATCAATTAAGGCACGAGAACGAGTTAATTAGTACGTGTAATGACTGTGTGAACAAAAAGGAAAACAATGTAAAAATATGTGATAGGACAGATATATCTGAGACGGTGAACACTCTTTTTCATAAACTGGGACAAACTGAAAGAAAGAATGATGCTTTAAAGATGGCTGGGGAAGCAGATCAGACAACCATACGATGTTTAGAAGGAAAAATCACTGAACTTGAGGACAATTTGAAATATTCCCGACAAGAAGTTGACGAATTACTTCAAGAAATACGAGAATTACAAAACCAAGCTAAGAAACTAGACGATAATATTCTTGAACGTGACGTAAAGATCCGACTACTGAACGAAGAACGTCGACGATTGCGTGAAACTGTTATCATGTCTGAACATGAGATATCGATGTTGGAAAATAAACTTGGAAATAATGACAAGGATGCTTCGAAAGAAAGTAAGAAAGAAATTCTTGAACAGCTAAAAAAACTGGAAGAACACATTAAAGTGGTACACAAAGAGAAAAGAAAATTGGAAAATAAATATTTGGCATTCAAAATAGAACATGAACATCTGCAGGAGTCGTTTGGTTCCTTCAGCAAGGCGAAAGAAATACTAACACCATTTAACAGTTGTAATATTAGCCAGGATCAGAGCTTGCTTTCGTCACACTCCAGTTCGCTATCGTCCTCGCTTGCAGGCTCAGATAACGAGGATGATGAGAAGCTTAGTTCTGAACATCGTCATGTAAGTAAAGTCAATGGAAACAAGTGGAGAGGAGAACAGATAATCAAAGATAAAAACGAGCTGTAAGCAATTTTAATTTGTTGTATAACCTTTTCAACTTTAGACGAACAGTTTTTACTGTATTGTATTTATTGCATAGCCTTGCTGGCTCCAATATTATCTACAAACTAACTTGTTTTTCAGTTTTTCACCAAAGCAAGGTTCTTTTAATTTTTCTTAGGAAATTTATGAAGAGTCTCGCAAGAAAACTCAGCATTTCTCAGGAAAATTTGTCAAAGAACGAGAGTTGTGTTTTTTCTAGTTTTCAAAATTCTTCTGGAGAAAAGTTTTCTAATGAAGTAAATGAGGATATGTCGTTGATTTTTCCACATTTTAGGAAAGAAATTTATTGATGAAAAATTCCTATTCTAGGCTGATGAATTGGTACGAAAAGTTGACTGTTTGGAAGCGGAAAAAAAGGCTATAAAAAAGGAACTGGAAATCATTAGATCAAACCAGGCAAATAAAGGTGTAGAATGTTGAATATGTGGTGTTCACAAAAACTTCTTGTGCTTTTCATATGTATAAAGATCTCAACATTACGTCGTTGATGTCTAGGATTTGAATATGAATAGAAGATTTTCACCTATAGGCTATATGGTCATTTCATTTGTACATTTCTCTGTATGTATGAAGGTCTTATCATTGAGAGATTATTTGTTACCTTTTCATTTCGATGCTTGTGGATCGTCAAATTTAATACTTATAGAAGCTTCCATTTATTTCGTGTATTTGAAACATGATGATGTGACCAATATTTGGTTCATATTATGTTTCATCTGCTAGAATTGAAGTTTGTAAAAAGAAAGGAAATGACACAATTCGTGCATTTTTTCTGAATGTTCAACACCAATAATGGATAAATTAATGTTCAGGAGCCGCAGAAACTTTTCAACTTTATTGTTTTTTACGTAAATGAAATGACTCCATAGAGTATAACGCTCATTCAAAAAAAAGTTTCATAATTTTTGACACGCTTTAAAAAGTCACTATGTCAATATCTGTTTTGTCGTCTTGACGAAAGACGTTGAAAGCAAAAATTCATTTCATAAAGTGTTTCTTCACATGAAGTAGTTCTCTTATCAATACAGCAGGCTCAGGAGTTAAAGATGGTGCATTTCCTTCTTTCACAGTTATTACACACGTGAGTTTTTGTACGAAGATTTTCGTCGTTAATTCTATTTTAGCTGAGGATGGAACACACTGAAAAATTTAAATTGAACTTTAAGTAATAAGCAGTTCATCCCTAAAGCTCTATTACTATGAATGTGCCTAAAACAAAGGTGATTGAAGATTATTGGTGTTCAGTGAAATATTTTATAAATTTCTTAATAGATTTTGTAAAATGTATTATTTTCACAGGTAGAACTACATGTTCATTTGGACGGGTCACTGAGAATAACGACAATTATTGAATTGGCCAAGTATTTTTACATTGCTTGTAAATTGCAATGGATGTGATAGCTTTATAAACGATTACATGAAGTGAGAAAATATTTTTTAGAAAGAAGGGAATCCATTTACCGTCGTATGATCCGAAGGTGTTTAAAGAATATGTCAGTTTGAAAGAACCAAAGTCCTTGACATGTTTCCTACATTGTTTCAGTTATTTTATCCCCGTAATTGCGTAAGTTGTCGTACTTATACTCAAGTTACACTTTAAATTTTTATAAAAGACGATCCAAAGAAGAAATTCGTGTGAATTTTTGTTTCTAGTGGTGATCCCGTAGCACTGGAAAGAATAGCTTATGAATTTTGTGAAGACAAGGCAAATGATGGTGTGTTATATTGTGAAGCTCGCTATTGTCCTCATATTTTAGCCAACTGTGAAGTTGCTGGAACTGTATATGCACATGATGACAATAATGATTGCCCTCCAAGAAGAGTTGTTGATAGCATATGTAAAGGTTTTGAACAGGGATGCAAAGAGTTTGGTGTGAAAATACGAACTATATTATGTTGCATGCGACATAAACCTGGTGAGATGTTAAGTACTTTCTAAAATACTTATAGTTGTCTATAATTTATGTATTTTCAATTTATTCAGAGTGGTCCTTGGAAATAGTTGATCTTTGTGAGGAATTTAGGAATCGTCATGTTGTAGGACTAGACATTGCTGGTGATGAATCAATGGGAGAGATTCCTGCTATGAAGGAACATGTATTAGCTTTTCGGGTACCATCTATCTATTTATTGTTGACTTTACATTGCTGTACACAATGTCAGAATACGCATGTCCCTAAATTTTCCCTAAAGATTATCTTTTTGTTTAACTGTCATAATATTTTTGTTTTTATAAAGAGAGCCAAAGAACTTGGAATTCATAGAACAGTACATGCAGGAGAGGCAGGTCCTGCTGCTAGTGTTCATGAAGTATGATTAGAATTTACCAATGTTTCAGGTGTAGATTTGAAAAAAATGGATTTATTCATTTTCTAGGCCATTTTTCTTCTTCATGCAGAGCGAATAGGCCATGGTTATAATGTTTTACAAGATCCTGCATTATATAAACTGGTTATCAACAAGAAAATTCATTTGGAAGTAGGTGTGGATTTGCTGAAAGGTGTCTTACAATCTTCAAGTTTTTTACAGCTGTGTCATCATCTTATCTTAATCTGCAAATGCTCTGGATTTTACAAGAAGTGTAATCATGTTGATGATGAAATTCCATTGATTATTAGCTGTGTCCAACTTCAAGTATCATAACTGGAGCAGTTCCTGGGCCATTTCATAAACATCCTGCCATAAAGTGTGTCATTGCCATGTTAGATCTTTATTACTTGATATTTCTCTGATATAACATACTAGTTTTTATTTTAGATTTGCCAGAGATGGAGCAAACTTCTCTCTCAATACTGACGATATGTTGGTTTGTCAAACAAATATGAATCATGAATTTAACATTGCTTTTAATGAAATGAAATTTAGTGCTGCTATGCTAGCAAAAGCTGTAAGTATATTTAATTATTTTGGTGAGGTTTCTCTCCTTAAATGTGATCATTTGATTGAATTATTTCTTTTGTAAACAGACATTCAATGCTGCCAGGTCAAGTTTTTTACCACCAAAGGAGAAAGAAGGACTGATTGAAGAATTAAAAGTCATTTATGGTGCAACATTGTGTTCTGAAGGTGTGGACAAATAATAGGATTATTAAATGAATAATTTTTAGCCAAACATTATTTTTTAATTTTAGATTCATATATTTCAATTCAATTTTACATCACTATGTTTGTTCAATTTCTTGCATTTTGTGTTTTGGTGACAAAACTGTATTTCGCCAGCCAACTCAGTATTATAACATTGCTGTGTTTAATGTGGAAAGGCATAATACTTCAAAGTAATTAACATATGATACGTCAGTTACTATAGTAACTAAACATCACCAGCGTTGTGAAAGCAAAGATGGGTAAAAATTTATAAAAAATTATGCCGTTTGCTTGTCTCACTTCGCCTAAGATCTTCAAATATATTGTTACTTAAGCCTTTCTGGGGTATTTTACATACAATATGAGCACGAAATGTGTGAAAATGTGCCGGAATGGAGACGGCTTTTTTCCTCCTGTAAATGTTGTTGTAAATCCGAGGGATATTCGTAGTATGGACGCGTTTCTTGATCGAGTAACACAGGCTACAAGAATGAGAAATGCAGCGAGGAAAGTTTGTACACCAAAAAAAGGACATAAAATTGAAGATCTTACTAAACTTATATCTGGTGAAACGTACGTTGCTGTCGGGCAAGAAGCATTTAAATGTTTAAAGTGAGTCACTGAGATTTAGTAAATAAATTTTATGCAACATAAATATTAATGTGATCAGCAGATATTTGTCTTATATTTTCTTGTTTTTTTACGTGTATGTAGGTACGAAAATATACGAATTCATAGGCCGGTCATACAACATCGTCAAGTAAAGGTTCGTTGTTTTTCCTTGTTGCTTACTTGATCTGTTCAAACCATTGAGTTCTATAATAACTGGAGGGGAAACGTCAACAAAATTACTATAAATTACTAGCGCGCGGCCGCGTGGTCAAAAACATGGCGGATTTTGGTTGTCAAAGTTCATAAAATGAAATTTTTCGCCCACCCGGATTTGACAACCACAATAGCGATTATATAAAATATCAATGCCAAACACAAAACTTTTAGAAATTTTATCTTTAAAACATGTTGCAAACTTGTTTGGTAGACGGATGCTGAAGTAATGCCAGAAAGGAAACATTTCATGATACCGGTAAGCAACGTAAGATTGTTTACCATTTAAAGTGTTCAGTGTTTTGTTTTAAGTCAATACTTGAAGTGTGATTGTATATATTTTGTGAATGTTTTACTCCTAAGTTATAATTTAAGTTATGTTTATCCATTCTTATTTGTTCTTTACTTAATCGCTTGCTAGACGAGGCAAAGCAACCAGTTCTTATCGAGATATGCATATCTTAAAACTCCTTGTTTCAACTGAGTTGAAATGGAGGATTTTTCATGATATTTTCTGAAAATATGAAGCAAATATTGACAGAGCTGTATTGAAATCAAATGCAGTGTAAGATTAATTAATGAGCTCTTTGGTACATGTCAAAAAATACCTGTATTAAACAGCTAGCCTGGACAATTTGACAGATTATGGACAATCATGATGATGGTGTGTAATGGTTTGCTTTATGCTTAAAGTTTTATAAATGCCATATGGTGTTTCTGTAAATGAATTGTTTGTTACATAGTGTAGTAAACAGGTTAGTACATCAAAATCAAGATAAAAACTACTTTGTTCAATGTGCCAAATTTTGCTCCTACCTTGAAATATTTGCTCAAGCAAAGCTTATCATGACATGCATGAAACATTAAATACAGTACTGCATCATCTGACAAAGTCCAAATGTTTTTCAATTCCAGGTGATTAAAATTCACATAAGATGCATTGGTTTGCAATGAAGTTGAATGTGGAAGAAGCAAAATTGATGACAAAGAACTTTTATGTCTTTGAAGAATTGATATCATTTAAAAGAATAAGAGTAGCAATCTAGTAAAAGAAGCCACATGCCTTCAACATGAGACTTTTCAATTATGTATAGTTATTTTGTACAAAATACTATTTTAGATAAACTTGATTTTAAGTCATTCACTGATATTTTTACCAAAGACAAAAAGAAAAATTCAAAGGCATAATGTAAAATTCAAAAGTTTGTCAAGTTGTTTGAACCTAGAAAAATTAGTATAGGTAACTGTAATTTGTAAGGACACAAGAAAAGTAGTGCAAGAAGGTTAGCATTTTGAGAATTAATATGTTCTTCTTGACATACATTACACAAGGCCATAATATTATAAATAATGACTGTACAATAACAATTATACAACATGCTAAAAATCTTCACCTACATTATTATTATTTAAACAGGTTTGCCTTCCTGCAGCAATAAGAACAGTGTTATGTCAGAGAAACCAATGCACTTTAATTTAAAAATCCAATGGGAAATTAATGTAGTTCTGTTCAATAGTAGATCCATGGTTGTCAATGACAATCCAGTTACTAATATCTTGGCTCAAAACAGAACCAGCAACATGATTATAGAATTTCTGAATTTCGTTCTTTTGCTCTCCTAGTTCGAGATATTTTCTTCATAAGTTCTCAGTAGATTTATCAGAATATCATAATACCTTATAAGACACCCAGAATCAATCCTACCAAAAAACTAAAAAAATACATACCTACTTATAATATATTTCCAGTCGACTTAAGTCGTAGGGGTAAGCTAACTTTTCTAACTCCTTTTGGACATTTTAACTAATATTTACCCATCTATTCAAGAAAGACAGTTGCACGAAGCTGTTAAAAATAGTCAAAACACAAGTATTGCATGGGATTATGCATTAAAGCTTAACGACACATTGACAGTGTAAAGAATGCCGTTTGATATTTATTTCTAACATAGCTAAAGTTGACAAACATACGTTATTTTACAGTAGATTTACCTCATTTAAATGTGTGTCTATTTCACAAAATCTGACGCATTATTTTCAATATTTTATGCTTACGGTATCGTGGTTGTTTTCGCTGGTTGTCATTGATATAAGCAGTAATAGAGTTCCGGATTCAGCGAATGTTAAAATTTTTCTCAAAGTGGAAGTTTTGACAACCAAAATCCGCCATTACCGCCATGTTTTTGACCACGGGGTCCAGGCCCCTTTGCCCCTCCAGGTCTTATAGAGCTCAATGGTTCAAACAGTTTGTTTACTTTAGTCATTGAGACAACTTGAATATTCATGTTGATTTTAATCCTTAATTTAATATTAATTAAAGTTTTAATCGTTTTCCTTTGTGGAGTTCAATTATTTTTTTAACAGCCATTTACTTTATTGCTCACTTCGTTTCATTTTTGATTGTAATTTGTAAAAAGCAATAATCGTTATATTTAATTTCCAAATTATGTCAGTATTCATGCCTCATAAAATGTGCTGCCATTCATTGAGAAACATTAGCAGAAGAAATGCTATTTTTCTTGCAGATTGAACCTGTAAAACACAGCAGAATTGTAATATCTGCAAGATGTCGGAAAGTTGCCCTCTGGGAATCATCTGGCCTAAAGACAATATAGTGAGTTATATATGTTGTGTGATGAGCTACATAAAGAATTAGTCAAGAATCTTGCTTGTCATTATTCATTGCATTGATAGCACTATGATGTGCTTGAAATAGTGTTATTTTTACCTTGTTGTGCAAATGATTATCAAACTCAGTTTTTTTACCAGCTGTTCAAATTTTGTTACTAATGACATAAGCTAAACAATTGTGTTTAACATATGCTATTTGCTGTTATGTTATCTGTTCATCTTTGTCATAAGAAATTACTTGCAAATGAAATTCAGACACAAGCTGAATATATGAGTAAACATACTTTATTGAGATTGTAGGAACAACCCTGATCACAGATTTCATCATTCTTCATAGTAACAAGCGCATTTTAAGAAAACTAAGGGGAAAAGTTGCAAGATCATTTATAAAGGGAGGGGGGGGGGTGGGGAGACTGAAACGATTTCAAACTTCGACCAAAAATTTCAATGTACTATTTACTATACAAAGTATTTAGCAAAAAATTCTGTTTGCCAACTTCTGATGAAGCTTGCTTTGTCTTTGTGTTGCCTTAGTGTGTATCGTAATGGTGATGATAAAAATCCATCTCATAAAGTTCTTTTGGATCGTAGAACTCTACTGAATATGGACAAGGTTTGAAGCTTGAGTTTTTTATATTAAATCCTACACATAAATTGTTAACCAGCAGTTGTTAAATGTAGGTTTTGGAGCTTGTAACAGACAGAGTTAAATTAGAAAGTGGAGCAGTTCTTGCGTGAGTATTTTTTAAAATGTTCACTCTGATGCAATGTCGGTATGTTTGTAATGTTTTATTTTTTTTCAGAAAAATAGTTGTTAAGAGTTGTGTTTGTTGATGAAAATGACTTTTTTTCTATTTTCAAACAGTCTTTATACAATGTCAGGAAAGGAGATTTACAGAACTTTGGATTTGATCAGTGGAAATAAGTATGTTGCTGTTGGCCATGGAAAGAGGTTGAAGTTTAAATTATAAATCTATATCTATGTTTTCTCTTTAAAACAATTTTTTTTTTTCACTTATTAAAACGTCTCCTTTTGTAGATTTAAGAAAACTGCCTACAATGATAACAAAAAGATTTCTCCCAACAATTCACCACGAAGGTTAGTAGTACGTATTTATAGACGTTGTATTTTTCATGAAAACTACATACAATGAATGGTTGTTCATTATATTTTGTGGTGTTTATTTTTAGAGCCAAATTCCTATACAGGGATGGACTTTATGAACAAAAAAGAATTTTTGTTTTACCATCAAAAACAGAGAACAAGGAACTTGCACAAAAGGTTTATTGAGGACGATATAATAAAGGATTTTCATTTTGCTCAGTGTCTTATGATGTTTATTTCATGAAATAGCCACAAACTAGAAAAGAGGATAATTCTGAAAAAAGGTCTTTGGCGTTACCAACAAAAACTGAAGAAAATGAGTTCGTATCACAGTCACAAAGAGAGAAAGAGATCAAAAGTAAAACTGAGAACATATCTCGTAAAGACAGAACGGTTGAACGTTCAATAAAGAAAGATAAACATGATGGAATTGAGGAGTCGGTAAATGCTGCAGGCCTACATAAAACTCAGAGCATGTCACCAAAAAATTCAAATGCAGACTGTGGAGACAAAGTAAAAACGGTTGAGTCGTTTGAAGGAGTATATAAAGCAAGTGGAGCTCGAAGTGAAAAGGCAAGACCAGTTGATGACGATAAAGGTGACGATACTTCTCTTTTACAATTATTTATCCTATGTTCTTGAGAACGATATATTCTTTGGTGATAATTTATGTTTAGAAGTTAAAATTGAAAAGCCATTAGATCAAATAACTGCTCAACAAGTCACAGAAGAAGTCATTGAAGGAGACATATAAACATTTCAAAATGATATTCATGTAAGGAATCGTTGTTCACTTTAGCTTATTTTTTCCTGTCGAAGTTCGTAAATTTGACACGTTGTAACAACACAAAGCTTTGTTGTTCCCTACACTTAAGATGTTTTTATCTACGTACGTAAACTGGACACATTGTAACAACACAAAGCTTTGTTGTTCCCTACACTTAAGATGTTTTTATCTACGTACGTAAACTTGACACATTGTAACAACACAAGGCTTTGTTGTTCCCTACACTTAAGATGTTTTTATCTACGTACGTAAACTTGACACATTGTAACAACACAAAGCTTTGTTGTTCCCTACACTTAAGATGTTTTTATCTACGTACGTAAACTGGACACATTGTAACAACACAAAGCTTTGTTGTTCCCTACACTTAAGATGTTGTTATCTACGTACGTAAACTTGACATATTGTAACAACACAAGGCTTTGTTGTTCCCTACACTTAAGATGTTTTTATCTACGTACGTAAACTGGACACATTGTAACAACACAAAGCTTTGTTGTTCCCTACACTTAAGATGTTTTTATCTACGTACGTAAACTTGACACATTGTAACAACACAAGGCTTTGTTGTTCCCTACACTTAAGATGTTTTTATCTACGTACGTAAACTTGACACATTGTAACAACACAAAGCTTTGTTGTTCCCTACACTTAAGATGTTTTTATCTACGTACGTAAACTGGACACATTGTAACAACACAAAGCTTTGTTGTTCCCTACACTTAAGATGTTTTTATCTACGTACGTAAATTTGACACATTGTAACAACACAAGGCTTTGTTGTTCCCTACACTTAAGATGTTTTTATCTACGTACGTAAACTGGACACATTGTAACAACACAAAGCTTTGTTGTTCCCTACACTTAAGATGTTTTTATCTACGTACGTAAACTTGACACATTGTAACAACACAAAGCTTTGTTGTTCCCTACACTTAAGATGTTTTTATCTACGTACGTAAACTTGACACATTGTAACAACACAAAGCTTTGTTGTTCCCTACACTTAAGATGTTTTTATCTACGTACGTAAACTTGACACATTGTAACAACACAAAGCTTTGTTGTTCCCTACACTTAAGATGTTTTTATCTACGTACGTAAACTTGACACATTGTAACAACACAAAGCTTTGTTGTTCCCTACACTTAAGATGTTTTTATCTACGTACGTAAACTTGACACATTGTAACAACACAAAGCTTTGTTGTTCCCTACACTTAAAATGTAATATTTAATTTTCAGGTAAAATCTTCGACAGAAAAATGACGACAAAAGCGTAGCAACACCATTGATAATGAAGAAGAATATGTTTCTGTCTTATGCAACACAAATATTCGTTCCTAGTTTGTCGTACACAATGAAATAAAGCAATGATCTTTACTCAAAGTGTTTCACAAATTAACAATGTTACGATATATTTGTATCGCTAGAGAATGAATAAATACGAAAAAATATCAAACGCAAAATATTACACTTGATGCCACTTGATGACTTAAAATCACACACAATGTTTTATTCTCGTGAACATTTTTATCATTGAAATGAAAACAATTAATAATTTTACACCTTTATCTTCAAAGATAAGTGTTTATATGACCAGCAAGGAGAAGGTATAGCTGTATAGGAAATCTTTAATCAATGTTATTCATACAAGTGGTTATGTAACTCTGAATGTTTAACAGATGTGTAAATTAATATCGTTTTTTCCCCTCATCTCCGCTTGCATGTCCATTTTAACATTGTCCTTTTTTTTGCAGACAAAATTTCGTGTTAAGATGAACTTCCGCTCCTCAAAGTCGTCATCTTTGCAATTATTACACGCACACACGTATGATGTTGCCAAAGGTAAATATTTTGTCTCAATTAAGAAAAGCATATTGCCCTAATTTATTTTGCTGCGGTGGATTAAAATAAATATTTGTTTATTTTTTGTTGTTGTGAAAAAAATACTTAAGCGTGTTCCCACGCCGCTTTAAGATAAAAGGATGTATATAAATGCACGATTTTTATGCATCACTTCAAATGCTGTTACAGCAAGTCGAAGCAGTTTTCTAAAAAAAGATTTCACTTTAAGAGTTCGACAGAAGTGTCGTCCAACGAGTATTTATTATTTTATGCTGAAGTTTGATGAATTCTATCTTCGGGAGAGAAATGCTTAGCGTTTTAAAAATTATTCTTGTTTTTTCCTTTGTCTGGTCAGCTCTTGGATATTTTGATTCAGGTAAATAGTGTATAGAATCATCGTTAATTCTAATTTTTTTTATGAGATAGAAATTAGTTTGCGAAATAAAGATTTGTCTGAAACTAAGTGATGTCAAACAAGCTTTGAAATTTCTTTTTCGACCAGTTTAACGGTTTTTCGTTTGTAAAGATGAATTTTCTTCTGTGCAATTCGATTTTTTCTGCTTGGTTTATGGTAAAGTTAGATACACACTAAAAGAATAGTTGACCTTTTTATTTTACAGTTATCATAACATTGGTTATGTTATTTGTATTTAGACTTTGAAGAATGGAGTCGTTCTGTTGGAGCTCCTGCGCCTGCACCAACACTTGGTAAGAGACAGCTGTGAACTGTGTTTTACAAAACATTTTTATTTCTAACCCATATTTTTACTGGTAGCAATAAGAGATTATCTTTTCTGGATTTTTCTCAGATGTTTTTACTAAGAGTTATGGATACTAATAAACACTTCATAAAATACGAAACACGGAAGAAGTTATTTTTACATACATATGAAGTAACTACAATTTTTCATTTGTTCTTATTTCTTTATTAAAAAAATGATTTCTATCTTCAAATTAGAGAAATGTAAAAAAGATATGGTTATCCTCCTTGATACTTCGTACTCCATTGGTAAACACAGATTCAACAAAAACGTCAAAAAATTTCTCAAAAATTTGGTTTCCAGTCCAAAGCTCAATGTTGGTCGTGATGGAACTCAAATTGCTATCGTTATATTCAGTAATAAACGTAACACAAGAGTTGTTCTACCTTTCTCTGGTCGTACAAAAGCAGAATACAAAAAATTTATAGACAAAAAATTGTCATGGAGGGCTGTTTCTGGTGGTAGAACGATGACTGGAACTGGTGCAGGCATTGTTGACAAACAGGTAAATTTCTCCTGTACAATACGACAACTGTAAAATATACTCTTCTTTATGAATGATTACAGTGTAAAATACTTTTCATTGTTGTTATTTCAATACAACATATTCTTTATTTTATGAACAAGATCTTCAAAAAGAACAGTCCACTCAACAACAGACCAAACATCGCTGACGTTGTCTTATTGATAACAGATGGTGAACCACGTGGAAGGAAAGTAGGCGATGAATTAAAGGACGCTTACAAATATTCAAGGTGATAAATGATGTGTTAAAGTTAGCTACCGTCTGATTTTCCTTTAAATGGTTCATGATAACACTCTCTTCTTACAATATAAAGAAGACCTTTTCATCGTGAAACTCAATGCTATAGCTCATCGTTTTAATGGATTTCTACAAAATCCTGCAATTTTCTGTTATCATAACTTGATTCTTCAGGTTATTGTCTTGATGCAAATATAACTACCACCTTCATTTTCATCGTAAAATACCGTCTTCTACTATTTACTAATTTTACTGAATTATATTACAATGATTTCAGCGCGATAAAAGACAAAGATATTCTTATTGTTGGTGTTGCTGTTGGTGATCCAAGTATCGTGAAAAAGTTTAAGCCAGTTATCAAAAAGATGTCAACTTCAGAGAAGACAACTTTTGACAGCAAATTTGATAGTTTGGACAAGATACTGAGCCAAATTGTTGATGCTTCTTGTACTCCATTTAAACCAGGTATGTGTTGATTGTAGGTTTTTGGTGTTAATGTCTTATCGTTGACAACTAATTACTTGTGTGTTAAATTTTGTCTGAACTTTTGATTGCTTCTTATTTTATTCCAGAACTTTCCTTTTTAGCAAATCAAAGATTTGTTGTTCTTAGTCTGATGTTTATTTTAATAATTACTTTCCAATAAACAGGTGACTGTAGCTGTTCCTCACTTCAATCTAAGACAGTGTACATCAAGCCACCAGCAACAACGGTTGACGTATCTTGGCCATCATCAACATTACAATGTAGAAACAACAAAATTCCTCAACATGTAACGAAAGCAATCAAACCAAATATTGCCTCCCCACATAGTTTTACTGTAGGCAATCATCCTATTGAATATACTTTCACATTCAGAGGTGGATTTGAGCTTAAATGTTACGTTAACATTACAGTGAAATGTAAGTATTGTCTGAAGGTCTGAAGGCAGCTTTGTATATAACGAAGAAAGACTTTTTCTCTGTTACTTCCTGCACTGACACACGTTATTTTAGAAAATAATTTATGTTGTGTAAAGACTGTTCTTGTTCTCTGTTTTTTATTCAATTCTATTTACGTACACCAACACACGTTATCTATGACAAAATGTTAGAGTGAAAAATGCTGGACGTTTTTATTGAGATATATTATTTATTGGAATGTTTTTAGCTTGTACCTGCCCCTCTCCAGTGAATGTGATTGCTTACGCCTTCAGCAATTTTGGATCAACCGCTGTTCAGTGGACGCAGCCTCGTCCTACCTGTAGCTCAACACTAAAAACAGCTCCCGCCACGAAACAATCAGGATCGAAGTTTGTCATTGGAAAACATTCTTTGGACTACGTGTATTCAACAATCGGAGGATTTGATCTTACATGTCGTGTGAATATAGACGTCAGAGGCGAGTGAAGTATTTTCTTTGTGTTTGATGATTCATGTTAATTAATTTAGTTTTTCCAAACTTTGCTTTTTCCAGGATGCTCATGCCCAAATATACACAAGACCATTGTTATGCAACCTGATTCACCAAATGGTCGAGTGAATGTCTCGTGGAGTGAACCGAAACCTACCTGCTCTAGTCAGGGTATTGCAGGTCTTACTGTTCAACCGAACATTAAGCCTGGGGCGAGTTTTGGAGTTGGTAATCATGTGATTCGATACTCGTATGATTTAAGCAGTGGTGTAAATGTTCAGTGTTCTGTGAATCTCACAGTACGAGGTAATTTTACTGTACTTTATTTGTTTCTTTCTTATTCATATAGCAGTGGTAATGTTATAGCTATTAAAAGAAAAAAACTAAATTGCAGTTTTTTAAAAGTGTGTAAATACGAGTAAACTTCAAGATAAAGGATGATCAACGCAGTGTGCAACATTTTACACCTCATATTATCGTTTTTACTTTAGTTAAACTAACTTTGTTTCTTTTATATATTTAGCCGTTCCTTGTCAGGGTCGTGATTACGATCCTTCAACTCATGTGTGTTGTTGTGGAAAGATTCAAGCCAAGAAACCTCATTATAAATGTTGTGGAAAAAAGCAGTATAATGTTGGAACACATCAATGTTGCTCAACTAATTATAATATTGTGGAAATTTCTCAAACTTGTCCTGGTAGTTGAGATGCAGTCGATACTTTCATTGGAGAAAACGATGATGTTGAAATCGACTTTTGTTTGGATAGAAGTTAACATGAAATATATTTCTCTTTAAGCTTGTTGCATTAAAAATTCATAAAAAAAAACTTTTTTGTTGAATTTATTGTTTGCAAGGAAATACTAAACGAAATCAAAACGTTGGTATTTTAAAAGAAAAGATTTCTCTGTCTTAGCTAATGCGCTCTTTGATTCTTAAAATATTTGAATTAAAAATATAAGCAAAACACTTCATTTCAAATGCCAGTTCGAGTAAATGATTTGTGGATTCGCCACATGATTTCCTACTGACGGAATGTGTAAAATATTTTTCCTTGAACAATGCAAAGCATTAAACAAACAACAATAAAGGTCGAATTCCAATACAGGAATAACTTTGTTTCTGTATTGTAATATATAATGTTGATAAAGTTTAATTCTTGTCTTTCCTTTTAGTTATTTAGCTAAAGAGGATAATTCTGAAAAAAGATCTTTGGCGTTACCAACAAAAACTGAAGAAAATGAGTTCGTATCACAGTCACAAAGAGAGAAAGAGATCAAAAGTAAAACTGAGAAAATATCTCGTAGAGACAGAACGTTGGAATGTTCAATAAAGAAAGATAAAAATAACGGAATTGAGGAGTCGCGTAAATGTTGAAATCCAACATAAAACTCGTAGCCAGAGACCAAAAAATAAAATGCCGACATTGAAGATAAAATCAAAAAGATTCAATCTTAAAAAGAAGCAGAGCTTCTTTGGAAAAGGCAAGTTTTTAGCTTTATTGAGAAAACATTCATGAACCGAGTATATTATATTTGTTTATATTGTGGAATTTTGAATACATCTCTGATCAACACTTACTTAGAGGCTTATTGTTGCAGTTTTTTCCTGCACGCTCTAAGAACTAGAACTTTTTTGATAATCTGCTGCTATGAACGTTAGAAATTATAAAACACTCCACGAAATTGTTGTCTATGGCAAAAGCTGTAACATGCTCCTTGATGTTGAATATATGTGAATGTCCTATGTCAATAAAATATTAACGGTGAAGTTTCATACACAAAAGATCAAAAATATTCTGCAAATGCCGCCGCAAGACCTAATTTATCGCTTGAGCGGCTAAATGAAGTCATCACGCATGCTTCATGCTTTAACACCATCACTCTCACATGCTTTAACACCATCACTCCCATACACAACACGCGTTTTTTTATACTGGCTATGATTTATGTTGGGATATTTCAATTCGCTTATATCTAGGATGAAAATTTAGTATGGAAATGTTAAATTTAGTTGCAGACATGTACTTCAGGTTTTCTATAAAACATGTCCTTAAGATGATATTGTATGTCGGTTGTGCTTGGTTGGAAAGTGTATACATTGATTAAAAAGTCTTTATAGTTCTTAGTCAATGACACAGGAGTCGTGAAAGTGAAGTGCATGTGTATTGTTCAAGTTATACCATTGCTATATTCGTGCTTGCTAGAACATAATGTTTAAATAAGTCAACTTTGAAGTCTTTTGCTAGTGTGACTATATAAAACGCACTTTTCCTAGCTGCTTTTGCAAAAGCATTTTTTATTTGAAACTTCAAAGGTACAGCAGTAATTTTTCTTCAAAGTAAAGGCAACGACTGCCATTCATGTGCTTGAATTTTATTGTAAAATAAAGTCGATCCCCTCAATGAAAGAACGGCTCTCTCATCCACCTCAAGCAGGCAAAAACATTTTTACAATGCAAACGTGCTTCTATAGAATTCTCGAATTTACTTTGATGACGTCACTGACACCAAGGACATTTCTCCTTGGGTAATTTCCCATGCACAACCACTATGGTGTGACCACTGCAATAACAAGGTACGAGTGTATGTTTCTAATCATAACGTGATCGACTGTTTAAGAGGATTAAAGCTTTTTTTTACAAAATAGAGTAGATTTTCAGAGTTCGAAAGAAGAGTAACTCAACAGTTAGTGGTATCATTTTATACTGAAGTTTCATGGGTTCCTCCTTAAAAGAAATGTTTAGCGTTTTTAAAATTATTCTTGTTTTTTCCTTTGTCTGGTCAGCTTTTGGATATTTTGATTCAGGTAAATAGTGTATAGAATCATCGTTAATTCAACATGTTTTTGTGGGATAGAAATAAGTTTGTGAAACAATGATTTGTGTGTGGTAACTTGATGTCAAACAAGCTTTTACATTTCTTTTTTTCGACAAGTTTAATGATTTAGATTAATTTGTTTAAAAAGGTACAAGTTGCAAATCCGAACTGTACGAATTTTCATCAGCGCGATTTGCCTTTTTTCAATCGATCTTTGGCAATTCAAATTTTCGTGTGGTTTGACTGCACTTTAAATTCTATTAATACATTTCTCTACATACATTGCTAGATGCCAGGCATTAAAGTATGTTTTTGGAACATTAAATGTCCCTTGTTCTACTCTAACTCCTAAAAGACTGTTGATATTTTTGGTTTTGAACATACTGTCTTTAATGTTCGATGTACACGTTGTATATATAATTTACTTGGTCACGTTTCATTAATTATGAGTTACCGTTATAATATTGGTCATATTTGTATTTAGAGTTTGAAGAATGGAGTCGTGATGTTGGAGCTCCTGCACCCGCGCCAACACTTGGTAAGCAACAGCTGTAAACTTTGTTCAAAAATCATTTTACTTTTTGGCTCTCGCTACTTTTTTTACTCGGCATTGTAAAAATAAGAGACCATCTTACTTGGATAACTAAGAGATTTTTATTAAAAGTTGTGAACACTACAAAACATGTTCACGTGAAACTATATTTATTGATTGTTGAATTGTTTTCGCATTTTGTAGAATTATGAAGTGACTGCAACACAAAAATAGAACTTATTGTTTGTTTGCACTTCTTTCGTAGTTTAAACATGATTTTCCATCTTCACTTTAGAAATATGTAAAAAAGACATGGTTATCCTCCTTGATACTTCGTACTCCATTGGTGAACACAGATTCGACAAAAACGTCAAGCCATTTCTCAAAAATTTGGTTTCCAGTCCAAAGCTCAATGTTGGTCGTGATGGAACTCAAATTGCTATCGTCATATTCAGTAATGAACGTAACACAAAGATTGTTCTACCTTTCTCTGGTCGTACAAAAGCAGAATACATAACATTTATAGACAAAAATTTGTCATGGAGAGCTGTTTCTGGTGATAGAACGATGACTGGAACTGGTGCAGGCATTGTGGACAAACAGGTAAATTTCTCCTGTACAATACGACAACTGTAAAATATACTCTTCTTTATGAATGATTACAGTGTAAAATACACTTCATTGTTGTTATTTCAATACAACATATTCTTTATTTTATGAACAAGATCTTCAAAGAGAACAGTCCACTCAACAACCGACCAAACAGCGCTGACGTTGTCTTATTGATAACAGATGGTGAACCAAATGGAAAGAAAAAAGACGTTGAATTACAGGACGCTTACAAATACTCAAGGTTATAAATGATATGTACAATTTACCGTTTTATTTTTCTTGAAATTGTCATTGATATCATTCTCTTAACAATGACCTGGATTTTCATCATGAAAACTGTCGTTATACCTCATAGTTTAAATGCATTTGTACAAAATCCTTAAATTAATTTACCATAGTACCGTCATCTACCATTTGCCAGTTCAACTGAATTATATTACAATGATTTCAGCGCGATGAAAGACAAAGATATTCTTATTATTGGTGTTGCTGTTGGTGATCCAAAAACCGTGGAAACGTTTAAGCCAGTTATCCAAAGGATGTCAACTTCAGAGAAGGCAACTTTTGACAGCAGATTTGATACTTTGGACGAAATACTGAAACCACTTGCTGATGCTTCTTGTACTCCATTTATGCCAGGTATGTGTTGATTTTAGGTTTTTGGTGTTAATGTCTTATCGTTGACGACTAATTACTATATCTTTATACTTTGTGTTGAATTTTACTTATTGCTTTTTCCTTTCACAATTGCTTTAAACTATTTCGGATGTTTACTGTCCCCCAGCTTAAATTAGTAAATACTTTGTTATAAAAAGGTGACTGTAGCTGTTCCTCGATTCAATCAAAACCTATGTACATCAAGCCACCAGCAACAACGGTAACCGTGTCTTGGCCATTACCAACATTACAATGTAGAAACAACAGAATTCCAAAACATACCACGACGGCAATCAAACCAAATATCACCTCCCCACATAGTTTTACTGCTGGTGATTATCCTATCGAATATACTTACACATTCAGAGGTGGATTTGATCTTAAATGTTACGTTAATATAACTATTAAAGGTAAGTATTATATAGTACTTTGTATTTTTTTTGTTTGAAGAGAACTTCTTTTTCTGCACTAAAAAACGTTATCTACGACAAAGTCTATTGCATTGAAAGCAGAGTGAATAATGTTGTTATTGTTTGTTTTGTTTATTTATTGTAATGTTTTTAGCGTGTACCTGCCCCTCCCCAGTGAATGTGATTACTTACGCCTCCAGCAATTTTGGATCAACCGCTGTTCAGTATAGGCAGCCTCGTCCTACCTGTAGCTCAACACTAAAAACAGCTCCCGCCAGGAAACAATCAGGATCGAAGTTTGTCATTGGAAAGCATTCTTTGGACTACTTGTATTCAACCATTGGAGGATTTGATCTTACATGTCGTGTGAATATAGACGTCAGAGGCGAGTGAAGTATTTTCTTCATTTCTAAAAGTTAAAGTATTCATTATTATTAAAGTTTTTCTAAACATCTTTTTTTCCAGGATGCTCATGCCCAAATATACACAAGACCGTTATTATGCAACCTGATTCACCAAATGGTCGAGTGAATGTCTCGTGGAGTGAACCGAAATGTAATTGCTCTAGTCAGGGTATCGATCGTCTTACTGTTAAACCAAACATTAAGCCTGGGGCGAGTTTTGGAGTTGGTAATCATGTGATTAGATACTCGTATGATTTAAGCAATGGTGTAAATGTTCAGTGTTCTGTGAATCTCACAGTACGAGGTAATTTTACTGTACTTTGTTTGTTTCTTTCTTATTCATATGGCAGTGGTAATGTTATAGCTATTAAAAGAAAAAAACTAAATTGCAGATTTTTAAAAGTGTGTAAATACGAGTAAACTTCAAGATAAAGGATGATCAACGCAGTGTGCAACATTTTCTACCTCATATTATCGTTTTTATTTTAGTTAAACTAACTCTGTTTCTTTTTTATATTTAGTTGTGCCTTGTCAGGGTCTTGATTACGATCCTGCAACTCATGTGTGTTGTTGTGGAAAGATTCGAGCCAAGAAACCTCATTATAAATGTTGTGGAAGAAAGCAGTATAATGTTGAAACACATCAATGTTGCTCAACTAATTATAATATTGTGGAAATTTCTCAAACTTGTCCTGGTAGTTGAGATGCAGTTCCGATGATATTTTATTGGAGAAAATCAAGATGTTGAAATCGCCTCCTGTTTGGATTAAAGTTAACATGAAATATACTATTCTTTATACTTGTTGCATTAAAAATTCATAAAAAAATATTTTTTGTGGTTTTATTGTTTGCAGTTGAAATGCGTTGTACCTTGTAGGAAAAACTAAATGAAATCAAAACGTGAATATTTTAAAACAAAAGATATCTTGGTTTCTGTATTTTATTATATATTGTAGACAAGTTATCCTTGCATTTTTGCTAATTCCAACTATTTTTGTTTATTTAAAAAAACTGCCTACAATGAAACTATCCAGTCCATGGGAATCACCATTAACGAGATGTACCTCCGTCCATTTTTGGTGATTTCTTTTTTGTCTACTTTTTGCTTTAAAATAATTGTTTAGAACATTTTGTTTTTTTCAGAGCCAATTTCCAACATGAGGATAAAGTACAAACAAAATATTTTTTTACCATCGAAAGCAAAACACAAGAAACTTGGAAATAAGGTTTAACGTGGAAATTGGCAATTGTTGATATAATAAAGTATTTTTGTTTTTGCTTATTGTCTTATGATGTGTATTTCTTCAAACAGAAACGAACTAATAAGAAGATAATTCTGAAAAACATATTTGACGGTACCAGATCCAAGACAAAGACAGAAAGATCTAAAGTAAAACTAAGAAAATATCTTGCAAAGACAGAAAGGTCAGTATTCAAGGATTCTTCTCTTGTTTTGATACGCTGAAATTTTTGTTTTTTTATTTGTGTATTCCTGTATGATTGTATGTATATGTGTGGAGATGTGTGGATAAATGTTGAAATGAAAGATATCATCACTGAACATTGTACATTTAGATGTTCAGTACATGATGTTCAGAACATGTTCAGTAAATGTGTAGAATCAATTGCATGGATAACAGTTCAAAAAACCCAAAATTGACTGAAGACACTGAGTCTCTAAGTCACTATATCATGTTCAAAACTCACCATGTTGGTTATACTAAAAAGTTCTGGAACTCAGATTCTTTCTATCGTTTGCTTTTAGTGCATTCCACACATTTATTTCAAAGTTTGAAATGTTTCTAGTAATATTGTGAATACTGAATATTCATTTCCCCCTTGTTTACTGTGGTAATTTATAAAACTAGAGTTATATATATGTACAACATAAAAGTTTTGAGCCGAGAGACTAACTGAAAATCATAACATGCAGGCTTTAAAATGTTGACCACTGTCTAGTTTGATTAAACAGAATTGTCCACACAATCACAAGTTTTAAAATCTACAATGAAAAGTGACGTACCTCGTGGTTATGGTATTGTAAATTTCACGAGACACTTGACATATTGATAAAAGAGGTATTGAATTTACGTAAGCAGTTAAGTATTATCGTGTTCCCATGTTGAGTGTCGACTTGAAAACACTCAGAAGCGTATGATGAAGATACTAACCTAAGATATTTTATAATTTATGTATAACAAAGATAACCATTTAAGTTCATAAGTTCACGACTCGTTAAATGAAGTTCAATTATCTTTTACTAAGTTTGTTGAATGTTAATGTTAGTAAAGATATTTTTGTCGTCAACATTGAGTAATATATGTGAGTTGTGTCTATTCTAATATTATATCCACAGTACTACCCTCAGCAAATCGTGTATTTTCTATTTCTTTATCTTCTACATTCATGCATTATTAATAAGAATGGCTGTTGTGTTCAATATTTTTTAGTATTTTTGTTCTTCTTAAAATGATGAATTGACACAAGTGATTTTAACGTAAAGTAGCTTTCTCTTATCAAGAATATTATATTTTCAATTCATTCGTTGATACATATCTTACAGCTTCATACGTCATATTCTAGTTGTGATGTATGATTCTACACATGGGAAGGCTAGAACGGGATAAATGAAAGGAAATGATGACATCAATAACGGTAAAAATCTGTTATGCAAAAGTTAGAGATTTATGTTTTAGCTCCGGATTATAAAAATATCTTTGTTTTCGTACTCATCAAGAATCTTGTTTGGTTTAAAGAGATTGCACTTTTTAAGATTTTCTAGAAACGAAGATCAAACAAACAGAAATAAGTAAAAATACATTACACGAGTGAATTTTTTTAAGAAATGTTTGATTTTGTTAAAGTTCTTTTTTATTTATGAAATTATGATTCATTTTTCTCGTTGTGAGGTTTAGATTGTAATTTTATACATTGAAAAAAATCTTATTCTGTGCATAAAACTATCTATGAAGATTTTGTACAAAATACAAAATAGAAACTGGTCTTTGTTTTGGTTACAACGTGATGAGAGAGAAAGTGAAACACAAGTTGTTCGTTACAACTTGAATAGTCAGTCCAACATTTAATATTGACTGTTTATAACTACAAAAAATAAAATATCAAAACTAACTTTATGATCACCTTTGCAGTTTGCCATGACTTTTTATAACACCAAAAAAATAGCGCAATGGAAACTTGAAAATATGCAATGTTAGCCTTATGAAAGGTGATGACAACAAGACAAACTCAAACAAATTCATTCAAGTCAAGTTAAAAGACGTTAAATTCAATTAACGGTCAACATGTGCAATATTATTACACTTTCATTAATGAAAATTATATAAAGACCAGAAGTATTTCGTTGGAAATCATTGTTCATAAGGATTCTTCACAGAAGCATCAGAGATAACACTGAAAACTGAAAGTTTGACGATCAAAAAGATGTATTGGGTTGGCTTCTTGTTTCTTCTCTGTTATTGCAGCGTTTTGTCGTACAAAATTGACTTGGACTTGGAAAGTATGAAAATTTTTGTTTAAATCAATTCACTTGTTTCTTAGTGTTTTGTTAAACAATAATTCATTACGAGTGCAGTTATTTTAAAATTTTCTTTAATTTAATTAATATTATTAAAAATGCAAAGTTAACTCAATATTTCTAAACAGAAGACGAATAGCTACTTCATAGCGTTAACTCCTTAGCTATAAACAAAATGTAAGTAATTCATATTTAATTGAACAAAATCTTGCTTACTTATTTCAGATTTCAATCGTGCAACTGTTAATGATGAAAACGGAGAATTTGATAAAGGTAAAAACAAAAATCACGCAGATTTTCACAAATACATACGAAGTATTTATTTTCAATGTTTAGTCAAGATAAGGTTAAGGAATTACAGTGTATATATCAAAGAATAAACATTAACGTTATACATTCAAGACGTGAAGGCAATTTCTAAAATTTGTTTAATAAAAAAACTTGTACTCTGTCAAACGCTATAGTTAAAACGAATTTCACCCATCGATAACAACTAAAAGTTGTTTGTAATACACAAACATGTTACCACATCCCTCAAAGATAAAAATGTAACGAATTTCACACACATGACTTGATGGCCTGTTGAAATCTTGAAGACATTTCTTGCTGTTGTTTGAAATATAACTAGTTTATCACTAGTTGTCCATCAGTTTGAACATTCTTGAAAAAAATAATATCACTTATAAAAATGTTTTCTTCAATGTAAACTTTGATACAAACCTAAAAAAATAATAGACTTGTTTATTATACTTGATTTGTTTCCTTAATTATCAGTTATCGTAACATTGGTCATATTATTTGTATTTAGAGTTTGAAGAATGGAGTCGTGATGTTGGTGGAGCTCCTGGAACTGCTCCTGCACCAACACCAACAGCTGGTAAGAGACAGCTGTGAACTGTGTTTGTCCTGCAATATTTTTTAGGTTTTTTGACAATAGACGAAATACAAATCATGAATGACTGACAACAAAAACATATTTTTGCTTATAGAGAGTAAAACTGTTTATACTCTATAACTCTCTCTCTCTTATAAATATAGAAATATGTAAGAAAGATATGGTTATCCTCCTTGATACGTCGTACACCATTGGTGAATACAGATTCGACAAAAACGTCAAAAAATTTCTCAAAAATTTGGTTTCCAGTCCAAAGCTCAATGTTGGTCGTGATGGAACTCAAATTGCTATCGTTATATTCAGTAATGAACGTAACACAAAGATTGTTCTACCTTTCTCTGGTCGTACAAAAGCAGAATACATAACATTTATAGACAAAAATTTGTCATGGAGAGCTGTTTCTGGTGATAGAACGATGACTGGAACTGGTGCAGGCATTGTGGACAAACAGGTAAATTTCTCCTGTACAATACGACAATTGTAAAATATACTCTTCTTTATGAATGATTACAGTGTAAAATACACTTCATTGTTGTTATTTCAATACAACATATTCTTTATTTTATGAATAAGATCTTCAAAGAGAACAGTCCTCTCAACAACAGACAAAAAGTCGCTGACGTTGTCTTATTGATAACAGATGGTGAACCACGTGGAAAGAAAGAAGGCGATGAAATACAGGACGCTTACAAATATTCAAGGTGATAAATGATTCTTAAGGTTATCATTCTCTTGATGCAAATGTAACTACCACCTTCATTTTCATCGTTAAATACCGTCTTCTACTATTCACTAATTTTACTGAATTGTATTACAATGTTTTCAGCGCGATGAAGAACAAAGATATTCTTATTGTTGGTGTTGCTGTTGGTGATGAAAAACTCGTGAAAAAGTTTAAGCCAGTTATCAAAAAGATGTCAACTTCGAATAAGACAACTTTTGACAGCAGATTTGATACTTTGGACGAAATACTGAAACCACTTGCTGATGCTTCTTGTACTCCATTTATGCCAGGTATGTGTGTTGACTTTAGGTTTTTTGGTTGTTAAAATCTTATCGTTGACAACTTATGATTTAAATCTGGTTGTATTTATAATAATAACCGACTTAGTAACTTTTTTTGATTTTTTACAGTTTTTTATGATGGTACACTATCTTTTGTTTTGCCAAATCTGATCGTAACCTAAACATAAAACAGTTTGAACTTAATATTTTTATTCAGATTTTTGTTGATTTTCATCGCGGCCAAACATGGGAATACTTTTGCCTGATCTTTTGCTTGCTTTTTTTCCTTTATTTCATCATAACAGCTTCTGCTTTAGTCATTTCGGATAATTATGTTTAGTCTGATGTTAATTTAAATAAATACTTTCTTATAAAAAGGTGACTGTAGCTGTTCGTCGGTGGAATCAAAAGCTGTGTACATCGAACCACCAGCAAGAACTGTTGACGTATCGTGGCCATTACCACCATTGCAATGTAGAAACAACAGACGTCCCCAGCTTTCAACCACAGTTACACCAAATATCGCCTCCCCGCACAGTTTTACTGTTGGTGATCATCGTATTGAATATACTTACACATTCAGAGAAGGATTTAATATTAAATGCTACGTTAATATTAAAGTTAAATGTAAGTATTGTCTGAAAGTAATTTGTAAATTTTGTATGACGTGAAGGACATACATTTATTACCTCTTTCGCTGTTTTTATAATATGACTATCTAAACTGACACTCGTTGTTTTAGTTTTTATTCATATCAAAATGTTTTTAGCGTGTACCTGCCCCTCCCCAGTGAATGTGATTGCTTACGCCTCCAGCAATTTTGGATCAACCGCTGTTCAGTATACGCAGCCTCGTCCTACCTGTAGCTCAACACTAAAAACAGCTCCTGCCAGGAAACAATCAGGATCGAAGTTTGTCATTGGAAAGCATTCTTTGGACTACGTGTATTCAACCATTGGAGGATTTGATCTTACATGTCGTGTGGATATAGATGTCAGAGGCGAGTGAAGTATTTTCTTTATGTTTGATGATTTATGTTTATTAATTTAGTTTTTCCAAACTTTGCTTTTTCCAGGATGCTCATGCCCAAATATACACAAGACCATTATTATGCAACCTGATTCACCAAATGGTCGAGTGAATGTCCCATGGACTGAACCGAAATGTAATTGCTCTAGTCAGGGTATCGATCGTCTTACTGTTGAACCAAACATAAAGCCTGGGGCGAGTTTTGGAGTTGGTAATCATTTGATTCGATATTCGTATGATTTAAGCAATGGTGTAAATGTTCAATGTTCTGTGAATCTCACAGTACGAGGTAATTTTACTGTACTTTATTTGTTTCTTTCTTATTCATATGGCAGTGGTAATGTTATAGCTATTAAAAGAAAAAAAACTAAATTGCAGTTTTTTAAAAGTGTGTAATTATCGTTTTTATTCTAGTTAAACTAACTCTGTTTCTTTTTTATATTTAGCCGTTCCTTGTCAGGGTCGTGATTACGATCCTGCAACTCATGTGTGTTGTTGTGGAGAGGTTTATGCCAAGAAATCTCATTATAAATGTTGTGGAAAAAAGCAGTATGATGTTGAAACACATCAATGTTGCTCAACTAATTATAATATTGTGAAAATTTCTCAAACTTGTCCTGGTAGTTGAGATGCAGTCGATACTTTCATTGGAGAAAACGATGATGTTGAAATCGACTTTTGTTTGGATAGAAGTTAACATGAAATATATTTCTCTTTAAGCTTGTTGCATTAAAATTTATAAAAAGCTTTTTTGTTGAATTTATTGTTTGCAAGGAAATACTAAACGAAATCAAAACGTTGGTATTTTAAAAAGAAAGATTTCTCTGTCTTAGCTAATGCGCCCTTTGATTCTTAAAATATTTTGAATTAAAATTATAAGCAAAACAATTCATTTGAATTGTGATTTCCTGCCGACTGTAGCTACGTGTAAATAAATATTTGTTCACAAAAAAAAGATTCAAATTAGGGAAGAGTGATTGCCAATATTGTATATGTACTTAAAATGTATATTGTGATTAAAAACCTTGTCCGATTCTTTCCACTCTTGAATTTTACCTTGAATAACCACTAGATTATAAGTTTAATTTGATAACACAGAAATTCCTTACTCTTTGTTCACTAGAATCACTACTGACAACTGACTGGTTTGTTTTGGTTCTCTCTTTGACGTCCTCATCTTCCGTGTTCTAAATTAACTTATGCGTTCAAGAATCAACTAAGAATGATCATACCTCTTTAAGACACTGAAATATTTCATCAAAAGGTTGTATAAAATGTTTTGAATTTTAAATGATTAATCACTAGACAGATAAATATACTGTCTTTCTTATGCTGTTAGAAAGATATACATAGCTATATTTTGTCATAATGGTGTTAACATCTAAATAAATCACTGACTTGAACATATGCTTCAATGATTTAGGTTAAATATCATATAAAAAGAATATTTTCGATAGCAACATTAACAAATGAATATACGTAGCTATATTTTGTCATAATGGTGTTAACATCTAAATAAATCACTGACTTGAACATATGCTTCAATGATTTAGGTGAAATATCATATAAAAAGAATATTTTCGATAGCAATATTTACAAACAAAATGCTTTTCAAAATGGAAAATTATTATTTAACTAATTTATCACATTTCAGTTCATTTTACAATTTTTCAGAAAGAAACTACTTTATAATTTGATTGACTTTAGGTGAAGACAGGATGTCCTCGATTATCCTTGGATTTTTGCTAATCTTCTCGACAACTTCTCGTTAGTATGGTTGTATATATGTTGAAGATAGGTGACTTTTCAGTAAACAAATAAACGTCGTCAGGAATTTGACAAATTTCATTTGAAAGAATTTTTATGTTTTTTTACGAAAAGCCTACCTTGAATTTGTCGCCCGTAGACGATTCAAGCATATTCGTTGAACAGAAAGATTATGAAACAAGTTTACAAAGGATTTTACGTCTACAAAATGCGTCTCAACATCGCCATTTCATGATGTTAGATACCTTTGACTTCTTAATACAGTGCTGACATACATTATATTGGTCAGTTAGTTTTGACAACTATTTTGTGATATGATAAATCCGCTATAATCAATCCTCCATTTTTACTTTTCTTATCCGCCAATATCTAGATGTTCTAATATTCTGTTTATGAATTGTTGTATTTTCTTCTTTTGTTTAAAAATCTGTGACCAAAAAATCAAAAGTAAACACGATTTTCGAAATATCAATTAAAAAAATTAACACAAATCCAGCATGTTGAAATTAATGGCAAGAAATAATATATAAAAATTTTTTATCTTTAATCAAGAAATTCTTTTTTTTAGAAAGCAACTCATTATCAGATGAAGACTCGTATATTTTACAAGAAGGAGATCAGACTAAAATTGATAGATGTTCATCAACCGTGAGATGGCTGGTTTTTGGTCATGTTCTTCAACAATACAATACTACAAACGAACGTTTGAAGAATTTCAATGTTTTAGAAAATTCAACTTTAATCGTTACAAACAATAGAAATAATTCACTTCAAGGACCTGTTAATGTAACATGTATCTCTAGTGGAAATGGAACGAACAGAACATTTGAAATCATCTTCAATAAAGGTAATTAAAATCATGTTTTGGTTTTTTCATCGTTTATAAAATGTGTCTCAATTTTAAAATAGCTCATTTGCAAATTTTCTCGTTGAGTCAACTACTTAAAGATTCTATGTAGCTTTTCTTTACGCCATTTCAGTTTTGTTTCCACTTTATAGAAAATGTATATGATACATTTTAACAAGCGGGATGTTTTCCGTTTTCTGAACGATTTACAAGGGGTATTGGAGTAGAAACTAAATTATTTGGAATAATGTAATTAAAAAAGGCTAGTGAAAAATGAAAAAATATTTATTTTTTAATACACAGCTCCAAAGATTCTTCCTGTCAAGAGAACGACTATTAATGTCGTAGAAAAAATGGTTACAGCAGTTTGGTTACCATGTGTTACCACAGGTTTCCCTAAACCAAACATTACTTGGTTGTATAGTGATGAAAGAATTACTCAGTCAGATAAAAAAATAGTGAATACTCAATTTCAGTTTTTTGATGGAAGTTCTGTGTCATATGAAGTTTTTGAAAATGGATCGCTACACATTCTTAATCCTTACAATAAATTAGCTGTTCCTCATGAAAGTTTTACTTGTGAAGCGTCGTCTCCTCTTGGAACAGTAAATTTAACTTACGACTTCAATATTGGAATGATGAGTAAGTCAAAAGTGTTCAATCAACAGAAACTCATTGTTCAACAGAAACATAGGCGGTTTATTTTTATGTCACGGTTGCCATGTTGGTTGTCAAATACAAAAGAATATTTTTTTATTGTGGGCAACAGCCGTCTTAGTCGTGTCACATTGTTTGATAACTCCTTGGATATTGGTTGCAATCCAAGAATAGCAAACTTAACATGACGAAAGAAATGTAAAATAGCTCAGTAGTCAGTATAATAACTTTAATAAGATAAGTAAATATTTATTTTTTAACTTTCAGGGAACATTACGTTTGCAGTAACGTTAAAGAACTCAAGTCAAGTGAATTTGCTTTCTTCATTAATTCATCAGGTAAGTGTTATGGAAAATCATACTGTGTTTGCACTGTTTGTTGCTAGTAATGCTCTTTTTTGTAAAAAAGTAACGATGGTTTCTTTATTAAGATATCAGACCTCGGGAATAATAATTTCATTATCTTATCAGCAAACATAGTCTCCATGAATTTAAGGTAAAAAGATAAAAGCTGGAAAGTTGCTACAAACTGCATAAAGTCTTGATGGAAGAAACTTTTAGAAACGCCATACACATGATCATGTTTGTTTAAGAATGTTCAATACTTTAATAAAAACAAAATTTAAATATTTTCGTTTTGCAAAACATAAGCTAGTTATCCTTACGGTTCCATCATTATCACAAAATCCATTGTCACAACAACAAATTAGTAGCATCATTTTTCAACGCATGCGTTAAACGTAATGAATCAAATAAAGTGTGTAAATGTTGTTCTTAATAACGTAATTTATAAAGGTGAAATTTTTGATTTTTATACATCCATTGTTGTCTAGAATAGTGAATGTTTTTCTTTTATCTTATGTCTAGCTCTTATACTGTGACGTTCGCTCTTGCTTGGTTGGATGAAAGTCCTAGAAGTACTCCTCCTGATGAAAATGCAGTCAATGCAGCCATTGCAGCCGTTGCAGCCGTTGCAAGAATTGTTCATACAACTTTATCAAATCTAAACATTGATTTAGTCAACTTCATCATGAACGGTAGTAGTGCCTTTAGGCATGCACTGTTGTTTTTTGTTCCATGATTAATGCTCCTATTTTATAGACGTAAAGACGTATTTATTCAGTTCTTCATTCATGACTAACTAAAATGACATACATTATTATAGTTTCATATTAGAAAATGTTAAGACTCTTCTTTCGCTTTTGTTCATTAATTACTACCTGCAGGCGTTATCAAACTTTTTATTTTCAGCTAAGCCTGGGCCGGTGACTGACCTTACAGTCACAGATGTCTCTGAGAAAACTATATCACTGAATTGGAAGCATCCGCAATTTTTCAATATCGATAGTTACAGCGTTTTTGTTCTTGTCAACGGCATGGCGTCTCGAAGAAATTCGGTATAGCATTGATTTTTATTTTTTTTACTTTCATTACTAGTATTGTAGTCGGAAAAACTTGCTATTTTTATGTCCGTATAAGTTGACAAACATTTCTGTCTGACCACGATCATTATGAACAACGACAAAATCATTATGTTATGCTTCACATGTTAACATTCTCATTTTTAATAATATTAATTATTGAGCTGCGCAATTCATCATTTTCGACTGACTTCATTTTCAGGTGCTTTATCCTCACAACAGCTCAACCCTCACTAATCTTGAGCCTGGTACAAAGTATCGGATACAAGTTAGGCCCAGTAATAGTCATGGTGATGGAACATTTTCCGAAGTAGTCCAGGCCGAAACAGACGATGAAGGTTCTAAAATAGCTTTCATATATTTAAAAACACAACAATCTTCATTGATTTTAAATTTTCTTTTATTTTAAAATGTTTCTTTCATCAGGACTTTCTGCCGTTTGGATTGCTGTCATTGTTGTGCTTGTCCTCCTCATAATAATTGCTGTTATTCTTGGTGTGTTTTACTATCGTAGAAAACCTGAAGTTATTGATGTGATAGAGCTTAACGATGAGAATGTAAGTGTAAATTATCTGGGTGGGGTTAGGGTTAGGGTTTGCCCGTTAGGGTTAGGTTTAGGGAGAGGGGTTAGGTTAGGGTTAAGGTTTGGCCGTTAGGTTTAGGGTTAGGGAGAGGGGTTAAATCACGTGTGTCATATAGTATCAAATTGATAGAGGTTGCATAAGAGAAAGCATGGTCTTTTTGTCTTATGGCACTCCCTTCAAAAATCCTTTCCTCGAGTATTTTCTATAAATGATGTTTAAAGAATATTTGTAAAGAACTATAAACACAAGATAGAACTAAAACCATGGATTAGAATAAAACAAAAGTAATTGTTTACTATCTTACTCTACAGCCTTACTTTTTTTCCTTACCTGGTATTCAAATGCAAAACATCTACGAACAAAACAACATGACGAATATCTCATTTGTAAACGATGATCTTGAGCAGAAAGAATTAGTGAATTTCTCTTGGTGTGAGATCGATCGCGACACACTTACAATGCAAGCAGATTTAGGTAAAGGAGAGTTTGGTGTTGTTAAGAAAGCAATTTGGTTAAATGAAGGTACACAAACTCCTGTTCCTGTTGCCGTTAAAACAATCAAAGGTTCGTAATTTTTTGGTGGGATTGATTTGAATCATTTCATGCCATGCACGACACTACTATTTTAAACATGTCATTTTTTATCTTTATGTCGAAACCATGTGTGAATGAAGCGACAAAACATTGTAAAAAAGTTAGGGAAATTTTTGTGAAAGTTTATTACAAATATAAAAACTTTAAAGTTAAAGTAGAATTCTGCTGACACCTGCCATTCAATATATGTATTTAAGACTATAATATAGTTCATATTTCTCGTTATTTTTTTTTGCAGAAAATTCCACCGAAGAAGAGAGAAAGGAATTTTTAAAAGAATTAAAACTTATGTCAGATGTCGCTGATCATCCAAACGTGGTCAAAATGCTTGGAGCGTGTTCAAAAGGAGGTAAAACCAACTTAACCATGACCATAATGACAATTTTAACTACTTATGTAAGAACTAAATGTATTCTATGAATGAATTTGACTTGAAAATTATCGACGAGAAAAAGTTCGAGTAATGCTGTTTTCTAAGGTCCGTTGTGGATAGTCGTTGAATTATGTGAAAATGGGAATCTCTTAAGTTTCTTGAAATCCCATCGTGTGGAAATGTCTGAAAGAAGAGGAGATTTTAAGACTTCTCTGGAAACATTTATGCGTGTCAGGATTGCTTGTGATATTTCAAAAGGAATGCGGTATTTGGAACAAAAAAAGGTTTTATATCGTACAAGTTATTAATTTATTTATTGTTGAAGTGTTATTTATAATATTTATATTCATAAACTAGAAAAATTTTGGCACTTGTTTCAAACTGCTTAAAAAGTAGTTAAGGCATTTCAGTTTGTGAATTTTTAATAGATTGTTCATCGCGATTTGGCTGCAAGGAATATCCTGTTGGGGAAAAACAAAATAGCGAAAATTGCCGATTTTGGTTTATCGAGAGATATTTATGAATCAGGAGCGTATTTAAAGAAAACTGGGGTCAGTAAACTGCGTTGTTCAGTGAATATTTTTTATGTAAATATGAATTTACACAAAGAAACACATCAGTAGCCACTATGTAATTACAGTCCAAAATATTCTTATAAGAACCTACCGTATATCACCTGGTTTTTCGACTCATCTTCATATCAAATAATTAATTGTATGCTACATTTATCATTTTAGTTCTAGCGTATTGTATTTCATTGTTTGACCCATTCATTGACCTCCTTACGAAATATGACTAATTGACAACGCATATTTATGATTAATCATACGCAAGTTGAACATTGTTTTTAGCAAAAGTGAGAAATTTTTTTTTGACTATAGGGTAAACTTCCTGTAAAATGGATGGCTATTGAATCAATAAAAGATGCTGTTTATGACTCAAAAAGTGACGTGTATGTACTTTCAAAATGTGTTATTGCAAATGTAAGCAATTATTAATTAAAAACTGGTCAACTATTATAAATAACTTTTGATTTTTAGTTGGTCTTTTGGTGTAACGTTTTGGGAGATAGAAGCCGCCGGTAAACTGAAGTGATAAACTTTTAAATAATTGATATTATTTATACAGCTTGTTTGCGCAATTGTACCATAGATAATCCAACGTCTTTTGAATGATTTTTTTGTTTCAACATTTCATGTATCATTGTTTAAGGGGCTTCACCATACCCAGGAATAGGTGGTAGAGATGTTATGTTTTATCTACTGAATGGCAATAGAATGGCTAAACCTTCTGAAACTCCTACTGAAATGTAAGTTTTCAACATGCTTAGAATTATTGACTAACAGCGTTCTTTCTTCTTTACACGTTGTACTCATTCATCTATACAAATAAATACACTTTAATACAACGTAGTTATAAACTGATGCTGAAGTGTTGGGAAGCGAATCCTAAAGAACGACCAAACTTTGAAGAAATTGAGTTGTATCTTCAACAATATCTGGAGCAAAATGCGGTAATGTCTTTAAATTGATGTAGTGGTTTGTTTTTTTTTGTAAAAATAAACTTTTTCATGGACTCAGGGAGAAGAAATTAAAGGTGTAATTTGGTGATATGTCATTACAACCTCATGTATGGTACTTTTTATAATTTATATAATCTATTATACACAGGATTATCTACCAGTGGTTAATATTAATGGTGAATGTGATCCTAACGCATACGCTAACTACATGATGGAAGTAGAAGATGAAGAGAACGAAGCTCAAGCATAAGGTCTGTTATATAAATTACAAACATATAATACTATCACTGATATTGTTTTAGAAGAACGAGAAGTATTACATTTATTGTGATAACATTGTAGCTGTGTATGCATTTTAGAATAATTTTTATAACTTTTTTTTGTCATGATTGATTTAAAGTTCTACAATCCTTGTAATCATGGTGTTCAAAGATCGTCAATCGCCTAAAACAATTTACCATTACGCCCTGCGTAATATCAATGTACATCGTTACAACCACTAATTTTTTTCTATTCAAGCAGTAATTTTTTTAAGATAAATATACTTATTCTTTACTTGTGGACAAAAACAATGACAAAAGTAAAAAAAATAACACTATAACAGTGCAAATAATTTAGATGAGTTTCATTAATTAGTTTATTTAGATAAACGTTATCAACTAACCACGGTTTCAAAAAACCTCTTTTAAAGCAAGCAGCATTTTATCTAATATTTGACACAAACAGTTTTAGTGTTTGTATAAAATTCTAGTGACTCAAAAATCCCTTCCCTTCCCAAACCGGACGCCTTGACTCCACCAAACGGCATTTTTAAGTCGCGAAGAAGCCACGAGTTACACCAAACTGTACCAACCTAAATATGGTTTTGAAAATATATATATAGAACTCAAGGCAAGACGTGTAAGAAAAAAATGGCACTTGAAAAACGTTACCTCAAGTTGTTGTGCTATTCTATGATGTCTCCCTACGTTTTCTGACCAAATTGAAGCACAAAGACCATATTTAACATTGTTAGCGCGAACAATGACCTAAAAAAATATCAACATTTAAACATGACTGTCCACTTCATGTTCATAGTTGAATACACATAACTGATGTAGCAAGTGGCATATTACTTCTTCTTCTGTTTCAAATGGTGACACACAAACAACAGGACCTGACGTGAAATATAAAACCAAATATGACACTAAGAATTTGGTGACTGGAGAGTTGATCCAGTAATAAATATTAAAAACTATCTTACCAAATATTTCCTCTTGCATGCAAGTGCTCTCGTCCTTTAAACCTGTTATAACTGTTGGCAACATAAAATAACCCTAAAAACATACTAGTGTCACATGAAAGTATGTGTTAATAAATAACAGTTAATATTTAACATACATTTTTGTTCTCTTCAGGCAAATCCATCAAATCCTTTCCATGACCACATTTAATTATACCACCTTCTTTACACGCAATCTTCACATAGTTCAATACCTGATCAATAGAAGGGGTGATTCACTCAACAATTAATGCATGTCTTTCAACAATAAGTGCAAGAAAAACCTTGGAAAGATGTTCTTTGCTAATAAGTGCTCCAATTTTTGTGTCTTTATCACTTGGATTTCCAACTTTCAGATTTCTAAAAAATGATTGATTGTAGATACAATTTAGAAACATGATGTCTATGCCCACATCAAAATTCCTTGATTTGAAGCCATACTTGGTTGCCGTGACAAATTTTTCCAAGAAAGTTTCATATATTGATCTTTGAACAAAAATTCTACTGGTTGATAAGCAAACCTCTCCTTGATTTGCGAATCCAGATCTAAAATCATTTCACAGAATATGAAGTTTATTGTGAGTTCAGTTGTTATTATAATGTGTTACCTTATACAACCAGGTATAACTTTAGCAAGATCACAATCATCAAATACAATGGCAGCATTTTTCCCACCTAGCTTAGAAGATAGAAGTCATGAAATTATATGATTAACAAAAAAACAAAAACTTTTACCTACCTCCAAAGAAAGTTTCTTAAAGTATGGAGCACTATTCTCAATGATATATTGTCCTGTAGCAGTTGAACCAGTAAAAGAGACAATAGGAACGTCTGGATGCTGGACCAGTGCTGCTCCACATTTTGGACCCAACCCAAACACAATATTGACCACACCCGGGGGTAGACCTTAACACGATTAGAGAATACATTAATTATCATATGTCCTTGTCTGAGGAAGAATTCTTAAAATATATATACATTACAAACCTGCTTCATTAAGAACTTTAGCAAACATCCATGCTGTAACTGATGTCATTTCACTAGGCTTACAAACAACTGTGTTGCCACTTGCAATTGCAGGAGCAATTTTAAAAGTTAGTAAGTATAAAGGAAGATTCCACGGTGAAATAAGCCCAGCAACACCAACAGGGTTACTGGTTGTGTAATTAACAGCACCTTGTTCATGAAGAACAGTAGATCTGAAATGAAAATATTATTTCAAGACCAAGTTATCATTAAGAGGAATTAGCACATTATTCAAAACCGACCTGTTAACGTCAGTTTGGATAGCTATAGCAAAGGATCTCATGTTCAAAACTACTCGTGGTATATCAACAAGAGCTGCTAGCCAAATTGGTTTGCCTTGATCTTTTGACTCTGCTTCAGCAAATTGCTGAAGTCGTGATTCAACAATGTCCGCTATTTTCATCATCAAGTTTGCTCTTTCTTTAACAGGTGTTTTTGACCAACTATTTAACATGAGAATCGTCTACATGATTCATTTTTTCAAAAACATTTTAAAATATTTTAATGAAATAATTTGATTCATTAAATGACCTATCAAAGCCAAATAGTTAATTACAGTTGGAGATAGGGAAGGGAAATCATGAAATAATTCTAATCTTACATCGGAAAAGCATTTTTGGCAGCCTTCACTGCCGCATCAACTTCTGTTTTATCACTGTCAGGGACTCTAACGTATGGTTTACCAGTCGATGGTTCGTAACTATCTATAAGCTGAGTGCAAGGTAGAAATTCACCATTGATAAAATTCTCCAACGTTAATAACTCCGCCATAATGTTACAATGAACAATTTTACCCGAGACCCTTGTGCCTTTATAGTATGGGCGTGGTCGTGGCGTGACGAGCGTCAATGTTTCGCAGGTGAAAATATATTAAATTGTTTGTGATTTTAATTTGTGAAAAAGAAAGAACAACCTGTAACATTTTTAACAAGTCTGCAACAATTTGTAACCGTTTTTTTATTTGCAATCCCTTCCTAATAGATATTTATCGATATCAATTCATGGTCTAGTTCCAGTCCCTAGTGTGTAAGTGACGTCACGAAGGCGGTCTATTCAAGATGGCAGCAAATTTTGTACTTACTTGTTGTTTAGTGTTTTATACCATTATGTAATAAATTTTGAAGTGTTTGCCTTTATTGAATGCAGTGACTGTTTCATGTTATGACTTTGAGTCATTATCCAATAATATTATGAATACAAAAAGTTTTGAGGTATAATTTTTATATAGTTCGCATTCCAGCAAGTCTACTCTTTTCATTTATGAATAGACAAAAACATTTTGAAGGTTTTTTAACCTATGTTTCTTATAATTATTTGAGGTGTTATACACTCATCAGAAGTTAAAAAAAGCCAAAACATGGAAGGTAATTACAGTGCATGAGCAACATTTTATTATTGAATACCGATATTTACGAATTAATCTACTGCAGGATGGAAGTTTACAGATTTCAGTTCATGGGACGAAGGTACTTGTGAAAAAAGTTATGATTTCATTCTCACTAGTAGAAATATACATGAGGTTCAACTTGAAACAAGGACAATTGGACAAAAACAAAACGCAGGCAATCTTTTCAGTTATTGAATTCTATGTCCACCTTTGTTAAGTACTCTGTCCTCATGATTCAGTATGACTATGGTAATGATTCATTATGACTATGGTTATGGTAGACTTTTTTTAAGCAGGGTAACCCATTGAGTTATTACACAAGGATTTGTTCGCAAATTTTGTTGATCAATCTTTGATAGAATTGTAAAAAAATATCTTTCACTATGACTGTGTATGTATAATCTGCTCACAGAAGTTTTATAAGGAAAAAACTTTAACTTATTTTGAACAAAATATACTGAAAGTTAGTATGCACGTTTCAATGCATTGATGATACATTGTTCAATGTAGTTGCTTTTCATTCAACTGCTATACAAGTTGATAAAGTTTTTTTTTACATTGGTGTACTTTTAATGTTTGTTTTTTTGTTTGGTGTACTTTTAATGTCTCATTTGACGTTTGTTTTTTTTTCTCAGGCTGTGTTATTTGATGAAAACAATATTTCTTTAGAAATCTTTCATATTCAATCTCATAAGGTAATTAATATTTGATGACATAGTGTTTCCATGTTTTCTACAGTGGACATTTTATTTTTTTACTATTTGTAAATTTTGAGATTTTTTCCGGAAGTGATGTTGAATGTGAAAGATATTTAATTACTGTTGGTGATGAAAAGACTTTGAAAGAAAAGATTATGTTGGATGGTCCTAACTCAAGATTTAGTCAGAATTATCATAAATCAAACTTTAATCCAACTAAGGATTATCCTATGTTATCACATAATCACACAAATGAAATTTACCAATCGGGTCAGATGACTTTTTTGGGGAAGCGGAAAAGAAACCTGGAAATTTTAAATGACCATCATGTTGAAGCACCATCTACATTGAAGCACCATCATGTTGAAGCACCATCTACATTGAAGATTTCTGCTGTTAATGATCGTTTATCGTTGAGTTATAAAAAATTCCTACAAGTAAACAGTGAAAAGAAAAAACAAATTTATGATGATTCTACAACAAATGAAAAACGAATGAAACAGTGTCCTCAGTCAAATGAAACACAATATTTTCCTGTGCTCAACCAACAATACAGAAAGGAAAAAAAATCACTTTCTGCCGTGCGACGAAACAAATCGGAACTTTTGTCTTTGTTTTGTAACACAAGTAGAATGAATTGTGAAAGAAAAAATGATTTCATACCTCTCTTCACAAGAAAAGACAAGCAGATAAATTGTCCTACTGCCAAAAAAGAACAACTTTCTTCTACAGTTCTGGATATTTCTTACTCTGAAAAGGATGATTTCTCAGACGTCTTACTTCATGCTGGTAATTACGATTCTGCGGATATGCGCAAATCAAATACAGAGGCACACAAATGGATCTTTGATTGTGTAGATTTTACAGCGTATGATGTGAACGATAGCGAAAATGAAGAAGATTTTCACATTACAAGTAACAGGGCTTTCGAAAGCACTTCAAGTTTGTCTTTACCATTTGAGGAATCTGATAAATCAAAGTATCTTAGTGATAAGATTGATTTGGACGAAAGAACTTTTCATGACATGGTTTCAAATAAAGATGGTTTGTCTTTAAAGCAAAATACTTTAATAACGGTAGGGGAGAGTCATCATCCTGTAACAGAACACGATTTACAGTCTGTTTGGATTGGTAATAAACAATCTGAGTTGAGCGGTGATAAAAAATGGCAGAACTACAAAAAGGATGATGGAGAGAATTCTGCTACCGATAGTCATTATTCTATCGTTACTCCTGATGTTACAGCCATGTCAAATAATGTCGTTCTTAATAAAAATACATCAACAGGAATACAAAAATCATCCAGACAGTACTATAATACTACCAACGATCATAAAACGGTCAATGAACCCAGTTCGAAGGTTAGTGATCTTAAACTTTGTTTTTCTATAATTAAGATAAATATTTCTTATTTACATATTTCTTTTTCACAAGTCGTTTTCTGCTCAACTGAAATTTCCATCCAATGAAGAATGTGTTGTTAACACCACTCCTACTCGAGAAGTCACTATTCCAACGAGATTTTTCTCAACAATGGAATATAAATGTTTAATGAAATCCGCAGTGAGAGGTAAAATTTTGTTTGATATTTTATTGGTATAAATCAATAAAATAATGAATAAAATATTTGTTATAAACACTTTCCTCATAACATTATGTTTTATAATCACCTACAGAACATTTGAATGTCGTACTATTCAAACTTGCTCAGCAATATCATGGAGTCCTCGGCGATGCTGAATTTGGAGGTGTTTACTGTTTGATATAATTATCGTTGTCTATCATGGCTGCTGTATATTATATCTTTTCAGATGATAAAGAAAATATGAAAGAAGGACCGTGTTGCATTCATGGTATATTTACAAACGTTATCATTTTATTCGTTTAATGATAATTTTCAAGTTAGTGCTTCATTGTTTAGGGACAGCTAAACTTCTGGCTGTGAAGAAAGATGGCAGAAACAAGGTATTGTGTATTTATGAAAAACAGACTTATGATTTTTGCAACCTTGAAGTAATTCTGTAGTTTCTTGAAACAGGGTCGACATTTTTATACGTGTCCTGCCTCCAGCTCAAATTCGTGCAAGGTGCGTGTTATGTATGCAATAGAACGGAACAGTAAACAGTTAGCATGTACAGTGTATGTCTTCTTTTTCAGTTCTTTCAATGGGCTGATGAAGCTCAAGTAAAGAGTGGAAATGTTGAAAAAAAAGTAACCCTCACTACAAACGAAACTATACGTGCATTCTTTAAGACTAAGGTGAATTTTGTGACAACTTTTCAAGATGATAGTTCTAACGTCTTTGTTACTTAATGCATCACTCGTCTTTATTTTATTTTTAGGGAATAAATTTTTATCACAACTGTCTTTTTGAGAGACGAATTCCACCGTCCAAGTTGTTCGTGAAGGTATGGTGTTTTGTTGATTGTTTTGTGAATTATAAATAGTTGTTAATGCAATACCTTCGATATTGTCTAAATAGTGTTTTCATTTTCTTAAATTATTCCTTCAGTACCCTCCCTCTATCACCCCTATGATACCTCTCCACACCTACAAATCGTCATTTCATAGAAACGTTCTAACAAGAATCCTGGAATTACGAATGATAAGAGATCACTTTATGTGGTTTTGAAGTATCGTGAACCGTCATCATTTTATTCCAAAGATGATATCTGGATTATTTCAAAGGACATCCATTTCGAGACAACTTTTATTGCTAAAAGTGTATTTTATGGTCCCTCATCATCTGGCGATCTTGAGATTCATCCGATCAGCGGTTATTCGCCAAGCAATTGGCACTCTGGGGAGAACGTTCATTTGCTGTGGGTGTGTAACGCTGGCATGGAGTTATCGTGTATTCATAATCTTGATGATTACGTCAGTTTACAACAGATGCCATTGTTACCCTATATTCTCAATGGGTAAAAATTGTAAAATATGTGAAAATTTTCTGATCATTTTTTTCTTATAGTATATGTTTTAAAAAAATATTTAAATTGCATTTAGCAATCCTCCATCATATGTCTCCCAGAGGGTTTCACAACACTCATTCACAGCTCCTCTATCTACGTCCATTGACAGAAATTCACTTGGACTTTCAATGCAAGTTGTCGTAAGTGAATGTCAACATTGTAACGTAGATATAAGTTGTCACATGATTTTTATTTGTTTAGAAGAAATATTTTGATTGTTCGATTGTTCAACTTTCTCTTTACGTATTTGTTCAAAGGAAGAAGAAACAGAGAAAATGATCTCGCAATTTAAACTGAACCAGGTATGATATTTTTTTTGATAATAACGTTATCAACGTCTTCAGGAATGTTGATATTTTCAACTTTATATGTCTATTTTTGATACCAATCATTTTGTTTCGTGAAAGATGGTTTCTGTGGGTTATAATTGTTTCGCCTTTACTGAGAAGCTACTCCATAAGTTATATTTTTTTTCATGTTCTTAATGCTTTCTATCTGACTAGTTATGTATCTTTTTTTTGGATATTTACAACTATATATCAAATTATCAATTCAAATTTTCATCAGTTGTCATTGTCATTTTTTATACTAGGATCAAGCAAACGCTTTGCGTTCCTGTTCCAAAATGTTTCTTTCTCAAAATGTAGAGCGAACATCATGGTCATCTATAGCTTTAATTCACGGTGAATACGTAAATAAACACATATTCAAATCTGGCAATCATTACCTCTCGACGCTTTATTTTTTTCTCAAGGTGTCTTTGGGGCGGGTAAAAGTTTTCTTTTGGCCGTTACTGTTCTTTTACTGGTGAAACTTTTTGAAATTGCCGATGAATTAGTTAAATTTGGGTAAAGAAAATTGTATAGTCATTATTGTGTTATCTTATGAGCAAAATCTTGATGGAATTTCTTTATTAATTTTCCATATTTTCTTTTGTTGTTTTTTTATGTCTTAAGATCTAATTCAGTATCATGGAAAATTCTGGTTTCGTCTACTACTAATGTTGCCGTTGATCGAATTCTCCTTGGGTGGGTTTACAAAATGATCAATAAGAAATTTAATCGTCATGATATAAAGTTTGTGATATTAGTGATTGATAAAGTTATGATGCAATAAAAGAGATTGTTAACCAGTCCTGTCATATTGATCTTTCATGTTACGTAGCTGTGAATTTTTATTGAGTTGTAATGTTATTTTTCTTAAGACTCTTGGATCTTGATTTCACGGAGTTTGTGAGAGTTGGTAGTGTAAGAAAAATAGCGAAACCTGTCTTACCATACAGTATTCATAGTCAGGGAACAGAGTCGCAGGAACTGAAGGAACTTCAAGCTTTGTTGAAAAGTGAATTGACAACAACTGAGAAATTGTGAGTTGTTAACAATTTACTTCGTTGATGAAAAAAGTTTGGACCTTCTAATTTATTGAGTTTGTTGTCGAAGTATTTTATTTTGTGTTGATGTTCATTATTTTATAGATGTGTTCGCAAAAGCATCGAGAAACAAAAACTAGGAGAAAATAGAAAGGTTTGACATCAAATGTTCGCTTCATCTTTTGTATGAATGCTTTATTGAGATTAAGATTTATGGTAAGACCTTTTTTTTTCTTTTACAGCGTCTTTGTGACATCCGTGTTGTTGGTGTGACATGTGCAGCTTGTAACTTTCCAGCACTTGAGAGATTAAAGTTTCCTGTGAGTCAATGTACTGTATTGTTGTGCACGATAAAAGCAGAGAGATGTAAGATATATTTTTAACGTTTTTTGTCATAGGTTTTATTGTTAGATGAATGCAGTCAAATGACAGAACCAACTTCGTTGTTGCCCATTGCAAGGTTTTTAGAAATTATTTTATCATTATGAGATAGCACATTAGTCCAGTAACACAACAAATAAATGAAATGTGGTGAACAAACAATCAAAACCAAATATATGTTTGAAGATTGGTAATCCAGGCATCATATTGTTTAAAAATAAAGTTTCTCCGGATTTAATAAATAAGTTTATTGAGCTTTCGACTCGTTGCTATATATATATGTAAAGTTTTTTAAATGGCAGAAATATTTTTTTCCTTTTAGATTTGGTTGTCGGAAGCTTGTGCTTGTAGGAGATCCAAAGGTATTTTTATGTCTTTTTGCCTTCACATTTTATCGCATTTACTTTGAATCATGTCATTTTAGCAATTGAAGCCGACCATACAAGGATCAGAGAGTTCCATCGAGTCAGGACTTGAACAAACTCTCTTTGATCGTTTTATAAAAATGGTATATGGACATTGTTGTATTAATGTGAACGTTGTTGTATTAATGTGGACATTGTTGTATTAATGTGAACGTTGTTGTATTAATGTGGACATTGTTGTATTAATGTGAACGTTGTTGTATTAATGTGAACGTTGTTGTATTGATGTGGACGTTGTTGTATTAATGTGGACGCTGTTGTATTAATGTGGACGTTGTTGTATTGATGTGGACGCTGTTGTATTAATATGAACGTTGTTGTATTAATGTGGACATTGTTGTATTAATGTGGACGCTGTTGTACTAATGTGGACGTTGTTGTATTGATGTGGACGCTGTTGTATTAATATGAACGTTGTTGTATTAATGTGGACGTTGTTGTATTAATGTGGACGTTGTTGTATTAATATGAATGATGATATATTATAATGGACTTTGATAGAAACTTTAATAAAGTTAATTCGTTTTTTACATTTTAGGATTTCAAACCACAGCTGTTGCGTACTCAAGTAAGTGTAAATTCGTAAATTATGTTTTGAAATTGTCTCTTTGTTCATACTGTTTTAATTTCTTGAAGTATTTTGTGCAATTATTTCTCTAAAAACCTTACAACTTTCTCTTACGATCTTCTAATTATTTTGTTTAACAGTATCGCTGTCATCCATTGATTAGTTCTATATCAAACAAGTATGTATTCCACTTATTTATAATTTTCATTATTCATCTAGACCTTATAAATTTCAACAACAATATTCATAGTTTTTAGTTTGCAGTATTGTTATGTGTTGACTGTAGAGCGATTATTATGAGAAAAATACATAATAATTAATAATAATTTAGGTGTGTAAGTTTATATGAAACATGTTTTTAAATGTAGATCGTCCAGGTTGGTATAGTCCTGAGAAGGACTGTTTTTGTTTTTGTTGACTGACGTTTCGACAACCTAAGCGGTAGTCATCTTCAGAGTCAAAAGACTACCGCTAAGGTTGTCGAAACGTCAGTCAACAACAACAAAAACAGTCCTTCTCAGGACTATACCAACCTGGACGATCTACTTTTACAAACATGTAACGATACTCCCGGGTACAGACCATTTACTTTATATATGAAATACATCGTAAACGAATGCAACCACTTTAATATATTTATGACTAAGTTGAGCTAAGTTGAATTTCTCCAAAATTTGTGCTATGACCATGAACTTGGACAGTTGGTTAAGTGATTGCGCATGCTCAAATGATTTTTCTAATAGTATGTGTCTAAGCGAGCTATTTAATCTGAAGTAAATTCAGTTGGTCGTTCCCATTACTATGAACAGTTGAGTGAACTGCTTGTACTAAGGCGGACTGCGCATGCTCAAATATTTTCTCCAATTGTGATTAAACGAGCTATTTACTCCAAAATTGGTGCTAGTAAATACAGTTGGACATTGACATTACCATGAACTCAAACAATTGGTAAAGTAGACTGCGCATGCTTAGATATTTTGTCTAATTTTTCATGAAGTCGATGAATGCTTGCGTCACGATACATCAATGAAAATTTAATGAAAGTTAATGAAAATTTAATGAAAGTTAATGAAAATTTAATGAAAGTAATGAAAAAAATTTAATGAAAGTTAATGAAAAAAATTTAATGAAAGTTTATGAAAAAATAAAATAAATGTATGAAATATTTTACGGTTGATTCAAATTACAAGTCAAAAATAGTGTTTATTTAAAATTTGTACTGTTTTTTTTTATCACTAGTAACTAAGTAATATTCTTTATTTAGGTTATTTTATGATAACCAATTGTTGAATGGCGTTACTGAAGACGATCGTAAACCACTCGTTGTAAGAATTAATACTTAAAAATTAAACTGATTGTGAAAAAACAAACTGTTTAATGCAAAAATATTTCAACAGATTTGCAACGTAGGATAAAAGTGTTGTGTTCTGTCTATAATATTTTTATTTTCACATTTGTAGTTTGCATTTGAAAAGTTTGGTTTTTTACATTCACTTTGTTTCATTCAGGATTTTATTCCTACGTTATGTTTTTATGATGTGAGCAAAGGACAAGAATGTTCATCAAATGGCAGTTATTTTAATACTGATGAGGTAGAAACTTAATTTCTATAATTCGTTGATACGCTTTTTTATTCTGTCTTTAAAATTCACTAAAAATCGTATATATCTTTTTATACAGGCTAAATTTGTTGTTGTATTGATCAAATCTCTTTTGTCATCAAACGTACAGCCTGGTCAGATAGGTAAAGATGAAACTTTTTTTTCATTACATTACCATACGTTAATTATATTAATGCTGTTTTGAAAAAAGACTATCGTCATATTTGCATCTACTTTTAAAGGGGTTATTTCTCAGTACAAATCTCAGTTAACTTCCATATCAAATTTACTATCATCCAATGGGTAAGTATATTGACTCCAGATTAAACTCTAACTGAATATGAAATGCTGGTGAATGAGTCATTTTGTCATATATCCGTGCGTAGCTACTAACTCAACGTATTTTTGCCCTCTAAGAACATCTTCCCAAAGAGAATATTCTGGAGTGCAGGTACGTATGTATAATTAAAACATATCCTTATGATTATACACATCAAAGGAAAAAGATGCATTTGAAAATTGTTTGTTCATTAGATATCTACAGTTGATGCTTTTCAAGGCGGAGAAAAAGATATTATAATACTATCATGTGTAAGAACAAGACACATTGGATTCATCGATTGTCGAAGGTTCTGTAATATCTCTTAATTTATCGGGTATTCATGTAAAATCGTATAAATTTGCTGCTAAGCTATCAGAACATCTGTTTACAATTCATTCATCGTCTTAATTTCATTTATAGACGAACAAACATCGCGTTAACAAGAGCAAAAAGGTTGCACGAAGATCTATTTCATTGTCATGTTTTAAACGTAAATATGAATATTTATGTTGTCGTTTCAGACATCTCTGTATTGTCGGCTGTCGTACAATGTTATCATCTAATTCACTGTGGAAGCAAATTTTGAATATTTGTCGAGGTTTGTTATCTGTGAATAAATAGTTTTTTCGTTTCATCTCACGCAAATTTGATTCTCAGCTAACTTTTTGCATACCGAATTATAGTTCATGAAAAGCAGTGTTATTATCAAATTATTTTTATTATGTATAGATAAATGTATATATTTTATAGAATCTCCTTTGGGATTCCAGTCGTCTAAATCATTTGTTCAACAATGGAGAGAGAAATTTTCTGAAAATAGTTTAAGAGAAGAGGAAAAATCATCTGAGATAAGGAAAAATGAACCAAAATAGAAACACTTTAGAGACAAATGGCTGTAACAGAAAATGGTGATGTACATTTGTTATCTGTGAAAATTACGTCGTCACTTTTATTATATATTATTGTACTTGAATTATCAAACGTTCTTCCAAGTTTTACAGCTTATAAATATATGTTGAAAAAATCAAAATAACGAACACTTTTGTAAACGGATGTTTTTTGCAAAACATCTAAATTTCGCTCAATAAAAGTGTGCATTGTCTTTTGAAGAATCGAGGTTGGTGAATTATTTTCATGTATACTTCATGCAGTAAGGATTCTTTTCTCATCTATCCTATTGCCTTCTAGCCAAGAAAAATATTTTATCCACAACAACAAACATAAAGACATTTGGTCTGCACTGAAGTCTTCTTTAATAATTTTTCATTAGTACAGCAACCATTGTAAACGTTAATATTTTGTTCAAAAATCTGAAAAACCAACTTTGCAAACATCTCATGCTTTGCTCAACATGTATGTCTTATGATTGATTCTTATCTGTTACGTCTTGTTTACGCAGGTGCAGATTAGTGATGTCCTCTCACAAAGGACGCTTCATCAAACAAACAGAAATTTTTTTCTTTGCGGCGCATTTAATTTATGATCAGGTGCAAATTGCATTTGATGAGATGCCCACATTTTATACAGTAAATGTTTTTTTACATTGTAAACGTTAAAAGTTCAACAAAACTCAGATTCTTATAATTTAGATTCTTTAAATTTTAAGTAACTCATGTTCAATGTCATTTTTACCTACATTCTGAGTAAATTAAATTGTTTAAAGCTCAACTGTTATCGTTTAATCATTTTTAAGTCATTTTTAATTTTCAATTTAAACCGTAATTATGAAATACAACGCGTTTCATATGCAGATGTATGCGTTTTATTAAAGCATCAATTCTTGTGAGACTCAAGGCTTATTTTATCTATAATATTTTGTCTTTGAGGCTCAGATACTACATTCTGAGTGGTTTGTTGCTAAAGAAATGTACTTATTCAATGATGATGTCACTTTAATTTTTATTATTATTTTAGTTTCTCGCTCCTGTAAAATGTCCACAACTCAAGGTATTTAGCTACTTTAAATTGACGAAAAATAATCTTTTTGAATCCTCAACTAGACTCAAAGACGAGTTAAAGTTTTAAATTTTACTATCTTCATATTTTTGATAAAATATTGTGTTTTTATTGTTAGTTTTGTAGATCATCTTGACTGACTATGATGAAAATACGACAGTCTTGCGTGATTTTCCTTTCAAATTTCTCTTTTGAATAGATTGCAATCAGTGCTTTATTGATAACACAACATTGTGCCCTCGACCTATGGAAATCGTTAGTAATGTCGACAGTACTCTTTTGCCATCTTTAGTCTGTGTTGAACATCCAAAATTCCTCAGTGTTTTTGACTTTCCTACATCATTGGTGAAGAGTATCGACTGTAATAGTGATAATGTTATAAAATTGATCAAATTATCGGTGAGTTTTTCGTCGTACTTTTTGTTTTAATAGTAATAAAATTTATGAATATATATGCCTTGCACTGAGCTCTTGTAGAGTATTTAAACTTACTGTATTTAGGAAACTTTCTATTCCAACTTTGGATCAATCCGAAGATACCTTGGGCGGGCGGGGGGGGGGATCTAGGGATGGGTACGTTATTGTCTCGTAAAACATTTGTCAACGAGCTGTTGAATTATCCAAGCTCATGAGGGGTGTGCGCACTCTTATAACTTCTCTCAACCCTCAGAAAGTACTATAACTACCCCTGATCACCCAGAATGGACTATAACAACCCATGATCACCCAGAAGGTACTATAACTACCCCTGATCACCCAGAAGGTACTATAACAACCCATGATCACCCAGAAGGTACTGTAACTATCCCTGATCATCCAGAAAGTACTATAACTACCCCTGATCACCCAGAATGGACTATAACAACTCATGATCACCCAGAAGGTACTATAACAACCCATGATCACCCAGAAGGTACTATAACTACCCCTGATCACCCAGAAGGTACTCTAGTTCTTAATTGATCATTCAAGACGTACAGATAAAGTAATACAAAATAGAAAAACATTACGATCTCATGATTAATATCATCTCCTCTTGTTGATGTTTACTTGTTCATTTAGCTTTAGACAATTTCCCTTTGTTTTCAGGAACCACTGATTCTAAAAAACTGTCGCTTCTTTGACAAAGCTCGTCATTGGAATCTTTCATACTTATCGAAGACTTTATGGGAAGAGTATGCGATATATGTGTCCAATTCTCGGAAATTTTTGTATTATGACAGCACTGTAGACTATTCAAACTACGAGAAAAATTATGGCTGGCGTCCTCCCTTCAGAACTCATTTCAACAGTTTCCAAGAATTTTTGAACATGGCTTCGGAGTTAACGAAAGTGAAAAATGGATCGTTTGCTTATTTCCAGGTTGTTGGATATCATGCACATAGTTTTTCGTTTTTCAAGTGTTCAAATTAGTTCTTACGATTTAGTTTTTGCATGTTTTAATAACACTGTCCTTCATTTGGAAAGTTTTGCTTTATAAGCAAAAGTTTTCAATGTCAAAGACAAGACGAGACATAACCTTAATTTATTTTTCTCTCTAGACTTTACTTCACAATGATGATTTTACTACATCGTTACATAAAGATATGAGAGATTTTAACTATACTTGGTTACTGCACACTGTGTTTGAACTTGGTTGGAGTACTAACGTTCTTAATATGTTATTTGTTGGTATGCCTGATGTCATTACACGTCTGCATTATGATGTAATGCAAAATGTTTTCATACAGGTGAACTGTTCCTTATGATATATTGTGGATATTGTGAAGAGCATATGATACATGTATGCTTGAACATAATAAAAATATTAAAAATGACTGATGTCAGATGGTTTCAAGTACTAAGTAACTGATTAAATAACGGCTCATGTTGACATAAATAGCACGATCAATTTATTTTGGTTTTCATGGATTTTTCTCTTACATTAAACAATTTATTTATTTTTCTAGCTTCAAGGATGGAAACGATTCATTCTTTTCAGCCCAGATCATTTCGGTAAACTATATCCTTATCCTCTTGGTCATCCTCATGATCGTCAATCGATGGTTGATATAGAGTATCCGGATTATCAAAGATTTCCAAAATTTCGTCATGTAAAAGGATTAATGGCAATATTAGGACCCGGTGACGTTCTTTATCTACCTAGCTGTTGGTGGCATGAAGTTGAATCAAATAGAAACGAGTATGTTTTATTACCTTCATTAATTTGTCAATTATCCATGGTCTGTTTCATCAAGTCTGCTCATTGTGTAAAAAACGATTGTAGTTTTACAGTCTCGTTGAACTTCTGGTTTGAAGAAAATTTTGAAGAGACCATATCGCGAAAGATGAAAAATAGTGCTATCTTCAATGTATCAGCAAATTTTACTTTGTCAGAAGAAATGATATTTAGACGATACATCGAAAGTCTTGTTTTTAATGCAACGAGAAACACTCAAATGGTACGCGTATTTTTATAATGATAGAAATACATTGTTCTGTTGTAGACGCTGACAGATTGAATTTTCATTGTTTGTAATTATTATTTCTTATGTAGGTGAAAGAAATCTTCCAGGATATATTGCATGGACGATTTGAAGAGATTTGACATTATCTATCATATTTAGGTCATTTATTTTCAATACTAAAGTTAGCCTACATATTTTATCGTTGCCTGACATGGAAAACAACAAAATATCTATTTACACTTTAACGTCTTAAGTTATCCATTGTAAGTGCCTGGTGTGTATGTGTGTGTGTGTGAAAATAATGTACTTCTTAATGATGATGGATTGGTATCAAATGTTTATTGATGATCTATCATGAGACGAAAATCAACCATTATTTATTCAGTGATTTCTTCATTATTTTCGTTGTGTTCATTTGTCTCGAAAAGGACTCTTCTTTTTGTAGGAATGATTAATTTTGGATCAGCAATAACACTAATATCACTAATGATACTCTGTAACTGTAATGATTCCTCGTTAAATTGTGGTGCTGTTGTTACTTTATTTTCCATATTTTTATCGTTTACAGGCTCCGATGATGGATGAACTTCAGCTCTTTATAAAATGGAAGAAACGAAACATGGGCATTTTAAAAAGATATCCACAATATTTTACCATGATAAACTTGTTTGAAAAATAACATACTGTATTTTCTTTATCTCTCGTAATCGTCTTATTAGATTATAATGACTTAATTCTGGATATCTTCTCTTGCCTGTCAATCTGAATGAACACGAACTTTAGCAAATGACATGTTGCCATGTAACATGTCATTTTTGACTTACGTTTAGTAATATAAGGTTATTTCAATCAATCATCTATTTTTCTTACTTATTCCAAGCATTTTTCCAACTTGATAAAGTACTTGATGTCCAACTCCATGCACTCATAGTTATTCCAGCACCAAATAAAGCAAAAAGATGAAGCTCAATGACTCCTAAGTCAGGCCTGTCTTCGACTTTACAGGGATCTGAAATCTGTTTCACTGTAGCTTCTGCTTTACATCTTTACAACAATACGAAGATAACTTCACAGTTAAAGTTAAGAGTATCGTCATTCACGTTCTTCGATAGATCATCTTATCATGTCAAAAATTATCATATCTTACTTGATAAAGTCACGGAATCCTCTCCTCCAAGTCTTTTGATTGAAGAAATCATATAGATGACATGCAAACGTTGTCACGACAAATGCGAAAGCGAGAAACGCAAAAATACCTACATTAATCCAAAAGAAGCATCAAAATTGATCTTTAATCCAACCGTTGATTTAATCTTTAATGTTAAAAATTGCGTCGTAAACAGCAATTGAAATTATTATACATGCCTATTACCTATACGTGTGATAGTTTCTTTGATTCTGCTGGCGGACCTCAGACTTAGCATGTGTGGATTGCTTTTACGTAACTTAAATAAGATCATCAAACCTATGATAAAAATTGGAGAAAATGCTTGTTATATCCTTTACACTTTAGTTTCTTCATCAGGAGTGATCTGATGTTAAAAATTGGAGTCCTTATGTATGCTGCAGTTCAGTGTCTTCGTCATAAGTGATCTGATGTTAAAACGTAAGTTTTTGTACAAAATATCTTCATAAATACCTCTCCATAAAAAGATAGCGCTGATAACCAGATTTATACCGAGAGGAACCAGGACAAAATAGATTCTAAAATTAATATTCCAATAACCAACGAAACATATGCCACTCAAGGAATCACTGTCAATCTGTAATACGAATCATTTCTAGTGATTAGTACTCTGACTAATCTTTGAAAAAGAAATTCAATTATAACCTGAGCAAGAGCAATAATTATACAAGTAAGAATCAACGGTTGTGTCCAGGCTATGATATGAAAGTACACTGCCTTGTTACCGAGAATATCACGAGTCGTTCCAAGACTTTGAAAACAAATGTACCAGGCGTATGTCAGTATTACAAACCATACAACACCAGCAGTTGAGAAATAAAATACAAGAATAAAAGTGAACACGCAGATGGTTGAATCTGAATCTCTATAATATCAAAGAAACTTGACTTTTAACTGATACATACATTAGTACAATGACAAGGTTAGTTATCTTTGTACATACATGTTTCTTTATTAAAACATTTTTAATACATTTTTTTCTTCACTTACACAGGTTCCCCTCTTCTCATAGTGTCATCATAACGACAAAGAATTTTCTTCCTTGCGTTGCCAAAGAATTGCAACAAGAAGCCAAGATACGTCAGACAGAAACAGGCGTTCATGTAGAACAAGATGACTGAGGGATATTTGTTTTGTGATTTCCATCCAACAAGAAATGTTATCTGGAAAACAGATGTTCAAAGGTTTTAAAATATCATTAACGCTTTAAGTTCGACATTTTCAGTCTGTGATAAAGAATCTGATTGAATAGAAAGCAAGAAAAAAATTGTATATGGTTTACAAAGGAATATCGTTGTTTGTGTTTTTATATGTGCGTTTTGTATGTGTGTTTTTATTTTCAATAATGTGTTCTTCTGTTCTGTAGTAACTTCAGTTATCTTTATCAAGCCGTGCCATTAATAAGCTACAACCAGCTCTGTCCAATCAGGCTGCACGACAGAAACGATGCAAAAGAACAAGTCTTTATAAGTATGTGTTGTGTGTTCTGTATCTGTAGACTCTGAAAACATTCGGAAGCTTTGCAGGAGTTTTATATTCTAGTGTGGATACTGCACAAGAGCAACGAAGTTACAAAGTTTTTTACTTACAACTGTAAATGCAGTACACAACATTGATAAACTTCCAAATGCTCCTATAAAACGACGAATTCGACCATGTTCCTCTTCGGTAAAAATGGGATTTTCACATGGTACGCCACAACCGTGGATTTTTTCAAACCAACCAGCACTATCTTTTGTGTGAACAAGTTGTGGTGGGCAGTTGTTATCTGTTCCGTTTATTGCAGATATCTTTTGTGTTATAAATATATTCAAGATGAGAGAGAAATAAAAAATAATTATACAGGACGTTTTCAACAATGTAATTATTTTATATTTAAAGATATATATTTAATAGTGAATTGATACTTAGATGTAAATTTGTCATATACTCAAAGGATTTGTCAAAGTTATCAATAATTTTAATGTTGCGTCTCCACAACGAAATATGATTCTTTATGTAAAACTACGTTGGTGGTAGTTTCAAACGACTTATTTTGCTCTTAGAAAGCTTTAAATCACAACAAAATGTGTACTTACAGTAAGATTAACACAATCAACAAGTGGAAATCTTTCACATTTGAGAAATTCTGGCCATCCACCATAAGATTGAACAACCTCGCAAGGTTTTTGTATATATAAACAAGAAGGACGACAAGGTAATATGACCTTACTAACACTATTGTTGTATGAAATGCATTCTGGCATATAAACTCGGCAAAGAAAAGACTGTAAATATTTCCAGCATCGAGGATGATATTTGAGCGGTTTCCATTTTTCCAAGTTCTTCGCCGCTTGTGCTTGGTCTTTGGAGTCTGTCACAAAAACTTGTGCTGTGTATTTGTATGAAAGATCAATGTTAAAGCATTGAGATTTTTTCAACTTTTCACATTTCAATGTTTCATTGAAGTTTTCCACGCAAGCACAGAATAAAAAGAATATCCAAAGTGTCAACCAAGCGCTATCCATCTATTTGAGACATGACTCGTATAGTACTCAGAAACACAAATTTGCGCACCGAGAATCGCCGCAGATTATGTAAATATATCGCTTTATGCAAATACAAATTAACAGACTGTGTGTGGTAGCAATGTGGTAACAGGTGTCTTTTGGGGTCAAATATTCATGGCACATGTCTATCCCAATTTGTGTCATTTCTAGGTTACTATGTCCTTGTAATGTTAATATTTTGTATAAAGAGAGTTCTTTAATGGCCAATTCATTTTACATGTTGTTAAAAAAATAAGCAATCATCTTTATGTTCGATCACATTTCCAGTATATTATATATACTTGTTTTAACTTTTGTTTGAAAAATAAAAAGGATTACAAGTACAAAACACAGACTAGCATGAAAATAACAAAAAAGAATTGAGATAAGTTTAAATTGTAGCCATGGAACATACGCCTGAAGAGTCTGTAGTTATCTAAAAAAATCTACAACTTTTACTCTAATTAGTATTTTATTACAATATCCACGTGATGCATGGAAACATGTAAAGACAAGTATGAGGTAAACAATTTCTACTCCATATTGATCACTTAAGCGAGTCGCTTTGTTCCTAACTAAAGTGTGTAACCAACTGGCTATATTTTATTGACAATTGATCCGTTTTCTTTCTTCAAAAAATGGTAAAGCTGGATACTTTTGTATATGATCGTCGTAGAGGAGACGAACCTGAGAAATCGCTGCAAATTGACACCGATAAATTGACGTTGGACAAATTCAAAGCGACGCTCCGTAAAGTAAGTGTTTTACTATCTTTCACTTGCACTTTTATTTGTCGTCTATTCATGTAAATTGCATGTTCAGTGAGGTATTACAACTGCAAAGTCTTGATGTTCACTATAAAATGGTTATTTTGTTAATTTTCTTGCAGACTTTCAACATTAATGCGAACGAAAAGTTTGTTGTGGTAAATACAAATCGTGTTGTTATTGATTCAAAGGCTGCGTTAGGTAAGTTTGAATGAATGTTTGTGCTCCAGTCATGCATTAAATATTTAATTACACGTATTCAATTTTGAAGAGTTCAGATGTGGAACAAGAACTTTATTACATCTTAACATTGAGCTTCGATTATCAAACTTTCGAACAATTTTGAATATTTCTTATATTTACTGAATTTTCAAAAAACGGTTTGACTTTCCACTATAAAGAAATCAATCAAACAATGACTAGGCATGCAAAACGTGGCTTATCGCCGCGTACATGCTTGCTGATCAATTTAGATAAATAGCAAGAAATTAGTTTGCCAGCCAGATTAGAATTATCAATTATCAACGGTACTGTTGCTGGGTAGCCAAAGTTTTCAACATATAAGAATTTTTACAGTGTTAATCAGTGTTACAATTTTTTCAGCAAGTTAATCTTGTCAACTATATGAAATAATGAAATGTATATTGTGTACACAATTTTGTTCATGCCTTCTAAAAGCATGAATTAATACCCATATCTCTCGTTATGGGTATAACGAGAGATATGGCGAGAGATAGAGACGTTTGGTGTAGAAAAGTTCATGGACCAGTCAACCCCCCTGGCGGGGATTAATACTGGCCGGTATACAAATGTTGTTTGTTTGTTTGTTTGTTTTGTAAAAGCATGCTAATTCTCATAAAAAGTTGAACGAATGTGTTGTTAAAAAAATGCAAAATTTATGAGATATAAGGTGTTAGATAAAAAATAAGTAATTTATATTTATATTTTAGAAGAAGTTCTTCAGAATAGCAGCACCCTTTACATCCTTAAGTCTGTAGACCAAGCCCTAACTGCACCAACTTATGAAAGAGTTGAATACATCCCTCACTATGACACACTTGTTAAGAGTGGTATTTATGAATATTATGCAAGTGAGGGACAGGATCCTTTGCGTAAGTTTAGCAACATTTATTCATGTACATATAGTAATTTTTATCAAAGATTGTAATTTGCTTTTTTTTTACTTCAGCATTTGCTTTTGCTGAACTGATTGACAATTCTTTGGCAGCAACAGCTACCAATGAAGGCATTCGAAAGGTTGAGATTCGCCTTGTAAGTGTGTTTGCAGAAATTTTCTCTTATTTTATGAATTTATGCATGAAAGAGTAGAACAAGTTTTTATATATGTTTATGCCATTAGATGTTTGATGATGCTTTGGGAAAGCCAGCAATTTCTGTATGGGACAATGGACAAGGAATGACATCCTCTGACCTCAATAATTGGGCTATTTACAGACTTTCAAAGTTCAATCGCAGCAACGTACCATCTTCTAAGTATTGTTATCTTGTTTATATTATCTTATAGCCAAGCTTACCGCTTTTAGAGTTATCTCATCTAGATTATCTCATAGCCAAGCTTACCGCTTTTAGGGTTATCTCATCTAGATTATCTCATAGCCAGCACAACTTATCTTTTCTACTTGGTTATTCTCATATCTAGTTCACAATTATCTTGTGTATGTTATCCAATACATGTCTTGTAAGCTCATTCAAAGAGAATCTTATGTTTAATATCAATGTTTATCTCTACCAGATAACTCTAAAGAAGACTATCATCAATGTTGTTATAGATGTTCTGAAGGTGATACAATGAGGTATTTGAACAGTGATATTTCATGGTTTGGAGTTGGTGGAAAGCAAGCAATATTTTTCATTGGAAATGCCACAAGAGTGAGTTTTTATCAATTTTTGATATTTTCATCAATGCATAACTATACGATGTTTTGCATATCGATGACTAACATAACTATGTTTTGTATTTACAAGTTATTATACAGTTTTATTTTTACATGTGTCATAATTATTATTTTTTTAACGTATTTGTTTCAAAGCAAAAATACAACAAGGGTAATGTCGATTGCAGTCAACATTAGCTGACAAAAAAACTAGAGAAAACGTCGATTTCAGCGCAGCGATAACTGGCTGTTTTCACACATAAGATTAAGTAAATAAAAGTACTTTTGACCTGTCTGAGAGAAGTGGTCACTTTTTATTGGTGTCTAGATGATAACGAAGACGAGTGACTGCGGCGATGTTCATGAATTGTGCATTTCAAAGGAGGAATTTGAAAGAAAAGAAAAACTTAGAGAATCCATTTACAGCGGGAAAATTTACAACAGAAGAGTAAGTGATGAAATATTACCTATGTAGTTATTCGCCACCCCCACCCCCCTGATTCTACCCAGTCTACTTTATTAGCCGGGGGATTGTGTCCATATCGCAGAGGAAGATGAGAATTTACGCGAGTTGATCAGAGGTGAAGAAAATCATAAAAGTTTCACTTCGGTCGTCGTCACTGGAATAAATTCATCCAAAGTTTTGTATTTACGTTATCATTTTGACTATTGGTGTCAACAACTGGCGTAAGTACCGTATGTGTAATGTATGAAAAGAAACATCATTTTTTCTCTGTTTTTTAATCTATAAAACATTATTACTACATTGTAGACATATTTATCATTACTATCTCCATGGACCTCAAGGAAATGAAATACAATCATCAAGAAACACAACATCTCTGTTTCAAAATATTGACATACAGGTTTAAGAATTTCTTCCTACTTTCAAGACATATTGTAATCAATAATTTCTTATATATCGCTTTGCGGTGTGTATTAACGAAATGTAAAGATGTTTGTCCTATAATTTCAGGTAGTGATGTATGAAAAAGGAAAAAGCCCTAAACGCAAAGCATTACGGGATATAGACGATGACCTTCAATCTCAGTATATCAGAAACACAGCGTCTATCTTCGAGTTTCGCGCGCATTGTGAAGGAAGTGCTGTTGTCGAAGGAATGTTGAGATATCATCCATTCCTTTATGACAGTGAAACTTATCCACAGATGTCTCTTGCCAGTAAGCGAATAACCATGTTTTCATAGCCCTTGTAATTGGGGAGACCTTTGTGTGAATGGGGAATGTCCTGTTGTAAATGGGAAGTTGCAATGTTAGCATAGAGCCTCACATGTGAATGGAAAACCTCAATGTGAACGGGGATGAATGGGAGCCCTTAGTGGTAATGGACCAATGTGAAATCTTTAATGTAAATTTAAATGAATGGTTAGACCTAAATGTGTAAAGAGAGTTTTAGTGGGAGTGAGTGTGGAGTACTTACGTAATGCAAACGGTGAAAACTCGATGTTAGCGAGAAATGATAATTTCGTACAGAAAACAATGACGAAGATGACATGGATATTGTTGTGGATAGTCGAGCACCACGTGGTAATCGACCTATTTTTGAATGTTATTGGAATGGAAGACTTATTCCTTACACATCTATAGATTGGTAAGAAATTGTTTATTTACCAACAATTGTCTTTTTATCTTTACGTTACTCACAATCTTACAATGTTTGTTTTAAGTCTAGAATGGTGTTCACCGCCTAAGAAACGGACAAATATCCCACCAGAATGCTACAACAGGTAAAATACACATATTTTTATGTACGATTTAAATTATATGAAACGCTCTTTTGCATTTATACTTTCTGCTGTATATTATCATTAAATTGACTTCAAGCGATTCTCTTTTGCTTACTTTTGTAGATTTTCTGGTGCGTTGTGGACAAATAATGCTTTTCAAGTTAGCACTAACAAACTTACTTTCATTGACTTGGAAGTAAAGTTAAAAGAAAAGTCCACTCTTTTCAACAGAGTCATTCTTGGACAGGTACATGTTGAAACTGTTTTTCTTCTTGATTTAGTTTACGCTGCTCTTTGTAACGAATATTTTCATTTTCGTCATAGGAGCAAAGAGCTCAAATATCTCGAGCATTTAATGATTGGATTAAAGAATGTCACGAATCACATGATAAACAGGTATAATTAAACCATTTACCTGGGTACTCACATGATAAACAGGTATAATTAAGCCATTTACCTGGGTACTCACATGATAAACAGGTATAATTAAACCATTTACCTGGGTACTCACATGATAAACAGGTATAATTAAGCCATTTACCTGGGTACTCACATGATAAACAGGTATAATTAAGCCATTTACCTGGGTACTCACATGATAATCAAGTTCAATAATTACCTGGATTTGATACCAGCTAACTGATAATAAAAATTTAATTCGTGTATTTTCATGTCGTATATTTATTGTGGATTGGTTGGGCAAAACTACGAAAAATATGAGAAGCACGCGGGCAAATTTTCTCTAAAACTTTTCTAGTGACGCATATTGCTTTCAAACTTTCCTCGTTTCTTCATTTCAAAGAAACGACTAACTTGATCTGATGGTTTCAATTATATTTCATATTTTATTACAGGTGAAATTTTTCAACTTTAAAGGTATAGTAAAACGCAGCGAGTTTACTCAGAAACATCGTCAAACACCGTGGTCTGTGTTTCATGGTATTGAATGGGATGGAAAGATATTTAAAACTGGCGACTTGGTGAGACTATCATTTATAACCTTTACATCATCAACAGGAATAGTCATGTGTCCGGAGGGCTCCTGTAAATAGGACAATTAAATTGGGAAAAATATTAACAAAAACATTGCAGTATCGCTTCATATTATAGTTGATTTCATGAGAAGAACTCTTTATAACAAAAATCCAAATTTGGAGCAAAAAAGCAAAAATTCCCGTTTTTGGTGCATGCCTCCTGATACCCTATGACAGGAAGAGCACTAGAGCGTCGCATGTTGACGTTTCGGCGGGAGATTTTATGATTTCTCTTATTTCTATAGGTAAAAACACAGCGAAGTCTTCCCGTTATCTGTGGTGTTATCCAACGATTCCTGCTGTATGGTGATCATGATGGTGATGTGTTTGCAACGGGGGGTGAAATGGAAATAATACAGCAACCGGATTCGCTATACGGAGACAAGAAAGTATTTTCTCTTGTGAAGTTGGATAGAAATACAACCGCTGAAGGTTTAAAGAAGTTTATAGATGACGAGGAAGCTAAGTACGTTGTGTTTTGCCTATTTCAATTTGACGTAGTATATTAGGAAACAGACTTTATAACTAAATAAACAGACATAACTAAATTTATATGTTTGCAACGACTAAATTAGCGATTCAAAACGATTCATTTTTAAATAAAAGCTTTATCCACGAGACTTTATTAATGACTTATTTCTTCTTGTGTCTGTTAGATTACCGCATAAGTTGGTAATTGAGTGGCCCAGTGGAGACGAAGTTCAGCCGAATAGCAAAGTCCATGCAGGATCTACGATAGGTGAGGAATGTTTTTGTTTTAGCCAGACATGTTTAGTTTCTGATTTGATTATGGTAATTCATGTATAAGTTTGAGAAGTTAGTATCCAGCCTTCCTGACATTACTTACTTGTTGTTGTTTTTCAAGGTGACATACGTGTTGATATCCTCAATGGTAAAGGGGAATCAATCAGCAAACTCCCAGGAGATAGAGGAAAACGATTATTGCTTGAAATGAAATGTATTTTACATGGTATATATCCTTTAAATACATACATACCTACATTTAGAGTTTTGCTGGCTTATTTCTAAACATACGCTACAAGTATGATTTTTTTATTATACACCTGTATAAATACACATGCATCTACATACATCTTTATATATGCACACATCTTCATTCATGTACATACATCTTTATACATGTACATACATCTTTATACATGTACATGCATCTTTATACATGTACATACATCTTCATACATGTACATACATCTTCATTCATGTACATACATCTTTATACACGTACATACATCTTTATACATGTACATACATCTTTATACATGTACATACATCTTTATATGTATATATTTAATTAGTAAAGCTAATTATCATTAATAATTATTTCATTGTCTTTCTTTAAAGAAAAGGGAAATGACAAAGTTATCACACAGCATGTCTGTCAACATGGAGGGAAGAGCTGGCCTTATTGGTTCAGGAAGTTCTGTAAGTTTAGACGAGTCGTCTTTCTAAAAGTCTTTATAAATAGTTTGTTATAATTTAATTAAAGATGACTTTGCCAGTGTTAAAGTTAATCTTGACAAGATTTAGAATTGGTTTTGGCACAGTTAAGGTTAGATTTGACCGATTTAAGATAGAAATTATTGCAGAGAGAGATTTATATGTAAGTTCTGACGGAGTTATACATGACTTCCAACATAATAAAGTCAATTTTCTGTTTATGTGATCTCAAAGATTATAATTTTTTTGCAGCCAACATCACAAGTCTTGGACCTCATACAATCTCACTGCAAGTTATCGTTAGTGACAGTTCAGCTAATAAACAACCAAACAATTTTCCTAGTCGGTGCATTAGATTCAATGTTATAGGTAAGTATAATAATGTTTTGCAGATAGAAATTTTGTTTAATTTTTGATAAATTATATATCTTACAGAGGGTGCCATTGCAAAGTTTAGTGTTGGAGTACTAGAACAGCCTTTACGTATTGCCTCTCCATTCAATGTTAGTTGTGATACTTCAATTCTTATGTTCATTAATGACTATAATTAATCATTATCTTGTTATTTATTATGTATACTACAAAATGTTCTTTAATAGATCCCTTTAAACTTTTCGGATAATTTTGGTAATCCCACAAAACCGACGAAGAAATTTGATGTTGAACTAATTTCAAAGTAAGATATGTGAAATTTCTTGGAGATATATTTTTGATGTCTTAGTTGCTTAGGGATTTATTTTGATATCCTAGTGGCTTAGAGATTTATTTTGATTTCCTAGTGGCTTAGAGATTTATTTTGATTTCCTAGTGGCTTAGAGATTTATTTTGATTTCCTAGTGGCTTAGAGATTTCCCACGAGGGAACGCAAATCAAAGGAACAGGTTTGATCATCAAAAATGTTTCTGTCCTTGGTAAGGTTCCATCTAATGCTGGAAAGGTTTGTTTGTTCAACTTTGCTTTATATTTAATGTTTAGATGAAGTAATACATTGTTCTGCTATTTTCACAAGGATTTCAATGTTAAAGCTGTTGTTTCTAGCATTAATCAACAACAATCATTAAAAATGCGTTTATTACCAGGTGAGATATTTATCCACACATTTTTTTCATAGTTAAGTACATTTTAATTTATATTTTATCTCATGTAGGTCCACCTCATTCTCTTGTTACTGACTTTTCTGATGGAGATATTGTCTTAGAGAATGGCTCACCACTTAATCTTAACGTTTTTGTTAAAGACAAGGCTGGTAATTTAACACAGCAACCGCGACTCAACGTTGTGTGTAAGGTATTTCTCATATGCACTTATTCATTTATGTACCTACTTACATATATTTACCTATGCCGGTGTACCTATATGTATATCTACGTACCTATATGTATATCTACGTACCTATATACGTGAAAATTGTATTGTACCTATTGTACATTCATTTGCTATGTACTTAAATATTTAAATACGTGTATAACTTTCATTGCATACATAGACATTTCATAACTACTTGTTGCTAACTTATCTCGTTTTTCTTCATTAGTTAACAGGATCAAGTGGCTTACCGTCATATTCATGTGACTGCAGTTCTACAGGAAAATCAACGTTAAGTGGAGAGAATATCTTAATAAGTAAAATGGAGAAAAGTATAAAACTGAAAGCCAAGATCGAACTACAGGTAAATAAATCTTTTTCCTATTGCTCTCTATTAACGAAGTTAAAAATATTGAAACATCGACTTGTTAACGAAAATCAATATTGACAAATATGTCAAACCATGCTCCAGTAAATTCCCTTAAACAAATTGTACCATCCTTCCTTCTATCCGTTAAAATAAAAATTTCATATCATTTAAAGTCTAGTTACGTAAGCGCCTGAGTCGTTCATGATTTTTGAAAACAACGCAAAACAGATTCTTCGTATTTCTTGTCTAAACAGCATTTCAAAGATATTGCACCCATTGAAAGAATCATTGTGGTGAATCCAAGCACCCGACCTGCTCGGATTGAAGTTCTTCGTTCATCTTCAAATTTTGGCAAAAACATAAAGTTAGGAAATGAAGAGGAACTTTGTTGTATTGCTGGAGAAACAATCAGTGGATTAAGTATGTTTAAGACTTGTGCCACGTAAATTTGAAATGGTTATTGTTGCTCATTGCATGAATACTTCCCAATTTATTGATGAGTGGCAAATATTGAACAAATCAGTTATTTGGGGATGCTGTAATGGTGTAAATTTTCAATGGAGAGTGGCTGCAATAACAATATCCTAGAAATCACTCTGATATAACAACCACTTATTTTAGGTTTCAAGATCTTTGATGAAGGAAAACGACAAATGACAATTGATAACTCTTTAGCTGCCAAAATTAAGGTGCTTTTATCAATATGTTTTTTATTTTTATTTGACTTTTTTTTTAACAGTTGTCAACTGCATCTGTTTCTACTCCAGGTAAATTGGATGAACAAAGTGAGTCGAGATTTGCTGAAGCAAGGATTATTACCAGATATTAAGGTACATCGTTAAAACTGTTTACTTACTCATCAAATATTAACTCATCGTTATTTTGTCACTAGGCTCCAAATACTGTCAATGATACGAAGTTTTGTCAAGTTTCATTGGGAGCTGCGTTAGGAGTTGATTTTTCCTTCTCGTTGGTGTAAGTTTCTGTCAAAAATAAGCTCGTACACAGTCTCCTATTCTATGAATAGTGGACGACGGCCGTGAAATGAGTCATAAAGACGTCAATATATTGTCGACGTCATCGGCTAGTCGGTTTTACTGTTTGTAGAAAACTCATAAAATAAGATATTTCCATGACAAACGATGTTTTTATAACAATCCACAATGTTTGCAGGCCACAACCAGACAAACCTGTGAACATAAAATGTGAATGTCGTGATGCAAAAATTCAGTTGGGTGACACTCTAAAACATGACGTCATTGTATCATTTTCCGATCAGTATGGTAATAAGATTGTCAAGGTATTTTAATGTATATCTATGGATATTTGATGGTATTTTTGTATGCATGTGGATTTATGGTTATGTTTGTTGTAGGCGTCTACCGTCGAGAAGTTAATGACATCCGTTTCTGCTGATGGATTGTCCGATTCAATCGTAAACGTTGTTGTAAATGAGGCAAGTTTTTTTCGCTTCTTCTCCCACACAAGATTATGTAATATTTTTCATCATTCTTTAGATTAAACAAAAATGCAAAACATTGTTTTTTCCTCAGGATGCAACGGTCTCAATAAAGAATGTACAATTTAATGATAATAAAGTTGGGATCAAAGAATTGAAAATTAAATTTGGCAATCTTGTGTGTTACCAACGTATTGAGGTCAGTGTGTACCGAATCATTGTTATAGAGCCTGGGAACGAATCTTCTGTAAAGGATTATTTACAAAGTTCATTATGGCAGAATAGAAAGAGTTCAAATTGAAATTAAAGATCTTGATATGTAACATTTGAACGCGGTCTTTAGGTGGGAAGCGGTCCACCTGCGATTTTGAAGATTATCAACATCAATACAACACAGGTAAAAATGTAAAATACTTTTGTATTTTTTTCAAACCATCTATAAAATGACCTTCATAGAAAAAGATGGTTACATAGTAAAAATGAATGGTTTACAATTCATACAATTATCGACACAAGAATAAAAAAATTTTTTTGTGTGTGTTTCAGTTTTTGTCTTTGCTAATTTTTTGTCGTTGAAAAACACTATCCTTTCATTGGTTTTCATGAAACAATTCTTTATCATTCCAGCCAATTGGTGTATTTAACAATACTCGTCTTTCGAAGCCATTAACTCTTCAACTCTGCGATTGCTACGGTAATCCTTGTCTGGATAGTAATGTTAAAATTGTCTTAAATAAGGATTCTGGATTGAAGGTTTGTATATTGAGCAAATTACACTCTCCTTACGTTATTTTGGGGTTCATTTTTATCTTTCATATTTTGTAGCTAAATCCTACACCATCGCATAAGAAAACTGACGAAAAGGGCCAAGTGACATTTTCTGCTTTTGAAGTATCAGGAGAAAGGTATGGTATTCTTTGTATGTTCTTAAATAAAGTAATAGCAAAGTATTCTTTCTATACGCTAGTTTGACAACTACATTACATTATGCTATAGTAACTTGTTATGTTACTGTCACATAAATTCCGTTCTGCAGGGGTGTCTACCAAATAAGAATTAAAGCTCTTATTGGTCGAACATCAATAGATGCTGAACCAATAACGTTGAGGTAAAAATAACTTATCGTTGATGTAGAAATAACTAGAATTAAACTATCTCTAAACATATCGTGTTATATGAACGTAGGATCGATGCTAATCCTAACAAACCAGTCAAAATCGTTGTTGATCATTCAAAGTTTACAACAAACTACATTGCAGGCACTGCATTACCAGGTTATTGCTGTTATGTGAGAAATGTTAAAAAAACATTTTGGTTGCCGAAACTCTCTCTTTTGAAATTCCTAGATTTTTCTGTTCATGTTTTGGCTGAAGATGATCATGTAATGAAATGTAATAGTAAAGATTTCGTCATGAAACTTTGGTCTGTGGATGACAACGTTACACAACCGTCCACAAAGGTTCGTTATGTCATCCAATTGTTAAAGTACTTCAGGGCTGGAGCAATATTGTTTTTACTTTATAATTTATTCGATATCACAACCGTCCACAAAGGTTCGTTATGTCATCCAATATTGTTAAAGTACTTCAGGGCTAGAGCAATATTGTTTTTACTTTATAATTTATTTGATATGAAGTAAAATATCACTCTAGAAAATTGATGTAAAATCTTTCTTCTTTGTTTGCAGGCTATTTCGTATCAACCCTGTAAAAAAACGTCTTCAGACAAAGACAATTATTACTATTTCAGGTGTATTTTTGCTACATTGTACAATGTTATTCATTGATATGTTAGTAAAGACCTGTGGACCGGAGACTGGAGATTATATATCTCTAGACTGATACATGATCTATTTCCTGACAATTTTCGTGTCTTTTTGTAGAGGAATCCCTATTCCCGAGCAAATTGGTCAATATTGCTTTGTGTTGCTTGTTTCCTTCACAGGGAACGTTAAATTGAAATCCGATGTTGTAAGTTAGATTGAACTATGTAAAAAATACAAGTCTTTCTTTGTGTATAAAGAATTTTCACTGGATGTCAAAGCAAATTTTACGTTATTTTCTCTACGTTTAGTTCAATATTTGTGTGGATCCAGCACCACCTGTTAAACTTGTGCCAGTTGGTAGTCTTGCTACACCGACAGTATCAAACACGCAAAGAGCAACAAGCCGTTGTCTCATGAAAAACACGAAATTTGTCTTAAAGGTTTCTCTGTTCAACATGAATTAGAAAATTATCTTAAATGTATTCTTGCATTCCTAAAAGGAAACCCTTTTAAGATCCTCATTCGACCATCTAAGATACTATACTACTTTGTAATTTGACACTGATCAAAATTTGACTCAATTCATTTTCTACACCTCCTCCTTATATATCCATAAGTTTCCCTGCTTATCCACATCCACAATCAAAGTCAATGTATATACATGTTAGACAAACCTTTATTGTTTTTGCAGGATGAATATGATAACATCAGTGGCACATCTCTAAATGGAAAAGTTGAAGTTGTTATTAAAAAACCCTCTCAAATTGACGAAGTTCCAATGTTACTAGGCAACGCTATGATGACGGAATTTGCTCTCATCAATGGCACGGCTAATGTTCAAAATATTTCTATACAACAAAACACAGCAGGGAAAGATGGTCAGGAATATATTCTCAGTTTTAGTGTTCAAATTTCTGGACAACAGTTAGACATTCCTCCTTTCAATTTACCTTTCTTATTTTATAATGGTGAGCCTCTCTAACACAACTATCGTCAAATATTTGTTCAGTTTTTGGTGGTTGTTTTATGTTTGCAGCTGAGTTTAACGATTTTATGTTTTTTTAGACGTCCGTAAACAGGAACAAAGTGCTCAACTAACACGAGAACGCGATCATCTTTTTACGACCATTAAAGCATACAGAGCTCTTTTTGAAACAACAAAACAATTGATGGACGAGATGAATGGTTTGTAGGCGTTTTTTTCTTTATTGGAAAGTTTGTGATTTAGAGGACACATTTCTTTTGGTATGCACTAAAGTTTTTGAACTCATTATGAATTTTTTTTTCTATCTTAGTTGCTGTACACGAGGCAGGGCTGGCCGAATCTAAACTACGGACAGAATTATCACGACGAAATGTTCCCTCACAGAGCCTTCGAACAGTACGTATTTATCCATTGATATACCTCCATTACATGACCTTCGATCAGTACGTATTTATCCATTGATATACCTACATTACATGACCTTCGATCAGTACGTATTTATCCATTGATATACCTACATTACATGACCTTCGATCAGTACGTATTTATCCATTGATATACCTACATTACATGACCTTCGATCAGTACGTATTTATCCATTGATATACCTACATTACATGACCTTCGATCAGTACGTATTTATCCATTGATATACCTACATTATATGACCTTCGATCAGTACGTATTTATCCATTGATATACCTACATTACATGACCTTCGATCAGTACGTATTTATCCATTGATATACCTACATTACATGAGTTGTAAAGGAAATGAAAGCTGATAATGTGAACGTTTTAGACTTTTCTCTTGTTTTGACTTGATCTTTAATCTACCATACAGTTGGAGTTCTTTTTGTAAACCCTTCTCACTGTTGGAAATTTGATGTTAAATCATAATATTGGTCTATTTAGACTCAAACTGTAGACGATTTTATATCACAGTTGACAATCAGTCGGAACAAATTCCAAAACACTCCACGAAGGCGTTGTGCTTTGAATCCTGGACCCCGCGGTGAGGCGGGAATTCTTGGAAAGGTAGCTACGACATAAACAACCTGAACGTCTACATCAGTTCCTAAAGCCACATAAATTACTCATTGGTTTTTGTATATTATCTCTGATCTTGTTTTATTTCTTTTTTATAAGGTTGCTCATCTTGCGGAAGTAATGGATGATGATATTGCTCGTGTTTTATCTTGGCATCTTTCTGGTGATATGGATTGTGTTATAACACTTACAACCGAGAAGGTTTATCGTGAAAAATATCTCCATTATGTCCTCATGCTTATTGCAAAGATCGAGCGAAAGATATCTTCTTTAATAACTGATGCCGTTGTATTTTTCTTAAAGGCGAAGAAAGTTTACCATGAATCTAAAGGAAGTCAACAAGTTTTGCCGTTAGATTCTATTTACAAAAGAAGTCTTCCTGAGTGGGAGAAGTAAAATACAAAAAATACTTAATATTTTAGCAAAGTTTACGGTTACTGCACATAAATGTTTTTTTACATTTAGACCTCTTCCTCATGAGCGAGGACGTGTTAGCTATCACCCCGCTGGTCATCCAATGTATGCAAGGTCAACTCTCGTTTTTCCTGTTGAAAAAGACAATTGTAAAATAGGTAAAGTGCTCAGTGACAAATTTACTATGTTTTATAACTTATTATTACCGTATGGCGAATAAAAACATAATTTAAGCTGTCATGTAGTGGCGGGAAGGTAAAATTTTGGAAAGTTTTTTTTTCAACCGGCCATCGGTAAAATACCCTGGTTTTTGGCTAGAACAGTTTACTTTTTTCATTTTCATGAACTGATTATAGACCTTCTTGCCTTAACAACAAAATTTGATCCTTTACGTAAATTTTTTATTTTAAGTGTTTGGTATGCTTCTTGGAGATACCATTATTTTGGATAATCTTGATTGCGCAAATTCTTACAGACAGGAGGTAATGTATTACATCATGAAAGCTTGCAAACATGACTACAGGACGTTGTAAATCAATACCTTTATTAATTTTTTATGATATTTTCTTTCAGGTTGTAAAGTTTACACATTGTCCTACAATTTTAACAAGAACTGGTGACCGCATTAGGAGCAATGGTATTTCTTCTTTAAATCTTCAACAGTTGTTGAAGAAACAGAGATTGTTAACATGATCCATTCTATAGTCATAAATTTTTCAATCTCTCGTCAATTAGTTTTCATTTTCATCTTCTATACAACCGTATTAAAGGTAACTTCTTATAAAGGTAAATTTGGTGGATTTCAAAACCGAGCACCTCCCATGGAGAAGCTACGAGGAGCTGTATTTGCTGCACCTTATCCTGTTGAATACCACACTGTCTGTGGTCAACTTGGTACGTCAGTAGGTCACATATATAAACTTTTATGTAGACCTATAAACTTTTTTCTTTTTTTTTCTTTTTGACTTTTCTTGTTATATCCCAATGTTCAACTTTAGAGCAACTTAAAGCATATAAACAAGCAATGACGAAGCATGCTCAGTTACAAAGTGATCTTAAGGTGAGATTTTGTTTTTGAGCTATCTTCATTCTTCCTTGGAGCTAGTCTATCTTCACGTGGTGTGATTTTTTTTTGTTTTCCATCATGTCATCTCACATTATGGTAAGCTGTAAGTGTAGTTATTGTGATTTTATTCCGTGTCTTCAGGTTCAGATGGAACAAATGCAAACTTCGGAAATGCAAAAAAAACATCGTGAATGTCGTGATGCTGAGTTTCAATTACGACGTATTGAAGAAAAGTTAGGAATGACTCCTACTCAATATGAAATACCTGCAAGTCCAAGTTCTATGTTACAGTCTGTTGGAAATCCATCTTTAACAAGATCACGCATTACAAGATCATCTTTAACAACAAGGTCAACCCCTGTCATTAGTCCAACAGTTTCAGATTCAAGGGAGCACACCCCTATCTCACAGTCTAATGTTGCAAATGGAACAACACCAATTCGCGGTCGACGTCATGCAGCTACTTCTGATTCCTATACATCTCCTAGTAAACGAGCAAGACGCAATTAAGGCTTGCGAGGAAAGTCAGTTATTTCAATGTGAATACTGTTTTTTTGGGCAGTATTGTGGTCTTGTCTTATGCATTTCTGTTTGTTACGTTTGGAAAGGTAAAGTTTGCTTAACTTTACTGTTCATCCAGGAGGGATTTTAAAAACGCTGTATTTATTAAAGCAATAATATAAGAAGTTTTGCTTTGTGTCATGATTTTATTTAATGAAGTAATACCATTTAAAGTATGTACTTTCCCTGTACGTAGGTAGGTTGAATAAAGTTCAGTCATCTCCAATAAAGATAGCTAAAAAGTACCATTAAAACATACTAAAAAAATATTGTTCCTAGTTAGATACATATTTTTTTAGGGTTTTTTTGTTAAGTTATATACAAATTAATTGTTTCAGTTTAATTATCTTTGTTTAGTCCATATTTTTCTCTCATCTGCTGCAACTCTTGTTTTTTCTTTTCTTTGTCCAGTTGTTTGTGCATCTAATGCAATAACAATCAATATTTTAAATAAATCAAGCTCAGACATACATAATTTATCATCATTTAACTATCATCATTATATATATATTGCTTATTGAATCAACCATATTTATATACCTTAGTAGGCTGATAGTAAAGAACAACTAAGTAACGATTGCAAACATTGAAGCCAGAAAGATGATCGCAGGCATTCTTTGCATCAAAGATATCTTCATATGCAACATATGCTGTACCACGAGTATTATTAGAATTCCCCCTAAAGAATAGAAAATGTAAATATGTTTGTTCAAATAACTGGATATTATAAGTTGGCACATTTGCTTACACTCTTATTTGACGTATTGCTCCATATTTTCCAAAAATATCGTACATTTCTTCTGCAGTTATTTTATATGGTAGATTTCTGTGAGAAATAGCATACCACAAAATTATTCACGAGCTAATCAAAAATTTTAAACACATGCCTCGTACATGTTTATAAGACAAGGTTAAGAAATTCTTAAAACGATAAAATACCTCACATAAAGAATTCTATTAACTTCGGGAGGCAAGCGAACCTAAGAAAAACCAACAATATTAGTTATTTATAAGCAAAATATTTTAGGTAAACTCATCAAATTTCTGTGAGAATGGAAGCTCAAATTCAGCGATTATATGTTGATCCAATTATAAAGGAAATACTGAAATAACAAATTTAAAAAAACTTGAAATTTACGTTTGTTCTTCGTAGATTTGCTAAAGCCATCTTTATCAATAAACGATCATGGATGATGAAGCACAGGCAGTTTCCCCGGTACTTTATATCCGTTGGTATACTGCTCTCGTAGAAGGTTATTAACCCCCCATCCCCTCCCCAGAGTTTATTACCCGGCATTCATATGAAATCCGTGTGACGTATGATGTTTACATGTGAAGTTATGAGTTTCGGTGCTGAGATCGAAGAACAAAATGATGACATCAACCATTGAGGACAATCTCTCTTCCATGGAAGAAGAAAGCCCGTTTGGCGACGCTGATAAGATTGTGGAAAGTGCAGAAATACAGACGGATGATGATAGAGCTGCAGAAGAGGCTAGGAAAGAAGAAATTCGTCGACAAATGACGAAGGTTAGGTTTGTTTGTAGTGTTAGTGTTCTTGACTCAAGTAAACATATTTAATGCTTCAGTTTGTCTTTGGACTTTGCCGTCTCATTATTTCAAGCTAATTAGTCGATTAACTTTGTGAAAAGTGTGAAAAATAAAATAATGAAACATTTTTGAGTTCAAAGTCATGTGAATTGTTGTAAAGTGTTAAAGTGTAAACTGTTGACCACAAAGCTTGCTTTTCATTTATTTGCAGTGTCTTGTCGCATTTATATCTCTAAAGTTAATTACATTTGTTGTTATCTGAATTAAGTTAATTAAATTTTCCAATTTCCATTACAATTTTAATCAAAGCAAATTATCCAACTGATCTTTTACTATGAAGCACTGTAACTGGAGTGGGATACTTTTTAGCTTGAGGAAGAAATTTCAAGTCTTCGACATGCATTGGAAAGGAAGGAAAAACAGTATTCAGATTTGAAGAAAGAGCTTGGTGTGACACGATGGTCTCAGATACGTGAAGGCATTGGAACACAAATCAACTATATACAAAACACCGAAGTGTTAGTAGTTTAGGCTCCATTCATCAACATTATATTGTATTTTAACAATTCTCATTGTTCATGTTTTTTTAGTATGAAGAAAACATCAGAAACTCTGAAAGGATGGAATGAAAGGATTGTACAGTCAGAAGCGTATGTATTTATTAAAGATTAATGTTATGTTACTCTACTAATCATAAAAAACTTACACAGGTACAATAAAACCTGCAAAACATTATCAGGTGCTGGTGAAGCAACCTCAAATGCTTTTAAAAATGCTGGTGCTGTCACTGCAAAAAAGATTGGAGAGTTAAGGTTAGACATATCATTGTTATTGGTTGAAATTACTACTGGTGAAAACAGTATTTTTTTAAAGTTTTTGTGATATTTGCTAGGGATTCCGATACTTTCAAATCTATTGAAAATAAAGTCACAACAGCCACCAGTTCAATCAAGGTTATGTTTTCTTACAATCCCTCTGATTAATTACTAAAGTAATGCAAATCAAATGAATGTTTAATGCTGAGCAAAAAAGACATAAAGTGCTAATATAAATTTATTGATCATGTAAAAAATTGATAAAGTTGATTACAAGCAGGTGTCAACCTAACTTGCTATTAGTATGTAATGTGTTCTGAAAGAAAAGAAATTGTATGTATGTATGTATATGTATGTATATGTATGTATGTATATGTATGTATGTATATTTATGTATATGTATGTATATATATATGTGTATGTATGTATATGTATGTATGTATATGTATGTATGTATATGTATGTATATGTATGTATGTATATGTATGTATATGTATGTATGTATATGTATGTATATATGTGTATGTATGTATATGTATGTATATGTATGTATGTGTATGTATGTATATGTATGTATATGTATGTATGTATATGTATGTGTATGTATGTATGTATATGTAATCAATTTATCCATAGAGTATCAACTCTGAGTATTTTCTACCCCAGTTTTTTGTGCTTTTTATCATCAGGAGGTACCTTTGATTATATGCAAAACACAGTGTAGCAAAAGTGCCAAAATATACTATTTAATTTTTATTTATCTATATCTTGATATCGCATATTTTATTTCTTTTATTTTCACCGTATTGATATAATGTTTATGTAAGTATGTATGTATATATGTGAATGTAATATTGAGTAGATATAAAATTATGGAAACTTATACAAACATAATGATATACATGTAATGTGATTGTATGTGTATGGAGTCAAGTTATTTGTTAGATTAAAAATGAATATCTTAATAGGGAAGAGTTGTTGGACATAAACCTGAAACTACGGAGCAAGGAGTTCTTCAAATGAATCCTAGTCATGAAAATGACGACATGAAAACATATTGAAGATACTTTCATACAAACACAGATGGCAATTCTAAAATAGAGCACACATGGTTAATGTGTTTTCTTATAGTATATGAAATGATAGTGAACCAAGCGTATTTGTATCATTAAATAACCATAGAATTTATGATTTTAGTTAGTCTTTATATTAAAGGTCAGTGACTCAATGTTTTGGTGGTAATATTTATCCAGTAATGTATCATTGAATAAGGTCAATTTATCCACGTGATCTTTTTAAGCCAATGGTCGTCCACCAATATTACACGTTCTCTTTCCAAAGATGGCGACACGAGGTAAAAGAATACAATACAAATCTTTGTTGAATTCGTTTTCCCTTGATCATTTTGCTTTTTTGTCCTCTCCTAACTTTCATTATTCGCTTCCTAATTAATCTTATTTTCTGCTCTTATGACATTTGAAATACTTATGAAAATAGTTGCGTCTCTTAGACTTTCGTTGTATTAACTATTAACTACCCTTTGATAAACATTGCTTAATTTATTACTTTAAGGATTTTGGTTTCGTGCGTTATTTCTTCTTACATTGGTTTCTCTTGGTTCATGCGTTACTCCGAGAACTGTCCTTAGTGTGGATGAGCAGTCAAGAATTAAGGAAAAGTTACTTCAGGATCTTCCAGATTTGAAAAATCTAGAAGATTTATATTATAATGTTGCCTCGCTGAAATTCTTGAAATCTGAAGTTCCAAAATCCAAAGTAAATTCATATGAAAAGCCTGATTTATTCTTTGAACTTAAACATTTATAGCAATTTTGTACCCGTCTTTGATAATTTCAATTCTAGGAAATCTGTAGTAAAGTGAACTCACTTGTTAACAACCAGCTTGTAGAAAGTATTTATTATGCATCATCAGTTGGGAAACAACTTGGAAATTGCAAGGTATTACTTTGCCATTGCTTAATAATAAATTTTCACCAAGTTATACCTTAACTATAACTTTCTTTTAAGGTCAACATCGAGAATGCTGGGGAAACCCTTTCTGCTTCTCTTAATGGAAAATCAAGCTCTCAAACAATTCGTTTTGCTGTTGAAGCTCTTCTTAATCTTGGACTAAAAGGTTGTCACAGTTTGAGGAATTTTTAACAATGTCTTTAAAAATAAAATATATTTGTATTGATCACATTAATAGTGGAGGAAAAACGTGTCACTGCTATGTTAAAAGCTATTCTTCAAGAAGAGAAAGAGGATTTTGTTCCATGGTAATGAAACATGTTTTTTGTGGAAATTTTTCTGCATTATTTTTGCATGTTTACACTCTTAAATTAAGCAACAATTTTTTCTTCTTTTTAGTGTAACAAATGCATTATATGTTATGTCGTCTTTATCTGGTGATTTTTCATTTGCTTTTGATGCCATTGAGGTAGAAAAAAAATCAACTTTTACATATCATTGATTAAATTATAGTTGTATGAATGTTAAGTTCATGGACCGGTCAACCCCCCTGGCGGGGATTAATACTGGCCGGTATACAAATGTTGTTTGTTTGTTTTTGTTTTTGTATGAATGTTAAGTTAGTTATGTAAGGAAAATTAAATATTTTTTATCGAAGGATGCAGTTGCACAAGCTGATGAAATTGCTGACACATATTTACAGGTTGTCAATAAATTTTGAAAATCTTACCCTTGTTTTGTTTCAATTTATTTTTATTCTGTGTTTTTTATAATTATTTATTTAGTTTGAAGGGGGACTGACTGTTACGGCTGATTTTATTACTGCTGTCTACAAGCTAGCTGCACACATAAAAAAGGAACCCACAATGTCAGAAGTAAGATTTTCTGATATTTAAAACTTAAAACTAACAATTGCCTTCTGGAATTTAAAGATTTTGCTCATTTTTAGGAGCAAGCAATTAAATTCACTAGTTACTTGCTGTCAAGAAAGTATGTTCAAAGTTCAAGAGATGCATTTTATATCCTTAGTTCTCTGACAATGCTTGCTGATAATCAGGTAGAGTTACGCTGTCTAATACCTGTTATTCATGACATCATTTATTATTCCAGTTTCAAATGCCAGTCAAGTTTCATCTTTATTCAATTAGTTTCAAGTTCCTTTGATTACCCTACTTTACAATGATGGTCCTATCTCTGATGATAACAAACTACTAAAGGTACATAGTTGATGCTTCATCCGAAGATTTTCTTTGTTTACTAAAGTTGAAATGCATTATTCTGTCTTGCAATGATATCTAGGTAAAAATTACCGATGTTTTGGACAAAGCAATTACTGACATGAAGGTGACTGCAGAGAGTATTGTTGATAAAAATGATGGTGATTTGCTGTCAAATAAAGATTTTATAAAAGAAAAGGATTTGTATGTTTTTTAAAAAGACTTAAATATGTACACATTTATATAATATCAAATTTTATTTTATTTGTAAAATCAATTGTTTATTTTATTTGTAAAATCAATTCTTTGGTCATTTTAGCTATCAAATTGTCATCATGAGTCACAATCCAACTCCTGGATTTTATAAACTGGCTTTAAGGTTTTCTATGAATCATTTTTTATTGAATGAATAGAAATCAATTCAGTTACTAAGACTTGCAACAATTGTTTAGTCTCAAGCCAAACAAACAAGACAAACGTTTGATTGGACTATCACCTTCTGAAGTAAGTTGTTTTAATGTTATATGTTAATAAAAAGATGTTTACTCAAGTCTGTCAAACTGCATTGACTATATACCTTGAGTCTTTAAGAGAAAGTTGTGTTTCTAGTATTTTGCATCTTTACAGTGAGTTTGTTTCAAGCAATTGATATCAGTATTGCTTGAAATTTGAAAGATGCCATATAAATATCTCTTCTCCACCAAGATTTCTCATCATGTATAGAAATTACTTGACTTATAAGAGATAATATTTTATGATGACAAACTGTTTTAATACTTCATTTCCAGCTTACATTCAAAGTTGTTACAAGAATTTCTATTGAAGATATTTCTGTGTCAATCTTTGATAAAGAGCATGCATCGCAAGTTAGTTCTAACAGGTAAAATATGAAATTGGAAGATTTTGAAATAGATAGTCATATGTGCTCATATAGTTGTCTATTTAAGTGTGAATTATCCAAAAGGATTGGATGCATCATTGGAAGCTGATTACCATCAAAAAGTTGTCATGGTGTTCTCTTTGAAAGATATTTCATCCGGAAAATTAGTGACAGCACATCAGGTTATTTAATAAAATTCTTACTTTTTTATTATAATTTCTTTTTCTTTTTAATTCTTTTACACACACCAAACCAATGTTCATATTGTTGCATTATCAGTAATTGTCTCTCATAAAAAACAAACCGTAATTTTGTGAACAGGTGAAAATATACAGGCCGTTGTTATATCTTACATAATATTTGTTGTTTTAGACGTTTGTTCGTCTTATGAACACAAAAACCAATCAAGAAATTTTCTTCGTCGCAGAAGCTGAAAACAACAAAGTTTATAAGTTTGACCTAGTGCGTTATAGCGACGACAATGATTATTTCCTTGTTCATACATTAAGAATTCTTTCATTATTCTCTTAAATGAAAATTATTGTTACTCTAAAGGATGTTGGAGCTTCCGCCAAGGAGTCGTTTTCGTCATTATCTGGCGAATATCAAATGGTAAGTTATGTAAAGCAAACAATGTCTATAAATATAATAGACGTCACAGTTGGACGAAGTTCAGTTTTAATGTTTTTGCAATAGGATCTCATTATCGGCGATGCTGCCATTGAAAATTCTCTATTTTGGAATATTGTAAGAAGCGTCCCCCTAATTTTTCGTGTTTTGTTTACGGATAAAGAGTAAAGATGTTATCAGATGATGTTTTAACTTTAGGGCTCCATTAAACTAAGTTTCTCTGGGAGTTCAGCGGCACGTGTACCTAAGGAGAAAGAAAGATTGTTCAAAATTAAACAAGAAATAGAGGTGATCATATCAAAATTTTTGTGTTTTGATTTTGGTGATATAAATGTAGTTTCATACTCGTTATATTGCATCATAAAAATGACAAAATGTTAAGTTATTTATGATTTTCTTAACATATGAATGATGCTATATTCAATATCTCTTCTCCACCAAACATTCTCCATATATAGAATTGACTTGACTAATAAGAGATGAAAATCTTTTATTTCATCGTATTCAAGTTTCTATTTTCTGTCTTTAAATGAAAACAAAAAAACAATAAAACTCGTGTAAATATTGCGTTACGTTCAAACGTAAGTCTTTCGGGATATATTTAGTGCTTCATTTTAATAATCATGTCATTTTGTTTCAGCACATGTTTCGTCTGCCTGAGAAGCGTCCTCCAAAAACTGTGTCAACAGCATTTACAGCTCTTGTTCTCTTGCCATTATTTGTTCTTTTCGTAGCAGTAAGTTTTTTTTACCTCCTTAATGTAAATATTGTAATGACTAATTATAACTGCATACTCCTAAACAGATACTATAGAATTTTGGATTTTTATTTCTTCACCATTATTGCTCTTCACCCGTTTTGATGCCCTTTTTCATGGTGACGGGGGTAGGGTTGACTGCAAACGTTTAATGGTATGAACGATCCGTTTTATCATTGTTATCATTTTTACTTTATTTGTTTTATAGTGGTTAAGAATTGGTGTGAATTTTTCAAATTTCCAGTTTTCCATTTCTGCTATTGGTTTCCATATTGGTCTTGGTGGTGAGTAAGAATTGAGAATTTATATTAAAAAACTATAGAAAAAATCCAACAAAAAGAATTTTTGAGAGAATCAACATCTTATTCAATATTTTTTTAGGCATTTTTCTCCTTATGTATGCCTTTTGGACTTCTTTGGTAAGAGAAAAATGAAAGAAGGTTCAATAATGTGAAAGTGTGTCGTTAAATGTGATATTTTTTGCATGACAGAATATGTTTAGCACTTTGAAAATATTGGCTTTGGTTGGTTGTATAACTTTTTTGACTGGAAATTCACTTCTTGCAAATTTGGCTGCTCAAAGGTGAGGGGAGATTTTTTATCATATTTGAGAGAAACACCGATAGTGTTTATCGTATTTTTTTAGAATGAAGAATTAGTTTGGAGCAAAGATAAACACTTGTTGAATTCATCGTTGGGTTGCAGATAGTGTGACTGGAAACCTGATAACTCTTGTTTTAGAGATACCAATGCTGCTTAAAATTGTCTATTCATTTAAAATTAAAATAAAAGATTTTTCGTTGTTGAAAATTGTTTAAGTCTTTCGACATTATAAGAAAAAAAGAATAGTGAACACCATAAAGCTGGAATGAAGAGCGTTGGAAAAAGTAATTAGCCCTTCGTGAATTACATAATGTGTGTGCTTTCGCTTCATAGTATCTTTTTCACATTTAACAACGACATAAACAACCAGAAATGATTGTCAAGTTTCATTGTTATATCGCTCTCATTTCTGGATTTTTCTATCTTCTATCAAATGTTGCGGATTCCAATAGTTTTGACCAGCGGATGTACTTTTTGTGAAATACGTGGTGTAAGGTAAAGGACTTGCATTGAAAAGGTGAAAGGAACACTTTTAAAACAATTTGCCTTATTTTCTCTGTCAAGCGACATGCAAGACCCAAACGAGGATACGGAGTGGAATGATGTTCTTCGTGCAAAGGGAATTCTACCTCCAAAACAAAAGGAAGTTGAAATATCCGAGAATCAAATTGTCAGCCTACTTGAAGATACTGTCTCTAAACGCACTGGTCAGAAGGTAGTCACCAACTACGACGATATGACTTTAGATGAATTAGACGAGTTTGAGGATGAAGAAGAGGAGAGAGTACTTGCTGAATATAGGTACATAGTTCGAACCCATCTTTTTTTATATTGATTTTGATGACAGACAGCAATATAAATTAATAAATCGGCTGTCAAATGAGTGGTCAAGTTACCACAGTTTAGCATAAACTAGAAAATACAAGATCTATGTCCAAGCTGTGTGTTAACTGTGCAGTGTATCTCATTAAGTCTTTTTGCAATGAAATCATGTCATTGTTAATATATGATGGTCTTACTATTTTTCTTTAGAAAAAAGAGAATAATGGAGATGCAAGAACATCAAAAAGCCTCAAAATTTGGTGAGGTCATTGAGATTTCTGCTGTAGACTATGTTCAGGAAGTTAACAAAGCTGGTGAGGGTATTTGGGTAATTCTTCACCTTTATAAAACGGGTAAGATTAATTTTTCTTGTGTGGAGGTATTCTATGTATTTATAATTATCCTTTACTTTTTAGAATACCATTATGTGCCTTATTGAATCGATATCTACTGCAACTTGCCAAAAAATTTCCTGCCACAAAGTTTATCAAGAGCATTTCAACCACCTGTATTCCAAATTACCCTGATAAAAATCTTCCAACATTTTTTATATATCATAATGGTGATATGAAAAAACAGTACATTGGTCCTTTGGCTTTTGATGGCATGAATTGCACCGTAGAAGGTGATCTTTTTAAAAGATTTTTTTTCATAAAATCTTATGTTTATTTGAAACAACAATCCTCATTCCTTCCATTCTTTTAACTATAACCAAATTACTTCTTGTTTCTACTATATTTTTGTTGCTTTCTTTTTGTTCTTCAGATCTTGAATGGATGATATCCGAATGTGGTGCCATTAAAACTGATCTTGAAGAAGATCCAAGGAAAAAAAGACAAATAAAAGATGTATTTTCTTCCTCCATAAGATCAAGCTCAAAGAAATATCAGGATGAAGATGATGATGATGATGATTATTAAGGTATTCAAGTTTACACTTCTTCATTATTAACATTTATAGAAAATTTGTATTTTTTGTATTTTATAAATACATCCATATTTTTGTATTCAATATTACTATTGGTGAAGCAAATAAACTTTATGATTGATAGCTTTACTTTACCATTTACTATGCTGTCATAGTTTCCACTCTTTACAACATTTCACTTAGTCACTTTGTGTTTTGATATGGTGGAAGATGTTTCATTTAAATTTTCATTTTTTATTTGTCTGTTTGTTACATCATAGTTTGTAATCGCTTTTAGCTAAAGAAAACAAAGTTCTTGGGTGGCCATCACTGTCTTTTGTTCTGTCGTCGCGCGCATTTGGAGCAATTTCTGCATGTTTTTAAATTGCTGCAAATACTTAACGTTGTCACAATAAATTCCAGCCTAATTACAGCAATGTACATTATTTAATTGCTCGCGTTCATCGCCATGATCATAAATCATCGTTGCCTTCGCCAAGAATTTGAAAGTTGTTGACAATCTAAATGAATAAAATCAGGATAACCGCCCTGACTCAATCAAAGGTATGAAAGACGGAATTCTCACACATATCTTTATTCTATTCATTAGTTTGTGAAGAGTTTTTTTGCACGTGCGTCAGTAATAAAGGTTTTTATCAGTTAGGACGTATCAGAGGTCAAAGCTACCTTCTGATGACAAACATTTTTTAAGACGTTGAGAGAATTTTATCAACTCAAGCGCAGACTAAACTGTAATTTTGCATTGCCTGATTATCAAGGAATTTGTGTCGTATCTATTGGAATTGTGTGTGCGATATCTTTAACTTATACTACTGTACAATGTGGATTTCATTTAGAACAACTGTTGACTCATCAAAATTTCATTTTATCTTTTCAAATTGATTGTTAATTTTGTTTATTCTCAACATTTTATTCCTATAAATCGTCAATGAGTTATGCTGGCAGTTTTTCTCCAAAATATGGGACTATAGTTCGATTAAATCTACTTAGCTGGCATTTCTAACACGTGATCATAAATATAGCATGTGATGTAATATTTGGCCAAAAGTTGTTCGAGCTTCTTTATGCATGTGGTGTATTATCAACAAATCGGGCGTTCCCAGCAATCTTGCATATTTGTTTTGGTTGCGGCTACTTTGAATTTCTATTGAAAACATTTCAAGTGCTATTGCAATAATCTGTACTGTTATCTATGTCCATCTGTGACCGCTCAAGGTGGCGCGGAATTACGCAGATTATACAAATTATATTAGCTCACTTGATTTAGATAAGTGAAGTAGAAAGCCTAGTGTTGAACGATTGTCGCGCATTTGTAAAATTCCTCGTGAAAAAAGCTGTAAAAATGCTGTCATTCTTTTTCTTTTTGTGGAGACATTCAGAAATGAGTGGTCCAAAAATGGCCATGAACAATGACTAAACTTTAATTAGTTTAATAAAATTTAGACTTTCGTTTGGTTGGTCGATGACATTTATGCAGCTTTGTGCTGTAGTTAATCGTCTTGTGTAACAGCTGACTTTCCCAAACAAATAAACATTGTTTATTGTTTTTCTTTTTTTCATAAAAATTTTGACATTGTTGTAAGTTATGAGATGTGATATCATCTTAAAAGATTTACCTTAAATGCTTTGTTTTAATAACGTTTTTCATTCAGTCAACTTTCCTAAATTTGCATCCGCAAATTTATTTCTCTATCTTGTATAAAATATTGTTCGATTGTCTTTAGTTTACCGTTAACAACTATATAAACCTGCGGTCTACTGCTTTTAACAATGTCCTTTACAGACTGATAAAATATTTTGATGACATGTCTTCATGTCAAAACAAGATATAGTGCAGGGCTGAATTTTTGTTCACATATTATCATGGTCTGCCATTATGCTTACGTACCTCTGTTGTACATGTTTTTACTGAAATCTTTGTAGTCATTTTAAATTGGTTTGTGGAATTTGAATGAATTGTGTAGTTCATGGAATGCGTCCCTTTTATAAATTGTATAAGTCATTTTATATTTCATGTTGATGAAATCTTTTTTCATTGATAGTGACAGAGTAGAATCTAGAGAGATTGGATTGTTCTTATCATCGTTTTCTCTTCCTGCAAAATCCTTCATTGAAAACCAATTATGCTTGTGATATCGACGAGACTCTTCTGAAATAAGTTCTGTTCGTATCTTCTGCCATGAAAAAACAGGGTTAGTTAATGATATTTGAGGCTCGCTAGCTATTGTATGTGCATTAAACATCTGTGATTTCCATTAACATTTCCCTGATTACTAACATTAGAAGAATCTTTTCTGATTATACTACATCATAAACTTGTCAAACGTTAACTGAACCTTCGCTATTTTGCCATTTTTTTTTGAACGGTACTGCTGGGTTTTTTCTGAGGTAAATGGTAAAAGTGTGTACGTATCTTTACTGTTCAAGGAAAGCAGATAAATATTTGCGAATTCGTTGTATTTCTTTTGCAATTTATTTCGTTATTTAACGTATTTTAAAGCATTAAAAAGTACAATTTCACTCGGTGAAATTTATCAAATAAAATTTTCTATATAAGCGAAATTACAAGGGATTACTGGAAGTCAGTGTTGGACTTTTTAAGCTGAGAACCTGAGATGATTGTCAGATTCAGTCATTACTCGTTCTCATTACACATTTTGTATTTTTGTGCACGTGTGAACTTTACCAACACATCTAATTTAATAGTGAAAGCATGCGCATTATAAGCGTCAGAAAACAACTGAGTTTTTTTACCTCTGTGTCAGTACTATATGAAACTGTTCCTATCTTTCGATCGCCCATGAGTTGACTTTATTTACATTAATTTTCGTTTAATTATCGCGCAGTAGTATCTGTTGAAAGAAAACAAGATATTACTGTGTGTGAAAAACATGTTCCTCCGTCCTGTGGCGTTCCTGTTATTTCATTGTTCGCTCATTCTGTCACACGTCGCCGCAATTTATGCATGTCTGAGTACCGACTGATTTACACCACAGACAGGTTTCTTTCAAATTTGCACGAGATAATTTTGTTATGTTAAAGACATGTCAAAAATGCAAGAAGCTCAATGAAAATTCAATGTGGAAAACTTTAGCCATTTTTTTGAACATTACATCGTGACTTTGAACGTGATTAACCTCAACAAATAGATAATAATATTAATTAAGTGTTTAAACACTTCAATTTGTTTTAGGATGTTATCATGTTTAAAAATTAAAAGATAACTCTTTTAAAATTTGTTGAAAGCCTATTATAGTTTTGAGTCTTCTTACTGGTCCATGATTTATTTTGGAATCTGCCTCGAGTCCTAGCTAACGCCTGTGAAAAAGGATGAAAGTAAATTTGCGCAATAAAAATTTTCTAATTTTATTTCCTCTCTCTGTGTTTGTATTACATGAGACATACCAAGGGAACTGTTCCATTCATTTGTTGAAGTCCGGAAATATTTAATGCCTGTAAGTATTCACAATTATACATCTTTCTATAGGGTAGATAGACAGATGGTGAGATTTTAGGTTTGTTCACACCTGTGACACGAAACTCATTAAAATTGCGTTTATTCAACATGGTGTTTTTTACCGAAGTGTTATCAAGAGGCGGAATTATATATCAAACAATGTTGAAACTATTGCCTTGTATCCGTTTTTCTTGTTTTAAAAATTGTTGCTTTTGAAAATTCGAGGCGTCAAATTAAATGCCGTGGAAATATATTTTTAAAACCAGACATATCGTAGTTTACCATGAACAAAAAGATTTTAAAAATCAATTGAGGAAATTGATGGCATAGTTAATTTTCGTTTGAACAAAATGGTATGTTTTGATAATTTACGTCTTTCTTGTATAGTTTCGAATCAAGTAGCCGTGTAACACATATAGCTCATGGTATCATCGTTTAAAGAATTTCCCCTGATTTAAAAAATACCCGACACCCAGCGGTGTTTTGAGACCTTTTCATGAGTAGATTATAAACGATTTTCAACAGGTCTAATAGGGGCACTTAATTGGTAAACAGATTAAGCTACTCTTAGCTTTCTTTACTTTCATATTTTGATGTGCGTTTAGAAATTCACTTAATTTTTGCCAGCGGTCGGTCGGTTTCATTCAAAAGGGGAAATTTTGCTTTGTAATCTGGATCGATTTCCGGTTCGGAATGGCGAGTCACTTATGGACTTTCTTCGTTTATATGTGTTACAAAAGTGATTGCGCATGGGTATGTGACATTCGTTAAAGTATTCAACTGGCCGAATATATTTTGTTTATTTTAGCGGAGTTTAACACAAATCAAGATATTGTTTGTTATACATGGTTCATAAAACAATGAAGGTAAAATTTTATTTGTGTGCTTGATCATGCAGACATTATTTTAATGTTGGTTTTCATGTGGGGCGCTAACATATTGAAAAAACTTTTTTTGCTAGTGATTGACTTGTTGTTTTCATACTAGAAATCTCATTTATGGCGTTAAGTATTTACTTCAGAATTCTGAGACGATGATATCCCTTTGGGACGAGACTGCTATTATGAACACAAATGTCTTCCCCTCTGTTGAAATTATATGCTTTGGAAATTGTAATGATAAGTTATTGATTATTAAAGTAAAGAGACTTTCACCGAAGCCGATAAAATTTTTTAGTATGATTGCAATGTTTGAAATATTTTCCAAGACACTTCACTATGTTTTACTATGTAAACAACTTGATCCTGACACGGTCATTCATTGTAGCAATTCATTCATAAATGCTCTGTATTTCTCCCTCGGGATTTTATAACAAATTCGATATTCGGTCATGGTTTTCGAACGTGTTTCGGTACACGTGCAAGAAAGTCATGTAGGTCTTCTATGAACAAACTTAAACTCGTTTCTTTCGTTTCTTTTGATATTGCTACCAGGAATTCAAAGTATTTGTTTGTTATTTTGCAGACAATTCACGTAAAAATATAAGATTTTCGAATGAAAAACGTCTCATTGGGAAGTAATGAAATTGGCTTTATTTTTGCACAATGGTTTTCAATGACCAAACGAACAATTTTTGCCCCAGAACACCAAAAACATCTTCCACATCCGACCGGCGTCGGTATTTCTTTTCACTGCAGTCAAAAAGGACTACAATAATCACGAGTTAAGCTGTCTGAAAGTGTTTTGTTGTTTTTTTCTAATCCCAAGAACGTTCTAAGTCGTTTCAAAACAAATTTATTCATAGGAAATTTTTGTGTTTGTGCGTCACGCTACATCGATCATATTTTAACGACTTTCACAATTGAAAAAGTTATGTGCGTGCATAAATTGCAAATTGGTGTGATTTTTTAATGCAAAATTAACTGCTATGTATACAACAAAACCAAAGTGGGCCTCGCTTCGTGTGAGGGATCATTGAAATCAATTAGTAACATGCTCAGTTCTACAAAGAATAGCAGCGGTTATTTTTAGAACTTTCTCGTTCACACAAAATTTTCTCGACAGTCCTTCGTGCCATGGAGCATCGTCAGGTCGTTAGAAGTTACCCCAATGTTGTATATAAAGCGCTACATGTTGTAGTTGTACAATGCTAGGAAAAGAGCAGCCATTAGTGAGTTTACTTTTGAAATATATTGAGCAAAGTTTGTCACTCTTTAGAAGTTTGCTAAATTGCTTGTATTTCTCACTGTGCTGAAATTTATCTTCTCAATTCTAGATGCAAATATGTATATTTGGCATTGTCCTTTTGTGGTTGCACAGATTGTCTGAGGTTGAACTCAGCCCGGCAAGCCGTAAGACATCAACCATTCTTCAACAAAAACTAAAAAGAAACCAAACAATTTTGGCGGGAACGTTTAACAGCACACCGCTATTTTACGATAAGCGTAAAAGAAGCAAAATTAAAGGTGTCCCTGTCGAAGACAACACAAAATCTGGTTTAAATCCATTTTTGATTGATGCAACACCGACCAATACTCGAAAGGTTATGTTGTTCTCAAGAAACCTACATCTTCTTCAAATTTCAAACAGTGGAATCGTTAATGGGACATCAGATGAAACTACTCCTAACGGTAAATAACTTGTTTGCTTCTTTACCTTTGCGGACGCTTTTTACCATGTCAGACATGTAACATTGCTGAATTGTATGCATTGTTTGCTTTGATTGTTTTTGCTGCATATTATTTTGAATGATTTTTACGTTCGCGAAAACTACAAAGTCTTTTGTGTTTGCTTCCTTGGATCTATGTTCATCTAATTTTTTAACGAAGCAATTGTTTACATTATTTACATCGTATAAACGGAGTCATTGTTTGCAATGGAGTCGTTGTTTGCAAAAATTATCAGCAGTTATAAAACTTTTGTTTGTTAGTTCGTTGCCATCATTTCGTCAAATAAGTTTTCTCGCCAGAGTTTATCCACATTCGTGTATTTTAAAGTACACACGTTTCTTTATAAAATTATTGTATGAGAACTGGAGAATTCGCAGCAAAGAGATAGGACATAAAATGCTCTCTCTGTATGAAATAAAACGACGCAAGAAAAATTGTTTTTAAATTATGTCATTTTGAATATTTACATCAAGTAAAATAAAATTTCAAATCAAATTTCTCCAAACTTTAAGCAATACTATATGAGCAATAACAGAGTCTTTAACACATTGACCTCTTGTTGACTTGTAGAGGTTGTTCATTTGGAGATTTTGATGTTATACATTTTCATGTTAAAAACAGCAAATGAAAATATATATACATTTTGTATATTTGTATCTGATTTGGGTTTAATGTTGATGTATATTGGCGTTAGCTTGACTCGTGTTTTTGCAATCAAATTGGCTGAATTTAAGGAATATACAGCAAACGAAAAATAGCCCCACTTTTGTCATGTTATGATAATTGAAAGATAAAAATTAGTGTTCTTCTCTTTTTTTAATAAACAGAAAGATTGTACGAATTTGAGATCTTTTTAAGCTGTATTCATTAGATAACTTTATTTTTTTTAGTCAAATTTATATTGGAGTCAGTTACCACTGGTATTGTAAGAATAAAAAATCTTTCCAATGGTTTGTATTTGGCCATGAATAAGCATGGAAAACTCTGTGGCAGGGTGAGTGAGTTTGTTGCTTTGAACAGTCTTTGCACTACATGGAACATAAAGTAAGATAACGTATGTCAGTGTAGGTAGTGATGAATGAACAGCAGAGATTGAGAACAGTCTTTACACTATCTAAAATATAAACTAAGATAACGTGTGTCAGTGTAGGTAGTGATGAATGAAGAACAGAGAATGAGAACAGTCTTTACACTATCTAAAATATAAACTAAGATAACGTGTGTCAGTGTAGGTAGTGATTAATGAACAACAGAGAATGAGAACAGTCTTTACACTATCTAAAATATAAACTAAGATAACGTGTGTCAGTGTAGGTAGTGATGAATGAACAACAGAGAATGAGAACAGTCTTTACACTATCTAAAATATAAACTAAAATAACGTATGTCAGTGTAGGTAGTGATGAATGAACAACAGAGAACGAGAACAGTCTTTACACTATCTAAAATACAAACTAAGATAACGTGTGTCAATGTAGTTAATGATGAATGAACAACAGAGAATGAGAACAGTTTTTACATTGTCTAAAATATAAACTAAGATAACGTGTGTCAGTGTAGGTAGTGATGAATGAACAACAGAGAATGAGAACAGTCTTTACACTATCTAAAATACAAACTAAGATAACGTGTGTCAATGTAGTTAATGATGAATGAACAACAGAGAATGAGAACAGACTTTGCACTATCTAAAATATAAACTAAGATAACGTGTGTCAGTGTAGGTAGTGATGAGTGAACAGAGAATGAGAGCAGACTTTACACTATCCAAAATATAAATTAAGATAACGTGTGTCAGTGTGGTAGTGATGAATGAACAACAGAGAATGAGAACAGTCTTTACACTATCTAAAATATAAACTCAGATAACGTATGTCAGTGTATGTAGTGATGAATGTAGAGCAGAGAATGAGAACAGTCTTTGCATTACCTGAAATATAAAATAAGATAACGTATGTCAGTGTATGTAGTGATGAATGTAGAGCAGAGAATGAGAACAGTCTTTGCATTACCTGAAATATAAAATAAGATAACGTATGTCAGTGTAGGTAGTGATGAATGAACAACAGAGAAGGAGAACAGTCTTTACATTATCTAAAATATAAACTAAGATAACGTGTGTCAGTGTAGGTAGTGATGAATGTAGAGCAGAGAATGAGAACAGTCTTTGCATTACCTAAAATATAAAATAAGATAACGTATGTCAGTGTAGGTAGAGATGAATGAACAACTCTGAAAGTAGAACAATCTTTACATTATCTAAAACTAAGATAACGTGTGTCAAAAAACGTGAATCTTGTTCTTATAAATGTTCATTGCATTTTGTTCATCAATTTGTTGTATTGAGTAGTTATTAAAATTCAATTAAATTTTTTCCAGCGACATTTGTCATTTGAAACATTATTTGTCACGAAAGATATGAACAGATTTCATTGGTATCAGTCTTATAAATACAAGAAATGGTTTGTTGGTATTCGTAAAAATGGCAGGCCAAAGCCAGCTCGTCTTACAGCTTCTGACCAAAAGCCGTGCTTTTCTTTCATGTTCCATTCAGCAGGTAGTCTCAGCTGTTCGATTGTGCGAAACTACGCAAGAATTACGTCATTGTCTGTAGTTTCGTGAGTTTCAAAATTATTCAAGTTGCACTTATGCCGACTGTGTTTAAGTTCTTGAACTAAAGTTAATCGTTTTTTCCAAGTAAAAGAACTATACATATCTGCGTGTTAAAGAATCAAGACAGCTATATTTATGTGTTCAAATAATGCTCACGATTTCCCCACGATTCTCCTCCTGCATAATATTCTGCGCACAGGCTCAGTAATGGTTGCATGTACATTTGAAATCATTGTAATCGAACTCATTCTGCAGTATGACTGCTCAAGATTATGTAGTCTTGTTTTTTTCAGAGATCATTAATGAGTGTGATAATTTCTGAGCATAAATTCTGAACTCAGTGAGTTCGTGTTCATGTTTGTGCGACGTTCTAGAATCGCTCGCGTGTTTATTTTTACGTAGTTATGTAATATTTTCGCCTGTGTGTAGGTGTGTCAAGGAACGTTTGTAGCTGTTGATATCCTATTTTTCATAAAAGAACCGTGTAGAGACTGTAAACATCTTTTCAAACATTAATTCGTTTTAAAAGCAACTTTTATCGTGTTTAATGCAATTCTAACCACACTTCCCTACATCAACGGCTACAAACGATCGTCTTCCATGAAGCAAAAAAACTTTAAATAGATTATTACGACATTTCTTTGTCATTTTTGTTAAGTACTATATATACATTTATTCAGATTAGCTAATATATACATCGAATAGTCTGTTCTTACCGTTTAGGACAGAAAAAATTGTAAATAGTAGATAATATTAGCTATATTTACAGCAATATATTTAAAGTTATATTGAAGTTCAGGTAAAGATTAAAAACTTTACCTTCTCATTGCAGTCACTTTGCTTCCTACTTCCTTAGTAATTTTACATATTTTGCGTTATACAAATTTGGTTAAATGAAGTTATGCGCATTAAGTGGCAATAGGCAAAACTGGATCGCTGGCTCATTATAATAAAAAACAACAACAACAACGAAGAACGAAAGTAGAAACTTTCAAAGAATAAAACAAAGTTTGCTTATTCACCACCCGTTGACATTGGAACAATAGAATTGTGAATTGAAATTTCGTGTATATTTTGAAGAGTATCAGAAGCAAAAACTAGTTATCGAAGCAATGGATAATACTTACTTATGGATTGTTGTATTGGGATTCATAATAGCTTTCATATTAGCTCTTGGCCTTGGAGCGAACGATGTTGCCAATTCATTTGGTACTTCGGTTGGTTCAAAAGTACTCACATTGAGAAATGCTTGCATTGTTGCTACGATATGTGAGACAGCAGGTGCTGTTCTTGCTGGGGGGAAGGTAACAGGTATCTATGCTTAAAATTATTCTTTTGATTTCAGCACATGACCTCCTAATGACCATTAAAACAAAGGGGCTGAACCACTGTGTTTTATTTGATTAATTGTTGTTTAATTAGATACAATTCGAAGTGAAATTGTTGACATTGATCACTCTGGTAATGACACTGAATGTAATGCATTAATTGGCTCACTCAGTGCCTTATGTGGTGGAGCTTTGTGGTTGATAACTGCTACAATTTTTAAACTTCCTGTATCATCAACACATAGTATTGTTGGTGCCATGATGGGTTTTGGTATTGTTGCTTATGGTGCTGAGGCAATAAAGTGGAAAGAGTTTGCTAAAATTGGTAAGTCATTCTATTTGGTGTTCATGACATTTTTTGTCAGAGTAAGAGCTTATTTCAACATGACTGTAAAACAATTTATATTGTGTTTAGTTTCCTCGTGGGTAATATCTCCTCTGATGTCTGGTCTCATCAGCTCATGTTTTTATGTGATATTGCAATATTTTGTTTTAAAAAAGGTGAATAAAGAATTTAGAAATCCGTAAAGTCTCTGAAAATTATATCTGGTCATATTTATTTGTTTTAGAATGATTCTTATCATGCTGCGTTAAAAGCCTTGCCTGTAATCTACTTCATCGTTATATCAATCAATGTGTTTGCTATTTTTTATGATGGTTCACATGGTAATTTACTTTTTTCCCCGTTCTTTTTTAATTGCTTTGTTTGTTGTTGTGCTGTATGTAGGTCATTGAAAGAACATGATTGAAAAATGTTTTTGTTGTTGTCATCATTTAACCCACTTTCAATTTTTCTTAATCCTCTCTAGTGTTGCATTTCAACAAGATACCTCTTTATGGTTGTTTCATACTTAGTTTTGGCATAGGAACCATTGTTGCATTGTTGATTGCATTTTTGTTTGTGCCTTATATGAAGCAAAAAATAGATGGAGAATTTGAGATGGCAGAAAGCAATTCTAAATCTTTAAATGAAGGAAATCTTGCTAGTGAAGGTTTGTCAATTCATCCATGACAACAACAATATAAAATTTAGTATGTCATTATTGCAAATATGTAAAATTATCAAAACTTGGTTGAAATGTTAAAAAGGTATGATTAACATTATGATAGATTTATATACATAGTAAAGTTTTATTTATATTCTATTGATTTTTCACTCAATGACTATTTTGTATTTACAAATTTTCTGTAAGGAACACTAGCATATTTGCCTTATTTTTTGCTTTGGATATAGTCTGTACTCACTTCATCCTTGCTTCTTGCCCTGCAAATGGGTGTAAATCTAGTTCTTTCTAATAAACACTTGCCCAGCATTAGAATTCTTTACTTCATGATCAGTGGCGTGGCAAGTTTGATAATCAGGGGGGGTTATTCATATATTCATGTTTTGTATAGTTAAGTTTTATTTGAAATTGATTGTTTTCTGCTGATTATAAGATGCATATAAGAATATTGCCCCCCCCCCATTCATTGATGCTAGCTATACCATTTTTTATAATGGATAGTGTTTTTATAAATATAAATGAATATATGTTCATTCTAAATTATTAATCACGATATTAATTACTAATTATTAATCATTTTGTTCCAATTATTAATTATTAATCATTTTATGATGGATAGTGTTTTTATAAATATACATGAATATATGTTCATTCTAAATTATTAATCACGGAATGGCTTAATTCATGAAGACTTTCGTTTCTCGCGCTTATTTTGTTCCATAGAAGTTGGGGTAAAAGAAAAAACAAGATTACTAAAAGATCCTGGCAAAGATAATTCTACATCAATGTTATATAGCGAAGGACCATCAATTCAAGAAGCAGCTTTGACTTCAGAACATTCGTCATCGCAAACTGGACGCAATATTATTGCAGATGAGCCAAAAACCTCTCGACTATTGGCATACGTTCAAATTTTAACTGCCTCATCTGCATCTTTTGCACATGGTAGTAATGACGTGAGGTATATCTTTGTTTTCTTTTTTGTTACCTTGTGTTATCTCTATTTTAAAGCATTTTTTTTAAAGTAATGCAATTGGACCACTGGTAACACTATGGTTAACATATCGTCATGGCAACGCGAACACTGAGTATTCTACACCTTTATGGATATTATTTTATGGCGGTGCTGGTATCTCTATTGGTTTATTGATATGGGGACGACGTGTTATAGAAACTGTTGGAGAGAATTTATCCACAATTACTCCATCAAGGTACGTATGAATTATCCCTTCTTGTATATACTCGTCATCATTTATCCAAAAGGATGGAAAAATTAGTTTCCTCCAGAAGCCTTAACTGAATTTGCTTAAATTTGTTTAGTGGATTGATCATAGAATTTGGAACTGTTTGTACAGTTTTATTTGCATCTAATCTCGGCATTCCTATCAGTACAACTCATTGTTTGGTTGGTGCTATAATTATGGTTGGCTTAGTAAGATCTAGACATGCCACAGATTGGAGAGTTTTCATTAACATTGTTGTGGCTTGGCTTGTCACTGTTCCTGCTTCAGGTATGTAAGAATTTTTTTAAAACATGTTATTTCTTGTTACGTTTTAATACCAAAATTAACTTCCTTTCTATCTCAAACCGTTTCATTAGAAGATAATAAAAACTTTACTTAACTTACAATATTTAAAATTTTTCCTGCAGGTTTGTTTTCTGCTGGAATCTATGCTTTATTGAGTCACATCGTGTGATGGGTAAAAAAGTGTTCAATGTTGTTAAAAGTTATTTGTAATGAAAAATGTTTTAATGATTATTTTTGTTCAATAAATTAGAATTCGTTCATGTATTTCTATTTTAATAATTTATTTACAAAATAAAATCCATTACGCTTATTTGTACAATTCATTTTCGTCTATAGTCATTATGTAATAACTTACCAATTTGTTACGTACATAGTTACGACAACGATTACGTAAAAATGACACCAGTTCCAGGCTCTTTATCGAGAAGATGTGCTAAAAAATTAGAAGAAGTACTTTTAAGAAACCAATTTTCACAGCTTTTTAAAGCATTTCTTTGATTTTACGAAGAAACTTAAAGATGTCTTTGTTAAGAGCAACTAGTGGTCTTTCTAAATTGACGGTAAAATTGATAAACTCACTTTTTCTGCGGTTTTGTATGTTGCTTTGAAGACCTTCATCGATAAACTTAAATCAAAAATCTTGATTTTATTCATTTATGCAGTCAGCGACAAAAATGGTTTGAAAAAGATTCTTCCATGTCTCTCCAAAGGAATTCATAATACTTCAACTTTGGGTTTCTCTAATTCAGAAGTAATGAATTTATATTGAGAATTTTATATGAAGAAAAAGTGCTGTGTTCTTGCTATTCAGTTCTAACAGCATTTGATTTTTCTGTATAATTTTTTCTACCCACATTTCACCTCTTATTTGTTTAGTTTTCAAAAGAGTATCCTGTAATTGATCACTCTTATGATTGTGTTGTGGTTGGGGCTGGTGGTGCTGGTCTTCGAGCAGCCTTTGGTTTAGCCAATAGTGGTTTCAAGACTGCTTGTATCACCAAACTATTTCCAACAAGATCACATACTGTTGCTGCACAGGTGTGTTTATTTGACAATAATTGATAAAATGTTCATTTTAGTGTTAATGTTTGAAATGGTTTGTGCATTGGTGTTGTACATGAAGGGAGTTTATAGATTAAATGTGTTTTACAAAGTTCCTTCAAAGATTTCTTCAATGTAGGGTGGTGTGAATGCTGCATTAGGAAATATGGAACCAGATGACTGGAAATGGCACATGTATGTTGTAATATTTGTTATGATTAATAAATCAAAAGATTTGTCAACATTTTCTTTTTTCCCCAAAAGGTATGACACGGTGAAAGGCAGTGATTGGTTAGGAGATCAAGATGCAATACATTATATGACACGAGAAGCACCAGAGGCAGTAATTGAGGTAAAAACATCAATTTTATGTCAGTAGGATTGGACAGAACATACTTTGGGTCAAAATTAATATTTTCCAATCCAGATGTTAGTCACTCTCCCTATTTTGATAGCTTGAAAACTATGGTATGCCATTCAGTCGTACTGAGGATGGCAAAATCTACCAACGAGCATTTGGTGGTCAGAGTTATAATTATGGTAAAGGTGGTCAAGCTCATCGATGTTGCTGTGTTGCAGACAGAACTGGACATTCATTATTACATACATTGTATGGTCAGGTATGTATGAAGGTATTTTTAAAACAAAAATATGTTAGTTCATCAATATTTTAATTTCAACTCTTCTCTTTAGTCTCTTCGATATGATACTGACTATTTTGTGGAGTATTTTGCATTGGATCTACTTATGGATGATGGACAATGTGCTGGTGTGATAGCACTATGTTTAGAAGATGGATCCTTACATCGCTTTAATTCAAAGAATACTGTTATTGCTACTGGGTGGGTAATGAATAACTTTTAAACATATTAAATACTACCTATGTGGTGTTTCATAAATGTTCAATTTTCTATGACAGTGGTTATGGTCGTGCTTACTTTTCATGTACATCAGCTCATACATGTACTGGTGATGGTACAGCCATGGTAACTAGAGCTGGTTTACCCAATCAAGACATGGAATTCGTACAATTTCATCCTACTGGTTTGTTAACATCTTCAAAACAATTTTGCTTCACTTTTTTCTAACATTCTTCACTATTGTATATAGGCATTTATGGTGCAGGATGTTTGATAACAGAGGGTTCTAGAGGTGAAGGTGGTTATCTTGTGAACAGTGAGGTACACAACAGGTGTTGAACAAAGTTGAAGATATTTGTATTATATATTTATATGAATTTTTAGGGAGAGAGATTTATGGAGCGTTATGCACCAACAGCAAAAGATCTTGCATCGCGTGATGTTGTTTCACGTTCAATGACTTTGGAAATCAGAGAAGGAAGGTAATTATGTCATAGTTTTGATAAAATTGTGGCGTTTTTCGTTTATTATGCTTATATAACAATTGAATTATTTAGTAGCTAAGTCATTATAAAATAACTGATTTAGAAAATTGAATCCTTTCGATTGTTGTTACATATTTTTAGAGGTGTTGGTTCTGAAAAAGATCACGTATTTTTACAACTTTCTCATCTTCCTTCGGAGCTTCTTGCTGAGCGTTTACCTGGAATTTCTGAAACAGCAATGATCTTTGCTGGTGTAGACGTTACACGTGAACCAATACCAGTTTTACCTACTGTTCATTACAATATGGGTGGTATTCCTACCAACTATAAAGGACAGGTAATTCATCGCTAATGCACATTTAATGTAGACCACAAATTTTTTGAAAATAGACATGTTTCGATATCTCATGATCATCTTCAGTGTGAGTGAATAATTACATAAATAATGCAAAGTTTATATAAATTAATATGATACAGTAATATAAATATATAAATATGAAAACATGTCTATTTACAAAAAATATGTGGTCTACATTAAATGCTCATTAACGATAGTGCTTTTACGAAATTATGTTAATTCATCAATGCTAAAAATTGTTTCGTTACCTTGGTGTGTGTTGGGGGAGGCTCGTTTGTATTGACTTTATATTTAGGTAACGATACAATGTAAGATAGATGTAAATAAGTCTAGCTATATAATAGGTACTTAATGTTGTAAATGGTGAAGATGTCGTCGTCGAAGGACTATGGGCGGCAGGTGAAGCTGCGTGCGCATCTGTACACGGTGCCAACAGACTTGGGGCAAATTCTTTATTGGATTTGGTCGTTTTGGTCGAGCATGTGCTAACTTTATATGTGAAGAAAACAAACCTGGGGACAAACTTCCTCTATTGAGTAAGGTAATCATGATACATATGTCTTAATCATACATATTTTCATTTGTTGTTTCAAGTTCTTTTCGTAAAGTTATAAAGTCATTACATCTGTCATTAAGAGGAAATGTAAATCATTTAATACTTGTCAACTGCTATATTGAATATTTCTAAATACTTTTGCTTTTACTGGCCTGTCTTTTCTGTTCTATTTATAAGCCATCGTCACCATGAAAGACTTAAAGTGTTGTTTATCATTTGTTTTACAGGATGCTGGTGAAGAGAGTGTTGCGGCCTTGGATGAATTACGTCATGCTGATGGTTCTATTCCCGTCGCTGAATTGAGATTAGAGATGCAGAAAGTAATGCAGAATAATGCAGCTGTATTCAGGACCGGCTCCGTACTAAAGGAAGGATGCGAGAAACTGGACGCTATATATAGCAAAATGAATGATTTGAAATTATACGATCGTGGAATGGTGTGGAATACTGATCTCATAGAAGCCCTGGAGTTAAAGAATTTGTTATTGAATGCTGCTCAGACTGTTTATTCTGCTGAAGCAAGGAAGGAGAGTCGCGGTGCGCATGCCCGCGAAGACTTTCAGGTAAAGAAAAAAAGCCGACTTTGCAGACTCACATGTGCAATTCACGTGATTTTATGTTGCTGAGGGAATGATGTAATTTTAGTTGTAAGAATATAAAGTTTAAAAGCCATCTTTTTACAATAATTATATTTTGACGGCAGGGCTCCTTTAATTCTATCCAACATAATGTTATCCTTAAATGATCTCTGTAATCTGTAGGCAACATTTCACTCAAATTTTTCATTATATCATTTACTGATATCGAAAGTTTTTAGGATCGTATTGATGAATATGATTACAAGTTACCACTTCAAGGACAATCTCCTAAACCTCTTGATGAACATTGGCGCAAACATTCTTTATCTTTTCAAGATCACAAGACTGGAAAAGTAAGTGTATCTACATAAGAGCAAAAACTGAGGAAAACGGGCCTAAATTATTTTTTCTAAAACTATGTATGTCAGTGTAGATAGAGATGAATTAATAACAGAGAATGAAAACAATGTTTACACTATCTAAATTGTAAACTGAGATTACGTGTTTCAGTTAAAGGTAGTGATGAATGAACAACAGAGAATGAGAAGAGTCTTACACTACCTAAAATATAAACTAAAATAACGTGTGTCAGTGTAGGTAGTGATGAATGAACAGCAGAGAATGAGTCTACACTCTTTAAACACTGTCAGTGTAGGTAGTGATGAATAACAGCAGAGAATGAGAACAGTCTTTCTAAAATATAAACTAAGATATGTGTCAGTGTAGGTAGTGATGAATGAACAGCAGAGAATGAGAACAGTCTTTACACTATCTAAAATATAAACTAAGATAACGTGTGTCAGTGTAGGTAGTGATGAATGAACAACAGAGAAAGAGAACAATCTTTACACTACCTAAAATATAAACTAAGATAACGTGTGTCAGTGTAGGTAGTGATGAATGAACAAAGAAAGAGAACAGTCTCTACACTACCTGAAATATAACTAAGATAACGTGTGTCAGCTAAAGGTAATAATGAACTCAATATTTTTAGGTCACATTGTCATATCGCGCCGTCATTGATGATACTTTAAGTGACGCTGAATGTCCTACAGTACCACCTGCGGTTCGTGTTTACTAAGAAATTGGATAATTAGAAGAATACGATGCTGGTTTGGCTAAGTTACGATTTGATGAAAATAAATGTCGATGTTGTATCTCTAGAACTTGCATAATGATTTAGCTTAACGCACTTAAAGTTTTGTCATATGATATTTATAATGTTGTATATTTTACTCTACGAATAGAGATAATGGGTTTAATTTAAAGTTTAAGGAATAACAATTTTTTCTTGTGTAAAATTTCAGTTTTCTAAGACAAACTTTATTTTTGAATTTTCTTTTGTTGTATGAAATACACACGCACATATATATATATATATCAATTATTGTCTTTGATATGTTTTTTTTTATTTTTTGCGGAATTCACCAGAAAAGTTATCAAATGTTTAGTTTAGAAATTATTTTAAATGTTTTGGTGCCTGGATCAACCTATCGCATCTTTATAAAAATATAAAAATTTAGTTAAAAACTTTCCATCTACTGTATTATATATCATCTTTTGTCGACGACATAATTTTTCAATTGCATTTCATTTGGTTCAATGGTTGTTGTAGTTGGGCCACACACAACAAGTGAGACATGCGTTATTTTAGAGGATGGAAAAGAGCAGAGCTTCATTGGCAAATGCAATTGCTGTAAATTTGCAGTACTTTCATCATTACTTCTTCGGTAATGGTGGTTCTTTTAAATTGGCATAATTTTTTTTATGAAATTGAAAACCTAAAATGCTTTGAATTTGGATATTGTACATGGAATGGCTGGTCTACAAGGTTTTGCGTAAATTTTATTTTGTTGCAATTCTGCAGATACCAACTCTACACAATTTAGCTTTCTACCTTGGTTGTGTGGCAAAAATAGCGTTGTTGACCAATTTAACAAAGCTTATATTTTCTTGCAGAGAACAAACTACCAGCAGACACTATAGTGCCACCAAGAAGACCGGGATATGGTACAAAAGGACGTGAAATTGAGCTTCAAGCCAACTTTTTCGAGTTATGTTTACCTAAAGGTGACATGCACCATTATGATGTTGCCATTATACCAGATAAATGTCCCAGAGTTGTGAATCATGCTGTTGTTCAAGCAATGGTTGAAAAATATAACAGAATGTTTGGTGGTCAGAAACCAGTCTTTGATGGTAGAAAGAACTTGTATAGTCGTAGTCCATTGCCATTTGATAAAGAAAAAGTTAGTATTTTTTTATCTACTGCCATTTTACTTGGAAAATATTGGCAAGTGGGAATAAATGTTAATTTCTGTATACTTATGTGAAAGGTTTAACATTGAAATTTATATTTAAAGGCCACAACAATGATTTGATTTAATGTAAGCCAGTAAACTCTGCTGTTAAACTGGGTGAATTTTATTGCCATTATATGGCTATCAATACATTGACATGTATCCTTAACTTCTAGGAAATATTCTTGATTTTTGCAGAAGGAATTCATTGTTACCATTCCTGGTGAGAATGATCAAGAAAGGCATTTCAAGGTACGTATGTAGTTTAGTTTTTTTTTATCTTAATTTCAAATATTTGCGAATCTATTCATCTTTTCTTGATATGTGCATTTATAGACAAAAAAGTGTATAAATTATGTGTATTGACAATGTATAATTTATTGAAGGTTACAATAAAATGGGTGACTTTTGTCAGTATGTTTGTATTGGAAGAAGCTTTGAAAGGTCGTTTGAAAATGATTCCATTTGACTCCATACAAGCTCTTGATGTTGTTCTGCGATATTTCTTATCTTCTCAGTATATTTCTGTTGGCCGTTCATTTTTCTCTCCACCAGTTACAAATTTGAATTCTTCTAACTTGGAATGTGGTCGGGAAGTTTGGTTTGGCTTTCATCAGAGTGTCAGACCTTCACAATGGAAAATGTTGGTGAATATTGATTGTAAGTTTTCCCTTTTTTATAGTTTTAGAGTTGTAGATTTCTTAAACATTGTGACATTAATCTACATACATTGTGTTCAATTGTGTTATGTGTTATCTGTAGTGAAGCCATCATACCTGTTTAGTCATGTTATGTAATCTTTTCTTTTTACTTCTTGTAAAAACAATAGACTTCTATTGAAATGAATAATAATGTTAAAGAATTTACATAGCAAGACTAAAACTTGTTGGCTGACTTTGTCTCTGCATGTTTATGATTTAGTTTTACATCTACATATGTAGTATTTAACTGTATCATTATTGAGCACATTGTACGAGACTCTTTGCAAATGTTCATGTTATCATTTCATAAAACTTTTAGCATCTGCCACTGCATTCCACAAAGCAATATCAGTCGTCAACTTTTTCTTGGAAATAACTGGTATTAATTCACAGCGATTGTTAAATCCACTTTACATTGTTCATGAAGAGGATCGCAACAAATTCACAAAAGAAATAAAAGGTTAAAGAAATGCATAGTGTTAGTTATTACGAAGTGAAAACACACCATTCCAAACTATATGAAAACATTTATTATGGTAACTTTAATATTTGTACCAGTAATGTCATGGGCCCTTTGCAATAAGGTGTGTAATAAGCCTCTGCATGCTGTTGTCACTTACAGACTGCTAAAGTGAGGTTGTAGACTTTTTACTGCAGATGATGTTTGTAATCAGGTTTTCTTGACAGGTTTGAAGGTTCAAATAAATCATTGTGGAGAAGTACGACGAAAATACAGAGTATTTACGGTGACTCGTGAACCTGCAAACAAGCTCACTTTTCCTATGACACTTGACAACAAAGTCACCCAAGAGATCACTGTGGAAAAATATTTTTATGAAAAATATAAGATTAATTTAATGTATGTTATTTTTGTTGTTTATACCAGAACATATTGCTTTATTCGTCTTATTTCTTTGTGTTTCGTGCAGATACGGACATCTTCCATGTCTTCAAGTTGGTCAGCCTTATAAACAAACCTTCCTACCTTTTGAAGTGTGTTCTATTGTTCCTGGTCAGAGATGTACAAAGAAACTGACTGACAAACAGACAACGAAGATGATTAAATGTACCGCAAAACCTGCTCCAGACAGACAACAAGAAATACTTGGCCTGGTATGTTTGTTTGGTGTAAAGACATTTTTTTACTTTCACCTTATCTCAATCTTTTGCAGCAAGTTTAGCGATTTTTCTCGTTCTCTGTTGTTCATTCACCTCTACCTAAAATAACACAAGTCATTTCAGTTTACATTTTAGGAGTAATGTAAAGATTGTTCTCGTTCTCTGTTCATTCATCAGCACCTGCATTGACATACGTTATCTTTCATCACTAAGTAAAAACTGAATGGATGTTGAATCGGTTTTAGATGAATCAAGCAAATTTTTCAAACGATGAGCATTGTCGAGAATTTGGTATAACCGTTCATCAACGCATGGTATCAGTGACTGGTCGTATTTTACCTCCACCGAAGTTGGTGTTTGGTGGACAGGTTGTAAACACATATTATACAAAAACTATAAACTTTCCGAACTGGTCATTTGCACTTGTTTTTTTTTATTATTATTTTAGGAAAAAGTTAGAGAGGTTCCTCGAAACGGTAGGACTTCGTAATTCAATGTAATACGGGATCAATTAAATAGTTTTTAAGATCAGTATGTCTTGTGTGTTTTTAGGTGTTTGGATGATGAAGGGAAAACAATTATTTCATGGTGTAGAAGTTAAGGAATGGGCTTTGATATGTTTTGCTCCTCCAAGAAAATGTAACGAAGATCACATGCGAAATTTTACGCAGAAACTTGTGAGAAGTGGAAATGAGTCAGGAATGCCCATTGCTTATCAACCATGTTTTATGCGATATGCTAGACATGAGAAAGATGTAAGCTTTACTTTTGATTTTTTCACACATTGAGGAACACACTTCGAGTTTCATAACATGTTTTCACTACAGTTGTTTAACGTCTTTTTCAGAGTCGTTGAAATTATTTTTCATATTTTGCTTATTTATCTGATGCCAGATTTATTTCTCATCTTTGAAGAACTTTTTCTTGTTAAACTTTAGGTTGGACAATTGTTTACATTTATCAAATCTTCTTTCAAAGACATACAGTTGATTATTGTCATTCTAAATGGTAAAAGCATGGTATACGGTATGTTCTTTAACTATCATTTACATGGATTGCTGATGTTTTTTAACATCCCACATATACTTTCTGAGTACTGACTTTTAGTGGTGTTTTTAATTATTGAATATGACGTCACGTTTCTACCATCGACATATGACGTCACGTTTCTACCATCCCACATATGACGTCACGTTTCTACCATCAACATTTATTTATATTTTTGTTGTATTGATATTTAGCTGAGGTAAAACGTATCGGTGACACATTCATTGGTGTTGCAACACAATGTCTTCAGTTGAAAAATGTTTTGAACACAAGTGGACAAACATTGGCAAATCTTTGTTTGAAAATTAACGTGAAACTTGGTGGAATAAATACGATATTGGCTCCTGAGATCAGGTAAATATTTCATTTTTCTTGTTTTTGATGATTTTGGCAAAAAAATGCGTGGTTCCCGCCAAATTATTGTTCAAAATTTGCTGTTTGTTGATGTGTTTGCAAATATACATTGTCTTTCTCAGACCTCCATTTTTTAAACAACCCGTCATATTCTTCGGTGCTGACGTCACCCATCCGACAGCCGGTGACGAGAAAAAACCTTCAATCGCTGCAGTAAGTTGATTATTTCTTATTATGTTCGAAATCATGTTCTTGTTCACATTTGCTCGGCTTTTTTAAATTTTTGTAAAGGTTGTTGGTAGCATGGATGCACATCCAAGCAGATATAGTGCATCTGTTCGAGTTCAAAATCACAGACAGGTTTTTATAACTCAAAGATTTAAACTTTGCCTCAATCTTCATTGTTTTGCAATTTATTAATATTGTATTTTGATTTGTAGGAAATCATTGGTGAGCTATCGTCAATGGTTCGTGAATTATTGATTCAATTTTATCAAGCCACAAATCATAAACCATGTCGGATTATTTTTTATCGTGATGGTGTCAGTGAAGGACAATTTGATCAAGTATGTAAGAAAGTGTGCATCTTTCCACAAAACATTTCAAAACATTTTTGTTTCTCTGTTTAGGTTTTATCACACGAGTTGAAGGCAGTCCGAGAGGCTTGTTTGAAATTGGAGTCTGGGTACAAGCCAGGAATAACATTTATTATTGTTCAAAAACGTCATCATACTAGATTGTTTTGCGTTAAGAAAGAAGATCAGGTCGGTGTTTGTCGCGCATATCATGATACATACCTATTGTGGACGTAGTGACGACATGATACATACCTATTGTGGACGTAGTGACGACATGATACATACCTATTGTGGACGTAGTGACGACATGATACATACCTATTGTGGACGTAGTGACGACATGATACATACATATTGTGGACGTAGTGACGACATGATACATACATATTGTGGACGTAGTGACGACATGATACATACATATTGTGGACGTAGTGACGACATGATACATACATATTGTGGACGTAGTGACGACATGATACATACATATTGTGGACGTAGTGACGACATGATACATACCTATTGTGGACGTAGTGACGACATGATACATACATATTGTGGACGTAGTGACGACATGATACATACATATTGTGGACGTAGTGACGACATGATACATACATTGTGGACGTAGTGACGACATGATACATACATATTGTGGACGTAGTGACGACATGATACATACCTATTGTGGACGTAGTGACGACATGATACATACCTATTGTGGACGTAGTGACGACATGATACATACATATTGTGGACATATTGTGGACGTAGTGACGACATGATACATACATATTGTGGACGTAGTGACGACATGATACATACATATTGTGGACGTAGTGACGACATGATACATACCTATGGACGTAGTGACGACATGATACATACCTATTGTAGTGACGACATGATACATACATATTGTGGACGTAGTGACGACATGATACATACATATTGTGGACGTAGTGACGACATGATACATACATATTGTGGACGTGACGACATGATACATACTATTGTGGACGTAGTGACGACATGATACATACCTATTGTGGACGTAGTGACGACATGATACATACATGGACGTAGTGACGACATGATACATACATGTGGACGTAGTGACGACATACATACCTATTGTGGACGTAGTGACGACATGATACATACATTGTGGACGTAGTGACGACATGATACATACATGGACGTAGTGACGACATGATACATACCTATTGTGGACGTAGTGACGACATGATACATACATATTGTGGACGTAGTGACGACATGATACATACCTATTGTGGACGTAGTGACGACATGATACATACATATTGTGGACGTAGTGACGACATGATACATACATTGTGGACGTAGTGACGACATGATACATACATATTGTGGACGTAGTGACGACATGATACATACCTATTGTGGACGTAGTGACGACATGATACATACATATTGTGGACGTAGTGACGACACAACCTACCCCCCCTGATTAATTTCCTGAAATATCATCTGTATTTATGTAGTGTGGTCGTAGTGACAACATTCCCCCCGGGACTATGGTTGATGTTGGTATCACTCACCCTACTGAGTTTGATTTTTATCTTTGCAGTCATTTTGGAGTGCAGGTACATAATAATGTACACTCTGTAAAGTTTATTTCATTGTTTATTTCATGATTTTTTTTATTCATTTCTAGGGTACAAGTCGACCATCACATTATCATGTACTATGGGACGATAATAACTTTACAGCTGATGATATTCAGTCGTTGACATATCAGTTGTGTCATACGTATGTACGTTGTTCTCGATCCGTTTCAATTCCAGCTCCTGCATTTTATGCTCACTTAGTCGCTTTTCGTGCAAGATATCATTTACAAGAAAAAGATTCCGCATGGTATGGAGATGATGTCTATTAAACTACTTACTACTTTTTCATTTATAAGGTTCAGCTTGTTCTTGCTGTTTGCTTATGTTTTATTATTGCTAACAAGATGGAAAGATCACTCTACTACACTGACACACGTTATCTTAGTTTATATTTTAGATAGTGCAAAGACTGTTCTCATTCTCTGTTGTTCATTCATCACTACCTACACTGACACACATTATCTTAATTTATATTTCAGGTAGTGTAAAGACTGTTCTCCTTCTCTGTTGTTCATTCATCATTACCTCACGGACACACGTTATCTTAGTTTATATTGCAGGTAGCGCAAAGACTGTTTTCATTCTCTGTTGTTCATTCATTACTACGTACACTGACACACGTTATCTTAGTTTATATTGTAGGTAGTGTAAAGACTGTTCTCATTCTCTGTTGTTCATTCATCACTACATACACTGACACACGTTATCTTAGTTTATATTTTAGTTAGTGTAAAGACTGTTCGCATTCTCTGTTGTTCATTCATCACTACCTACACTGACACACGTTATCTTAGTTTATATTTTAGATAGTGTAAAGACTGTTCTCATTCTCTGTTGTTCATTCATTACTACATACACTGACACACGTTATCTTAGTTTATATTTTAGGTAGTGTAAAGACTGTTCTCATTCTCTGTTGTTCATTCATCACTACCTACACTGACACACGTTATCTTAGTTTATATTTTAGTTAGTGTAAAGACTGTTCTCATTCTCTGTTGTTCATTCATTACTACCTACACTGACACACGTTATCTTAATTTATATTTTAGGTAGTGTAAAGACTGTTCTCATTCTCTGTTGTTCATTCATCACTACCTGCACTGACACACGTTATCTTAGTTTGTATTTTAGGTAGTGTAAAGACTGTTCTCATTCTCTGTTGTTTATTCATCACTACCTACACTGACACACGTTATCTTAGTTTATATTTTAGATAGTGTAAAGACTGTTCTCATTCTCTGTTGTTCATTCATTACTACATACACTGACACACGTTATCTTAGTTTATATTTTAGGTAGTGTAGACTGTTCTCATTCTCTGTTGTTCATTCATCACTACCTACACTGACACGTTATCTTAGTTTATATTTTAGTTAGTGTAAAGACTGTTCTCATTCTCTGTTGTTCATTCATTCTACACTGACACACGTTATCTTAGTTTATATTTTAGGTAGTGTAAAGACTGTTCTCATTCTCTGTTGTTCATTCATCACTACCTACACTGACACACGTTATCTTAGTTTATATTTTAGGTAGTGTAAAGACTGTTCTCATTCTCTGTTGTTCATTCATCACTACCTACACTGACACACGTTATCTTAGTTTATATTTTAGATAGTGTAAAGACTGTTCTCATTCTCTGTTGTTCATTCATCACTACCTACACTGACACACGTTATCTTAGTTTATATTTTAGATAGTGTAAAGACTGTTCTCGTTCTCTGTTGTTCATTCATCACTACCTACACTGACTCACGTTATCTTAGTTTATATTTTAGGTAGTGTAAAGACTGTTCTCATTCTCTGTTGTTCATTCATTACTACCTACACTGACACACGTTATCTTAGTTTATATTTTAGGTAGTGTAAAGACTGTTTTCGTTCTCTGTTGTTCATTCATCACTACCTACACTGACACACGCTATCTTAGTTTATATTGTAGGTAGTGTAAAGACTGTTCTTGTTCTCTGTTGTTCATTCATCATTCCTTTGCATAAAAAAACCATTCAGTTACATCAAGAGCTTAAAAGATTTTCTGTTTTCATGCATTTGTTAAAATTCTTTTTATATATATTTGATTTCTAGTTCAGCCGAAACAAAGAGGGAATTTTCTGCCGAATTTCAAGCACATGCTGTTCAAGTCCATCGAAACTCTTTAAAGTATATGTATTTTGCTTAAAACCAAGTTTGGTTTTGGTCAACAAAAATTTTTTCTTAAATGAATTTTTTTAAATAAGTTTTTAAAACAGGTAAAATATCATAAGTACGAATTGTATAAATTAAATAACGAATTGCTAGTCTTAGAAAAAAATGCCATTTTCAAATAATGGTAGTCGAGGTTATTCTTTACCTGGAGAAAATTTTAAACTCCAACTGTAAAAGTCATCTTATGAACTTGGTGTACAACAATTTATAAAATTCAAGACGTGAAATATTTTAATAAGTCATATTTCGACTCTATTTCACTGCCTGTTTTCATGACAACTATTTGAAATAGAGTCAAAGCGTAACTATTTCAATAATTTCAATCATCTCATACCTTTCGTTGGAAGATGCTCTGATATGAATGTGTGTTTAAATGTGGTTTAAACAGAAAATACACTCAGGCTTTATTTGTAGAAAATCTAAGATGATGACGTCATCGTCATCATGCTATTATTCGGTACTCCCCTCTCGACTTTTTCAGGGTCATCACGCGTGCATTGTGAATATATTTGAAGACGACTTTCTGTCTTTCCGCAAACTTTGTTAGCTTATACTGAATCTTTAGTTTTCTTCTTTTATTGCCCTTTAATTTGTCAGTGATTGCCATGAACAACATCGAGAAGCTTGTGGCAAAAGCCAAGATTGCCGAACAGGCTGAACGATACGATGACATGGCCGAAGCCATGAAGGAAATAACGAAGACGGGTCATAGTTTGAGTCCAGAGGAGAGAAATCTCCTGTCAGTCGCCTATAAAAATGTTGTTGGAGCTAGAAGATCCTCATGGCGAGTTGTTTCAAGTATAGAAGCCAAGACAGACAATCCTGATAGGAAAAAAGAATTGGCAAAGAAGTATAAGGAGAAAATTGAAAAAGAATTACAAGATGTCTGTAATGTCGTACTGGTATGTACATATATTCAGCTCAACATGGCGCCCCGCCCTCTTAAACGACGATTTTCGTAGTAAAAAACGAGTTTTTTGGCACGTTTTTGCGTATTTTAAAACGTACACAGCTTCTTCAGCTGTGCTCATATGATTGTTGTGAAATAGATGTATTGTGACAGCTTTTTTTGATAGAAACCTGAGAGCGTATTTTGATTCAATTGCATTGCTTACTACATTCAAAACATTGCTAGCAAGTTGTGTCAAAAATTTATCTATATTGTGATAGTTGACGTGTTGATTTCATGTAGGAGTTATTGGACAAGCATTTAATAGAAGTGGCGAAATCAAAGTCTGACAATGAAGCAACCGTTTTTTACTTGAAAATGAAGGGCGACTATTATCGATATCTTGCCGAGGTTGAAAACAATCAGGAAAGCGATGCAAAGAAAGGTGCAGCAAATGTGTTGTCATTTTGATGGTTTTTCACTCCAATGACTTTTGTTTCTTTTCAAAACCTTTTAAACTGTAAGGTTTTGAAAAAAAAGAAAGAGATGAGAAATTTGTCTACTTGGTACTAAATAACCCTCCTCACTTGAGTTGCGAATCAAACAAATCAAAATGTTTGCATTGTATAACTTCCTGGACACATTGTCTGTATTGAACTGAATAGTTTTAACATGACTCATGATGATAAATAATCTACCAATCAAACTTTCTTCAATTGGAGATAAAATTTGAGTATTTAATCTCCACTGGACCACTTACGTTGTATTTTTCCATCAATGATAATTCATGGAAACTGTGTCTGAGTGATGAAACTTTTGACATCATACTTTAAGTTCAAGGCCATTTTCCTGTTCAAAGAACAGATAATTGTGTTTAATTTTATAGTATACATAATTTAGCTATGTAACATGTAATTGTGTGCTTTAAGATCTATCCTTGGTTTATATTAGAAGTTGTTGAAAAGTCGGAGGATGCCTACAAGGAAGCTTATGAATTGGCTAAAACGGTGCTTGCTTCTACCCATCCAATCAGGCTTGGTCTTGCTTTGAATTTCTCTGTCTTCTACTTTGAAATTAAAGGTGATGAGAAAGAGGCTTGTGAACTTGCTAAGCAGGTAAACTTTTACAACAACTATAAGGTTTTAATTTAACTGAATATCTTTAAACTTCTTTTCTACTTTGCAGGCTTTTGATAGTGCAATTGCAGAATTGGATGAACTTAAAGAAGATTCTTACAAAGATAGTACACTTATCATGCAATTGCTTAGAGACAATCTTACCGTAAGTGAAAGTTTCCAGGGTTCAAATTAGGTTGAAAATCAATTTGCAAATTTTTAAAACATGTGTCTAGTTTAATTTCAAAATTTGCATTTTAGCTATTCCATTGCCCATATGCATGCCTATGTTTAAAATTTTCAAAATAGCAGTAGAAAGTTACAGCAATTAAATTGTCCGTTTTTAACTGGTCACAATGTTTTTGATATTGATCAATAAGCCAAACATACTTTAACATCAACTTCTGACAAAGGATTTAAGGATTTGAAAATTTTTTATTAGCTTTTCTCTTATGATGTTTTAACCATGGTCTTTATCTGCATAACATTTTTTCTATTTGTCCCATTAACAAAACACACCAGTAAATTATACGTTAAATGTTAAATGTGAAAGCAGTTTTTGTTAAGTTCTTTACATCAAAATATTCAGAGTGTAAGCATTCAATGTGCTAATTTGAACCTTGGTTATTGAAATTCTATTGTTTAAGTGGTTATGAAACCCTTTATCATGATTTTTATGTTTTGTTTTAGTTATGGAAGAGTGAGCCTCAAGGGGATGAAAATGGTGATGATCAATAGCTGTTGTAGACACATATATACAGTTATACTTAAAAAACCACTAAACTGTTAGTTGACTTATTTGTGTGTACTGAAATCCAAATCTCTAGCTGTTCAGCCAAACTCTCAAAGACAAAGTACAGTTTAATAAAAGCATGCTATGTCATATTTTTAGTTATAAGTAAAATGATGTAGCATGCTTAAGAATGACAATTTGGTCTCTAGTGTTTGGATTATATGTACACCATCATTTTCACTGACGTGGTCTGTAAATTGTGAACTCCCTTGCATGCAAAATAATGATTTTGTGATACTGTATTAAAAATTTCTTCCATATCACAACTTCTTCTTGGTCATTTTGCGTATTGTGAGCACTTTGTTTTTTACAATGTTTTCATTAAGAAATAAAAGGTGCTTACTGTGTTTACACAGGCTTATGCAAATGATCTGGCCTTTGGTAGAACTCGAAAGCAGATCAGTGCAAGCTCGAGACCGAAGGTTTAGGGCTCTACCTACAGGAGAGTTTTCCCAAACATCTCCTAGGTTTGCATAAGCCATTGCGAGCACAACAAAAACTTTTTATTTCTTTTATGAAATAACAATAATGTGAAACAGATGGATTTCAAACAAGCATTTCCATTTTTCTCTAAAAGGTATTCATAATTGAAATGCAATTTTCTTTTTCATTGATTGATTGGTTTAGTTCATAACAGTTTGCAACAGGCTAATGCAAACATGGCTATAGACCAATCATTGAATGCATTTTATTGTTTTTATTTTCTTTATAATTTTATATGCACCATGTTCTCAACATTGCCAACAGATATTTATATTGCATTGCTTAGTTTTAAAGTGAATGGTTTGGACCTGGGAGTATTTTCGTCATTTGTCTTCCAAATAAGTGACATTGTTGAGCCAATAACAGCAACAGCTCTTTACAGGAATGCACAAACCTACATGATTATCGCCTGCATATATTGCTGTTTTCGTTATAATGTTTTATATCTTATTCTAATCTAATTCACATATCAATGTACATTTCAAATTAATCCTAGCAAGATGAACCCTTTTATAAGAAACATAAATAAAATCCCCATTGTTACCAATGTGTACATTGTTGCTCATGCATGCTCCTTGCACGTGTAACTTTTAGCCAATATGGCGAGCAAAAAGTTTGTTCAATACGTAGCGATAAGGAAAGACTTGTCTGTCTCCATGAAATGGCCAACTGGTGCAGTAATTGCTCAAGCTTGTCATGCTTGTACGGCTGTTGTATTTTCGTTTCGCGATGATCCCTACACGCAAGAATACACGAAGAATTTGGACTCAATGCACAAAATTGTGGTCGAGGTGAAGTACCGTACTTTGAGGTTCAAAAGTTACAGAATTGTCTAAGTTTGAATTTAGTTGCATTGAAACATTTATTAAATGAAATTCAGAGGAACAATTTTATTGACAATGTGCCATGACACAAAGGTCAATTTAAAAAGCCACGTGGATCACCAATTCCTATGAATTGTGATAATCGTTGTAAAGTGTGGTATCGCTTCTGTGTGGTAGTTGTGTGATTGTTGGGATTGCAGTGTTCCTTTTGGTGTTACATCCCCAATCTCAGTTATCAATGGTCTACATTAAACAAACATTGCATTCCTGTAGGTTGCTGATGAAGAATCTTTGTCAAAGTTATCACAGTCTTTGGATAGAAATAAAATGGACTTCAAACTGTGGGTTGAGCAACCAGAGAACTATCCCACTTGTCTAGCTACAAAACCATATCCACGAGAGGAGGTATCAAAATATTTCAAAGGGTTCAAGCTATACCAGTAGAGCGAGCGATTTATGGTAAATATTACGAGGTATGATGCAGGTTTTTATAATTACTAGAAGTGTCTCAATTATGTAATGATACTCAAATGATATCCTGAGATCTGTCTTAGCTAAGACAAATGTCTGAGTACATGCTTCTTTTATAGAGGAGATCTAAAACCTAGCTTCACTTCCAAGTTTGATCTTAGCTGGCATCATAGCTGAAGCTATTGTAGTCACCTGTTTGGCATGTTTTTAGTGAAAAAATTTGAAGTCTTTTAGTTTTTATGGCTTTGTTTGCAATTGAAAAAGGTTTTAACTGTCTACCTTGAGTACAAAAATGGTATATCTAAATTTGGCATCATAAATGATAGTTTACAAAATAATAGTATAAGCACAGTGATCCTTTTGTACCCTTATCAATTTTAATCCTTAGTTATCTATTCATCTCTGTACCTGCTTCGATTTTTTATAATTATTTTTGTATCACTCTTTTCCTTTCATGAAAAGTTAATACCTGTCAATCAAATGACTCATGATTTGAGATGGCCCCCTACTAGATATTGTACTATTATGTTACACTGAATATTGGGTGTAATTGAATACGATTTATACATTAAGGAAATCTGTATTTGGTCACATGAAAACAAGCACGCCTCTTTTAAATTCCTGATTTGATTTCGTCGTCTGATTGTTTAACAAAACAGTTTTAACATAACAAAATTATTGATGTTATCATTATAAGCGTCAAAACGCGAGCAAAAAATAACTTTGGTTAAGTCAATAGGCAAACAAAGTATTATCTTAGGTCCATGTGGAACTACAGCGATCGACGTCAAAAGATATTTTATCAAAATATTTGTCGTCTCAAAGCTCAATTCGCATGGCGAAATTTGATGCTTGTGAAACAGAGCTTCTAAAACCAAGTGTCTTGAAGGAAGGTCATCTGTTGAAAATTGGACGAAAGTTGAAGTTACCTAAACTACATTATTACGTACTAAAACCATGTGGAGTATATTGTTTTGGTACCAGAAATAACGATATACCTCATACTTATATACCGCTCGAGCCGATCGAAGATTTATCTTTGTCTCTTGGCACAGTAATTGAATCAAGAACTCGTCTTCATTGTATTAAGATTGCGGATAAACGCAAACAGCATGTACTTGCCTGTCATTCAGTCGAGATCCGCGATTCATGGATTACCGCCATTCTCACGGCTATTGCTCAAAATATCGTATATGAAAGCGAGAGTGAACTTCGTCGAAGTTTAGATTCGTCATTGAACTCTGACGAAACAGATGGTGTGTTTTATGACGCCTATTTTACATCACCTTTCTGGGTTGCAGGCGATCGCCCTAAAGTAAAATCCAGAGCTAAGCGATTATCAATGGCTGACTTAGGAATCATATCTAAACCAGCATGGATGAATAGGGGAAGTAAGAAGAAAAAGGAGCGCTCAAAATCTCTTTCCTTTGATGATCTTCATTCCATTAACTCTGCTGCTGAAGTCAAAACACAGTTCTTTAGAAAAAGATCATTACATGATCTCACCCGTTATTTGTTCACTTCTTCTACTAACAAAAATGAAATTGGTGCGGATGGACATCAGAAAACAAAATATGTAAAGAAGCGATGGTCGTTATTTTCTGGAGTATCGTCCCTCTCAGTTAGCCTAGGAGGAGGAATTGATGAGTCGGAAAGAAAAAAATTGCGCACTGGTTCATCTTCTCCTAAGGAATTGAGTGTTGATACGAAGTTATAAACACTGTTGTTTATATGGAGCTGTATAAATCAATCTTTGAAACTTGGAAGCGCGCAATTTACGATAAGATAACACGTTGTAAAGATTGGATATGATGTTTGAATCATCCTTCCACTTGAGTCATTTTTCTTCCATCCTTATACCATACCTAACATTTTACTTTAAATTTGAGCACTTAAGTTCTTGGCAGCTGCAAGGAATGAAAGAACGAACTATTGAAGAATACGAAAAATAAATAAAAAAATGAATATAGTTGTAATGATAAAATACTCAAGCAAAACATAGTCATAGTATATTTTGAGGTAAAAAACAATGTATAATTGTCATGTGCTAAATCCGAAAAAGTTGATTCTCTTAAACGGAGGAAAACGAGTTGAGACGAGTTCGTCAGATTTCAATCCACGTGACTTTAGCCAAAGTTCTTTAATCATTCGTCATTGGATAACATGATCCACAAATTATACTCTAATATGAAAGGAAAAGAGCTCTAGAAAACACTTTAGACAGCCGTTTGTTGCTAGGGTAATGTAAGTCAGCAGGTGTGAATAATGTTTGTATGAAAATATGTTTGTTTGTGAGTATTCATTCTTCAACTGTGATAAAGGAAATTCAACTTGCAGTCATTTATCTCATTTGCTTGTTTTATAATCCAGTAACATCACTAGATGTATACCTACGTTGAACTTTGTAAGTACGGAAATGTACACATAAATTTTCTTGTGGGAGTATTCTTTGTAAACACACACCATAAATTTTGTTTAGAATGACAAAACACGATCACTTATAAAAGTGAAACTACGGTATATTTTGAAAACATAGTTACTCTGTTGAACATAGAATTAGATTTGGGTTTTTTTTTGTAAATCAAACATGCAGGTAAAACCTTTGCATCCATTATTTGTTTTATCTAAAAATTGCCAATGTTCGGAAAATTCAATGATGTTTGCATGTAATATAACTTTAGAGTAATATAACAAGGGCGGAACACATCCTAGATTAAATAAAATAGTAGGTTGTATTATGTATAAATAATCTAATTTGATTATACGTACTTATAGATATATAAATTTTTAAGAAATAATTTATGATCTTGTCAAATACTGTCGAACATCACCTAAATCCGTGTTTAAGATACCTAAAGCCACTCTTGTCTGCAAAGTTGATGATCTTTCGTTATGACTATCTACAGAGAATATTGAATTCCTTGCTGAAAATTGTTTACAAGACGAGCCATATTTATTAAAGAATGGATATGTATAGCTTCTTGTTACTGGAACTTTTCTTGTTGTCCTTGCTTTACTGCGTCGTTGCCTTGAATTGCATAGCGATACGAGAAGCGATGGAAATCTTATTGAAAATGGTAAACTCATTCCTAGTGTCTGCATTGGAAGACACGTTGAAGACGTGTGAGTTATGTCTAAAGCATCCAACAATAACGAAAGATGTTGTTCCTTGATGTTCGCTCCATTTGATATGCTTAATGGAGATACAGGACTTAATGGATTGGATAATCTTTTGCCAAGTAGTCGTTTTCTCGAGCGCGGATTCAAGACGAGGAACTCGCCTACTGAGGCTAAAATCTTCGTAAAACACGCATCTCTCTCATCACGATCTGTGAAACATATGAAGACTGTTTTAAGTCCTGCCTCAAGTTGTACAACATACATAACTATAGATGTTGCGACTGTTACTAGCTCTTTGAGAGAGCACCGTATTACTGTTTGTGTGTACTCTACGGTTTCGTGAAAAATTGATTCGTAATCTTGCGCGTAGGAGTACAGATCAAAACCTCTTTCGTGTAGGACGATCGACACTGATTTCAGGGCTGCATTGTCAAGGCACTTTGAGTCTTTCATTAGATAGGAATCGCCTGGTAACAAGTCGGTTTTATTCTTTGACAATCTTTCTTCGTTGAGGGTCATTCTCAGTTCTCGTCCTTCTTCGGTACGTCTTCGGTTTTGCCACACTGTACACTGTAAATGTGTTGACAACGACTGTTTCCGATGTTCGCTCGTTGCTTTTATCTCTCACACTTGACGATAAGATGTCGCCACTTGTGACGTCATGAAAGCAGAAGGTGTGTGACGTCACGTTGTTTGAACACGAACATTTCGTCGATTGGTAAATAAGCGGCGATATATTGTGTATTCGTTCTTCTTAGACAATATGCTAAGCTAAAAAACGTGCTTAATTTTTTTGCAATAATTTCTTATAAAGAAATGTTTTCACGTTAAAGTTATAAGAAATTGTGCCGTTTTGTAATATTTTAACTCTGTGCTCTGTTTATCGGATTAGAACGGATTGTCTATCGTATGAAAAGATATGGAACTACGAGCAGATTGACTCAGCTTAAACAGCAACAGAAAAACCAATCATAAGGACGATGACATGGCATTAAAAATTGCGGTCAACCAAACGTGTTTTGATGACACGTTCTCGACTTTTCTTTATTCAGCTGTAGCATGTTCGCTAAATGAACACTACCTGGCATTTATTAAATTTCTGTTGAGACGTGAGAGACTCGTAATCTTTGATGAAATTGAATGCAAAGTTCCAACATGTAATTTCCTGTTATCAGCAACGGTTGTTTTGAAAAGTAAATTAAATCTTTTGTGATAACAACTTTTAATAAATTTTAGAAAATTTGTGTTTGATTTGCATAATTCGCGAGAGTTTTTATCAGTATTGTCTTGTTTCGTAGGAAAAGCAATAAAATAAATCCTTTCATTTTTTCCAAAATATGCTCTGTAGTCTTTTTTGGTGTCAATTAGAAACAATACGCATTCAATACTTTGGAATTATCGGTTTGAATTTTTTCTATTATGGGAGACTATTTGAACAGGTGTATTTTTACTTCATAAATTGCCTGTTCATTTTAAATTAGTACTTACATAACGTATGGATAGCCGTTGGTTAAATTGAAGATTTTTAACTATCAAGTCAACAGCCTTCATTTCTGATCTTTTTCTTTAATGAATAAGATGAATAAGATTACAATTGGGGTCTGATGTAGCATGGAGGAATTGTTTCTTTGGGCCATCAAATCATGACCCGCAACACCTGAACATTTTACAACTCCGGAAGCAACTTTTTCATTTCATTAGCAGTAGTTTATCATCATTGGATTTTATTAGAGACCTTTCAAAGAAATGCATGATGAGGTTTTTTAGAGGGAATTTTAAGATGGGACAAATGCAGTAAACGACTCTGGAAATAGTATGACCCATTTAGAAACCGCCTGAAAGTTTGAGGTACAAGCTTCATATTTTTGACGGTTGGAATTGAAAATGAAATGGAGTATTATGAAGATTTCGCGAAAGTCATTTGAAAAGTGTTGGTTTTTTGTTGCTAAAACATGCGTTTTTTTGCGTTCTTGATTTTCTTATTCCTAATTTTATATTTGTTATTTGTGTATAGTGTTACTAATGAAACCATTGTGACAGTGTTGTAGTTTAGAGCCTTGTTGAAGCTTGTTGTCTTCCAAGAACTTTCTTTATGTTTTTATCGTTTTAAAGGTTTTACTTTTAGGTGACCACTTTCTCTAAGGAAGGTTACATCTGTGCCAACGCTCAAATTTTCTTAATCCTGAGATTGCTAATGCAGCATTACCTTGGATAAAGGGAGCTCCAATGGTGCCCCTGGAAATTTTTAAAAATTTTTTGTGATAAAATTTACAAGTTGACCTCCAAAGTCATCAAAACTGCTTTCAAACATTTTAAAATCACCATGCATGCTTTTGTAAATTTGGTAAATTTTAACTTTTCATGTAATATCTTGCTTATGTGTGAGATACATCATATGTTTATGAGCATGCTACTAAATTGTGAAGTGTGTGTCACATTTGAACATTTGGGTTTTAAAAATGAAAGTTTGTACAAGAAATGTGAGTAACTAAGCTTTCATCATATTAAAACTATTGGATTCAAAACCATCCAGGAAAGGTTAATTGGGGTTATATATGTATTTATTTGCAGCAAAGTGATTTTTTTAAAGTAAATTGCTTAATTCTTTCACTCACTCCTTTTAAAAGAAATCAGTTGGGAACAACTGAATATATGAATAAGGAAGCATTTCAGTTACATTCACTTCTACAGGTTATGGGTTGGTAAACTATAAGGAGTTATTTATCTTGCTTTTATTAGGATAAATTGTGTATTAATTAAGTTCAAGAAAAATCCTGAATAAAGAGATGGAAACTACATTTAAAATCAAGGTTGGCTGAAAAATAGTTGATGTTAGGAAAATAATTCTGATGATTAGTAGGTGTAATGTGGCCAAACATTCATTGATAAAATAATTTTTATCAAACAAGCTTTTGGCTGTCTGGCTACAGCCTTCGATTAGCCAGATAGACAAAAGCTTGTTTAATAAAAATTTTTATACCAGTAAATGTTTGACCGCATTACATATAATCCTGTTGTTGTCTGTCCTTTACACTCTTGTCTTCTTATTGTTTCTTTTATTCTCTTCTTGTTTGTCTTTTTCTCTTAACTCTTCTTTTGCCTGTGCTAGCTCTACTTTCTTTCTTTCTTTCTTCTCCTTGCTTTTTTTATTATTTCCTCTTCGTGCCTGTAGTTTCCTCTTCTTGCTCCTCCTTTTTTGTCTCCTCTTCACTGCTCTCCTGGTTTTGTTGTACCAACAGACCTTTATAAGATTGGTGGGAAGACCATTGTAAAAACATAAAAACAAACAACTGACATCAACAAAGAATCCAATATTTTAGTGACTAATTTTCCGTTGAAGTGAAAACACACGAATTAAAACGTGTTAACATTTCTTTAATTGACGTCATGACTAAAATTTTTTATTGTGATTGGCTTCTTAAGTGCTCCTTAGGAACAAAGACAATAAGTAATCCTTCAATGCGTTTAAATAAAAAAATTCATTAGAATTTTTAGATTTTTTAGCGTTTTAATGTCGTTATAAAAATTAGCGATGCATGATGTTGTAGGTTAGGATTCATGAGACGACGTTGAATTTAGAAACTAGACTTTAAGTTTGTCCAAATATTGAATGAATCTTACAGTCATATCTTTCTAGAAAAGAGTTTGGGCGTTCTGGTTGACGTCACCGACATATCTTAATGCTTAAAATCATAATGCGTTATTTAATACACTGAATAAATTTAATTAATTTATGATTTGCATAATATTACAGAAAAATGGTCCATAGTCATTTGTATTTTGCGCATATAAATGAAGGGACACTGGGAGACCATAGTTCTTTTGTTTGGCAATAATACGTTTTGTTTTTATAAATTAGATTTGATAGATATCCGGTAATTTGTTCAAGTACGAACAATGAATACTAAACAATCATGTGGAACAAATACATATAATGACATGCTTAACACCATGTATAAAGATACTATTCGGTTCGAAAGACGTCTTATTTGATAGCAGCTGCAAAAAGAAAGTTGAGGAAGGAAACTGGAAAACCCTTTCGAAATGTTTTACAAACGTACTCTCTTCGATATCATGTATGAAAATAGATCCCACAGCTGGAAACTCTAAATGTAAGTGACTACACTGACGATAAATGATTATTTGCTTTTTGATTTATCTCTATTGTTCTTCTTAAAATCGATGCTACTGACTTTAGGTATGTTTCTTCAATGTGACATTAGTTATTACTATACAATGAATATAAACACACTAAATTTGCCATCTGTTTCCATCACACTGTGGTTCAGTACATAGAGGTGCAGTTTTCACAGATTGAGGTGTAGATCTGCAACGAACGAGAGCCGTAATTGTTTTTTGCTCGATTTCTACGACTCCTTGCGTTATTTTTAGTAGCCGAGAAACCTCATGGCAAACAGAATAACCTTAAACCTTTTCCTAAGCTTAACCTAGCAAGGTATATGACTGTAAGATTCATGAATATTTGGACAAGATTAAAGTCGACTTTCTAAGTTCATTATCGTATCATGAATCTTAACCTACCACATCATGTCTCGTTATTTTGCATAACGACATAAAAAGGGAAAAATCTGAAAATTATAATGAATTTTTTTGTTTAAACGCATTGAAGGATTTTACTTATTGTCTTTGTAAAAGTTGATATGCTCCTAAGGAGCCAATCATCATAAAAAATTTTAGTCATGACGTCAATTAAAGAAATGTTAACAACGGAAAATTAGTCACTTTAATGTTGTTGAAAGAAAGGTAACTTCTGTATTTTTACTGAGGAAGTAAGTATGAGTTACATTGAATAATAAATCAGTTTTAGTGTAGGCTTTGTAATATGAAAGCGTTTACTGTAAGAGGCTTTGACCACGATGTTAAGCCTTTGATCGTGTAAAACTTGTTACATCATTCAAACTCAACTGACTAAAGCTATTCGTGCAATGTAGTTGAATGTTCTACCATTTGGATAGTCAAACAGAAAACATATTACAATGTGTCATTCTCAAGAATTAAGATTAAGAATTTAAAAACGCAAACTAACGTCATATGCAGAGTTATTCATCATGAAATCTCACACATGTGTTTCATATTTTCTTATATTGTAGATCCTATGTGGATGGAGTTGGGAAAATCCCTTTACCACCTGTGTCATTCACTTCAATTACTCTTACTAGTTTGTCATTACTCATGTGTCATGGTGATTCATGGCCAAGAATGTTCATTTGCAGTTTGGATTCTTTGTGGATGTCAGTTGTTTGTTCATATAATGATGATGGGCCCCATTGTTATATGAGCCCACCTGAAGGTGGTCAACTGATACTCACAGAAGATCAACTCTGCACTAAGCATTCTTTGAGTGATGATATAACTGGGGTGTTGAAGTGATCCCTTTTCCTTCGCTTGAAGTTACCATTTAAGTGCGTTGAAAACTGTAATCTATCGAAATGGTGATTGGTTAATGGTGATTGGTTGATGATGCTGGTTGACGATGCTGGTTAACGATGCTGGTTAACGATGCTGGTTAACGATGCTGGTTAACGACGCTGGTTAATGATGCTGGTTACCTCTGTTCGTGTGGACTATTCTACGAAGATGGAAAACAAGCGAGGGGAAAAACATGATTCGTGTCTTGTGGTTTGTAAGTTGTGTAGATACGTGTTGTATGAGTAACTGCATGAGATAGTTAAAAAAGGATCCCGATGGTCTATTTTTATAATTTGAACCATGAAAAACACACAAATTAAAAAATATCAATAAAAGATGTCACTTGCTGTGAGAAAATAGCTGGCTTTCACTCGCTACTTTTTACTAAATCTATTTAAAGTTTATAAAGAAAATTGCAATGCTGCAAGTGGGGTTCATTGAATTCCTAAGATCAAAATGTTTACAATAAGGTTCAACTATGTACACGTAAAAACTGTGCGGTGAAAAAAAAGGAAGAGAATGACTAAGTCGCCTTGATCAGACTGACCAGGACAACGCTTGGAAATCAGGTATTAAAGTTTTGTTCTTTTCATTAAAGTTTTGTTTTTGATCGTTCATTATGCTGACATTTATAACGTGTTTTTTATAGAGTAGCTATGTCTGTAGGCCTACTAACTGGACAACGAATGAACGACCAAGTCGGACAGAAGCACCAAGAAACAAGTGTCCTTATTGAAAGATTCACCCTTTAGTTATGCATAATGTTCACCAGTATAGCATATTTTCAAATCCAACTGTTAAAAATTTCCGTAAAACTAAGTTTTCACAATTGTTAAATATTTCGAGAAAAAAAAAGTGAAAGCCAGCTATTAATGAAAGTCCTAATGAAGCAACATAGAAATTTTAAATCGAACGAAGTCTAGTAGACATGAAAATTGATATTTATGCAAGTCGTGACTTAACTTTGGTAATTTCATTTTTCATGCCTGTGTCAATAGGGTAGTCAGCCTGCTTTTTTGTCGCTCTGTAAATTTCAAATTTTTTATACGAACGACGTACGATGAACGACGTACGCTGCATGTTAAAGTAGATCATCGGGATCATTGAAAACAACAAAAATATGAAACATCTTAAAACTACAAAAATTTGAGGAAATTTTTCTAAATTTTTTATCTTTTCTTTTATTAGAGGGTTTTTTACCGGATCCACCGGTTTTCCCTCCCATTTTGTTTTGTTTTGGAAAAAAACAGTGTCCACATTTGGGGCCAAGGAAGTCATTTGTCATAACATTATTTATTGTAGCTATCATGAATATTCACGTTTCTTTTTTATTTCTTGGTCTTTGGGTGTATTTCCCATAACACTGTGTTTATAAAGTACAACGGCATACATTTAAAAATATTTGTACGCATTGCGTACGTATCATAAAGCTACTTAATCAAAATTTTCAGATAAGTCAACTGCGCATGCGCAGTCTGCTTGAGCATGCGCATTCGACTTGACCACGTGCACAAGTTCATGGTCATGGTAATGACCATCTGCATCTACTAGCACCAATTTTGAATTAAATAGCATTCTTAGTAACAATTTAATGGAGAAATCATCTGCGCATGCGCTTGAGCATGCGTAGTCCACTCGACTAATTGTTCATAGTCATGGCAACGACTAACTATATGTACTTGAACTACTTTCGTGGCAATTAGCTCACTTAGTCGCAAATTATCACAGAAATCATCTGGGCATGCGCAGTAGTGACTTATTAATACCACAACTTTCGTAAGCCTTTGAATTTATGTATATATATATATAAAGCTAAAACTTCATTTAGTAGATGTCAACTAGCAGTGGAAGCTGGGTGCGATATATATGCAGTGGCTTAGGGTCCAGACGTTTCGGGTCGTGACCGCACTCTCCCTGCGTACCCCGAGCAAAGCCTATCGCAGGTGATCGCGGGGTCTGATGGGCGGAAGCTTGCTTTGGCATCTCCCAAGTAGGATAGCGTGGAGGGGCCGAAATCTCCTACCGAAACGTTAACATGCGGCGTTCTAGTGCCTTACATATAAGAAGGTATCGGGAAACATGGACCGAAAACGGGGTTTTTTGCTTTCGAATTTTATCTTTTTGTTTTATCTTATCTCTTCTCAAATTAAAAGAAAACAAGCAATGTTTCAAATAACTTCTTTTGACACTGTGCCTTATAATTTAAGATAACCTTAAACATGTTTTATACAATTTTTATAGGTTTATATCTTTCTGATTTAACTCTCTCATTTACTGTTTCTCAAGAATCACGAGCAAACCATCCATGGGCTTCATGGCAAACAAGGATTATCTGGTTGCCTTAATTAACATGCTACGCTCTAGTGCTCAACTATCTCGGGGTATCGGGAGGTATGGACCGAACCTGGATTTTTTGTTTTGAAAATTTATCTTTTTTTCTTTACAAGAATTTCTCATGAAAGAAACTAGAATATCCAAGGATACTGCAAATGTTCAAACAACTTCTGCCTTTTTGACTTATAATTTAAACCAACTTTAAGCATGTTTATACGCTTTTTACTTGTTACCTTTTACAATGTAACTTTCTCATAACTCTCTCGTGATGAACGAGTTATATCATAAACGGCCCAATAAATCACCTAGCAAGCTAAATTGTATAAACAAACGATAATTCGTCCTATTCCATCGTAATAGACTGTGCGCCGCAAACTTTGTATTAATTACAAAGTTATGTTATCTTTAATATAATTTCGTCCGTCCTCATGTCTGTATATTTTATCATTGTGTGTGTTTGTTTTTTTCTTTCGTGATTTCCACTTATCCCACTTCATACCATCTTATCCAATATTTACTTTCACGTTTTCATCCCACCATGTAATTTAATATTATGTACATAGGTATTATATATATATCCCTCTATACTTGTAATTTAATATTGTCTGAAGATGTCTTGAGAGCCAAGACGAAACGTTACGCTTTAAAATAAATATTTCTTTTTATATGTTATTTTTGTATTAAATGGCTCTTTTAAAAGCATTTTGCTGGGCTTTTATATTTTTATTAAGTTAAGTTGATATTATTACTATACCAACCTGGATGATTTACATCTACAGACATGTTATATATATATTATATATTTACCAAAGGTAGGCAACTATTATCGCAGTTACAAACACACACCTTTATATAAAGTAATAAAACCTAAAAAACAAACATGAATTAAAAATAATAATTATATCACTAAAAAATAGGATAATTTTTCAACATGAATCCATACTTAGCTTTTAAAAAGAGGACGAAAATCCCGATAAATATGCGTGAACTTTCAACTTGTTTGAAAATATATAACATATATATAACAATCAATACAAGGTTTGCAGCACACAGTCTGTTACAATGGAATGGGACAGGTTATCGTTTTTTTATACAATTTAGTAAGCTAAGTGATTTATTGGGCCGCTTATGGTTATACTATATAACTCTGTCATCATGAAGGAAAGCATCCAAGGGCTTCATGAAAAAAGCGATTATCAACTATATTATAATAGTTTCTACAAAGGTAACATTTAATAAACCAAGCAATTTGTATCGTCTAAATTGAAACTCGCTTTCAACCCTTTTGTTGTTAAATTTCGATCCATTTTGGATAGTGGATTTCTTTTTCCTTATGATATTTTCATGATATTATCTAGAAAGTAACTTCGCTTCCCGAGTAATTTTGCGATTAAACAGCACACTTTCCGGATTCATGGGAATTCTTTTGCTCGCATAGCATAGAGAGAGCCGTCCAAGTTATTACCTACCTAAGCGTATATAAAGCATTTCCAAATCACGTCCAAAATTTCCTTTAGGCATCCATGTTTTTGACAACAGGTACCAGGCCCCCTTTCCCCTCCAGAATTATTGGACAATGCGCGGTCTTTTTCTAACAACCAAGATCAATTTACTAAGGTTTGAGTTATTATTCTTTCTATTGACCGGCTTGTTGGCATAAAAAGATCTGAAAGTTAAAGATAGGCTAAACGCAAGTGTAAAGGTTATTATAATGGAGCGCATTAAGTATCCAAAGGTTCGAAGAGATGAAACAAAAGTTGATGAATACCATGGTTATAAAATATGTGACCCATACTCTTGGCTAGAAGACCCTGACGCCCAAGAAACAAAAGAATTTGTTCAAAAACAAAACGAAATTAGTGTGCCTTTCCTAGAAGAGTGTAAATTCAAGGAGAAATTTAAAAAACGGTGTTTGTAGCTTGTTATTGTAAAGTGTTCAGCCTCCATAAACCGTTTTAACATTTTGCTTTTGCAAATGTTTTTTAGAATGACTGAGTTATGGAATTATCCAAAATATGGATGTCCATTTAAACATGGAAATATGTATTATTATTTTCATAACAGTGGCCTTCAAAATCAAAGGTTAACTAAGTAAAACCTTTTGAAAATTTCTTACAAATTTTGAAAGATATATATTTATTTCTTGCAGTGTTCTTTATTGCAAGGCATCTCTCGAAGGAGAACCTCAAGTATTTTTAGATCCAAACACTTTTTCAAAGGAAGGAAATATTGCCATAAGCAGTTATTCATTTTCAGAAGATGGAGCATTGCTTGCTTATAGTCTAAGTGAAAGTGGATCTGATTGGGTCACTGTTCATGTATGTTATTGATCAGAATGCTTTTTATTGTTTTATATGACATGTTTGGTCTTTTACTTATAATGTTTGTTGTAAGTTTAGTTTAGAACAACTGGTGCTGGTGAGGTAAAGGATTTTCCTGACAAGTTATCGCAAGTAAAATTCACTAGTTTGGAATGGACCCATGACAACAAAGGAATTTTTTACAATGTAAATTACATTATAGTCAAAGATGAACATTTGTATTCATTTGATAAAGAAAACTATGTTGTCATACGTAATAGAGATACCCAAAGACTTCAGAAAAAAGTGATGGCACAGAAACTGATCTTAACCTAAATCAAAAGGTTTATTCACTTCTTTATAAATTGTTAACTAAGAAATTTTGATGGGAAATCATTTCAATTGTATCAATTTCTTGATGATTATTAATTCATTGATTGATTTTATTTGTTCTTTGATGTTAACTACATATTGCTTGAGTCAAATGTTTGTTGTTTTTGCTTTGATATAATGTAGATTGTTGAAACATTAGTGTTTTTACTGGATTGTTTTAATTAAGCCAGATGAAAGAAAATGTGTGCATCTAGGTTTAATAACTTTCTAATTGTTTTCTAATATTTTTGATTTTTTGCAAACTTAACTTCAATTTTCTTTAGTTATATTATCATGTGCTGGGAACTAAACAAGATGAAGATGTTTTATGCTGTGAATTCACAGAAAACCCAGAATGGATGATGTATGTATAGTCAATAATTAATAATATTTAAAACTTTCTTCAATCTTTAAGCTTTTTCTTTGCAAGATTAATAAAGTTATAGCACACAGAATAAAATCCTCCAACTTCCAAGGTTATATTTTTTCTTGTTTGCTATTTTGATATTTTTCTCTTTTATATTTGTGGATGTTCCTGTATAGTAGATGAATGTATGACCTTCTGTTCCAGATACGTACATGTATAACCTTCTGTTGTAGATATTTGTATGACCTTCTGTTGTAGATATTTGTATGACCTTCTGTTGTAGATATACGTATGACCTTCTGTTGTAGATATATGTATGACCTTCTGTTGTAGATATATGTATGACCTTCTGTTGTAGATATATGTATGACCTTCTGTTGTAGATATTTGTATGACCTTCTGTTGTAGATATTTGTATGACCTTCTGTTGTAGATATTTGTATGACCTTCTGTTGTAGATATATGTATGACCTTCTGTTGTAGATATATGTATGACCTTCTGTTGTAGATATTTGTATGACCTTCTGTTGTAGATATTTGTATGACCTTCTGTTGTAGATATTTGTATGACCTTCTGTTGTAGATATATGTATAACCTTCTGTTGTAGATATATGTATGACCTTCTGTTGTAGATATATGTATGACCTTCTGTTGTAGATATATGTATGACCTTCTGTTGTAGATATATGTATGACCTTCTGTTGTAGATATTTGTATGACCTTCTGTTGTAGATATATGTATGACCTTCTGTTGTAGATATATGTATGACCTTCTGTTGTAGATATTTGTATGACCTTCTGTTGTAGATATTTGTATGACCTTCTGTTGTAGATATATGTATGACCTTCTGTTGTAGATATTTGTATGACCTTCTGTTGTAGATATATGTATGACCTTCTGTTGTAGATATTTGTATGACCTTCTGTTGTAGATATATGTATGACCTTCTGTTGTAGATATTTGTATGACCTTCTGTTGTAGATATATGTATGACCTTCTGTTGTAGATATATGTATGACCTTCTGTTGTAGATATATGTATGACCTTCTGTTGTAGATATATGTATGACCTTCTGTTGTAGATATTTGTATGATCTTCTGTTGTAGATATATGTATGACCTTCTGTTGTAGATATATGTATGACCTTCTGTTGTAGATATATGTATGACCTTCTGTTGTAGATATATGTATGACCTTCTGTTGTAGATATTTGTATGACCTTCTGTTGTAGATATATGTATGACCTTCTGTTGTAGATATATGTATGACCTTCTGTTGTAGATATATGTATGACCTTCTGTTGTAGATATTTGTATGACCTTCTGTTGTAGATATTTGTATGACCTTCTGTTGTAGATATATGTATGACCTTCTGTTGTAGATATTTGTATGACCTTCTGTTGTAGATATATGTATGACCTTCTGTTGTAGATATATGTATGACCTTCTGTTGTAGATATATGTATGACCTTCTGTTGTAGATATATGTATGACCTTCTGTTGTAGATATATGTATAACCTTCTGTTGTAGATATATGTATGACCTTCTGTTGTAGATATATGTATGACCTTCTGTTGTAGATATATGTATGACCTTCTGTTGTAGATATATGTATGACCTTCTGTTGTAGATATATGTATGACCTTCTGTTGTAGATATATGTATGACCTTCTGTTGTAGATATATGTATGACCTTCTGTTGTAGATATATGTATGATCTTCTGTTGTAGATATATGTATGACCTTCTGTTGTATATGTAGGTACGGTACTCAGTTATAGATGTATGTGTAGAAATCTGTTGCTTTGCTGAGTTATTTGCTTGTAAAATGAACTGAATTAAGCAGCATTTTCTTCAAGAATATTTGACAGTTGGTCTTTTGCAACAAGAACTGTTATGCTAATTTTACAAACAATCATGCATTTTGTTGAAGTTGATAAGTTCCATAAACAGAGGATTGTTCATATTTTGATACATTATGTTTGTTGCCAGCGAGGTGCCAGGTGGGAAGTGGATTCTCTATATAAATATTGGAGCCCAACAGATAATTTTTAACATAGCCATGATATTTACATCATGTTTGTTTATAGTGGATCTGAAGTTAGCGACTGTGGTCGTTATATTATTTTAAGTATCCGTCAAGGTTGTGATCCTGTCAATAAACTTTATTATGTTGACCTTACATCTCTCAAAGAAGGCATTAAAGGTGTTTTATTTTTGTTTTTTTTATCATTTCATCACCGTCACTGAAATAAATCTGTCATTTGTCTGTCATAATTGCCTTTAATGTTTTAGGACATCTGCCCTTTGTGAAAATTGTTGACAATTTTGATGCTGAGTATGATGTAAACAAAACTGAATTTTTTCTAAAGTATTTAAATTGTGTCAAACTGAATGAAAACATTTGTTTTTTTTAGTATATAACCAACGATGGTTCTCTGTTTACTTTCAAGACAAACTTAAACTCCCCAAATTACAGGCTCATCAATATTGATTTTAATAATTTTGATGAAGTATGTGTTTATTTGATTTTTTTATCAATATGTTGTCGTTTGTTCACATTTATTTCAACGGTTTTTGCAGGAGAACTGGATGACCTTAGTTCCTGAAAATTCAAAAGATGTCTTGGAATGGGCGTCTTGTGTCAATAATGACGTATTAGTTCTGTGTTATTTACATGATGTAAAGGTTTGTATTTTGTTGATATGATGTCATAATTATTGTTAGAAGTGTTATGTAACGTCATGACTACGTCAAGAGTGTCTTTGGTTAACTTTAAACTCTACGTATCTGTTATCTTGAGGAGAAATAATGATTTTATAATCAAGATTTTTCTAGCAGATACATAGCTTGCATGCACACATTTTTGTGTTTGTGGTCTTTCAGCTATATTTTGCATTGGCAACATAATCAAAGATTGCTGATGAATGAAGATATTTTTTATGACTTTTAGAGTGTTCTTTATGTACATCGTTTATCTGATGGATCATGTATTAAGCAGTTTCCTCTTGATATTGGGAGCATTGTTGGGTTTTCTGGACAGAAAAAACAAACGGAAGTAAGTTGTTGAAACATTTAGATGAACCTAGAAATTGAAAACATTCTTCTTGTCCCTGATTTGAATTTGACGTAGTGTAGACTATTCCCAGTCTTTCCACACTAACTGCTCGCTATAGTGTTGAATTATATTATTGCAACATGCGTATCTCGAGGAAGTATTTGTTACTTATTCAGTTAAGTGACTAGAAGATCTGAATAAAGACCAGATAATTTGTACTTTTCTCAATCATCACCTTTTTCTCATCCTTTTAGCGTTTATATTTTCGCTACTTTTTTCTCTTTTATTGATAGATATTTTACCAGTTCACAAGCTTTTTAACTCCTGGAATCATTTATCATTGTGATCTATCATTGGAGAATTTTACACCAAAAGTAAAGAAATCTTTTAAATATTGTACGTCGATGCCTGTGTTTGTTGACTGTCATTTGCGATAGGAAGATTTTTATCTCTTCCTTCTGACACATAAGAAATGTCACTATTCCTTCAATTATATTGTATTTGTGACTACCCTCTCAACAAAATCTAATCGCATTGGATTTTTTGAATACCTACATAGTTTGTGTAGTTTCAGGTAGTTTACAATTGGAAAATGTTTGGATTGTTTAATTCAAACTGTGCAAATTTTTGTTTTGTTGACATCCTTCAAAATTTTATAAACAACAAGATTTTCTTTCTGTTCCACTGTACTATTCTCTAAGTATCAATTGATCCATTTTTTCAGATTTTCCATGAAACGGTTGTTGAAGGTTTTGATGCGTCGCTCTATGAAACTGTTCAAGTTTTTTATCCTAGCAAGGATGGCACAAATATTCCAATGTTTATTGTTCACAAAAAGGTATCCACGTTTCATATCATCTGCAAATTATTTCCAAGATATTAGTCAGGACAGAGTTTTGAAGAGCTAAAAAACATGTTTCCAATCATTTATTGAATTCTATCTTGCTCCCAGTTTGTGGAAATGGTTAATTTTTTTTTCAGAACATTGATATGGACGCAAGTCATCCTCTTTACATGTATGGCTATGGTGGTTTTAATATTTCTGTTAAACCAAGTTTTAGTGTCTCTAGAATTATCTTTATCCGTCATCTTTCTGGTATTGTAGCCGTGCCAAATATCAGAGGGGGAAGGTAAGTTATCTTTGTAAAGATGGATATTGGTGTGTGGGGGTAGGTATTAACTCTCGCATCGTTCGTTATTTTCATTATACGTGTGAAAACAAAATGTTCTACTGTTGGTTATTTGTTTCAATGTCTTCTTGGATTATTTACACTTTTTCGCAGTGAGTACGGTGAACGTTGGCATAAAGGTGGAATGTTGGCTAATAAGCAAAATTGTTTTGACGATTTCCAATACGCTGCAGAGTATCTCATAGCGCACAAGTATACCACATCGGAAAGGTTCGTTGGTTATAGCTGAATTGCCCTCACGTTTCTTCGTGTTTTCAATTTTTGTCTTTATATAGAATTGCCATTAATGGTGCATCCAATGGAGGGCTGTTAGTCGGCGCATGTGTTAATCAGCGTCCTCAACTATTCAATTGTGCCGTAGCGCAAGTGGGGTAAAATTTTTTTTGTTTTGTTTGATTGCGTATGTGCGTATTTACGCATGCGTTAATACACACAAAGTCGTTATCTTAACTTGTAAATTGATAGTATTTGAATCATGAAGGTTTTTCTTATAATTTCATGTTTTTAGTGTGATGGATATGTTGAAGTTTCATAAATTTACGATTGGGCATGCATGGTTAGTTCATACAACATAAAATCTTTGTTAATGATCATTCATACTATATCGTTGTTCATATTTGAAAATTTTTTGAAGAAACATTGATCCATAGAATACTTTGTTTTAGAGAAACATTAATTTGTAGAAAAATGTGCTTTCAGGGAAACTTATGTATCCCTACCCTAATCACTTATTGTAATTATGACATCACAAGGTTAAATAGTTGGAATGTTATTAAACAAAAAGAATGATAGCACAGCGCTATAACCAACAACTACAAACAATAACGACCTTGTCCAACAACATTTGAGAAATTAACCTTCCACTCCTCTTCCTTGTAAACCAGACAAGTCTGCTCAAAAGCAGCGAGTCTTATACGCTACAAGTCCCGGGCTTGTGACCGGTATAGCAGAGTTAAAAGGTGAAAGGTTTATCATAGATTAATCAACTGAATATTCCTGCTCATTTTTTGTTTGGAAGCATGTTGAACAGTTCATATGGACAAACATGAACAGTTCATTACAAGCATGTTGAACACTTCATTACAAGTCCCGGGCTTGTGACCGGTATAGCAGAGTTAAAAGGTGAAAGGTTTATCATAGATTAATCAACTGAATATTCCTGCTCATTTTTTGTTTGGAAGCATGTTGAACAGTTCATATGGACAAACATGAACAGTTCATTACAAGCATGTTGAACAGTTCATTACAAGGAAGAGGAGTGGAAGGTTAATTTCTCAAATGTTGTTGGACAAGGTCGTTATTGTTTGTAGTTGTTGGTTATAGCGCTGTGCTATCATTCTTTTTGTTTAATTATGACATGTTGAATGCTTGCACGAATTTTCTCATAAATTAAGTAAAAACCACCTTGTAGGGTAACTGACTATGGTTGTTCATCAGCGAAGGAGCAATTTGAAATGCTAATCAAGTATGGTTGGAAACTATGTTTTAAAACTCAATGTTTTAAGTTCGTAGAAAAAATTGTGTAATTATTTGTTTAGCTATTCTCCGTTACATAATATCAAAATACCAGAAACTGGCGTTCAATATCCCTCAGTCTTGTTGATGACGGCTGACCACGATGATCGCGTTGTTCCTTTGCATTCTTATAAATACATAGCGCAACTGCAGTATATTATGGGCAGCCAGGAGATTCAAGTAAGGATATTTTTGTCAATAATTTTTTTGATGGTTGTAACAACGAAGGTTTTCTCAACCAGTTTTAATGTTTCTTCAGAGCAATCCGCTGTTGATTTTAGTGGACACAAAAGCTGGACACGGTGCGGGAAAACCAACTTTAAAAAGGGTACAAATATGTTATTAATGTACAATATTTTAGCTTTAGGACCTTTTCAAGTAAAAGTATTATTTTTATCTTAGATAGATGATTGTGCGAATATGTTTGCTTTCATTGCAAAAACAATCAACATAACGACATGGATAGAATAAAATACTGGCAGGTTAGTTGGTACGATGAATTTTGTTGTACTGTCATTAAATACCGTTTTTTTTTCGGTACATTAACTTGCGTGTTTAACTCGTTTCTTTTATTTGTGTGTTTGTCATTAAATTTTTATAACGTTGGTTGGACGTCCTTTCTTCTTAAGGTCTTTTACCTTCTTCCTTGTTTTTTGTTAGAAGTTTTTTGTGAACATTAGTTGTAACTTTTGATTTTCGATTTGGGTGCTTCAACAAACGGTTTGTTTGATGTCTTGCAAAGTGTGGCAAACCATGATTTAATCCTTTGTTTCTGGCGTTTTTTTGTCCTCCATGATTGCTATCAATACTTAGTTTCTGGCGTTTTTTTGTTCCATGATTCCTATCAATAATTTGTTTCGACCCTTTCTTAATTATTTTTTGATGTTTAGTATTTTGATATCTAGAACATTGTTTCCTCGTGTGTGATATTCTACATTCTTTGTATCTTTTCATTAAATCTAAAATAAACATTGGTCTTTCATCTGATGACGTAAAGGTTTTTCACACATAGAAAAAGTTTCGTGAAGCACTCACCGATTTTAACTAAATTTGTGTCTTTTTTTGGTTCTTTCTCCAACATTCCCTTGTTTTCTGACACTTCTTGTTCGGGTTGAAGTATCAAAGAATCGTCATTTGTTGTTCCTTGGCTAGAATTCTCTGTATGATTCTTTGCTATTGCTTCCTTGATCATTTTCACGTCTTTACAAAATAATAAAACTGTCTTTTACATTAAAGGTTCTCAGTACGTATCATCATGAAAGAACAAATGATCACGGTGACAAGTTGTTTAGTGCGCCTGTCAGGTAGCTATTGACATTTCAAGCATGTTATTTCTAAAGTTGTTCTGTGATAATTTCAACATCCGCATCAATAAAATTGAGCTTGAGGAGACTCTCTTGCATTTAAAGTGCAAGCGAGTGATAAACATCTAGTTTACCTTGGTTTAGCTTTTCTAGAAGTCTTAACATCCTTGATCCGAACCTACAGTTAGATTTAGCTTCAAGAATTGCATCGTTATTATGTATCTTTTGATCAGTCTTCTTAATTGCTTTATCCTCTGCGTTGTTCGTTGCATTTGTAAAAGTTGTCTGAACTTTTTCATCAAGAATTTTTACACCCAGTTTATATAAAGCTGGATTGTCCAGCAAAGTTTCCTTTTTTATAATAAAACCATACGTAACTGGTACCAATCTTGACTTATATACGATTGATGTTGATTTGTAAGGTACAAAAACTCCGCCATCCACGATTGAATTACTTTTCTCGACAAAATTGTTTGTATCGACTATTCCTAAGAAATGATCGATAACATTCGTAGATGATGCACTTTGATAGACTTTCACATAACACATGAAAAATATTAGCAAATTTTCTTTTTTCATTTCCTTCGTGGTACTTTCAACTGAGTTCAACTATTCTGAATAAATTTTAGTTTTCATCGGCGATTTAGTGACTCCTGTGAGATAATTCCTTACCATGTTTTCGGTTGATCACGTACGTAAACAGGTGGTTTATTTTGACCTGTTCACATTAAACTCTTTGAAATCAAAATAGAATAAATGAGGGTTTTTTAAAATAACTGAATTTTATTGACAAATAATTCCTACAAATGTTCTATATAAGACGAAATCCTTCATCCACGTTCTTTTGCCAAACTAAGTTATTTCAAATTGATCTTGCTGACAAGCATTTTTCTCTTCATGTATATAAATTATATTCCCATTATATTTAAGTTACTAGAAAATGTTTGGTAATCATATAGTATTTTTTGCATGAAGTAAATCACTGATCATCGTCCTGATCATTTTACTTTCTGAGAAAGTCATTGCATACTTCTGTCTGTTGAAATCCATCATTAATTAATATCATTTACATTCAAGGTAGGCCAATACAACCTGTATGCTCTGTATGGCAGACTTTCTAGCCGTTCGAACATCTTCATAACCATCAGTGGTAATTTTATCTAACTCAAGAATATACTCCGTCAATGTTCCATCCAAATAAACATACTCTTTTGTACCTAAAGTAAAATGATTTTATGGCATTAACTGCAAACATTGTACTTTAATATCCACATTTTGCATACTCACCTCTTCGGCCTCTGAACTGTTGGACCTGAGGTATTAGTACTGAGGTCTGTTGTAAAATTCTGTTAATATTCTGAATATGGGCATCAGAGGCTGTGCCTTTCAAGGAAAACTTGATATAGGTAGGAGTGACTGATTGATCTTTTGTGGTTGGTCATCAAATTTTTTTACATTTTGTGGCATATCTGCTGTAAACTGACTATGATATAATGATGGTGGTATTTGTGTTGTCTGTGAATATGAAGATAAATTGGGATATGGCTGAGTTGGTTGAGGTATGGTAGGTGTATATGGGTGCATTGGTCTCTGTGAGGTAAGTTGGTTTGTCAGTTGTGGTATCTTTTGGTCTGACCTTCCACCTTTATTGGTTACAGCTTGGTTTTGCAATTGTGGTGAGTATGTCATATTAGCTGGTTGAAATAAACCAACACCTTGCTGATTTTGAGTTGAACCAATCGCACCTTGTACTGACGGATAACCATGTATATCGGTCATAGTATATTGACCACTTGGAGGTTTTGTATTGGAAAGGACTCCCAGAGAAGTGGACACAGGTGTTCCCCAAACTGGGTAGATATTTGGCTGAGTAAGATAACCATGTGCAGTAACCCTTGTTGGCATATTCACATCAGGCGAAAGTGGTTTTATGTTGACATTCTGTACTTGTTGGTAATTTTGTGGTTGTTGCATGAAATATTGTGGTTGTTGGTGATATTGTGGTTGTTGCTGACTTAGTGGCAGTTGTTGAGATGGTTGATTTGGTGGTTGTTGGTGATTTGGTGGTGGTGGTTGGTGATTTGGTGGTGGTTGGTGATATCGAAGAGATGGATGATTTGGTGGTGGTTGTTGAAGTTGAGGTGGTTGGTGATTTGGAGGTGGTGGTTGGTGATTTGGTGATGGTGGTTGATGTTGAGGTGGTTGGTTATTTGGAGGTGGTGGTTGAAGTTGAGGTGGTTGGTTATTTGGTGGTGGTGGTTGAAGTTGAGGTGGTTGGTTATTTGGTGGTGGTTGTTGAAGTTGAGGTTGTTGGTGATTTGGTGGTGGTGGTTGAAGTTGAGGTTGTTGGTGATTTGGTGATGGTGGTTGATGTTGAGGTGGTTGGTTATTTGGTGGTGGTTGTTGAAGTTGAGGTTGTTGGTGATTTGGGTAAACATTTCCTTCATGCGGGTGATTTGTAGATGATCTTGGTTGGTAAGGTAACTTGTGGTGACTTATGTCTGATCCTTGAAGATAAGTACCAGTAACTTGTGATGGTATACCTTTTGATTGAGCTTGAGGTACTACAGATATTGGTTGAGATGCAGGCCATGTGGGTTGACCAGCTGTTGCTGATGACATTCCCTTTACAGGGAGCATTGATATTTGTTGACTAGTCATAGAGTTTGGATCAACAGTAATGCCTTGTGATGAAGGTAGAAAAGTAATCTGTTGTGGTAAAATTGGTGTTGCCGGTGCCATATTTGTTAATGAAGTTTGAGGATAATGCACATTGCCTTGGTTATACACTTTTTGATAATTAAAGTTACTTGACAAATAAGCTCCTGGATATTGGTTGCTAGACTCAGAATTCTGTGTTTTAGTGTAAGGAAAATGTGTAGGAAACTGTTGAGGAAGTCTTGAATTACTGGCATTGAAATTATATGAGTTGTATGTTAAATTGGAAGTAGTAGGTTCAGTACTAGTAAACGGATATTCGTTAAAGGTTGGATTATATTCTATACTCCTTTCCCCACTAACTTTACTACTCCAAGATGGCTCTTCTTCTATTTTTGTACGTTGTGGGTAATGATTTTCCCGTATTGATGATTGTCCTTCGTCAGTTTGCTGTGGTATTTGTAATCCTTCAAGAGATTGGCTTAATTCTTGAGTAGATGGATAATAAGACGTGGTCTGTAACAAAAAATTTGACAGAAAGTTTTCATTCCCTGTTGTTTAGTTGTAAAAAACAAAGGTTAGTATCTAAAACGTTTTGATAAAATCATATCTCGTATATTTCATATAATATTCTTTTTTACCGCAACTGCTATACGTGGATCTTGCCATGTTGTTATCCGATTTTGGTGGTCAACAAAGAACGGTTTGCCACATGTAGGGTCAATTTTCATCTCCCAAAACGCAGGTAGACCATTAGCTGACATCGTAAGAAACCTTAAACGTTGTTCTCGTTTAACTTCTTCCGATGTACGTGTTTAGTTCAAATCAAAACATTGAACCTTCGTATCATTACGATGTCCGAAACAATTGTCGGAATTATATCGTTGACGTCAGTAATCCGTCATTTGCAACTTTAATAAGATGGCGGGAAATTATGCAAAGAAGTTTTTTTCTACATAAGTCATGAGGAATTTACTTGGATATTGAAGCATGAACTAAAAACGAATTCTTGGGTAAGCAAAAGTTGGAAAAAATTGTTTTCTTAGCCTAGTCATGTAGTACGCCATTTTTATCGCGCCATAACATAACATTGAGTTTCATATAAGAGTGAAGCATTGAAGATTGGTGCTATTTTATAATTTATTATGGTAAATAATAACTGCCATTCTCAATTTTAACAAAAATAAAAGACAAAATCCTAAATTTTTGGAACAGATTTTGCCGACAAAGCTTTCCAAGATTATTCATGCACAATGCAAAGTTTGAATTGAAATTTGGATTTCAGTGAATATTTGATGAGACATGAAGAACACTATTTCCATTACTTGTATGGAAAGAAAGTGAAATGAAACTTTAAAAAAGTGTATCATATCAAAGTGACTGAATTGATTTTCACAAAATCAATTGAAGCATACTCTACATGTCATATTTTACAATCATGTGACTAGCTTCTAACATTCTCTTGCATTGTTTGCTGTCATGATCCATATTTTGGTGGGCTCTTTACTGGTGGAAGTGGTGGTGTAAAGTGCATTCTGGGTAAGGGTTGGCCGGCAGCACCTGATATTGGTGGTGCAGGATGATTTTGTTGAGGAGGAAGATGTTTAGGTGGAGGTTGAGTGGCTTGTTGAAGCCTTCTTGTTAAATCCTCTATACGGATATCCTTGAGATGCAAAAGATGTTCAAGTCTTCTTACTTTAACTTGAAGAATCTATTTATAAGTATGAAAAGAATGAAAATTATCTTGATGGTTGTTACATAATGTGAAATAGCAGTTAAAACCTGTACAGTTTCTTGTGATGATAGTAAGGTTTGTTCTTTTTCCTCAAGTAACAAGCGAATGTTTTGTGGCAATTCAGCACCTTTATTTGAAGACTTTACATGAACTTGTTTATGTCTGAACAAAAGCGTAAGACTTATAACATCAATTTAATTTGATCTTCTAATAGCTTAGTGATATATACCCTGTGTGAGGTGTTTGTTTGGTAATTGAGAATTTTTGTTCTACATAAGGTTCTAATCTTGGATTTGCTTTCAAGCTGTTGTGACTGAGCTCTTCTTGTGACTGGTCATATGGTCCCATCTTTAAATAATACAACATGTAACTAAATAATGCCAGTTAGTCAAAATTTCAAATGATTAGAAAAAAACATGTTAAAGAAATGCATGTAATTTTAATTTTCTGTTATACCTTGTAAGAAGAGACATTTGCCATTCCTGGATGATAAAATGAATTATAGCCACTTTCTTGTGTAAACTCTCTTTCACCTTAACACGAAGTAGTCAAAATTATACATCAGTAAGACCAAAAACAATATAACATGATGAGTTAAGATTTCTTTTGAAGCAATTACCTTCAATTGACACATAAGAGTATGTGTCAGATACTATTCCAGTTGATAATTCATCATAGACTTGATGTTGTTTTCGCAAGGCAGCAGCTTTTCTTCTTCCATCATATTTGTCAATCTTGAGATCAAAATGTTCACTTTAGTAAAAAAAACACTTCATTTTTTAATCAATTTTAAAAAACCTTGTCTCTCAGATTTATCAGGAACATCTCAATTGCACCTGATTGAGATTTACATATACTGTCAACAAGGCCTTCTGAAACCTTACAATCCAAACGACTCAAGACTTTTCCTGTGGGAGAAACAGAAATACATTTGCTCGAGATGTTAAGAATGTGATTTCAAATAGAAACGCGCATTCTGACCTACTTTGTAATGTGTTCCAGTTTTCTTTTTTTTGTGTGACTGAATTTGCTGGAGAATAGTTGTGGATTTCTACAATCTTTGGTATGAAGTGATGAACCATCTCGGCTACCAACACTGGATGGTGTTTATGTAAGAATTTTGAAGTTATTAAGTTTGATTTATTTCCTTTAACTACATTTAATATTAATAAAAGGAAATTATACAGTATAAATTACAGATTTCATTTACCTCCATCGCTAAAATCTCGTGCAATATTTCGTTTTGGTCTTGACAGCGGTATCTCGTCTATCCATGTGTACAAAACTTGTAACGTTTCGTCGTCTAGTTCATTCATATTACTTAAATAGTCGCCATTTTCCATCATAAACTCTACTGAAAGTGGTCCATCGATGTAAAAAACAAGGCATTCAATCTAAAACCCATCAGCAAGATAACGAAATTCGAGTTTCTTTAATTGATCGCCATGTTGTTAAATATGTTGCCATATGATTGCCATAGCAACTATCCTTTGTGTTTTTGCTTTTGACAATTGGGAAGTATATTCGACTTGTCTTAAATGTTTAAAATTAGCCACATACTCTTTCATTTATTTCAAAGGGACGCTTAACATTTACAAGTCATGTATATTTGTAAGTTTTTGTCAAGAATTTAAAGCCTTATGCAAAATGTAAAGCTTGAATAACACTGGTCAACAGCAAATTTGGTGTCTCAGTTTTGTAAACTGATTTTGGATAATTTTGATGTGCTGAGTCCAAAAATAACACTATTTTTGCTGGGTCAGGTCGAGATTTTAAACTATCGTTAATTTTCTATTTTTAACTTTTAAATACCGAAAGGTACAACAGAAGCACTAACCATTTACCTTTTAAAGTTCTATTATCTGAACAAATTTAAATTTTTAGCACTAGCAATACAAAGAAGAAAGCATTTGAATAAGCAATTTTGATTGAATTTCAATTAGGAGTTTAGGTTTTGCGATTATTATGGGATATTTAAAGATAAAATAAGGCTTTATTTAGCCCATACTGAAATTCAATGGTAAAACTTGTTAAAACACACCAACATATTAATGTACGTAAAATAATAAAAGTAGAAATAAGAAAAATAAGCCAGATGTTTTTGCTATGTTTGTGGTGAATACACACCAAATCGCAATACTGTCACCACCTTTATCAAGCGCGTTTACTATGCATATTTTGGCATGAAGCTCGGCGATCAAGACAAAGTTGGGCACCTCACATGGTTTGCAAAGATGGCACGCAAAGTCCATGAACTTTGGCATCCCCATGATTTGGCGAGAGCCTTAAATCATGCAACCGATTGCTACTTTTGTGCTATCAATGTCATGGGAATTAACAGAAAAAATCGCACAACACTGGAGTATCCCAATCTACCGTCAGCTATGCGCCCTACTCCTTATAGTGAAGAAATTCCCGTACTTGTATTTGAAGATACAAGTATTGAAGAAAGCAGTAGTAGCCAGGATGAAACTCAAAGCATTGCCACTACCGTTGATGCATCCTTTCCACATGACTAAATTGTTTTCCCGATGGCAAAATTGTTTCCCAAAACGAACTAAACGATCTTGTTCGCGATTTAAATTTGCCAAAAGACTCTGCCGAACTTCTTGCATCTCGTTTAAAGGACAAGAACATGCTAAATGGTAAAGTTAAGGTAAGTTTCTTCCGTACCAGGCACCAGGAATTTTAAGATATTTTGCTCAAGAAAAGAATTAGTCTATCGCAATGACATAGTAGAGCTACTGAAACATCTCGGCGTACCTGAATACAAATCAGAGGACTGGCGACTTTTTATCGACAGCAGCAAAAGGTCCTTGAAATGTGTGTTGTTACACAATGGAAATCAATTTGCATCTGTGCCATTGGCACATTCGACAACATTAAAAGAACAGCATGAAGCAATTAAGTACGTCCTAGAAAAAATTTCTTATGACCAACATAAATGGCTGATTTGCGTTGACTTTAAAATGGTCAACTTCTTGCTTGGTCAACAGTCTGGATTTGCCAAATACCCATACTTTTTATGCCTCTGGGATAGTAGGGATCGTACTCATCATTACGTGAAAAAAGAATGGCCAGTACGTGAAGAGCTTGCAAGTTGTAGAGCAAAAAATGTGATAAACAAGCCTCTAGTTGACAGGGGACGTATTTTATTTCCTCCACTGCACATAAAGTTCGGTTTGATAAGGCAATTCACTAAAACTTTGGATAAAGATGGACGGTGTTTTCAGTTTCGTTGTAAAACCTTCCCCAATTTGTCAACTGAAAAATTAAAAGCTGGTATTGATCCCGAAAATCTTGGCTCTTTAAGCGATGAGCAAGGAGAACGCTTTCACCATGACTTAAGAGAAAGGTGGGACATGGTGATGATGGCAGACTACTGTTGGAATTTAAAAAAGAGATGTGCAAGCACCAAAACATTCGCGACAATCAAAAAAAACGAAAATTTAGACCGTAATAATGCAAACATTAAGTTTTCATTTTTAGTTACATGTACTGTACATGAAGTGTACATGATTCTTTCTTGGAATACTGCAATTTTATCATAAAAACTGACATTTTGTTTTGAAACATCTTGAAAACATGTACATCTTGAAAACATTGTTTTAAAAAAATATAACTAAAGTCGCATAATTTTAAATTCAAATTTGCAAAAAAATTTGACCTCCGAGAGCAAAATGAATGTTATTTCTAGATTTAGCATAGCAAAAATATAGTAAATCTGTCAAAAAATATCAGACACCTTTTAAAAAGTTTCTTTTTGTTGACCAGTGTAATTCTTGTGCGGGGGATATATATACACGCGTGAAGTTAATATATCCACGCGTGATTCACATAGTGCGTGTACTACTCGTGGCCCGTGTTGCAAGTTATGTGATGAATTTTAATCGGAGAAATTGAATATTGTCATGAAAAAATTGTTATTTTTCGTTTGACGCGCGCGTTTTGTGTCTGTGTTATGAAACAGATTAAGAAAGAGGTATTTCAGTATTTAGATGACGTCGCAACAAGCGCAAAATACGTTATCGTGCGACAGATGTGAAGGAGGTAAATGGAATGACGACACCAGTAGTGATCAGGATTGGCAGCATTTTATTGCTGGAGCTGGTGCTAGTGCAATTAACATCTTTGTGACTTTTCCCATTTTCAAAGTATGTTTCCGGCAGCAAGTTGAAGGAACTAGACTTAGAGTTGCTTTTGCTCAGATAAGAAATGAAGGATTTCATTTTCTCTATCGAGGAGTTTTACCTCCTTTGCTTCAAAAAGCTACATCAGTATCTCTGATGTTTGGATTGTACCATAAATTCCAAAGAGACCTAAACTCTACCTTCCCAAGTGTACCAAGCCAGATCAATAATGGTGCAGCTGCTATATTTGCTGGCACTGCAGAAGCCATTCTAACACCTTTTGAACGAGTGCAAACCATTCTTTCACATCGTAAGCATAATGAAAAGTATTTAAATACATTTCATATTTTTTGGGAACTACGAAGATTTGGTATCAAAGAATACTACCGTGGACTTACTGCTGTCTTGTTACGTAATGGCCCAACTAATGCCATCTTTTTTGGATTTCGAGGTTATATAAAAAATGCTTTACCAGAAGCACAGACTAGTGTACAAAACACATTACAAGATTTTGTCTGTGGGGCATTGTTAGGTGCTACAAATGGAACAATATTTTATCCATTGTCTGTTGTAAAAACAAACATGCAAAAACATGTTGGAGGAGTCTACTGGAGTGTTTTTAAGACTTTTTATAATATTTTTAAGGAACGAAATTATCGTGTAATGCTACTTTATCGTGGTGCTTTTTTGAATTTCTCAAGAGCTATTGTATCTTGGGGTGTTATAAATGCATCATTTGAAATCATACTCTCTGAACTTCATAACATGACTAACAAATCTTAGTCAATTTTCTACATTTATATGTTAAAATTTCACCAAACATTTTTGATAAGAAAATGATCAATTGTAAAATTTAGAACTTTGATTTTCTTCAGCAAAACTTGAGAGGAGATGGTTTTATTCTTCTGTATGCCATCCAATCTATGAATGTGTTGGCTGGAGTATGAGCAATTTCATCAAGAAAGAACTAAATAAGAATAAAAAACTTTACTTTAGACAACTTGGCTCTCATACTTATTTATAACAAGGTTAAAACTTACTTTGAGTGCCTCTTGTGTGCTAGCACTGCATAATTCATAGAGTGGAAGGCTTTGTACTATCAGACATATCTTTGACTATAATGAAAATTTATTTTAAAATTTATTTAATCTGCAAAGAATCATAATAAAATAAATCAAACCTTTATGTTTGGCAATATTTCCAGGTCGTCTTTTGAGAAAGGGACAAATTTTTGTAGGTATGAATTCACTTCAACATCATCTTCGACTTCCAACTGCTGAGCTTTGACACATAAATTATCAAACCTATCATGACGAGAAAAAATTAAGAAAATTGAAGATAAAGAATTAAAGAAGAAAAATTAAGATTGAGAATAAATTAGAGGAAACCAATATTGTTTTTACATAGTACTCTATATGTAATCTTCGTGTTATCGTCATACTTTGATATTACACAACCACAACTACTTTTTCTCTTAAATAAGACCATTTTTTGCAATGGTCGTAACATTAAACTGATAAGAACACACGTCATACGAACGTCACATAAACCTCACGCAAAAGTGGGACGAGATTGATCGACCATTGTAAGGCAAATCACCAAGTAATAAAATGAAAAAGGAATGATATGCACAAAATGGATTTTTTAATAAAAACCGACGTTGTGGTTATTAAAAAGTATAACGTGTGTTAGTGTAACTAGCGAGGAATGGGCCGTTACAACTTTCAGTGATATAAAAAATTTTATTTTGTAGGAGAAAATAAGTATTGTTCATATTATTTACCATCCATCTGGTCGCACATTTTGATCGTGATAATCTTGTTGAAGTTTTTGTGTTGACTCTCTCATTTTTCTTATATCATGTTTAAAAAGGTGAGATACTTTTAATGCTTTAAGTTTTGCGACAAACACCGGCTTTTCAAGTCTAAATAGCAAAGAAATATTTATTATAACTAAGAATTGACAAGCTCCTTATTTAATGAACGTTAGCAATTTTAACATTATACGTTTCTCACTTTTCAATTCTTTTCATATCATCTTGTAGCCGTTTGGAACATTTTTTTTGAGCGTTGATGTATTGATTTTTTAACTCGTTCAAATTTAAACAACTCGAGTTTTCTATTTTTCTAAACAAAGTATCCAAATAGTCAAATTATACGTTCTTTCTAAGTAATCTGTTTTTTTATGGAGACGTTTTTAAAACTTTACCTTGAGTTTAACGGTTTTGATCCTTTCTCATCTACAATGTTAATAATGATTTATAGTTAATTTTACATTACTATTACACGTTAAGGTAATGCCAAAATTTCTGTAAAACAATGAACTACATTTTCTTTTTTTATCGTTACCTTTGCAGGAAGTGTTTAGGGAATGGCAAATTTTAATTCACAATATGCTACATATTTCCTTAAAACTAGTTTGTTTTTTTTGTTTTTTGTTTTGAGGAGTGAAAACGTATTTTATTATGATCATTATCTATTACAAATATAAATGTTAAAAAACTAAATCAAATATGACTAAAATCAGTGTTTAAAAATATCCATGATAAAAGGGACAGTCAAATGTAAAGACAACTTTCCCAATAACCTAGGTCAATATTTAAAGTATGTTCGCGAGTTGAGCTCGTGGAACTCTAAACTAACTCTCGCTAGCTCATTATTCATGAATACTACATGTTTTGACATACTTCTTTCTGTTGCAGCAACATGTTGCCATAATGGTAGTGTATGGTTTATTTGCCATAATTCTGTATTACGATTGGTTGAGCTTGTTGTTGTACCCAAAAACTGACCTTTTCTACTATAAAATATCATTTAAATGTTTCGATAGTGGTGACAGTGTAGTTGCAAACAAACAATTTAGAGTTTCATTTTCATTATTAGAAAACGTAATGATTACAATCTACCAGAGTTTTACTAATCTTACATTTAGAGATAAATTATGTTTTTACGAAATGTCAGACAAGTAAAAATCTTTGATTGTGTAAGCTGATGTTGTCAATTTCTGCCCCTTCATAACTGTTTTATCTATGCTCCTGCCTTATACATATTTCTCTCTTACTTTTTTCCTGCAAAGCTTTGTTTTTCCATCGTTGAGCCACATTCTATAGCTGAGGATCGTGAAATATTCGAAAACGAATCATGTAGAATCGTACTTGCCATGCGATCAGAGTCACTGTGTCGAATGTGAAAAGAATCTGTGGAACCTTCGTTATTTTGAACATTTGTTGTTACTCGATGATGACGTATTGGTTTTCCTTTTGCATCCAAATGTACATCGCTATTTAGCACTTTAAGATAATCTCGATTTAACGGAATCTAAAATTTTTTGCATAATTTCTCGTTTTGTTCCATAATTTGTGGACAAATATATTATAATATAATTAATACTTACTAATGTTGGTCTCATTTTTCGTCTTACCTTTGTTCTTAGATCACGTGATTTTAGATGGTACATACAACATATGAATGAATAAAGAGATTTTAGGAAAGCTACAAAGTTCTTGCATTTTCGATTATGATATTCTCTGAAAAGCGACAAAGTAGCTTATTTTGCAGTCAGTTTGTTGTTGAGTTTGGTACATTTGATTCAAAATGTTTTTTTCTAGATACCTTTGCTCGCCTGCGTCAAGTTTTATGCTTTCATCAAGAGATGTATTCTCCATGTTTCCAATTGACGTTTGTGAAGCAAACACTGATTTTCTTTTTAGATGAATTGCTGGAGGATTAAGTGTGAACGGCATCTCAAATTTTGCTCATCCAAAAAGTCGTACATCTGTTGCATTTATTGGAAAGTTTTTATTGATTATGGTCATCATTGTGTAAGTAATGAATTCAACTTTTTTATTTCACCTTTTTTTGCACCTCCTCTCGTAAGCAAAGCTTGTAAGTTTGTCCCGCTTTGACAGCAGCTAAACGACTTTTCATCAATGCCAACTTCTCATTAATAACTGCTGACATGTTATTGTTTGTGTAAATACATTTATCTTTTTCCTTGAGTGACTTGTTGCTTTCTTCGTCCTCAAACTGTGAATCGAATTTTTTGGCTTTTTTTTAGAAAACAAAAAAAAAAACAAAACGCAAAAAGTAGCTAGTTCTTTGAAACAACTACCTTCAAATGTTGTAGATCTTTTTTACGTATTATTTGCCATAAAGATGGTTTGATAAATTTTTCTCTACTAATTTCTGTCTAAGAAAGCGAGACGACGTTACTTAAAATTACTGTAAAACTTATTACTGCTATGATTAACTTATCCCTTTTTTTAATGTACCTTTGTACCACATAATGTACCTTTGTGTCGAGTGTGTTTAATACCAGTTCTCTTAAATCTAGCTCCAACTCTCCAAACATTTCGTACGGTTTTGATATAGACGAAAAGAACCCTCGTTTTCTTTGCTCTTTGTGCCTGTCGTATTTTAACTTCCACGTTTTTGTTGATCGTATGTGTTTATATATTTTATCATTTCGTATTTCTATCTTTGCTGCAGCAATATTGCTTGTTGCAGTATTTATACATTTTCTTTCAAAACTTTGTCGAACCTAAGTCAAAATTTGTACGTTTTCAACTTTCTATTTCTAGAATTTGTAGAAAGGTTTTTAAATAACTGTTTCAGCTTGCTTGTAGCACTTTTACAGATTTGAAAATAATATATCTAATTTATGGCTGAATAGATTAAAGTTGTACGACATGCGTATCTATGGCCAACCGCAAAATCCTTCATTAAATTGTGGAATGAATTTACCTCTTTTGTAATTTCTGCGGGAATGTTGGTATTTGTAGTATTTATAATGTAAGAAAAACCCACCATAATTCTATCGCAAAAACTTCGAAGCACGTTAGCACATCAAGTTATGTAAAAATGAAAAGATGTCATTTGACGACGTCAAAATCGGTGTCAATTTAAATAAACACGCGCTATGAATGCTAGATCACGTGGTTCGTGTCGATTCGAATAAATGCCCTCAATGCTTTATATAAATATCACAATTGAAACGTTGTATTGCTTGTATGTAAATGTGAAAATCATTTCTCATTTCCTAGCTTCACTATTGGATAAAATATATCATTTAAATAACCATTATTCATAGGATCTTATGCAATTGTTGTTAAATATTTGTAATTAAATACATTGTTATTCATTGATGGCGGTATAACATAATTTTATTACCAAAATACAAGAAGTTAGGTATTGATTTCAGATTACCATATTAACATTTTATAAATGATGTGTTAACCAACAAATTTCATGAAATGAAGTTTATTTACTATAATTAAATTCCATCTGTATTTCTTTCTACCTCAGGTTTAATTATTTGGAAATTTGAAACTTTAAGTTTTTTTATTTGTATTTTCATGCTTTTAGTAACTTATTTGTCAGTTTCTACCACATCGGCTGGTTCTTCTTTATTGGCTGCCCATGATAAATAAGTATTCCAAAATATGGCAACAAAATTGACAACAAAAACACGATGCTGGAGAGGAACAAAATTAAAATTAACAATTTGTATCGCAGGCCACACATAATAATTCGTTAGCAAGGTTCGCAAGTATTGATTTTTGAACTTTAATTTGATCTCAGCTGGAGATTTGCCAAACAACACCCCCGTTGTACAAAAGAATGTTGCAATAATGCTTGGGGCAAAGATGGTTTGATCCAAGAGAACTTTCTTCATTGCGTCAAAGGGTCTACTTCCCCGGATAGTTCTGTCCAACAATATGTACCAATAACGCATAGCAGGACCGACTACAAATATCCCAATAGAAGCCATGCCAACTGTTCGTCTGATATCATGGCGATAACCACGACGTTCAACAAACTGTTGTGAAACAATGTCGCCAATACCCATGAGAATTCCTACAAATTGTAGTTATATAAATCACGAGATACATATAGGCAAAAAATATAGGCGAAAAATGTTATTTCTTTTTGAATTAAAGTAATTGAAACGCAATAACGTCAATAAGAATCAAATAAAATATAAAATACCAGCACTCGCCACTTGCACTTTAAATGGATGAGTTTCTAACAAATGAACATAACTTCTCCATAAAGCCGCCATATTGGAAATGTAGGGGGTACTTTATGTAAAAAGTGACAACGTGATTAACCATTATCACCATATACCACAATTGACCCTTTATGATCACATTATGGAGTAAAGAAGACAAAAAGAGATCTTTTGTCTATCATTTAATTGATTGAAGTTTACCAGATTGCAAGAAAACTGAAAAAAGTGCAATGTACTATTGTGTGCTGATGACTGTGTCTGCCGTTTGTTCATGCCAAACTACAACTATATATTACGACTTACAAATAATTGACATAAAATCAAATCATTTTAACATCGTAATTTCTGTTTTTTCAAAGTACGGATAGTTTTTCACGCAGAAAGTTATAGAAATAAAGACTTCAATTGTTAATAGTATGTATTAATTAACTTTGAACTAACATGTAAAACAATTCACCTTTCCGACGGTAGACACACGTGTCAAAAATACGATATCAAATTACGAAATTCGGGCAATCAAATGGTCGGACATAGAATTTTTTATGTAGAATAGTGGCAATAAAATGGTTAGGAGACGCCTTTGAGTTTTGGGTATTTGGGTATCTGAAATTTTGAAAACAAAAAATCTCGTTTTCGGTCCATACCTCCCGATACCCCGAGATAGTTGAGCACTAGAGTGTCGCATATTAATGAAGTGAACCAGATAATCCTTGTAATAATAATAAGTTTTGGATGAGGACTCGTGGACCAATGAAAACACGAATGATTCCAAGCATGTCGACGACGAAAAAATCTCTAGCGAAGACAAGGTTCCAATACAAAAATAATCTATTAATAACACCGAGTGTACTAAATATATGTTCGAAAGAAATATCGCTGTATCACATATACAGTTTGGAAGCTCGTTGTCTCATGTGGTTTATAGCAGTTGGAAAACTGTTAATGATGTTGCTGAAGATTTGTAAAAATAACTACTGGCGTCTTTCCTTTAGGACGAGAAATCTGATTCCGAAAGTGAAGAGGAAGCAATCACCACAAGAGATTTGCAAGAAGATTCAAAGTGCACTCTGCAAATTTTGTATATACATGTGGAGTATTGTGAGAAGAGTGCTCTTAGGAATGTTATTCACGAGGGATAGTACAAGGACCAACAAAGTCAAAAACATAAAATGAAATAGTGTAATAACTTCAAAATATTCTACAAAGTACATACTTATACTACGAAGTACATACTTATACTTAAAACTAGATCAACAAATCATCATAATGTCATTGATATGTTTCATGCAAATATAAAAATGAACCAAATTTATTGTTTAAGTTCAAGTTATCTTTTAAGAGAGAACTTCTTTACCAACCAATGTGTAGTAATCCACGCATTTTTTCTGGCGTTTATCGTAGTACTTGGGTCCACAACAATCATGGTTTGCTAAACGATCATAAGCAATACCACAGCAACAGACTTGTGTAGAGGACATACCCTTTCCGCCGCACAATTTACCGCTGACCTTGATCGTTAATCTGCAACTGAGACGAAAACTTTTCGATGCACCTTGGATGACGTAATTATAGATGATGTCATGTTTTCCAATTCCAAAATTTCCTTTGCCCAACGTCGCTCGTGGTGGTGACGCACTAGTCAGTGTATGTCGACAGTTTGGTTTTGGTTTATTCCATTCAACGTATGCCTTCATCTTTCCTGGCTCAATGCTCTTTGTTATTGGTAGTATACTTGGGCATTCGCAAGCTGTGAGAAAGAAAAAAAAACGTTTCTACCTTACCTGAAGTGTAAACTAAGTTTAAATAGTAATGAATGAACAACAGAGAATGAGAACAGTCTTTACACTATCTAAAATACAAACTAAGATAACGTGTGTCAGTGTAGGTAGTGATGAATGAACTACAGAGAGCGAGAACAGTCTTTACACTATCTAAAATACAAACTAAGATAACGTGTGTCAGTGTAGGTAGTGATGAATGAACAACAGAGAAAGGGAACAGTCTTTACACTACCTAAAATATAAACTAAGATAACGTGTGTCAGTGTAGGTAGTGATGAATGGACAACAGAGAAAGGGAACAATCTTTACACTAACTAAAATATAAACTAAGATAACGTGTGTCAGTGTAGGTAGTGATGAATGAACAACAGAGAATGAGAACAGTCTTTACATTATCTAAAATATAAGCTAAGATAACGTGTGTCAGTGTAGGTAGTGATGAATGAACAACAGAGAAAGAGAACAGTCTACACTAACTAAAATATAAACTAAGATAACGTGTGTCAGTGTAGGTAGTGATGAATGAACAACAGAGAAAGAGAACAGTCTACACTAACTAAAATATAAACTAAGATAACGTGTGTCAGTGTAGGTAGTGATGAATGAATAACAGAGAACGAGAACAGTCTTTACACTGTCTAAAATATAAACTACGATAACGTATGTGGGTTTTGGTGGTGATGAATGAAGCTTTCATTGTGATATACAAAGTTTACAAAGTGCTTTCAGACAATACTTACATTTAACTTTAACATTAACGTAACAATTAAGATCAAATCCTTCCCTGAATGTGAAAGTATATTCAATACGATGATTCCCAACAGTAAAACTGTGCGGGGAGGCGATATTTGGTGTAACTGCCTTTTTATACTGAGGATTTCTGTTGTTTCTACATTGCAATGTTGGTGATGGCCAAGAAACGTCAACAGTTCTTGCTGGTGGTTCGATGTACACTGTCTTAGATTCAACCGACGAACAGCTACAGTCACCTTTTTGTAATCATTAGACAAGAGAACAGTGAATATTTGATCTTGCTAAATTTTAAACTTGCATGTAAAGTCAATTATTATTAACGAAAGGACTTTACAAAACAGCTTTAATTATCCTGTATTACTTAAAATTTATGAGACACAACACATCATTTGTTTTCAACGATAAGATTTCAACAACAAAAACCTAAAATAGACACATGCCTGGTACGAAAGGAGTGCAAGAAGCATCAACAAGGTGGCTCAGTATCTTGTCCAAACTATCAAATTCGCTGTCAAAAGTTGTCTTCTCTGAAGTTGACATCTTTTGGATAACTGGCTTAAACTTTTTCACGATAATTGGATCACCAACAGCAACACCAACAATAAGAATATCTTTGTCTTTCATCGCGCTGAAATCATCGAAGTATAATCCAATGGTAGATAAGGGGAGACGTTTGGTAGGTTTTTTCAGGATTTTGTAGAAATCTTTAAACTATGAGCTATATGACTTTTTTTCATGATTAAAATGAAGGTTCTGTTAGTTCTTATAGCAAGAGAGTGTTATCATGAACATTTAAAGGAAAATCAGACGGTAGCTAACTTTAACACATCATTTATCACCTTGAATATTTGTAAGCGTCCTTTAATTCATCGCCTTCTTTCTTTCCACGTGGTTCACCATCTGTTATCAATAAGACAACGTCAGCGATTTTTTGTCTGTTGTTGAGTGGACTGTTCTTTTTGAAGATCTTGTTCATAAAATAAAGAATATGTTGTATTGAAATAACAACAATGAAGTGTATTTTACACTGTAATCATTCATAAAGAAGAGTATATTTTACAGTTGTCGTATTGTACAGGAGAAATTTACCTGTTTGTCCACAATGCCTGCACCAGTTCCAGTCATCGTTCTACCACCAGAAACAGCTCTCCATGACAAATTGTTGTTTATAAATTTTTTGTATTCTGCTTTTGTACGACCAGAGAAAGGTAGAACAACTCTTGTGTTACGTTTATTACTGAATATGACGATAGCAAGTTGAGTTCCATCACGACCAACATTGAGCTTTGGACTGGAAACCAAATTTTTGAGAAATTTTTTGACGTTTTTGTTGAATCTGTATTTACCAATGGAGTACGAAGTATCAAGGAGGATAACCATGTCTTTTTTACATTTCTCTAAATTAAAGGTAGAAAGGCATGTTTTAATTTAAATATATAACTTTACCAGTTTAAAAACAGTTTCTTAATGAGCAAAGATACGTTTTTTGAGGTATCATTGATTTGAAATTTGTTTAATTCTCGTCGACATATGTAGAAATGTTGTGAAATAAATAAAAGTCCACAGCTGTCTCTTACCAAGTGTTGGTGCAGGTGCAGGAGCTCCACGACTCCATTCTTCAAACTCTAAATACAAATAACATGACCCATTTCATGATAAGTGATACTTGATGGAACAAAGTCAACTCAATTAAATAAATGTGCATCAAAATTTACATCGATGAGAACATTTTCGTGAGGGAGATAGTTTTTTTCTTGAATTTTTCGAAAAGAACATTCCACTTATAATAGGAGAATAACTCTTTCATCGACTTCTTAAGTGAAGTAAATATAAAACTTTATATTGAAAAAAAAACAATTTAGAAAGCTGTGTTCAACAATACAAATCAAAGTGGTGCATTTCTACATTTCTTAGTGGCATTGAAACATGTCTAGATATTAGAACGAACTGTGATTTAAATGTGCTTATGCAACAGCATTTAATATCGCCGATTTAGACAAAATTTTTCATACTTTCCAAGTCGAAGTCAACTTTGTATGAAAGAACGCTGCAAAAGCAGACAGCAAGCAAGAAGCCAACTTTGTACATCTTTTTGATCATCCAACTTTTTATCTTCAGTTTTATCTCTGTTGCTTTTATGAAGGATCCTTACCAACAATGATTTAGAATAAAATACCCGAGGTTTTTATATATTCCTCATTGATGGCAGTTGCAATAATATTGCATATGTTGAACGTTACTTAAACTTAACGCTTTTCAACTTCACTTGATGGATTAGTTTGAAGTGTCTGTTTAGTGTAAGTTTCCATAAGTTTACTTATCGCATTAGGGCATCTTAAATTATCTCTGCTTGCTGTCATCAACCATTATACTACATATTTTCAAGTTCCTATTGCACTATTTGTATTTGCAGTTACAAAAAGTTATAGCGAAGATAATTTTAGTTTAAATATTTTATTTTTGAAGCTATATACAGTCGATATTAAATGTTGAACTGACTATTGAAGTGATAACTTAATTACAACTGGTGTAACACTTTCTCTCTTATCACGTTGTAAAGACCGGTTGATATTTACTATTTTGTACAATATCTGCAAAGATAGTTTTATACACAGAATAAGAATTTTATTAGTAATTAAGATAAAGAAATGATTAATGTTTTGTTGAAGGTGTTGTATTGTATTTAGTATAATTTAGAACTTATGGGAGGGTCGTTAGTCATTGTCTTATTTTTTTGTTGACGGTTTAAAATTTTTACAATCCTCTTTACCATAACATGATTCCAACAAACTTAATCAAATATACAAATGAACGTTATTTAACGATATTTTGTGATCGTTAAAAATCGTGTGAATAACGCAAGAACTCAAACAATCTTTGTTAAACCGGACGTCTTAAATAAAATACTTGGTATCTTCCTATTGACGCTTTGTTTTTAAAAGTCGATAGTTAATACACTCGGTTATCTTGTAAATTTACAAAACGACTTTTGATTAGATTATGAAACTAGTGATTTTGAACGTAGTTAGAAAGAATTTTTTTCACATGAATTTCGTTCAAGAATATTTGAATAAACATCAAAATTGAAAGAACTTTATCTAGTTTGCCTTTCTCGAGCTGTCTTATTGCAAGATTGACCAGATCGCAGACGCTTTCATATATCGTATGAAATCATAGCTTGGACCACTTTAATATTGCAGTTTCATTTCGCAAACACACTGCTGAGGTATAAGATCTTGGATAGAATTCTAGGTTAGTCGATCGTTAAAAGGTGGGCTGTCTATTATACCTATATTGTCGTTGGCAACGCCTTTTTTAAACAAAAATAAAACGTATATATTTCTCGATTTTCTGAAAAGATTAATGTTAAATTATTCGTTAAACACATTATTGAATAAAAAACTCATGCAAGAACAAGAAAGCAACACAATGCTGCTCTGTTCTAAAATATCCAAAGTGAATAACTACATCCGAAAACATTTTGAATGAACATCGAGTAAAAAGACACTCATCTATTCTGCCTTCACCTTTCACAAACTTTCCTCAACTCATCTCCTCAACTCATCTTGAAGTTACTAGTATTTTTTAATTGTTATATTTATTAAATAGTGATAACGTCAAACCAACTTTACAACACACATTTCAAACTTCAATCTATTAAATTTGTCTAACGCATTAGCAACAAACGTTAAAAAACTCTGCATCTAGTGCCCTTCAGTTGACTAATTAGTTTAACGAACTTGTTGTCTAGACGTGTGTGTTCATTTGTACATTTTTATAAATATTTTTTTCATCACATAATAAAGCATAGACTCATGCAATGTTTTAATATAGATAGAGAGTAATATTGAGAAAGTAAACTTTGCATTCAACGCTCACTCGTATTTTGATCAAACCCAGATGGCTTGATGTCATTTTTTATCCTTGAGTTTGTGGATGGCACAACGGTTGGTAGGCATCTCCGCATGTCTGTAGTGCGATTTTTATACTCCTTGGATGAACACTCACAAGAAAAAAGAAACATCAAAATAGAATGTAATTCCTTAATATCTTGCATGATAACTATTGATTTGTTATGTGGAAAACGAATTCTTAGAACAAATACAAATGTCCATTGTAAAACTGTTAGTAAGCAATACCATGGATATTGAGTGCTTTAAGTGTAAAAGATTTACATATAAAGTTGGTATACTAACTATAAGACATTTACATGGGTGTTAAATATACAAATGTCAGTTAAGACATGCAATACGGTAAAATTTTGCGCGTTGAATAAAAAAGTGGAATGTTAACATGCTGACATTGTTTTCTGCGAGATACGTACCTGTATCAAACTATGCCTTATTTACATTTGTGAATCTCTTCCTTATCAGGAAGGACCTCATCCAACTTAATCAACTCCAGTACGTGCTTGCTCATTTGAAAACACACTCCTCATTTTGACGCGACTTATAAATTCTGTCAACGAAACACTTACAAACAAATCCTGTAACGAAAGTTGTCTCACCTGCAAGCTCAATTATCATTGAACGGAGTCAACGCACCAAAATTCCACCACATTATCATTACATCGTTATTTAACACATTTAACCCCAAATGTGTGAGCTGTGTGTTAATATATGTATGTCAGTTTATGTCAGTCTTTAAAACTTTTCTTTTCGCTACTGTTTGCGAAAGCAAATTTAAAATTCGATGGAAAATATAAGTAACATGAAAAAACAAGAAAAAGATTTTCCTATTTAAGTAAATAAGAATGTTTTGTAAGATGCATGCAGGGACGGCGGAGCAACATATGAAGTGTGGGGGACTAAGTCCTTACTTCTACTATGATGTCTTAAAAACACTTCTAAACAATATCTTCAGCTCAATCTATCTTTTTTGCTTTGCTATTGCAAACGTAGGGGGTGGGGGTGGGGGGGGGGAGGGCTCTTCAGCCCACCTAGCCCCTTGGCTCCAGCGTCCCTGACCTTATTTATCCAACGCTTAATAGTTTTTTTGAAAAGAAAGGTAGTGCCTTTTCCCCTTGGTTATACCGCCTCAGTGTTTTTGGCCTCGTTTGGTTTTGAGTCGGAGAGATAGGATTATGGAGATTACAGAAACTGCATTACATCAGTGGTTTTTGTTAAACGTCATATAAGTTCACTGAGAGGAAGCTGGTGACAGCCATGTTGGATTTTAACTTAATGACAATTTTTTCTTTTGTGGACATTGAAACCTTAAAAAGAAACTTTTGAAAAACATGAATGCCAATCAGATTGGACAAAAGAAGGTATATATGTTTGTGTGACCATTTATTAGATATTTTTTGTCGAGGAAAACATGTATCTATTTTTCAGAAGAAGCAAGCTGTTCGTCGACTATCAAGTAGTGGTCAAAATGCTCGTAGAGGAGACATAAGACGCATGCTTGAGTTAAGGAAAAATGCCAGCAATAGACAGGGACATTTTCGTCGTATCAGACCCAGTAATCATGGTGAAGGTTATTATTTATTTATCATTTACACTGTGCCACATTCAGGTCCATCAAAGACACGATCGTCATCTTTGTCTGTAGAGTTATAACTTTATTGTTCAAAATCAAAATTTCTACTTTCAATTTTTTTATCACAAATGTTTTTTTTTCTTAATGTAGCTTTACATGAAAAAAGGACAAATACTTTTGGTTCTGTGGCCAGAAGTAATGAACAATTTCCATCAAAAACAAATTCACAACGACACGTTAGTCCTCTTGTCCAGGAAAGTTTTTCAAGGCATTTGGAGAGTGATGTAGTAACTGGAAGCACATCAATAAACACACGGGGAAACGTGTTTGGTGGATTACAAACCAATGCTAGTGTATATCAATCTACTACTCCTATTGGAAGTGGATCGTCAACAAATATGAAAAATACAAATGTAGAATCATCATTTGGCAACATGAATAATTCAGGGCCACAAAATTTTGGTGTATTTGCCTCTAAACAATATGAAGATCAAACTTATTTAAAAAATTTTTTGTCATCTTCTGCACCTGTCACCACAATTAAAGAAAATGATCTCACAAGTCATGTGACTGGGTCAAATATGTTCAGTCGTGTTGTGCAGCCAGCAATCGCCAATAATCAAGGCTCAAATGCAAGTATTTTTAATTCTCAATTGGAAAGCCAAACTCCTATTTTTGGTAACACTGATAAACATTTGAACCCTACGAACATGATGAAACCATCTTCTCAGAATTCTGAATTTTTGAAGATTTCTAGTAATTCAAATTTGGGCAGTAGCATATTTGGAATTCCACCATCATTATCAGACGTTTCTAAGGATCTTCATGTTTCATCGCTAAAAAATAACGTCTTTGGTAATTTTGAGAACTTACAATCCACGTCATCTGTTACAATTCCAGGAATACAACCTTCTTTCAAGATGTCAAGTAATATACCTGAGATCTCTAACCTTCCCGAAACAAGCACTGCCGCTGATTCTACTTTGTTGCAAGCTTCAACATCTTCCAATTCTCGTGAAATATTCACAAAAACTTCTTTTAATTACAAATCAGGAAACTTATCATCAAAGACAAATGAAGTATTTACATCTAACGCCATCACTCATAAGCCACAGACAAATGTATTTAGTTCATCAATTGCAAACGAGAAACGATCTACATCGAGTGTACCCGAAGACAAACGGAACAATGGGAAGGAGTTGCAAATAATTGGACCTCATTCTCAGTTCGCAAATAATGAGAGTATTTGTAGTCAAGCAGCACCTTCTGTTCTCAATACGAAATTTTCTGGTATTTTTTCACAATCAAAAAAATCGTCAGTGGATAGCAAATTGACGTTTGGAAACGTTGATTATTCTGATAGTTCAACAAACATTTCAGGAAGAGATTTCTCATCAACGAATGTTGAACATGGAAGTACGATGTTTAGCAACTCACAGAATGTAAACAACAACAAAAAAGGTAATAGATGCTACATTGATGACTTATTTAAAACATCCAGTGTAACATAGACGTTTTGTGTTGTTTGTCTTCTTTAGTTGTTTCAACTACATTTGATCGTACTTTGTCTGGAAGGGATATCTCTGACCTTACATCGATCGTCATCAAAGGTTTATCGTCCCGTTTTTTTGACAGAAAGACGCTACTGAAAGAGTTGAAAAAATTTGGTGCATCCAAAGTATCTCTTCAACCATCAAAAGGAAACGTTATTGTCGACTTTGATTCTCATGTAAAACGATCATTTACAAATACTTTAATATATTGACTGGATTCAATTTACAAGCAAACGTTTTGTAACTCAATGGTTTCTTATGTCATTAGGAACGTGCAGGATCAGTGAAAGGAGCGCTTACCGAAATTTTTCCCAATGAAAATCTCCATGTTTTCTGGTGCAAGAAGAAAGGTAAATTGCAACAATTCTGTCAGGGTTATCGTTATCATTTTTATTTCATTCTAATCGTTATGATGATTTTGTTGTCTTACAAGGAACGAGAAGAATTTCTCGTACTTTGGAGAAAGCAAATCATGATATGACAGAAATAAGGTCCAGAAAATCATCGATAACTAATGCTTTGAACAGTATTGGTAAGTCTTCGATTATTTCGTCAAATATTTGCCTGATCAGCTCAAAAATTTCAATGTGTTAACTAATACTTATTTTTTTCCTTTTTAATCGTGCGATAGACTGTTTAGCCTTATCATGTCTACATTTCTAGATGTTGGAGAATTCCCTCCGGCATTGAGTGCAACGGAAAGATACAATATTCTGGATGAAGTTGATAAAAAGATTCGTGAAGGTCAGGAATATTTTAAGTCGTCTTAAATACTACTGTCATACTTTGCTTATTTTTACATGATAATATTTCATATTGGCAGAGGTACAATGGGGATTCTTGTGGATACTTGTTTTGTATTTGCTGCTGTTTACTATTGTGTATATTTCAGCAATTACACCATACAAGGATATTAAAAATGCTCCTGTTGTTGTTGGTGTGTGTTGCGATATGTGTCCTGAGAAAGAACGTTACATGAGAGAAAGTCAAGCAAATCTTAGCATCTTTGAAATGATCCCTGAGACACATGAGTACAGAGTAGGATAAATTTGTTGTTTACAAATATACTTATACTCCTGCTATGGAAATACTTCAAGATAAGCTGATTGTAAAAATAAATAATCAATTTTGAAAGAAACAACGAATGTTTATGATTCAAACTTTACATAGCTAAACTATAATCCCTAACTTGTTCGATGTCGATTATGGACATTTTATTTGTTATCAAACGTTTAGTTAAAAATTCCCTGAACTTATCTTTAATAAATCTTAATCTTAATCTGAACTTATCTTAATCTTAATCTTAATCATACATATAGGACGGTGATGTTCCAAAAGTGGATCATAGACGAGCGGTAAAAGAGTACAGTCGGTCAGCGGCAGACAAGGTATTTACGTAGATATGTTTTGAACGTCTAACGATTTGTTTGTCTGATGCGAGTTGAGATCAAAATATTTCTTTGTCTGAGTGTATTTGTTTATCATGATAACAAAATCAAATTTCTTCTTAGCTCGAGCCTCTTGCTCACGAATTACGACCTGTGAATGTCCTTCATCGTACATTGGACTACCTTATGTGTCACGTGATGAACTATAATGGCGATAAATGGGGAGAATGGTTTAATTTTCTTTGGAATCGAACACGTGCAATACGAAAGGTTAGTGTTGTCCTTCACGTTCTGGTAGGAACTTTATCATCAAGTTGTGTTTTTATTTTTAGGATATAACTCAACAACATTTATGTAATGAAGAAAGTGCGGAACTTGTCGAGAAAATAACCAGGTGAAAATAGAATTGAGAAGTTATAAGAACGTTTCATTTTGTGATATATTTTCATTTTTGTGATTCAGACATAAATCTCAGAACCCTTTGTATGTATGAATGTTCATGTAAAATATTGTTTTAACGAGAACTATTTTCTAGATTTCATATATTTTGTTCTCATTACCTTTGTGAAGAAGATATACATTCTTTTGATCCAAAGATTAACAACGAAAATTTGACAAAATGCCTCCAAACTTTGAAACAAATTTACACTGATTTGTATAGTGAACAGGTTTGTCTTAAGATCAATTTTTAAGTGTAAAGTTAAATATAATTTGATGCATGAGCACAAGATTGAATAAACATTTGAAAATAATTGTCCTTTATCTTATATGTTTCATTCAATACAACACAATTTATTATTAATAGAATGTATTTTTTTGTTTTATTATAGGGAATAAAGTGTGAAAACGAAGCAGAATTCCAAGCGTATGATATATTATTGAATTTAAATGAAGGTGATTCGTTAAGGTTTGTATACTTCTCGTATATTTATAACAAATCTCTGTTTTTCATTCGACTTTTTTCGTATTTTAACAGAAAAGCAATGCAGTATCGTGTGGAAATTCGCAATTCTCCTGAAGTGAAATTTTCATTAGAAGTTTTCAGTTCAGTAAACACTCATAACTATATTCGTTTCTTTAAACTTCTTCAGTCGACGAGTTATCTTAACGCATGCGTAATGCATCGTTACTTTAACCAAGTTCGAGCAATGGCATTAAAAATAATGACGAGGGCTTATTCTGCTAACGAAATGTATCCACTTCAAGTTTTAAAAGATGTTCTTGCATTTGAAGACATAAATGAGGTGATAAAAAAAACTCTTGTTTTTCATAAAGTGCTTTAGTGTCATCTATATTGTCTATTGTCGTAGGTAACTCGTTTTGTTCTAGGTAACTCGTTTTTGTTGTAGGTAACTCGTTTTGTAATCACTTTAATTTCACTGTGATGCAAGATGCTTTGCGTTTCTCGAAAGCACCTTTCGTTGAACCTGAAATGGCATTTCCTTCACAACGTTCAATGAATGGAATTGAAAGTAAACGCTATTGTTCTATCAGCGAGGTAAAATAAAATTTATTATTATTATTGGGTTTAATTGAAATATCGAAGTCTATACACAAACAAGAAAGAAATGTTTTTGATCATCATTTTCTGACTTCTGTCTTAAATGCGATTAATGGGGCACTTGACGTGTTTTTAGATTGTTAATGGTTGTCCTTTACCTGTATGTAGCATACATCAACCTGTCTCTAGTTTTGATAGCAATAACCGATATATTGGTTTGAATAATCTTCTTTCATTGATGCAAAACACGCCAGATACACCAGATACACTGCATGACATTCATGAGCCCATAAGCAACCTATCATCGGTACAGCCGTGTCCTATCTCCCAATACTTTGTAAAAGATGCACAAGATGTGTTTAATCAGGTACGATGTGAATTGTTACTTTTCTGTCGAAGTACTTACTAAGCAAACGCAAAAATTTTCCTACATGATGATTCCTGAAAGTTTTGTCCATGTTCAATCGTGTTTATACTTTTATTTGAATATTAAATTTATATGGTTATGTTCAGGCTGTTGAAGACGTAATGTTGGCATTACTTAACAATGTTGTTTATGACATGGTGAAGAATGTTTATGAAGAGGAAACTCGTGAGGTTCAGATTTTATTTTTAACTATAGTAATTCTTTATCTTATCATTGCCATTAATTTCTTCTCTTTTGTGTTAACTATCAGGTCTTTCTTATGAAACAAATGACGAAGTCGTTTATGGAAACATTTCTCATTGAATCCATTCATGAATTACTCAGCGATCTTGCAGAAGAAACAATTGAGAAAGAACGAGAAAATCTTCGGTATGCAGTCGTTATCACTGTATAGTTTAATGAGAAAACTAAAGAATAACAGCTCATTTTTGCTTTTAAACTGGAAAAAATTAAAAATTAGTGTGTCACGTGATCGAATGACGTCGATAGTGAGAGATGAATTGTTATATGATGTGATAAAAGTAGAGTTGAAAAACGTAGCTGTACAGACAATGAGGTACATTTGTACATCGTTTACCACACACTGTAGTTTAAGCGCATTTTTATTACATCTTCTCGATTCTCGTTTAGTGATATTTCTGACCAAATGTGGACTCAAAGTTTTACAAATATGTCAGCAGTAGTTATGCAAGAAATTATGGCGAAGATGATCTGTGAGCAATGCCAAGTTATTGCCACATATGTGAGGGAAGATGCTGTAAAAAAGATGAAAGATGAGTTAAAGAAAAAGAGGAATTATTTCGAAAAAGAAAACGGCAAAATACTTGGAGATGTATGTTGTAACTATACAATGGCATCAAATTTTTCTTTTTGTTTTTTTGTTTTTTTTACGTTGAAATCCTGTATTTAATCAAATCACCTGTTTGAATAAACAATTAATGCTCACATCATTTTGTCAATTTATGTTTTTAGTTGGCGTAAAGAGTACAAAACTAGAATGTATATACGAAGTGTGTTACAAGATCTCCCTCCAAGATCACCTTTGTTATCATTACGACAACAAATTAAAAGTTATTTAACGTAGAAGAACGTGGAGAGCTTGGGCTATCCACTTTACGATATCAGGTACAATTGATATTGTGATGCGAGATAATAAAGGATATTACCATACAGTAAGGGATATTACCATATAGTAAGGAATATTACCATATAGTAAGGGATATTACCATATAGTAAGGGATATTACCATATAGTAAGGGATATTACCATACAGTAAGGGATATTACCATATAGTAAGGGATATTACCATATAGTAAGGGATATTACCATATAGTAAGGGATATTACCATATAGTAAGGGATATCATGGTTGTGATACTCATCGTGTTTTTTTAGTTCTTTGAAAGATCGAGTGAACGTTGAGAAATTGCTCTCGAGAAAGACAAATGAAAATGTTGTGAAGAGGTATTATCTTTTATGGTTTTTTGTTTTCAATTTTACTGCTTGAATTAGCGCTTTCTCATAATCTGTGTTTATTGTTTTTGTAATAGAGTCAAAACAATACAGCCAATCGATTTAGAAAAGCTCAACAAACAAAGAAAAATTAACGCAAAACAAGATTCTTTGCCACCAGTGGATTGTGTAAAGTTACTGATATCATTTCCATATAACGTTGATGATCTCTACTAGCGACATTTGTAGCTGGATTAGGTGTAAATTTCACGACAGTACAAATTCAAGTCGCTCAACTCTTCCAAAAGGACTGGAATCGAAGGTACCTTTAATGATTGTATAAGTGAATTAATGGCATTTCATTTTCGAGTCCTGCCAGATGGTTTTATTTTTATTTTTCTTAATGTATCTTTAGTTGGAACAATTGTCTTTAAAGAATGACAATGATGGGTTAAATTATTCCATAAAGGTAGAAACATGTTGTACCAACACAGAAATTTAAATATGTTCGTCAGTAATATGATTTTATTAATCGCCAGGCTTCCTATGGACTTCTCTCAAATGTTGAGTTGGATGAAGTTATTAATAAACGCGTTTTGTTTGGTTTAACTGGTGTCATACTCATTGTAGATTCGTGTGAACATGCAAAAGATAAAACGGTATGAAAGTTCATGTTTGTGTATGAAATTTGACGTTTGTGCATGAAATTTCATGTTTGTGTATGAAATTTGACGTTTGTGCATGAAATTTCATGTTTGTGTATGAAATTTGACGTTTGTGCATGAAATTTCATGTTTGTGTATGAAATTTGACGTTTGTGCATGAAATTTCATGTTTGTGTATGAAATTTGACGTTTGTGCATGAAATTTCATGTTTGTGTATGAAATTTGACGTTTGTGCATGAAATTTCATGTTTGTGTATGAAATTTGACGTTTGTGCATGAAATTTCATGTTTGTGTATGAAATTTGACGTTTGTGCATGAAATTTCATGTTTGTGTATGAAATTTGACGTTTGTGCATGAAATTTCATGTTTGTGTATGAAATTTGACGTTTGTGCATGAAATTTCATGCTTGTGTATGAAATTTGACGTTTGTGCATGAAATTTCATGTTTGTGTATGAAATTTGACGTTTGTGCATGAAATTTCATGTTTGTGTATGAAATTTGACGTTTGTGCATGAAATTTCATGTTTGTGTATGAAATTTGACGTTTGTGCATGAAATTTCATGTTTGTGTATGAAATTTGACGTTTGTGCATGAAATTTCATGCTTGTGTATGAAATTTGACGTTTGTGCATGAAAGTTCATGTTTGTGTATGAAATTTGACGTTTGTGCATGAAATTTCATGTTTGTGTATGAAATTTGACGTTTGTGCATGAAATTTCATGTTTGTGTATGAAATTTGACGTTTGTGTATGAAATTTCATGTTTGTGTATGAAATTTGACGTTTGTGCATGAAATTTCATGTTTGTGTATGAAATTTGACGTTTGTGCATGAAATTTCATGTTTGTGTATGAAATTTGACGTTTGTGCATGAAATTTCATGTTTGTGTATGAAATTTGACGTTTGTGCATGAAATTTCATGTTTGTGTATGAAATTTGACGTTTGTGCATGAAATTTCATGCTTGTGTATGAAATTTGACGTTTGTGCATGAAAGTTCATGTTTGTGTATGAAATTTGACGTTTGTGCATGAAATTTCATGTTTGTGTATGAAATTTGACGTTTGTGCATGAAATTTCATGTTTGTGTATGAAATTTGACGTTTGTGTATGAAATTTCATGTTTGTGTATGAAATTTGACGTTTGTGCATGAAATTTCATGTTTGTGTATGAAATTTGACGTTTGTGCATGAAATTTCATGTTTGTGTATGAAATTTGACGTTTGTGCATGAAAGTTCATGTTTGTGCATCAAAGTTGATGCTTGTGTATGAAAATATTGCTTCTTGGTTTTAATGTTTTGGTGCTTATAAATTAATTCTGGTGAATCTTTAAGAAGTTTTGGAGAAAATGTCGCGCGAGATTGGAGCAAATTTTGAGAGGAAAACCATCTATTCCAGGCCTGCCATTGGTCATCATAAACATCGTGTCTGTTCATAGTCTTGAAGGTTTGTTGAGATTAGTTCAATGTTTATTTTCGGTTTTGGGGAATCAGACGAATTGTATGATTCTTAATGGTTTTTAATGATGTGACGTTTTTATCATGAATTAGATGAAGTACAAGATTATCTCGACATCGAGAGTTTTCGTCGACAACATCTTCTTTCTCATTCAAACGTTTATTCGATTCACGTTGATTCAGAACCAGAGCATTTTCATAAACAGGTTAGCTTTATCCAATGGCACGAACAACGAGTGAAAAATCTTTTTTGAACATTTCAATAGTTTCATGGTCTTTCACACTTATATATAAAATAAAATTGATCTTTTAGCTTCTTGAAGTGGTTCAATGGATGTTGTTTTATTCTCCAACCTTCTTGTCCATTAAAAAAGATACTTTGAAAAACATACTAGAAAAGGTTCAGTAGAGCTTGTGTATTATGTTTTGAAGAATTTTCTTGGTAAATTTGAGTATATGCTTTTTTTTAGAAATTACGAAACATTTCATGATTCCTTTTTGCCATGAAAACATACGTCGAAAATCTTGCCATCTTGAACCACAGGTATGCTAATAACGATTTCTACAAAAATTTACCATTCACCCATCTTTATGTTTGCTGCATTTCCTCCACACTAATTCACTATTAAGTGCATTAGATAAGTTTTTATTTATTTTTAGTGTCCTGAAGTTCTTGTCGAGCTTTATAACGCAGTTTTAGATCACGTGATTGCCATGATTACCAACAGTCAATTAAAAAACATATCTTGGCCTATCACTGAGTTTGTTGATAGAAACATTTCGTACAATAACTTTGGTTCTTTCTTGTCGTGGAATTCTCCACAAACTTTACGGTCGTTGGAAAGTTTCATAGAGAAGTTAAAGCTACCTACACCACCGTCGGCTGCTCAAGATGGTAAAATGAAGAAAATGTTAAAGACTCATTAGAAATTGAATATTTTTGCGATGTGCGTTTACGTTATTAAGATGATATTCCTTCATAGGAACTTGGTCTTCAGAATATATACTTTGCCTGCATTATATCGACTTGTTGTTAAAGTCTGAACCCTTGAAGAAGTATGAATACATTTTAAACAATCGGTAATGTATTTTTTAATTTCTACTCTTAAATTTCCATTCAAGCTTTGCAAGTATATTGTCACCTAAATGAAGAATATTTTTATCGTTTTAGCATTGAAAAAATCTTCAAACCATTCGTCATGTCGTCGCGTGACACGTCGTCTTTACGTGTTTTTTCTCCTACATATAATTTAAGAGCAGCTGATCTGCCATGGACTGAGATAATCGATGCATGTGTTGAAACAATGCTTTCTTCGCTTCATAACCTTCCTCGCACCAATATTTATTTTTTATCTGAATCTCTTAACGATTTCAAACCACCTTCTTCGTGGATCGTTGCTACAAATGAATCATTCGAAAACACAACCACGTAAGCCTTTAATAAAAAAAATACGAATGTTTTTTTTTATCAAATCGAGGTTGTCTTTTTCTAATTTCTACAGGTATGATCGTTCAAAAAGTCAGCTAAATGATTTCATAGATGCTGTAAATGATGATTTGTCAAAAATTGAAAGTATTAATTCATAGTTTTCTTCTTTTTTCATATTTTATGAATATATATACAATCTTTAATGTGTTGTTTAGTCTCTAGATTGAAGTCGACAGTTAGAAAATCATATTCTGATGATGACGATGTGAAAAGTAAGACTTGCTGTTTAGAGAAGACTCTTCTCAGTGAAAAAAACAGTTCTAGACGGTAAGATTGTCTCAAATAGTATTCTGTAGATATTCGTTACTTCAAAGACGTTCGATCTTTAACTGTGAACATTGTTTACCTTGTTTACCCTATGGACATTGTAAACATTATGGACACTGTTGACTCTGCATACATGGTGAACATTGTGAACGCTCTGAATGTTGAGGACACTGTTGACTCTGCATACATGGTGAACATTGTGAACGCTCTGAATGTTGAGGACACTGTTGACTCTGCATACATGGTGAACATTGTGAATGTTGTGGATGTTGAGGACACTGTTGACTCTGCATACATGGTGAACATTGTGAACGCTGTGAATGTTGAGGACACTGTTGACTCTGCATACATGGTGAACATTGTGAACGCTGTGAATGTTGAGGACACTTGATCACTGTGCATACTTTCAACACCACAAAATTAAGCAATGATGATCAATGTATCTTAGTTCTTCATATATTTTGTTTTAGTTTTGAAAGAGAACTGCGGTCAATATTGGACGAAGATATTTCCTCAAGTTTAAACACTCGTGGACAAGGCTTAAAAAGAAAGATTCCTAATCTTAGACACGAAAAGGTGACAATTCATTCTTGTTATTTTTTTATTTGTATTTAGGATCCATGATATGTTTTTTAGTAAATTTTTTAGACAATGTTTCTTCACCCTAAGGAAGTGGAGGAAAAATATAACACTACACTAAGTATTTACCATTGTCCAATACAACATTACATATACATAGCTACAAGACAAATAATACTGGTTGGTTAAAAGTACTGTTGTAGAAATGTCTAATCTTTCTTTGTTTGGTTACAACTGTTAAAAACAGTGTAAAAACATTGTTGAACTCGATACTTTGATGATTTGTAGAGAACTAACAAAGTATTTTGGTGTACTTCTTGCATTGAGTAACTCTTAATTTTGTGTTTCCAGAGAAACGTCAAGAAAAATATTTCTTTTGATGTGTTAGATGATTTAACTCATATCAATCGAACACTTTCTGAATTTGAAACAACTATTATGTCGTTGAGAGATAGTGTACGCTTCCAAAAGTAAGTATATATGTATATACTTGTGTTAGAAATTTCTCCCCTGCCTCACCGCATTATTCACCCCCCACCCCCATCGCAAAATTTACCACTACTACTTGCATGTTTTCCCTCACGAATATGTTTTCATTTTTAGTCAAGTTGAAGGTTTCGGTGAGAGACAGCTTATTGAAGCTCTTGAGGACAGTATCGACGATTTAAATCACACAAAATAGCCTTTTTTCGAAATTTATTTAAAACTTGAAAGTCTCGTTCGTTGTGATTTGCCTTTAACACCTGATGTCTTGTAAACATTATCACATAATGTATATATGGAATTACTTTTTTTGTGTTTGGTTCAGGAATTTGATATATTATTGCAAAGTCGACGAGAAGTTAGCTGCGCCAACCAATTGCGCCAACTGTGATTACGTAAACCACGAGTGTATGATGACAGTATTTGGTATTAGTTTCAGGAATTCTAAATGAATTATACAAATTTCAACAAATCTATCATTAATTATTATGTTGGAAAGAGCTTTAGAGAAGGACTTTATGGAAGATTTTAAAAAAGCTCTTGTGAAGGAATGAAGAATTTGAACTAATGCATTTCGACGGGAAACAATGCAAAAAATGCAACCCCTACCGTCGTATACGATTATGTAATTGCATTAGGTGCCTAAGGAGAGCATCTTGACTTATGTAATAGGTAAACATACATGTTGTTTTTGTATTGTGCGTAAAACTAGTGATCATAAAAAGCACAAACATGATTACATTTTGATACAAAAATTAAGATCACTATAGGGAACAGAGAACATGGATACTTTAGAAAAGAGAACATTAAGTATGTTACTTGGAAAATACAAAATATCGTTTATATGTTACGAACATATCGTGTGTAACAGTAATTTTGTGTTTGAAGGTGAACAGTACACTGACGCTAGTTTTTTAAACCTTTCCCTTGTTTTTGAAAAATAACTTGACCAAAGAAGAGACAGAGAAAGAGAAAATCTGGGAAGATGTTTTGTTAAACTACCTCAAGAATTTCAAGACGAGGATTTTCAAATTTGTCACACTCCATTTGATTTGCATCGATTTTTTCTTAAATTTTTTTTGTTGTTCATGACAAATTGCAATCCTTTCAAATTATGTACTGCCTTTCCCATATCGCCTTTTCACAAACATTTCAATTACAGTTCAGCTGGTTCAGCTCAACCCAAGTCATAAACAAACATGACTGATGTTACAAATGACGTCTACACAACATAAACACTCTACTGACTTCTTAGCTCTCTTATTAGGTAATATGTTTTATAATGACTTTCAATGAACTTTGGAACTCTCAGCTTTTGTCAAAAAATATGCGAGTCACGAATTTTCAATAAATTTCATTGATGCTGGATTTCGACTGTTTATATATGGTAAAAAAAAAATGACTAATTCGTTGGTCAATTTAAAATGTGCTACACTTAAAAATATAAATGCAGAAGGGAGCAAGAAAAGTAAGGTTGAGCAATCGCATCACATGTGTCCATGTCACGAGACTGTCGGGTAAATACATAGCGTTTAGACCCTCATCGTACGATCGTTTCAACCAATCAAAGCTTGACTTACATTTTCACTGACCAATCATATATAGCTTTTTAAAAAATACCCTTTATTAATTACAAAATTTATTTTAAGCTTAAACAACATTGTGTCTTAGTTATGCAATAGAGCTTATTTTATTATTTCTAGACATATAACATCCTTGGTTTCATCGTAGTTTTTATTATATGCATTTTCACAATGAAAATATGCGTCTTCTTGCCATTACTGATAGCTCTTGGGGTTGTGGAGGTGAGAAAATTGTATACAATACATTGTTTACAATATAGCTGTAATGTTTGTTTTACTTTCTTATTAGGCCGTAACCTATATCCATAAGGAAGGTTATTGCATGTGGTATGGACAGTGTGGAAAAAATTCTCGTGGCAAATACATAAATTGCCTGTATAATGGACCGGCAAAGTCTATTGAGAACAAAAAATCCCGGGACATCCTTGACGAACTTTGCCCTGAATTGACCATTAAAAGTGACAGCAAAGTTTGTTGTTCGTACGATCAGGTTGTCAGTCTTCAGTCGGGTATTAAAACTGCTCAGACAATGATGGAAAGATGTCCTGCTTGTTGGAAAAATTTTCGTGAGTTATATTGTCGTTTGACATGCAGTCCAAACAACTCAATGTTTCTCCTTCCATATAGTGTAAAGAATTATACAAATATCAGTAAATCTATTGCTTCAATTAGTTATTATGTCGAGAAGAGCTTCAGAGAAGGTCTTTATAACTCGTGCAAAGACGTCGTATTTCCCAGCAATAATCAAAAGATAATGAACTACTTATGTGGGATGCCAGCTGATAAATGTGATTCACTGAAATTTTTAAATTTTATGGGTGATCCACAGAAGAATGGCGTTTCACCGTTTTTGATTCAATATCCTACATCTCACGCCAAAGGAATTCAACCAATGAATGTGAAGATCAGTTTGTGTAACGAAAGTGTTTATGACATATACAGTAAAAGCAACAAGTCAGCCTGTAGTTGTCAAGATTGTGTTCTGTCATGCAATTCAATACCTCCATATAATCCACCAAAACATTGGCATTGGGATCTTGGTTTTATTAGTTTAAATGAGATCAGTTTTGTTACATTACTTGTGTACCTAGTATTTGTTGTCACATTTATAACTGCAAATTTACTTTATTGTATATATTCTTCTTGTTGTAAACGAAGTGAGAGTGAGCAAGCTAAAGTTGCTGATGATCCAATAGAACTCTTGGGGTTTGTTGGACGAATTGGCGTGAAAATGGACAAGTTAATCAGGAATGGTTTCATGAAATGGGGTAATATTTGTTGTGATTATTGGGTTTTTGTTATCATTTTGGCTATTTTATTCATTGGTGCTTGTGCTGTTGGTCTGAAGGATTTCACAGTCACCACAGATCCTGTGAAACTTTGGTCATCTCCAGAAAGTCAAGCTAGGAAAGAAAAAGATATTTTTGACCAAAATTTTTCACCCTTCTTTCGTACTGCTCAAATGATCTTCTCTGTTAAGGCTCATAGTAAATGGAATGCTTCAACGTGTTACCATACCTTTTTTGAACGTGATTGTAAATTGACTGGAAATATCTTACGCTTGGAAGCTTTTCAGAGGGTATGGATATTATTTTTGTTCTATCTTGCAAATCTTTCATAATTATGATTTAATGTCATTTTTCATTTTGTGCAGATTTTGAAAGTTCAGACACATTTGACGAACATGAAGGTTGCATATGGCTCAAAAAATATCACACTACAGGACATCTGTAAGAAACCACTTGCTCCATATAACAATAATTGTACAGTCATGAGTCCATTACAATATTGGCAAAATGACTTGAATAAGTTGAAAAAATGTATTCTTGCTTTGGGTGGGAAGCCATGCGAGGCTCCAAATCCTCTTGCATCTTATTCTTGGGGAGACCATTTAGCATATTGCAACAGGTATGTTTTGATGGTTGTTGGTAATATGGTAGATGTATAAATGACTCTTTACATTTTCTCTACACAATAGCTGTTTAGAGTATTTACAAAAATCAATGTTTTGCCATTTTATGTCAATTTTATTTTATGCATTATGAATGCGACAAATACAGAGTTTGAAAAAGGGGCTTTTTGTTTTATTGTCATTGATTTTGTTGTTTTAGCGATCCCTCGTCAATGAATGATGTCAAGCTTGGTATACCTTGTCTTAGCTCATTTGGGGGACCTGTGGCTCCAAACATTGTCTTAGGAGGTTACCATGGTAATAAATATTCAAATGCAAGTGTAATTGTGGTGACTATTGTGATTAACAATCATGAAGATGAAGCTCACAATCGTAAAGCCATGGCTTGGGAGAAAGAATTTCTAAAGTATATGAAAAACTTTAAGGATGATGATTTAGATGTTGCTTTTATGGCCCAGAGATCAATAGAGGATGAAATTAAACGGGAGAGTCATGCTGATATCTACATTATTGTCATCAGCTATATCATCATGTTTGTTTATATAACCTTTGCACTTGGTCAAGTTAATAAATTTGACAGATTTATGGTTAGTGTGAAACAAATGAACTTTGTTGAACATTTCTTTTGTTTATTTTAATTCATTTTCTCTGTGTCATGATTAATTCAATACTTCATGTTGAACTATTTATTGTTATTTTTTTAGATTGACTCAAAGTTTCTTCTTGCATTAGCTGGTATTATTATTGTTATTGGTTCTGTTGTTTGCTCGTTAGGGATCTTCAGTTTTGCTAAAGAACCAGCAACATTGATTATAATAGAAGTGGTTCCATTTCTTGTGTTAGCTGTGGGTGTTGACAATATTTTTATTCTTGTTCAAAACTATCAACGTGATGTACGGAAACCTGGAGAAACAGTATCCAATCAAATTGGTCGAGTTTTGGGGGAGGTTGCACCTAGTATGCTGTTGACATCAACTTCTGAGGCTGTTGCATTTGGTTTTGGTGAGATATTTAGAAGATTCTATAAATGTTGCTTTGAAATGAAAATTAATTTATTCCTTATAATTTCTTTCAAAGGTGCTCTATCTTCAATGCCAGCAGTCAGAGTGTTCTCTCTCTATGCCTGTGTTGCTGTGTTTATTAATTTTCTTTTCCAAGTCACTTTGTTTGTTGCATTGATGTCTCTTGACATAAAACGTCAACAGGTACGTAAGTCATGTGTGCAAATATAGTGTTAACTGGACAAAGATTGCCTGAAGTTGTCTTTGTGTGTTTAAATTTTTTATCTCGTCTGCAGAGTTGAACTTGATTGTTTATACCATTGTCTTTGCTCTTTCAGGGCGACCGTTACGATATATTTTGCTGTTACAAAAGCACTCAAGTATCAAAATTAACACATACTCCAAGCTTGCTGTATAAGTTTTTTGATAAGATATTATCGCCATTTTTGCTTCTTCCCACTGTCCGTGTCGTAGTGGTTATTGCGTTTTCGACATTACTTGCATTAAGTATAATGGTTATACCAAGCATTGAGATAGGATTGGATCAATCACTTTCTATGCCTCAGGTGAGTGTGTGTCTGTATTTCATATTTTTTATCATTTGTCTATTTCCTAGTAAGTTAGGTTTAACCTTTACGTTTAGTGCTTATGTTTTTTTATTTATTGAACATGTTTACAATATATGTATATTTTTGTTCTCTTTCTTCATTATTAGTGATTAAAGTTTTACTCTTTATTGTTATAGTTCTACAAAAAACATACCGCTATCGACAATGAATAACTATTCAACAATTTGATTCCAAAATTTCATTTCAATGAGAAAAATGTTGATTATTCACGGAGTTTCTTTAGTTTTATGATTTATTAAATTACTTTTTGGAAGTCGTACTTTTTTACAGTTTACTCGACTTTAATAAACGTTGGTTACTCTTTCATCTCTTTCTAGGATTCATACATGATCACATATTTTAAAATGCAGTCAAATTATCTCAAAGTTGGTCCCCCTGTCTACTTCATCCTTGATAATCCTCATTATCCTTACCAAGAACGTAAATGGCAGAACAAAATTTGTGGTGGTTCTGGTTGCGACAAAGACTCTTTAATATTGCTTGCTTTTAAGGATTTTCGATCGTCTGAACAGTATGTACTTTATTTACGACTAGCAACGTTTGTACAACCCCCCGGATAGTGTTATCATTTAACAAAAATGTTGGTCATTTTACTTTGCGATAAAGAAACTTTGTCATCTTTAATTCAATCATCATTCTTTGATTTTACACTGTAAATCCTAATTTTTGTCTTCAGTCGAATAAAATTCTATTCAATGGATAACACTATCAATGTTTTGTGTAAGCGGCCTTAGCATTGCATCATGACATGTGTATCATGACGTGTGCATCATGACGTGTGTGTCGTGACGTGTGTATCATGACGTGTGCATCATAACGTGTGCATCATAACGTGTGTATCATGACGTGTGCATCATAACGTGTGTATCATGACGTGTGCATCATAACGTGTGCATCATAACGTGCATCATGACGTGTGCATCATGACGTGTGTATCATGACGTGTTAATGTATAATGTATAAACGTGTGTACAAATATTTTTAGAACAAAGCTTGGTGTCAGTCTGTCGTCATGGATAGATGACTATTTTAGTTGGATTATTCCATCTACATCATGTTGTCGAATGTTGGATTATACTATAAACAAAACTGGTCATAAAATTATAGCTAAACCCGGTACATTTTGTAATGCAACAAGTAAGTTGTTTCATTCTCTGTCTATTCAAAGAACTTACATGTTCTAGGCAAGACTCATTGCACTATCAACGAACTTGTTAGATTTATAAAGATAAATATTTATCGTTTGTGTAACGCTTCTATCCTGTAGCTATATGTATATATATACATCCTGTGTCCCAAGTGCAGGAGTCACCATTTTACTATGGTGATAGCCGGAAGGGCACATTGTTATACACTTTGTATATAATACATAAAGAGTGATTTATTGGAGAGCCTTCATCAGAATAAGGATATTTATTTACACGTGCTTTTAGCTTGGAGACGTTTAGAAGCTAAAAGCTAAAAGCACGTGTAAATAAATATCCTCATTCTGATGAAGGCTGAGATATCTTTATGTATTAAATGCCTGGATTACAAATTTTCAAACTTACTTTGTTTATGTATATATACATATATATTAATATATTATATATATTAAGTAACATTGTCTTACTTTACTTTGGTTCGGAGTGGAGGGGAGAAACGTTTTCTTGAGATTATGAACATTTTTAATGAAATAAAGAATGAGCTAACTGAGTACAATAAATATAAACTAGCCCCTGATCCAATGCAATAGAAAAGTTATCGTTACATATTGTAGGGTCGTTTAAGCATTAAACGTTATGATTTGAACACGGAGAGGAAGTGATGTGTTATTGCCTTCCATTAACTTGTTCTATAAATACATGAAGTAATCGCTGATATTAATACTTTAAATTTTTGGACTCTTGTTTATAGTGACACAAAGTTGTTATCATTGTCATTCGTGTTTAAACCAGACTACACAAAGTAATCAACGTCCAGATGTTATAGAGTTCAACAGATATTTGCCTTTCTTCCTTCGAGATAATCCTGAGAGCAAATGTCCAAAGGGGTTTGTATAAAAAGAAGTACTGTGATATCTCATGATTTTACTTAATCTCCAATGATTTTTTTGAAGTTTATTTTTGAGCATGTTTCTCGTTCGTTTTAGAGGTCATGCAGCTTATTCAGACTCTGTTATTTTAAATATGTACAGTTTATTAAATGCAACTCTAAACACAAGTGCTGTAAGAAGTAAGTCATTCAAAACACTGAACTATTGTTATGTATGATGATTTTTTATAAAACACTAAAATAACATCATGAACCTTGTGTTAACGTTCCTACTTTCAAACAGTCTCGCGTTACATGGGCTATCATACAATTTTGAAAACGTCAGCTGACTATATTGATGCGTATAAAACGCTAGACGCTTGGCAAAGAGATGTCGAATACCACGGAAAGTCGTGTGTTTCCATATAGGTATGTGTGTACTGTTGTTAATTTAGGTTGAAGATGTGTACTTATAAATCTTATCTCATCAATTATCATCTTGTATGTTTCAGCATATTTTATGTGTATTATGAACAATATTTGACTATCGTCCATGATGCATGGTTCAATCTTGTCATATGTTTAGGTAAGCAAATCTTCCGAATGAATGTTACATAAGTCATATCTTTCATCTTTATTCTATTTTCATTCATTGAAGAAATATGCTATATACTCCCTTTTATCCAGTTTGCAATCTCAAAACAAGGTTATTAATGTGAAAATAAAAATATTTCATTGCAGCTTCAATATTTGTTGTGACTTTCATGTTGATGGGTTTTCAATTTCGCATTGCATTTATCGTTACGTTCACTGTTGCAATGATAATCACTGATCTCTTGGGCTTGATGTATATCTGGAATATTTCTCTAAATGCCATATCGCTTGTAAATCTTGTTATGGTAATTATTTGGCACGTTTATTTAAATGTTGATCATTATTTTCAATTTATGGTAGCGTCGCTGGATTTAATGATTAAATTTAATTTGAACAATGAAGTAAAACTTTGAAAAAAGAATTGAATTAAGTAAGCAGCAAACCATTTCTTCATGGTTTTCTTTTATGTTATCAAAGATGTCTTTATAAAATATACAAGGTGTTGCTAAAAACACCTTCAGAAATTGACGTATTGTGATAATTTCAAAGACTATTATTACTATACTAAAATGTATTATATATCTTTGTTACTGCTCCTGAGAATTTGATATAATTTCTGACAGTAAAACATTCTCAGTATTAAACCAGCGAGATTAGCATACATCGGCCATTGTAATTTCACAATAGGTTTCTAGTGGTCCTTTTTTTTATACAGTCTTGTAGTTTTAACGAAAGTGTTTCCACTTAGGCTGTTGGTATTTCCGTTGAATTTTGCTCTCACATTGCAAGACATTTCAGTTTGACTGATGGCAAGGATAGAATAGAAAGAGCAAAACTTAGTTTAGCTCACATTGGAAGCTCGGTAAGATAAAACATAATTAAACTTTGACTAGAGAATTTTTTGACGTTTATTTCCTATGAACGACTACGTTACGTCATTTTAACTTACTCTATATCACCTTAGAAACAAAGAAATCAACATCTAGTCATGTTGAGTCAGCAAAAAATAATAATATCGTTGCTACTCACTCATCAAACAGCGCGCAAACATTTCCCGATTTTGTTTCTTTTTATTTTTTCAAAGGTATTTAGCGGCATTACACTGACAAAGTTTGGAGGTATTCTCGTTTTGGCATTTTCAACATCTCAGATATTTAAGGTGATATCTTACGTATATTATAAATTATTTTTACCATTATGCTAAATTAAGGTTCTTGTCAATATATATTCAACAATAAAAGCGTTATGTTGCAAGTTGTTTCCTTGTTATTATCAATGATGATTTTGAATTTTTTTTATTTTCATTATTTAGGTGTTTTATTTCAGAATGTATCTGGGGATCGTATTATTAGGAGCAAGTCATGGACTTCTCTTTCTTCCTGTTTTTCTCAGTTACATTGGCCCGAATTGTCGTCGTGATAAACATTCAATTGGTGATATCCAAGAATCGAGCCCAGACCTCCACACGGAGAGTTCTCCATTATTAACCAACTCGAAACCGGTGTATTCGTGAACAGAAAGATACGAAGGTTTGCGACAGCATACCTTGACCGTCTCTCTTTGTCATGTTAAAAACAAAGCGTTAACGAGGAAATTATCTTTACTCCCAACTAAAATTCATATCTATTCATATATCAAATGAGGTTGATTTTTTTTGGAAAATATCCGGTTTAAGAGGATATTTTGCAAAATTTTTCAGCATAACTTGCTTCGTTTCTTCTTACTAAATCATCGTCATTCATATTCTTTACAATAAGAATAAGAGGGATAACCAGTAATAGGAGTAATAACAATGACTAACATGTATTCACTGTTACTTCAAGTTTAAAATATGAAATAGTTAAATTGTGAAACTATATATAGTTGAACATTTACTTCTTACCATATTAGCTATATCATGCTGAAGAATACAAAAACATTAGAACATTATATGAATCAAAAGGATTTTAATGAATAATTCAAATTAAACTGCCTTAATCGAGTCATAAGAAATATTCTAAATACAAGCAAGATATTATAAAGTTTTTTGCAAAATTTCAACACTTCATAGTTCACTGCCATCTTGGATTATGGCTAACATCTTTAATTATTGGCTTTCCCAGCGTTGCTGTAGCAACCATACCGACGTCATTCCAACAGTTGCACTCCGAAGCATAGTTCTTCGTTGGATCACAGGGATCCATGAGGATTGGTTTCCTAAGGAGGTAACACTATTAAACTATAATGTAACGTTATTTTCCATGTTTTCCCTTGTATCTTTTGATTTCGCTTTACCACCCTCCCTTCCCCCTTAAAAAAAGCTCTTCGTCCTTACCTCTGATTGACCAGTGCTTCTTTTATCATCTTTTTGTCGTAGTAAACGTTCCACGTTATATAAAGATCAGAATAATTTTGTAATGCTTCCATGACTGCTCGAAATCCTGCAGATGGTTTAAATGTCTCCGGTCTGCCAGCCCTTTCCCATAAAGAAATCACAAGATATTGAATTGAATAGGCACTTGGTAGTTGATATTTCTCGTCCAGAGTAAACGCTCTCTGTAGCCATAAGAGTACCAATCGTATCAAGTTACGAACTCGTGTATTTTTTAAGTTTTGAGTAATGTAATCGAGTTGAAGACGACATAGACTGGTTGCGTATACTCTACGATCTTTTGCGTTCGCAACCATAGCGTTATAGAGCTCTTCTCTTTTTCATCTGTATTGAAAACCCACAATAGAGAACACGACTTTAATAATCTCTCTTACCAAAACTTCTCTACTACCAAAACTCTCTCTTCCAAAACCTGCTTTTCTCAAATCTGTTAAATCGTTCAAAGTCACCTGAAATATTGCATCAAGTTTTAAATTTAACGTCCCCTCGAGTCTGTAGGAGGGATTAAGTTGCTTAAGTTCTTATTTACTCTATCAATTTTATTATAGAGTTATCTTACCATCGTGAACGTCCCATCCAAATGATGGAATTATTTCCAATTCAACATCAATAGGACAATCTAGAATTATCAAGGTACAGCACATACTGCCATCATCCCTATCGACTATTTCTATATTTGATTCATAATCTCTGATATGAGCTTGCATAGATGCTGTGATACTGGATAGATTATCCTTGAATGATGTCATACATTTTGTGACGTCATCATTACCATGTGCATATATAACGTGTAATGTTGCTTCAACATCATCTTCGCTGTTGATTTCTGTTTTCGTACCAAGAGATCCTCCCTGTTAGACAAAATAATTAGGAAACTTTGAGTTCAACGTTTTCTAAAGTGTCATTCATCACATAGTTTAGTTGCTATGTGATAAAATAATCGTTTATTGCCTACAATGAGGATTTCTTGAAATTCTTTTCTTGTCTGAAGCCTGCTGTTGAGGTGTTCAATAAATGATTCTAAAGCAGCTGTACATTTCTGTAGGACATTGTCACTTATTTGTACTTCGTTGCTTAACAGCACATTAAGATCAGCTGCGTTTTTTGAGCTCAGCAAACGTGTCAGACCTGGAAAATGTGGTTAGGTATTTTACACTCTAAAAATTGTTCTTCATCAATAAGGATATGTCTGTTCTCTGTGCTCACAATATTTCCCTATGAGCATTTTAAGCGTTACATTCATAACTTACTTGGTTTACGATGTCCACTCATGTTAATTTACCATTCATTGGTGGTTTGTACAAAACATTCAATTCTTCGTCGAAAATGCTTCTCGTTTTCTCAGATAGAAGATTTATATTCCACACTTTGCGTTAAAAAACTTTCTAACTGCGATAAAAACCATTGTCAATTGATTTTGTAGCCTCAGTGAGAAGTCCCGAAGTTCAGATAGCCGTATTTGCATGTGATTGATGAACATAACTGTTGTTTATATTGCTTAAATATTTAACGTCTTTTAACATGCGAATCAACGATGATATTGTCTTCATATGTGTAAGTAGCTAACATATCTTAATTTTAAACTATTTCTTTTATATTCCTTTTTGTCATCAACATTTGTGAATTGGCCTTATTGAATTGGAGATATTTGATTATCGCCTGCGTCACTTCTTACTGTGAAATATTCCTTATACGTTCTATATGAAGACTACCTTATTCGTACATGTATTTATAAGAAATATGCTCGTTTCTTTGTCATTTTATCGCAAACTTTTGTCATTTACCCTCAAAACCAGTACTAACCATGTCTCATACGTTTGAACTAATCAGAGATCTCTCTCAAAGACTCATTCCTCTGTCAGTTGTACATCTCAGTGTAATAGTTAATTTAAGCGTATTGTGTAGTTCCTTGAATCTACTGCTATGGAATAATGTCAATGTACTGAATAAGAACAAGAATTTGTATTCATATGAATAAGGGCAACCACTGAACGACATACTAAAATAATATTGCAAAATTTGGCTGTAACACAATTTTCTTGATCAATTTGTTGTGTTTATAACTCTGTTTTTTCAATTTTTATTTATTTCATATACTTTGAATGATATTTAATTACTGTTACATACACAACAGGTGTAACAGATGAATTCCTTTCGTACGGATGTGGAGTGTTTATTTTTTACTACCAAAATAATTACACTTCATTGTTTATGCCAAATGTTTGAGCTAATCCTTTCCTGTTGATTCTATAACTATAAATATGAATTGTTGCAAGGGTAAAATATTTGTAAATAAGAAGTCTGCTTGCTTGCGTGAATTCTTATTGGTTTAATTTAAACGATGAAGAATATGATACATGTCGTCATACAAATATTTACAAGTTAAGCAATGTAAACTATTTCACAGTTTCATATAACGATTTGAAAAATATATCGTAAAGATTACAGAAATTGTCGTAAGAAAAGGTCATTTTGACTTGTTTTCACCATGTCTGCTCCAAGTAAGTGACAGAAGTTTTAACTATATATTATTTTGGAAAATATCGATAACAGATAGAATGTGATATATTTGCGTTTTACATTCGTTAATTGGATAGCTTTATATAGTATTAGTGCACGATTTATGTTATAGCACAACATGGTTTACTTTGTAATTGATACTATATATGTTACAGCCTGTTCATCGTTTTCTTTTTCTCAGTTATTTCTATCTTATATGATATAATTTTATTTCATTTTTACACGTAAACAGACACCATATACCTGATGTAGACGATTAGCGTCTCAGGTAAAATACATTACAGTTATGCATTCATTGCCAAGATTTCACTCTTTGAAAATTTATGACAAATGGAATTAATAACGAAATGTTTAATATAAATCATCAGCCGTAAAATATTTTACTTAAACTTGGATCCAGCTTCTTAGACAATGTATGAACACCACGTGAATATCACATCATTACGTCTATTTAAAAGTACATATTACTAACATTTTATATATTGGTTTATCATAGATGAAATATTTTACTTCATATAATAAATGAATGAAGTTATACATTCCAGGCTTGATAATTAGTTGATTTTGTTGATGACATTGATTTAGGAACGGGGGATTTCTTATGAATGTATAATAATTTTTATTTCCTCATCATAAATATTATTATGTACTCTTTTTAGTTAAATAAATTTTGTTTTATTTGTTTGCAATTGTATAATAAATCAACAATCCTCTTGCTCTTTTCAATAGGTCTAACGAAACTTCTGCAAAATGAAAATCCACCCAATGTTACGTTAGCTAAAGCAGCAGAACTGAGTACGATCTATTTGAAAAGCTGTAATAATGTCGTTGATAAAATATGTGAACACATCGAAGAAAATTTTCCATCCAACGTTGGTAAAATAAAGAATTTTATTCAGGTATTTTTGTTCATGGTTTCTCGTCAAAACTTTGTGCATGCTAATGTTGAGATTACCCGTGTTTTGCAATATCTTCAAGATAGCATTGAGTCTTTGATCAAACTCAGATCTGTTGAAATTAAATCCATGAAATAAAGATTTCTAATAATTATTTATCAATGTAGTATTCTACATTAAGGGAGGATCTCTTGGTAATGGTACAGCAATTTATGGTCGAGAGGATGTCGACTCTGTCATTGTCGTATGTTTTGATTATGAAACATCTGATGTTCAAGAGCTGCTAATGAAGCATAAATCAAAAAGTCGAAAGATCATGGACACCATTGAAGAAAGGTAGTTGTCAGTTTAGGTGTTAGCCTAACCCTAACCCTAAATGGTGTATGTTTGTCCAGTGATAGATTCAGCGCATGTCAAAAATTGTGGTGGTGATGTATGTTGGTACAACATGTCATTCTTGGATGGCCAATGGATTATATATATGAAAAGGAAAATTGGTTTTAAAGATCTTTATGGATTTTATTTTTTTTAGAATTATTTTCGTTTTAGGCTTAATGAGAATTATCTATTGAGTTTACAAAGATTTTGATATTTATTGAAACATCTTTATTTAGGTTAGTCAACATGGTCTCATTTGATTTGGAAGTTGACGATGTCACAGACAGTGGTATTACATGTAATGTTAAAATGCCTAGTGGTCCTCTTGATCTTAGTGTTTATGTTATGGCGACCTTTTATGCTGATGTTAACAAAGGTATACGGTGTAAATCTTTCAATTGTTATTCATCACATGTGTCACAATTGATTTTCACGATTTTACGGTCTGCTTTTCAGCTGAGATTCGCAACTCAATTTACGAGCAACTCCGTGGTGCTTCAGCGAAAGACAACGACGTATATAGTTCGTCTTTATCACAACTTCAAGTCGACTTTATTAAGAATAAAAACCAGCAGCTGAAAGGCCTCATGAAACTCGTTAAATTCTGGGTTCAAAAAGGTTTTGCTGATAATGAAAATCAAAGCCTTCCTTCTCCATATCTATTGGAACTGGTGACTGTATATTGCTGGGAACATGCCAATAGCCCGGAGACTTTTAAATTTGCTAACGCTTTTCGTGCTGTTCTTATGACTTTGAAAGATCATCAATCAATGAAAGCAGTTTGGACAAAAAATTACAGTTGGGATACAGCGCAAGAATTTGCGCATCTGGAAAGGTAAATCTACGCTCTGTGTATGTTTCATATATTTATTTTACAACAACTTTCTAAGATATGCAGGGTAGTAGAAATATTTTTTTATTTTTAGGCCTCCCATCGTAATAGATCCAGCAAATCCAACCATAAATCTTTGCAGGGATTGTAATGCATGGAGTGAAATTACTCGGGGTGCTGATCAAACGCTCAAAACACCTTTGCTCAAAAACATTGCTTCACCTAAAAGTGTCTGGAATTGAAAGGATTTTTTAATAAAAGCGTTTTGTTTGTGTCTCAATTTTTCTTCATTCTCTCTTTATCCTGCATGTGGCGACATGGACTTCATGAAAATTTTCTTGAATCATTGTGAAAATAGACATTATTGGTGGTTTGCATTTTACGTCACGGCCGCCATCTTAGTAGTCGAATAAAAACAATATTTTATAAATGCCTTTGTGGGCACCAACCGTCGTGAACAAGCCATATTTTTGATAATTTCGCGGAGATTAGTTGTAATTAAAGAATTTGTCCGGTTTTCCACGTTGAAAACAAACTGTATTACAATGTGCACAATTATTCAATTACTACAGTGACGTCACACTGTTGGTACAACATCGTTGTCCACAATATCACCATATATATAATTACATATTTTAAATTAATGACATAAATTTTATTAAATTACGCCATATTAATCTGCACGTCAGTTCTGGTCAAAATGGGTGTTATCAAACAAGTTCTGGTTATTGCATTTTCTGCCTGGCTTTTGTTGAGAATTATTGCACTCAATAGATCATTGTAGGTACCTTTTTTATCACAGCATGTCATTCTTTTTCTGGCCTTTAGTTTGCTCTGTCTGATAGTAGTTCATTTACTCTTTAATATCTTAATGCTAGACGCATAGGGAGATTTGGTCTGTCTTTTTACAATCATAATCCAGGACCATGTAAAATATTTCATGGTAAATAAAACTAATTTGAGATTTGTTGTGGACTAAATTGCGTTATGCATGTTGACTAATAATGTAAATATTTTTAGTTAATGGCTCAGAAGACATAGTTCTTCTACCGAACGGCCTAGCGATATTTTCGTCGGTAAAATGCATTGAAATTTTAGTTGTATTGAAATAAATTGTTTATTCGTAATATTTCATTATAGTTTTTGTTCAGGGCCTTGATTTCACCTTCAGTCCTACTGGTCCTGATCCCGCTACGAAGAATTTTATAGGAATGCTTTACAGCTTTGACTTAAATAATCCTGATCACTCGCCTCAACCATTAAAATTTGATAATTTTCATTCTAAATTTACACCTCATGGTATCGATTTATATATTGATCCACAAAGTGGGGAAGTAAGTTTGTTTGTAGTAAACCATGGAAATGATAATAAAAGCATAGAAATTTTCATGTTGGATATGACAAAAATGGTTTTGAAACATAAAAGAACTGTGTTTGATGAAAAAATATATTCTCCCAATGATCTTGTTGCAGTTGGTAAGTCAATATGTGTTATGTTATGTTTTGTTTTGTTATATATATATTTTTTTTCAAAGCAATATGTTGTTTCTTTAGGACCAGAAAGTTTTTATGTGACAAATGATCGCTATTTTATTAATACTTGGCTTTTGGCTGTCGAAACAACTTATCCATTGAAGCTTTGTAGTGTTGTTTACTATGATGGAAAACAATCAAAATATGTTGCCAGCAATTTAAATTTGGCCAATGGGATCAATATGGATTTAAGTGAAAAGTAAGGATATAAAGAGAATGAAAGCTTGATAAATATGTATAATTTGTTTTACTACTGTCAATAATCTTTAGATATATATTTGTGGCGAGTGGATCTGATGGTGAGGTGATTGTGTTTGAAAGAGACATCAATAACAATCTTCTAAAACGTCAGGTTGTATTATTTTGCTTTCTGCCCAATTATAAACTTTAAATAACTTTTCTATGTAAATCTCTATTTTTAGCATATCCAAGTTGGTGTTCTTTTAGATAATATAAATGTTGATGAAGAGGGCCATTTATGGCTTGGTGTTGCTCATTTTGACTTTGTTGCATATAGTTCAAATTTCACCCGACCATGTCCTGGTGCTGTACTTCAAGTTAGACTAAGTAAATCTGGCAATCCTGAAGTCCCATTTAATGTTGATGATATTCGTGAAGTTTTTGGTAATGATGGTAAAGGCCAGGTTAAATGTGTTTCTAGTGGTTTGTTTTATCGTGGTAAAATGCTTGTTGGCAATCCATTCTCGAGTTTTGTGTATTGTAAAGTAAATGAATTTTAGAATCAATGAATAGGAATTACTTTAAGTTAGAATTACATTTTGGGTAGAATTAGCACCAATAAAAATGAATTTTTCATTATTTAAAAGGATATTTAACAAATTATGTATTACATAGTTTTCAACAACTATTTACAATTTCCATTGAATGAAAATAAATGTACGTATGATTGTTTGTAATAATATTTTTTTGTTTCCATGTTGTTGTCATGTTATGCTAAGCCAAACATTTCCAACTTCATCAGTTTATATGGATACAAATCATTGATAGATCTTTAACGATTTGATCTACTTTATACCAAGGGCAGATCACTATCATCTTGCAACTCTCTGATATCTTGTTAAAATCTACATGAGTATATGTGTATGTTTCATATATTTATTTTACAACAACTTTCTAAGATATGCAGGGTAGTAGAAATATTTTTTTATTTTTAGGCCTCCCATTGTAATAGATCCAGCAAATCCAACCATAAATCTTTGCAGGGATTGTAATGCATGGAGTGAAATTACTAGGGGTGCTGATCAAACTCTCAAAACACCTTTGCTCAAAAACATTGCTTCACCCAAAAGTGTCTGGAATTGAAAGGATTTTTTAATAAAAGCGTTTTGTTTGTGTCTCAATTTTTCTTCATTCTCTCTTTATCCTGCATGTGGCGACATGGACAATTCACTTCATGAAAATTTTCTTGAATCATTGTGAATATAGACATTATTGGTGGTTTGCATGTTACGTCACGGCCGCCATCTTGGTAGTCGAATAAAAACAATATTTTATAAATGCCTTTGTGGGCACCAACCGTCGTGAACAAGCCATATTTTTGATAATTTCGCGGAGACTAGTTGCAATTAAAGAATTTGTCCGGTTTTCCACGTTGAAAACAAACTGTATTACAATGTGCACAATTATTCAATTACTACCGTGACGTCACACTGATGGTACAACATCGTTGTCCACAATATCACCATATATATAATTACATATTTTAAATTAATGACATAAATTTTATTAAATTACGCCGTATTAATCTGCACTTCAGTTCTGGTTAAAATGGGTTTTATCAAACAAGTTCTGGTTATTGCATTTTCTGCCTGGCTTTTGTTGAGAATTATTGCCCTCAACAGATCATTGTAGGTAACTTTTTTATCACAGCATGTCATTCTTTTTCTGGCCTTTAGTTTGCTCTGTCTGATAGTAGTTGATTTACTCTTTGATATCTTAATGCTAGACGCATAGGGAGATTTGGTCTATCTTTTTACAATCATAATCCTGGACCATGTAAAATATTTCACGGTAAATAAAACTAATTTAAGATTTGTTGTGCACTAAATTGCGTTATGCATGTTGACTAATAATGTAAATATTTTTAGTTAATGGCTCAGAAGACATAGTTCTTCTACCGAACGGCCTAGCGATATTTTCGTCGGTAAAATGCATTGAAATTTTAGTTGTATTAAAATAAATTGTGTATTAATTCGTAATATTTCATTATAGTTTTTGTTCAGGGCCTTGATTTCACCTTCAGTCCTATTGGTCCTGATCCCGCTATGAAGAATTTTATAGGAATGCTTTACAGCTTTGACTTAAATAATCCTGATCACTCGCCTCAACCATTAAAATTTGATAATTTTCATTCTAAATTTACACCTCATGGTATCGATTTATATATTGATCCACAAAGTGGGGAAGTGAGTTTGTTTGTAGTAAACCATGGAAATGATAATCAAACCATAGAAATTTTCGTGTTGGATATGACAAAAATGGTTTTGAAACATAAAAGAACTGTGTTTGATGAAAAAATATATTCTCCCAATGATCTTGTTGCAGTTGGTAAGTCAATATGTGTTATGTTTTGTTTTGTTTTGTTATATATATATATTTTTTTTTTCAAAGCAATATGTTGTTTCTTTAGGACCAGAAAGTTTTTATGTGACAAATGATCGCTATTTTATTAATACTTGGCTTTTGGTTGTCGAAACAACTTATCCATTGAAGCTTTGTAGTGTTGTTTACTATGATGGAAAACAATCAAAATTTGTTGCCAGCAATTTAAATTTCGCCAATGGGATCAATATGGATTTAAGTGAAAAGTAAGGATGTAAAGAGAATGAAAGCTTGATAAATATGTATAATTTGTTTTACTACTGTCAATAATCTTTAGATATATATTTGTGGCAAGTGGATCTGATGGTGAGGTGATTGTGTTTGAAAGAGACATCAATAACAATCTTCTAAAACGTCAGGTTGTAATATTTTGCTTTCTGCCCAATTATAAACTTTAAATAACTTTTCTATGTAAATCTCTATTTTTAGCATATCCAAGTTGGTGCTCTTTTAGATAATATAAATGTTGATGAAGATGGCCATTTATGGCTTGGTGTTGCTCATTTTGACGTTGTTGCATATAGTTCAAATTTCACCCGACCATGTCCTGGTGCTGTACTTCAAGTTAGACTTAGTAAATCTGGCAATCCTGAAGTTCCATTTAATGTTGATGATATTCGTGAAGTTTTGGTAATGATGGTAAAGGCCAGGTTAAATGTGTTTCTAGTGGTTTGTTTTATCGTGGTAAAATGCTTGTTGGCAATCCATTCTCGAGTTTTGTGTATTGTAAAGTAAATGAATTTTAGAATCAATGAATAGGAATTACTTTAAGTTAGAATTACATTTTGGGTAGAATTAGCACCATTTAAAATGAATTTTTCATTATTTAAAAGGATATTTAACAAATTATATATTACCAGGGACGCCGGAACTGGGGGCAAGGGGCAACGGTTGCCTTCTGGAGAGGGGCAGGGGGGGCAAAAGTGCCCTACAGGTTGAAAATTTATTGTTTTTAATTCAAGATAAAGACTAATTAACCGTTGTTGGATATTGCATTCTTTTTAGCTTAGCCATAAAATTGTCGTAACTATGTTAGTTTTTCTTTAACTTTTCTTTGTTTTAAGTACGTTTTGTAAGTTCTTTGTTTGTTTAGTTAGTTCTTCTTTTTTGTTGCAACGCGCGAGAACTTGAAACGCAATGAAAGAGTGAGTACTGCTAATGACGTAAAGGAAAGCTCGACTTATGTAATTACCGATAGTATAAATAACATGTAAATAATTAACTCTAATAGATAGCGTAAGAATACTCCAGTGATGTACTTGTAGATTGTTTGGCTTGAACTCACTTAAGGTTCAAAACGAAGAGTGTTAGTGAACCAGCTGAGGAGCGAATTCCTCGACAACCGTGAAACGTCATTTTTTAAATGTAAACAACTAAAAATCACAATACCTTTGTAAATTCCTTTCATTTTTATTAAATCCAAAAAGTACCAGGAACATGACGTATAGCAAAGATATTTTAATGGTAAACATCTGCTGGCATAAATGGCTCAGTCATCTAAACACTGATGACTTTGAAAGGGATATTTTTTGCATCTTATCGCTTTTTCTGCAATGCCAAGAGCAGAAAGATATAAAAAAGATTCAGCAAAAGCACTAGCGAAAGTAGCTGCTAAACCGGGTCAATCAAAAATAACATCGCTGTTTGCAAAAGGAAACACAGGCCATGATTTTGATTCTGCTTCAACAAGCGGAATTGACACTGTAATAACTGTCTATACTGAAAAAGCCTCAGACTGGAAGTTACAAAAATGGTCCAAACCGAAAAGTCTGATTGGTGAAACAGAAAAGATATGCATGAAAACAACATGGGTAAAACATGAGAAAGACTTTACAAGTGAAGACAAGGAAAGTAGTGTGAAGCATGGTCGATATTTCCAAGGTCAGTGGTTACGAAATTATGAGTGGCTAGTGTACAATCGAGAAAAAAATAAGGCTTTTTGCGAAATTTGTTCTACTCACTTTAAGATAAAGGGAGTGTTTGGCAGTTATGAAGTTGGATTTGATAACTGGAAAAAAGGCTGTGAGAAATTCAACGAACATGAAAACAGTTACGCTCATAAAGAAGCTTGTGCCACATCAGACAAAGGGCAATTGTCTATTAGCATAGCCTGCAGTTCACTTGCTCTTGAAACGCAGCAGTTAAGGCGGAAAGGGTTAATTTCGCATCTTCAAACATTAAAAACACTTTTACGCCAAGGTATAGCGATTAGAGGTAGAACGGATTTTGAATCTAATATTCATCAGTTCAATCTTGATAAAGCTATCAACGACAAGGCACTAAAACTTTTACTGGACGAGAACAAGACGTAACTGCACACGACATCCTGGACGAGCAGAAACAGATGATTGTATTAAATGCTCGAAGACATTTGATTGTTAAAATTCTAGTGAGAGAATCATTTTCAATTCTAGCTGACGAATCATCAGACGTATCTAAGAAGGAACAGTTGTCTTTCTCCGTAAGGACCTGTGATGATAATTACGAAGTATCGGAAGATTTTGTTGGAATTTATGAATGTTTGCAAGGGCTTTCATCTGATGCATTACTGTACTACACCAAAGATATCCTTCTCAGATGTGGTATGGAAGGTCACAATATGGCAGCTATGGGCTTTGATGGGGCTTCAGCAATGAAATCCCTCGCAAGAAAGCTCAAGGAAGATGTTGCACCAAACGCAATTTATGTTCATTGTTTCAGTCACTGCAATGAACTTATTATACAGGATGCAGCTAAGCAATCTAATTTATTGTCTATGTCACTGGATTTATGCCAATCCCTGTATGCAAGCGTAGGTGCCCATCCAAAACGTATTTTATTGTTCGAAAAAATACAGGCAGATTTTAGAAATGAAACAGGAACAAACGATTACAAAGTTCTACGACTCCAAAGTCTTTCTACAACGAGATGGACAACAAGAGTAAAGGCTGCTGACGTCATCTTCGAGAAATCAGCTGGACTACATGCAACCCTTGAAAAATTGCAGGAAGATCCTAGCATTTCGGCAGACACAAAAGCAAAGATTAGAGGAATATTAAGGCGACAGCTATCTTCCTTAATCGTCATCTTTAATTTAAACGCGACAAGAAAGCTATTGGCTTTACTCGAGAAGCTTTCTAAAGAGCTCCAAGCGGTTGATATTTCAGCTGTGTACGCTCTATTTTCAATTAGACATGTCCTGCAACGTCTTCATGAGATGAGAAGCGAAGAAGAGTTTGAGCGTACACTTGATGACGCTTAGAAAGTTTTTCGTGTTATGATGTCGTTTCCACTGGAATTTAGTGAAAATTTTGGCTCTGGCACTAGACTAAGAAAAGTTCCAAGATGGATGAATAATGAAGAATTTTAATAACAGAAAACCTTCACGTCACAGATGCCTCAGTTTACAACAGTGCGAATATAACACCAATGCAAAGCTCGTACTACCAAGCCATTGATGCAATCATCTCAGGTCTAGGATCGCGATTTGAAGAAGACGATCTTTTCCAGATCAAATCTATCGAGGAACTGTTACTTAACTCTATGAAAGAAAGAGGAGTATCTTTAGATGGATTAAGCAATTTTTTGATTGATAAAGATGTTCTAAGAATGCAGCTTGATGATCTTCCTACCATTCTTGGGCTTTACAACGCGGATCAGAAGAAAAAATAACAGAAGTCACGCGTATTTCAACAATAGCAGAGATATTCAATGCCATGCCGTCAGCAAAGAAAAGGTGCTCAGAGATCCACAAACTAAT